TGCTCCGCGTCGGTCTTGCGCGAATGCCTTGGCATCTCACCGCTGGGATTTGAGAAGTGGTTCGAGCGGCCTGCCAAGATGGTCAAGAGCTGAGCTCTTCGAGTCCTACACCCCACAGCTCAAGGTTTTGCCTTGATCTAGGCGCTGGGCGAAGATCCATGATACAGCACCACAACCTAATGCCCCGGCTGTTGAAGGTGTCCGGTTAAGCTGAGACAGAAAGAGAATATTGGAAGTACCTGAACGAATTTTGCAATGTCGCTATCAACGGAAGACACGCGAGATCTGCGGCAAGTGTCAGCATCGTCCAACAAGTGTTCTCTCACAGAAGAGATAACCCGAAATGAAAATGTACGAGCAGCAGAGACCAAAAGGCATACTATGCGGAGGCTGCACAACTACCCCTGGAACTACTCTGTATCGATGCAGTCTTTCTTGTGACAAGGCCTAAGCCGTGCCGTTACCGGTTGCTGCTGGTTCGCATTCCACTGACTGTCGTCTCGTATCCCCACTTGACTGCGCTTCATCATTCATCTTGGCCTGGCATGCACTTCAAGAACTGAGGAACCATGGGTTCTGAAATGGGAGATGGGACCACTCGCTTCAGGCTCCATGGCCGTTGAAAGTGGTATGGAGAAGACTGAGCCTGCATGGGGCCTTGCTCACCTCTAGCACATGGTCATGATTGCCACTGTGCGCTATTCAACCATCCGGAAGCGATGATTCGGCCGCTGGTTAATGAGTCTTGGATGACCAAGAAAACCATTTTGGATATCAGCTTGTGTGCTGTCCCGAGGTCCTCGATTAGAAAACTACAGTTTCAATCAGTGGCTTGAGCGTTGATTAGTCAAAGCTCAATGAGATCCCTAAGAAGTCCAGTACCTCGGGTTCGCTGGCTACTCGACCATCATCGCCAAGGAGGGGGGTAGTACACGCAGGAGTAGGGCAACACACCTGGAAGACAAGTCTCTAAGACGCCCAGCCACCTGCAATCAGACATTATGGCTCATCTTTAAAGCATAGGGATGCTATTCCAAGTATAAGACTTTCTGGACACTCTAAATTCGGAGCTCAACATACCAAAGAAGCGGCAGGGGAGGTCGTCCGGCCTGAACATCTGTGAATACCATCAGCGCTCATGTTCAAACAAGAACTTTCAGCTCATTAATGTCTTGCAACTAACTTACTTTCGGTCCTTGATCATGGCTGAATGGTTCCTGTGGCCCTTCTCACACCATCGTCCGTTCGAAGACGTGACAGACGTCCAACCGCCGAGAAACTCTGGTTCACATAAATTTAGTGTGTATGGCACCCATGCATTGAGAATCTTCCTGGGTTCTGACGCCAGGTATGGGGCTCTCTTCACGATCGTTGCCTTGGTGCTTCATCGTTGCTGTGGCCATCATTCGAATTGGCAAAGTGCAACCTACCACATGAGCACTGGACTTGCTATCAGCCTACAAGAGTGCCTGCAGAGACTGGTCAGTCGCCGAAAACAAAATTTCACTGTCCACGCAGGAAAGAATCGTTGCAGCTCAGCTAGATCGGGTTTTTTGTCCGTTGAGCTTGCGCATCGGGAGCCGCCCTGGTGTTCTAAACCATACGTGGAGCTCTCTGCACCACTCTTTTTAGTGAAGCCTCGAAGGCTTCAGATCATCATTGCCGTTGGTTTCGATTGGCCCCGGGAAGTGCGACTCACCAGAAGTGCCTTGAAGCAACAAGAGACGAATAGGAGAACCTGCAAGCTCGTCAGCCTTAGCCCGGGAGGGAAATGGTCGTCAAAACAACTGGACAACATTGCGGCTCAGAGATCAAGTGTACTGGCAATTTGCCACGTGCCTTATGCAACAAGAACCTTCCTGGTGTTCTAAGCCAACTTTGGGGCTCTTTCCCCTTTGGATGTATCCTCACCACTGCCGTGGGTCTTCATCCGACTCAAGAGGGAGACGCACCTTACTGGATGATCCTTTGGGGCGGCGCACAGATTCAGCCGGAGTTGTTGCACTTGCCTGTTCAAATAACGACATGTCTTGAACTAGATGCGATAGTCAGTCATTGAGGTACTGATATTTGATCGGCTTGAAGTGCACAATTGTCGGCTCAGAGGTGTGTTATCGTGCATAGAGAGCCACTAAAACTTTTGGGTTCTCTGCAAGCAGCTCTCTCCTCTCATCGTTGCCAAACTCTGCGTGCAAGATTGAGAAGAATTTGACTCACTGGTCGAAATGCAGGAGCACAACTCATGACTGAAAGTAGCAGTAGAGCTCCTACCACAAGCTTGTCGACCAAATAAACAGATGTACGAGCGAGGAAAACCTGCGAGATAGCATAGCAGACCGGGCGCCCGCGCTGCCAAGGAACTTCTCTGTGTCGATCGCGTCTTCTTCTGGGGTCCGCTCTCCATCCGTTCGAAGAGCAATACATCTACACGTGGACTCTCAAGGGAGCCTGCTCATCCCATTCGAAGAAGCCCATGACGGAAGTCTTGTCCCATCCATCCCATGCTCGAGTTCTGCATTTGTCTTGGCCCTGTGCATTCCTGCCCTCTTGGACCGACGGACGGCCATGGCTGGGGGGACGATCGACGTCAAGCCCAGGTGCCGGGGCCTGAGTATGATATGGTAACGAAGGAGAACGAGGAACGTACCGTGCGATGTAGCGGCGAGCTCGAGTAGGTCTTGTGAGACTGGGTCTCTGACGATCATCAGCAACGACTCTGTTGCCATGATAAAAGACAAGAACAAGAATGTGTACAAGCACGAGGAACCAGCAGCAGCACAGCATGCGGTGCTGCCCAAGCCACCGTGGAACCACTCGGCGTAGAACCGATCTGTTTTGGTTTGGAAAAACCAAAGCCTCTTCTTGAGGGTGTTTGTCAGAGAATGCGTGCATAACTTGCCTGATGGGGTTACCATCGGACGACCGAGACTCACCGAGGCGAACCATAACGGTAGATGTTCGAAATTGAAGACCTATGATCAAGTGTCAGCAACTGTTCGGTTTTCGGGAAGGAAATGTACGAGCGCGATACACCACAGCCGTACAGTAGATCGGACAGGATCCTCAACCTAGCCATGGAACTTATCGGCGTCGACACCGGCCTAGGGAGAGAGCAAGCGCGGGCGGATAGAGAGATCTGACCTCCTGTCCGAGGCCAGGTGCCCGAGACAGACCTGGGACTCACAGATACTACATTACCCATGCAGGTGCCTGCTCACTATCGATCGACGCGGTGATGATTGTTTGTTCTGCGCCTCTATGGCTGCACGTCGGGAACGCTATGGTGAAGCGAAACCGACGGAGCGGCGGCGCCCTGGTGGGGCAAGGGGGGGGATCGGCTTACTTTATCGGCAGAAGTTGGCTCAGACCTGATTGTGGCTGCTTCCTCCAAGGCAGAAGATCAGCCCATCAAGATGACGAGAAAGAGATCTCGGGCGTGTGTGCTTGATGTGCCGCTGCGGAGGTTGCTCGTCACCGAACACCGTACGTGTGCATCGAAGTTCGAGGCCTTTTCGGGAAATAGCTCCAATGTCTGGGCGAATGTCAGCTGAGGGCTTCTCGAAGTAAAGGCCACGCTGCTTCTATACTCTGAGTTTTGGTCATTGAGCACGCACGGGCCATCCGATGAATAGGCCGTCATGTGCGAAGATTGCGGAATACAAGAAACGGTCATTGTGTGAGGCCGCGACCAGAACACGATCTTCTGGGGCTAATGGTGTTGAAATTTGCGGCAACCACTTTCCTGCAAAGATGGGTCGTCGCTCGGTTTCGCTCGAGCTGCCGTGCGGTTGGAAATGGAGGCCAGCGGCTTCACCTCGAGCACCTTACCTGGAAGCACTATCAGCATGTTGTTCAATCTCTTTTGTATGTTAATACGGAGGATGGTACATCTCTTTGGTCTGCTCCGATGCCTCCGCGACAGCGTCAGAAAAGGCGGAGGTCCTAGACCCCCAGGATCCGCCCCAAGGTGCAAGCGGCCATTGACCTGCATCCGCTCTACGCCAGTGATGCTGAGGATAAGGAAAGGTGTGGATTGCTCAATGGATTGTTCGCATGCGAGTTGCGGCGTTATGTTGCCGGCAGAGGAGCCGTCGCGCCTCGAGTGCCGCTGTCAGAGCCGACATCTCAGCACCACGACACAGCTGAGCAACATACGAGCTCGAGCTGATGCTCAAAGGCAAAGACAAGCTTCTTTGCTGTGCATATTTTCAAAGGGGTGCGGGTGACCTTACCTTGGGATGTGGGGAGAACGACAGGTCGGCGACAAAGTCATCGACAGCCAAGGGCGTAGCCCATATGGAGAAGATAAAAAAGGACGAAGAACAAGAGGTAACGAGCGAGCAGAATTATGCAGCCACCTCAAAGAGATTTTCAGGCGGTGGGGTTTGGGCGGCTGTTGGTGGTGGTGTTGTGGCGGAGGAGAAAGCGAGAGAAGGGGCAGGAGACGGAGGCCGCTCAACGAGAAAAACAAGATCGCGCACCACATTATTCACCAACAACACAAACGAAGCAAGTGCCAAGTGCTTCCCCCGCCCAGGCCACGTCGCATGATGAGCCTTCGAACACCCCATTATGCATACACAATGGCAATACTACCTGGTCATACAGATCGACTGGATGCAGGAAAGACTCCGAGCTCATATATATTCGACATGTGCAGTATCTCATATTCCCACTCCGCTCCAGTATCGGCCTAGTTATCATCCCCTCGCGGCCGCAGAAGCACCACCGAACCTCCATAAACCAAATGTTCTATAGACATACCGCTGATAGCCGTCATACCCGACCCACGACCCCCCTCTCACTTCTCATGGCTCGGACCAATCCATATGATATACCTGAGGCCTCTTAACGACAAGAGCAGGAACAATATGGCTGCCGACCTACCTGCTGGACATAGAACGGAGAGCTACGCCGGTGCGTACACGCCGCTTCGAAAGGATCCGCTTACACCACGGAGGGGGCAAGATAAGGGCAAAATACCTTTGGATCTGAATTACTCAACGCGGCCGGCGACTGGGTCCCGTCTGGAGCTCCCGGTCAAACATTGCGTCGAATTCGTCGCTACGCCTTCGACCTATCCCACAGGAGTTAGCCAGTTCCACATAGGGATATAGAACACATACCCTTGGAACGGCGAGTGCGTGGATTTGGCATGATGCAGGGGCTTTGGGATTGAATCTGAGAAATTTGGGCAGGCTGGGAAGACAGCGTTGACTGTGACGAGCTCACACGGGGTGAGGCGCGAAGACGCTTCGATGGCGCATTCTCCGAAGCACCACCTCCCGGCCCCTTCCGCTTTTTCGTTGGACTGTGTACACTTGGACGAGATATTCTGGATGGTGTACCAGCAAGCGACTCTGCAGACGGATTGCTGTAATTACCATATGTCTTTTGATTGGACACAGGGCGATGGACATAGTCGGGTGAGCTGGATACGGTGTTTCCAAATTGAGCTTCGTCTCCAGTTCGTGCGCTCTTCGCCGGGATACGAAGTCCTGCATTCGCGGGAGACCGATAGTTCTTTGTGGAAGATACAGTAGGTGTGGCTGGTGGAAGCATCCTGGAGCCGGTATTTGCCTGCGACTTGGGACGGTCTTGAGGCAGAGAAGACGCTCCGTGTAGAGAATGGCGAGAAGAGCGATGTGGTGTCCCGTGGTATTGATCCCCTCGCGGACCCTCCTCAAGCTTGAAGCGTCCGTAACCATTGCCAAGGCTGACAGGTACAGTGCCTTGCTCGAGTGGATCCATGTCAATCAAATCGTCAGACGATAGAGGATCAGAGAGTACACTAGACGAAGTCTCCGCTGTTCTGGGCCTGGTCATGGCCTTCATGCTGTGATCGAAAGCCCCTGCGGAACAGACTAGCGCACGCTGCGGCTCTTGAGACTCGTCTCCAGCAGGTTCTATGGATGAGATGCCATTCTCGTCGAGCATCTCCCGAGCACCAAACTCATTCGTAACTGCAGCATGGATAAAACCTCTGTGGGCATTACCTTCTTCTGCATCGTGATGGACGTCTAACACGGCGTTAGGTAGTCGCAAAAGCGGTGTTGACTGGGTGTGCGAGGAATCTGCAACGTTCAGGACCGTCAAGTTCCCCCGGTTAGGCTTTTTCCTCGCCTTCGTCACTCTAGTCTCGAAAGGCTCCTCGTGACATGCACCCACGTCTGCGACGGAGTGTGGCCGCTGTGGTTGAGACCCGACCGCATGCATCGAAGACGATTCTTGGAGTCGTGGGTCCCGTACGAACAGCTCGTGTTGGGGCTTCCTGTGTATTCCCTGCCGGAAGCTCTCTTGATTCTGAGCCTCCTGAACGAGCAATTCAAACTTCTTCAAGGTAGCCTCCTTGTGGGCCTCAAGCTCACGACTCTTGTGCTCTGCAGTCTTCTCTGCCGCTTTCAAGGCTGTTTCAGTTTGGCTAATGCGTCGCTTAAGTTCGTTAGACCTGCCAGCGTAATCCTCTTCAGCCTTTTTTGACTTCTCGATATAGTCGGCTTTTGTGCGTCGCAGCTCATCGTTCTTGACTTCCAAGGATGCTTGCAATTTCGCCAATTCGAGCTGTAGGCCCTCCTTCTCGGAGGAGTACACCGCTTGAGCTTCGCTCAACTTGATCTCAGTAGCGCGAGAACGTCCCAGTTTGAATTCCAACTCTTGCTTCTCTTCGTGTAGATTTTCCAGTCGATGTTGCAAGCTATCCAACGCATCCATGTCTTTCCGACGTGTGTTTTCTCGAGCATCCATTTCCTTCCTCAAAGTTTTCACCTTGGATTGCTCCGCAGAAATCTGTAGCGCCAATTGATCCTTATCCTTCCGCATCACTTCTGTACTGCTTTGCAATTGTTTCACTGATGCAGCGCTCTTCTCCTGTGCCCTGTGCGCGGTACCGATCTTCTCTTTGAGATCTGCAATAGTTGACACATGTTCATTGAGTTGGTTCTTGATTTGGTGCTTCTCTCGAGAAAGATCTGCTGCTTCGTTGACCAGACGTGTAAGCTCCGCCTGGGTGTTCTTGAGATCTTCCTCCTTGGAGCGTTGCGCTTCCGACGCTTGCGCCATCCGTTGTTTGAGGGTTATGAGCTGAGAAGACATCAAAGCCGCCTCATCAGTAGCCGATTGAGCCTCGTCCGATTTCTCTGTAAGTCGTCTCTTAAGGTCCGCAAGCTCGGGAGCCAAAGAAGATGCTTCTTGGGCAGCCGATTGAGCCTTCTGCAAATCTTTCTTCATGTGGATGTTTGCACCACGCACCTTTTCAGCTTCGGAAGCCAGTTCGCGGATCTTGCTTTCGGCGTGGCTTAGATCACCGGCCAACTTATCCTTCTCGATTTGGGACTCTCGAAGAAGGCCAATCTTAGCAGCTCTTTCCTGTGTGATCTTGTTGATGTATACCTGATATGAGGCCTCTTTCTCATCCAGAGTCGCCTGTCATATCATGTCAGGTCAATCCCATGCTCTGCAAGAACCCGTACCTTTATAATGGACATTTCCATTGCTTGATCCTCCAGTCTTTGTTGAACACGACCGAGCTCAGTGAGCTCTCCTCGTAAATCTTCCCTGGCTTTCTCGAGCTGTTGTCGAAGATTTCCTGCCTCTTCTTCAATTTGAGCGGAGTCACTGTCGTGATTGCACGACTTCCCTTTCCAGGCCTCAAGCTCAGACTCTAGAAAAGAGCATCGAGCTTTCGCATCCGCCTCTTGCTGCCGGGAGCTACGTATCGCCCCCTCGAGCTTCGCGCACTGTTCCTTTTGCACTTCCAACTGCTGGAGGAAGTGCTCTTTGGACTGCTGCGTTTTTTGACATTCTTCAGATACATCCTCATTTCTCAAGACATCCTCACGTAGCGTAGCAAGCTGGTCTCCAATGTAGGCTCGAATATCTTCGGTAGGATCCTGGATCTTCTCCACGGACCGAGTGATGTCGCTCATCTTGGAGCCAATGCTACGGATAATGTTAGTCAGTAGCCATAGCACTGACGAAGGCAACCTACCTTTCATGGATGAACCGCAGCATGGCTTCCGCTTTCCGTACGTCGTGTATGGTAAGTGCTGGATTAGCTTGAAGGCTACGAAGGGCGTCTAAACATTCTTTCAGACGGACGTCCCGCTCTTTTTCTGCCGAAGTGTCATCCAAAGAGCGTTGAACTTTACCCACCTTCTCCAATATGACTGTTTGGTTCTCATCCAGACTAGCCTGTATGGCTTGAACAGCAGGCAAGATTTGTTGCTCAAAATTCAAACTCTTCTTCTTTTCCTCATCATAATCGGCAGTCAGCTTGTGCAGTTGCTTGCTGACAGCAAGGTACTTGTTTTCGGAAGACATGAGCTGGCTGAAGCAGTCGTTCATCGCGGCTCTCATGTGTCGCTGGCTGGAGCTCAAAGCGTCGACGGTCTTTACGAATTCACGCTTCAGCACTGATCTCTCTTGTTCAGGTTCGTGAATTGAATCCCTCACAAGCCTGTCGCACGTCTTGCGGTGGGCTTCGGCTTGGCTCTTGAGCCTAGCGTAGTCGCCTTCCATGCCTTTCACATACTTCTGCAACTGAGTGGTCGACTCGGATAACTTCTGTACCCTACCGTGAAGGCCATCGTTTCGAGCCTGTAGATTTTGGATGAAGTTATTCTGTTGGCCAATGGTCTCCCGTAATGAAGCGACAGCATCATCATGGGCTTTTGCATTGGTGTCAACAATATTGCGCGCCTTAGTATCGCCAGCACGAAGACACATGGCCATCATGTTCAGTATGACTTCATTATCAGGAGACGTAGGGAGAGTCGTCCCGTGGTCGAGATTCCTCAAGTCTGGAGGTGTTGATGGGCCCTTCGTGCGCTTCTTGGTTCGCAATTTGCTGACGCGGTTGGACGAGTCTCGGCCCATTTTCTCGTGGAGCATGGAATCGTGGACTTGCTGCGGTTGGGACAAGTGGTTAGATCCGTTATGAGCTTCAGAGACATTGCTTTGGGCTTGAGAGTGAGAAGGGCTGGCACGGGCAGCAGAAGCCTCTGGTTGGGCCAAGTCTTGGATGTCGCTCGTCGGACCATGAGCTTCTTTGAAGTTCAAAGTCGCCTCCGTTATGCTGTCATGATCATGCCACACCGGTTGGATGCCTTCATTACCGGAAGTCTCGTGCATGACAGTACGGTTCTCTGCCTCCAGATGCCTACGTGCGACAGTCTGGGATTTACTGACGCAGCGGGTATCATGATGTCCTGAGCCATTCTCCGTGTCCCCATCATGGCCACTCGATACAGCATGCGCGGGTGGGCTGTTTTGAGGTTCGAAGGACATGGTCTTATCGTTGGGCCGTAAAGGTGTTTGGCCAGGTGTCGCTTCCATAGCTTCTACGGGAAGTATGGTCATTGAGTAGTCTTGAGATTGAGAAGTTTCATGATCGTTTCTTGCGTTATGCAAAGCTATAGGTGCGGCTGCAGAATGGTGGGACTGAGGTGATTCCTCTGCCATTGCGTACTCGTCCCTCGGAATAGACGCCTGTTTCTCTTGCGATTCCGGACACACCTGGTCCTTTTTGGTCGTAGGGGTATGCTCTGAGGTAGCAAGATCATGGTGCTGGGAATCCAGCGGCCAAGCGGCGGTGGCAACCATAGCAGTGGCATCAGTGGGGCGCAGCTTCGATTTCCGTCCCTTCTTCGTCTTCTTTCCCTTAGCACGGCGTTCGGAACGCAACCCCTCGGCTGGGCGATCATTTTGAGCTGGATGATGTTCGGTACTGGCAAGCGGAGTTAGTCAATGTGGACAAGACGTACAAATCACTTCAGGAAACTTTCACATACATGAGATCACCAACGGGCTGCTTGAAAGCTGCAGATGCGGGGTCCACACCTGATGCAGCAGTTGTGTCTATCTCAAGAGGCACGAATGAAGCCTGCACCGCCTGAGAGCCTTGATGGACTGGATTATTAGAATGCACGACAGACATTTCAGGGAACTGCTCAAGTTCCTTAGGTTCTGCAAGAAATTAGCTTAGTGCCTTATGTAGTACATTACATCCATACCATTCGCTGAAATCCCATCGACATGCCGAGAAGCAGTGCTCTGGGTTGTAGAAGCAGACGGTTTCGGAGTAAACGTCGCGTTCTCATGTGTGCCCAATGTGAGAGGCACTTGCCGCGCAGGTCTAGTGACGAAACTTGGACTTGCGAATGAGAAAGCAGTTCCTTGTACCTCTTTCGGCCTCTCGAGTTGCTTGACTACAAACGTGGAGTCTACTGTTAATCCGGTTTTCTTCGAAAGCCCGCAACGCGAGAGAAGAGCTTCGTCTGCCGTGTTCGGCTGCTCTGAGCTCTGCCTCCAGATATTTCCACGGTCGTGCTCGGAGCCATTGGGAATATACGCGGGTTGTGGGTCATACTGTGTCTCAAGAACGACAGTGTCACTATCGGGTACCTGAACGACACTCTCATTGACGACACGCTCATTGTCGCTAGAGTCAGGGATGATTTCGTTTCGCAGTTGTGATGGACGATGGGAGCTGACTGGCTGCTTCCCTTTTCTGTCAGACATCGCGTCTGCGGGGTGGTGGGTGTCCGAGTCACCAGCGGGCTTCGATGTCGGCAATAGCAGCCTCACGGGATAAATTCAGGTAATGAGTGAGACCGGAGGAGTCGGAATAGGGAGAATAGTGAGGTTGGGTCGTGAAGGATGGATGGACGGGTGAGAGGAGTGGCTGCCATCCTGAGCACCTTCCACAGACGACGAGGAAGTCGCGGTTACCGTTACTGCGACCCGGTGGTCGGATATTTACACAGTGTACTGACCAATGTAAGAGGTGCCTACAACATTTCTGAATATCAATGTATTGTTCAGCTCTGCCCGGTCATGTTGCGGTCATTGCGATGTGCAGTCATTCAGCGAGCCTTTGGTATAGCCACAATGCGCGTCCTTTTGCCCCATGGGAGGCTATGTAAATAGAAAGGCACTGAAGCTTAATAGTTAGACGTGAATGTATTACCTACCTATGGGTAGCCACAAATGTTTTGCACCGCACCGCATTTTGCGGAGACGTTGAGAGTCGGTTGTTTCGGAAAACACGCGAAGGTGAGGATTTACAGCAAATGAGACGGGTAAGATCTTGTAGCCGTTGATTCATCCTAACATTGGTTGCCTTGCGGCCTTGTGTGTGAAATAGTATTCCTCAGAAGCGCATCTATGGTTCGAACTAGCGTAGCGGCCTAGACGCAGTATCAGTACATGTGTAAGGTCGATAGCAGCCGTATGGTTTGGTTCTGGCTGTATAACATATGCGTCGATATCTCTTCGCCCAACATCTTTTCTTCTGCGTTACCCTCTACTCATCGCATACGGTCGGTGGCTTCCGGGGACGGGCCAACGATGGTTGAAAGCGTTTGAAGGCAAGCCAAGATAGTGAAAGCGGCAGGCGTGACGTGCGCGCAGGGGCCTTGGCAGCCTGTTGGGTGCTCTTATCTAAATAAACCTTCTGACATATCGCGCGTTCCCAAATACCACCACTCTCCTTCTAATCACACGAGTATGGACGGGAGACTCACTTTGCCAGACGAGGCCTCGATGTCGAAAGCAACCACCAAAAGCGAACCTGCGAACAAAATGGCCAACAGGTCATTCGATTTCTTCTCGCTCCCAGTGGAGCTTCGTGTACTGGTTTACCAAGCCTATCTGGACATCGAAGTTCCACGAGTAACCCACCTTCCAGCGCAACCGGATCGCTATGTGCCTCTTCACTTCGGCATCGGTCACCCCAAAAACTCAGATGCAGCCGTGGGCCCTCTCCTGAGTATCTGTTACGCCTTCGACGATTATTCTGTTGAACCTTTCAGCGAGGTTATGCGTTTGGCCGGACTCAATTCACCTTATCAGCCAAGCGGAGTCTACCGAATTGTTCTGACGGGTAAGCCCTTGCCCGCACCTCCTGGATTCATGTACAACGGCATCTCCGAAATTATCCACAATGGCGGCGTCATGGATTCCATCCGAGAGGTAGACGTCCTTTCCCATTTGGAACCGGGCTCTGTTGTCAATCCTCAGGACTGGCTCGCTGGTGTAACACTCTGTCCAAATGTCCAAACTCTCAACATCGTCTTCAAGCCCAGGGCCATGATGGGCAAGTCGAAGCCGAGAATGCTAAACAATCGACCGAAAGGCGCTGTCCCGCTTCTCGAAGATCGTCTGGCGCAATATCACGCTCGCGACCTGCATCGCTACGTTGGTGTGCTTGAAGACCCTTCGAGAATGGTCAACGCCATGACATACGGCGATCTCAAACTGTTCCAAGAGTACCATACACTGGTTGAAGAATATGGCGCAGACTTTGAGACCAAGCCCGAGTTCAGCAACCCCAAGGGCGACCATGAATTTCATCTGCTCTCAGTCGAACAAATAGTGGAGCGGTTCCGTCTGCGTGAGCTTCTCAAATGCCGCCAGCTCAAAGTTGCTTGCCTCAAATACTCCCTGGGATGTTCTTGTTCTCGTCCGAATTGTTCCTATGCCAATTTTGGCGTTGGACCAGTTCGAGCTCAGGAAGGCAGTGTGCGCGAGGTCACAGTGGATGCTTTCCAGGAACTGATGGGAAAGGTGGCATTCTGGTTGCAGAATGAATTTGCGACGAAGAATCGGCAATGGGTCTTTGTGCAATCTCTGAAGATAGCTCAAAAGAAGCCGTCGAATTTTTACTACAAGCAGGCATAGCTGTCTGGGATGCAGTTGTTTCGGCTAGGGGCCACTCAACACCCCACACCTGGCTGGGACGATTGGATGTGTCCGGCGGATGCAGGAAACTCGGGCTCTTTTCCTTGGACCTACTGGAAAGGAGTCTGAAATGACCGTGCATCAACGGTGCTTGTTGGCAATGCGCCAACTTCCGGTAATGGGTTTGCCTGAGGGCCACTGTAGCTTCCACGATGTACTTCATCTGCGTGCGTTTCGAAGAATTAAAAAGCCTTGATTCCTATTAGAAGCCCATTCCTGTAGTGTTCTCAAACATCTGATCAGCGTGTTATCTCTTGCCACAATCGTGCTTGTATGCCCACGAGTCAGCTCATTCATTTCGCAGCCGACTGATTCACCCAGCATCCATGACAACTGCGCCGCCATGTGTCCGACCCTCGCTGCATCTCCTGCAAATAAATCGCCTCGTCCCGTCGTCCCACGTTCAAGTCTCGGCTCTTCCCCTGTCGGCAAAACAGCAGCCCTGGCGGCGCTTACCCACGAACCAACAGCCAATCAGACGCGCTAACCCACCCCTGCCGCTGCACTGTGATTCTCCCGCCTCAACACCATGTCCTGGATACGCGCCCGCCTGCACCAATCCGCATCGAATATCACACCAAGCCCTCAGCATTGTGAACCCAGCGCTCACATTTAGAATGCCTGCTGCCGGCAGACTACGCGATCCGTCACAATGGCAGCATGGCTAACCGCCCACGCAGCACCCGTCGCGGGGTAGGGCATGTGGATGGGGCGACAATATAGAGGCGCCTGCTCGCTGATGTGAGGACACTCGCTCTCCCGCACACAAGGCACACGATTGTGGTGTGCACTCGTACCACCGGACCCCATATCCATCTCGTATACTCCATACTGCACCACCCTCTACCGAGTCATCATGGCCAGGGCTTCCGCTGCATACTGGCTGCTGTCCCTCCTTGTGCTTGCACAGAAGGTCGTCGCCCAAGATCCGACGGCAACGCAGAACACAGATACCGCGGCTCACACGCCGAATGCAGGGTACAATGGCGGCGACGACAACCCATTGGACCCTAGTGATGCGGGAGCTGCGGGTGCTCAGAATGGCGGCTTCTCGCTCTCGAAAGGTGGACTGGCGGCCATTATCGTCGTGATCAGCGTCGTAGTCGTTGTTGGAGGTGAGACCATCGTTGCATCCGTTCTTTGGACGCAAGTATTAACATCCCATGCAGTCGCTTCCGCCGTCCTCTTCTGGCTCGCAAAGAAACGGCAATGGGACGTCCGCCAGTCTCTGCGGCGTGCGTCTCGCCGTATCACAGGCCGCTCGACCGCCGATTTGTCTGCTGCAAAACGCCAGAACCGTCGGACAGGTGTTCGTCTTGACTCGCCTCCCGCAGGGCGACGGAACAGACCCGGCCCGGAGAAAGACCTTGAGAAGGGACTGTCGGAGAACCCACAACACGGCACGACAACGACGAAGATTACCAGCACGTTTGATTTGGATACCCCGACGCCCAAGGCTGGCTGGAAAATGAAGATGCCGGGGGGAAAGAAGTGAGCGAGGACCGTCTACCCATCTCTGTCTTTACTGTTCCGAGACGACGTGAAGTAGCCCGGTAAGCTGCGCCGTCGAGTCCGGAAACTTGACCACGGCGGGCTCGCTTCCTGCTGTACGGCAGCATCGTCCATGTGCATCGCAACCCGCTTCCGCGAAGGAAGTTCGATCCACTAATGAGTAGCGGATCAAGATATTGTACCTGTTATGACCCTGGTCACCTGGCTGTTGAAGCGGGGACGCCGCGACGCGATATATTCTGTACATTTGTTAGAGCACGTTGATATCCATTTGAATTTTATTCGGCCACACGGCTAGCTTCCACAACAATTCGCTCGACTGTATGCTCTTGCTGCTTGCACCTCGCCCCCAGTGTCATTGGAATAAGGCCAGGCATCTCGGGTGTCGGACGTCGCGTTTCATTTCGCGCTTTCGCTGATGCTCATTAGATACGACGTCAAACGAAACCGCTCCCGCGTCACCAGCCGCTAAGGCACACTTGTCGATCAACTCTATCGAACAACTCTAACCGCATTGTTGGAACCTTTGACCGACATCTAGAATCTAGATTTATGGCGTAGTCGAGCTCCGATGCGATGACACTACATGCGGCACAGTCTCGCTTCGCTTTGAACTACGAGCGTACCACTCGCGATGCTCCGCATCGCATTCCTGAACCGGTATAGCGCTTACGCTGGAATTGGAACATGCAGCGTGTAAGACGAACTCGTTCACTAGCCACATGAAGATAGCTGCAGGAAGTACTTTGTGCCGCATTCTACGCCGCTGAATCGTGGCGTAGTCTTTTATAAACCTTTTGTGCACTTTCTGCGGTCGTGACTTGGTCTCGCCAACTGCCACCACAACACAGCGGCGTACGCAGACATACAACATGGATAATAGCGGAACAAAGGTTGCGATCGTAGGGGCGGGTATACTATACTTCTTCCCTAAAGCTAGGAGGTGGGATTGACGAGGATACAGGTCCCGCGGGCATGGTAGCAATGAAGGAGTTCAGGGACCTTGGATTCGACGTCACAGTGTTTGAGAAGAGAAGCGATGTTGGCGGCGTCTGGACGTGGACTGAGGATGCAGACTCTACGACGGCGCTGAAAGAGACGAAGCTGTGTAACAATAAGTACTCGGTAAGTTACCTATTCATTAAACTGGCGATGAGAGCTGATCAGCTCGCCCGCAGGTTGCGTTACCCGACTATCCACTACCTAAAGGTACACAGACTCTCACATAAATTAGATCAAAGACACTCACGCTCAATATTAGGTTTCCCATGGACAGTCGCCGCCCCCGACCTAGGTTCTTACCTAAGCTCCTACGCCAAACACTTCGATCTTTACCGCAACATCCACTTCAACAAGACCGTCACAAACCTCACAAGAGACCACACCCACCAAAAGTGGCAACTTACCTTTTCCGACGCACTTTCCACTCCCCTGTCCTTTGACAAGATTGTCTGGTGTACAGGCGGCTTCGTAAAGCCAAAACGCCTCATTCTCCCCGGTCAAGAAAGCTTCAAAGGCCGCATCCTGCATTCCTCACAAGCACGCGACCTCTCGGCATTCAAAGACCAGAATGTCGTCGTCCTGGGCATCGGCAATACAGCCGCCGATGTCGCTAACGCACTCGTCCAGCATGGCGCAGGCAAGATCTACTTCTCGCACCGGCGCGGCGCGAAGATCCTACGGCCTTGCGACCCAAAAACTGGCGTACCGTCAGATGTGATGCTGACGACCAGTCTAGTGCCTATCACCTGGATGCTGCAAAAGCACTGCCCCGCCGTATACGGCTGGATGATGGACAGCGCCGTGGCGCAAAACTTCAAAGACAGCTGGGGCGAGAACAAACCCGAGTGGGGGCTTGTAGACTCGCCTGGTATGGGCGACGGCCAGCACGTCGTGGTATGCAGCCAGGATCTCGTTCCTAACATCCAGAATGGAAGCATACTTTCAGTGCCGGGCATCAAAGCTCTCGCCGGCCCAAACACTGTAGAGTTTGACAACGGACAAGTGGCTGAAGGCATCGACGCCATCATCTTATGCATAGGCTACGCCGACGACATGGACATCCTGAAAGAAGCTATTGAGTTCACTCCCGCGCAAAGCGACACCCCAGCACTGCCAGGCCTGTATATGAATATCTTCCCGCCCAAATACGCGGATTCCTTCGCACACCTATCCCTCACGCACCTTTTCGGCCCCCAAATCCCCGGCCGCGTCCTCGCTGCGCTCGCCTTGCCACAGATTTGGGCCGGTCGCTCTCCCCTCCCGCCCCTCTCTATAATGTCCACCTGGATCACCACCCACCAAACCTGGCTCACGCAGCGCATCGCAAAAGCCGGGCCCAACGGCAACGGCTACCAAGAAGTCCACAACGGCGACTGGAGTTACTTTCTGCACGAGGCGGCGGGAACAGGGTTGTATGAGTACGTGGGGTGGGGATGGAGGGCGTGGGGCTTGTGGTGGAGAGATAGGGAGCTGTATCGTGCGATAAGTAACTTGCCGATATGTACTTATAGTTATAGGGTGTTTGATATGGGGAAGAGGAGACCATGGGAGGGGGCGAGGCAGGCGCTGATTGAGGCTTGGAGGGAGTTGGAGGATTTGAAGAAGGCAGGGGGGAAGAAAGATAAGTAGGATTAAAGGAGGTTAGTAGGGTGAGCGTGCAGGGGACATGTGTACTGACTATACTTCGAGAGAAAGGAGGCCTGGCTGTATCGATAGGCCTTGCACTTGTACATCGCTATAAGCATAGCTATGGCTTTCCCGTGCAATCGCAATCGGAGGACATGCGCAAACCAAACTCGACCGAATATCCCCATCTCTTGGATCAATGTGACCTCATTGCGACTCACCTGCGCCTAGAGACGACACGTGTATCGACGAACAGCCTCCGAAATGTGGATCTTTCCCTTATTGACGACTTTGTATAACTCTCGGTGGTCATTTCACCTAGATGACGTTTCCTCTTGTGATGACGGACGCCTGCCCAGCCGCCCAGACCGATCAAAATAACGCCCAGGAGCACCCCAACGAGGCTTCCAATAAGGACGCTAGAGGCACCTTTGCCAGTACCTGCACCTCCACTTGGCCCGCTCGGGTTTGGAAACGTATCAGAAATGATCTTGGGCAATGTTTGTTTTGTGCTGGTCAATACAGGCTCACACATGTTCGTGATATTCGTTGCCTGCACGGAGGATCTTGTGAGCTAAAGTGCGCATTCATGGGTGACGAGTGCATACCGCATCACCAGAAGTTAAACATAGCGTTAGTAAAGTCAGCTGATTGGCCGTCTTCGCTATTTGTAACGCCTCGTTCGCCTTGTCGTTGGCTAGGTTCGCCTCGTCCACCGATTTGACAGCGAAAATGCCGAAGGAAATGGCTACTGCAAATGCGGCGATTTGGAGTACAAGATTGACGACAAATTGAGCGATGGGCGGTCGTAACTCGGATTCTGAGATCGTGTCGCCTGTTTGTTGGGTTTGGGGTTTGTGTTCTTTACTTGGCAGGATCGACTCATGAGGGGCAGCTTCTGGTGGTGTTTTGGGAGCTACTTTGTGAGGTACGTTCGGACGAGGTGGTGGAGTGTTGGGTAGCGCCATGATGTAGGCACGCTGGTCATAGGTGTTGATACTCTCAAGAATAAGTCAAGCTTATGAATACTCATGACTTTGTTGATCTAAAGGTCAGAAGACGCTGCACAGGGCGGAGCCAGGCTGAATGTGCGGCTGAAGCGCCAAGTACACACTTACACGCACGAAGTGGCTGTGTCGTATTAGAGTTTGTCTAGCTGTCGTCAGGTAGGAGGCGTGTCGGGCTCTTAGCGGTGATCAATGTGCACTATATTCATTCGAGTGTAAGTAATGCGACGGGAGACAAGTCGCACTTCTAACTATAAAGGAGCTACGGTGCCGGAGCCAACGGTAGGTACCTTCGAGTTCGACAGGTGGTTCGAGAACAGAAAGAAATAAACAAACTCCATAATAACGGGAAGCCAAGTTGCGACGGCCAATATCTGTCCAAAATTCCATTCCGTATCCCTGTCAATACCGCCGGCGTCGTGCATCGCTTCGGTGCGCAGAAACCAGAGCCAGGTCAGCTGGATTAGCATCATGGCGACACTAAGCGATCGAATCGTGAGGTTGACCCATTTTCTCGTGTTCAGAGAGGTGGTTCGCTGACTGGATGGTGCTGTTCCGGACGGTTGCTGTCGTTGGTTTGAGGAAGGGTTTGGCCGTGGTTTGCCAGCTCTTCTCCTAAGCCAGCGTCTCCCACCCAGGGCCGCGATTCCCACAAGGGGTACCATCAACATCAGTATTACCAAGGCTTTCACATACCTTGGCGCGAACAAGTACACGTCGTGACTGAGCCTGACATCAAAGCTTCCGTTTTCTCCACCAAACTCGAAATCCGGGTCCGTGGTCCTGATTCCTTTGAAGAAGATGTACCACGCCGTCACCAGACAGAAGAGATACAAAACCGCGCCGAGAACCCTGCGAAAGCCGTTCCTTCCTTCCCATCCTGTCCGGATTTGGTCCGGCGTCATTGCTTTGCTCTTCCAGTCTGGTAACAACGTGTGCGTTGCTAGAACAGGGAAAATAGAGAATGTAGGCGTGAGTATGAGAAGCTCGTTCATATAGATGTCAACAAGCGATTTCTTGAGGTTATGAGTCGTAAATATGACTATAGCGGCTGTGACGATGGAGTAAGAGAGGATGGTAGCAGTCGCGTAGAGTGAGTGGATCGAGCACATTGTTGCAGTATGTAGTCTAGACAGAAAGCATGCATGGGAGCGTCTCAGACGGCCCTGAGCACTCGACGTAGGCGGTGGGGAGAAGTAGTGTGCGATGAGGTAGATCAGAACAAGGTTCGCTTCGATCGAGTATGATATCATGACCTAGGGTATGAAGCATCAGTTGGTGCTTGTTAATTGAACAAGCGGGTTGCGAGTTGAGATTGAAGAGAAGGAAGAAGAGAGATAGATCGTACACCTGGGCCTGCGATATCTGGATCACCCGCGGTGAGCAGTTCTTTCCTCAAGAACTCAGCGCACCTGCCCCTTGGCAACTGCAGCATTTGTTGATAATGCCTGTCAGCATGCACGGCCGTAATGTTCCCAGATATCCTGGTGGCATTCGCGCAGAACGATAGATTCCCAGAGCAGTACCAGTGGTTGAATTGGCATGTTGTAGGACGCACATTGTAGGTAGCATTCTTGGTAAGTGAGCCAACAAGGTACGTCCGCGCATCACCCAAGTCCAGTCTGCAGTAGTCCAGCTGCTTCTCTATTAGGTGACTTGTCAGTGAAATGCACTGGAAACAGCAGTGAGGCAAAGTTTGCAAGCGTGGGAGAGGCTCACTCATGCGCCATGGCTTGACGTACTTGTTGTACGCAACACACTGACGTTTCGCGTCGAACTCGTTGAGATCTGGTTGCCAGTCACCTACCACCCAATCGCCTTGGTTGTTTTCGTCGCATGAGTCGAGGTCGATGTCAGCGCAAATAGTCATTTCGGCAAACTTGACTGAAATGATCAATGTATCTTCAATAATAGTGCATTTGGGAAACTTGGTCTGTCAAGCTTTGAAAAAGCGATACTGGAATATATCCATCTCACGGCTCAACAAACAGGAAATCGGAAGCTCTCGGCGTGCCGTCATAATGCTATGAGCACCATACAGCCATGGTAGAATTACGAGGCTGTCTAGATAAGCTGTCAGCCAATGCGGGGAAATGTTGGGGTCCAAAGTGCTCGAAGTTTATTCGTATCGTAATATTCAGCCTTGCGGGTGTAGCCACTGGGTAGCCACTGATGCCATTCTGCCGATCTAACTACTGTCTCGGTGATACTTTCCCTCGTGCATAGTCAGCCTTGCAACTCAGTTACTTATCTCTCAGCCTCGACCAAGGATATTGGCATTGCAGCGTTACGAGGAAGTACTTATAGATAAGAACCTCGTAGGATGCGTATTTGTCCAACTCAAGGTATAAACGGGAGGTGCTGTGCCGCATCTCTGTGTAGTCGACTCACAAAAATGTTCAGTAAGAGCGCAACTGGAGTTAGCTGTAACAGATCGATAGATAGCTCCAAAATTGATCAAATGCAAAGGAGAAGACTGCGCAGAACACTCATAGTGCAGATGAAGTAATATCGTGAATTCGTGTTGTCCGTAGCAAGAGGTATATGGACAAACAAGTCGCAAGAGAATTATCTTCACCAACCACTCCAATATCACAAGCCTAAAGCAGCTCTGTGCCATCTGACATTTGAAACCTCCTCATGCATAATGTGATCCAATAAACTCCAAGCCCTTCGCAAAGTGCATCCTATCGCTCACTCGAATTTCGTATGTATGCCGTGTCCAAATCATCCTGGACCGAATCGCCTCGCGTAGGTCCCGTTGCCGTGCGCATCTGTCTTCACATGACGGTGCACGGTATGACGCAGCAACTGCAGTCGTCGCCGCAATAGCACGGCAGCTTCACGGGTCCCGATTTCGCGATCGAGGAGGCGGTAGAGGAAACGGAGCCCTTCGTCGAGGCAGGCATCCTGGCGAGTTTGAGGGCAAAGGAGTTGCGCTTGAATGAGAGTAGGCAGGCGGTCCTAAGTGCGAGGTCTCGATCAGCGTTCAGCTCGACTCAGGAGGTGGATCGAATTCCTCTCGAGGGTGTCGAATAGGGATATGAGCGTACCGTGAATGATATTATGCCAAGTGGGACCGAGAAATAGGATTTGTTCAAAGCCGGAGTTGAGGAAGTGTAGTTGCAGCAAACAGGGTGATAAATACGCCGCATCACCATGCGGTCGTCTTGGACTCTTGGTAGGCTAGCCCGCGACAGCTTGGCGCGGACGCGGGTGGTGACGTACACGGTGGCAGTGCATCGTGGCGTTCCTCGGCACTAGTGGCCATCAAAGAACCCATGAACCACCTGGGCAGGTCGGAAAACACGTGGGATAGTGTGCACCTGGGCACAAAACCAAAAAGATATTCCAGAGAGAATGATCTCATTCTGTACCGATCTAAACTCTATATATGAAAAATCCCATCCAAATTGCAAAGGGTATCGACGGCCGTGCCAATCGCTACATAATAACTTCCAATCTAAAGATCCTACACATCCCTCCACGTGGGCTCACTGCGTTCGTAGGGAGTCTTCACCGCTGAGATGCGTTAGCGAGAGGTGATCGTAAGACATGAGAGTGACTGACCATGCGAATCGCCGAACGGATCATCGTCATCCTCCTCAGGCTCAATAGGTTGCTTGCTAGGTGGTGGCATAGGAATACTGGCTGGCCTCGGCGGTTTGGCTGGCGGTGCTTCCTCCATGCTCAAGCCAGCCATTGACGAGCTAGGTGCCGATGAGTCCTCATTGTCGCTGTCGCTGTCGTCGTCTATGCTCTTGTCCATGATCTCATATGCCATTAGGGCTTTTACAAGCTCATCATTCGCGTTCAATAAGCTGCCAATGTACTGCTCCGATTCCACGAGCTGGATGTATCTCAAGATCTGACGTCGGATGAGCTTGCAGCTCTCGAATCGTTGGCTGACTTCTGCGTTGTCGCCGACGCGCTGCACCTCACGGTTGATGAGCTGGAGGGCATTCATGAGACTGTTGCTCGCAACGGTGGCCGACGCAATGGTCTCAAGCAATTGGCCCTTCTCCCTTTCCAGGTTGAACGCCTTGCCCTTGTTCTTCTTGTCTTTCTTGCTTTTACTGAACAGCGAAGAGCTGGGCGTAGGAGCACTACCTAGGGCGACTGTCCGTCCGGATGAAGAAGATGCCTGTGGGAAGTGGGAAGGTGGTGAATTCCGTCGGTGCGTTATTGGCGACGCTGGAGGTGAGGAAGCGTTCTCACGCTCAGCCTCTGCATCGTTCTCCCGGACAACACGAGATTGATGAGGTTGTGGTCGCTTGGTCCGGGGTATTTCCTTGTAGAGCGTAGCAATTCGCTCGCAACCTGGAGTTCCCTTGTATGCAACAGCCCATTGACGGAAGAGCACGTTGACCTTGTCGCGTACTTCCCTGTCGACCATCTCATCCTTGGCCATCAACCTGAGCCTTTCCAAAAGCGGTTCATCTGCAAAGCCTTTTTGGAATCTCGAGCCCGCATTTTGTATCAACCCATCCAAGATGATCAACGCCCGGAGCTGGCGGTGTACGTTTCCATACTTACTAATCCCCAGGTTAGAATGGTCAAGGTCCACGAGCCGGTAGCATACAGCTTCTTCCGAATGGCTCGGGCCGCTTCCGTGGGACCAGAGTCTTGGATCCGGATAACCTCGATGAGGTCTGGAAGTCCACCAATATCCTATAACATGTATTAGAGTGCGACTTTCGTTGGTAAAGAGGATGATACTCACATTTTCCTCGTATTGTTCGCTAGTTAGGCGGTCAATCTGAACCGTGATAGCCGAAAAAGGTTTCTTCTGTTTGCGCATCCACTTTCTCAGTACTTTTCGACACCGTCTAAAGAAACACAAAGGGCAAGGGTTCTCGAAGAAAGGGGCATCTTGATAGGTATTGGGAGCTTTGTGGTGATGAAGAGTCCGGCGAAGCTTGCTACGCTTGGTGGTAGGAGCAGGCAAAGGGCCTTTGGCATTCTTGTTCAACGCAGGACGATCGTCTGGGACTTGGATTTCTTTGCAGTCCGTGCAGATAATGTATTTCAGAAGGAATATATCCTTCTCGTCCTTCAAGTCTAGCATTTCGGCGTAGGACAGAGTGGTAGCCATTGCGAGCCAAGAAAAAGACAGCACTGAGATGCAACGCTTGAAAGGGAATGTGGTGGCAGAGGATGAACAGAGTAGTGAGGGGCTCCAACAGAACGTATATATGAAAAATAGCCCAGGTGCACTTACCGGCATGCTTGAATACGAGATCGAGTGACGAGGCCTTAGCCGTTAGCTAGTTGCTATTAATGAGTGTACTACTTCCTGTGCTGTCGTTATGATGCGACGATCCACACTGTTTGGATAAGGCCAGATGCGGGTGGTCACAGAAACGTGTTGGTGCGGCGTCGGAACGCGTTCGAGATGAGGTCAGAGAAGGACTGAGGAGAGCCGGCGCTGCAGAAGCGTGGGACGGCAACGCGGGACCCCAAGCGGGAGGTTTGACAAGTGATAAGGAAAGATTAGAGGCTGACCTTGGTGAAACTTCGGTACCAGGAAGGAGGTAGGCGCAGGCTGAATTGCTGGAATAGATAGAAGGGTGGAGCGTTTACCTCAGCTGGCTGTGAATGAATGAAGTCGTGAAGGCGGGAGGCTGCGCGCAAGCTTGTTCCAGCAGCGGCGACCATGCGCCCGCATTTGGCGGGGCAGGGCAGGAGCTACCCTGACTAAGGAGGGACACGCGCCGTCCTGGTGCGCGACACACGACCTCAACACCATTCACGCGTCGGCTTCACTTATGCGTCATGCATGCGTGACAAGAGCGTTCCACTTCACAGACACTCGCCAACATGCCTCAGCACCGCGGATTCATTCCCGACGCGATGAAGATCTCTGGTGACAACGCGTAGGCGGCCCGCTGCGCACCTCACCTCGCCTTCTCGTCGTTGTGGTGACGTCCAAGGTACTGACATTGCACCTGCAGGGCACTACCTAGCGATGCATACATTCCCCCCACCAGCTTTACGCCGATCAATCGGCCTGGAGCGCAGCTTGTGACCCCGCAGCACCTTGCAAGCTCGCCGAGTACTGACCAGACGGGGACTACCAACAGCACGGGACAGCGTAAACAACATCATCCTATCATTGCACAATATCTCGGCCTGGGTGCAAGCAAAGGGCCTTCGCATCTGGAGAAGCTCGTACCTGCGCTGCCTTCGGCGCCTTCCAAGAAGCAAAAGAGGAATCGGAAGGCGCACAATGGAAGCAGTCCTACTAATCCGGCTCAATCAAAGCCTGAGATATCCAAACAGAGACGCATCCCCGATGGCAATGTGGGCTTTCGAGTCACGAAAGCGTCCCCAAACGGTGGTAGGGCCTTTCTCAAAAGCTTGACTGCCTCCAGTGTTTCGCCCACTGCTACTGAACATTGTATCGGCCCACCTAGTGAATACAGCGAGCATGTCGAGGAAGCGCGGCGGTCTCTTTATGATGCTAATGCGACTTCAAAGCGCCCTGCTCGACTGTCAAGTGACACCGGTACTACTACACTGACTCAAGCTTTGGCAGCCCTCACCAATTCTTCGCCTAGGTCGTCTTGCACACTCGTCACCTCCAATGCGAGTCGTCAACAACCTTGCTCCGAGGACTGGAGCCAGGGCACTATTGCAGCTGACGAGTTCTTTGACGATGTCTTCGATTCAATGGATCTGGATAGCACGTTTGACCCACCTGTACCTAATACGCAACCTTCAGACGCCCAGAATTTCTTATCCCACCCGCATCTCGCAGATAGCTCGGCTACCATCTGCGAGGATGACGACTTTTGGCTTTCAACACCCGAACTAACAGACGATTTCAGCTCTTCTCTTCAATCGAATGAAAATATGAACGCATGTAATCTGGGACTGGTCGGTAAAGGCTTCGCTGCTCACAGTTCTGTCGAAAGCAGCAATGTATCAGAGCCATCCGGCAAATTCAATTCGCCAGTTACACGAAAGACTGAAGCTTTCATGTCGAAAGCAGCAATGAGCAGGAGCCATACGACTGATCGCAAGCCCATCGTTAGGTCTCGGTTCCCAGATCAAGTCCTGGATCGCTCGCCCATCATCGGCTTGTCGTCGAGATTGCTGTTAAGGACTAGTTTCCGCGTCGGTGAAGCGATCAGTCAAGCTGCCAAAGCGACAAAGCAAGGGCAGAACCTTATGTTCGAGCTCTACGCAAGAGTACTCTCCTCGGAACGCGATGCAGTCAAGCAGCACTTCGTCTTCTCGGACATATTCCACAAGCGACCGCCTTACCTGAAGGGTGAATACGACGCAGCCATCTGGAAGCAAGTGGAGCTCTTCAACTACGATAGCGGTCGGTTTCTCTCAAAAGCGGAGATGTGTCGATGCATTGGTCAGATCAGACGCAACGAAAAAGATCAGACGTGGGTCATGGTGGTCCTCAACATCTGGGAGGCGACGTGGGAAGATATTGACTGGGTGGCAGGCATTGTCAAGTCGTGACGATCAAAGTGCTTTCGACGAACAGTTCATGGATGCAAAACAATCTTACAGGGTGATTTGGTTTGGTACGATGTTCAACATGGTATGGGGGCCGGCCAGGTCAGGAGCGGCAGCACGCCCATTCATTCGGAACTGCTGGTAATGTATGGTTTGACCTCGATAATTGCAGCCTCGGTTGCGCTCCATTCCTGATAGAATCTTGAAAACGCGTGTTAATTTTATTGGTACTGGTGCGCTTGTAAGGCCTAATGTGTAAGCCAAATCACGTGCCGCTCCTGAGCACTTTCCCCGCCCATGGCATCGTGCAACCGCAGAAGGTCGACTGCCCAACTGCAACTGTCTGATATGTTCCCTGCCTCCGATTGCTTTCGCTATATGCCAAATTCGCTACGAAGAGTCAAAATCCGCCATGACGCCAACGGTGGTGGGCGATACCATACTTGAGTCCGCCGACGAGTGCGACCAGCCCGCGCCTGGCCTCAAGCCAGTACGCACCCCTCAGAAGTCGAAGTCGCCCAAGGCACGCTCGCTTTCCGATAGCACGCCGCACCTTGAACCGTCGCCCAAGTTCCACGAGCCCCTCCGCACGTCCAAGGATGACCACACGATCATCGCGAGCCCGCGCACGCCCCGGCGTCCTGAGCTCCTCTCCAGAGGACTGTCGCTGCAGATGCCCTCCCGCGAGATGCCCATGCCCAGTCCCGCACACTTCGCAGCGCGAGTTCCTCTTTCACCGCAGCTAGATTCCCGCAACACGTACGCTTCGCCTGCTTCACTTCTTCCACGTCGATCGCGCGGCGCCGAGTTCTCGAGAGCCTGCACCAACCTCCACCACTCAACCCTCGCCGACCAGTCTTCGCCCGACTCGTCGCCCACAATCACACAAAAGGGCATGATGATCCCTTCTCGCAAACCGCGGGGAAACTCGATGGTGTTGGACGCGCCCAACATTGGCTTCCAATCATGGGGAAACGGCGACAGAACCGCCGCGTCGAGCTCTGTCGGCAGCATTAACATGCTCGGATCGGATGATTCTAGTAGCGCATCTGACGAGGGAGATCTAATGGATCCGGACGACAATGATGATCCCATGTTGATGACTCCCCAGGCTATCAAGAACCCGCCATTCGGGGGCCCGCCTGTAGGAAACAGCCCTGGCATGTGGTCAAACATGTTTTCCCCAGGACACATCCCGACTTTCATGAGCATACAACGTGCGCGATTGCGCAAAGGTCGAAGTAGAAAGAGCTCCAGCTCCGCCAGCGGTCACAGCTCCATGGCGAGCCCAGGGCCGACGTCACCGCCAAATGGCAAGAGTGAAGGCTACCTTGCGCGGGAAACTGCTATACGAAAAGCGGGGTCGGCTTCGCGTCGAGAGAGTCTATCGCTTTTCACCAACGATCTTCATATTTCCTCTGGCAACGACAGCGGGGACGAGGCAGTTACCATGCCGCAAACGCCAGGCGTTGTGCGCAGAGCTGTCACACGGAGAGGGAACTTGCTAGTGAGTGAATTCGACAGAGCTGCAATTGTCCACGCTAACCATTATAGCCAAAATCGCGACAATTTGGCCGGATCAGAGCGGAATTGATAGAAGAATCTGCACCTGTCGATAGCGAGTTTCGCCGTGAAGCCGAGATCATTCGTCAAGTACGTGAGAGTGATGCGGACCCGAGCACAGCACAATCGTCACCAAACCTGCTACCCACCGTGCCCGGCCTTGATGGACCATTGGAGGGCGTACCTGAGGAAGAGAGCGAGAGCGGCATGAGCTTGGACAGCTCCACTACGAAGGGTTTATTCGCTGCTTTTGGATTACAGAAAAACAGTAACGGTCGAGACTTCTGGCAACGCGATGCTCCGGCCCAAACGCCGCCTCCCCCTTCCTTCCCACGAGCTGGTTCTTCGGCTGTCAGCGAAGACATTAGCATGGATTCACCAACTGTCTCGTCGACCTCTACTTCTCTTCCATCAGGTACGGCTACTGCAAACTCCGATGGTTTTGTCCATCCCGGCTCCGTGTCACGCTCGTCAACGCCACAACCTCTTGCTCCATTGACTGCAGCCGATGGGCTGAAGAAATCCAGTAAACGACGTAGGGACGATGATCTGGATGAGTACTCGATTAAACGGCGAGCTGTATCTCCTGGTCTCAGCGTCCACAACAGTCCTGTTCTGTCACAGTCTCCAGCAAACCGCGACCTGTGGGGTTCTGCGAAGCTGACCAAGGAGCCATCCAGTGGGGCTGTTGTCAGTGGTGAGAGATCGAACAGCGGAGGGAGTATCACTATGACGCCGTCTTTGGGGCCCAAAAGGATCGGATTGCAGGGCATGACCGATACGAGCGATGGCTTAATGAAGATGAGCATCGAGTGAAAGGTATTGTTGTGGAATGGCGAATTTCTCTTCTTTGTAAAGTCTAGGGCTGCTGTATCTCGAGCGTGGAGTTTTGGTAGGAAACAGGGATAAGAAATCCCAAGCATAACGGCCATAGGCTTCTCACACAATTAATATACCCAGAGCCACGAGCTCATCGAACAGTGGTCTTCACACTTGTTTGTCATCTCACACCCAGACATACTACTTCGCACTGTCGTCTCTTCCCGCCCCTCATTGGAGCGATGATTGTAGGCGTTGCTATTGTTGCTCTTGGATAGGTACCTTAGTTTCCACGTTGATACTCACAGGTGCCGCGGCCAATGACATAATGGGGTTTGGGGGCTGGCAGACCCCTGCTGGACCCCTCGCCAAGCGGACGTTCCCGCATCAACGACGACCTCCAAACGCCGCAGGCACTCGCGATTGCTAGCTTACAGCAACACTCAGTACCGGTTCATCTGCGTTCTTGTACAAAATTAGCTCAACATCATGTCAAGAACGGAAGCCCTCTCTTCCTTCATTGAGAGTGCCCCACCAGGAGAGGTAAGTCGCTCTCACACCCCGCCAGACCTACCCTAACACCTCATAGCTCAACGACGTAACGAAAGGTACGCGTACCTACCTCCTCATATGCCTCTATTCCTATACACGCGCAGAAAACCGCTCACGGAATGTCTTCTCTGACGTTGCATAGCAATCAAAAACATTCTCGGCGAGGACTCGGTACAGAGCGAGCTCGAGCCCGCGTTTCAGAAACACAACGAAGAGCAGTTCTCCTTGGTCAAGCTCCCGGGTAGCAATGACAGTGTCATCGTTAGCTCGTACAACTCTCTGGGCGAGAGACGTTACTACGACACGGAGAACAACAGCTCCTTTGCATATGACCATGCAAGCTTGGGCGAAGAGGCGAGCGACGTGCGGAGCTATACGCTAGAGAGTAACCACGAGGATCTTGTGTAAGACACGATGTGCCCGGCAATCACGTCCACATATTCACACTGGTGTGTATCATTGCTGTACAGAGCAAACAGCTGACAACGATATACAGAAAGGGCTTACTCAAGACCCTCCGAAGCCACGGCACAGAGCACTACCCCGAATACAACATTGGCGTCTACCCCACCAACGACGACTCGCAAATCGCACTCCTCACCGTCGCCTCCAAATACTCGCCCGCGAACTACTGGAACGGCCGCTGGCGCTCGTCATACCTGTACACCCCCTCCTCCTCCACTCTGACCGGCACCATTTCCGTCGACGTGCACTACTACGAGGACGGCAACGTGCGACTGCTCACGACGAAGAAGGTCAACGCGAAGGTTGGCGGGGGCTCGTCGGCGGATGTTGTCAAGGCTATTGCGCAGGCGGAGAGGGCGTATCAGGAGGATTTAAACAAGGCGTTTGGAGGTCTCGCGGAGGGCGCATTCAAGAGCTTGAGGAGGCAGTTGCCGATCACAAGGCAGAAGATTGAGTGGGAGAAGATCAGTGGATATCGGTTGGGGCAGGATATTGGTGGGGGTAGGCGGTGATGGGATGGGTTGTAGTGACGGGTAGATGCCGGGCCGTATGATATGATTAATCACGAGTGGATCTCGGGATACTATCATGAACGGCGCTGAGATATGTTCATGTTCATGTTCAAGGTCTTGCAACGTCGGCTCGTGAAATCGCTGTTCCCGCTCTGTGACTCCGAGAAGCAAGCATGTGAGTCTTCGAGCTACTCAATTGTTCTTAAGTAAGCTCGCATCGCCCTGGTCTACAGATGCGGAAAGCAAGCGGTCCATAGTACCGCACGACTCGGATATCGCAATGTTGCTAATTGTTCTGTGGTCCTTTTCGACGCCAGACTTTCGGGATAATGGGGGCAGAGGAGCGCGAGCCGGATGATGTTTTCTGTAGTGCTTCAAACGCGCATCCTGCCGTTTGAACATCTGCGGACAGTCCTGGCATGGATAGATCGCTTCCCCTCCCCCATGCTTTTGCCTTCTGTGTCTAGCTAGATTTCCCTTGCGATAGTCTCCTTTGTACGTTTCGCCGCAGTCGGGACAGAGAACAGAATCGTGAACAGAAGATGACGACGGGCAAGGCGACGCACTGTGATCACGGTAATCCTGATGAGGCACAGTCAAAAGATGCTCACCCACTACGGCCATCTCTTGACGTTCGAGGCGTGACCTTATCGTACCGGCTGTGTGGATCTACTAGCGTATCGGTCAGTCGACATCGCAGAAGAAGTAAACGAACTCACAAGATCGTTCCCGGGGAGAATAGACGATGGTTCATTCAGGCGCGATGCACCTAGATTCGAATTTGTATCTTCAGAATCGGAGTCGACGATTAGCTCATATGGTGTTTTATAAGCTGGGTATATGTGTTCAGGCCAAACTGGGGTAGCAACACCAATTGTAGCGCCGATGTTGTCTGCATGCACAATAACATAATGTCAGAGAAAACACGATACGGCACACATACAGAGACTTGCCTCTTGCTGTAAGATCAGGAGCATTTGTGGGATTGACCAGATCATACACCTGCATCCATTGTTTTCCAGTTGCTTCTGTGCCTCGTGCCTGTTTTCGAGGAGTGATGCACCTCTCGCCCTTATACCCATGTCCTTGTTCGAAGATGTCTTTGTCCGTGAAGTGGTCGTTACACGTGGAACATAGTTTGAGAAACTCTACGTGACGAGCGCGATCCATATGTCGTCGGACCTCAGCCATGTTGTCAACGCTGAGGCCATGGCATGAAAACTCAGAAGCGCCCCGATCTTGCTCTCCTTGACGTACTGGGCAGTTGAAGGGGCGTTTTGGTAGGGTTTGGCTGTCGCTGAGCGCGGATTGTGGTCGCGTCGTCCCATATTGATCGACCGGGCTGTGTGGGCGCCCCACTTGCATGTACGAGGCATGCCGCGAGGACTCCCCGTAACCGATCGATCCAAGGTGGGTACCTGCTGGGTGGTAGTCCTCATGATTGCAATTCGTAACGCTGTACTGATATGGAGCATAAGGAAGCGTGGGCATCGGCGAAGAAGTGGCAGGCTGTGAAGTATACGCTAGCGCGCTCGGAGGGGCTGTCGAAGAAGCAATTGCTTGACCCTAAAATTTGAGTCTTCAATTATGTATCCATTCATTGCACGCATAGGGAAACGTACATGGTTCATTTGAGACGCATAGTCATTGAAATATCCGGCGGGCTCGGATTCAGAATTGACAGGGTATGTGGAATTCGTGAATACGTTAGGCGATGGTCCTATTCCTTGTTGCTGATAACCACTGTAGAAAGACGAAGGACTAGGCGATGTAATGGGTTGATACAATGGCTCGAGTTGAGATGTTCCAGTCGACGGAGACAAAGGTACTTGTTGCTCATATTGAGAGGAGGACGAGGGATCGGGCCACCGTTCCTCCATAGCACATTGAGGGACGCACGAGCAGAGCGAAATGAAGGACTGGAGTACGTTCCATTGCGGGCATGAGGGGCATTTAACGTGTCAGTCTCGGATGTGATTGGCTCATATATGCGTGGTTGTCGAGTTGTCGAGTTATGTCTTGCGGATTTGCCCAGTTGTCTAGATGCCTTGTTGCCTGAACCTTCGAAGCGATGCGATTGACCAGTAAAGCCTTGCAAGCGACACTTCTGTAAGCCCATTATGCTTTAGTGGTCGTCATTGGATAGCGAATGTCAGCATGCGCATGTCTGCCGAGGTATTGTAGAACACGCCTTCTACCCTTTTCCAGGTTAAAGAGCTGTCAGGTACTAAAAAATACTGCCAAAATTGCTCGTCAATAAAAGAATGCATGGAGTGGTAGTCCAGTATCTGGGCCAAGGCGAGAGAGCATGGTAATTGCATGTGTACGGAAGGGAATTAAGCTGTCACTGCGCGACCCGACAAGTATGCACCAATGCATGAGCAACTAGCGCCTCGCATTGAACGCATCTTTCTACACGTGCCTGTGTGATCGCATCTCTCAATAGACACACGTCTTGTAGTATGAATCCAGCCAAGCGCGCACCTATGCAGCTACGTAACCCGGCAATTGATCGCGTCTCGTGATTGTTGCGACGCACTCTTTGGCTCCTTATTGCCGTATGTGAAGGCAAGTGAAGCTGTTTTGAGTCTGGAAACGGCACTAGGAGGGCAAAGGTCTGAACAGAGGTTGGCAATTGCATAGCTGAAGTATTCTATAGCCCTTCTATGAGATCTCGTACACTCCGCTGTTCAATGAGGTTACAACCACCGAGTTCACAAAATTGACCGACCCCAGCCAAGCAAGGACGGTCAGACCAGCACAGCCGTATCTTATACCTACCTTTAGAAGTCGCTTCTGGTAAGCAAACAAGGAATGGGGGTTAGCTCCAAGGGCCTATGAAAGATCAGACTAGTTGCATGATCGTTAAACTATTGTATTATGTTTGCTCTTTTGTGACGTGATCGTGCTATGGCGGGTTGAGCTGGAAGACTCGCAGGCTACTCAGGACGAAGTTGTTGCGTCTAAGGCGCTAATTATTTCTTCGAAATTATGAAGAATTGCGTGAGAAGTGCCTGCTGAGCGTTGGTAGCGTTGTATACTGATATGGAGGATAAGGATGTGTGGAGGAGTACGGGAGATGTAGAAGAAGAGAACACGGCCACGTGTGATGTTGGTGTTTACTGGTGGTGGAAGATGCGGAGCTATGGGAAAAGGGGTTGTTATCATGGTATGTCGTTCGGAGTGAGTCTGCACAAGTGCTACATAACGGACGTTGACTAGAGTAATAGAAATCGAGCTTTCCGCCCTGCCACTGGATATGTCCGGTCGAAGTAGAGGCAGATCCAACGAGTAGTAGCAAATCAAGTGAATGTAATTTTGTAACATTCGAAGAAGTACACCGATACGCGTTATCATGTTCGGGCCGTATGAGGATGACACTAATCTTGTAGAGAGCAATTACTATGATCGTTATCTTCAGATGGCATAGCGTCCTTTGAACACATAATACGCTAAGGATAGTATTTCCCGTAATGGCCATCTTGATACCGCTCCAAGTCCCTCACAGTGTATGTATCCCAAGCCGAAGGGCAGGTAAAGACATAGACCACTACTCCACGTTGGTTTTCGCCTGGAGGCACAATCAGTCAACGAAACACCTTAGAGCTGTGTGCAAAGATGCTAGATACTTACGTCCATGTCGCCACTTATGAGTCGCCCATGCACCCTGAATAAACATTTGTGGAATAAGCTGCGCCAAATGTTTACGCTCCATAGAAAACGCAATCAGTGCAAGAAAGATGGAAAGATCTCCTTTAAGCCCTCCATATCCTTCATACGTTTGGGCTGACGGCAGCTGGTTGGTCCCGGGAAGTAACATCGCCGGCCATCTTTGATCGTTCCGCTGCACTCTGAGAGTGTGCTCTTTGCCCGCATTAGTAACATAGGAGCTATAGTCCCTCTCGTCCCAGTCGAATGAGAGGGGATGCCAAGCTTCATTAGCTGGAGGAGATGTTGCGTCACCACGAAGGACATGAAAACCAAATCCGCTGCTGTAATATAACGAGGAGGTTTGGAAATGGCATGACCCTTGAGGTGGCCCAGAATCATTCAATCTTTGTATGCTTTGGCCATTGCAGTACCACCATATTCCTGTTGCACCGGCACCATGGAGTCGCTCGTTGCGACCAAGTTCGGTGGAGGGTTGCCAAATACCAAGACGGTCATAAGTAGCTGCGATATCTGGGCTTTCACGGATTTCATCTATTCGAAATATATATGAAACGCCGTGGCCCTAGTCTATATCAGTATGTTCTCCATGTGTAACAGTATAGCCTCTCCGGCTACTTACATGTGTAGGAGCTGACGGCGCTTCTTTTGGCTGGTCGCTGCTCACCTTCGTGGTGGGATTTAACGACCTAATTTGAGAGAAGTGAGTACAAGCCTTCAGTGGTAATGGTGAGAGTAATCTCACGGTGGGTTCTCAGGTCGCTTATCATGGAGCTGGGCTGGATCATCGGACGTGTGCTTATCCCAGACTTTTTCCATATTAGCCTCGGTATCAGCATCAGGATTTGTCCCGCGACTTGGATCATGACCAGTGGCCAACGGAGTAGCTGAAAGTACACATCAGCATGAGCCATCGTATCAGATATGTGCAATGAACGTACTCTGAGATGTTATTTCATTCGTTGTCTTTGGATTGATGGAGTCATAAAGCTGCTGCCATTGCTTCTCTTTCCCTTTCGGTCCAATCGCCGTTATATAAGGTTTGTTACAGTTCCGGCCATGCCACATCTCAAAAGCTGTCTTGTCAACTACATGCTCGTTACATGTGGGGCATAATTCTAGGAATGATACATGGCGAGCGCGCTTCATGTGGCGTCGAACCTCTGCCAAGTTGTTGAATGTGGAGGTTTCACAAGAAAACTCCGAATCACCACGATCTTGCTCTCGTACCCGCACTGGACACATGAATGTGGTCTTGCTTGAGTCCGATTCATGAATAAGACTGCCTGATGCCTCCCGATCTCCTTGCTGGAGAGATGAAGAAAGCGTTTCCTGATGGATTCGGTCGACCGAAGAAAGTAAGGAGGGTTCTTCATCATCGCTGTGGGCGTTAGCACCAACATCAGTCTCACTCTCTGCGGTGGAGTCTTCATCGAGCCGCATGTATTCCCGGGGAACGACAAAGAGAGCAAGTTGTCGCATGTGAGATCCAACGTGTCTCTTGTACTGAGATGACGTGACTTGAATAGGTCCATCAGAAACAGTCTCATTTCCCGAGTCTCTCAGCTTTACCTCCCAGCTGTCGCAAAACGGACATTCAGAGGCGAGGTAGACATGCTGGACATGTCTTGCAGCTTCGCTAAGGGATTCAATCTGATCATTGGTTGCACTCGGTAAATGGAGTTGTATATGGGTCCGAAGATTGGCAATATCGAAGGATTCTTCTCCTGTACACAGCGGGCACTGCCGCCGAGATCGGTGATATGCTGCTTCATGTGCCATCCAAGACGCGGGATCCGGGAACAGCTTGAGGTCGCAGTCTTCAAAGGTGCAGACGTAAGGGCGTAAGTCTCTATACAGGTGCTTTTGCCATGTTTTCTCGGTAAGATTTCTCTGTATTAGATGACACAGCGGGCATTCGAACTCGATAGATCCGTTGGAAATAACGGCCAGAGTTGGAGGATAAGTATAAGAATCGTCTCGAGATCCGAGCGAAGATAGGGCTGATGACGCCTCGGATGACTTGTCATCAGATGGAGGCTCGGTAGCTGTAGTCGTGGGATTTAGGAAGGTTGATGCTGCTGTCATCTGGATCGTCGATGTGTCCTCTTCATTGTTCGTGCCCGATATCTCGGGAGGTAGCTCAAGCTTCCGCTGATGATCACGGACATAGCTCAGATAGCCTCTGCGCTGAGAGTTGGCCACACCGAGGCGTGTGCTCAGCCAATCCTTGTTGGCGTTACTGAGAAGAGGGAACTTCTCAAGTACATGCTTTATTTCGAAACTCGGATCGCTTTGAGCATACCTAGAGAGCGACGCTTTGGCAAATCTGTCTGTAGAAGTCGATTTGCGGATCATGATCGCGATTCGAAACAGACTCGTAATGGTAAATCTTGCAAGCTCAAACAATTCCTCGGCTTCTGACAGCAATGGCACTTCGGGAGAGAAGCCGCTGAAGATTACAAACTTAGTAAAAGAAAATAGCGAGTTAGCGGACTTACTCTGGTTCTTCGTCCAAAGACATTATTGCGAGGCTTTGCTCAGCGGCGGCCTGCCGGTTGATTTTAGCGCCAAGAGCAATATTAAGAGCTATACGGTGTGAGAATCGTAGGCACGACATTTCGAGAGTATCTTACTGCTTTGAAGTGACGTCGAAAGTGTGTTCAACAATTCTTTGAGCTGAGCCGCAACTTTTGGCGATTGCCTTAACCGATGTTCTATGGATGCGTACGATTGAGGCTTGTGGAAAGCACCTAGGTTGCCGGCCCATAATTTGAATCTTGCGACTTGATCCCTAACATCGTTAGGACGCAAGTTTGACCGATCCTGACAAGGACGAAAAGATAGAGACGAATGTAATTGTTCAAAAAGCTCAGAACATCCTATGGACAACAAAGCAATTGTTTGCGTCATGGCGAGAAGAACAGTATTGTAAAAGTAAAGACCACCATCAGGATGACCATAACGTGAAGCTCGATACTTGTGGCGATGGGGACTTTCATATGCGCTCGTATTACCCCTCTTCCATACAACCAATCATTGTCCTGTGCAGGGGCTACCTTGACCGGTCGTTGGCATAGCATCGCTGGCATCGCTGGCATGCTTGTGTCTTATCATTCCTACTTCAAAGTCATTCGAATATCAGAATTCCAGCATGAGCGGTGTCGAGATTGCGGGATTGATTCTTGGGACCTTTCCAATCCTGATACAAGCGCTTGAAAAGTATCGCGCTGGGGCGGATATGCTTGACGACTGGTGGCGTATTCAGCGGGCGTATATAAAATGCGAACAGGAGCTCAAGTACCATCACATTCTATTCGAAGAGAATCTCGAACGGCTCCTTCTACCACTTGTGGTAGACGACATTGAAAGAGAAGATCTGATTAGAAATCCAGATACTGAGGCATGGGCGAGCGCGGAGCTGGAAACACGACTCAAGCAGTGTTTGCCCAGGTCATACGATGTTCTACTTGGTATCATTGTCAACATAAGTGAGGAGATCGACTCACTAAAGAAGGATCTCGGCTTGGACAACCCGACGACAAAAGTAAAACTAGATCAGGTGCGTGCTGAAGCATTCCTTCGCGCAACATTTAAGATCATTTGCATAATACTAAACTGACCAGCATCGCCGACTCGTCAAAGGGAAAAAGCCTCGATCATATCTCTTTAGTCTCGACCATTTCAATTTCCAATCAATGCGTATCAGGTTCGCGTTGAGCAGGAGCTCACGAGATCGCATTTTCGCGCAATTGCAAAAGGCGAACGATCAATTACGAAATTTGTTACAAAGTACTGATGACGTGGCACTGGCTCGAAAGCACAATGGAGTTGCCAAGAGTTATTTGGGAGAAGGAGTTGCGGAGTACTCGAACTTTGTCTCCCGGCTCTACACAGCAGTGTCAAACGCATGGAAGATACCTCAATGTGGTTGCGCAAGCCATGTTGCAAGTCTTCAACTACAAGAGGCTCCAGAAACCAGTTCGACGGTTTTTAATGTCTTGTTTAACATGGGAAATGACCATCTGCACGACGGCTGGAAGGGTACTAGGATCGAAGTTCTACCCCAGGAGGAGGCATCGAAACCTCGAAAAGACCAGAAAAGCGTGCGAATCGCAGGAGCCCCTGTACAAAATTCCGCACAAGCACGACAAGATCAAGGAACTCGAATCGCGAATTTCTGCTCATCTCTGCAGTCACCATGTTCTCCTTGTATTGGATACCTGAGAGATGATCAACATCGCTTTGTCGTATATCCTCATACCGCAACATCAACTCCTGCCAACAAGTCGGCTCTTACGCTAGGGACACTACTCCGAACCACCGACTCAATACAATTTAGTCGCACGAAGCGCTATAAAGTTGCTCTTGCGCTTTCCTGTTGGCTTATTCAATTAGGCGCGACACCATGGTTGGACTCTCCGCCACAACACGCGTTCGTTTTCTTCCAGAATCCATGGGACCCTGGTAGTTTGACCTTCGAGCATCCGTATCTACGCCGCAACCTGTCCGACACACCTCATACATCGTTACGGGATGTTCTACGTAGCTTTGGCATCTGTCTCCTTGAGCTTTGCTTTGGCATTCCCTTCGAGAATACAATTTTCCGTAAGCAGATGTCGGGGGGCTTGAGCACCACAAAGTCTGGCTTGGATCACGCTGCAGCCATCCTGTGGAGCGAAACAGTAGGAGAAGAAGCTGGACCGGAGTTCCAAGGCGCGGTACAGTGGTGCCTTTACGCACACAACATCGATGAGATCAATTGGAGGAAGGAGATGGGAGGATATGTCATTGAGCCCTTACGACTTTGTCATCAGAGTCTGGTATGCTGAGTGGAATATGTGTGCTGATGAGCTAGCTTGCTACATTCTTCTACCTCTTTTACCAAATCAAGCTTGAAGTAATCATAACCAATTTCTGCCAAAGCAGTAGATCCTACTGTGGACATCTACTCCGAATCTGACATAGCGTAGGCATTCCAAGCCTTCGACAAAACTGTACGCAATGGCAGATTTGCACACGTAAGCCGTGGAAGTCATTCCGGAAGGGTGAATGGTAGAGGGGCCCAAAAGCGATCCAGCTTGCGATTGTAGAGGTGTGAATAAGTAGGTGGCGAACAATGCGTATACATTCACGGAGCTGTTGGTAGGGGTCAGTCAGCTGTCACCGACGCGACGCGCATGCCCCACAGCCACTGACATCCGTCATCCGTGGCAGCTCGGCGCCGGTGCGCTCTTCCGGCCCCTCCAACGTTGATCATCCATCACGCCGCCCGCATAAAACCGCTGGGCTCCTCTCGCTTCCTCCACAGCATCTGATATCCTCAAAAGCGCCGTCGAGATGCCGTTCTCAATTAACAATCCCCTGCCCTCGTCTATGAGAAGTGAGTTGTACACCACTGTCACTCTATGACGATGACGTCGCTAACAGCCTGCAGGCGAGTGTAGGAAGGCTGGCAAGATCTTAGCATCGTTCGTAGACCCGAGGCAGGCTTTTGGGCCTGACAAGATCATTCCTCCGCAGGTCCTCGCGAACGCGAAAGTACGTGAAGCTTGAGACATCAACACGTTTTGTGGAGCTTGCAAGCACCGAGACAGCCGAGCTTGGGTTCTCACAAGACCACCCGATCAGCGCAAAACACATGAACCGTGCTAATGTTTTGAAACACAGGGCCTCGCTATTCTTACAGTATTCAAAGCCGGTTTCCTCGGCACCGCGCGTTTCGGATCCGGCATAGTAGTCGCGAGACTCGCCGACGGCTCGTGGTCGGCACCCTCTGCTATCGGTACAATCGGCGGTGGTTTCGGCGGCCAGATTGGCTTTGAACTTACGGATTTCGTCTTCATTCTGAACGATGCGAACGCAGTCAAGACCTTCGCGCAGGCGGGCTCCCTCACATTCGGCGGTAACGTGTCGATAGCCGCGGGGCCTGTGGGACGCAATGCCGAAGCAGCCGGCGCGGCGAGCTTGCGCAGTGTGGCAGGCATCTTCAGCTACAGCAAGACCAAGGGCCTGTTCGCAGGCGTCAGTCTGGAAGGCAGTGGCATGATCGAGCGTAGGGACGCTAATGAAAAGCTGTACGGCCGTCGGTGGACTGCGCGGGAGCTGCTGGGCGGACAGGTGACACCGCCGCCCGCCGCAGAGCCGCTCATGCGCGTTTTGAACTCGAGGATCTTCGCGGGCGTGGCAGGCGCGAACAACGCAGACGCCATGTACAACGACATTCCCGTGTACGACGATGCGCACGACGACGTTGTCTGGAACGGCCGCCGCGGATCCGCAATGGGCGAAGGCGTCCGCACGAACCGCACAGGCTCTCTGAGCCAAGCCGACGACGAATACGTATACCGCGACCGACCATCGCGCGCTTCCACATGGCAAGACGATGTGTACGACCGCCAGCCCGCATCTGCCGGCATTAATCGCTCTTACTCCACTCGCGCGAACCCCAACGAAACCTTCGACCGCTTTGATAATAGGTCGAGCAGAGGCTCAGCTTTCGGCGATGACTTTTACGGTCGACAGGACACGAAGCCAGGACGGCCGACTGCGCCAAAACCTGTGTTCAGAAGGGATAGCATGAAGCCTGGGCAGGCGATTGCCAAGTTTACCTTCGATGCAGACCAGGAGGGAGATCTTGGGTTCAAAAAAGGGGAGATCATCACCATCGTTAAAAAGACAGAAAGCGAAGCAGATTGGTGGACAGGGCGGATAGGAGAGAGAGAGGGCATATTCCCAAGGTACGTCTCGCACGCAGGAGGCACAGAAATACAATTGAGGCTAACAAAGACAGCAACTACGTCGAGGTCGTTGACTAGAGGTGGACGAGCTCCGACCCCACTCCAGAAGAGAATGCCAACCCATTTGAGGATCCTCCCGCTTCGCCTCCTCGCCCCGCCGTTTCCCTTTCGGTGACTCCTGTTCCTTTCGCTCACCATACGACAAGACCTCATTCGGTTCCCGCTCGTCCACGCTCCCCTCACCCAGATCCTCCCCCGCCGAGACTTCACGCGAGACTTCGCCGTCTGTGGGACAGCTTTGCGCAAGGCTCAGGTTCTGGACTAGGCATGTGAAAATGCCGGCCTTCGCACGCTGAAGATACCTTATCTCTATCACTTCTCGTATTACGTTAGATTCCCCACCGCGGCCATCGACGCAACGTTCTTTCCCTTCGTTTGCAAATTGGTTACTCTATCGCTAGGGCATTGCTCGGCGTTGGATTTAGGGCTTGACTTGGATATTCCATTCTTAAGTGCAAAGTTTGGCGCTGGATAGAGTGTTTGTTGATTCGGCGTCCAAAGAGTTTATATCTTCAATGAAATTGTGCATACAAGAATGTTGGGAATTGTTAGGAACGAAGTGAGTGACAGTGGTATCAATGCTGAAACTATCAGTAGATTCGACGAGCTACGAAATTTCGACGCCCTTCGCCTATGACAAACACCCTACAGTCGAGACCGTTGGGCGCGATGACGTTCTTTCAAGGCCCATGTTCGACAACGACTTATTAATTGTCGGTTTCATATCATAACCACAACAAGCAGACCAACTTTGCAGAGACTAGCACTGCCCAGACCACCCTCTCGCCGACCTAAGCTCCAGACCAGAGCCGCAGGCTTATGAGGAGCAGGCCTCTACAGACATGACCGGTGTTAACACAACCTGCACCAAGTGAACCAGAATCCGATGTGAAGCATGCTCAGTCACTATCAGTTCTAGCTCCTGCCACCTGACCCATCGATCTTCTTCTTACCCGCACGCTAGGTCTCGCCCGTGCCACCAGTGCGTGCTGCGGGGACAGTGCTACTGGTGGAGGAAACATCGGCGGTAGGAGCATTGTCGGAGGGAGTCTCAGGGATGGGCGCGTTCTCGGGAACGTTCTCGGTGCCTACGGACCATGTTATATTTTCATTCTCACCAAAGAGCTTAGGTGACCTGCCGATAGGTCCACCAGTGTTGGTCGTGGTAGCAGATGCACATGCGAGGTCTCGCTTCTCCATGTCGGCATCTCTGGCGGCGCGCTCCTCTATCACGGCTATTTTATAGGTTGTCAGTGCTCGACATCGACTTATTAACAGGGGAAAAGTCCTTACTGTTGTGAAGCATTTCACTCCTCTGCTCTTGGTATCGCACAAAAGCTTTCTCCAGCTCTTCGTTCAGCATCGTGCTACTGCGCTCGTCGACTGCGAAACGCACGCGCTTCTCCTTGTGCTCGGAGGGGGGGTCTGTGGCGCTACGCTTCAGGCCTGGCTTTGCCGGGCGAGGCATCTCGACAAATTCCTCATTGTTGACGATGGAAATTGGGCTCGTCTTGTTGGCCGCAGTATTGGCGGCGGCTTTTGCAGCCTGCACGCTCGCCCTGCCAGGCCCCGTTGGCTTGACGCTGGCGAACTCAGCCATCCTCTCGATGATTTTCTCGGCAGCAAGTCGCGTGGCGTTGATGCTGGCAATCTGCCCAACACTCGCAGTCGAACCTTGCACGGACGGTACTCAGCCCGCATACCGCTCACTCGCCGGTGCACATCATCTTCCACCCAATGCAGCAGCTCGGACAGCGCGTCCTCGCGCGTACCGCAGATGTTGGTCTTGTAGATCAACTCCCAGTCACGGTAGATTGCGCCGTTGCGGTGTTTGACGTGGGTGTACCTGGTATATCGATAAGATATATACTCCATGTGGAGGAGTTTACGCCGAAGCCCCAGTGCTTAAGAGGCGCTTGGAGAAAGAGAAAGCTTACACGATCGGCGAAGCCCGGCACTCTTGATTCTGGAAGCGATCTGTGGGCGTGCTCGAGGTGATGATGTCGAAATGGTCGAGTTCCTCAGACTTGTAGTCTTTGCTGAAGAGGGCCCAGGCGTTTGCTGTGGGGTTTAGCTTGAATGGTATTAGGGAGGGATAGGGTAAGGCATACAGAGAATTGACTTCTTTATGGTAAGCGGGTCGCGGTGTTCGACGACGTACTGCCGACCGTGCGGAATTTTGGTAAAGTTGGGCCGAGAGTCGGTAGTGGCGGGCGGCATTTTCGAAGTCTTTGAGCGAGAGTTGGCTTGGGCTGGGGGGAGCGTTTGACATGTATGTATGGGCGCCGTCCGTGCCGTACTTCATGGAGTACGGGAGCATAGAAATGGCGAATTTCAACTCGTCGTTTGGGCCAGAGGTGCGAGGACCCGAGCAGGGCGTAAAGATATTCGGGCGAGAGTTGGGCGTTCCAGTCGATGTGCTCGCGATGTTCAAGTACTTCGGAATTGTGCCGTACTTCATGAGATACGCGTGAGTCAAGTCTGTTTTGTCGTAGTGGTATCTATAACAGACTAGGCGAGAGCTGTGAGAACAGGAATGGTAGGTCGGGTAGAGACTGTCGACGTACCTACACGTGGTTTCTCTAGCGGTGAGCACGCCCTTTGCAAGCGCGTCTTCGGAGCCATGGTTTTCGCATTGATCTTTGCGAGTGTAGGATTGGGGAGTTGCGGTACGGCCCAGGGTTTCTTCTGGCGTCCGGACGGTTTGGGAAGGAGAGGGTGCATCGAGAGTTGATCTTCTACGTGGATGAGGCGCTCATTCAGCAAGTAGTGTATCGAGCTTCAGACCTTATAGCTCGCGATTATCAAGGCGTGCGCAAAGCAAGGAGATCAGACCAAAGTTTCAACCTTGAAGCTCGACATCTTCCACGCTACAGCTTAGCCTGGTCATGGCCCGTAAGCACGAAATACCATCTGATCCCACATATATTGATCCATCCGTCACCACACAGACCGGCCTTGCTCGCCCTATCCAAAATGTCTTGAAACTGCTTCGTCCCATTGACGCCCACCGTTACCGACACCAGACCTTCGCGCTCTCCCTCTTGGCCCCGTATGAACCCCAGCCTCGCATTTGTGAAAGCCAACAAGTCCCTACTTCTCCCTACGCCAAACACCTCTTCCCACTGTCTAGCCGCAGCCTCGTGCCCCATATTACCCGGTGCGAGCCTCAAAACGCAGCCTTCCAGCGTGAGATGCGACGTGCGCTTCATGCCCTGCGAGTATCTCTCATAATCTGGGCCGCAAGCATGCCACGGCGAGAAGCGGTCCTTTAGCGGCGTAGGGTTTTCCTTAGTTGGGGCATGCGAATCCAGCTCAGCCATCATACCGCCTTCTAGTCCTTTGGGGTGGTACTGGGCGCATACAACATCGCCATGCTCGTAGCCCCAGATCACTTTGGAGAGATTGTTAGATTCGATGAAATCTCGCCTCTTTCTTGCGTCTTCGGTCTGCATTATGATCATGTAGCCGCCATCGTCGCGTTTGTCGAGAAGACGGCCAGCTGTTGTATTGGCCTGCAATGGGGATACGACTTCTATGATGTCGCCGCCGAGAGGAACTGTGCGATGTCAGATGATGGGGATGGACCCGTGAACATTGGTATATGTGTACCGAGGAAGTTCTTCAGCCCGAATTGCGCTACAGCTGGATCTTCGAAAATGACCTCCGTGCCTATCACATGAGTCTAATGTGTGGTTAGCTGCGAAATCATGTCAAATATCTTGCGTAGGCGTACGAGCTGGCGCCGCGCCTGCTCTAGGTCTTTGACTACCAATGCAATTTGTCGCAATCGTGTTGGCGCCGGCCCAAGCTTTGTAGGCATTTGAAGTTTGGATGTTCTCTCTGGCGTCGACATCGTAAGGCTCACTATAAATGTTCGTAATTGGATCAAGGAAGATGATGCATGATTATCGAGGCTCTACGTGCTGCTTACTCGCCCTGGATGAGCTGTACGCCTCGGTCTAGCTTTCCCCGCATCGCTGCCCCGGCAGAATCACCATCGGTCTTAGACTATGATTGCTGCCCTGCTTGAAAATCTGTTAGTGAGAGAGAGCCGGGAACGGCAATCCAGTTGCAATCGGCTCCTCTGGATAATAAGGGTTGTAGAGCTGCGGTTGTGCGGGCCATTTGCTCCATGAGAACACAGGCTGTCGTCCCAACTAGGTATAGTGGGAATCGGCCCGAGCACATCATCTGCTCGCGCTCCACCACATCCCTCTTCCCTTTACCTTGCCTTCATCAACATCAACTTACGGGCATTCCTCTCCTCGCCCACTTTGCAATGCTTCCGTAACAAATTTGCTTCCATGGCATCTGACCTTTCCACGCAATTGAAATGCTGAACTTTGTGGTGCAGTTACCACTGTTGACAAACGCCTGTTTACAAACACCATTCACAATCCGCCCATGGCCTTGAGTAATATATCTAGACGCTTGCGGTAGCCTTCTCGTTGCTGCCTAAGAATTTCCTCGGAAAATTACACGCTAGCTGCGACCTGCCCGACCGGTTGAGCCCCTCGTCTACGCAACTCACTTCGCAAGAAACAGCTAGCCTAAGCTTCACTATATATCATTTCAAGGAACATTCGATTGTCTCGAGACGGCTTCCCAAGCCATTCCACTGGCTTGACGTTGCAACATGCGCTTCCAAAGGTCGAGTCAATGCGGACGCCTGCCACGCCATATACTCTGCCTCACCAAAGGACAGGTTCCCCACCTCGGTACAATTTCAACTTGTTCTTGAGCGAGAAAGCGTACAGTGAGAGAACAAACGCTTTACCACGTGGTCAGATTCGCCAGCTTTACCGGAATCGGCACGCGCACATCTCGAGGTGAAGGAGCTGTGCTTTCTCCAGCGTCACCTCGAAATGGCACTTACAAGCCCATTCCCCCGGGCATTTGGGGTATATAAACTCGATCCCCCTGTCTCTTCTACCGTTTTCCCACCGCCGCTTGAGCTGGTACACAAGTCGTTCTCTTTGCACTTTCGCGTTTCCCTTGTGCCATTTGCACTTCCTGATTTCTTCTCTTCGGTTCTGTACGCACCCAGCGAGAATGTCTCATTTTCAAGGCATTCCCATGTACGACGACGCTGCGTTGTTGTCTCTGGCTCGGGAGACACCTCTGCCTGGCGATGCCACCGAAAATAGGGCATCAACAGCTGAGCCTATCACTCCACACCGTCCCAACGTAAGTTCTTCTCGCGTTGGACTTCCCACACCCCGAAATCCCCTCCCTGTACCCCGAAGACTCAAGCGTCGTGCTCCACTCGCGGACATCGAGATCTTCGCCGATCCGAACGGTGCTTCCCGGCCGGCGAAGAAGTCTGCAACCGCCCGCAAGGATGGTCGAACTCCGCTTGGAGAGAGGAAGGACTTCGGGAATACCTGTCCTCGCACTCCGACAGTCACTCCTCAATTCACTCCATCCATTGAGGACTGGAACCGGTTTGCACACTGGTTTACGCCACCGCCGACGCCACGCCCTAGCCCACAGCCTCGCATCGTTCGTCCTGCACGTGTTACGGAGCCCGCCTGTATGATCTTGTACAGCTTCCTGGAGATTCCGAACTGGAAGGCCACCACCGAGGAGATCAAGACTGCCTTCAAGAAGGTTGCAGTCAAATATCACCCGGACAAGGTCGAAGAACACCAAAAGGCAGATGCCCACGACAATATGTTGTGTATCAATGCCTCCCGCGATGTCCTGCTCGACAAGGCGGCCCGCTCCAAGTACCACAAGGACGGCAAGCTCCCCAGGGTCTTTGCGCAGGTGTTTCCCGACTTCCACCGAGTCTAGGTATGAGTTCCCATTTGAAATGTGTTGTTCGTTTCACAATTGACCTTATAGATGGAGATGCTTGACGGATGATGTACGCAGTCGGACATGGAAACTCTCAAAAAGCAAGTGTATCGACTGGTAGTACGCTGTTCGCAGACGGCGGCGGAAATCGGAGGAACGAATCATAGCAGTTGATCGAATACAGCGCGATGGTTCTGAAGCAACAACGTTGGGTGGATTTAAGAAGCCAGGGAGTTTGAATGCTCATGGTTCGAAGCGGACGCCTGCATGTTGGACGACTGGAAGTTGCACAAGCCAATGCGCCTTGCATCGACGACGATGATGGCGACTAAAAGTTTCACATGTACGAGCATCGAGCTATTAGTTCTGCGGTTATTTTTCTGCGGTTGACTTTCTGCGATTGACTTTCTGCGATTGATTTTCTGCGATTGATTTTCAGGAGTTATTTTTCTGCGGCGGGTTCTGGAAGGGACTGGATTAATGGGTGGCAGTCGCGTTCACTGGGCAATGGAGGATTACACATCAACATCGGCATTTTCAAAGGTGCTCATTTATGTCCAAGATGGACGAAATATCTCATGCGACTCAAAAAAAAGGCTGCTCATTAGTGTGTCTTGGTGATCATGTTCCTCTTGCTCAGTGTTCATCCCTTTTCCCTTCTCAGGATACATTGATGTAGGTACATGCCGAACCCCTGCCCTCGCCCTAAGCGACAACTTTGTCCTCGAAGGTGCAACCGCGCGTCTGATATGATGCCCATACATATCTCGACATGCCTTCTCCGTCCCAACAAGCCGACTTGTCCTTTGTACATGTAGCAACCTTCTTCATCATCTCATATGTATTCTACCACCGTTATGTACGAGCCAATGAAACGGAATAATATTCCTTCGTCATGAGACCAATGTCCCAGCCTGCCAGACGGTTCGCCAAAGCACTCAGTGTGGATAGGAAGAACGAAGAAAAGTTTTGACACCAAGGTCAATAGAGAACAGTCAAGCAAATGAGGTATAGAAGCTTAATAGTTCAGGATCAGTTTGGAAATTATCGAACACCCGCAGTGGGCTGGCCACCATGGTGTATACATAATCGTTCCCTAAACGCCAGCTATGCCATGCCGAAACACCAAATCACAGAGATCAACCCCTTTTCCGCACACCTTATGACCCTCAGTGCGCATGTCCACATGACTCGCCCTCCAACCTCTTGTGACCCACCCTCTTCTTCCAGCTCCAGCTCTGCTCTGGATCCTTCGCCATTGCCAGCATGAACTTAATATCAACATCGAAAAACCCGCGATCCAGATGCAACAACTCCAGCGCCAACTGAGCATACTTGATTGCGTTATATCGGTCGCCAAAGCTGCTGTATACCTCACTGGCATGCTTGTACGCCACCCCCATGCTAGCTTCCAAACGCTCTTGCTGGTACAGCGAGAGAAGCAACTCCGCCATCTCGGGTGTCGCCTTGGACGAATCCGTCCAGTCGTTGAGCGCCTCGGAGATATCCTCGATCGCCTGGATGCGCGCATCACTCTCAGCCGCGAAAACGGGATGCGCCGCGCAGCTCGAGCAGGTGCAGTCGAAGCCCCAATTTGTCTTCAGATGCTTCATGCGATCAGCCCTCTTCCTCTCGTTGTTGATGTACGTGATTGTGATTTCCTCGCCGGGGTATATGGTTTGTGTCGCGTGCACGTAGTGGCTGAGTGTGTCCTCGTCCCAGAAGTAGGCTGCGTTTGGTCGGCAGTCGTGGTTCATCATGGCAATCTCAGGCATGACAGCGTACTGTTGCACGTTGTCAACGCTAATGTCGAAGGCGTTGGTATTGATGCGGTCCTCGACGGGGTCGCCCTTGAAATGGTCGAGCAGCTTCCAGAAAAGGTCTTTGGTGGCAGGCGGAAGAGTGTCCACACCACGATGCCCTAGACGCAGGCGCTCTGACTCAACGAGGTTATAAGAGGCGGGGTTTGTGATTAGGAGCGGTGTCGAGGCGAAGATCTGATCGCCACGATTGAGGGTCTTGTTCGCAATGAGACCACGGCCTTTGCTCGGAAAGTCGTGTTCTTCGAAAGGAGGGTTGGCATGCTGATTTATTCGAGAGAGAGCTTCAGGTTGTGAAAAAGCGGGCTTCTTGAGCATTTGGTAGGCAAGCGGTGTAGTCGTGATGAGGAATATGCCGCGGCCACCGGCAAAATTCTGGTCGGAGAAGACGCATACAGGATCGGGCTGATTCTCATTCGAGTAGCACTCTGGTAGAAATGTCCAAGGGAAATTTTCGTGTGCTTGTGCAGATGCACGTGCTTCTTCAAGTGTGATAGTGGTGTTCAGCTGTATGTTCTCTGTGGTCGATTGTGCCCCAAGAATTGCAGGTTGGCACTCGCCATTGTAGAGTATAGAATTTGACGGACATGAGTCAGAGAGAAGAATAGGCTTCTGTGGTATCTGTTGGACCTTTTCTGCGAAGGCAAAGGCACTGCCCAGTAAGCCGACACTAGCTGCAGTCTTCATGGTGTATTATAGTAAGACAGAATTATAGTTAATGGTGAATATACGATACGGGTTTGAATAAAGCGATGACCTAGCCATCCCGGCGGGCATTACTCTAATAAACGTGTCCAAGATGTTGCAGAGCTCCCATTGCGAGGGATGTCGGAATGGCGGAATGAAGTTCGTGAAACGTGAGACGACTGGCGACTGCTGCCAGGCGAGGGATGAAACGCGTCCAGAAACAGACAAGAGCCCGCCGAGGCGACCACGCGGGTGAGACGCGGGAAAATCACTACGACCTACGGTTTTGAGGTTTTTGCGGCCTCATACAGCACGAAGGTAAGGCCGAGATGGCAACGCCTGGACTTCGGCCGATACGACGCAGATTCATCGCGAAACACGAGCTGGTCGTTGAGCGACTGGTCTTGGTGTCGGTCGACCTATGGATAGATCAGTAGACCCCGGAGCGAGGATCAGTGCAGCTCATTAGCAATCTCGTAAGTGGTGGATAGCTGATCGTGGTGTAGATCCGGGGTTCGTCGAGGTGGAGGATAGGTTCACTAGCGCGGAGGTTGAGGAAGGTTTGCCCCCAAACGGGAAGCGCCTCGGCTGTACCTACTCCGCATTCAAACACCAAGCCGTCAATCGCACATGTTTCAGGTGGCACATTTCCTTGGGGTTTCACGTCATGGAAGAGTGCGAAGAGTGTATCATTCTGCGACTACATGATGATTCGATAGCTATAGACTAATTCCTAACCATCTCTATTTCGATGTGCTCCATCCGTGGAGTAACTTATACCACTTGATATGCAAAAAGAAACCATATGCTGCGCCCTTCGCGAACATCGTGGCTCTGAACCATATCGTCTCCCACCCGAGCGCGAAACCGTCACCATTGAATCAGCGCCCCATATTTTGTAGAACCGATGGAGTTGAAGATTGTATTGCACTGTTCGTTTGACTGCTTCTCGGAGAGCTCATCAAACTTGCAGTTGCACGTTCCCACAGAGCACTTGTGGCTAGCATCACAAGTCTCGATGTTCTGGATCGGGAGTCTCTGCTCGAGCTGCATCACATCGGGTGCTTCCACGATGGTCGCAGCCATGCCACCGACCAAGTGGAGGTCGATATGGCAGTGGAGGAACCAAACGCCAGGATTGTCGGCTCTGAAGCGGATCAAAAACCAACCGAACGGCGGGATGACGAGGTTGTTGCGTTTCGCAGGGGTCTTGTAAAGCGAATCGTCGTTGCCGTCCCAACTGCCTGATCCTCTGCCTGCTACCTGGAAGTAATGTCCCTGTACCGGTCAGTTTTCACTTCTTGCTTTTCGTGAACAATCTTACATGTAAATGCATGGGGTGCGGCCACTTTTGCGGGTTCTCCATGTATACCTCGACGACTTGATTGTGTCGCACAACATACGGACTTGTGCCCGGCCCATACGTCGTCCAATCAAGCGCCAGCTGACCGGTTGTGAAAGCCGAATGAAGGGAAGGAACTCTCGGTTGAGTATAGGGCTGGATACCGATACTCGTACGCGTTCCAATACCTTCGTAGTAAACCTGATTGGTGCGTAGCTTGATCCGACGGCTGACATTCTTGTACAATGGCTCGTTGTCGAGGGGTACCAGTGTTGCATCATCGAGTACTCCTTGTGCCGTCCAGTTCAAGTTCAGAGGTGTGGGGGAGCACGGGGAGTAGGAGACGCCATTAGTATTGAAGGGGTGGTTCGATGACGGGCATGAAGAATTTCCTGATACATTCGCCGGTAGGCCGCAAGTACCTTCCAGAGCAATGTCTCCGATCAGTGCCCTTGTGTGATTAGATGGAATAGCTCCAGTGAGCATATCTGAGGTCATCTTGAAAATGTAGTTGGTGGGGCGGGCATAATCGTTTCCAGCAATTATAAAGTCATACGTTTGACCTGCACAAATGGCGATTGTGTCTGTGATCGCTGGATGCACCGGTTCACCATCAATAGCCACGACAGTGAGCGTGTGGTTGGCGATATGAAAATGACCGCATACAAGACCAGCAAAGCTGACAATCCGCACGAGATATCGCTGGTTGCGCTATACACGAACATGCCCGATCAGCAAAGCGTAGCTGTGGGACCTGAGAGAACACCATACCTTGAGTCTGAACCTAGGTGGTGCACGACCGTCATCCAACAAGAAGGAATCGGGAGTAGGAAGAGAGCCATTCGTGTTGTTAGGGCTCAGGTAATCGTGAACGATGAATGGCTGTTGCCGGTGCCACCTACTATTTTGAGCAAGGAACCTGTATGGATATGCTGACATACCAGTCCGATACACTCAGATATATTTGTTTGTCGACTTTCAAGCTCGCTTCCCACACAGGATCATGTATGATCATCTTCCCTCTCAAGCCATCCGGATACTGTGCCAGTTCGTGACTGTGCCACCAATGCGTACCAGCTGGATTGGCTACGAAATGGTACTGGAAGGATCTGCCTGGAGCTATACCACATTGACCGACTCCAACAGCGCCGTCCGATGCAGCTGTTCCATTCTGGAACATGCCGTGGAAATGGAGAGAGGTGGTCTCATTGCCCAGTTCGTTGTACGTATTCACAACGATAATATCGCCGACGTTCGCTTCAATGGTCGGAGGACTTGCAAGTAATCAGCAACAGCATCTGCAGATAAGAGCGCACTCACGGCCATTCCCCATTAACACTGATGACGGGTCTGACGAAGCCGTCCGGAGCTGCCTAAATGTTGTCAGTCTGCTTCGGCTTCGCGAACGATCAACGCACCAGCCTCCATCGTATATGCCAGTCAAAAGTGACGGTCTTCGCCCACGAGCAATGCACCAACGCAGTCAATAGTAAGAAATGCAACATGACCACAAGACATCAGTAATGAACGACGCTCAATGTTGAGCTGATATACGAAGCGGTGCGAACATGACGTTGCATGTTTCTCATCGATGCATTTGCGCCTTCAACCCTCGCTGTTCCCTGGCAACGCTAGAACGGTACACGCCTCTTGACAGCCGACGGCTGCAACCGTGGATGCTTGGGCGGAAGGTGGGTCGCACATATCAGAGGGAAAACGCGGTCCCACATGACTTTCATTGAAACGCTAATATATTTTCTTGAGTTTTGAACTATACATGAAGTCCTGGGCTTGAGAACAGGGGACACGCCAGTGATTGCGCGCAGCCAAACATGCAAGCAGCACATTCTCCGTAACACTGCATTTTCGAGGAGGCGTGAAAGTCTCTGTGAAAGGAGATGACGAGAGGATACGACGTGATGGTAGTTGACGTGTTGGCGGCGCCTCAAGGGTGATCGGGTGTGAAGGTGGAGCTTGCTAAGCCCATTTGGGCCCAAGCGACGAGAACGAGCGCCGCCCATAGGCACTACATCAAATGCTGTATCACATGTGTGTGCATCATCATATCAAATCTGTCGACGTGCGTTTGAAATATCTCAGCGTCGTTAGGTTCTGACGTTGCTTTAGATCGAGTCTCTTCCACGGCACCGCGTCTCGGCGGCGGGGTCGACAGCATGAGCGCTTCCTGAACCTCAACACTTTTGGTATCCAAAGCACAACGCCGCCAAGCGAACGGCGATAATGATGATCTTACAAACTCACACCGTTCGCAGTGCTTGGGCCGATGAGGAAGGAGATATTTCCCGACTGCTCAGGGTGGGGAAGCGTACACACTATATGTACAGCAGGATCGTAGACACCATCGATATTCTGTCAAGGGAGTTGTGGGTCATGTCGTGGTCTCAGTGCCCTGACACACGAACCGAGTCGAACATATGTTCAAATGCAAACAGATTGTAGCGTTCTTTGAAGCCCCCCGGGGCCAGGAACGATCCAATTTCGACCAGTACCCATAACTTCACATCGCGATTCACACACGAATTAATCCCGACGGATACAACAAGTGACAACGTTAGTGCTTCCCTGTTCGGACAAATGGCGGGTTCGAGGAAGAGGTAAACATGGAGTTCCCTCCGTTCGCAATCCCACCTTCACGTGTAGAATCCATCTTTGCTAAAGCCGAATCGTCGCGTCATCAACCATCGGTCGATACTTATCATAACCTCCTCGGACCTCTGCCTCCTTCATGAAATCTGCATCATCCATTGTCACACAAGCCGAGGTTCCAATCACGAAGTCTTAGAACACGACGAAAACTTCATGCCAACAGGAAGGCCGGAGCATGCTCAGCGAACGTAGACAACTATTTGGTGCGTGTGACAGCGCCTTTCGCCTCTTCACCGGAATCAGGATAATATGTATTTCTCACGGACTCATCTATCGACTCCATGATCGAAGTCAAACACTGTATTCTAACCACATGCAGCGCCTTTTCACTCGTTGTACATGTTGTTGTCGTAGACTTTGGTCGGACGTCTTGATGAAAACGACTCCCGAATGTAAGCGCCGCGAAGGCGATCCACGACGACCGATCTTAAACACAACGTCGTGTTTGTGTAGGATGGTATCGTAGGCTCGTCGCGCAGGCACAACATTACGGAAAATAGTCTCTGGGTGGGATTCACGAGCTCGGAAGCTTTAATGTAGGTGTCCGCCATCATGCGCCTTGGCCAAATATCATTCTCGCTTGTTCATCGACGTAAAAGTGGCCTGACTCTGAGGGAGATTATAATCGGGTCTCTATGACTGGCCACCATGGGGTACTGGTTCTTGTACAAGCTGAGTACAATTTGCTCCCATCTGGTTCTGAAGTGTCATTTACCGGCCATGATCGAACATTCCGAAGCTCGTATAGAAGTGCTATCGTTGGATCAGTAACGTCAGCATAGAAAATCGTCCTGTCGAAGACGCCCGTTTGAAACATTGTCATCGCAACGCTAACCCGACGTAGACAGTAGCGGACATACAGGATCCACTTTGCTGGATCTTCGCTCGCAAATGGGTTTCTACATGCAGCAGCAAGAAAGCGAGCAAGTATACTGCCAGAAGATGTAGTGGAGATGGTATAGAAAGTCTTCTGCACGTCACAAACAGCGCCACACATGTGTAGTCAACTGTGTGCGGCTTCTTGTAGTGAAGTGGGTACCCAGCACCACCTGGGCATCGACAATGTCCCAGCCTCAGGCCGCGTTGTCAACGGCGCAATCGTACCCCGACCTCCTCGTTCCACCTCGTTTACAGCGGCGTTACGCGCATTACAACGAGCAATATTTGGACCGTCCGTTCCTACGGCCGGAGTAAGAGCAACTGGGGCCAGCTCCGCCTCGCTCCCCACCGAACTATCCCAGCGACACTGCTTCGCCACACTCCAGTAATGAACAACAATCTGGACGGAATGGACCAATCAACGGACCAAATTAACGCCAAAATTCCCAATCAAGCTTTGTCTATACCCGCAATAGGATTGTTTGCGATTCTCGCGACGCCGCAAATCCTCAGCCAAGCTTTCGGGATGTATCCGTGAGCCAGCCCCCCACAATGATCTCAGGGGCCATCGCTAAGCTATCCCGAGTTGGTTATAAACGCGCTCTGCTGAAATGCTTGAAGGCTGTGACAACAATAGGCCGCCCGGCAGGTAGCATCTGTGCGCGCGAAGTAGATACCATACCATGCGTATACAAGATATAAGGTCCATATGTTAGCCCCCAGACATCGAACACCCATCACGCTCCCGTCACGACTTTCCTAAATCTCACGACTTCTTTCCTTCTTCGTTGGAGTTATCGCCTTGTACACCCAAACCATCCGAGCAACTCTGAGCGCTAGCAAGCAGCCCCTTCGCGATCCACAACAACCCAGCAAGTCAAATCGACAGCGTTTCCAACGAACGTCACCAAACAGCAGGTGGAAAAAGTGTCGAAAGAGAACTCAAATCATCGCACCGCGGCGACTCCTACGCGGAACTTCAAACGAATCACCTTCCTACCATGTCAGATGCCGACACCTGTACGGCGGTTGGCCCCGGCTGCCCTGTAGAAGAGACTCTATATGGTTACTACCCCAATCTCGGATGGAATGCTTTCTTCGTTGGCTTCTTCGGTCTCTGCTGCATCATCAACCTGGCACTGGGCATTCGATACAGGACATGGACATACATGGTTTGTCACCTCCTTCTTCGCAACAACGGTTTGCTAACCCTTCCAAGATTGCACTATGCCTAGGCTGCGCTGCGGAAGCCGCAGGCTACTACGGCCGTGTGATGATGAATCACAACCCCTACGACTCCATCGGCTTCCAGATCCAAATCTGCCTGCTCATCATCTCTCCCGCCTTCATCTCCGCTGGCATCTACCTCACCCTCAAGCACTTCGCCCTTACATTCGGAGAATCCTGGTCGCGCCTTCGCCCCGCTTGGTACACTTATATCTTCATCTCAGGTGATATCATATCCCTTGTATTGCAGGGCGCAGGTGGCGGTCTAGCCGCCACGGCGGACAATGGCTCAAGCACCCAGGATCTCGGTACAAACCTCATGATTGCTGGTGTCGTCTTCCAGGTTGTCATCCTGTCTATCTTCGGGTACCTTCTCACCGAGTACTCGCTCAGGACTTACCGTCGCCGCGGTCAGCTCTCCGTGGCGGCGACCGAAATCCTGCGCAGCTTGAAGTTCCGCTTGTTCGCAGGAGGAGTGATGGTCGCTTACCTCGCGATCTACACTCGATGCGTGTACCGTATCCCAGAGCTTACAGGAGGCTGGGGTAGCGAGCTTATGAGGAATGAGCCTGAGTTCAGTAAGTGACATGCGCACCATGGCTGTTCGAATGTTAGCTGACCTGTCATGCAGTTGCGCTCGAGGGTGTGATGATTACGCTTGCTGTCCTAATGCTGACACTGTTCCATCCGGGCATCTGCTTCCCTGTCCTTGGTGCTAAGCAAGCTGAGAAGTATGCGGCGTTGAACCGTAAAGATCTTGATGCTGAGAGCTCGGTGGAGATGCTCCCGCAGGGGACGGCTTACGAGCCGTATGCTCACCGCAGCGTTTAGGAGCACAGGTTCATTTAGGTTGGGGTCTGGTTTGCAATCCCAAGAACGCATAGATATTATTAGAGGTGTTCAAGCGGAAGAGCGTTTCATATGTGTGGGATTTCCGGAGGTTGTTCATAGGAGGATATCGATCGAAAGATCCATGGTCTTCTCATCAGTTTAGCGATTTCAATTACCCAAATTCCCTGTCAGAACACAAAACTGCTTGCTTCTAATTTGTCTATCGTACCGCAAAGGGTCAAGCAGTCTCAGAAATGAGGCACATGAGGAGCATGAGGGAAAAGGACAAAGGCAGGGTATGTTGGAAGGTGGTGCAAGGGTAATCTATTAAAGCCATTATGCAAAGACAGCTGCTGCCGTAAGGCAAGGCCGATGTTACCTTGCCAACCGAAATGCCTTTACAGAGTGATAGAAGCAACTTCATCGGGAAGAAAGAAAATCAAAGACAGCATCGATCAATCTGCAGATGCAGATGCGCTCTCCCCGCAACTCTCTGTTCGGCTCTTTGGCTTGGTAGAAGCCGAGCATACCGCGAAGCTACTTCTCGATATCCTTGACTGTACCATTGAGGACATCGTAGATGTTCCCACTTCGGACGACGCTGCTGCTGCTGGCCATAGTCTGAGTAGCGGCAGCGCGAGGATTCTGGGACAGCGCGTTTCCTGTTCGAGGCGTTTGGGAGGCAACGGTAGCCCATTGAGGAGCGGACACGCGCGGATCCTGGCTAGGCACTAGTCTAGGCTGAGGCGGACGATATGAGATAGTCGAAGGAGGCTGAGGAGCCGAGCCGCCCTGAACAGGGTGCTGCGTCGCTGTGTTGAGAGGACTGCCGCCGAACGAGAAGGGAGGGATATCATTGGCGTTGTCAGCTGCAGCATCTTGAGCTCCCTGAGTAACAGCTTGAGTATAATTAGCTGCTTTCTGACCACCGCGAGGCCGCTTGCGCCTCCCCTGCCTGCTAGAATTGGAAGTCTCGAAGGCCTTCATAACGCACGCTTCGGTCCGGTGGCCATGGTGAGCTCCCGCCTCGTAACGGTTCTCGTAACAGAACTCGCAGAAAACATCTTGGGAACAGCGAGCTCCATTCTTCCCTCCAGTCTCAACGAAGTGCTTGCGGCTGCCGCATCGGAAACAATACTTGTCACTGCCATGGGTCCAGTATTCACGTTGTGACCGAAGCTCAGCAGCGTCGACGACCTTCTGCAGCGTACACGGCTGCGAAATGCTCTTATGGGAAGGGTTGAGTATCAGCTGAACGGCCGCAATGGTGGTATATGCTGCGTCGTTGCTGGCGGTATGAGCGTCGCGGAAGGCAAAGCCCATATCTCCCACCAGGCGCTGGAGCCCGATCTGGTTTACTCGATGATTCCAGTGACCAACGTCTCGCGCGATCACTTGAGTGTCGATCTGTTTGACAACAGTGCGGGGATCGAAGTGGAGAAGCTTCTGAATCTTCTCGACATCGTTGTCTACTGCGTGTCCGAGAAGAACGACCGGACAAACGCGTCCATCATTGGCGCTCGGATTGATTGTCCACTCGAAGATCGAAGTCAGGCACTCTACCATCTCGCGGTCATTCAGAAAGCGCGGCGTACCGAACCGGTTGCTCTCGGGATTTCCTTTCTATTCGTCAGCAAACAGGGCCTTCCTGACACACGAATAAACATACCCGCTGAGAAGTTTTTGTTCTTCAAATGTGCATTCTTCTGAATGCGCGCGAAGTAGTAGTAAACATTCTTAAGAATGTTTTCTCCCCAAGGACCAGGAGAGGCGAGCGCAGTCATGTCGCGCGAGTCGAACGTGTTGATGCCGACTTCCTTAAGTATGCAGCTATCGGCATCCTATGAAGTGGAGGGATAAAGTTAGTGTCTTACTCATAAATAGGATCAATTAGTTCGAGGTGCTTGACCTCACTTACCCAGCCTTCAGTATCCAAACACACCACGATAGTGGATGCGGCAAGAGCCGGCGCATTCGGATAACCGTGTCGGTTGATATTGCAGCAGTATTTGAGAACGTCTGCATGTCTCATGGGCGCAAAGAACGCTTCGACCGCATCCAACTCCAGCTGATTGGGCAGCTGCGCGTTGGTCGGGATAGACATCTGCACGACATTAGACGCTTCTTGAGGCTATGGTTATGTACCGCGTATTAGGACTTACATTGGCTTTCAGGGTATTTTTTCAGAGGTTGTTTTGGGGTATATAGGGGTAGAAACCTACCTCAAGCTGCTTTGATGGGTAATTGCAAGCGAGCTGTGACGGCAGTGGAAGATATTGGAAGTGGAGTGGTGGAGAGTGTAGCTGAAGAACTGAATGGGTGACGAGGGGCGCTGGTCCTTTTATGGGGCGACGACGGCGGTGGTTGATAACGCAGCGGCGGTGGTTCGGTTCCTCAGCGAACTGGCACGTGATCCGCTGTGAATGGGGAAGGAACGCGCCTTCCCTAACCAAGACGCGGATTCCAGATGTGCCGAATGCGCGAGAAACTCAACCAGTCACTTGGGGAAGTCACGAGTACATCTGTATGTTTTCAAGCCCATACGCGGTGATAACAGACGCATGCAAGATTGGTCCAGCTGATTCCTCAGCACCTCTGCGTGGTATTCCCGCGCTTCTCCAGTGACAAATATTGCAGCTTGATGGAACTGCCTTATACATTACTTCCTTCAACTAGAAGGTGATTTGCAGTTGCCATGAGCAGAAGGCCTAGACTTAGCTGTGCGATATCACAGGCATCAGTGAGCCGGCATAGACTCGTATCAGACAGCGATACTATCATGTCTTGCAATCCAATACAAGTTTTGCCCAAAGCACTATCCAAAATGGACCACAGCGTACAGGTCAGTAAACCATCATGAACAAGACACGATTTCTATCATAGTCGTGAAGCTGCAGACCATAATGAGTAGTGGCATCGCCACTGGCTATTCTCCGTTTCTATATGCCACCGTACTGGATCTCTTGGAATTGATATGAAGAAGGCTTGTGAAGACATGAACGGGAACAAACACCTTCAAAGGTAGCTTTCCAACCAAGTTTCTAATTTCGATATGTAAGAAATCGTCGAAAATGCAGTGATAGGTGTTAGAGAATGAATACTGCAGGATATCTCTGATAGTAACAAAAAATCATGGACATATTACATGACGCTGCATCTGAGGTTTCTGTCTAACTGAAATATAGATCGAATACGAGAAAGTATGAACTGCCTCTGCAGGATAAACCATAGATTCAGCATGAATATACTAAGTTTTGTAACCAAGATGACAAAATCATGACAGATCACGAGGGTCCAGAAATGCGAATCGCAACATTGGCAAGAGCGTGCAAAGTGAGGCGGGCGGCTATAGTGGATCAGGATGTACCTTTGAAAAGACCTTTATTCGCTCCAACATTAGCTACTAGATGTGCTTGCCGCCGTAACGTTTTATCATCATGTTCACGTTGACGCTGATTGCAAGAAGCCCTTCGCTGTGAGAGGTTCAGCATGTACCAGTAGGACTCGCGGAGGTGCTTACAAGGGAGAAGATCACCGGCACTGGTTCGAAGATGTTACTCTGGATGATGGCAGTTCACTTACAGTCTTCGAGCTTCCACTGCCTGGGAAGTCGTGCGTACCCAAGCAGCGCACAGCTGCGTCGGAAGGATAAATTTTCAGCAATAGGATAAGCTGCCAGAAAGTCTTCGTAAAGGACGCGCACACCAGTTGCAGCAACATAAGAAAGATTCGACCGCACTGAAGTCACGTACACGATGAGGGAAGGTACTTATGAAGCCGCGCAAAGTGAACTGAACTATTGCACTAGCCCTGATTTGCGATCCATCTTTGTAGGAACAGTACGAGATTGGCTGATCCAGTTGACTTGCTTACCTGACGCCATCCTTTTCTTCGGCTAGAGTTAACTAAACTCACAGCTTCGGTTCTTCTTGCCTCCGCTAGACAATGCCACGTACCTGTACCCCCCAAAATCATCAAGCTGGAACGACCTCATCATCGTCACCATCATCAGCATCGAGATACACCAACTTCCTGTTCGACTGCACCATATGCTGAACAGTCACCATGACCATTCTAGTCTCCGTGGATGTGGCACTATGTATGTCGTTAGCCTCAACGCGGAATCAGCAGTTTACTCCCTATCCCTTCGAGTCTAACTTCCATACAGTATCTAAGCTTTATGCGAGATACGTGAGAACTTGAGGATTAGCTGTACTGAAACATGAGAAAATCTCATAATCAGTTCTTTGAGCTGTAGTCTATGTGTTGATGATGTAGTAGCCAGAGGAGTGCATGAGCAAGCGAAGTAGCCAGCGAGACATATCAGCTTCCGTTGAAGAGCTCATGCCACCAGAGCGTCTGGTTGCCAGCGACTACAGTAAATAATCGTGTCCAAGTGGCCTGGCTGCTGGATGAAGATACAAGCGGCCCAAGAAACCTAGATCGTGGAGATAGAGTCATCTTAGTTCAGAAAAAAAAACTTTTGGGTTGGTGTGTGCAGCCTACAGCTAGGTTTCGAGTTATGTTGTCGGTTCGCTGGCAGGTTGTCGATGATAAATGCTGTACATCAGCTTTTTAGAGGCGCCTGCGCAAATAGGAGTGCAGGAAGTAGTCGCCCAGTCAAGCACGCGCGCTTGATAGCAGGTAACGGTATGCTCCTTCCACCAATTTCTCCGTTTCACATTTGTCCCAAACGGCCGCGTAGTGCTCACATTTCATATCGCCTTCGCACAGTCTTCGCTTCCTCCTTGCAGTCATCGATGTAGCCTCTGCGGGTGATAGGCTTTACGCGCCTCATAACGTATCAATTGTGTCTACCGACTCGGCCAACAGGACGGACCTATCGCCTGTTTTGATCCTCTTGTCGCGGACTCATAATTACGGCTTTTTGAAAGCCTGTACAATTTCAATGTACAGCTCACCGTTCATCATCGCGCTGCTCCTGCATAATAACGTCACTGTGGTGAGATCTGTGACAATTCCATGCCCCATGGATGCCAAAACGGCGCGTCCGACTGCCGTTAGCGGTCGGTACTTGATGCCCAAGCTCAGGGTGAGTCCTGTGCAGGGCGAATCGGGAGTTGTCCGAGACGTACTGAAAGGCAACCGATTGGCCAACCTGGCAGGTTCGCTACGGCAGTTAAGACAAGGTCCCGACTTATTCGACGAACGGTGTGGGATGCTGGCATTGAAATTTCTGAAACACCACGTTAACGGCGGCCAGGAACGAGCAAGCTACCCCGGGAGATCAGCAGCCTCAACCGCAAGCGAAGTCTAGCCTGTATGGCGACACGCCGCAACACCAAGGATTGGAACTTGGCTACATCCTGGCTTGTTCCCCTGTTATTACCGATGCATGGTGTGCGAGTGCGAATAGAATTCCATGTGTCCAGAATGGGAATCAGCACTCGCGGATGATCGAATATCGAAGTGACGATCGGACCTTCAATGATCAAGACGTTCTTGGCGGACGCGCAACGCCGTTGCTGTCTTGAGCGAAGTCTCCATTTAAGTCTTATCAAAAGGCAATTATCGAATAGAGCCAGGCATCTGGAAGCGCTGATGTCGAGTGGAAGGGGCCAAACGTTGGCTCCGCGGGATGGTTGAGTGTACTGCAATTCTGTCTTTGATGTTTCTCTAGCCAGCCAGTTGGCAGGATGATATCATTGCGGTGACCGTCCTGGAGACCTGGAAGGCATGCTACTCTTCATAAAGACGATTCGTACCTGAGACATTCTTCCTATCTTCACTGCATAGACAGGACCAAATCCTTCCAGCTCTTTACAACACCACTTTCGTGAGTCGTTTTCCCTTTGTGACTCTGATATCGCGGACCTTGTCATGTCCACCGAACATCTGTTTCATTCTAGAGATGATGGCACGAACCCAACAAGGAACACAAACGTTGACGAGACGTATGCTCGATACGAGCGCTCTCCCTTCCGGAACTATTCGCTGAAGCCAATTCAAGGAAACCAAGACAGGATCAATCGCCAGAAGTCCAAAGCGAGCCTCATGAACCGATTCAACTCCGTTCGTTCGAAGTTGGGTAATACTAAGCAGGCAGGTAGCAATGGTACAACTCAAAATAGCCAGCGGCCTAAGCCGGACTACTCTTTAGCTGGTCCCAGTCCCTACGATGAACAGGACTCTGATGACTACGACTCTGATGAGGGTTTCGGCGACTACGGTAGACGTCCTTCTGCCATTATCGGTCTGGGAAAGCCATTTCCAAGGCAGAAGCGAGGCGGACGCTGGAGGAAGCGCGACAACGTGAAGAAGCCCAAACAGGCCATAAAAGGATCCCGGACCGACCAAGGGACCGAGAGTGGCAAGCCCGAGGGTCAGGTATGTCTCCACTCACAGCTGTCATGCCGAAGCTCACGTATACAGGTTGGAGGAGGCCCAGCAGGTCATCACGGCTCGCCTGTCCGCGGCCGTCCGCTCGGTGAGGCGGCCGGTGGACCAGCTGGTTATGGTCGGGATCCCGAGGATGAAGACGAACATGGCAATACAAATTGGATTGAGCAGGTCGCTGATGCGAACGGTCGTCACGACAGCGAGCAGACGCTGAACGATGATGAAGAGGCCGAGGGCAACCAAACGGCCGAAGACAAACACGGATCTCAGCCAAACTTTTGGTTTGGCATTCGACGTAAATTGAGGGAGCCTTTGGCAGAGTAAGTCTTCTCAACTACGCATCGAAACCTTTTTTGATCCTCTCAGATGGCTCGGTACACTGGTCTCGGTGCTCATGGGTGTATGCGCCAATCTGCAAATGAAGACATCAGAGGGCAAAGCCGGCTCCTTCGCTCAGTCAGCGGCCATGTGGGGTATAGGAACTATGATGGCTGTGTACATTGCTGGCGGTATCTCTGGTGCCCACTGTCAGTATTTCCCGCTCTTGCGCATCGAGAAACATGCTCATCTTGCTCAGGTAACCCCATGGTCTCGATCAACCTCTCGGTCTTCCGTGGCTTTCCAGCTCGTAAAGCTTTCATCTATATCTGCGCCCAGATTCTTGGAGCCATCTGCGCAGTATGGATCGCCTATGGCATCTACCACGACGCGATCATGGTAAGTGGTCCCATGAAGTGATTGCGGCAATCCCGCTAACGGAAGGTTCTTCTACTAGAATTTTGACCCCGAGAAGACGTCAACAAGCGACGGAAGCGGCACAGCCTTCTTCACGCTGCCCGCGTCCTTTGCTACTCCCCAGACAGCCTTCTGGACAGACTTTACGTCGGCTGCCGTGATGAGCGGTACCGTTATGGCTATGGGCGACGATACCAACTCGCCTCCTGGAGCTGGCATGCACGCCTTCATCATCGCGCTCATCGGGTTCGCCATGGCATCGTGCTTGGGCTACAACACTGGTCCTCAGACCAACCCCGCCAAAGATCTTGCTACTCGATTCGTTCCCAACGTTGTCGGCTATGGCGGCGATATGTGGGTCCAAGGTTGGTGGGCAGAGGCGTGGGCGGCTGCTATCTTTGGCGGTTTGTTCGGGTGCCTTGTATACGATGTTGCGATTTTCGAGGGTCCAGAATCACCTATTAACTATCCGAGGGCCAAGAGACAGCAGTCCAGGGAGGGCAACAAGGCCAAGTGGCTCAAGACGGGCTGGTTCGGAGCCGGCAAGAAACATCGCGCTGTAGAGGACTTGGAGAACGGTGTTGGAATCAATGAGAAGAATGCTGGTCATCAGATGGATGGCCACTAAGAGCAATGAACTCGAGAGGCAGTAGGGGTGAAGATGATGGAAAGAACAGCACATGGGAGTAACGAGGGAAATAGACGCAAGGGAGTAGGCAAAACGTGAGGCTTGTAATATACAGCACGAGGAACGACTTTACTTATGTACTATACCCTAATCAAAGCAACAATTTACAAGTTCGGGCTCAGCTCTCGGTTCCTGGTAATGTTGACGTACAGCAGGGGTGCGAAGTGGGAAGCGAAGCCGTGTCCGCGGATGGCGGTTGGGAGAGCCAGCCAGTATCGCGATGGCCAGACTGGCGGGAGAACGGGTTTCGTGAAGAATACCGAGCCCTACGCTGGTGATTCGTGCATTGCAGTTGGCGATGGGGAGCATGGTGTTTTGCACTTTCCCATGGGTGTCATTGTAGTGCCGCGCTTCGCACGATCTTCGTCATGGGGCGCCGCAAGAGCATTTGGCATCATAGTAACCTGCGCTTCTTCCAGATCAAGTGGTCCTGATATGACCTCTATATTTGTGGTAGATTTGTTGGTGTCGAGAATACGATGACGATGATGTCGCTGATCACGACAATTGAGACTTTGGGGGCTGCACGCCCCTGACTCAGCATTTGCTGCGCTGTGAAACTGGGATCATGACGCGCGCCGTTAGGCTTACCGCACCAGGCACAGCATGGCCTCGCCGACCCTCGACACACGGCGTTTATTGAGGAACGTGATGGAGCACGGCTGAATCAGGCTTCCATACACGTACTCATTGCAATCTACGAAGAGCGCGCTCGCTCTTGCCGACCGCCTGTTTTCCAGTCAACAACCCCGCCGACCGCCGCCACCATGATCGGAACGAGCATCCCCGCGTACTTCTTCATTCGCATATGCATCCTCCTGCTCCGGCTTGTCCTGCCGCTCAGTATCTTCTTCTGCAGCTTCAGCATCGCCGAGCACCCTCAGACCGGGTTCACGCGCTTCCTGCTTGCTTGGGCCATCATCGAAACCGCTTTCTGGGTCCTCGTATTCATACCTCGCAAGCGCGCTCTGCAGGTCGAAGCCCCGCATCCGCCGCCTCTCGGTCAGGATGAGCGTAAGGAGCTGTTTTGGAAATGCTGGGAGAATATTCCGGAGCCTGAGGGATACGTATCGCGGTGGTTTCTGGGCGCAAGAAGCTATGAGATTAGGCGCGAGAATGTGAGGGAGTTTTTCAAGTGGGCGTTGCTGTATAAAGGAGATGAGAAGGCGCAGAAGAAGGTTAGGACCGAACCTGCGGAGGGCGAGCAGGAGGGGTTCGAGGTAGACGACGAGGTCAGCAGGAAGGCGGAGGAGGAGCGGGAGCTGGACGAGTATGCAGATGGAATGCAGACGCTTCTTGGAAGGCGTATTGAACCCGGGAGAGGGCCCGCAAAGAGCCTGCGTTTGACGGTGGACGAGGTCAAGATGCTACATCGGCCGGTGGTGTGGTATTTGGTATGTTCGCTACCGTGATCTGAATATCGAGCTCTGCTAACAAGACTAGATTGTAATGCTAGTAGACACCCTCACCGCTGCGTACCTCCGCTTCAGCGGCTTCCTACTCTATCGAACCCATGCCAAGAAAGCGCTGTCCATCTTCCCTCCGCGCGTTGCCTCTCTGTTCACCCGCCAGATCTCCCCTTCGCCGGATTTGTCCTACTGGTATCGGCCGCATACCTCCAAGACCCGCCTCCCCATCCTCTTCATTCACGGCATTGGCATCGGCCTTTTCCCCTACTCGCAGTTCCTTGCCGAAATAAACAAGCATGACCCGCTTGGTCCCTCAGACGGAGAAATCGGAATCATAGCCATCGAGCTTATGCCCATCAGCTTCCGCATTACAGGCGGCATCATCGACCGTGACGAGATATGTCGGCAAATCGACCTCATCCTAGCGCGCCACGGCTTCGATAAAGTGGTCTTGGCGAGCCATTCGTACGGAAGCGTAATCACCACGCATTTGTTGCAGGACTCAAGGACGAAAGATAAGATAGGGCCGATGCTGTTTGTCGATCCAGTAACATTCCTTCTGCATCTCCCGGACGTCTGCTACAATTTCACGGCTCGAAGACCGCGGCGCGCAAATGAGCATCAACTATATTACTTCGCGAGTACGGACATGATGGTCAGCCACACGCTTGCGCGACACTTCTTCTGGGCGCAAAATATCTTGTGGAAGGACGAGCTTAGAGGGCGGGACGTTACAGTTTCGCTGGGTGGTAGAGATCTCATTGTCGATACGGAAACCGTAGGCAGGTATCTTGCCGGGGTGGACTTGAAGAGCGAGGACGGCGGCTGGAAAGACAAGGAGACGCGAGGCGAAGGCTTGGAGACGATTTGGTGGCCGACTTGCGATCATGCGCAGGTCTTTGAGAGCAAGGATGGAAGAGCGAAGTTGGCTGGTGTGCTGAGAAAGTACGTGGAAAAGAGGGGAGGGGAGGACGAGGATGAGTTGGCTTGATTTTGATACCCAATTATTCTCACAACAGCTCACGATCTTTCCGCACGCTTTTTCACGTTAGAAGGCTATCCCGTGGTTGACCCCTCGATACCACGTGGTGTCACCCTGTCAGGGTCCATACTGAGGGGTGCCGACCGGACCACCACGGGATGACCCGCATTCCCAAGGTTCGGCCCCGCAAGCGCCCCGAATGTGGCTGATGTTGCATCGCATGTATAATGTCGCATGTCCTATCTATATCCCATTAACAATATAGGCACAGGCTCGCCATCGTCACTGCGTGCTCGATTTCTAAGTAGACACCAGAAGTACGCTGAAGTGATCGATTGTTATACATTCCTGATATATCACCCTTCATTCTTGCCTACAGCATAGAGCAGCAACACGCATCACCATGCCGAACGGAAACTGGATCCTCGGCGACCTCTTCCTCAAGGACTACGGCCACGAAGGCAGCATCAAGAAATTATGGGAGATGCGATGGATGTTTCCCTGCAAACTAGGCGTATACCCCTTCCATGACGGCAAATTCGAGGACTTCGAACCAATTTTCAGCCATCTCATATCGAAGGATATCAATGATCCGTTCTCAGACAAGTACACCTCCTCCTTCCTTCCCACCGCCCGGTCCCTTGCAAAGCAAGCCCAGGACCTAGAATCCTCGGATAAAGAGCAGGCAAAGAAGATGTACTTGAGGGCAAATGCCGTATACAGACTGTCCAGATTTCCATACATCGATACAGAATTGAAGAAAACCGCCTTCGAAGAACAAAAAACGGCCTACCTTCGTGGCGCTGCGTTATGGGATGTCCCCGTCACCGAAACAATCATTGCCCACAAATACGCTTCTAACAACGACGGCGATAAAATCCCCCTCTATATCCGCAAACCTCCCGGGAAAGGCCCGTTCCCTACCGTACTGCTGATCACAGGCCTCGACGGCCACCGCCCCGACAACACGGAGCGCACCACAGAGCATCTATCTCGCGGTTGGGCAACCGTCATCTGCGACATCCCCGGTACAACGGTAGATTGTCCTGCCAATAGACGGGATCCGCTATCACCTGACCGGCTGTTCTCTTCGATACTGGATTGGATTAGAGATGAACAGGAACTGGATGAGACAAAGGTGGTGGCATGGGGTTTGTCGGCGGGAGGGTATTATGCGATCAGATTGGCGCATACACATAGGGAGATGTTGAAGGGCGCGATTGGTCATGGGGCCGGGACGCATCATTATATTGGGAGGGAGTGGCTGGAGCAGGTGCATAGGCATGAGTATCCGTTCGGGCTTGAGAGGGCGTACGTTGGCAAATACGGATACGCCGATTGGAAAGAGATGTTGGAGAGGTGTCAGGATGAGTTTAGTCTTGTTAGTGGGAAAGGGGAGGGGGTTGCGGTTGTGGGGGATGGTATGAAGAGTTGTAGGCTGTTGCTAATTAATGGGGTGTTAGATGGGTGTATGCCGATGGAGGATAGTGTGTTATTGAGTGAGTATGGGACTCCGAAGGAGTTGAGGATGGTGCAGGGGAGGGCGCATATGGGGTATCCGGAGGCCAACTCATTTGTGTATCCTTGGATGGAGAGTATAATGAATGCGTAACGTAATTCGAGTAGATTATGTCAGTATGAGGGTGACCGTTGGTTCCTTTTTTCCTTATGTGAGTGCGGTAAGTGTGCTACTTCAATGTAGCGATTATATTAGCATATTAACAAGTTGTAGGTTCACCTGGCTCGTGGGCATTTCCCAGCCGACGGAGATTAAGCTTCACCCCTGAAAGCAAACCCTAAAGGCGTCTCATCATTTGAGTCATATTCAGACCCTATTCAACAGCGAAGAGCGCAATCTAAAAGCAACCAAACATTCCCACCCGGGCAGGAGTCAAGTCCCGTGTCCCCCTCTTGATTTCTATGCTCACGCCTTGCTACCTCAGTCCCTTCATGATAATCTTCAAGGGTCGAGATTATCTAAGCATCTCTTTTATAGATGAACTGATCGTCCTCGTCATCAGCTTCTTTATCAATACCCACAAGCGCTTCGAACGTATTAGCGGTGGCGAAGCGATTCGAACTGTGACCGGACGGTGAGCGCTTGTTTGCTCTTCTGCGGTCATACAGATGGGGTTGATCTTTAGAAGCAGGATGTTGTGCAGGTGGCCAAAGGGAAAGGCTACGATCGAATCCTTCGCTAATGGCAGGAGAAGGGGCGTTCATTTCGGGCGAGCTACCAGCGGGGGACTTGGTATTGGTGACAAGGCTGATTTGAGAGGTCGAATCTCCGGCCTGGGAAGACTCAGACTTGTGTGCGTTAGTGTGCTTCGCAAGCGGAAGGAGCAGTTTGGCTGGGTTCCACAGGATGTGGGTCGCAGTTCTTCGCCTGTGGGAAGCCCATCCACCTTTCGAAGATTGATGGATACCTGTGGTACCTCTGGGCACGTGCTCCTGCACGATTTTGTCCACGACATGCTCCTCATTCTTCAGTATCTTTCGCTCCCGCCCTGCTTCTCGCTTAGACTCCCTGTTGGCCTTCGCCTTCTTTGAATTGCCATTCTCTAATGCAAAAGAGACGCAGTCCTCAGTCATGTGGCTCGAAGCTGCCTGACGGCGTCCCAAGGCTGCACAATGATCGCAGTGAACAGGCACCTTACAACGCCCGCCACATCGTCCTCCATTCTCGGCGAAATGATCGCGTGAGTGACAGTGCTGGCAATATTTGTCGGATCCGTGGTCCCATGCATCACCCTGGCTGAGACGCTCGATCCCATCAACCACTTCCTGAACCCCTTTCTCTTCACTATAACCATTATTAGGCAAGACAAGGAGGACCGCTGCGATCAGCGTCATGGCAGCATCATTGGAGGCGGTATGCGCATCGCGATACTCGAACCCGAGTTCATGGATGATTCGCTGCAACCCCACCTGATCTCGGGACCTCCAGTAGCCTAGGTCGCGTACGATCTGCTGTGTATCCACTTCCTTTACGACATTGCCCAGGCGGTTAGGATCGAGTCCGAGAAGCTTCCACAATTTTACCGTATCTCCACCGAGAGCATGACCCAGGATGACGACCGGACAGATGCCCTGGCCATCTGCGGTACGCACGGCGAAGAACTCTTCCAGCGCGATGCGTGCTTCTTGTATCGACAGAAAGCGGGTCCGACCAAATCGGTTGCTCGTGGGATCGCCTTGTGTGCCGCTACTCGTAGTCTGTTAGCATCCAAGTACCGGGTGCAATTCGATATTCCTTGCTTACGTCCGACTTTCCAGATGCGAATTCTCCGCAATCCGCGCATGATAAAAGCTCGCATTGTGCAGGATGTTCTCGCCCCACGGCCCAGGCTTCACTGAACGCGCCGACTGAGCGGAAAAGCGGTTGAAGCCTACTTCGGTGAGCTTGGAGCTATCGGCGTTCCAGCCCTCGGTGTCGAAACAGATAACTGTTGTGAGGTAGGCAAGTGCAGGGATTTTGGAGAAGCGGGCGTCGGTGGTGTCTTCTATGCCCAAGCAGAACTGAAGGGATTCGGCGTGCGTAAGGGCCGAGAAGAATAGTTTGACCTCAGCCATAGCTTCGCGATCGACCATATCGTACTCGTTGTCGGCGTAGAGCGAGTCGTTCGGGGAGGTTGAGGGTGACGAAGTCATCTTTCTATCTTTGGGGTTAGACAGGGTTACAATAGACAGCGAGTGGAACTTGAAATACCTTGCGCGAGGCGTGTCTCGGCTCTCTGTTGTGTTTAAGATCCTTCAACTGGAATCACAAAGGGTGCCGACTGGCAGTGAGTCAGACGTAGTTATGTCCGGTGTTGGTGGGCGATCAAGTGCGCAAGATATTCCCGTCGCGACTATGTTTGTCATGGACGCGAAGGGAGCGCAAAAGGCGTGGGCGAGCTTTGCTTAGTCACGAGACGGAGAATGCCAAGCGTGGACCGGTGAATGCAGAGCACGTGAAAGACGCAAAAAACGACAACACGGCCTCTCGCTTATCTAAGAAATTGACACGCCAAGGTCTTCGGGAAGGGAAGGAGTTGGCGAATAGTACGTTTGCTGTAATACGCTGTAACGAACGCACCTTTGTACAGAGGGCGCAAGAATGTCGCAGTTGCAAGCAGAGGCTGCATGAAATCTCACAGTGTGGCAAATGAAACGTGAAAGGTAGATCCCTTAACATCGAATAACAATGGACTTCTCAAGTCCTTTGGATATCATCTACCGAAGTTTGACTCCAAACCTAGATGTCTCTAAGAACATCTGCAAGCTATGAGCACTGAATAAGATTGAAGAAGGTGCAACCGGCACCTGCTTCCACCCGAGTAGACCCCATCTCAATCGACAGTCCTGCTATTCCTCACTGCTCTAGTTTGACCAGCCAGTAACGCGATTAGCGAGGTCAGAAACGTAAGACGCTGTAGCACCGCGACCATCGCTAAGGTTGGCTTCATTGACGTTGCCACTGTTGTACTCGCGTAGAGCCGGAAAGACAGTCTTTCCACTCCACTCATTGCCGAAGTGGTCCATGTTTCCTCGGAAGTGCTTCACACCTCCACAAACCATCGAGGTGATGTCCGCCTGTTCAGGGTCAGTGCAGGATTCCAAGTAGCACGGATAACATACCTGACTTAGCCCATGTTGGCCTGGGAAACCGGGACAGCCGCTGCATTGCATCAAGCCTGCCGTTGGAAGACCGCCGCTGTATGTCGTGATTACGCCAACATCGCCGCGAGATTCTTGCATCATTATTCCTAGGATAAGTCTACGGTCGACGTGGTACTGATTGGCGCAGTCTTCGATGGCTTCTTTGATGTAGGTGACATCGGTTTCGATGTTTCCGCCGGCTGAGAGGGCGGCTTTGTTGACTGAACGGAACAAAGGTCAGCGAGTGGTTTGACTTAGATACCCACTCATCGTTTCTCAAGGCTAAAAGCACTGCAGATGGTTGTAATTTGAAATGAAGGTACTCACGATTCCACATGAAATCGTACCGAGTCCACGTGCCGACATCAGGAAAATTCTGTGCTGGTCCTGAGAACTGCCTGTATGCGGCACCAGATTCCAAGAGGCCCTCCGAATTTCTCTCAACGTCAAGACCAAGTATGCCGTTGACAGGGTGCTGTACTGATAGCTTCCAGAAGCAAGCTGCCAGTAGCGTGGTTAACAGCCAAGTGAGTATTTTTGCCTAGCGTTCTGTTAACAGATATTCATACGTATGGTTGAATATCAAAGGCTATCTCGGGGTGGAATCAGCAATCATGATGATTGTTACTTACCATGGTTGACGGAGCGGGATGCAGTGGGAGCTGGAGTGGGTGTGCGTCTCGGGGAGCAGACTTCCCGCGTGGTTTTATAGCACACCCGTGGTAGTAGCTTATCTAAGTACTTCACTGTAGCCCTAGCATCAGGGAACGCGGCGTCCAAGTGTAGAGACCACGTTGAATCTCGCGCGCAGTAGTGTCCAGTGCGCAGAGTCAGAAGGTCAAACCCCTTTTTTTCAACAATGCCTAACGCTTTTGTCAACCTCCGCGAAATACTTGGCAAAAAAAAGGAACACGGTCACATGTGCCTAATTAACGAAAATAATCTCGAGTCTTCAAAGTGCGCAGGAGAATCACGGTGAAGAGCTCCTCAATCTGCGCGCCTAGTCTTCCATCCGAAGACTAGACTTGAGAGTGTGATCCATTCGAAACCTGAAAGGCGCTCGCGAATGTCCCCTTGACCGTATAACATGTGATGAGAAGCTTTGCGCGATTTGTTCAGTAAGAAGACTATGACTGGGAAGATTCCGACTGCGCTTTCCTACTTTGGCGCGTATGAGGCAAGAACAAATTCGTCGCAAGATTCACAAGAGCTGTTTGGTGAGCAAAATTCCTCCTCTGTTATACTTCACTGATCATCGATATTAGGAAACATGTTCGACCCTAGATTTGAAACTTTTCAGATGTTTCAAAGTGACCAGGACGCGCTCCAGCTTGCTTTGCTACATTTCCAAAAAAAAAAAAAAAAAAAAACATGCAACCTTGGAAGACGTCGCATGAACACATTGACTAGGGGCATATTCGAATCGAACTGCAATTCGTTCGCGTGAGCCAACAAGATTGAGCACACTCCGTAATTCGACCTCACTTGTTTGCCTCACTGGTTTATACTCTGTGCGTGCGTGTTGTCCCACCATATCGATGACTGATTGTTGACCTTCCGGTCGATCCAAGTCTTTTACAAACAGTCGGTATCCACGGAAAGTGCAATAGCTCAGCGCCGTTGCGGGTCCAACTTACGCGATAGAGTTCATCTACGACAAAAATCACCGTCACAAGTCAGATACCTGCGACAGCTTGAGTAATGTTGGCGCCTTGAGCTTTTGTCTTGACTAAGAGAAGATCACAGTCGAGGTCTTAAAAAGAATTTCATGTGTTCCTAGTATATGACATCGAGAATGAGCTTTTTCGCGTGTCTCGTCTTGACTTGGTGCTTGCTCAGGTTGAGCAATGCCATCAAGCCCACGTGTGATTTCCAGTCATTTGTTCCTTTCGACAATGGTATTTGGCCCTGATTTTCGGAAATCTGTTGAAGTGATGGTCGTTTGCAGTGGGAACACTGCTCAACCAATCCGCAGCGAACGGTAGCCCCAGATTCGTCCAAGTGTTATTTGCAATCTTACTCGTTTGACCGCTTGACTGAACGTTTGGGAGACTCACCGCTCATACCGATGTCGGGACTTTCATCATTGCTCATTCCGGATCTCTCATTATTATAAAGGTAGGTTTGTCTCCTCGCAGTTGCTCTTCTCTCCACACCGTTCTTGGATTCTGCTCTTTCCATCTACATCACTCGACAGATTTCATACTTCGTGCCTCCTACCTCATTCTCCAACATGCGATTTGCCATCTTCCTCGCGGCCATGATGAGCGTCCTGCTCTCCGTGCTCGGTGCGGCCGTGCCTGAACCTCAGAGGAAACCCGATTCCGCCAGCCGCGACGAGCGAGGTCTTTCAACAGCTCCCATTTCCGCAAGGCAGAACACCACCGATGAACACCCACTCTGTGGCGCTTTCGCCTGGTGGAACAACGGCAAGTGGCAGGAAGAGAAGCTATGGGAGACCCGCACATGCCTCTATATGTGGCACAACGTCGGCAAAGTCGACGTTGAGGACTGGGGCAAGTGCGAGCTTTGCTTCTTCTTTCCGTAAGTCATCTCAACAAGAAGTGAGATTTAGCGTATAGACTGATAGTGTTCCAGATCCAAGGACTGCACTGGCCGCAATACCCTCACAATTGACGCCAATCACGGCTGGACGGACACCAGGGGGGATGTGTGGAGCTACTACTGCTTCTTGAAGGGTTGAGACGGTATCAGCGTACGTTTTTACGATCCCCGCCTTTTCATTCTGTCGAAAGCGTCCGCTAACAGTCGCGTGCAAGCGTGGAGCTTTCGTATGCTCCAAGGCTGGTAGGAGATGAGTTGGTGGGCATGCGGATTGTCTCGATGATGCATAATTGGGTCACTTCACCCAATGGTAACTTGGCACCTAGTGAGGTCACCCTGAGCCAAATTGGATGCTCTAAACCTGGAGTATAGCAATGATACTGTTACTTGCGATGTGTTATAGTGACTAATTGTATCAACAATGCGTGGGCATTGCGAGACGAACCATGTTGTCGTGCGACCTGTGCAGTGAAGAGCGCCTATTCATTGCCATTATGAGAACGTGTTTGCCAATAACGACATTGATCCCCTAGCCGAGTATCGGGCACTGCGCCCAATCTTCCAAGTGAGAGTAGCTGTGCGTTGAGATTGAGCTGCACTGTGCGCCCCCGGCCGACAGTAGGTCACGTGATACTTACCACGCCCGGGCGGGCTGCACCTTCCCCAGTAAATCACTTCAACACGCGCTCTTGCTTCATCCAAATCAACGCCCAACAGTCCGCGACCCTCAGCTAGACGCGCCAACATGTCAGGCACATCCCAGCCAAATGGTCTGTCTGAAGGGCTTCCCGTTCGCCCAGAGCTGGAGCGCAAAGCTATCTTTCATTTCTTGCGCCTTCCGGCCGGTAAGCTTGCGCTATGTCTCCGCGTAGAAGTCTGTGGGCTAATTGACAGAGCAGAGCTTCGCAATATGATATACAGCTATGCGACCACCCCTGTGCATGACCCCCAAGGCGGTCGCGTGTGCCTCATCCACCAGGAGCCCGGTGAATATCGTGATTTCACAGGCCTCCCTCACGTCTGCAAAACGATCCACAAAGAGTACACTACGACCTTGGTACGCAATACCATGGTCACTGTCCGTGCGGAAGAGGTGAGCGTATACGTCGATACCTTCTACTCGGATCGCGATGGTGCGCTGAAGTACGGCGACTTGCGGGTCATTTACACAGCGTACGGGGAGCCGCTAGTTGGAAGCAGCCTCTGTGAAAACTTTAAGCATGAGTCGCGCAATTTAGACGTATTACAGCTGCTCGAGGTCCAATTCCGTCTGCCTCGGATGCGCGTCGCATTTCTCTGCTACATGCTCAGCTTCGCCAATAAAGAGCCGATGTTGTGGCACGACCTTACCGAAGATTTTAACGAGCTATTCTCAGCGATCCCAGTCGGGGGTCCTTCACAACCCGGTGCAGATTATCTGCCATCCATTCTGCCTGCAATGGTCGGCTACTTTGCGAACAGGACCGATTACGAGCTCTCAGTAAGCTCACGATGGCCGAAGCCATCAGACCAGCTCTCCTACTATCCCGCTATAGTCTTCAACGTCAAGTACGACGCCTTGAAAAACCCCGATCTACCGTTCGCAGAATGCTGGCTTTTTAAGAACGCTGTTGCCACACTCGCACACGTTTTGGAACGTGGATGAAGTGATCGAGCTAGAAGAAGTCAGACCTCGATATGACATCTACAAGATGATGACATTCCTTTTTCAGACCGACCTTCATGAAAGATGGGCGGAGGAGTGGTTTCTCAACTTCCAGCTCGACACCCGTTCACATACCAATGATGCTCCGATCAACTTCATGGGCGACCACACTTCCCCTCATGTAGACGATGCTCCAGAAGTCACCGAAGGTTACGAGGAAGGCGAGAGCGCAGGCACAAGCGCACATCAACATGCAGACATGGTACAAGAAGCGTACGCAGCACACGCAGGCGGCGATCAACGTGAAGAGCCTGGGCACGCATCTCCCGGCTTGCCTTTCCGGCCGCACGTCGAACCAAACGATTCATATGGATGGGAAGAGTACCAAACTATCACTTGCCGACTGCCTCTCCTACACTATTCACTGGAAGAACTGCGTGTCATGGATTACCATCATGGCCATGGCTCTTACTACAGTCTTCTCGCCGCAACACCGCCGGCGCGATACGAGGATCTGTCGGAGGAAGAAGAGGTTCCAAGTGTCTTTCGAGAATTGCTGGAAGAGGTAGGGCTTACGCTTGAGGACGAGTAACTCCCGTAGATGCGCGACCATGAGGACAACACCTTGGAATCGGTAATGCACGTCAAGCAGTGTTCAAGAAGCAGATCATCAGCTCAAGTCACATCTGAGAGGATCAGGAATGCACCTAGCAAGTACTGGGCCCAAGGAGCGAGAATAGATTGGTTTGAATGTTTCTGCTGGATTGATCTTCGAGCGCAACCACGCCACCGCGTGGATTTGGTTAACGTCTAACAGCAACTTTATGAGGTTGGATATACGAAGCATTGAACGAACCTACCGTCATCGTACTGTTTGTCTATTCGTGATTCGTAATCTAACCTAGACTTTGCCCCCAGTCCGCTCCTTTGTGTGCGTGCATATCATGCAGATGGACATGACCGATCTTGACCTGCATTTCTGCGGTGCATTTCCATATCAAGCCTTTCCAGACCGTAGCCTCACATGTGCGATCGAATTGCATTCGCCAACCGATTACGGCAAGATCGCTGCAACCTCATCCACAATCTGCTTAGGGTGTCCCTTAGATGCGACCCCGCACTCTACACAGGATGACCCTCAGGCGTAAACCCGAAATCCCTCTCGAATTGATCCCACCCGCCAACCGGCTCTTCACACATCTTCATCTCGCTAACAACCATGTCGTAATACCCATCTCTCGGCAGCTTCCCGTGACACACGGTCCCACCCATCGCAATATTAAGCAATATCCTGAAATCCTCCATCCTCCTGATGCCCTGCGGAATATTCGCCCTCTGGACAGGCTTCCCATCGATATACCACACCATGCGACCCCTCCAATTCGGTATCCCCTCCTCTTCTATCCACGCGAAGCCATACGTGTGCGGGCGCGAGGCGATATCGTGCAACGGCGTGACGACGACCTGATGTTTGTTGTGATCCTCGGCGTTGTAATGGCCCCAATGCAAGCACGTGTGGTTGCTCCCCTCGCCCTGCCAGCTCTCGCAGATGTCGACTTCGCCGTCGTTCGGCCACTGGAAGGGGTCCTTCGGAAGCATCCAGTATGCGGGCCACACGCCTTCCGCACTCGGGGGCAGTATCGTTGCGGTGAGATAGCCCCGTGGCCGCGAGAGCGTCTGGTGCGATGTAAGGCGCGCGCTGGTGTAGCTTCCGTTCTGCACGAGCCCGCGCACGATCAGCCGGTTATCGTGGTGGAACGAGTTCGCGGGATTGTCGGTGTAGTTTTGTTTTTCGTTGTTGCCCCAGCCGTGGTCGCCTTGTTCGTGGCGGAAGTTGTGGGATACTGGGGTGGAGGCGTCGAAGGAGGGCTTCCAGTACACTTTCTCGGTGTACGGGGATGGGACGTTTTGAGGGGAGGTGGGTCTGATATCGGGCGGTTTTGGGGTACGGCGGGAGGCGCGGGCGAATGCGGTTTGCTATGCTGTGGGATTGGTGGTGCACCGAAACCCTGTTGCGGGGGAGGAGGTCCCCATTGTTGTTGAGGGGGTCCCCATTGGTTTTGGGGGGCGCCCCATTGTTGGTTCGGAGGCTGATACTGTTGAGGGGGATACTGAGCGCCGGTGTATTGAGGATTTGGAGCGCCTGTGTACTGAGGGGTTGGAGCACCCGTGTACTGCGGCTGTTGGCCTGGATAGCCTTGAGGAGGGGCCTGGCCGGGGTAGCTTTGCTGATTGTTCGATGAGTGCTGGCTGTTGTATTTCTGCTCGTATTCTTTGACCTTGGCTTTGCCTTTCTCGAAAAACTTGTTGAAGGAACTCGACATGATGGCGGATGTGTGTTTACGGTGCGGGGAGATTGTTTGGCGATGGAGGCTTACCGCGTCGTGGGGCAGAACTGACCAATGATGTCACTGGTTGACTCAACACCAAGAATCTATCCCAACGTTTATCCATCAGATATGCACGACCAGATATCTTGAAATGGATTTGTGTGAGGATTCAATTTCATGTCCACGTAAACTACATAGGTTCGTCATCGTACAGAGCCATTATTCCGAGTCGTTGCGTCGTCAAGGGTATCATGAACGCGACAATTCCCGTATCGCCACCAGTCCATTGCGCCGTGACACCGTCCCTCTTGCCATAAGCAACCCTCAATACATAAGGCGCGCCGTTATCTTTCTGTACGTCGCGCGCTTCCTAGTTCAACTTCTTGTTGCCAACTTTGACGGTATTGCCCTGCTTGCGCTGGTACTGCAAGAATCCGAAGAAGGCGAGCCCAAGAATGGCGAGCATCGCGACGTTGCCTGTGAACATGGGTTAGTGCTCGCTCTCTTAGTTGTCTTGCACATGGAATTAGTAGTCCTTACCGAGCACGAACTGGACAATACCACCAGCAAGATCAACAAGCCCCTTGAAGAACTCGATGAAAAGGTTGATGGCGCCACTGAAAAAGCGCAGCACAAATTCGACCGTCTTTTGCACAAGGTCACCCGCCGTAGTGAAGAGAGACCAGACAACTTCGATGAGGCTCTTGGCTAGATCGCTGAGGGATTGGATGATGGAAGACATGGTTTGTTGTCGTTCGGTTGGAGGAATTAATGCGAAGTATGGTGTAGTTGGTAGGGTGCCGTCTTTGTTTGGGAATTGTAGTAGTAAGGTGTACGTTATCTGCAGTAGTTATGGCAGGCGCAAACACGAGGATGATGTCGTTACTACGTACTCACAAGCGGGTGCAGCTAAGCTTGCTTGTTTTGTTCCACAACTGGTATAGGCAGCAGGAATCTGGAGGTGGCTTTAAAAAGGTGGCTGGAAGAATGCTGTTTGGTTGGTGTGGGTGAATGCGGCACGCGATGCGCGTCATGTGTGTGACGTCACTCGAGGGGTTGTGGTAGTGCCCGTGTCGTCCGCATGGGCATCTGCGCACTTCTGCACATCGACAGCGAACGATGCATCTCGAAGCTGCCGTTTTAGGAAGTTTGTGTCTCAATTATCGCGTGATGCTCCTCCAAGTCTCTTGCATGGATCAGTCTACATGTCATGCACGTGGATGACAAAGTACCTCACCCAACCGTCGCTTCCAGACGCAGCCGATTCATGTCGCTTTCCAGCGAGGAGGAAGATCCGACCCCGATCCTGCCGCACATCCTTCAGTGACAACACCCTCAACACGGGAAAAATAGAGGTCGCTGTCCCGAAATCATGACTCAAAAATCACGTTCAAACTCAGGCCGCAAGGGGTAACTGCCTGCGGCTGACGTGAGATAAAACACCACAACATTGACCTGCAAAAAGCACGCGTTCGAACTCATGGAGCCATTGGAACAACCTCCACAGAACGGGAAGGGCAACGTTGAGTCATTACGTTAAGTCCGTAATGTCCTGCTCCCGCGAAGGAAGTACGAGCTAGCGACATAACGTCGTATCCAGAAATGAACGTCGGCGGCAAGCGCTGACCATTTTTCGTGCAAGAACCGCTATCGACTTGGTAAGTATAAGAGGAGTTGGGCGACTCCAGTGGAGATCAGAAATACACACCCTATATTACTATGAAGCTATTCCTATCCGCCACCATCCTCTCTCTGGCTTCGGCCGCCGCAGTGCAAAAGCACGGAACTGTGCAACAGCTTGCGACCTTTCCTGGCTTTGCTGAGAACATCGCAGTCCGTCACAATGGCCACATCCTCGTGACATCTCTCTCGACTCCTTCCATCCACTACCTCAATCCAGCCAGACCAAACAAAACCACCCTACTTCAACCCATCCCAGGTGCAAACGGCGTCAGCGGCATAGTTGAGCTACAAAAGGACATCTTCGCCGTCGCAGCAGGGATATGGAACACGACCGCACGACGCGAGACCAATGCATCTGTATGGACAGTCGACTTCCGGCACTCATCTGCGCATCCCACCTTGAGAAAGATCGTCAACATTCCAGAAACGACAGTCTTAAACGGGCTCACATCGATACCCGGAACTTCAATCGTTCTTGCCTCGGACTCAGCAGTGGGTGCTATCTATGCCATCAATGTCAAAAAGCACACCCACTCGATAGCGATACAAGATAGTGTTTTGGCGCCAACAGGGCCTACACCGAATCTGGGCGTCAACGGAATCAAAGTCCACAAATCGAACCTGTATTTTGCAAACAGCGGCACTGGCGTCTTTGGACGCTTTCCGATAACCCGTTCTGGGAAGCCGACTGGGCCTGCAGAGACGGTATCCCAGTTCAGCGGATCGGTGGACTCAGCCATCGATGATTTCGTCATCGACGAGCATGGGAATGCGTACATCTCTTTCCATCCAAATACTGTTTTCAAAGTCGACAGCCACAGCAAACAGAAGGTGATTGTTAGCGGGGCCCAACAAATACGAGATCCGACAAGTGTCGCACTGGGACGGGGAAGCAAGAAAGGTAGAAAAGCCCTTTATGCCTCTGTTAACATTCTGGCGGACCCGACTGTTGGTGGTGTCGATGCAATCTATCTGTAACATGACTTCTGATCGGGGGATGGTCGATCCGCGGTTGTACATGTAGTAGTCCTACCAAGGGCACGAACATGAGTTGCTCGTAATAACGTACAGTTCTAGATGAGTTAAGCGAGAGTCGCGTTTGCTTTCTTTCGGTGCTTCTTAGGTCGCGACTGCCTCCGTCTGACACTTGCCCAGCCTCGCAGCTAGAAAGCCTAAACGCCCTCTTCTGTGACCTCCAGCAAAGGCTACACAGCCGCCACCCCGCTCTACACGCCGCCTGATCACATAAGGGTTACGATGTGGGCATAGTAATCCATACGACAGCATACACAACCGCGTGATTGACGTCTGATTGACAGGTTACACGGCGGGAACGGCTACACAGAATGTTCTTGGACGACGAGGGAGGGGGGAAGGGTGAAATGGACGGGACGACGCCGGATATGACCGCTCGACAACAGTGTGCACGAAATGCGCGGTGATACCTGTCACTGTGACGGTCACGGAGCCATATGGCAATATGCGTGTTGTGGGTTACAGTGAGAGACCAAGCACGACACCAACAGTAACGTACCGCGAGCATATGGTACCGCAACTGACGTGCCGGTCACGCAGGGTAGCAAGGCTCCTGCATCAGGCGTTGAGTCCTTCATTGGCGCTGCTTCTAGTCTAAAGGCCGAAAGGCTGAAAGGCTGAGTTGGTCAATGGCAGGCAGTGTCGTGGTCGTTATAGTCCTGTTCATGTGAGAGATGCACTTGGGCTTTAATACGTACTTCCGCAGCACTTTTAGTATTTGCTAGTCTTAACATATCATTTGCTCGAGAATACCCATTCCAAATGCCTAGTTGAGAATTCTCTCATGTTCCATGTCAGCCACATTGTCCCTGTCAAGTTCATTCTGTGTGTAAGAACTCTCGACTACCGCTAAGCCCTACCCATGTGACTAAAGTGAGGCCTCGAATCATGCCCGAGCTCAGTTTGCGTAGCGTTCTGAGTTCACTCTATGCTTTGGGTATTCCCGGGTCTCCCGCGCACCAGGCATGGTACGAGTCCTGTGGGCGTTTCTTCACTTGGTCCCTTGGTCCCTTGGCAACTGCAGCTGACTTCGCGCGGCCTCTTCGAGCACCTGAAAGACCCTTCTTCTCAGACGGGATCCAAGGCCTAGCGGAAGCTAAGTACTTCAGACAATCAGCCAAAGTCGAGATGATCAAATATCGCAGACAATGCTTACCTCGTTCAGTTTCTTCTGGGCGGCGTCGGACCACTCAGCAGCCGAGCATATCCCTATGGCCGGGGGCCGAACTTGAATAACCCCGAAACGCACATCGACGATGTGTCCGCGGCCTCTCATGCTTGCGAGAAGCGGAAAGAGCGATTCGTAGATTCTAATGGCTCGGTCGATGTCCTCCTCCCCAGTAAGGATGACCAACGGCGTGTCCATGATGAGTTCGATTTTGGCCCTGCGCTTGAGCTCGAGCAACAATCGGAGTGTCTTCAGCGTGAACTTCCATCCATTTCCAGTCGGTCGGACGCATAGCCTGAGTCTGCCGACCTGCTCAATGGGAACTATGGTGTTCTGTAACGGAGCCCCTCGCGGAAGTGAGCCCTTGCCCAGGAACGCCGGGAGAAGGTATATATCTTGCTGTCTGAACTCGAATGTCTTCTCTCGATAGCACATCTCCACGAGCTCTTGCATGAATGTCGGCTCAGAGGACTTCGCATCCCAGCAATGCTGGAAACGTTCTTCGGGTATGCCATACCTGCATAAGGTAGGCGGGAATTTGGAAAAGCTTGCAGACAAAGGCCCAAGGTAGCGTTCATGTGCTGCTCGGGACAATTGGATGACGTTCTTTGAAGGGTGTCCACGATCGAGCATTGCCCAATAGACCATATCGCGGATTTCACGTGGGAAGCTAGTCACGACTTGATGGCATAGCTGTTGGCAAGAGAGCTGAGCGCATCGTTCCAACTGATGATCTCGACGAGCCATGAGCTCTGTCTTTTTTTCATGCGCTCTTTGAACTTGTGCATCTTGCACCGCAGATCTTCCCGTGTTGAGATCTCGAAAGTACTTCACGCAAAGCGCCTTTTGCAATTTGTGCTGCCTAAAAAGACTGCCAACGTCAGCTTGGGGATTTCTAATGCCATGAGTGCCTGCTGAGCCTACTGCTCGGTTTCCTGCCTGCAAAGCTCCACGTCCAGAAGCGTAGGCATTGTGTCTACCGACGGGGTAGACCGGGTCATTGTGCAGGTCCCGACGCTATAGCCGAGTACCATAAACCCAGAAGGTTGAAAGTAGGGAGAAGAAGAGCTGACAAAGAGAAGCTGTTTTTACAATAGAACCGGCTGAGGTTTGGTCGTTCCCGCCTCTTACTGAAGGGCCTAACGAACTTATGCCCCGTTCACTCACTTCCGGAACGCGAATTGAGGGCCATGAGACGAGAGAGCGAAGAGAGTGAAGTGAGGCCGAAGCTGGGACAATAGGTGAGTTCATTTTGGATCTTGGTCCATGTACAGCTGCAAGCTAAGGCGTCTATGAAGCGAACAAGGTGTTGTTGAACCGAGCTCAATGACTGCTGGGTGCATTGAAGATGGAAAGAATCAGTGCGAGCATATATCCTTGCTGCATTACCTCACAGAATCATAAAAGACCTTTGAGGCCGTACAGCGCGCCTGTGCAGCATATCAACCCGTGTTCTCCCAAGAAATAAGAGACTTGAAGGAGCCGCTCGCAGACTTTCCCCAACCGTAAGGTCAGCCCCGGGAAGGAATTGTTGGGGAGTTTACTGAGCGATGGGGTGTCTTTGACGCTGGCATTGAAATGAACCAGGAATCAAGGACGATGAGACCTGGTGACGTGCTCAAATCAGGAACCGTATGATGACCGTCTTGCTGTCCATGCTAATGTCAATCCTATTCCATGCGATAGGCGATCGACGCAAGGTGCTCCCTTGTAATCTGAAACCACTTGTATTACGTAGGCGAGAAAAGAGTTCGGCTCTTAGAGCCCTGGAGTAGACATTGTCACGTGAAACGAAGTACACCTGGGCACCTGGGCACCTCGATAATTAAGTATGGGTCGTGATCCGGTCCGCAGCGTACCACGTATTAGATGCATTTCTCCTGCGAACCCCGCGCAGCTCAGTCAAACGTGTGCTCTCGTCAATGGGTGAGGGTGCGTGGAGGAGCGGAATCAATGTGTTGGCGGGTGGTTTGCTGTCTCTCGCAGGTTTCACCCTGGTCAAAGACATGGATCAGAGAGCACCCCACATGTGCATGGAGCAGCTGCGACCGATGGCCACGCAAACGTTCTCTTTCATAGTACATATACTCGCACGGCAGCCTGGAATGCTTCTTGCGCATACGATTCAATCATAATTACGATCGTAGTACCATTAGCCTCCGTCCACGCGCGGAGCCCTACCGGTAGCTGCAGCCATGGACTCGCCGCCTCCGCCGCCAGTCGCAAGCGAGGCCTCTGGCGCAGAGTCTACAACAACTACCACCGAAACTACTCCCCAGAAGACAGCTCGCGCCCGCGCAACGTCTGCGACGACTGCCTCGCCCGCTTCGCCCGCGCGCCGCAAGATGGCCTCGAATCCGTCCAAGGACCCTGTTCCCCCTCGCCGGCCCACCACCGTGGTAGGCGCGGGAGCAGCCGCCCGCCGTCCAGCTGCAGCGAGCACAACGCGTACTGCAGCAACCGCCTCAAAACCGCTGTCCAGCTCAACAACACGCACTTCCGCGGCGGGATCCAGCTTGAACAAGCCGCCGACGCGTCCTGCTCCCGGAACAGTGGTGCGAAAGCCTGCATTGGCTTCCAAGACTGCGGCTTCAGATGCAGAGCCAGATCTATCATCTGTCACGTCAGGGGATGAGAACAAGCGGCCTACAGCGCGTCGAACTGCGCTGGCTTCGAACGCTGCGACCAGATCTTCCCCTGGAAAGACTGCAACCACGCGACCGACCGCTTCTGCAACGCCTACTGCAAAGCGTCCCCTGACCACGCGGCCTTCGGTAGACAGCGCTGCAGCACGAGCAACCCCCCGCGCATCATTGTCGTCCTCGACAAGAACAACGACTACTACACGTCCATCCACCACTGCGGCGAGAGCAGCGCCAGCATCAACGACCAGGGCACCTCTCTCCCATGCGAAGAAGCCATCTGTTACCGCTGCTCCTGCGCCGGCCCCCGCGCCAAAAAATACTATTTCGGAGGAGGAGTGAGTAATGCCTACCAAATTTCATACCCTATACTGATAGCAACAGTACCGCGGAACTCGTGATACCCCCTAAGAGCAACCGCCTCAAAGAACAAGCTTCTTCCGATGCCGAGATCGAGACCCGAAAGAACGCCCTCGGACCTGTCAAGGCTGCCCTCGCACGATTGGGCGAACGAGATGAGGGTCCTCGCCCCGACACGGCTCCCTCTGGCCCAGTCACCGAGGGCGAGCTGGATGCGAAGCGACGAAGTGCACAAGTCATGCACGAATTCTTCAAGGAGACAAACATGCGTGAAAAGCTCCAGGAGGAATGCGACGACCTCAACAGGGAGGTAGATAAACTGCAGGCAGAGCGGACAAAGCTGAAGCAGCAATTACTCGATGCAGAAGCAGCCGTCGCCGAGAAGGACAAAGTCATTGCGAATGCAGCAAAGTCATCGGGAACAGATCAATCTGCGCACGCAACACTAGTGGATGAGATGGAGAAGAAGTTCGCTTCGGAGACCAAGGAGCTGGAGCAGCAAAGCCAGAAGTTGCAGGAAGAAAAGCTTGCTGCTCAGAAAAAGGAGCTAGAGGAGACGGAGCGCGCCACCGAGCTCCAACAGATACTGAGCCAGCTCAACGAGGACCTGGAGAAGCAGGGCGCCGAATGGGATGCTGAAAAGAAGAAGCTCGTCGAACAACAAACGCAGATTGAGGCCTTGACAACCGAGGTGGCCGCGCTGCGAGACGAGCGAGACACGCTGAGACAGCAATTCAGGGATGCCCAAGCCACTTTGGAATCCTTGCAAACAAAGCTTGCGGAGGTCGAGCAAAGCCGCACAGACGAGCTCAAGTCACGCGATGAGCAGATCAATGAGCTTTCCCAGTCCGTGAAAGACCTGCAAGCCGAACTTTCTACGGCAGAAAGCAAACACAACGAAGCTTTGGCAGAAGCGCAGCAATCCCTTGAATCAAAATCTTCCGAGTCGTCCAAGCTTGTGGAAGAACTTCAGGCCAAGGTGGAGTCCCTATCCCAGGAACACACCGACGAATTGCGACAAAAGGACGAGGTCATCCAAACCCACGAGCAGGCGAGCAAGGAACTGCGGGAGCTCACCGAACAGCTCCAAGAGCGTGCCGATCAGACCACCGCTGAATTGGAGAAGGCTCGCAGCGAACACAGCGAAGCGATCAACAATAAGGTGACTGAATTGCAGAAGAGCCACGAGGAAGCGCTGCAGAGTAAGGAGGGTGAGGTTTCTCGTCATCTGGAGGCTGTTGACGGCCTCCAAGAACAAATCAAAAACCTACAACAAGGCGAGACCGATGGAGCCAAGCTTGCCACTGAGCTTAACAAGCAAATCGAAGAGTTGAGGCAGTCACATGAAGAAGCTCTGAAGATCAAGTCAGATGAGAACGATGAGCTTGTCAAGCAACTGGATGCCATCAATGATCAGCTGAGCGGTGATGCGGCAGAGATTGAAAAGTTTAAGGATGAAAATGAGGGATTCCGCAAGACTATCCAGACGCTGGAACAAGTATCGGAGCAGGAGAGTCAACAGCACGAGGCCGCGCTCTTGAAGGTCCAATCTGAGTTGCAAGAGGCGAATCAAAAGGTCGAGTCGCTGCGATCAGAGATCGAAGCCACGCAGGAACGGGCCAGGAAGGACTTGCTCACCCTAGGTGAGGACCACGATGCCGAGATTGATTCGCTTCGAGCAGACCTGGAAGGAGACGCCAAAAACCGCCTCGACGAGCTACAGGCTAAGTACGATGCTCTTGTAGCCGACAAGAATGCTACCTTGGAGCAGCACGAGAAGACCCTCGCTGAAAGGGCCTCGGCGCTAGATGCTGCAAACCAAGAATTAGCCACCCTCAAAGAAAATTCCGGTTCCGCCTCGCAAGAGCTCACCGATGCGCTATCGCGACAAACGCAACTTGAGCAGGAGAAGCTTGCTATCGAGGAGGCCCACGCTGCCTCCCAGCAATCGCTTGTGGACCTACAGGCGCAACTGGAAAAGCTGGCTGAGGAAAAGTCTTCCGCCGAAGAGGCTCACTCATCATCCCAGAAGCTCATCACGGACCTCCAAGCGCGCCATGACACGCTTATCGAAGAGAAGTCTGCCGCCGAGGAGGCCCATCAAACGTCCCAACATCTCATTACCGACCTCCAAGCGCGCCATGATAGCCTGCTCGAAGAGAAGACCACTGCTGAAGATGCACACAGTCGCGCCATTGATGCCCTGAAGCAGGAATCCGACAGTGCGTCAAAGCAGCTCTTAGGCGAGTTGCAGGAGAAGTACAATGCACTCTTGGACGAGCAGAACAACATTCAGGGAGCACACGAGAACGAACTGCAGAAGCTTACAGGCGAGCGCGACGCACTCACTGCTCAGCTTGCTGATCTCGAGAAAAAGCACGACGCAGTCATCTCTGAGAACCTTGCCGATGGAGAAGCGCATGACACGGCGCTGACCCAACAGCGAGCGGAAATCGAAGAAGCGCATAATAAGGCTCTGACTGAGCTCCAGGTAGAGATCGGGAAGAAGTTCGAGTCGCTGCTCGAGGCTCTGCAGTCCGATCTAGCTGCTATGGAGCAACAGAAGAAAGCAGCCGTGGAAGAGAAGCAATCAGTGTTGGAAGAGCTGACTGCGCTCAAGAAAGACCTATCTTCGTACGACGAGTCTGCCCAATCCAATCTGGCAGAACTCACCGAGAAATACGAAGCTCTCGCACGCGAAAAAGCAGCCGCCGATGCTGACCGTGAAGCTGCCAACGCTGATCATGAAGCCGCCATAGCTTCATTGCGCGACTCCTTGATGAATGAGCACGATAAGGTCGCTTCCGAGCTTCAGGAGCAATGCAACACTCTCCAGGCTAAGCTTACGCAAGTCGACCAGGAGCACAGTGACGCCATCGCGTTGCTGAAGGAAGAGCTGAGTGAAGGCCATTCCAACGACCTGACAAACCTTAAGAAGACGCTTGAAGACCTGCAGCTCAAGCACAACGACCTCGCCGAGCAGAAGCAAACTATGGAGAGTGCTCACGAAGACGCCATTGGGGAGCTTATGGTCGGCATGGAAGCAAGCATGAACGATGCAGTGCAACAACTTCAGAAGAAGTACGATGCGCTTGTCAGTCAACTCGAAACCACCAAGCTCAGCCATGCTGAGGAGCTTGAGCTTGCGAAGAAGAGCAGTAATGAGTCAGAAACCTTGTTTGAGGAACTGCAATCGCGCCATGCCGCAGAACTTGAGGAGGTGAAGAAGAATGGATCAAAGCACCAAAGCTTACTCCAAGAATTGCAGTCCCGCCACGACACGCTTTCGGCTAAGGCTACCTCCGACAGCGAAGGCCACACTCAAGAAGTCAGCCGCCTTCAAGAACTCGTCAAAAAGCTAGAGACCGACCACGAGAAAGCCGTCAAAGCAGCACAGACCGCCGAAGACAACATCGAGCAAATGAAAGTCCACGTCGTAGAAAAGTACCTCGCCAAGGTTGACCCCCTCGAACGCGAAAACACCCAACTCAGAGACAAAGTCGAGCGCCTGCAAGCCATTTTGCACGCTGGCGATAGAGTCGCCCGCGCAGCAGCCACCATGGGTGAGAAGCGCGAGATTAATACGCTGGCCGAAGAAGACGAGGAAGAGACCGAAGAGCAGTTCACTTCGGGTGCGGAGTCGGCGAAGGCATCTTCGCCTCCGAGAGAGGTGCTTGGAACAGTGAGTCTGTCAAGGAAACTAAATGGTGGGTGGAAACTAACCGACGGCTAGCAGTTGGCGGCCATGCAGGAGACACTTTCTCAGCTGTCCGAGTTGAATAACGATGCTATTTCTGAGAGCTCGAGGACGGCGAAGAAGCTCACGGATGAAGATTGGGTGGCTGTTGATGAGAAGTCCGGCGAGTCAAGCAGCAACTAGAAGGTGACTGGTCTCGCCCTTTTTGCCTATAATGCGTTCTTCTGCCTTTCGCCATTTTACGTTTAATATTCCCATTTCTTTCGTGGTTTTTGTCGCTCTGCATTGCAGCTGGCACTATACCCTGTTACTGCTACTGTCACTATATACCCCAGTCCGATGCTGAAAGAGCATGTTGCAAATCGATACCATTCCTCTCTGAAACTCCCCGTTCGTGTTGTATCCGTAACCACCCAAAGCCATTCTAGATGTAAAGATACATCATCATGATCGCACACCAATTGCTCGCCATCAACAAACCCACCACAAGCTTGTCCGGAATAACCCGAATACTAATCACGGACATCGCAAGAAACCACAACAGCACTACCAGCTTCAGCAACGCCGTGCTCGACCCTTGCCATAACGGCGGCTCCCACTCATCCCACTCATCCTCCCATTCATCCTCCTCATCGCCATCGCGCCTATCCGCAGTCAGCACCTGCGCCTCTCCGTTCAAATCAATACTTAACTACCTCATCGTCCTCTCCCTTTCAAAAAGCGGAACCCTACACTTCGGACACAGATTCTCACCTTCCACAATCTGCTCCAAACACGCCGCGCCGAAGACGTGTCCGCACGGCTCGATCTTCACACCCGGATGCGCGACATCGTACCCCGTCCAGCAGAACGCGCACTTGTCGTCGTTGTACCTATCCCCCTCTTTCGCCAGCGTGACGCAGTTCTTGAGGAAGTCCGCCTTCGTCGGGAGGCGTCTTGGGACGGGTTTGCGGGTGAGCGGCTGGGAGGGGATGGTCGAAGGGGGATTGTACGAATATGGGTAGAGGGGGTGGTTGTGCACGGAGGAGTTAGTCACGGGTGGTGGATACACAGAGGGTGTGGAGTAGGTGTAGCTGGGGAGGGAGATGGCTCCGGAGACTAAGGAGGGTGTGGTGGGATCGTGGCAGGGTTTGAGCCATTCTGGTGCAGACGGTGGCGTTTGGGCTGTGAATTCTGATGGCATTGTGGATGTCGGTTTTGGTGGCTTTGGTGGCGATTTTTTGGGTTTCTGCGACGGCGACGGGCTCGGGGGTGCTGACGACCCTGAGGAGCTTGTCGGCGATGACATGGTGAGTTCGTGTGATAGTATGGGGTAGTTATGGCGTGTTCTGGTTGCAGATGGGCGTGGGCCTGATGTAAATGGGTGCAGTCCGTGGCGATGTTGAGGAGAGTGCCCATTTACTTTTTAAACGAGAGTCCACGAACTGTATGGTAGCCAACCAGATGCGTTAAGTGTTGTTGAGGCTTTAACAAGTGGAAAGGTGGGACACGGTACCAGAGACACGGTCGGGGACGTGCGTGGGTCGAAGATGCTCAAAGCTCTATTACTTTTGAAGGTCTTGTCATATGTTCGATTTGGTGTCCTCGTATACGTGAGAGCAGTCAACCATATCTATCACCTTTAGCCTACTCGTGACACTTGGTGCGTGGCCTTTATACGCCGCCGCCCCATCCCAAGATCGCACATATCAACAACCCCAACTCTGCATCGTAGCCCAGTGTCTTCGTTGCGAAGCCGCCGTTGCTTAATCCTGCGACAACCTCTCGGAACGTAGTTGTCCCTCTCGACATGGTGAGATTGGCGACTAGAAATCCGAAAGATATAGATACGCTTTGCAATATGTCATTTTGACTGAAACGTAACCGCCCGGTGTGCGGGACAAGAAGTAAAAGCCGGGTGAAGAGGACGAGCGGCATGAAAATAGAATGGCTTCTTAGTGATGATAGGGCGAGGAGGGCAGCGTTGAACAGAATGGTCGGTATCACAAGTGACGTTTTCTTCGCCTGAGGTTGTGGCGTTTCTGTCTTTGGGGCTGCCTTTGTGGTGGGGCTCTTTTCTTGCGTTTCTTTCAGATGCGCATCAGGTGATAGGCCTATAGCGTCGAGATGCAACTGGATGATGAAAAGACAAGCCGTGAAAGTAATTGGTAGAATTTGGCTTAGTACGATGTACGGAGCCATCCTGCCAAGCGAAAACTTATGTTGCTGAGCTATATACCCAACATTAGTATGATGCGAATTGCGTAGGAGATGATCGTAAGCTTACCTTTGAAGGCCATCCATACATTCCAGAACCACGTCGCCAATAATGCTGCCTGCGTCCAGAATGCGCTGGGTCTCTTTTGTACCAGCTCTTGTGCGAAAGTCCCAAATAAGTTGGTCTCTAGCATCCAGAATCTCAGATCCAGTAGACTAAGTCTTCTGCCTAGTAGATTCTGCGTTCGCGCCCATGTTGTTAAAGACTGGATTAAGAAGCTCAACATGTTGTATGATAATAGTGCGAAGCCGATGGATGCCAGGAACGCATAGATCTTGATATGGCGCCTTCTTGCATTCTTGACGTCTTCTGCTACTTTCAGACCTGACAGCCGCTTATATTGGCCATACAGAGAAAGCGATATGGTGAAAGTGAAGTAGAATGCGAGGAGGATGTAGGACAGGAAGAGGGTGGTGCCAAGGTAGTTGAAGGGCGGATTGGCATAGCGCGCTAGGGTGTCCATGTTGAACATGAGAGAAGACAGTCGTCTAAGATTTCAGAAGATCATGGGGTATATGTTGGATGCGCTGCTATTGAGGACAGGTTGGTAGAGAATATGGAACAGTAGGAGTGACGTCATGAAACGGTGGATGTCTGGGGCGCCGACAGAGGGCTACACGAGTATTTTCGTCTTTATGGAAACATTGTGGCATCTTCAAGATTCTGTTTGAAGCTTACCAACGATAGATGGCGATTGTTGATATGCGCAGGCAAGGGTTGTTGCTGCCAATGTGCCTATGCCAAGACCCTGGGTTTTCGCTCTCCACACCTCGTGTCTCGCTCGTTTCTTCTTCCTTCTTCCTGTAGCTTCGTACTAGACATTGCTCAAGCAATCAAAGCTCGTTTAATACTCTCTGATGATGGCGGTCTTCTAGTCGTCTCTTGCTAAACATCATCACATATCGTGGCCTCCGACGGCCCTTTGCCAGCCGCAAATCGCATTCATTACGTGTACACTAGTGGAACGCAATCCCGTCCTGCCGCCAACCGCGTTGAATGCACGATCCCTACAGATTTCGGAGAGGTAGTCGGCGACCCTGCGGGATTGAATTGGCATCAACCCCATAGCGTTGCAATCATTGGCCCGTGCCTGCTCGCTTGACCCCTGGACGGATGTTCGCGAGAGATGATCTACGAGCAGCCTCACCATGAATTTTGCGAACCTCGACCATTCTGTCTCTCCATGAGTATTGCAGCCATAGTGAGCATAGTAGAATATCAGTCTCGACAGCGCCTTCTTCGACACTTTCATTTGGAACGAGTCAGCATGGGGAATCTCAGGCATCCAAGCGCCAACAAGGCGCCATAGCGAGAGTACCCTGAGAACGACCAGACAGCGGAAGACGCCACCCGACCCACGTTCTAATTTCTACGAGAGAACCAGCTACCAGGATGTATCGATATGAAACAACCAGTCTCCACGTTTACTTGCGCTACTCATGGTAGCCCTCCGGGATGTGCCTGCCAGTTGTTCCCCGATTGTTCGCATCAGGCGGGTCAAGGTTATATCATCACACGCAAGACTTAGGGGCTAGTTGTCGGACTGTGTTACCTTTTGGGTCCTATTCTCCGCCCTGTTCCCCTCTGTTCGGGACGTGAGGATTCGCTTTTTGCCTACTCTTGGGAACTGATGCATGGCACTGCCTGAGCGTTAGTGGTGAGCGTGGGACGACTCAGAACACCAAGAATCCTAAAAACTGGATCGCGCAAACATGGCTCTGTAAGTACATGCACCGATCCCTTTGCATGGCGCTGGCCAACCCTCGTCCCAATCAACCGTATGCCGATAGCCAGCATGATGTTCCATTTCCCTTTCTACGAAATACCGTCGTAACAACAACGCATTCGTTCACATTCCCATCCATATGGCTAACGACGGCGCTATAGCAACCGTCTCGCGCGAGATACTACCGTGGACACCACCCCGAACGGGACCTGCTACTCGATTACGGGTCTTGCTTCGCCCTTCAACGACTACACCTACATCCCATGTAACCTGACCGCCATCGAGAATGGACAACACTCCGCCTGCTGCGCTCCTGGCGACACCTGCCTGACCAATGGCCTCTGTAAATACAATCCTCCTACCCCAGTTGGCAACTTTAATACGTACTGGCGCATCGGCTGCACCGACCCGACATACCTCGACCCCGCGTGTCCCAAGCAATGCAAAAACAAGGAGAACGTGGAAAGACATGTTCACATCGTGTTTGAATGCCCAGGAGACGGACAGTGGTGTTGCGGCACAGGTGCTACAGGCGACTACGACAACACCATGACAGTGAACACCACATGCTGCAACATTCCGGATTTGGCATTTCAGGACGAGGCGCGAGAGGCCTATACCACAGCAGTGTCAGACTGGCGCAGTGAGATCGACATAGAGACGTTGGCCGCTCTCGCCAAAAGTACCGCGATAGACGCCACGTCGACTGCCGCTTCATCAGTCTCTTCGCAATCAGCAACTCTCCCCATAACCGACACACTCGCCACCGCTACATCAACAACAACCGCCACAGCCTCTCCAACCTCATCGATCTCTCCCTCCTCGTCCAATACTGTCGCCCTAGGCGTTGGTCTCGGCCTCGGCATCCCCCTCCTAATTTGTCTCATCGGCTTCCTCTCATTCTTGATCTACCGATACCGGCGCAAACAAAATAGTCAACATGAGCGAATAGGCGAGCTCGCCGGAAGCCAGGATAATGCAAAACAGGCGTTTCCGCATGCGTTTGCGACGGAGAAGAGCGGGAGGGAGGTTCCGGCGGAACTGAGCGCGGATAGGGGAGTGTTTGAGATGGGCAGGCCGGACTCCTGGAGAGGAGGGGATGATGACAAGAGGCTTGATTTTAGAGAGAGTGACGTGTATCGGTAATGCGTAGAGTATCAAGACAGGAACTAGGACGAAGGGATACATGGATCCTCTAATTACACACGACGATTTCGATCTGATCCGGCACTGCCTATCAAGGGTCCATGCACAAGTGAAGCAGAAGCTGGGTATCATTGTCACAATTATCTATCTTATCTAAACATGAGGGGGGGAATCACTCCTCTGCGCCCAAATGCGCCTTCAAACCCTCTTTTCCCACTTTCATCGCGCGCTCAATCTCCATTTCTTCTTCCCTTAATCGCCCCTTTCCATAGGCCAAGTCGCGGTCCTGTTTCCTCTTCTCCTGCTCTACGCGCCGTTCACGCTCGGCAAGAGCTTTCTCCCTGCGACGGCGCTCCTCGCGTTTCTTCGCTGCTTCTGCGTCCTCTTCAGCAGATGCGGCGGCATCTTCAGGCGCAGGTGGTAGTGTGGATATATATGTTTCGACAAGCGGTTCGCGGGATGATGGCGACAAGGAGATATAGCGAAGGTCTGTCAAGATCGACGACGGGAGCGTGTCGAGGGTCGTGGAGCGGTTCAGCGCAGCAAGCGGTTGTGCCTTAAGCAGCGCCGTGAGGTCCGATTTGAGCTCGGAAGACCGCATGCCTATGCGCTTGATGTGTTCGCGGTACAGCTTCTCTTTCTCCTTGTCCGGCAGTTTTGCGTCTTTCAATTCGGGCTCTTTCTTATACTTCCGCCTGAACTCCGGCCAGTAGAGTTTCGGTGTTGCGTAGCGGTCGAGGAAGGCGAGGTAGGGTATCCGCGGGTCGAGCTTCTGCTGTTTCGATTTCTGCTCTTTGAGATATTGCATCTTGTCGCAGGACCATTCGTCGAAGCATTCTTTTCGGGCTTTCATGTTGGGGAGGGCTTTGTAGCGCTCGTCGTCGTAGAGGCCACCGGCTTCTAAGACTTTGTCCCAGGGGGTATATGGGTTGGTGTGCGTATCGTCAAGGAGCTCTTTGAAGAGGGCTTTGCAGTCTTCTTCTGAGAGGGGGGGTTCTTCGTCGAAATATTCCTCCTCTCCGTAGTCGCCTTCCATGCCTTCCATTTCTTCCATTTGCGCTAGTTGCCAGGCGAGGTCGGCATCCTCGGGAGGTTGTTCGGTCTTAGGCTCTGCTGTGCGCTGGCGCTTCTGTGGATGCGATGTTTCGCCGCCCTCATCATCTGTGACCTCGACTTCTTCGTACTCCTCTTCTTCGTCCATGCCTTCTTCTCCGTCTACTTCCACGATTTCGACATCCTCTTCCGCAGCTGCCAGACCCGCTTCTATATCAGCCAGGCCGTCATCCTCCTCAACCTCCTCGGGTTCGCCACGCTCTTTCCGCTCCTTCTTCTCGCGCTCCATGCGATCGTATTCCACAACTGCCTTCATAACGTTTGGTGGGAACTTCCAGAAACTCTCATTCGTGTCCTTGTTCCACACAAACCTCCTTCCAAGCTTCGTTCGGACCAGAACCCATGGCGCACAGTTGGGGATATCATGACGGTGTTTCGGACGATCTTTCGGGTGCCGCGGCCGATCTGAAGAGTTCCTGTGACCTCCGCGAGAGTCTCCACGATGCCCTCCTCTTGATTGACCTGATCCCCGTCTTGAGTACAGATTTTGAGCTCCGCCAAATATGAGGTCTTCCATCTGCCTCTTCGGGTCATAGGCATTGAAAGCATCCTGCCCAGCATTGAGATCGGCGTAGGCTGAATCTGCGCCTAGTGATGGTCGCGCTGGGAGACTGGCTGGAGGCGGGGGCAGAGGAGCTGGCGCTGGCGGTGGAGCGGCAGTTACGACGGGGCGTGTGTATGTAGATTTCTTCGTCTCCTTGTTGAAGTAGTAAACATGGCCTGTATACTGTGAGCAATGCCATGACGCAGGGCAGAAGCATTGGTTCGCGTACCTGAGGGCGCCTGGTGCTCCGTCCAGCCCGCAGGCAGCGGCGGAGGAGGAGGCGGTGGTCTAACAGGCACATCAGACATCTTGGACGAGTGGATGCCGTAAAGGCAGCGTATAGACGCGAATGCTGCAATATGAGCGTGCTGTCGCTCGAAAAAGTGGTCGGGCTTGGCACGAAGCTCCGCCGACGACGCGCAGTGAAGCTAATGCCTGGAGCTCTCCAACAACGCCAACCCACCACAAAGCTCCCCGCTGCCGACGCTCTCTCCGTCTCAGCGCCCGTAACACTCAATCCCCAGTCTCAGAATCGCTCCCGCCCGCAGCCATGTCACGGAGATACGATTCGCGGGTATGTAGTCGCCGCAGCCCTCGCCAGCCCTCCACTAACACCGTCGTAGACGACTATCTTCTCGCCCGAGGGCCGCTTGTACCAGGTCGAATATGCACTTGAAGCTATCTCGCACGCAGGAACCGCGTTAGGCATCTTAGCCAAGGATGGTATCGTACTGGCAGCGGAGAGAAAGGTCACCAGCAAGCTGCTGGAGCAGGACACATCCGCCGAGAAGCTCTACATCCTGAATGAGTGTGTATTATATCATCTGGGGTTCGGATGTTGTGCTAACAATCGCGATCAGCAATATGATCACCGCCGTTGCAGGCATGACGGCCGATGCCAACATCCTGATCAACTTCGCCCGTAACCAAGCCCAGCGCTACCTCCTCACCTACAACGAAGACATTCCCTGCGAACAGCTCGTGCGCCGGCTATGCGATCTGAAGCAGGGCTACACACAGACGGGTGGTCTTCGACCGTTTGGCGTATCCTTGATATATGCAGGATGGGATCCGCAGCGAGAGTTCCAGCTCTACCAGAGCAACCCTAGCGGCAACTACGGAGGCTGGAAGGCAACGAGTGTGGGCGCGAACAACGCCTCCGCGCAGAGTCTCCTCAAGCAGGACTACAAGGAGGAATGCAACCTCAAGGAGGCGTGCGGGCTTGCCGTGAAGGTGCTCGGCAAGACGATGGATTCAACCAAGCTCAGCAGCGAGAAGAGTATGTGTGAAGGACCGATCTAATTCATCGGATGGCGCTAATGTGTTTACAGTCGAATTCGCGACGGTGGGCAGGACAGAGTCAGGAAAGATCTACCATCACCTTTGGGGAGCGGACGAGATCGATGCGCTGCTCAAGGAGCATGGTCTGGCCAAGCCGGAAGACACTGAGATGAGTGAAAACTGAGACCGAGGAGCTACCGGGGAGTGCGGCGTCTACGGATCACGATAGACTTTGGCCTGTAGTATACCATACATTAGGTGAGAGCACCAGACATTTGCGGTAGCAAATCTCACGTTCATGACGGCATGCCAAGTTTTGTCCCTAATTTTCTGGTGGAATCCTTTTGTTCTACTATCTCAATCTCGTTTCTATCTGTTTGCACTTTCCGTCCTCTGTCTTGTTCTTGCCTTTCTCGAGCATTTAGCCGCGATGGACTCACACTACGAAAGAGTGTTCTTGCCTGTGGTACATGACAATGTGTGCAGCACGCGCAGCGCACCTGGCTCTCCGCACAACCCTTCACCTTCAGTATGTTCTTCTCTCTTCTTTGATCTCGCTAGGTGCACCACCGGTCTTCTTACTGCATCGTTTAGCCGCATTGTCTATCTTGCATTGCTTCCAGCTCAGCATGTCTAGCCCCACCCGCCATGCAAGTCTCTCCCAAATTCCCGCTATCGGCCCTTCAAGCTCCCTCCTTGAGCGGCTCCTGCAAGAGATCAATGATAATGATGCACCAAGAAGAGACCCAATCTTCTTAGCTAGCTCCAATTCCAGCTCTAGAAAATCCCATTCGATGACCTCGAGAAGAGCTTCCTTGCATTGCAATATCACCCCACCGCAACACCGGACCTCCTCAGTCTGGGCAAAGGGCGCACCAATCGCGGAAGATGCTCGAGACAAACTGAGAGCACTCGACGAGGCTCGTCTACGCAAGCACTCCAAAAGCGCCGTCCAATTGGAGAACCCGCCAGCTCCCGCAGCCATTGTCTCGAGAGGGCCATCAGCTGCTTTGCCGTCTCCGCCATTCTTCGCAGACATTGAGTACAACCCCGCGGCTACTGTCTCCACGACCTATCCACCTACGCCCACCGAGCATCTGATTGATTTCCCTCGTAGGAGTATCTTTCTCAGACCTGACATTTGTGCTGATAGTGAACCATTACAGGTGCAAAACGAGAACGCAGTGGCGCTTATTCGCCTGAGGTCTTCCCGAAGAAATCACGCCAAGAACGTTGCTCTGATATGGTCTGCCGCGAGCGCGAGCACTGTTCACCAAACCAGCCTCCTGACGGTATGATGCGAGGCGGCGGTTCCGTCGTGACGACCCAGGTGCAAATCGCAACTCCGGACGATCCACTGCTTCGATTGGCGCCGTTGCCCTCCCCGCCTTCGCCGCAGTATGGTTTTAGAAGTACTCCAAAGCACGCGTACAAGCCGTTCCGGCCTGCAACACCTCGCCGATCACCTACACCTTCTGATGGAGGCAGTTCGGGAGGCACACCACCTTGGGCGCGGCCCCTTCAATTGGTAGAAGACGACGTCTCCATCTACAAGAACGTGCACGGAGACAGATCGCAGGAACACCCACTTTGCCTTCATTGCTTTCGCCAGCACGGCGAGTTTCACAGAATGTTCAATCACCACTGCGAGACTTGCGGGCGGAATGAGATTTTGGAAGGACATTACTGGGAGGCGCCATTCTGGGCGCAATAGGGGAGGCATTCGCAATATGCATCGCCGGCTTCATCAAACAGTCTGGACGGATCGTTTGTGTTCAATTCGGCGTTATGAGCTTGATTGCGCTTGATTGTGTCTTTCGTTGCTTGAGCTTGAGTGGGTTTCGAATGCAGTGGCCTTTTTTTGGTACAGTTGCTGTGCGGCGAGCGCGTGCGACTCTTTTAGCGTTCATTGATTTTGCATGCACTGCCTTCTCTTTCCACTTTTCTTCCAAGAAGTATTACTGGAGAATGAGGTGACGTATGAGAGTTGCTGTTCGGTGTTCAGATGCCGGGAGTTACCGTGATTCGTCAACAATGCTGAACAGGAATTTGAGCGCACTCAAGATCTTGACTCCACAAAGCTGGATATACCACACAATGTTTGAAAGCCGCACGCACTTCTGAGAAGTCGACCAAGGTCCACCCCACAGTCTTGTCAAGTAAAAGACACATGTCGGCGCTTCCCACAGAATCTAAAATAGCCCCAAGATATGTGTCGAACTCTGTGGGAAAACGCAACGCTCCGCAGCCTTATATGTCTGACGAGTGTAGCATCGAGATTCCATGAGTCCCATGTGTCTCAGAATCTTTTGAAATTCCTATGATGGGAAGATAGATGCTACTGAAGATAAATTTGTCGGCTATCTCCTGATTTGCGGGTATTGACGTGGACTAGGGGTGGAGAAGCTGAGGAAATCAATTCAATATTAGATTGCACTGTTAGTCTGCCTTCTCGGTTTCCTCCGGAAGATTGACGAAATTATGCTCTGAGTTGGGGTTTTGTGGTCTCGAAGTTTGTGAACGGATGAGTGGGTTGGCTTAGCGGATCATGAGGTTCTTGCATGGCGGAATGTTTAGATGGAAACGACCTTATTGCAAGATCATTGAAGAGATGAAAGCGTCGAAATAGTTGGACAACCTCACTCAATTGGATGCTATATATAGAGGTTTATTTATAAGTCCTGGTAGTGATTACTGTCCAGGATTGTGCTTTCACCTTTCTCTGACAGGTCGAAAGGGGAAGTGAACGGGAATGTGGCCAGTGCAGGCACAGGTACCATGATATGAATTCTCCCTGACTTTCCATTCGTTTACTTTAAAAAGCCTACCTCATTTCCCAACTGTCTCTCAACCCTACCAAAACAGCATCACCAAACTCGGAAGAAGTGGAGAGCTCAAAAGGACGACAGCAAGGTGCGTTACTGACTCGTGCTCTTATCGCAAAAGCTTACTGTTGCAGCGTGATGGATAATCACCAGATGTTCAAAGGATGCGGATTCTTTGCTCTCCCCTTCAATCGATTGGAACCTGAGCGCGAGTTGGCGTGTCGCCAGCTCTGCGGAAAGATCGTTGCGACCCTTCCGCGTGAAGTCCGAGACATGATCTACGCACAGGTCCTGGACAACGAGGGGTATGACAAAGACATACACATGTCTAGGGCGTCCAACAAGGGCTATTTGGGGCCTCTGACAAGCTCTGACCCGAAGTTTCCACCACAAGTCTGCAAAATGGGAATGAGGGGAACAGAGTGGTACCTCTTCGAGCGCCGCTGTGTGGGGAGTACTTTCCTACTTGAACTCACTGAGACTTTCTATCGCACGTGGAAGTTCATATTCACCGACGACCATGTCTATCTACTACCGACCTTCTTGGGATATCCCGTTCTCCCTGAACCAAGTGGTGGAGATCTTTGTCCGATGGGCCTTGTTCAAAAGCTCGATTTGAAGCTAGGAGAAACTACCGACGGATGGCAGACGGTCTTAAAGGGTCTTCATACCCTTATCGAACTCAAATGTGCGGCTACAATCAACATCGAACTACGCGTAGTCTTTCGCTTGGGGGATTCTCCTGATACTCCAGGGAGGCTTTCAAAGTTGGTCGACGAGTTCGACGCGCTCTTCCCCGCGATTAGGGCAATGAAAGAATCCGGCCACAAAGTGAGGGTTTACTTCGCATCGAATTTCATATACGGGGGAATGGTATGCCCGCGAGAGTTTAGAGATGTCTGCCAACAGATCCTTGATGCTGTAAGTACTTCACCAATTTCAATTGATCGCGCTAACATCATAAGCGATTGGATACTCCTGATTCCCTTTGAGTAGATCTACCTTTTCACTTCTCAAACAGTGGCATCATCGGCGTGTTGGAATGTGGGACAGGCGATCACGCGGGAATTGCCACCGCGCAATGCTTCATGGGTGGATTTTGAGAGATGGGACCTGCATGGGAAACTTTACGATGGGAGTTAAGTTCGGGTGGCAGACCTACCAAGTAAATTACCGTCCATTAAATACTAGTGCATCCACTTCTCACCATTGAAATCGGCACGAGCCGTTCTGAGGACGGGGAATGATATGTCTTTTGATTTTCTTCAACTTTCCAACAGAATTGGTGCTCTGTCATTGTAAGCGAGTAATGACAATGGTTACAAACAATGTCCATTGCAATTGCAATTCTTCACCTCAAGATCAAAAGAATGACGCGTCGATCGAGGTGAGTGGCTGCTGTCACTATAGGATGCCTCGAAGAAAGCATTGGCTGCCCAAGGCCGGGCATTGATGTGATCAATTCAATAGCAACATACACCAGAATGGGGCGTATATCAAGGCACGCTCAGAGGGTCGGCAGACCGAAGTTTAAAGCATCCACTTCGTTCCCATTGTGCATGGCGAGAAGATGTATTCGTAAGAACTGTGCAATATCATTGAGTTCACAATCATATACCTAGCGCTTGCGCCATTACTCCAACGAAGCACCCCCTCCAGTGTACTGAGGAGCTTCAATCCCGACCCATGCATCCTGCTTAAGGAGGCACGCATTGCCCATCAATACATTGAAGCTTGTCCCCATATTTCGGGCAGTTCTCAATCAGGTTCCAGTATTTCACTATCGTGCACGCATCAGCGACTGAACCCCCCTTTCCAATGTGGAACTTCTCGAATCTAGCAAGGGCGTAGACTTACTAACACCGAAGTCAAGCCAGATCTGACTGCATTGTACCTGTACCATCATTAGCTGAATTATCATTTGGGATGGGTGGAGTATATTGGGTTGCAATAAGCCGAGCAGAAACAGGAGAACGCAGACTCACTCGGTGACCACCACCACACTCGCACCGTATCTCGCCTATACTGTTACAATTTTCATATCTGGGTCCGCATGCGCCCTGGTCGGTGGATTGAAAGGCTTCCACTTCGTTGGGGGATTGAAGCGCTCTAGCGGCTGCCTTGGTGACGAGCACCGTCAGCGCGAAAAGGGTGATTGAGAGCTTCATACTTCGGGTGGTAGGTTCGGCGTTTGGAGGCTGAAAGATGGCGTTCAGGAATGTAGAACTACTACTAGTGGCGCAAGATAGCTTCTACTTATAGCTGTTCTTTGGGCTTCGTGGGAAGCGGTCAAAGAAGGTTCATCACCTTATGCATCAGTGTGGCATGCAGAAGCGGGTGAAAGCAAACAATTAAACTGTACGCCTGCGGTATATCTGTACGTCCAGCCAAGGCACGATCCTTAGTTCCGTCTTCAGCTTAAGTTCGTGACCAGATGATCAATTACCGGCGCGGGTCGATACGGTGGGCCTCTCACGCGCAAAGAAGCGCTAGAATGGAGAGAAGTCTGTGATCGAGCGTCTTATCTTCGTTGGAATGGAATCTGTCCGTGAGGATTTATGAGCTGGCCACTTGTTGAGTTGTGTTGGATGTGCTTGTGTTGGTTGCGCACAAACGTAGCGTTCATAGAAGGCAAGTAACGGCGCCCTGATCCATCGTGAACATGCACTATCTACTTCATTAAATTGAATCACCTCCGGTCGACCAGACTTTCGTTGAGTTGTCAGCCACCATTGACGGCTATTGGACATTCATAGAGACGGCGTTTATAGCCTTCTTATGGACAGTGCCGTCGTGCGACGGAGGCGCAAAGAAGGTTCGCTGGGTGGTACCGTGAAGCTTGGGCCCGCGTGCGTTGCGAACGCAATTTTTGGAAAAGGACGCAAGTTACACTGATGGTACGGATGAAAGTTGTACCAGATGTGGCAGCTGGACAAAAGGGAAGCTAGCTGCACGGCATTGCGCACTGACTCGCTCCCCATTCGAAAATACCCGACCAATCGATCCATGTATTTCCGGAAATTTACATATGCCCGGTGAACGGGACATGTTAGATACAATGTGATGTGGCTCGCCCTACGTTACCTAGAGCTCGGTCCGTTCCCTCAACGGCCGCCCGTTCATCGCCAAGTCCTTGTCATAGTCTTCCGCATAGCGATCAAACTGAACATCAGGCACATCAGGGTCCCTTCCATACTGTTCGCTGGTACGAATCACCCACCACCCCGTGACTGGTTGTAGTGTGTCACTCTTGCCACCTTGCTCATACGCCCAAGGCCCATTGAGCTCGCTGAGGTCCGAAAGCTGGGGCGTTCTTACCGTGCGGGGCCAAGGATCTTCGTACACGATCTCCTCGCAAGCAGGAATCGGCGAGTCTATAGTTTTCCTCTTCTCTTTCGTGAAAGCAGTTTGCGCGCTTGACTTGATGCATAGAAGCTTTCGAGCAAGCATTACGAAGAAGCTTTGCTTTTGAATCGAAGTCTCACACGGATTTGCAAACAGTGTTGAACCGGAAAGTCCCGAACTTCTCTTTCCACGCTGTCTTGTCGACAGAAAAACCTGTTCGCTGTCCCGCACTGTGTAACCCACCGATCCAGCGACAGCCTTCGCCACGAACGTATCGCCTTCGTTGTCGAAATGGATCGGCACGGAGACAAGTGCTGATGGTACTTCGTTCCATTCCAGGCTGGGGAAGGCGTCTTTTTCAAGCCACCATCCACTGCTCGACTGATCGACCATGCTTTCCCAGTAGTATTCCGAATTTCTCCCCGAGAGAAGTGACCCGTCTGTGTCCCAAAAGCACAAAGCGAGCACCCATCCACTGATTCGCTTAGTGCCGAAGTAGTCGTCGCTGAAAGAATGCACTGCACGCTGCCAGAAGCGCACCACTTCTGGCGAGTCTGGAGCTTTGAATGTGTGAACCATGTGACCAACGATGCCCTTCAGTGCTGACTGCCACATCGCCAACTCCATGTGGTCTTCTCCGAATGTCAGCAGGAAGTCTAGCCGGTCGAGAATAATCTGCCAATCGGTTTCTTCGCCAAGCAGTGTGACGGACGGAATGCCGCAAGTGATGCCCCCGGAAAACACAAAGTATTTCTGCAGTGTGCCCATCATAATGATCGACGCAGTAACCTTGTCCGTCTCAGTTGTTGTAGTGAAGTCTGGCATGATCCAATCGCGGAGGTTTGGGTCCTTGATATTTTCGTGCAGTAGGTCTGTCATCTCATTGAGAAAAGCGGGAAAGTCCATGACATTTTGCTCGAGGAACAACTCTCTCTTGCCTGCGTGATCGACGAAATGCTCGCGGAGCTGTTCAGCGTGCGCATTGACGTAAAAGTTGAATTGGGTCAAGATGGAGAACCACACATCCTCGGGGCGTAGGACTACATGGTTGTGCATGCGGTATGCGTCCATGACGGTACCAACGAAGCCATTGGCTGACTCAATACCAAAATGACGAGTAGGTTGGACTGAAATAACCGTCGGAAATGAAGAATCAATGACGGACGTCTCGCCTTCTTTCCAGAGACTTGGACAAACGTGTTGAAAAAGGCTGGTAGAGTTGAAGGTTGAGAGCGATGGAGCCGGCATCACCTCAACGGGTGCCACACGCGTTGTTACAGGCATGTTGATAGCTCAGGACAGTGTGTTGGTTTGGATTGGGGCGTAGTATTAGACGACTATCGCGATCAAGCGTCATACATCTTGTAACTTTAAGGTGTTGTAAACGTTGCTGCCTGATAGTCTGAACAAGGTAAGCACACGGTATCCCGCAAATCAACGTTGTTCCTTGTATTCAGGCACCCCAACTGACTCTGGTCCACGATGGCAACACCGTGTCCTCAAATCCATGTCACCTTTGCCTCGTGTCTTGAAGAAAGGCGACTCGTGATAGATACCGTAGTAAAGTAAAGTCGCAGCTTGTTGGCTTCGCGACTCACGCTACCGTAGTTCGTCGCTAGCCAATCAGATAATCGCAGTCGGTTTTTGCGGCCTCTACGCCTTCAGCGGATTCTGCGGCTTTTGGAACTTTGCCATGACATTGCGGCTTTTGAGAAGATTTCATGCCGATTGCTTCGATCTTACTACATCAAAACGAGTAGAATGTATGTTCTCGAAATTAAAGTTCGTGTTGATTCTTTGACGTGTTCCTTTGCTCGAGCACTCATTCTTCGTCTTGACTCGACGTGAATACATACCCCGGATATGCCACCTTTAACCGAGATTTTAAGCATGCTGAAGGGGCAAGCCTTTGGGAAAACATGGATACCAAAGATCAGTTTGGAGGGAAAGACTGTCATCGTCACTGGCGCAAACACCGGTCTAGGGCTCGAATGTGCAAAGCATCTGTATGTATCCAGAACATTTTGCATCGAGGCACGTTCGCTAATTTGATACTTCAGCGCGCGACTCAATGCATCGCAAATTATTCTCGCCTGTCGAAGCAAAAACAAAGGCGAAGCAGCGAGGAACGCCATCATTAAGGATACAGCCTGCGCGAAGCGCACCAATATCGAGGTTTGGGAACTTGATCTCGCCAGCTTCGCCTCTGTACTCGCTTTTGGCGTGCGCGTTCGCACCAAGCTGGACCGCTTAGACGCTTTCGTCGCCAACGCAGGGGTCGAGGTGCAAGACTGCCAGTATGCAGAAGGCCTTGAGCTTCAGTTGACGGTAAACGTTGTATCGTGTTTCTTGTCTGCCATTTCGGTACTCCCAAAGCTTCGATCAACAGCTGAGGCGCACAATGTCGACACGACACTGACGTTTTGTGGATCTATGTACCACATCATGGGCCCCGACGCTGAGCTTGATATTCCGGAGGGCGCTGAAACATTCGCGACTCTCAGCGACCCCAAGCGAACCGACTTCATCTGGCGGTATGCTTTGACGAAGCTCATGGTCCATCATTGCTACCACAAACTCGCCGCTTGCCTGTCAAATAGTTCGAGACAGGATTGGTTCCGCGTTATCGTCAATATGATAAACCCAGGCTGGTGTGAGACGGAACTATCACGTGTAAAGCCACACCCTTTTGGCGAGCGAGCGAGTTTTGCGCTAATTGGGTGGAGTGCCGAGAAGGGAAGTCGGGCTTATATTCATGCGATATCGGCAGGAAGAGAAAGCCATGGCCGATACCTATCTGAGTGCGAGTTCAAGCAGGAGTCAGGGTACGTTCGGAGCGAGAGAGGACAGCGGAATGAAGAGAAGATTTGGAAGGACCTCCTGCGGAAGATGAACGAGATCTCGCCGGAGGTAGTTGGATTTATCGCCTGAGCGGTAATACATACCGGAATTGTAATTACATTCGCTTCCATATTGTATAATGTATAGGTACGAGGTCTTTGTGCATTCCATCGCTTCTTGTGTCCCGAAGAACTTGGTCTTAAGGTGTTTGCTGATCTTTGCGCGAGTGTTACGGGTTGGTATAGGGGATATCAGGCGCCGGGAAAGTTCAAATCCTGGAGGAAACAGTCCCATGCAAGCCACTGTGTGTCTTCAGTAGAGTAGACCTTGTCTAGTCTCTCGTAATTCTGGATATCTCCACTTGAGAATAAATCCGCGAACTCCGGTTGAACGCCCCAATTGGTGAAAGGAAAAGTCTCAAAGTGTCCGGTGGTCCCCTGAGGCAGTGCATTACCCATGTCTGGGTGAGCGCCTAAGGTGGCCTGCGTAGTATGCGGCAAGATCTCTTTTGATGCAAGCTGTCTCGATTTTTGTACTCGATGCATAAGCCTTGCGATAGGTTTCCAGAGCTGACCCGCGTCCCCATCAGCGATGAGTGTGGTATATTTAGCAAAGATATGTGTGGCGGCAGCGTAGGCACGGTCAGACAAGTGCCCATGAGGTTGCGCTATCAGTTCCGCAAGGACAACTGCAAGTGCATGCCATTGAACCCAGGTCTTCCATTCCCAAGGTGCAAATTCTGCTGAGCGGGGCTGCATATGCTGTTCCAGAACATCGGTCGCTGCCTCTAGAATATTCAAATCGTCCCAGGGCGGCACAATGTTTCGTGACGGTCTGTACGGAGGTCTTCGAAGAAGCAATTGCATACTAGGGAGGATCTTCGGACCGGAAATTTTATGAAACATAGCCAAAGGCCCAGTTGTGTCCCTGAACCTGTGTTCGTCCTCCTCCACATGGCTCTTGAAGTCCGTAAGGGCACCTAGCATCTTGGGCCAATGTGACCAAGTGTTGCTATCCGCAAGGAGTGAATGCTCATACATCCTACGCTGACATAACATAGCCGCATAGACCAAATTAGTATGGGTCATGTCCGTGAAACCTTGGGATCCTTCTACTGAGACCTTGTCCATTGATGCTAGATCTCGATCATTTACGTCAAGGGGCTGAGACCGAAAAGCTGATAAAGGCAACATAGGAACAGTACCTCGATCCATAGATGCGTGCGAATCGAGTATGCCAATAGCGAACAGTAGACGGCGGCGTGATTCTCGATCAATTAGACAAACATTGCTCATGGGCTCATCGCCAAGCCTTAATGCAGTAGCGGCTCTTACAGCAACAGCGAGTAATGTCCATGTTGTCGCGCGGTTCGAGCAGGTCCGTAGAGCATTCTGAAAGAAATCGTCAGCATCCAGTATTAGGGTCGCAAATTTGGTTGGAATATTAACGAACAAGATAAACGACGAATGCTTGTAGAGTGATCAAGTCCGGCCTTAAAAGAAGTTGTGATCGAGCAAGCATGTCCTCAGCAGCTGATCGATAGAGCTTTAGCATCTCCATTCTATCTCCAAGCTCCAGGGCGAGGGTCTCGCTGTCCGTCATCGTACAATAAGCCATGAAGAGAATGGAAGATTTCAATGCTTGTGTAGCCACTGGCGGTTGCGTCGTGTTCTGATTCCGCTCAAAAAGCTGAAGTATGGTGGGCCAATGGAACACCTTGTAGACACTGTCCACTCGGTAGCGATACAGTTCGAGCAGTGTCGCTTGGGCTGCCGGAGACGGCTCAAGAAACGAAGCGTCGTGACCGTATCTCGGGATCCGGAATAATATTGAACCAGCTCTCCAGGACTCATCATCTTGCTCAGGCGTGGGATCCGTCGTTGGACTTTCTTCATCTTCATTACCGCTTTCAAGGGTTTCGCGCAATCCAATAACTTCTTCGGAAAGCGATTGCCAAAATTCTGGAGCCACAAATTCGTCCATTTTCCCTGTGGTTTTTGTACCATTTGATGCAGATCCATTCGACACACCATGGCTTACAACCTGTGTAGTGGCTTGCGATGGTGGTGCATGTGCATAGGTCTACTCCAATGTTAACCGCAACGTCATCACGGATGGGGGAATGCACTACCTTATTGTATTCCTCAAGAAGACGTTCTATCTTTGTGATGCGCGTCTCAATGTTCGAATTCGCACTGCGCGACTTCGCAGTTTTACCGCGAGGTAAGCGTGCGCGCTGGATAGCATGGCAACTGAGCCCTGCGTTTTTGCACGCTGAACACGGCGCTCCTTTGTCGCATCGTATCTTCCTTTGCTTGCACTGCTGGCAAGCTAATCGCGGTATTGGATCCATTGTAGATTCAATGTCAAGTGAATTGGAACGTTCATTATCGATGACGATGGTAGCGCACTTGGTTTCGTTCGTCCAAAAAGAGGAAGGTCGTTCGCTACGAATAGATTACCTTCTAGCGCTTCTGACTCAGCTTTCATGTGTAGCAGCCTGGGAGGGGCACGATGCCAGCATCTGAGTGCCAACTACGCTACAGAAGCAGCTTGTCTTTGACTATCCGACAACCCATGTGGGGATCCACTGAAATCAAATCCTCAATCATGGGCTTCGCTGAATTACCGAAGGAGTTGCTGCAAGCCATCTTGAACCATGCAATAAGTGTGCGAGGGATGAAGAGAGGGTTAAGGTTGCGATTATTGAACAGTACGTTTGCGATCACCTTGAGCATGAGCGATGGCGTATACCCAAAAGTTGCGTCTGCCAAATCAAACTCCTACTCACAAGTTCCTTGGGTGCTATTCGCAACGTTCATATGCATTATCAATGATATTGACAGAAAACTGACCACATACACAGAACGCTTCGCAGCCGAAGTGATCGACACCATCTACACCTACCGTATGCTAGATACTCGATTTGCCAAGCGCCTTTATGCTCAAATCCCACCCATGCCACCCTTCACAGCTTCCTATCTCGAGTACCGCATTCATAATGCCGAAGACGGTGTAGCCCCATACCCGCGACTAGGCTTCCTGAGAAAAATTGCTCGTGATGTGGTAGCTGAGAACGAATCACTGGAATACGACGCTTGTGTACAATTGCTGTGTCGTCTCATATCTGAAGGTGGCGAGCCCCGTGTGTACCAGGTCTTCTGCCCGGCTTTGTCACTGCCGACGACTTTCTACGAAGGAGATGGCGATTATTGTGAGTATTCTCACGTGAGAGCTATTACAGTGTTAGCTACTTATTCTATATTCGTAGTCGACACTCTTTTCGCCACTGCCGTCGTAACCAATACCACGCCGATCGTCGAACGCTACATGGGTTCGTATCGTTATGGAGGATTTAAGGCCCTCTTTGCGCCATCTGAATACGAATTCTACCGTCTAGCTGCGCGCTATGCTGACACCGCGACCCTGGCCTTATTCCTCTCGACTAGGTACTCTTACCGTGTCGATATCCGACGCCGCAACGAGATGCTCGTTGCTGCCGCCGCGGTGGGCCGGCTCTCTGCCTTTCGCCTAATTCACGGATCCCGCATCGAAGAAGCACCGTGGGACTTTGAAGGTCGGGAAAAGGTGTTTGACGACGCTCTTGGTACACCGAGTCTGGATGTGTGGCACGAAGTAATCCGTTTGAGAGCAACTTACGGAAGCCCTTCAGTTATATCGGAAGATCGCAAGACGAAATTGCTAGCAGACTGTGTTGGGGAAGGTGGGGACGCAGGTCTGGTCGAACATCTATTGGATCTAGGGGCTGATGTCGATGGAAGGGCCTTCGTGGGATACCCTATCCGGAAGGATGCCCCAAGTCCTCTAATCGACGCCTGTGCAAACGGGTATGAGGAGCTTGTACGCATTCTGATTTCCAGGGGCGCTACAACGAGCCCTGGCGGTGGAATGTGCTCTGCAGTAGCTGTGGCAGCTGCACACGGGCATACCGATATTGTACGGTTGCTTCTTGAACATGATGCAACTCCTTTCGGTGGGCTTCTTCGGGCTGCAAGAGGTGGGTTTATGGATATAGCGCGGATGCTGCTCGATGAAGGCGTCAGCGCTTGGGAGGAGGACAACCATCTGGTCTCGATTCCTGGGTTCGGAAGCATTGACTCGGCTAACGTTCCCATTGTGTGTGCAATTGCGATAGAACATGTCGAAATGGCCATGCTGTTGAAAGAGAAAGGAGCGAGAGTCTATGGCTATGCGGGGAGGCAATGCTTGAGAGTTGCGAGAGAAGAGGGTCTGGAGAGTATGTTGAGTCTTTTGGACAGGTGGGACGTAGATGAAAGAGGGTGAAAGGAAGTCGTAGACTTCGAATGAAAGCTGGCATTCAAACACCATGGATGTTCGCGGTATCAACATACAATTCCTTATTGGAATAACTTCCTCAACGCCCCAAAGCCAAAGCCCAAACTCCATACCAATGCTAGTCCTTGTAATCAATCATCGCCTTGCCCTCACAGCGAATGGGCTCTCCTCCGCAGACTTGTACGAGTCAAAGCTCAACAAGCTGACAAAGTATAGCGCAAAGAATCTAACCACCAGATCGCCAAACCCTCCGTTCCCGCTCATCATGCCTTGCAGATTAGCCGCAAACCCGCCACCACCATTGCCGACCGGCCGTGAGGGTGTAGATGTTGAGCCGAGTGTGTAACCTTTGGATTGAAAGTTCGCTCCGCGAGCGGTAGGGCCGTTGGAGGAGTCTTGGACGGCTTTGCGCACGGCGGCTGTGAGTGCGCTGGGGTTCGCGCCGCGGATGGTTTCGACTACGGAACTGCCTTTGAGAACGAGGAAGGTGGGCATGCTGCACGACTCCATTAGTGATTCTCGTGCTATGTAGCAAGGGTGGCTGCCACCTACGCAGACACGCCATACTTCTTCGCGACTTCCTGCTGGTTATCTACATTCACCTTCGCAAACTGTATGCGGCCCGGCTTTGAATCCTTCTCGGCGAGCGCATGGAAGACGGGCGCGATCGTCTTGCAGGGACCGCACCAGTCGGCGTAGAAGTCGACGATTGTGTATGTGGCTGACGAGACGAGCTTCTCGAAGTGTGACGAAGAGGTCACGGAGATGGTCTTGTCAGGCATGGCGACGATTTCGCAGGCTTGTTCGCTTCGAGGACTCAAGTACTTCCGATATGGTGGATCCTGCGACGAGAGTAGCGGGAGTGGAGTGTGGCAGCAGCGCGGAGCTACGGCGGGGCTGCCTGCGATGTGGACAGCTTACCCAAGGGCGGAGGTCCGGAGTAATTCCGATTGGCGGTCCAAGTGGGGGCGACCCTACCAAGAACCTCGTTGCCTCCTTAAGCCTTGAATGACGGATGACGGGAAGTTGTCTCCGACCATTTACGCAAGATTCATACTACCGGTACCAAGTCACAAGCAGCACACAACGCACGTGTAAGATGCAACGATCATTGCTTGAAGGATATCTCTTCTATCCACTATTGGCATCGGATCCCGATCTCCGACACGTCAACAACTCCATCACTCTATTGCAGATCACGACATGACTCACAATACATAGAATCAGCAGCTCCGATGTATTAACTTCATGTTCCGAGACGCCATTTAAACGTATCATAGCTAATTCGCTAGTATAAGAGCCCGCGGAAAGCGTGCACACGAAGGCAAGACCCTTCTCCCTCCCACTACCCGATGTCCATGGAGAAGCACCACATGTGGCAATGAATCGAAAGGATCACAGGTATGTCTGAAGCCTAGTAGCGCCAAATGGCCCTCCTTGCGGCGTGAACCCGCATGAACGCCCTAAGCTCTGCGATGTATGTATCGGCATCGTAGGGCCCAGAGCTAAAGTAAGCCGCGACTTCCTCTCCCACCACAATTGGGTTGCCTGGAGCGCGCACCTCGTGGGAGCCTGTCGTCTTGGGTATAGCTTCGCCGGTTTCCTCTCCGGTCTTGTCCTCGACGTCCGCAGAAGCAGTAGCAGCAGCCGTTTGGTCGCCCTTCTTCTTGGACACACGCTTCTTGGCTTTGCCTTTGCGGCTCTTCTTGGTAGGAGTACCACCTGCAACCGCCTCACGCTTCTTATCCTCCTCGAGCACCGTGTCTGCCATCTCCTCTGCGGCACTCTCGTCACCAGAAGCAGCCTTATTGTTCTGGTCGCGCTTGGACTGCCTGGGTGTAGACTTGCCCATCTGCTCCTTGATGGCGGCAGCGGCACGAGCGGACTGTCGGGCACTCCTCCTTAGTGGAGTGGTTCCTGTTCCGTCGATGTCATCGCCAGGTTTCGCGACAGTCTCCGCGCCGCGCTTCTCCATGGCTCGCCGCTCTGCTGGCATATACTTGCTGTTGACTAGTTTGCGCCTCTTGGGATTCGGGGCTTGGACCGTAGTCTCTGGTTCGCTCTCCTCAGCATCGGAGCCTTCATCTTCGGCTTGGTTCTTCTTGTTTCCCGACTTCTGCTCGAGGGTCACCTTTTTAGTACTGGTGGTATCGCCCGTGTCCTTCGTCTTCCTCTTCCGAATGCTGACGTCTTGATCTGCATTTTCCGTCTTCATCTTCCCAGAAGCTTTACCGAGAGTCGCCTCCTCGGTACTAGTGTACGTCTCTGCATCGTCTGTCGTCTTCTCCTCCTGGGCCTTGATCTTGGCAGCCGCCTCTTCAGTGGCGGTATCATCTGCTGCTTTTGCCTTCGGTTTCCCCTTGCGCGACCTCTTCTTGGGGGCTGCCTCTTCAGCATTGGTATCTTCGTCTGTATCTGCTGTTCTCTTCTTCTTGGCGCGGGACTTCTTCGCCAGGGCTGGTACGCTCGATTCTGATGGCACTACAACCTCGCCCTTCTCAAGAGATTCCATCACAGCAGCCTTGTAGTCCTTTGGCAGGCTGTCGATGCCACCGAGTGACTCGTCTTGCGTGTAGTTTTCGATCGAAGAGAGATCGTAACCCGATACGCATTTCCTGATTCTAATTAGTGATGCGCAGTATACAGTGTGAAAATGAGGTAGCAGTAAGCTTATTTACCAATGCTTGTACACAAACGACACATGTTCGCCATCGAACGGTCTCAGTATACCCAAGCGAAGTTCACCTTTCTGAATCTTGATGCCTAGGTCTTTGCAAGCAGCTGCACGGCAGCCTGCCCTAGCCGAGGGCGTGACTTCTACCTTGTAACCGATGGCATCTCGAATCTCACCTTGGTAGGTCTTCACAAGATCCGGGCGAATATCTTTGAACTCCTTGTCGATCACCTTGCCCTCTTCCAAAGCAAGTGCCAGTTGCTCTCGACTCTCTTCGCTGATGCGTTCGTAGCCTGGCACCTTCGCCACGTCACCGGCAGATAGTGACTTGAGCCCACCGATTTGGTGTGGAGTGGCACATCCCCTAATCTTTGATCAGAATGCGCTCGACTGGACAGGGATTTTCTTGCAGAAGAGGAACGCAAAGAGAGCTGCCCTTAATGTTGCTCACCAATGCCGCCATGCCCAGTAGTACGTCTGCTCCTCAGTGTGCAACGTATGAGTACCGACACGTAGCTCACCCTGTGTGATTTTTGAACCGTCACGCTTGCAAGACGCCTGATTACAGGTTGCTTGACCGGAAACAGCATGCTCGACCCGCCAACGGGGTTCGTCGCCGTTCATGGCAGTAGCCGTAGCCGTCGCAGTCGTGGCACTCTCTGTCATCGTGTCAGTGAGCGGCCACAGTTGGCGAAAAAGGTGAGTTTGGTGAGAAGAGAAGCTCGAAGGGTGAGTTGTGGTGAGTTGAGCAGGCGCGCTTTCTGTATATAGCAGTCACGGGAAGCTGCGAGTCTTGGCGCTCCCATGGCGACAACACCGACGATAAGCGACTGACACAGTCGAGGGGACGGTGTATATAATACAGAAATTGACGAAGCACATTCCAAAGCATGCCAAGTAGCAGGCAAGCGACCGAGACTGCAAAATCGCAATTTGTTGGACTGTACCTGAGCCTACGATGCTTCACATACACCTGAAACCTTGGGGTTTTCCTTTCTCAGACTTTGCTCTTCCCTTCGAGGTCCAGGAAATACTTAATCGTCTCAACCACTGTTTGTTCGACTGGAACAAGATCCGACTCCTTGATGTCGACTAGTTCGGCAGAAGAGTTGTCAATGTAGAACAACTTTTCCTGCAGCAGAAGTCAGCTGCGATCTCTAGTCAGGTCGCCGTTATCATGGGCCTCACCATGTCAAAATTATTCCTGGTCTGCGAGGGTGTTGCACCCGGAATTTTGGCAGCAATGTCAGCGATCTTTCACGCAGTTAGCAACATGTACTCCAATCGATCTATTGCTTTACCTGATCGTATCCTATCCTGTGGCCACCGATCAAGATCCTAGTCTTGTTGAGGTGGGGCTTCTGCAGCGCATTGATATGCGCCTTTGCCACGTCTCGAACGTCAATCCAGGTCGGCCATTCTTGCGGTGGTATGTTCGCTCCAGTCGCGAGACCGTACAAGAAGCCGGTACTGGTGCTGGCCTTTGCAATGCTTGGGAGCGGCAGAACGTACGGTCCACCGACCCATGCCGTGTTGATGGTGTTCAGCGTCCATGATGGCTTCTCCTTTTCGTAGAGCTCCCACATGGCCGCTTCAGCACACCTCTTCGAACCCATGTAGCGGGCGAAATGACGATGTAGTTCGGGAAATTGCGTCATATCCAGGTTGGGGTCCTTCGCTTCTTCGTAGGTAATTGGGTTGAAATCCTTGTTGGTGTACGTATAGCCTGTACGATAACCACCCTTTGCGTCAGCAATGGTTGCGAAAGAGCCGGTAACTACGATGCTCTTGATCGTTGGCTGCTTCAGTGCTGCCTTTAAAACGCCTCTTGTGCCTTCGATTGCGGGCTTCAAGAGATCCCTTTCGATGTCCTCGACTTGGAGCACAAAAGGCGACGCAATGTGGGCAACATGTGTAACACCTTGCATGACGGTGTCGAAGGAGTTTGGGTCCTGGATGTCAGTGACCTGGGAGACTTCAAGACGACCGCTAGAGGTATGTTCCGGATAATGTTCACGAATTACAGATCCGGAAGCATCGGAACGAACTGAAGCGCGGACCTTGGGGCCATTGGGGATGGCAAGTAACTGATCCACTATACGTTGTGCGGTATGGCCATTGGCACCGGTAACGAAGACGATGTCAGAAGACGTGAAAGACATAGCGATGTTTGGAACCGAATCAAGAGACGGGGGAGGAGATGAGATACGAGAGGACGATCGCGAGAACATCCCACTTAAATGAGGAATGGAAACACGAGGTAGAGTCTTGCCCAGATAGAGAGCAAGCGCCTAGGCGCGGCATGTACCTTCTGCACATGTATCAGTACCTTGTCGCAACCGGGCATGGTTCCATAAAGGGTACGCGAGCGACAAGCGTGCATTACCGTATATGGGCCAGAAAAAATCCTGGCGGCACCGTAGGGATCGGGGCAAGAAGCTTCATTGCGATGAACCCAGCAATGAAAGCTATATAGTTTTGTCAGCGCCGCTTGGGTTCATCGTCCCAAAAAATCGTTCTGTTGTCGTAGGGTAGACGATGTTGAGATGTATAGAGATGGCGATCGTGCAGGGAATGGTGGAGGGGTTGTACAACCCCGCGTGGCCCAGTGCGCCGGAGCCGCTGCCGCTCAACGTGTCACAAACATCATGCATCTATCTCGCCGTGCAGCCGCGCGCCCCGCAGATTGATTGAGCTTGCCATCGCGACTATGTGCTGAATGTTTTCTCCAACCGTCCAAGGTATGCCCTCCGTCTTTCGGTCCAAGAGCTACGTCAGGGGTTAGTCGCCCAAACATGGGCGAACCACCACGTAGGATTACTGTCGGTAGCGCTTTAAAAGGTGGACACTGTGAGCGCTCACTAATTGCCGACATCCCCATAGACATATCGTCAAAGGCTTGCGAAGATCTACGCGACCATCCACTTATCTTGTGTCATCAATCCTGGCCTCAGCTACGCTAATTGCCCGTATCCCTACGTATTCCTTCGTCTCGTCCTGTGGAGCCAGCTGCGAGCACTGCATATATTTCTCGGCATACCTTCTCTATTGATTGTACACCACTAAAACCACTTAGATGAACAAAATAATTCCGATCTAGATACCTCAAATCGACCTCGAAACAGACCTATATACCAACCTACAATCTGCACGCCAGTTCCTTGCACGTACTGTAATCACCTTATCAAAGGATATCTCCAACCAGCATCGGTGCTGTCGCTTTGTTTGCTCTCGCTCGGTGCTATGTACCTGTGTCTGCGTTCACTGCGGTCAGCAGCGTGGACAGGGACATGATCATTGTACCTGCTGCGTTGCTGTACAATAAGGGCCAGCCTGGACACCTCGAGGTGAGATTGGAATGTGAAGAGATTGAGTATCGTCAAAACAGGTTCCATACGTATCATCGCCAGGTTAGGGGCTGTGTCGTCCAGCTACATCACACCTAGGAAACCTCGCGATTTATATCGTGTATAACATATCCGCGCTTCTCCTAGGATTGGCTGCATCGTAAGAGACATGATGCACGGAGAGAATACTTTTTCTTATCTCTGCTTGAAGTGTCTGGCTACGTATACGCCATACGAAATGTGCACGTGTCGATTCTTCAAAGTTGAATTGGCAGTGCAAGTAAGTTGTTGAAGGTCGAGAGAGGGGGTCTTTGCGCGCCCTTGGTTGACATTCGATATACGACTTCAGGAACACTCGAGCCAATCAACTAATTCTTTCGAGTATGGGCCTGTATTATGTGTCTATGCGCGGCTACTTCTTCATTAAGAGTGCGGGCACCTCGAGAATCACGTTCACACAGTTTGCCGCACACCCCCCTGACGTCGCCTTTTTTTTCAACCCAAATTATACTTATCTTCCACGCATCCCCGTTAAAAATCTTGCGGACTCGATACTTTATCGCTGTATTAACTTCGAAAATGACTTCACCTGCACGCAGGAAGCCTGCGCCGATCAACACTCAGCGCCTCTCTGTGCATACGCCGTCCACACCCTCTGTATCGTCATCGCACAAGTGCCCCTGCAAGCGGGCTCGCTCCCCTAGTATGTGGACTCTAGTCTGATGCGGGCGTAAACGCAGATACTGACATCAAACAGGTTGCAACTGTCCGCACGACAAAGGCTGCGCGCTTCGATCAGTCCGCCCTACACCATCGACAACCTCATCCATCAAATCTCCCTTCGGGTGGGGCAAGTACACCTCGACCTCGACCTCGACCGGTAGCAATGTATCCCCGGCATCCAAGAGCGCGCTATCGCATACATTCGCTGGAGGTAGCACGCTTCAGTCCCCAGCTAGGCCTTCAGCATACGAATTCGGCTACGACGGTGCCATGTCCCTGTACAGTGCAGTTCCAACGCCCATCCCCACTTCAATGAAGCGAACAGACAGCATCAGCGTCATCAAGGGTCTTCCGAGGGATGTTACGAGGACTTTCAGTGGGAGGATTGAACGCAGGAAGAAGCGCCCCCTGGATATCAAAGTGTACGAGAACATGCCTATGTCTGCTGATCATCTGATGATACTGACAACTCAAACTTCTAGGCTCAAGACGAACCAGTTCGGCGATGCCAAGCATTGCGTTTGCGAGATGGAGTGTGGTTGTCGCTGCTGGACTTTGAGCAGCCCGATTGCTACTGGGCATTCGCCCATGTTTGACCGAGAGATCAGGTGAGAGGCAGAAGAGCTACGCGCTCCCTTGCGATTATTGGGAATCCAGTACGCGTGGCAATTGCGAAGCATGGATTACACTTAGCGACCTGAGAATGGCTACCTGACCAAGGATGCTGTTTGAGGTTGTTGTACAGACATGTGAGCGGCTCAGCGTATACTCTCTCTTCATCCCCATGATTTCTTCATTTCTTGCACGATGGCAATTACTACACACATGGCGGTAGATGAATGCTATAGGTTCACACAGAAGATACCTCAAGCTAGACACAATACAATCTGGCTTTGTCCTGGCAAAAGCTCCAATCCACCAGTCGAGCTGTTCGATTCATCGATCCTCCATTTCGGTGGCACCCGTAGCACACCCTCCGTGCCATCTGGAACAGTAACATCAATAACAGCATGCGTTGCATTCGCAGTCCATCCCGCCTTGATCGCGCCGAAGGGAGTAGGTACCCTACCGCTCGCTTCTCTCAGATCAAGGAAGCCAACAGCTGGATTGATCACAAAAGTCTTGTAGCCAGGCGCGATTGGACGCACACCCAATAAGTACTCAGGCAACACATAAGACGGAGCTGCACCCCACGGGTGCGCCAAACTCGTGTACAAGTCAAGACCAGGCGAACCATCAGGCTTCACGTACTCCCAGCTTGCACCGGAGTAGTATGAGTCATTGTTTACCATGCTACCCCAGAGGCCACCGAGGAGGTGCGATGCAGCTGACGCGCTGTCGCTGCCATGTTTGAGGTACGATTGGAACAAGGCTTCAAGAAGGAAGCCAGACGGGTTTGGTGCCAGTTGGTAGTTAGGAGATTCGGCTTCCGCAGAGGATGTCCTATAGCCAGGGCCAAAACGGAGGTCTTCGAGCTTTGCGAGTGATGAGGCTATCTGGGTACTATTCGCCGCACCAGAGAGAATCGCCCACGCAATGCCAGTGAGTGAGAAGTTCCCGGGTGAATCCAAACTCAAGGAGTAAGTTCCCAGATCTGGATTCCAGAGACGTTCGTTGATCGCTTGGGTCAATTTGGAAGCAGTCGAATTGAAGGTTTCAGCAGTTTCTATGTCGTTCAAGGCAACTGCAAGAGGCACCAGTCGGCGCAGTGTGAACGCAAACAGTCCTGAGACTGCACTTCCGTTGGGAGGACCAAGAAAGCTATACCCAGTCGTTACCTCCGCGCTAGCGGCCACGAGGCCAGAAAAAGGGTCGACGAAAGCGAGTTTCGCTTCTGCAAGTTTCTTGATCTTACTCCATCGTGCTTTCAGTGCGTCCGTATCACCGGTATATCGGAAGTACTCCGCAATGCCGGCCAGGAAGAGGTCTTGGTAGTCAATCAAGCCTTTAGGGACCTGATACGCTTCTAAATATTCGGGTCGAGTTCCAAGCGCGGGGCTAATTTGTACGAAGCCAGTATATGGACCGGAACTGACTTGGTAGCCCAGAACCTTGTCGATGCTACCCAGTATATAATCCCATCGCGCCGTAGTCTGCGCTACCACGCGGACTGTATGATAGAAATCGCCAGTCCATACAAGGCGATCGCGTTTTGCGCCGTCGAGACAGACGGAATGGTCGAGGGGTGCGACACCATACTCAACAAGAGTGTCATTCGAAGTTAAGTTGTTTTGGTAGATTTGCGTTCCATTGCTGGATGTTACAGAAACGTTAGTGTAGACGGCGACTTGATCTTGGTAGCCACCAAAGCCCCAAGAGCCTGCATAAACAGATCTTGAGCCAAAAGTGGGGCTTGTGTTCGGTGGAGGAAGGGGTACGAGAGCGAGTTCTTCTCCGTCCAGTCGCACACGGTATCCGTCTTCCTCGATGGATGTGCTGATGCGGTACCATTTTCCCTCCTCAAGTGAGATGTTCAGAGGAAACTGCTGATTCGCTGGCGTTAATAGACTCGTTTGGTTGACTATACTCCAACCGCTGTTGAAGATCAGGGTATTGGGTGGTAGGAGTGTTCTGTTCGTGTTTTTGAATGTGGTGTCTTCAGGGTAATTGGAGGTTAGGACGAAGTAGGGCCCCAAAGGTTGAGAAGCGCTGGCGATCCTCCATCCTACTCCGCCTCTGACGACTTTTGTGGAGAACTCCAAAGTGTAGTTCGCAGGATTTAGGAGAACGCCTTTTGCAGACTGCGCGCTTGCTTGGCCTCGAACCAGCGCCCCTTCATTAGTGAGTTCCCAAGTGGATGGTGCGTTGCCAGCATCGACGCACGCAACTTGCACCACGCGCCCTCCAAGGCCGAAGACCTTGTTGTACGTGTCATGGCTGGTTTTCAAGTAACCTGGAAGCCTGTCTATGGCTGTATGCTCACTTGTCGCTCTGAACCCAATACGTTCAATCGTGATAGATTCATTGCCGAGCAAGCGAATAGACTGCCATCTTTGCCCGCCTTGTACGAAGAAACTCTCCAGATACCCGGACTCAGTGACCTCGAACGTCTCGACCCGGAATGTGCCAGATAGACCGTTCGAGAAAGTCCAAGGACCGTCAGCATTTTCATGCGAGAGTGCCACCAAAGACTCCGAATACCTCACTTCGATCTGTGCAGCAGCGCCATTGTTAGTCGCGACGAAGAACGGAAAGCCTGCGACGTCGGTTCCATAATCGAGAGTGACGGCTGGCTTAGATGGCGACAAAGTTATTGAGGTGCCGTTGTCGTACAACGACCCGGACGTTGTTTCGGTGGCATCGCTGTTGAGATATCTGGTTGGGTAGACATTGCCGTAGTCAACGAAACTATACACGAAAATTAGCCATGAGTTTCAATGCTTCCTCGTAACCTCTACTTGCGCGTATGTCCATGTAGCCCATAAACATGGTGCAATTGCCAGTGACTTGAATCCCATCATTATCGGGTGTGTTGTTAACCGAATCACTCAGGACGATTCTAGACTCCTGTTCAGACCTGAGCTTCCTATATCTAGGTTCTTCATCATTTTATGATGTCTTCCAGAGGTCCCGTCGGGTTTGCCGAAACGCGGGGAAGGTTAAAATAGTGCAGGTACAGACTCATCATCCTTGTTTCTCTTTACATAACGTGCGAGATCCCCAGGCGATACCGAAATCACTTGCCCATTACGGTAGCAACAGGAAGACTTCATCAACAGCCGCGACAGACGCGCACATAATGTGGGGAAGAAACGACATTAGCGCTCGGAATGTGGGGATTCGGTGCATCTTTAATCAATCCGCATCATCTTCCACCGAGCGCGGCTTCCCAATGGACGAGGTAGGATTTCAAAGTGTCAATGCATTCTCACGATCTGAGGTGTCGTTACTCTTCATTCGTCGACGTTGACTAGGATAGCTTTCGCTTCGTCGTATTTCGACGTACTCGTATTGTTCGCATTCTAGAACTGCATGCATCTGCAAGATGTTGGATGAGGGGCTATCTTGGCCATAGCGATGAGAAGAGGAAACTGTGAATCGACGAGGAAGGGGTAAGCGGAGAGTTGTAAGGCGGGATGGGTGCGCGAGCAAGAAAGGACCACCTGCGAGTAGCGTGACTAACAAGTGAAGCTGCCCTCTTGTTGGAGGACGACACGAATTTACACCTGGTCCTGAAACTACTCATCATTCAATTAATTGCGTATGTATTATTACTATGTAAATCTGGTCATTACCCTTCGTGTCGCGCATGACCATATTCTATGCCACTGTCCTTTTGCCAACGCACACACTCTTCTCCAATAACTACGCCTTGCTTTATCTCAGCTCGCACTAACGGAGAGGTCCCAAGTCATTCACAGAACCCAAGCGACCGCCGCAAACAGCACAGCCACAAGTCCACCCGCCTCGCTCGCACGCGACATAGTCGCGGCACCCGTGAAACTGGGACCATGGTAGCTACTTGTCGGTGTGCTAGTACCGTAGCCGCCAGTGGAATGAGCGGTCGCAGTGGCATTGTAACTACCGGATGCTTTCAGAGTACCGGATGCCTTCAGACCGTTGCAAAGCCCGTTGTTGCAAGTGTTAAAAGCGCACTCGGAATCTTTGCTACACTCGGCGTTGAAGTTTCCACATGCTGCAATGAGCATCGAGTTGGAAGCCCAGCATTGTGCACCGCCGGCACATTGCGATGGGGTGACGTAGGGATCGCACTGGGCGCCGAGGGGAAGCGTGCCAGCTGGGGCGGTGGGTAGAGTCGTTGGCGCGCTTGATGCGGAGGATGGGAGAGTCGATGACAGGAAGTAGCAGCCGTCCACGACTATGCATTGTACGCCTGATGGATATTGGTGAGCTGGGTTGCAGCTGTAGCGCCCTTGGCTGTCGGTCGAACCAGGCGCAGGGCAGGCGGAGGAGCTGGTGGCTGGTGGTGCAGTTGCAGATGAGGATGCGGATGATAGTAGTGCGCCGTTGCAGAAGCCTTGGTTGCATTTGTTGAAGGCACACTGTTGATCGCTCGTGCATGATGCTTGGAAGTTACCGCAGATGGTCTGCAGTCCAGAGTTGGTGGCATAGCAGTTTGCACCGAGAGCGCAAGGGGTGCCACCAGGTGTGCACTTCTCTCCGATGGGTACGATTGCTCCAATGGGAGAATGACTAGCATATGCTGAGCTGCTAGCAGGCGTATATTCTGTCGTCTGGGCAGAGACGTAGGACGCGGCAGCGGCCAAAGTAAGGATGAGGTGTTGCATGGTGGCAGAGTTAAAGAAGTTCGTGTCTGTATGGAATCGGGATCTGGTGAAGAAGATGTGTTGCGGTTGGAGCTGGGATGTTATAGATGGAAGGTTATTTAAGGGTGGAGGACGAAGCACAAATATGCCCGCGAGCATAAACAGACCATTGGTACCACGACTAAATTCATCGCGTAACCGGCGTTTGAGGCTGGCTGAATTGGCCAGCTCTTTGGACCTGCGTTATAGGTATCTTGACCCTAGTGAACTCACTAGAAAGGTCCAGCTGTAAATTCGCCGAGGCGTTGAGCTAGTGTTGTAGGTCCGGCTGTTCGCTTGGTGGGAAGACTAGAGCCCATATCTCGTTCTGATGTCTTCGAGTAGATCCGTGCGACGGTTTAAAGAACTCAGCGCAATGTACTTGATGTAGTAAGTCTCTCTGTTACTTGATGTTTGGTTTTGTCCTATCATATTCTCAGGTAATACTACTCATGCTGAAGCACAATGCATCACACACCTGCGCCTTTCGCCAGCTTCGCGAGAATCATGTACAAGCGCCTTTGTCTATTGGATGAGACCCGAGTGTGGTGGCTACCTGCTTGTGAGGTACTCCGCCACCGAGCGATGAGCTGAAACGGTGCGACGTTCTAAATCGAAGTTGGCTCAGCAACAAGCTATTGGTGGCGTTCAGCCGCTTGGCTAGCGGCGCATCGTTCAGGTCTACGAACATTTCTATCAACGGAACTTGACTGCGCTTTTAGCCTAGCAACCAAACAGAAGCGAGACAATTCCCCCGCAAGCCGCTGCAAGCCAATCAAAGATTAGTCAGTGAAGATTTCGAGTTCATCGGCACTTTGAATAGCGATTCAAGCATTCCGAAGCGATCGTCTTGATGCTTATATCAAAGGATGAAAACGTTGCACAGGACAAATGGTCCCGGAAGCTGTACGGGGTGCATGAATTCCCGAATTGGGGTCGTACGGTTGAGGTGCATAATGCGATTGATGCTGGACAGCCACGATCGTGGGTACAGTATACCGCCTTGTATGCATATATGAAAATACCGAGCATCGGTGACCGCGGCAACAAAGTACAGCTAAATCGTATGCTAACGACAAGTTGTAGGCGGAGGCTGGTCTTCTCGTGAAAGACCGCAGGTTTCCTGATGGTCTCCGAGAGGCTGACTCTATCTGGGCCTGGGCCTAGTCAGAAATGATATATGTGGTCAAAACGGCAAACATTGCGAGCGCAAGAAGTGTGTAGCGAGCGACGAGAATGGCACCATTTGGACCTCCCCCTGAGTCATGGTCTTGTTTGTTCGAATCCATCTAGGTGTGCAATAATGCATCGAACGACCGGAGTCGCCAGGCAAGGGCGACAACAATGCGCACAAAACAAGCGCGCGCCCGCAGGGCACCCTGATAAGTCACCCTTGAACAGTAAGCAAGGGGCCGACGAGGCGTATAGTAACCGGTGTATCTCGTTTATGTGAACACTCCTTGATCGATAGGGTTGTGATTGCGATACGGTAGATCAAGGTAAGAACTCTTTAGCTCATTTGTAGCGCCCATTTCAAGCCGCGCATCTCTTCACGTCTCTTCATGGATACGACCACATCCCTTAGAGGCTTCATCACCCCGATCGGTATTCGCTTCTCATCCTTCGGCGGATCCCATTCGATCGACTCTTTACCTTTCGGAGTTTCGAAATCCCATCCCATGAGTAGGCCCGCGACAAGTGACAAGATCTCGATTTGCGCAAAATGTCGGCCAGGACAGAAGACAGTACCACCGCCAAAGCCACGAAATGCCGCTGGGTGCACACTACGCTTTTCTGCGTCCGTTGAGCTTGTTTTAGTGCCGTTGGGCGTGGAGATGAAGCGTTGGGGGTTGAACTCTCGCGAATCGGGACCCCACACTTCCTCGTCGCTGTGGAGAACACCTCCAGCGATCTGGACTACAGATTGGGCACGCAGCTTGTACGTATCCGCCACGATTGTGTCCTCGGTGACAAAGCGAGCAGAGGTCATTGGGGCGATGAGGCGGAGCGTCTCCCGAAAGACAGAATTCAAGAGTGGGCACCCATCCCGCAAGCCTTCGAACGAGATCTTGGCCGTGTTCGTCGAGTGATCTACAGAGAAGGCGCCCTTCTGGATCTCAGCACGCAATTCTTCCATGAGCTGCGGTCGCGAAAAGATGTAGTTCAGGACCCAGAATACCGTAATGCTGCCGTTTACGAGCGTGCCGAACAGCATGCCAAACTCTGATCGACCGCGGTCTTCAAGCGAGACGCCGAGCGCTTTGTGCATGCGGATGCGTTCCTGTATGACCGGACTGGCTTTTATATGTCGCTCCTTCTCTACGTATTCGATCATGGTCTTGGCTACTTTCTCGCGAGCGAGATATGCCTTTCGGGCCGTCACTTGCGGCAGGGGAGAGGCCATCACGCCAATCAATCCATCTTCCCACACCCAGTAATCCTTCACCAAGCCTGGGTATAGCTCAAAAGGGTTTTCTGGACCGTAAAACGCGTACGTGGTAACTTCCACGAACAGTTCGCGACACCACTCAAACAACGGTCTATCGCAGTCTGGCAGCGCATTGAGCCGCTGACTTATCTGTTCCAAGACGATGCTGCCTTGATACTTTATTTCTGCCGGACCCATCAAGCTGTACAGGGTGTTGTGCATGCGGTCCATGAAGCTTGGTTGTTTTGCTTTCTTCGCCTCATAATCGCGGAACGCTTCGACCGTCGCATTAGAAAACCCAACCAAGCGCTGCGTTACGGGGAGAATAATGGGTTCGAAGAGGAGGGTCGAAGATGCTCGTTGAATGTAATTGGCCAAGTGGGGGCTGGTGACGACGTAGGTTTGCGAGGAGAGCATGGGCAGCGTATAGATGGGGTGTCTGCAGCGCGCACTGTAGATGGTTAATTCCTTCCAAAACAGTAAGGTCGCCCCTGACGGCTTTGTTGATTCTGAGGACTCACCTAGTAATCTTATAATAGTTCGCGCCCTCTGTCAAGAGGCCAATGATGTGCCCTATGAAGGGAATCCTGGGGTACAATACAGGCGGTGCTTGCGGATCGGGGTGCGCGCGAAGCCATCGCTCAAGCAGGGCCGCGCTCAAGAATGCAATTGCCACACCAACGACGAGGATTCGCAAGGTCGACATGATTGCCAACAATACCCTATCGCGCAGAGGATTGCAGCTACAGGAAGACTCGACATGTTGGGGATGGGGTGGGAACAGAGACGCATCGCGACTGTGCCGTGCTGACATGTACCAATAAGGCGTAGTCGTGGGCGGTAGCGGCAGTCGAGCGGCACCCCTGACTCGCTGCTTTAGCGAACCTTTCAACGAGCATCTAGCAAAAGCTTGGTGGTACCGTCCACTCCCCACAACCTGCATCTAACACTTACTTTTGGGGTCAACTATTCATTCGAAAACGCGAATGCATCAGTATGGAGCTGCTATCGCGATTCCGAGACCGCATCCTTTGAAAGGTCCGTTCTCGCTGTTCGGCATTGCGCTGACATTCACCGTCGAGCCTCGAGCCCGTTCGTGTGCTGAAGCACTGGCGACGTTCAAGTCAAGCATCGAAGAGATCCACTCAATTCCAGTTAAGTTATCAACGTGGACCGGGGTCCATTATTTTCAACATGGTGGAGAATCCTCGGTCAAATACAAGGTCTCGTGGTTAAACCTCTCACATGTGGCTCCCTAGTATACATGCGACGATACCTTTGCAGGCCAAGTCGCGAAATACTATCAACGACAGTCCACCAATCATTACGATCTCGACCCTCTCCATGCCGGCATATTGCCGCGACCAGGCATTTGGCCGATCGTTTTCCAAGATTATCCGGGGACCCCGCATTACTCCTAGTCTGAACGCGTAGTGCAAATATTCACGATGCCTATTGCGACTAGCATTCTCTTGATTCCAATAAGCTTTTCGCCATAGTCTATCTCGTGGTCACCGCTTTGGGTGCCTTGAGACCGACATCAAGTTAACATTCTCCACCTCTCGGCTGCTCGATACCCCGGGGGTCCGCGGCGCGTCGAAGTGTATTCCAGTCATTGGAGGAAGTTTGCAATGTTGATATATTAAAACAGAAACCTTGAAAGGGGACGGACCATAGGACTACTCGTATCGACATGGAAGACAGGTGAATCAGCACAGTTTAAAAGGCTACAATCTCGAGCATGAGGCGGTGCGTGTACTCCAGGCGCAATCAATCATGTCTTCACGGCTATCTATCGCTTTAGGCCTCATGGCTACCGGGTCTCTCGTGGCCGCCGGACCTTGCGATCTTTACTCAGCCGGTGGTACCCCCTGCATTGCAGCACACTCGACGACTCGAGCGCTCTACAGTGCCTTTTCCGGCTCGCTGTACCAGGTGAAGCGTGGTTCAGATAACACTACAACCAACATTGCACCTGTTTCTGCCGGCGGCGTTGCTAATGCTGCCGCCCAAGATACCTTCTGTGCCTCCACGACGTGCCTTATCACCATTATTTACGACCAGTCTGGCAAAAGCAACCATCTCACTCAGGCTCCTCCGGGCGGTTTCAATGGTCCGGAAACCAATCACTACGACAATCTGGCCAGTGCTACTGGAGCACCCGTCACACTGAACGGCAATAAGGCCTATGGCGTCTTTATTTCACCTGGCACGGGCTACCGCAACAACAAGGTCAGCGGCTCCGCTACAGGCGATGCCGCTGAAGGCATGTACGCCATCTTCGACGGAACTCACTATAATGGGGGCTGCTGTTTTGACTATGGTACGCAATGCCCGGGTACGAAGTCGATCTGTCTTAGACATAACACTTCGTAACATCTCCACTTTTATGACTTAGCTAACTTCGTACCTGCGCGTCTAGGTAACGCAGAAGTAAATAGTTTAGATACAGGCAATGGTCACATGGAGGCTCTCTACTTCGGCGATAACAGTGCCTGGGGTAGCGGTTCAGGAAGCGGCCCTTGGGTCATGGCTGACCTCGAGAACGGCCTGTTCTCCGGCCAAGGTTCAAAGCAAAACACCGCTGACCCAACTGTCACATATCGTTTCCTCACTGCCGTTCTCAAGGGTGGCGCCAACAAGTGGGCACTGAAAGGTGGCAATGCTGCGTCGGGCTCGCTATCGACCTATTACAGTGGTGCTCGCCCAACCGCCTCTGGCTACAATCCTATGTCCAAGGAGGGTGCCATCATTCTCGGCATAGGTGGTGACAATAGTGTCAGTGCTCAGGGTACCTTTTACGAGGGTGTAATGACCAGCGGCTATCCTTCCGATGATGTCGAGAACTCCGTTCAAGCCAACATCGTAGCGGCCAAATATGCGACCACGTCCTTAAACAGCGGCACAGCTTTCACCAATGGTCAATCCATCTCCCTTCGCGCCACTACCTCTGGCTACGACACGCGCTACCTAGCCCACACCGGTGCCACTGTCAACACCCAGGTCGTCACTTCATCAAGCGCCACAGCCCTCAAACAGCAAGCCAGCTGGACCGTTCGCACGGGTCTCGGTAACAGCGCATGCTGGTCGTTCGAGTCAAAGGACACAGCTGGCAGCTACCTCCGTCACAACAACTTCGTTCTTCAACTTGTTGCGAACGATGGTTCGAAGCAGTTCAAGGAAGATGCTACCTTTTGTTCCGTTGCTGGGCTCGGCGGTTCAGGGCAGTCGATTCGGGCTTGGGGCTATCCTACTCGGTACATCCGCCACTACGAAAATGTGGGTTACATTGCGAGTAACGGTGGTGTTCACGCGTTTGATGCGGCGAGCTCGTTCAATGCCGACGCTACTTGGGCGGTGAGCACGAGCTTTGCTTAGGACGCCACTTTCTGAGATGGATGTGGTATAGGAGGCTGTAGAGCATATCTTCTAAGTATATATATCAGATGATCTTGAAAGAGAGACCCTTGTGATATTGGATTTGCGACGCCGTCTCAGCTTTGTGGTTGTGAACTGTGCCTCTACATTTTCCCATGAGACATGTTCCCGGCAATGCATGTCGTTGGACGAATGGCGGAGTTGTTCACCATTGGTGGTTCGGAGTTGCCATTGGGGTCTAGAAATGAGCTGTTTGGCAAGGGAATGATGCTTACCTGGATTCAGCTTCTGCAGGCGTTCGATCGCCACCTAGGCATACATAGAGTGACCCAACTGACTAGCAACACGCGTTCGCTCTCAATCGCGCCTGAGTTAGTCATCACTAAATCCTCCCGCGCCCGTCACTTTTTGCCCGCCCGGGCGGTCTCGAAAGCAAGTGCGCTAGCGTTCACGGGTGAGTGCCCACCGCGCATCGCGCCTACCGTAAGATACTTGACCCCTCCGCCACTTTCGCTTTACGACCCCTCACCCAACCCATGGGCACATCTCAGCAACCCCCTCCGACCTCTATTGCTGGTACCACCAACATGGCGCCCCCCAGTACCAAACGCAAAGGTGCGAGTGACAGCAAAGACGCCTCCGATAGCCCTGCCAAGCGCATACGGACTGTTCCAGAAGGCGGCCCAGTTCAGCGAAAGCGCGACATCTTTCCATTCCTGGACCTGCCGGGTGAGCTACGCAATAGGATCTACGACATATTAGCTGCGGACGCGAACGAGAACCCAGTCGGTATTCGCAATAGATTGCGGGAGATAATCAAGGAGATGTGCGACCGCCTTAATATCCGCAAAGAACCCAAACAGCTGGAACATGGATTCTCGCACTCTTCATGGGGGTAAGTTGCTTCTCAGCCATCGTGGGGAGCCTCAATGCTTACGTGACAAGACTGACCCAGGTATGCCGCAAGATCCGTGATGAATATCTTCCGGTACTGCGCCCGATGCGACGTGTTTGCGTTACCATTAATGATCTAGAAAAATACATGGATGTTTTTGTCCCACGTCTGGACGACAATATGCCCTTCCTGAGGGCCCCTACCACCGTTGAGATCATTCAAAATTCGGACCACGTGTCACCGTTGGACCTTCACCTTATCTCTCAATGGATCCACGCATCGCCCAACCTGAATTTCATATTCGACAAAGATCTCATAATCGCATCCCAGATCGTTGAGTTGTTCTCAGCTTGGAACCAAATCGGTCAAGCTCTTGGTCTTCGAGGTATGACTTTACATGCGCCACCCAAGTCGGCTGCTCTATATGGGGTTCTCTGCTGGGCCACTGTTGACATCACATGCAACCTTCTCGACGGGTCACCACCGTTCGCGCATTCCCTTGACGAGGAGCGACTTGTTCACATCACTCACTTTGCGCATGCCGCTGGGTTTTTCTCGTCGCCCAATGAGAGGCTCAGTCCCGTTTACTTTGAGTGGAAATCAGAAGGTACAGCTGTTCTTTGCTTCCGTTTGGGACCTAGTGGTGATTACTCGCTCAATGTCGTGGATCGCATCACGGATTTCAGCCTCTACCGTATTCCGAGCCAAGGCGTCAAAAATACCGAGGAACTCAGAAACTGCCGACTTTATTGACGGAACTATACCCCACAGTCTGCTCATTGCATGATGCTCGGGTCGTAATGGAAGAATAAGTGTGGCCACGAAAGCTTTTGCGCGGGTTCGAACACAAAAGTGGTAGTAGGAGAATAGCTGAGCGCATATCCTAAAAGGGATAGAAAAGGGCCTGCACACGTAGATCGGTCCCTGATACAATACCGTTCTTTAGCCCCTCTGCTAGGGATGCAATTTGATATGAGCTCTCAACTGGTCACTTCCTATACGGGCTTCAGTCAGATTGTCTGTCCTATTGCCATTATGTACCTCAGTGTCGACGAAACGAGACTTAACATCTTTCTTCGCTCAGTGATCGGAAGATAAAACTTACGGATCCTGATGCTGGCTTTCCATTTGCCTTGCACGTTCATCGACATAGTTGTGTCCTGGTCGTCGCTTAGCTTTGTAACGACGTAAACACACGTTTGCTGTTGTGATAATAAAAGGAATCGAATGAGAATCAGCAGACTATGCATCAGTAAAATTGAGGAAAGTCTACATTGGATATCATACAAACACTTCAACAGTAACACCAGTCCTTGGTCTAACCGAAGGATCTGGGCTTTAGACGGTCGAATCTATATCAATTGTTCTTCAACGGGCAAGACCTATTGACCGAGACGGTTGCTTGCCTTCCCTACAAGAACCGATAAGCGTATATTGAAGTCCTACTCATCACTATCATCAAGCATTTCACGCAAACCACTTTCATTATCGGAACTTCGCTTTGCAATTTCTTTAAATTGTTCTTGCAGACACTGTGTCAATCAATCATAAGAAGCTAAGATACTAAGCCATGTTTTCACTAGCATTCTGAATAACATCCGCTACTGAAAAGAGGATAGCAGCTCAGGAGAGGTTGCTCGGTAGTAGCGGGTGACTTATGCTACTTATCAGCAGTGCTCGCACCAACATAGAAGAGAGGAATCTGCTACTTACCTTTTCAAGAGGGAGGAAGGCACGGGGCACGAAAAAAAGGGTAGGTGCTATTGATCTATTTAGTGTTTTGTTGAGGAGGAATCCAAAGACCGGACTTACCTTTCTCGAAGGGACAGTCCACGATGTAGTGCGTCATGGCATCGTTCTGACGCGTCGCATCGGTCGATTTAGCGCAAGCTTTACATGGAGAAGCCGGTCGGATGCACTTCTCGATTGGGTGCGTGTTCGCGTTCTGCTTCCAACTCGGGTTGTTCGCGCAGCGGGTGCAGAGATAGGTCCTGGGGCACTGGCCAACGAAATGCTGCGTGCTGTCACAGTTGGTGCAGAACACGCTGATCCCCCAGTAGAGGATGCTCCGGTTGCGCAGCACGGCCTTCAGATTGTCGACGTCAACCTGGTTCTCTGGCTGATAGCGTCCTCGCCCGATGACGGATTCTCCAGCAAGCAAAGATGCTGCGACCATTGTTTGGGCGATATCGTTGCCGGCGTTGTGCAAGTACTTCTCTCGGACGCTGTACTGTCCGAGAATGTTCTTGAGGCTCATATTGCCAGAGCTCAGGCCGACTTCTCGAGCCATCACTTGAGTGTCGAGAGTCAAGACGATGACGCCTAAGGCCGCAAGGTCGAAGTCAAATTGCTCACGGAGGGTGTCAATGTCGTTTCCTACCGCGTGACCAAACAGGATGATCGGTCGTAAGTTGCCGCGTGTGTCGTACCGTTTAAAGGTATCGCTCAACGCTTGCTTCGCCTGAGTACCATCGACGAAGCACGTGGTGCCAAACTGGAAATCCTCCGGATGGCCCTCGCACTTCTCTCCGTTCACCCAGTGGGCGTTCTCCTTCAACCTCAGATGGTGGACCTCCATGTCATTCAGAGCGTGAATCGGCTTGCCCAACATAGTCTGGGGCAAGCGTAGCACTGAGATGCCGAGTTCAGTGACAATGTGGGGGTTGGATTCATGCCATTCCATGTCCACCCCAACTAGCAAAGCATCCTTCAATTGAAAATCAATTTCAGGAATGATGTATGGCGCTTGCTTCATCTTCAATAAGTGGGCAGCAGCCTGGACGTGCGACCGCTGCGTTAGGCCACCACGCGAATCCAGACCGTTCGCCAGAAACTGTGCGAGCTGACTCAAAGTCATGGGCTGTTGATTTGTTGCCATGATCCGAGAGGTGTAAACTATATTCTCGTAGTTGTAACCTGCCAAAAGGAATTTCGGTACGGATGCTCGTGGTCGGAAAGGTCGAGTGGGAGCTGATCAATCACAAGCCAGTTGTGAGTCGTACCGCTTGGGTTTGGTTTGGCTATGGTAGCCTAGCGCGTGGTGAACTTTATAGTGAATAGCTATTGTAGCTATCGTGAAAATTGTGCAGCAGCAGGCAGGCATTGTGCTGTTGTACAAAGAACACTAGTGATAGTTGCCTGGAGTTGGTGAAGAAGCGCGCATTGTGTATGCCCGCGACTGCATCACCTGCCACATGCGTTTGTGAAAATTGAAGCAGAACATCACGGTCAATTGAAAGACCGTATGAACAGGAAGTATGATCGGGAAAAAATGTTATATACTGTGAAAAAGGGGTATGATGAATCCAGTTAATGAAGAAGATGTGATGGGATCCTGAGCTATACATGTAGGTGAGGAGCAAGTGTTTGTCTATGATTGTTGATGTCTGGTAATCAAACAGTCAAACAAGAGGCAACATTGAGCGGTGTTTCAGACAGAACGATGAAAAGTGGATGATAGCAGATGGAATGGAGAGGAAAGAGAGAATAATTGGCCTACTAGGTAGAGTTTGACTCTGAGACCTTCGCATGTCAACGCACGAGGCAAGCATGGCTGCATAGCTTAGGCCCTACTAGTGCGTTTGTCGGTCTCTGAAGGTAAGCGCAGAGCAATATGATACACGTCTCAGAAAATCTGGATACTGCGCGTGTTGTCGCACAAAGTTTGAGCGTCAGTCCAGATGCACATTGGCCTCATTGGAAAGTCGTCATACTTCGTAGCCGCCCAAAGAAGGATTTGGGAAAGAAATTGCAAAGGTCTTGCACGCCTATGCTGTAGTGAGCTCCCGGAATGGTAGGAAATCTAATCACTCAAGCCCGTCGAGATCTGAATGGGGACACTCGGTGAAGAAATGATCCGAGCTTACGCAACGGATACAGAATACCTCTGTTCCTACGGGTGGAGCAGGCGTCGGCCGCTCCATCAGCTCATTCACAACCGACTGGGCAGTCTTCGAAGCAGACTGGCCGTGCTTCCCAGGCTTCGCTTTCGGGTTACTAGGCGACTGGTACAGATGCTTCCTTAGAGCGGAGAGCATAGATGAAATGGTGATGTAGGCCGCCGCGTTCCCACAATTGCCGGAATCCTTGGGTTGGATTTTGTATTGGGCAAGCAGGTAGTCGAGCTCAGCGTAGGGATTCCGAGTAAGCTTGCTTTGCTCCGCAATCACTTGACCATCCAACATGGCAATCGTTGTGCCGATTTTCGCAGGGTCGAATCCAAGGTCTTGCCATAGCGCTGCTAGTTCGTACATGTTGCCATGCTGAAGGCAAATGACGGGACGAAGGCCAAGTTCAAGGTTCTCTTCATCCATTGGTTGGGTCCAGATTTGCGTCAAGAAATCGACTACTTCATCTTTCGACGCAAAGGCGGAAGTGCCGAAGTGGTAAGCGTCAGGGTTACTGTTGCCAGCCGGAAGATGGGCGTGCTCTTGCAGTCTAAGATGCATAGACCAGATATGGGAAAGGTAGTTTTCGGCGTGAGGTCCCGCAGATGTGTCGATAAGTCCTTCCGTATTGAGACTCCGCCTGTCGAAACTACAAAGTCAATTGGCATTAGCAGAGTGCGACCTTACAATTGCACAAAAGAGGGCTGGTGCGAAAGTCTACAACCACTTCACCTACGTGGTGATTCCGATGCCCGACAACTTGTAAGGGCTGACGGTCATTTGGTCACAGGAGAGAGTGACCAGTACAGCTTCCTTGAAGAGCTCGTTCAGCTCGACTGTGCCGCCGTTCGGGATGTTTCTCCCCTGCAGATAGCGCTGCAGCACCAAGGAATTCTGTTGCGTCCAAACACGGTCTCTCAGCCGCTCTAGCTTCTTCGAGTTTGTCTTCGACATCGTGTTGAGTGACTCGAAGGGAACGTAGCAATGTCTACTGGTGCTGGACTGTTAGCAATCTATAATGGCAACGTAGCAAATGCTGTCGTTAGTAACCATTGTTTATCCTCACTTAGTTTAGGCACAGCGTAGGACCGTAAGTCCTACTTCGGTAGCAGAACGCGATATTCTCAAAAGACCTATTGTGTTGCTATTGCAAGTTGGGAGATAAGAACAGAGTGTGTCTCGCCGTTGTTGACGCCTCGCGTCATGATCATAGTTCAATGGTCTTGCACTAACCGAATCTAGTTTAGCGCTACTGACCGCTCCTTCCTCGGACATAACATCCGCCCTCTGCACCGTAATTGGTTGCTTCTGATACTCTTTATCCTCAGATTGCTCGCACTATGCATTGCTGGACCTTCACGTCGCATCTAAACCAAATGCTCTGCCTTAGTGCTGCATGCGAAGTCTCCATTGATCCGTACCGGCCGTGTGAACGCCACTGGTACCTCAGGGCATGGCGCATCTTCCATGGTGTTGAGCTACCGACATGCTAATCTCTCTTTGTTCTTAGGTTCTCATGAGGACATTGTGCCTATCTTCTTTCTATCGTTCAACCTCCGCCGGGCTTCTTTAGCGCACCCCCAAGAATGCTGGGATCAATCAATGCCGGTTCCGGTACGGTGAGGCCACATCGGATGAACATGCTCTTCCACATGGCGCCAACCGGTCGTTCTTCTGGCATAAAGACCACTGTATTCACATACGTCTCAGTCGTATTGTAGCAGGCTTCCATTGTGAAAAGCTGTGCCTCACAATTGTCACCTTTCGCAGAATAGAAGACACCGCAGCGCGCATGAGCAGGCAGGTCCACGCAAGTCCCATTCAGCCAACTACTTGCAGGTCTTGGTAGGTTCAGCCTCTGCAAGAGCTCGCCGCGACAATGCTTTGGACCTCCATCGCCAGCATACGACATCGCAACGATAGGTACTTGAGGTTGAGATGGCGGCGGTCGAGCGGTCGGTGTCGGTTTCGATGATCCGGTAGTCTCGCCAATGAACCCTTCGTCGACCGATGATGTTGGCTGGGCAATCGCCGTGGCTCCGATCATGCCTTCATCACTCGATATAATGGTTGGACGGCCTGTCACAACCCATGTCGCAGTCTTGTCAGCGGCAACTGTGGATGTTCCGCTAAGAATGTCGCCGCGGTCGAAAGCGCTTCCATTGATCGCAGCACCCGCTTGCTGAGCTTGCGCCTGCGCCTGTGCTCCAAGCTTTCCGTCTTTTGCAAGTTGCGCATTCGATAGTTGAACGAGTCTTCGCGGCACCTGCTGCGCGCGGATTTCGAGTGATGTGATTAGGGAGATGGTAATGATGACAATTAGGGTTATGGACGACGCAACGACAATAATTCGACGAGGTATCGCCATTGCAATGAGATTACTGAAGATCTGGTGAACAGGAATGAAGCATTGAGATCCTCCAGGTTCATGGTTGTCGCTGCCAAGAGAGGTGCTGCACCACGCGTTTCATCACGACCGACAGCTGAAACATCACGGAAGCTGGGCAAAGACCATCCCACCTTCAGTCACTCACCATTTGGATGCAGGCTAACATTACATTGTAGATTATTGCTCTATTTGCTTGTGTTCCGCACAGCGGCTTAGCGGCCATTACTCGACCGAAACAAGAGTTCCTCCCAAGAATGAATCACTTTTCAGTGTCCGGTTCTGTTATTACCAGAGAATCTGAGTTCCAGACCAACAGCATCCTGAAGTAATCGAGACCTCCTTCAGCATTCTGCGCTTCGACTCTGATCTTACATCTCTCTTTATCACGCCCTCAGCCCCCGCAAAGCCGGCAAAGGTGCAGCCAACATCTCAGCCATCGATGGTTCATTATCCCTCTTCTGGAGGCCATGCAAGAATGCTCCACGCTCTTTAGCCAGCCTGTCTTGCTCTCTTGCCTTTCTCGATGAAAAAACAACGAGTAGAATCCCCGAGACCAAGGCTAAAACAACAAGAACAATCACAAGCTTGTGATTACCAGTGAAATTGTCGTCGTCGCGCGGTGCAATAGACCTCGGTACTGCAGCTGGGACAAAAGGGTCGAACGACTTATCGCTTGGTGTCCCGATGCGAAAGGTGAAAGGCAACGATGCTGCACTATGAATCAGTCGCTGCACGGTCTGTATTGAGCTATAACACTTACGCGCCATGGCTGCTGCCTATGTGGATATCGTAGATCTCGCGCTAGGGTCGTGAACAGGTGTTCGTGGGTCCGCTCCACGGAGGACGAAACTCTTGCCCGGGACTAGTATGACCTTGGACAACATCGGCCTTTATTATTGTACAATTGAGAGGTGGCATGACAAGTAATGTTGTACAGGGCGGCTACAGAACATGTGTTTGAGTGTTGTGGCAGTGTTAATAGCCGGTTAAGCATTGCATGCAGGCCTGAGGTTTTCATGCATGACGATTCGCTGGACCACACCTGCTGATTTACAATGAGAGATCTAGCAACGCTTTCAGTCGCATGTGGCCTGTGGGCATATGTGCCTGGATGGTTGAAGGTTGTGTACATTGAGGCTAGGTCCTGTGTGCATACCAAGGCTGGCAATGCCGTGGTCTTTGTCCAAGACGTCATTCGACTACTATCGACCTATCGTCCTTTCTCAACAAGTTTCTGCGAGGTTACATTTGTATAAGTTTTAGGAATTGCACGTCTTAGCCATGCTGATATGATGTCCCGATGATCACGCCAGAACTCTTCGATGGGTCTTCAATGAGACGGACCCTAAGCAATACGCGTCAGGCGACAAACTCGGTCTCGTTTTTCGGGGCGGTGCGAGGGAGGACGCTAGGAGCATGAAAGCCCGTATTGTAGATGGAATAAGTATGATGTATAACTATTCATCCTCCATTCTCAATAAACAGCAAGAGCCATAGAAGGTAGGCACCTACTTTGAAGGACCACATAGTCTTCTTCCATGAGACATATAAGTCGTGGTACAACCAAAGACCACGACTGTCTCCCATACCCTCCAACCTGATTGTTCTCAGGAGACCGCTTGCCACACACTGAACATGACCACTGCCCCCACACTCTAGTTCAGATGTATATCATGATCGTAGACAGTACAATTATAATACCCATCGCCCCGCCAATTCCTAATCCCAAACGGCGGATGCCAGTCGACCTGCGCCTCCCCTTCCCCAAAGCGTAACCCAGCCTCCCGGAGCCCCAGCCTACCCCAGCCAGGCCCCGTAGATCCGTCGCACTTCTCCTCGTCATGCCTGATGCTACCATTAGCCACGCACCAACATATGGCCTTCTTTGACCTTCAACTTACTTGTACACGCTGCAAATACAGTTCCAACTAGTCGTCTTGAAGTGGGTTACAGGCATGTTGCCGATGGCGAATTGCAATTTGCCGCAGTTGTATTGTGGGGAGAAGCTGCCGTACATGGGGACGATCTGGCCGGGGTCTTGACGGCTGTAGGCTTCGCCGCATTTGTAGTACTCGACGGAGATGGTGACGTGCGGCGGTTCTGGGGTGTCGCCTATAACGAAGGTAGCTAGGAGCGCGAGCAGCAAGACGAGGTGGGTGTATAGCGCGCTCATGGCTGCTTGGGAGTGTTGTGGGGAGCGGTGGGTATGCCGTCGAGAAGTGGAGGCGGGGTAGGGTGAGGGTTACACTTGGGCAGGACCGTTCGTTGTGCTGATTGTGGGCACGGATCAGTGGCCGATGAGAGGTAGGTGCGGTGTATTCGTGAAACCTATGGATTCGAATTCACGCTCGGACAAACCGGTATTGGTGGTTTACCCTCAAACAAAGCATCGTTCACGCTCTAGTAAAGAATCTGACGGACATTCGACTTCCGCGATTCGGCTGCGATGTGCGGCTCAGTACCATGCGCTGCTGTGGAATCAACAAACGATCGCTGATTATCAAGTATTCGAGTGAACTAGTTGATGAATGCTGTGGAATGACTCATAGTGCAACCGATGCTAGAAACCAAATACAATGATATTTGAACATGCCTGCGTACCTTTCATACGCTCTTTGTCTCCGTTCTCATCGTCGCAAGCCGATAGTATCCCAAGACGATGATGGAACATTGACCCTTCTCGTTTGGGCAGTGACTCAACCGCTCTTGCTCCCACCACTCTTCGGCGCGCTTCCGCCACCACTCGTCTTCGTCCTGACACCCTCCGAGGCCCCTCCTTCCTGTGCACCTCTTGGCTTGCTGACCTCAGGGTTGCCCGGGCTGACGTTCAGCGCATCGCTCTCACCGCCCTCGCCCTTTCCTTCCGCCTCTGCTGTCTGTTCTGCGGCCTCGGGGCTCGTCTTGTTGGGATCGAAGGCGGCATCAGAGTGGGCGGCTGCGTCATCGGACCCGGACTTGGAATATTCGTTCGAGCGAGGCTTGAGAGAGTCCTTGTCTTGCGTGTCTTTTGAAGCGAAGCGGGGAGCAGTGGTGCTGAGGAAGCGTGGCTGCGAGACGACAGCGCGAGGCGCGCGTTGTAGGAAACGGCGAGTGAACATTATTGCTCTTGTGATGGTGTTGTTTGATGCGAGAATGGTGTAGTGCGAGCTTGGAGATGGCTCAATTGATTGCCAGCTTGAGTGAAGAAGTAGTTCGAATGTGATTAGGTGAATCCGAGGGTGTGGAGGAAGGGAAGCTGGGATGAGGTTGTGCAAGAGATGTTGGAGCTATGGGCACGTCGTGAGCGCTGTCTGACGTCAATGTACTTGCAACATTAGCCGAGGCCTTGGTCACGTGATGTGCTCCTGCCCGCGGGCGTGACCAGCTCCCTTCAACATGAAACTATCAGACCGAAGAGAATAATCTGTATTGAAGCCGAGCAGTGTCGTGTTCAAGGCTTTTTGATCGTTCCTTAGCTTGAGAGCAGTCGCTGAAAGCATCGGCGCGGAGTCGGACACATCTCCGACCTCCGAGTTTTACGACCGGAGAGCCCCACGCGTTCCTCCCACCTTTGATATCCAGGACCCTCCATTGGGCGCGAGTGTATGCAGCACTGTTCCCACACCTGCTTGAACTAGCTAGTCTCTGCATCCATATCTTAGAGCTCATCACCACGTGGATCTTTACTGCCTAACGCAGAGCATAAAGTCGGGCATCGTACCCTAAACTTTGAGGCTTCAAAACGTTCTCACCGAGATCGAAGACCAGTGCCATACCTCCATCTGTGAAGTAGGTATCTCCGATCTTTCAGGCCATGGTAAGCAGCATTCGCGTTGATTAAACTGTTTTGAATCGGATGTGCTCACGCCGTCCTTCCTAGACTCGAAGCTTTAGTGAATTGAGCGTGCGCTCGACGACCACTGTCAAACAACCCCCCTGAGATTTTACCTTCGACCCTAGTCAAGGCCTGAAAGACCTGATTCATACAAGAGATTCGACCTACTACATCATTTGACAAAACTATCCGATCTATACGACCACCATGGCCATCGCCCCAATGCCTTGGACACCGCCACCGCGCCCAGACCCAGAATCACTCAAGAACCCGCCCCCATTCGAACCTGTTCCTATCATCCACCTCCGCACCGGGAAAATCCGCGCAGTCTTCAACAAAGCCGGCATGACTTCTGCCATCCACAAGACTCCGCTTGCCTTCCCAGTTACCATTGCCGTATCAGGCATCGTCGGCGATGAACACGCTTACCTCCCCCACCGCTCCCCAGATAAAGCCATCCACCACTACTCCTCCGCGCACTACCCTCAATGGGCCGCCGAGATCCCTGAGAGTGCGCATATCTTCAAGCCAGGAGCTTTTGGCGAAAATTTGTTCAGCGATGAGTTAGACGAGACGAAGTTGTGTATCGGAGATAAGATTCGGATAGGCGGCGTGCTGTTGGAGGTCAGCGAGCCGAGAGCGCCGTGCTATAAACTCAATCATCGCTTTCAGGTCAAGAACATGGCGAATCGGGTGCAGAGTTTGCTGCGGACTGGCTGGTTGTATCGCGTGCTTGAGCCGGGAGTTGTGGAAGAGGGTGCGATGATAGAGCTTGTGGAGAGGGTGCATCCGGAGTGGAGTGTTGCGCGCGTGGCGTATTACTTGTTTCTTGAGAGGGATAACGTGGAGATGAATAAGGAGATTGCGGAGCTGGCTGAACTTGGCGAGGATATCAAGGGGCGCTTTGAGATGAGGTTGCAGAAGGGGAAGCTGGAGGACGAAGCGGGGAGGTTGTTCGGCGGTGATGAGGAGAAGATGGACACGTGGAACGAGTATCGATTGGTCGAAAAGAGGAGGGAGACGAGCGCCGTTACCGCGTTCGTCTTTGAAGCTGTGGAGTATATGGCCGAGGAGGACGTCAAGACCGTTGAGCCAGGGAGCCACGTTCGCGTCAAATTAGGAGGGAAGTTAGTCAGGGCGTACTCTGTCGTGGGCGGAACGACAAAGCTCTTTGCCCTTGGCATTGCGCTCGATCCTGAGAGTCGAGGAGGCTCCAAGTATCTACACCACGAGACGAATGTCGGCGACAAACTCACCTTTAGCCGTATCACAGCATCATTCCCTCTCGCTCAAGATGCGGACAAGCACATCATCATCGCTGGTGGCATTGGTATTACTGCTTTCCTCGCTGCAGCCGAGTATCTCCGTACTTCGAAACAAAACTACGAGCTGCATTTTGCAGTCTCTTCCGGGGTCCCTTTCGCTGCACAAATCGAAGCGCTTGGCTCGAATGCGAAAGTATACAACAAAGCTCTTGGTCAGCGCCTCGATCTGAAGAACATCATCGCCGGTGCTGACCCCACTTCGCACGTCTACACTTGTGGTCCACAGCGACTCATGGATGCTGTTGCCTCCGTTGCGAAGGAATACGGATTGGCCGATGCCTCTGTTCACTTCGAGCAATTCGTGGTGGCAGCATCAGGCGATCCGTTCACAGCGGAGCTAAAGCAAAGTGGAAAGACGCTGGAAGTTGGGCCCACTCAGTCTCTTCTGGACGTGCTACGGGCCGTCGGAATGGACATCGACTCTTCTTGCGAAGTGGGGAACTGCGGTACTTGCAGGGTGGACGTGTGTTCTGGCCGCGTGGAACACCGAGGAACCGGGTTAGGAGATGACGAGAAAAAAGACAGCATGCTGAGTTGTGTCAGTAGGGGTGTAGGACGGATCATCTTGGATCTCTGAAGATCTTTCACACACACAGATGCGCTTTACTTCTTTTACTTGTAAAGTCTTAATGAAATTTTGCTTTAGCATGCTGGTATCCTACAGCCACCGCTCCAACGCGGAAATACGCCACAAACCCAAACGCCATCCCATGCCATGAAATATGCACATCGAACTGTAACCCCAAGTCTCTCTCAATCGTCCCACCGCATATTCAACACCAACCCTTGCACTTCTTCCGCACTCAAGGGGTGCTTCCTCTTCACTTCGTGTTCCCGTTCGCCTTCAAAGAGTCACATGCCAACGGCACGGCCGTACCACTCGGCTGCAACAGGCCATCCGAGGACAAGTGCTGCGAAGGGCAGGACACTGCATCTCGTTAGTACCACCGATGTGGAACGTGGAAGGGGGGAAACGTACAATCCACCAGTGCGGGCGATGCGTCTGGGGTACAAGCTGAAGTCGACAGCGTGCGGCTTCGCAGTTGCGGGGTTGCGTGCGAACGGGTGGGGCTCAGTGAGGTAGCGCGCAGCGGTGCGAAACATGGCAAACTTTTGTGTTGGAGAAGGCATGCTGTGTATGTGATTGTGTTGCTTTGGACTTTGTGTCTTTTGGCTGGAGATTCGATTCGCTCGTAAGAGTTGAGTGTTCGCTCTAAAAGTTCCTTTTTATCCGAGTAGTTGATTTGAGTGTAGTAGACCGATGTCTATGTTGCCTTCTGGTAGACTAGATGTTTGGAGATGGTGTTGTAGATGCTGAGTGGAGAATGGCTTTCACTGGCAGCGTTACACGAGGATATATACAGCATGACGAGGGATGAGTCGGAAACGACATGGCAGACTTTGCGCAGAGTATCGCACCACACGAGTATCACGCCAGACGTTGGTGCGAGAGAGGCCGATTCATTACCGCGATGAGTGTGCAGCCTTGCGGTCTCGCTTACCATTGCCGCACGGCATGACCAAAGCGCACGCAGGCGCGAACATTGGGAAAATTCCTGTTCAGGCGAAGACGTTACGGGAGCTGTGTAAGGTAAGCAATTAGAAGACACGTTATTGGGCGATGGGCTGGGCATTGCTGATTGTGCGTGCGCGGGTGATGAGGCGCGGCCCTGCGTCGCGAGAGAGTGGTGTGATGGTGTCGTGAAGGGGGCCTTGGGGGATCGGCGGCTGCCGACTCTGCAGTAAGCGAGCGGCAACCGGCGCCACCTGAGAATGGTGTGATCTTTTCGCACGAAGAGTCAACCCGTAGGATTTCGCCGACAGTTATTCTCGTCGCGAAGAATTACGCAAATCTTCGGCATCGTTAGTCGCGATGGTGTCGCAATGCATCGCTGGTCGACTTTCTCTACATCCGCACGCGAACGAACAAATGGCGTCTTCCCGCAGCCAAAGAGCATCGGCCGAGGAACTGGGCCCTTGTGTAACGCAATTTAGGTCAACTCAATGTGCAACATCACGCAGGCCTTGGGCGCAGCATTGATGTTCTTCGGTGCTTCGCCAGCTGTGAGCATGGGCACGAATGGAGTGGAGTGAAGTAGGCCTCACAGTATCTACACTGGGTCAACTCGAAGTACGATACCGATATGAACTCACGACCTGACTCTTTCGGGCGTGGATAAGATGGTCACATATTTTTCCCTCCTGTACTGATTCTCTTCCAGTTGCTTCACCCAAAGCTCAAGCTGTGCGCGCTGCACCTCCTGCCAGCTCATCTCCTCTACTCACGCTTCCCTCGCGCTACATCGAGATTCTTGCCTGGATTACTATCTGTGCTTCTTCAACTTGTTACAAGCCTTGAACGAATGCTTCAACTTCTTTGGAATCGAATGGGGCCTAGAATTCCAGCCGATACAGTTTCCACCTCTGCAGTGGTTATGGTCACTGCAGTAATCCTCCCAATCCTCACTGTTCTAAAAACCTTGAGCGATCAAGGAATGTTCAGTCCTGTCGTGTGAGCGGTCGTAATATCTAGCCTTCCATGGAACATCGCCGCACTTGCATGGGTGATTGCGTCCGGACTTGGACTAGGCGGAGGAGATGGCTTCGCCTTTCGGATTGCGACAGATGGAAAGAGAAAATGCGCCAACGCGGCCTTCGTCGTATTTCTCCTCGGTCAACTCGAAGTGAAGTACATTATACGTTTCTGCTCCAGTAATGAGAACACACGACATCGAGCTTCCTTATCCACACTTGCCACCTCCAGCTATCGGTCCGCCATGACCTGCTTTCTCTGTCTCAATTGAAATCCTGCTCGTGAGACCTTTTCTGCGATTACTATGCGAAAGGACGAAGGGCACAAGATCAGAGCGAGGTTGGAGATAACAAAACATGCTCAAGCTTTTGGTCGATTGACGTACTTTCAGCTAATTCTACGAGGCGGGCGAAGTGGGCGAATTAGGCTAATGTAAATTCCGATCCTGAAGATTCATCGCTCTTTTTCGCTCTTCGTGTTCAATATATCTGTCCTGTGCGACAAAGAAGAGGTTCGTTATCTGCGGAGTTGATGACAGCTCGAGAGCCCACTCCAAGCCATTCTTGCGAATCAGCTCTGCAAGCGCATCTTGCGCAGCGACTATCTCTTTGTCCATTGAATTGACGTCTCTCCAACTATCCATGTTGTAATTCAGCAATCTGAGATCTGGTGTGAACTGCTCCCAATTTCTGTCGCAGACATATTCACTAATGACCTCAACTCTCTGCTCGGTATTCCATCCTGCGGGATCGTACTCCCACGGATCCGACAAGATCCTCAGTTCCACAAGTCCAGGCGGCAGGACATCGGAAAGTCGAGGTGCTCCCTCGGCATATGCAGGGGGGTCATAATGGAGCCTGATACCCTTTTTGGAGGGACCGAAGAGAATGGTGAAAGTTGTTTCGAGCTTCTTTAGTGCAAGCATGTCCTTTACGCGCAGCCAGCCTTCCACGCAAGGCTGGCCTCCAGCGTCACATTCATTCAGATCGAGCACGTATGTGACCTTGAGAGTGGTAAGGGTGTGTTGTATAGGAGCCAGCATACTGCTGAGATGTCGAGCATCTATAACGTCGTTGTCAGCCGGACCTTCGTGGACGACGTACCCATAATGCAGAGATTTGATCTTTGTAGTGAGCGGGAGAAGTCTCGACAGTATATCAGAGTTGGTATCATCGTCTGGGAGTTGCAAGTGGCGAATGATGTTGGCCACCTCTTTAGATTTCGAAATTGTTGCTTCCAGAGTATCGACGACCAATTGGAATCGCGGTGAGTTACCCGACATAACAACGTGTTCCAGGATGAGCGGCATGACAGCGGCTCGCAGAGCTACGCATGTTTGCAATAACGCTTTGAAGTCGCTGCGGTCCACACTGTGGAGGATCTCATTTTGCAATTCTGCGGGCAAATCGAGTAACTTGGAGGACTGTGTCTGGCGTTCTGGTTTGATCGAGAACGGCTCAGAGCACGCTGCTAGGAGATTTTCATCCTCGAGTCGCATGTTATCGCCATCTTTCCAAACTTCGTACGTGCTCTTGTAGATACCTTCTTCAAGGCATAACGCGTTTCGATGGTGACGCTGCGCCCCCTCATCCACTACTGACTCCCAGCTGGACGTCGTTGAGTTGTCGTGCGACAACATCGCCGAAATAGGATCCTGTGCGTTCCATGACGGACTCAATTGAGGACTGGTCGGAGAATATGTCGGCGAAGTTGGGCTGTATGGCGGGCTGGTTGGGTTTGATGGGCTTATTGGCGCCCAAAAGGTAGGAGAAGGTATGTTATCTGCATCCCTATCAGGCTGTGAACCACTTGTGCTATGCATTGTAGTCATCTGTACTGTAGTAACGTTTGAGCTGTAAGTTTAATGCATCAACCAGCACCGTGATGGCAGATTTGTATGCCCAGCGTCAGCTAAGCTTTACGGAAAATGCCTAGTTCTTTGCTCAGCCACCAAGGCGTAGGGCTACAGCCTGAACTTTCAAAGCTGTTGTCAAGCGGCACAATTGTTTGCATAGGGCTGAGCCACACCGTGACTGCAGCCTAGCCGCAGGATTGAAGCTGCTCTTTCGTTGCAACAAGATAAATTGCACAGATAGATCCCGGTTGAATAGCACAGAATATAAAGCAGAGGATGAAGACGTTTGGAAAGAAGATTGCGAATGACATTCGGAATCTCGACAGAAACACTTACAGGCAAGCGCGCCTGGCCAAGTGAAGGGGGTACCTTAGGTAATCGCTTCATTCAGCTTAGCGCATAAATCAGTGCGCGACCCGCTGTCCAGCAGGTAGACACGATCCTACCAGAACTTCAGCGTTTAATTCATAATTTGTCCTGCAAATCCCGACATGAGGATATCGCGCTCCGCCTAGATCATCTTTATGACTCCTATGAAGAGGCCTATAATGTCCTCAGGACGCATGGTACGGAGCCTAGCTACGGCTTCGAGCTCAAGTGGATTGAACCTCACAACTGTGATGTCAAAACGTGACGTACTATGATTGCATTCAATTTAGGAAATGTCACCCAAAAAGCAATAATGCTGCGCACAAGTACACGCTTAATGGATTAGCGATTAGGAAGATGCATTTAAAGAGGCAGCTCACTCGTTACGTCCAGAAATTCTACAAGTACGTACTGTGCATGTGGCACATCGACAGGAGCGTACAGACAAAGGCTTAATAGGGTCGATGGTGTAATGAAAGCTTGAGCTTCTAGCCAGTGTGTGAGTGCACCTTGACAGTTGAGCCTTTCTACCCTACACAGTATCATATCATCTCGATAGGACGAGGCGAGAAGTTGTTGCCCAAGGTTGTTCGTCAGAAAGCAACTGGGGAACGCCGTGTACTCGGAGATTCCTATCCTCCTTCTCGTCCGAGCCTAAATTCCGTGTTCTAACCGTAAAAAGCAAGGTGGATGATAAATTCCGGTGAGCCCCATGGTACCCCGCTAATTACGCGAAATACGTTAAATACGGCTGCAGGAACAGGGCCGACAGTGGAAGACTTGACGCATGTATAGTCACGATAATTGATTAGATCAGAGCATGTGGGAACACACTGCATACCGCGGCCAACCATATTTTATCATTTTAAAAGAGCTGGATAGGCTTTCCTCGTAAAAACACACCCCTCATTCGACATCTCGCTGAGGATCAGTCTTCAGACCAACTTGTATTGTGGTATCAGCCAAAAGTAAGCCAAAAGTAATCCCAATTCACCATATCCCACGCCCCCGTTATCAATTGATTTCAACCAATATCTGTTGGAGAACTCCTGGTTCTGAAACATAAGTTTGGGCACGCAAGGTGGCGGATTGGGATTACTTTTGACTGCAACCACCGTACTGTGTAGGAAAAACGCATTCACAGAGATGAGGAGACGTAGCATTAAGGGCCTGTCGAAAACGGGCGTAATAAGTGATTCTTTATCTAGACTTTGCTACTTTTGGAAACCACAGAGACGAGTTGACGTGGCATGAATTTTGTCTGTCATTCGATCACAGAATTATCAACATTTGCACATTCGATTTTGCACAATACCGAGTGGGCCTTGGTTCCGGTGTTCCTATTCGACACGGTTTCCGAGTTCTCTATGCTTTCCAATGCGGCTGATTAATTCAAACACAATCCACGCAGGCTCTCAATGACGTATTTGATAATAAATAGGCCCATTCTTCGATCAAAACGGCTCGATCAGTCTCCATACTTTCGAGATCGTATCAACAGATCTCGAGGATTTAACCCATAGCAAGCTTGTACCAGCTTCCAGACTTCACTGCAATGAAACAAGTCATCAACCTTTGTGGCTCAGAAGTTAAGGTCAAGATTACAGACGGCCCCATCCCTGAGCCTGGCGCCAAGCAAGTCCTTATCAAAGTCATCGTCTCCGGTTCCAATCCCAAGGACTGGAAGGTCCCAGAATTTGCAGCTGCTTACAATGGCCCCGATGATGGTTCGGTCATGGCGATGTCAAAGGCTGGTGTAAACCAAGGCGACGATATTGCGGGTATAGTTGAAAAAGTCGGTGAAGATGTGATTGAATTCAAGGTACGTGGGCTGCGACTGATCAAATGAATGATTAGTAATGTGAGAACAGAAGGGAGACAGTGTCGCAGCTTTCCATGAGATGGGAGCTCCTGGAGGTTCGTACGCAGAGTATGCACTTGCGTGGGATTCGACTACTTTCCACATCCCTACTTCGAAATCCTTTGAGGGTACGTTGTCCCGTCCTTTTAGCGTTCTGGTATCAGTGAGATCACAATTATTAACTCGCTTTCGCAGAAGCTGCAACGATCCCTCTCGCAGCCCTCACCGCCGCAGTAGCTGTATTTCGCAACCTCAAACTCCCTACACCCTGGCTTCCCGCCACCACATCTACGCCTTTCCTAGTGTACGGTGCCAGTTCAGCTGTTGGGTCGTTCGCCATCAAACTCGCACGCAACAGCAACATCCACCCAATCATCGCAGTTGCTGGTAAGGGCACTCACTACGTCGAAACGCTTCTCGATCGAACAAAAGGCGACGTAGTCTTTGACTACCGCAATGGCGCCGACAAAACAATCAGCCAGATCCGCGCACACCTCAAGGCTGGGAATTACGGTGAAGTCAAACACGGAATAGACCCTGGCATTGGCCTTCCGAGTCAAAAAGTGTTGACGGAGATTGTCGCGCCTGATGGAGCAATCAACCTTGTCCTACCGAGTAACTTTGACGTTGGATCTGCGACTAAGACCACCACTTCAGTCGGCATCGTTCATAATCAGGATAACGGGGGCTATAGTGCCGATGGTGGTGATTGTAGAGACTTGGGTTTCGTAACTTGTCGCTGGTTCACCAAGGCGTGGCAGGCGGGAACGTTCGAGGGGCATCCATTTGAAGTGAGGCATGGAGGACTGGAAGGCGTAGAGCAAGCACTGAAAGATCTAAAGGATGGAAAGCAGAGTGCTGTGAAGTATGTTTTCCGGATTGCGGATACGCCTGGTATATAGGATGATATGGCTTGGTTCGAATACTGCGGAGATATGGAAACAGCCTTGAATGTATAGCATTGAGGAAGTAAACTTGAATAAGGAACATCATGAAACTCTTTTGGCGGATCAAAATGGTGACTAAAATGGTTCGGTTGGCTTGATCAAAGGAAGGAGTAATGCCGACGAGGGTTTAATGAGTGTTGGGGCTAGTTGGCAGTTCGGAGTTCCGAAAACTAAAGCGGGAGCTGCCTGTACAGGTTTCGATTACGGGCATTCGAGCTGCAGTATTCTCAGGGGACGCCATCTATACCCATGTTGGTGGAACACATGATTATGCGTGATGATCTTGGTCAGGGACGGCCTAAGACTGCGGATCGAATGGCAGACATACATGTATTGATTCAGCAGACGTTTGCGAAACGTGCTGACGTCTTGATGGTGAGATGGAACATCCTTTACTAGATTGTGCTACCAAAGTGCTAATCGAAAAGGAGAAAATATCCTCTTAACATTGAAAGCAGCGCCATGAGAAGGCATCTTCAGTAAGAGAACTTTTCTCCTACGATCTTCTCACTCAAGGTCCATAGCTTCTCCGCGTTCTCTTCGCTAGAAGCATATTCCAATGTCTCCGCGACATTACAATCATCCAAAAACGCACCCGAAACACCTGCAGAGTATTTGTTAGCAAACAATTCTTGTGCTATTCAGATTTCGGGTACGGCACTCACCGTCCAGCCCGGGGTCCAAGGCAGCCGCGATCGTGGTCGCACTTCCCTGTTCAAGGGTTTTCTCCTTAGGCATGGCAATCTTCTTCTCCACAAACATTGCTCCCACAATAGGCCACTCTGCTGGGTCCATATGGGAAGATAACTTGGTCGCCTGGATGTTACCTGGGTGCAACGAATAGCTTCGGATCCCCTTTCCTGCCAGCTTCTTGGCTAAAGCAACCGAGAACAGAATGTTCGCTGTCTTCGATTGTCCGTAGGCTTCCCAAGTGTTGAATTTCTCTCCGTTGGAGAAGTTAATATCGTCGAAGCGCACTGGACCAAATTGATACATTGCGCTAGAAACATTCACGACTCGGGCACCTTTACCAGCAGCTTCGAGCTTGGGCATGAGGAGATTCGTGAGGAGGAAATGGCCAATATGGTTGGCGCCGAATTGGCTCTCCACATTCTCGGGAGTGAGTGCGAACTTGACGCCCATGATCCCAGCATTGTTGATCAGGACATCGACCTTGGAAACCGTGGCATCGACCTCGGCTGCGGCTGCACGTACGGAGGCGCAAGAAGCGAGATCAACCTTGATGAAGTGCGCTCTGGTTGAGGGGCTTATGTGCTCGATTTCCTTCAGCACGGGAGAAACTTTGTGCTCGCTACGTCCGAGGAGGAGAATTGCGGCAGGGTTTCCAGCCGCGAGAGCAATTGCAACGCTCGCACCTAGGCCACCAGTGCTGGCTCCAGTAATCACAACTGGTTCAATTGTTAGGAGATACGTCCAATAACGGGATAATCCCCTTTAGAGACTGCTCACACGTCTTTCCAGCGACCTGCTCTGGAAATGCAGCGAAAACGTCGCTTCCAGTCGTAGAGAAGTCAAAGCGAGACATTGTGGTGGTCGGTTCGAGTTGACGACAGTGTTGTTAATTGAGGTATGAGGCAGGATTTGAAACAAGGGATATAACAGTAATAGATCAGAGGGATGAGACTTGAGTAATTTGAGGTCTAGATAATCATTCAACGTGCACATTTCTGCCCTTTTAATGTGTCTTCGTCGACCAGTACTAGATTATTCAAAGAACATCCTCTCCGAAGCTTACACATTAACACCGAACTCATCCCCGATTCCATTACTGAAGAGCTGCCGACTTCAACAAAAGACATGTTCGTCCGAAAATAATTGAGGGAGCGCTGAGTAATATGAGGCTGGAAAGTTGGTAGCTAATCTTTCTCAGATGGTACGGATGTACCGACGTACCACCGACTGGTCAGTTCCCCGCCGACCTCTACAGGGTCTAGCGCACGTCATGACTCGAAATTTGCTAAGTACTGGAGGATTCCCACCGATTTTCTCGACGGACATTTGCGACTTTCTCCAACGTCTGGATCACGTGGCTCCTATACGATTATGCGCAAACCATACACACGCTTTCGATCTTATGTTGGTTAAATCACTTGCAGAACAAAGCGCTTTGGATACTCAAAAAGCCTCTTAGTTACACTCACGAGTTTCAGATCACATGTTCAGGCCGTTCCTGAGGACAAAATTATCGTAGGCAAAATGACCCCTGGCTACGATCAACTCCATTCACACAGACCGGACGAAATTTTTGCGGAGCTGAGATTCGTTTTCTTGACCGTATCGGACTTATCTGTGGAGCAACGTTACATTTTACCACGAGCTGTCACGTTATGGCCCATGATTAGATCAAGTAGCATCCTGGTATCGACTCGAAACATGGCCAAGGAACAGAGACGCCGAGGAGCTCATGGACCAAGATTTTGCTAAGTACACAGCGCTTCCGTCGAATTTCTCGATTGTAAGGACCCACACCCAACTCTTATCGCATGCCTTTAAGCTTGACAGGATGCAACACACTCAGCTCCCGAAGTCGCCAACTCTCTCCATAGTAAACCTCATATACGAGCACAAGTAAAAGTCCATTATGCCCAGAGCTTATCAGATCTCATTGTGGGATGGCTGTTGCTACTTTACTTGGAGAAGGTTGGGTGCGGAGAGGTCAAATGCTCCGAACTAGACCCGCTCGCACCTATATAAGGCTCACATCTGGAAGCATGTTTTCCCAGCCCTGCACTCCTCCTTCCCCCATCTTTAAGGGGATTTTCTGTTTATCTTACGAAGATGGTCATCATCCCGAAGTCTTTGAACACAGTAGATGTGTCTATCATCGACACTGGCTGTAGGATTGGGGGGATCCCAGCTGCTATATTCACCAATCCGCAAATACCTGGCTTCACTACTTTCGAGGGCATCAGTTATGTGTTTCTTGTAAGCCACACTGACAGCGAGGGCAAAGTCAGGCGTGTCTTGTTCGATCTCGGTACTCGGAAGGACTGGGAGAACATGTCACCTCACGTTGTACAAGGAACCAAGGCAGTGGAGGGAGCCATTCTTGAGCCAGTGGAAAACGTGGTCGACATCTTGGAACGGGGTGGAATTGACAAGAAAAGCATTGAAGCGTTCATCTGGAGGTACGTTTGCAAAGACTCCAGCACAGTCGCACAATTGATATTTGATCCAGTCATGCACATGTTGATCATGTCGGAGACCCGTCCACATTTCCTCCGAGCGCATCCCTCATTGTGGGCCCCGGTATCAAAGACGAGTACTTCCCCGGCTATCCGACAAAGCCAGATGCACCAGTCCTGGAATCAGATTTCGCAAATCGCGAGGTCCGTCAGCTTGACTATTCCGGTACACACCTGTCGATAGGTGGTTTACCTGCTCTAGACTATTTTGGAGACGGTAGTTTCTACCTTCTCGATGCACCTGGCCATGCTTTAGGCCATGTGGTGGGCCTCGCTCGAACGACACCCGACACGTTCATGCTTTTCACCGGTGATGTCTACCATCATGCCGGTCAGGTTCGACCAACCGCCAACGCCCCACTGCCCGATCAGATCCACGTGCCGAATCTCATTCCGAACCCGTTGCCTGCTAAGCTCGTTGCGAAAATGAGCCCGGCGAGGTGCTGCTCGGCACCTATATTGCAGCCTGGCAATGTGTCTAGTGACATGAACGCAGCGTTGCATACCATTGATGCCATCAGAGGATTTGATGACGATGAGAACGTGTTCCTAGTTGCTGCGCACGATCGAACCGTCTCTGGAGTTGTACAGACATTTCCGCTGTTAGCAAACCAGTGGAAGGAGAAGAATTGGAAAGAACGGACGAAATGGCTGTTCCTTCAAGATTTTCAGAAGGCATTGGATATCGTGGTTTCGGCCATCTCTAGAGGCCAGATGTAACCAACAGCTATGAACCGATGCTGCAAAGTGGAAGGAAAACAAAACAATTCATACTCCCAAGCGAGAGGAGTCTACTGTACATGTCATATTGCAGATGAAGGAAGCATGAGGAGATGCATATAGATTCCTCGTGTAGGATCCAAATTTGTCCAATCAGATCGTTTTAAACTTGGTCGAAGTACATCCCGCTCCGCAGCCAATCGATCACCCTGCACTTGCTCAATCAGCGGGCCACAGTGCCGATACTGTGTCGCGTTGCTATCCTCGATTGAATGTATAAATCTCGAATCCACCAAATTGGAACCAGTATGTTGCTGAGGTGTGAAGGTGGATCCTTAGTGCGAACCACCCAGGACCCCGCATCCGCCGGCAAAGTAGCCCTGGGCATAGCGTGGGATACCTGAGATGAGCATTAACAATGTGGCCTCTAAACAACCAACACAGTCCAGTTCAAACTCGATTAGACCAATGACAGCATCTACAAAAACATGTCAGCTATTTTGGGTCTCAAGCCAAGCACCCCTCAGGAGGTCCACGGTGTTTTTGAAGTCACTGCAGTGAATCCGGTCAAACACTTCAAATACTTCTCACCCAATCGTTGCTCCAAGTAGCTTCTGGAAACGGCACTGTTCATGAACGCTGATGATATGCCGCCAGCTTGGGGAGCTTAGCCGACCCCCTTGTCGTGGAATTGGCACGGACGATAGCACGACGTTCTGGATGCTACGTCAGGTATAAGAGGCCATCACGAGTGTCCTACCAAAGACTCAAATTTGTACTCAAGTCCAGCGGAAGGTCGATCGGAACCATCACCGCACTATGTGCATCACAATTGTCCGGCTTTCTAAGAATCATGGAGGCTCGTCCAGCATCGATCATGCCAACATAAGTGAGACAATGCCACCTCCAACTTCTCCAGGTAGACTCCACTGACTTTCATACAGAAGTTCGCTCATCATGTCTCTCGAAGCAGTGCGATCAGCCTGCCGAGAAACATTCGTCCTACTGCATCAAGCACGCATGCCGCATCTCCGGCTGCAAAACCAAAAGAGACCACAACAGCTATTACTGCCATAAATGTGGGTCGATTAATTGACATTCAGCTCTCACTCTTCACTGACGTGCTTGTAGATACCAGGCGCACTGTTCGTATAGGAGGTGCCGGATCGAGTAGAAACTATGGCATTATAGAAGCAGATTCCGGGGCGTGCCGCTACACAAGGTACGGGAGACATGGCGAGCCTGATGAATACGCGTCTCACCCGCGGGATGAGGCACTGGCAGAGCTGGATCAGTCGTAATATCATTGAAGGATTTCTCGAGGGGCAGCCTTTTTACCATTACATCTTATTGAAAAACTTACGGTTTTTACTGTGTGTTGTTCCAACGCCCCGCTCGCATCGCCATCGTTCAGGGCGCATCCACCTTAGTAGGTAGTGGGCTCTCGACATGTCGGACGCACCTTAGTTCAGTCGTACCTAGGTACCAATGGAGGAAGAGTAGGAGCGCGTAACGGGTGTTGGCTTACTTTCCTTAGTACAGTCGTAAGGAGTACTTAACCTAGATGGCTGTGGAGCATTGGAAGGGTCAGATAGAAGATCCGAGGGAGAAAGGAACGACGTAAAGTGTCCACAAATGCTTCCAAGGTGAAGCGGTTCTGTTTGCATCGCACGATCGGCCCGGCGGCAAGTTGGGGGCCAACCGGCTTCCCGATCGCCCCTGCCTATGGTTCCGAACACCACCATGCTTCTTGACTGCTGATGCACCAGCCTCGTTCTCGCTTCGAGATGTTTCACCTTCTGCCTGGTGTGCCATAATCTGCTAGTACTCCGAAATGGAGCATGGGAGATCTGCGGCATTGTGTTGGGATTTGAATCCTGTGCATAGGTTCGCGACGAAGTGGCTGCATCGTGATACTATCGGATCTCGGATGTTCTTCCGCGTTTGGATGCATTCGACCAATAAGAGACGTAATTTTCCATGCGAGCTGAATACCCACATGAATTACTCCAGGGTCCCTGCAAATTGAGCGCAGTCCTTGCTGCAACATGATCCTAGTAAGATCGGTGCGGCACAGTTACGAGGTGAGACGCATATCACAGTCTTTGCTCCAATCCGCAGGTCACCATGACCGCGTGTTTTCTCTATTATCACTAAGCATCCAGTACTCCACGAAGTTCTCTTTCATCTTTCGACATACAAACAGCATGACGCGAGTCCTTGATGATTTTGTGCTGGAATGTGCTGGTATCCAGTTCGATGAAGAACTCGTAACGCTCGAGGAGTTGAAAAAGGAGAGTCCCCAGGCCAGAATACTGGCGCAATATTTGCTTGACTTCAAGCACATCATTGCCAAAGAGCGTTGGGTGAGTTACCGTTTGTGGACTGACTGAACATATTGCTTACCATCATGGCCATGGGACAGAATGAAGTGGATAAGCATACCAGAAGAAGCGTGTCAGAACAGGAGAAGAATTACATCAGAATACCCGAGGATCGACCAGATGTGCAAGCTGCCATGTCAACGAAAGAAGTTTTCGAAGACCACTACAATATCGCACGCTGCGATGCAAATTTTGATATAGCATCAGAAATCAAAAGGAAAGCAGAATATATCCGTTCGGAAGATGAAAGACGATGGACTGAAGTCATAGAAGATACTGTCTTCAAGAGACTGAGAGACAAAGCCAGAAAGGGAGAAAGCGATAAGCACCGACCAAGATCCGACGATGTCATCAAGCGGTTCAGAGTGTACATACCCAGCATTTACCTCGATTGATGATATAGGCTAATGTGGTTATAGTGAAAGTGACCATACGTGGGAGTTTGGTGGAATCGTACTCTCAAAATACTCTCGAGTGTCATCGTTCAGATTGAAGGCCCCAAAGCCTGATCTTTTCCTTAGTTTCCATGCCTACGAGCGAGGTGATACCGAGTGCGGGCCTCTGAGCGGGGAAGATTACATCGAGAACTTCGGCATGACATGTCTCAATGATCTCTACGACAAATACCGCACTATGGTACGAAAACGTCCGGATCGAAAATTCGGCTTCAACCCCAGTCCCTGTAAAGAGTTCTATATCGCAAGTTCTGTGAAAGATCGAACTTGTTTTCCATGGGCTGTTTGTGAGTGGAAGCATCACGGTCACATCGGCACACGCTACGAAGATTACCTACACTGTCAAGCTGCCAATGCAGCAGCCGTCTGCTTAACACTTTTCGCAAACGCTGCTGCTGGCGGGCGAGCGTCCCCCGTTCTAGGCGAGATTCGTCCTGTGGTGTGCATGACGTTCACTGGGCCGAACATCAAAGTGTGGATTGCATATGTGACTGAGGTCAGGAAGGCTCATTATCGTTATGTAAGTTCTACTGATGGAGCCTCTTTCCTCTTCCACGTGCTGACCTCTGCAGCGAATGCGATGCATATGGAAAGGAAGCTTGAAAAACGTTTTGGATAACATCAAGCTGTGCGTTATCATCGAAAACCTCCACTTCTGGGCGATGAACCACTTGCGACCATGGCTTTCTGGTTGTATCGACCAATGGAGACGATCGACTGATGAGGCAGACAAAATGGAAAACAACCGTTCGCAGGCAGCAAAATCAGCCAACAAGCCGAACTCAGGCAACAAGCCACATAACTACAAACCAAATTTCGCACTTCGACGTGCGAACACGTTAGACACTTGCTTGGAACAAGACAGTGATTATGTGCCTGATGACAATAGTGAGGATGACTCCGAAGTTTCTGGGTACGAAGACGGGGACGAGGATGGAGAAGAAGACCCCGACGATGGTGAGAATGAGATCGAAGATTACGATGACGACGACGAAGAACAAGAGGAGAACATCGACAAAGCGCTAGGACAGCTTGAAAGATCTTTGCGTGGGGATAAAAGGGGTCTGGAAGCCCTGCAACTACTTTTGCAAGCCCTATGTTACGTGTAGGAAAGAATGGTCCAGTGGCATATTATTATGAGATAGTGCAGTAGACGGGTGAGTGCTTTTAAAGAAGACGGTTCAAATATCGTAAGAAATCCCTAGGACAACCTGCACTGTATACGTTTCTAGGAATAAATCTGCTCAATTCGTCCGTCTCACGTCTTCACCACAAAAGGAGCCCCTGTAGATTAACAAGAAAGGTACGGTGCTCCACAATTGTCCTTCCCCCTCTGAACGTGGGGAGAGTCGCACACATTAGCTCTTTTTTCTCTCTCTTTCCTCTACCTTTTCCAATGACTTTCTCCATTACTTCCCTCCAATCTTCCCCGCTATTGTCGCGCTAGAACACTGACACCAATCATCTAAATCAATGAATTAGCGTACATTTCTGACACCTGCATATGTAATCGAAGGATCCACTTGTCTATATCGTTAGCCCAATGCGACCGTCTACTGCAACTAAAGCTATAACAAGGATTACGGCAGTCTATCCATGTGCCTGCCATGATCTGCTTCGACCTCAGGCTTTTCCACTTTCGCCGAATGTTCTGCAGAATAGATTCTATCTCGAGCATTCTCGCTTTAAGCAGAGAATGGCGCAGCCCTTCTACGCGATTGCATATGGTGCTACGGTCAATCGCGAGACCGTTATTGGCACCAGCTTTCAGCTCACCGTCGGCCCAGGGCACGATATCTAGGAATCGAGCTAGCCTTCAACAGCATGCTGCGAGCCTATATTGAACGATCTGAGGAAAAGGTACTTTCCCATCCAATTGCGCACAAGATAAAACGTTATTCAACCAAAATACATAGTTGCGCCCAGTAATTCATACATGCACAGTCGTGGACCTATCATCGCAGCCCGCTCGTTCATCCTCGTTCAACATCCCCACATCGAATTATCTCCCCCATCATCAACGCGTCCTCTTCAACCCCTACTCCCTCCCCAACTTCTCAATCTCACTCTGCCCAATCTCCCACACGCCCGCCTCCCTCTGCCCCTCCACGCACTTCAACCCTGCTACAACCGCCGCCTTCCCTATAACCCCCGCATCATTCACCCAGAAGTCCGTCAGCTTAGGACTAATCTTCCTCATCCACCCAGCCAAGTTCCTGACTATGGCTTCCGCAGGCCTACTCTCCTCCCTCGTCCCCTGAATCAGCCCCGGCCGCAGAATAACCGTATGCTTAAATCCCAATTCCTTAACCTTATCCTCCAGCTCGCCCTTCATCTTAGGGTACGCCATCATGCTGCTGGCATTCGCGCCGCTCGTCGATATAAGCACGTAGCACTCTACGCCCGCGTCTTTCGCGGCGCGCAAAGCGCGAGATTCAAGTCGAGGTCGATTTTGCGCTGGGCGTCGACGGAGCCGGCGGCGCCGCGCGTGGTGCCGAGGCCGCTGAAGAAGATGGCAGGTTTAGATTCTTTGGGGAATTGTGCGGGCCATTGGTCTGTTTCTGCGCTGGGGATGTGGAAGAGCTTTGGGGAGGCGGTGGGGTTGGGAGGGCGCGGCGGGCGTAGGCGTAGACGGAGGAGATGCTTGGATGGGCTAGGAGCGTGGAGAGGATGTGTGAGCCCTGGAGTGTGGGTTAGAAGAGCGCAGTTGGAGTGGGCGCATGGCGGCGCATGGGGAAGGGACGTACGACGAGGCCGGTGCTGCCGGCGAGGGCTACGGTCGTCATTGTGGAGGCAGTTGGTATGGGGAGAGGAAGCTGTGCTGCGTGTGAGTACTCAAAGGTGAGTTTTGTATCAGTATGAAGGGCGAGCAAGCGTGCGATGCGATTCTACGAGAAGCTCAGTTTCGTCCGTTGTTCGTGAACGTCATGCGCGGACCCCTGCCGACCGGCAGCGGCGATATTAAAGACACCGTCCAACATGCCATCTCGAGGCTGCGCCTCATGCGATAACGGACGGTGTGAGGGTATTATCCAAATTTACGACAGTGTCTTCGATGATGACGAGGACCGAAGTCGATACGGACGAACTTTATTCGAGAATACCGTCAGGCGTTCAACAATGCTCAGCAGCCAATCAGCGTTGGAATGTTCACTTCCATAGGAGTGACGACGAGGCAACACCGAACAGCATTGCTGTTGAAGATAATCATATTTTCAGGTACTGTATGAATGTTGAAAGCTACCGATGACAAGCAAATAAAGAAGCAATCCATATACACGCTACCAATCTTCCAACTCGAGACAGTCCCTCTTGCTTCTACACCTCACAGTACCACCAGACTCGCCTCCAACGCACCCTCCGGACTAATCAGCCCCTTGCGCACATCCTCCGTAACCTCACCCTCTACCCCCAATATCATCAACGCCTCTTTGCTTTCGTTTCCATTCTGCGCCTCACCAGCTTCATCCGCCTCATGCAGCGGCGCAACGTTCATAAACTTGATGTTGACCCCTGCTTTTCCCAATAGGTTACCTACATACCCAATTTTCCCCACAGAGTCGAAGTTCCGACAGATGAGCAGTGTGCCTTGCGGGACGAATTCCCCGCTGAACCGGTCGAGACGAGAGATGAAGGGCTTGTTGCCGGACACGAAACCTTGGATGACCTGCTCGGACGACTCTTTAGCAGTAGCTGGCTGGGAATTGGGGTTGAGTTGGGCTTGGCCTGTAGCTGGAGGTGTAGTCTGCGGAACGCGCGTCGAAAGTGGGCTTGCAGAGCGTCCCTGTCGCGCCTGCGACGACGAGCGGCTTGCCCTTGCGCGCAGTGTGATGAAACTCGAGTACGGTTTGTCGTCTACGTTTTCGCGGCTGCGTTGCTCGTTGATGAGAATACCGCGTTCCTTCGCCACTAGTTCCGCGTTCACGATGTTGATGTTTAGAATTTCGCTGATGGGTGAAAGCAGACCTTTTACCAGGGCGGCGAAGAGAGGCTTAGTGGTATTGAGCTCGGTGAGAGCGCCTTCGTAGGTGATGTCGAAGGTTGTGCGGAAACTTGCTGCGTTGACTTTGCTGGAATAGTGTTGGGTGTAGAGGGAACCCATTTTCTCGACGAGCGTGACGAAGGGCTGGAGTGTGCGGTATTCTTCAGGGAGGATGATGGGCGCATTGACTGCGGAGCGGGGAAGTTCGCCGGACAAGATAGAAACAACTTGCTCGCAGACGTCGATTGAGACGTTTTCCTGGGCTTCCTTCGTACTCGCTCCAAGATGTGGCGTTGCAACGACTTTAGGGTGGGCGATTAGGCGGCTTGCTGATGAGTCGGCTTCTGGGGGTTCGGACGTGAAGACATCTATGCCCGCACCCGCAATTGTGCCAGCGTCTAGTGCCTCTACGAGTGCATCTTCGTCGATCATACCTCCTCTTGCAACATTCAGGATCCGAGCTGTAGGCTTCATCGTCGCGAGCTCCGCTTTGGAGATCATGCCTTTGGTGGATGCAATAAGTGGAGTGTGGAGAGTCAGGAAATCAGCTTGCGTGAGGAGGTCGGCAAGATTGGGCAGTAAGGTCACAGATGCTGCTGCTGCCAGGTTCTGGTTTGCGTATGGATCATAGGCGATCAACCGCATGCCGAAGCCATTAGCGATTCTGGCCACAGTGAGACCGACTACATCTGTTAGTGAATCCTATGTTTGAGCTCTTTTTGCATCACGTACCCTTTCCTAGACCGACAATTGCTAGCGTCTTGCCTTTGGCTTCAATACCCGTGAGCCGGCTCCGCTCCCACTTTCCAGCCTTGATGCTATGACTCGCGTCTGCCACATTACGGGCAACAGACATCATGACTACACTCGGTTAGTGACCCAAGAAGCCTCGACATGTCGGGACCTACGAGCGATCGTGTGTTCAGCCGCGGCATTGATGTTCCCACTCGGTGAGTTGACAACAATGATGCCAAGCGATGTAGCAGTCTTAACATCGACATTGTCCACGCCCACTCCAGCTCTTGCAACAACCTTAAGTTTCTTCGCGGCCCCCATAAGCTCCGCTGTGACCTTGGTCTCACTCCTCACGATCAATGCCTCATACTGACCGATAATCTCTTGTAGCTGCTGTGGGCTTAGTCCTTTCCTTTCATCGACCTCGAACTGCGTCTTCAGCAAGGCCAGACCATCCGGGGAAACCTTCTCCGGAATGAGAATCTTGGGACGGGTGTCGTATGTCTCGATAGCCATGCTGAAAGCAAATGCTGAGGTGGAGGGTAGGACCGATTTCGAATTACTGCTGTCGACGTCAACAGCAGGTGAAAAGGCGCCTGGGTTTCGGTTATGTTCGACACATTGACTACACGCGCACCTGTATCGAACGCCGCAGTCGGGCGGACCGATCCTGCCATTCATGGCTCGTTGTAAAGCGGGCGCTTGCTGAATGCAGTAAAGGGAGCTACCCCGCCCCCGCAACCCCACGGCTTACGCCACTACACCTGTCAATGAGTACCGAGATGAGGGCCTACGGTCGCGTGAGTGGTGGATAGTTGCCAGCTTGTCAATTGCTTTTCTATGCCGTGATTGCTCTGTACGATGCTGCAGGAGCGAAGCCGGCGACACGTGAGTTGCGATGGATGCGATGCGATATTGTGAATATTCCGTACGTAGACGGAACCTCATATGTATACTCACTTGTCAGACATTATCTACTACGTAGGCGCTTTGAACATTGTGACACCTTTGCAAAGATGTGGCCGTATTTCGTTGGAGGTGATCGCGCTGTTGAGGCGCTATTCAAGACCTGCGACGCCATTGTACGCTGTCATCTTACCAGTTGGATCGTGTCTTCAGCTTCTCGTTCTGCACAACTTCGATCCAGTAACCATCGGGATCTGGTAACAACGTTAGTAGCCTATCAACAGACGCGATATGGCGAGAACATACCCAGCACGAACGCAATGTTCTTCATGCGGCCGTCAGTCAGCCTCTTCTTCCAGTTGACCTTCTTCTCCTCGAAACGTGCGCATGCTGCGTCCAGATCGTCGACTGAAATGCAGATGTGTCCGAAGCCCTGCGGCTCATCGTTGCCATTGTGGTACTTGAAGCTGGCGTTGTTCTCGGTGCCGTAGTTCCACGTCAACTCGAGCAGACCTTCCTGATCGGCAGTCGCGCTTACGCCTTGTGGTGCCGAGTCGTTCGCTGGCGCGCCGTATCCTAGGAAGTACAGGTTGAAGCCGTTCTTCTCATTCTCCGAGGTGCGCTTGAGCTGCATGCCCATGACGTCCTTGTAGAAGGCCAGAGACTTCTCTGCGTCCTTGACACGAAGCATAGTGTGGTTCATGCGGTATGTCTCAACGTCCGTCTCCTTCTCATTTTCCGTCTGCTCCAGCTGCTTCTGTCCGATAACCTCCACCCAGTAACCGTCAGGGTCCAGAACGAAGGCGATGTGACGCATCCTTCCGTCCGTCAGCTTCTTCTGGAACTTGTATCCTGCATCTTCAAGGCGCTGACACGCAGCTTGGAGATTGTCGACCGAGATACAGAGGTGGCCGAAACCGCGGTGGGGCTCTTGGTTGCCGTTCGCGACCTTGTAGTTGGGATCGTCCTCGGTGCCGTAGTTGTGAGTCAACTCGACGATGCCCTCGCGGTCGGTCCAGTGGTTCGCGTGCGACGCAGCTTTCGGGCTGTCGTATGCAAGGAAATAAAGATCAAACTTCGCGTCAGGGTTCGGCAGCTTCTGGATAAGCTTCATGCCTATGAACTCGTAAAACTCGACCGATCGCTTGGGATCCTTGACCCGGAGCCTGGACTGTCAGCACAGATAACCTGCGACACGCATTCAGGACGTCTCACATCGAGTGGTTGAGCTTGTATCGCGTCGGATCGGTAGCCATGGTCGCTAGAGCTCTGAATAGGTTGTTTGGCTGGGTGCACTTGAATGCGCGAGTCGCAAATGTGCTCGAGATTGGTGGGCGCGTAAGTGTGCGTCGGAACAAGAGCATGAAATGCAATGGGATGAAGGTCTGAAGCAATTGACGCGGGGCGGGGAATTTATCTGGTGGTGACGTTGATCCAGAAGCTACCCACCACTTCGCCCATGTGGGGAGCTTCCTCCGTCACTTCACGGAGCTCTGAACATCTTCGTCGACGTCGCGCAGCTCTCATCGGAGGATGCATCATCTTGGATTCACTCTGCGGCATGCACCGAGGCCGTCTCAATGCGGTGATATCAGAATCATTTGCTCCGTTCCTTCGCAAGAAGTTGGGCATCGTCATGCACGTGACACGGCCCGAGCTGATCCCTGCCACAATAGCGCGTCGGACTTGTCCTCCGCAGCGGCTTTGGCTTCTAATCGCAACATCATGCCGCGATCAATTTACGCTTTTTATACATACAGCTCTCTCTCCTTTACTTCTGCTATGCTCGCTTAACATTGAGATTCCACTCATTCAGCATCCAGGGCCCGTCTACGTGTCGTCGACGTGGCGGGACCTCAGCGCACGGGTATAAAACTCGAGGGGTGAAATCGAGACGCTTTAGGTAGGTATTCACATGCCCCAGGCTGCAGGGCATCAGACTATACTGCGCACTTCACTTGATTTCTCTTTTCGTCTCGATACTTTCTTCTCTTCATCTTCATTTCTTCTTATTTTGAAACACCTTTGAAGACTGAAATACCGTACCATTCGTTTCTTCCCATCACCTCAGCTACTAGCACAGCTGACATGCCAAAGTCTCCACCCGTCACGATGCTCAACGCCCTCAAGCTCAGCGAGCTTCTGAACAAGAACACCCACCCATCCCTCTACCCCCGCCTCTTGTCAGTACCAACCAACCAGCCAGGCAGAAACACCACCGGTCGGTCATATTGAACGCATGCATGCTCACATGACCAGCGTAATGTCCCCCAACGGCACCCTCATGGCCTACACCACCCCCATCGACATCCGCGACCTTCGCGACCAAGCCGCTCTCATCTCCATGGCCTGGAAAGACCACGTCTCTAAGCTTGCGGAATCTTCTCCAGACGCGCGCCCGGAATTGGAGACCCTGACGATTGAAACGGCTAACAACAACATTATCGCGCGCGCTATTCAACCTTCCCTGCTCCTGGTTCTCGTCGGCGGCGTGCCTCCCTCCCGCAAGGACGTGTTCAAGATCACGCCTGAGGCGAAGGGCGAGGCGCGGTACCCTCCTCTGGACGCCGGTGATGATGGGGCAGAGCCGGTGATCGGAAGCGGGAAGGCAGCGAGTGTGCTGAGTACGATGAGCAGCCGGGAGAAAGACGTCAAGGGAGGTGCACTGCACATCCAAAGGAAGAAGATAGACGCATTGACCGACTATCTTCGCGCGGATTTCGAGAAGAAGGGATTTGTCATGCCGGATGACGCGGGCTTTTCGTGAGGAGTTGGGAAGGCTAGGTAGGGTCTGCGGTTAGCATGGGCGCTCTGGGGGCTTCTCTTAGGGCTTTTCTTGTGCGATTGGATCTGGATGGGCTGTATGCTGATAGGTGTAGACTTTCCCAGTGTATGTTTTATTTCTGTACATGACTGTTTGGATGCGGGTTTGGTGTTCATGCAAGCATATCTTGTATTACATACTTTATTTTATGATTTGGCTGTCCAGGAACAGGCGTGGCTTTAACGGTGACCTGAGCGAATGATGTAGACGATGGTGAACAAGCTCTGCTGTATGAAAGATTCATTCATCTATACTAACTCCACGCTACGCAGACCATGACACGCTTAATAAACCTCAAGCACATACCGTCCCTCATCCTTCAGTGTCTCAATCTCCCTCCTGCTATCCAACTTCTTGGGCTTCTCCTCCCCATTTCTCACACTCTTCGCCCTATGCTCCACCTCCACGGCCTCCTGCAGCACCTCCGTGACATCCGGCACAGGCCACGTCGGACCACAGAGGTAGAAGCTACCTTCGTCCCGCAAGTACGAGCGCCTGATATCGCCCAAGCTCTGCCGCATGCGATCCTGGATGTAGATCTTTTGCGGCTGGTCACGCGAGAAGGCGCGGCCGAGCAGCGTGATGATACCCGCGGCTTGGTACGCCTCCCATTCTTCGCCGTACAGGTACTCTTCGCGCTGGTGGCGCGAGCCCATGTACAGGAGGACTTCGCCGATTTCGTGGCCTTGTTGCTTCTGGTAGGCGCGCTCTTGGACGAAGGCGCGGAAGGGGGCAAGACCGGTACCGAGACCGGCCATGATGAGGGGAGCGGTGGTCTTGGGCGGAAGCTTCATGACGGAGGGCTTGACGGAAACGGTGACGGCGGAGCCAATCTTGAGGCCGTTGAGGTAGCGCGTGGCCTGGCCGAAGCGGTCGCGGCCCTGGGGGTCGACCCAGTTGACGGTGACGATGAGGAGGGCCACGGAGGTGGGAGTGACGTGCTGGGATGAAGCAATGGAGTATTCGCGGCGCTTCATGGGGCTGACAATGCGGACGATGTCGTGGAATGAAGGGTGTGCGGACTTGAACTCGAGGAGAATGTCGGCATAGGTGATAGTGTCCACCTCAGCGCGACGCTTGAACTCGGTGGCACCCTCGGGGCTGATAACAGCCAGGAGCTTCCTCTTCTCATCGGCGTCATCGGCGAACTCTGCAAGGGCTTCGTAGAAGCGCTTGGGTGGGCGACCGAAGATGTCAACGTTCTGAATGAGCGACTGGTAAACGGTGCGGTTGACTAGAACATCGGGGTCGTCGCGAGATGGCACTTCGACAACCTCTTCAGGGTTGAGGCCATACCATTTAATGAATTCCTCAACCTCGGCCTTGTCATTCTCCGCGTGAATGCCGAGGGCCTCTCCAATTGCATAGGTGATGCCAGAGTCGCCAAGATCGAACTCGATGTGAAAGATGTTTCGATCATAAGTGGAAGGTGTGAGACGACGGCGCTCCTTAACAGTGACGACACCGGTCTTGACACCCAAATCAGGACGAAGCGCAGACTCGGCACCGAAGGCTTCCTTGAAAGCAAGTCCCTTGGCCACGACCTTCCAGTCCTTGAGGTAGGTTGGCGGCTCGGTCTCGGTGCGGTCGTAGGCTGAGAAGCTGTTCACGTTGATGTCGGAAGGAAGCTGGATGGGCTCAACATCTTCTTCAGGAGTAGACCAGGAGACAGGGCATTCGATCTCGCGAAGAGCAGTCTCAAGCTCGCCAACCAACTTCTTGAGAGTCTCCTCGTTGCCGTTAACAGCAGCCAACTTGGAAAGGCCGGATGTAAGGAGGTCTTCGCGGGCAACCTTCAGGAATGCTAGCTGCGCGAGGTATGCTTCGAGGGAAGGATCCTGCGACACGCTCTCAGAGAGGGTCGGGTCGAGAACGAAGAGCTCGACATCCTTGCCCACGAGAGCCTTGCGTAGAGCAGGGGAGAGCTTCGTCTCGATATCCTCATCCTTAACGCCAGGCAGCTTGACGATGATGGCGCTGTCCGCCTTGACGCTGTTCAGAATGTCGAATTCCTTCAGAAGACTCTCATCACCAACGAAGGTGACGTCAGCCTGTTCCACGGAGTATGGCGCCTCGATTGTGTAGTCTGCGTTGCGGATGTCAGTGCGGATAGTGCCGCCACGGACAAGGTTGTCGTGACCAGAGCGCACGAATACGTTCTTGGCTGAGTCGGAAGAAAGAAGCTTTCCTAGCACGACGGGAGCACCTGCAGCCGGTGACTCGTCCAAGTCCCAGAAAGTGTACTGCTTGACGTCCGCAGTGTTGAGAATGTCGACATAAGAGCGGACCTCCTCCGACTCGGTTCTCTCCCCGTACATCTGCTGGAAAACATCCAGGATGTTGCTGGGAGTCCAAACCTGCTCGCGGGAGTACTTGATGTCAGTGACTTCAATGTTGCGGTCGAAAGCGAACTGAATCGTTGCGAACACGTCGGAGTAGAGGCGAGAGCTCTCAGCGGGGTCAAAAACGGCGGCCTCATCCTTGACTTGTCCGAGGACGGCAACGTTCCTGGTGCTCTTCGGTAGCACTTCGAGGAACGCCTCCTCCACGAAGGGACGGTAGACACGGACATTGATAACACCCAGCTTGTCGCCGTCTTTTGCAAGCGCATTTGCGATTTGCGCGGTCAGAGATGCCTCAACGGTACCGAAAACGACCAAGACACTCTCCGGCTCCTCATGGCCGTAGTAGTCGAACAAGCGGTAGTCCTCGCCGAGCTCGTCATTGAAAGCTTGGAGGAGACGCACGACACGTCCCGCATTGTCTGAGTGCTTCTTGTCCACCTCGGAAACAGCCTTGAGAACAGCCTGGTAGTTGTTGTAAAGCCTGCTCTGGTCCATAGTGTCAACCAATCGTGCGGTCTCGCGTCCAACACTAATGCCATCGTAGGTGTGGATCGTTGGGATAATGCTCGACAACAGAGTGGCGAAAAGTGACATATGCTGTGCCTCAAAGACAGACGGGCTGCACACAAGACCAAGACCCAGATCCTCCGCGATGGTCAACGAAGAAACGTAGTCGCTGACAAGGCCGGCAGCGGAGTTGGCGGTGTAGTCGACAGCAGCGATGTGCGCAGTAAGAGGGTTCGCGACCGAGTAGAGGAGCGCCAGCTGGTCAAGCGCAGGGCGTAGGTAGTGGAGAGTCGCAGAAGAAGCCACAATGGACTGGGGGATGTGTCGCTTCTTTAGGTCGAAATCCTTGGAGAACATGTATCCAAGCGCAATTGAACCCGCACCGTTCCTCGTCTCAAGCGACTGCACGCCCGTCTGGTAACCGAGCGCATTCTTATTGCCGTTCTCTTGCCATGCCTTGATCGCTACATCCAGGTCGAAACCCTCCGCCGAGTATGCGAATATCTTGTCGGAAAGCGTGTAGGCAACCTGTTGGACGAGAGCCTGTGCAGTGAGATATGTTGGGCCGCTGATCGATTCGAGTGGGAGGTCCTGGCCAAAAGGCAGGCTTGACGACTTCTTAGTGAAGCTCTTTGCCTGGGCTTCGGCGCCGGGGCCGGCAGATTCGGTCTGCTGGAAATGCATCCTGAGGTCAAGACGCACGCCTGTTGAATTGGTTTACTGTAAACCAATCTAGGCTGCTTGTAACTAGAAGGAAAGAAGTGAAATTCTCCCGTAGGCTTCACGGAGGGAAGGTGAGAAGGTGGCTACACGACGACAAAAGTCGCCCGCTCATGGCGACATCGGCACAAAGACTGCCGAGGGGAATCCGGAGCACGCACGCGAATGAACGAGACATGATTGGCCTAATCTGTGTCCGTTGATTTACCTCGCCCTCGTTCCGAACAAAAAATGGTGTTAGCGTGTAGCACGCCATATGTCTTGGCGTGGAGGCTGATCCAAGCGGCGGGGATGTCGCGGAGCTCGGAGATTAGACGGACAACAACGCGTGGCCTGTGCGTTTGCAAGCGCGTTCCTCCTCTTGTACTCAACGTCAATACCTCCACCATGCCATACCCTCCATAGCAAATACAAGGTCTTCGCATCATTCTAATAACATCTTGCACAAAGTGAAAGCGAAGTCGTGAAAACTTTTCAATCCAATATATATGCGTCCATTGATTGGATTTACGTTCGGTGTCGAGAGGCGAAGAGGATGATTGTCGTTTCTCAGCGATTGTCATTACTACAACGTATGGAATTCGAGAAGTATACGATACGCACACAGCGCGTCTATATGGTCGTCTCAACTCTGCTGATCAAAAGCATAGCCAGAGCACTCTGGAGTATTGCTACTGGTTAAGGCCAAGCCAATGTTGAACGACGTACTCATATTTCGCAACTGTGCATTGAAACGCACCACCGGTATCGCAACTACTTACTATTACGCTGTTTCCTCCGTCCCGGCCTTATTAGCTGTCTGCGGACTGGTAACCACCGCCGCTCTGGTGTCGAGTTCAACCATCATATAGACCTCGATACTTTATTGCTGGCTAAGGAATTGGACAAGGGCATACAAAATACCTTGCATGATGTTCTTGCGTTACCAGACAACATGTTTGGAGCTACTTTTATGCCTGGTGGCGTACCCAGCAGTGACCTGCTCAAGAAGAGCGTGTCCTCCGCTACCAAAGCCGCGCATCACCACCAGAATCGTAGTCATGGACGTTAGAGACGTTGTTTAGCCAGCCTTCGAATGCAGGGGCGTTCTTGTTGCAACGGTATAGCTCACGCGGGTATCAGGAGTTGCTAACGTGGCAAGACGTCGTTGGGCGGTATTGAAAGAGGAGCAGAAAGCCGAAGCTATGCATGCTGAGTTTTTGTGAACGTGCAAAGAGATGAAGATACAAATGGCACGGCTGGTTTGTCTGACATCCACAAACAAGCTGCATTCCCCGATCTGAATCCATGGAGCTGGATATAGCTTAACGTCTGCCACCGGATCTCCCGTAGCATCATGTCGACAGTGTCCATACGATTCGTGGTATCCTGCAAAACGCCGCTGCACTCGCCGAGTCCTACGCATAGCGTAAAGCCGGACACGGTCTTGCTCCAGTGTTTTCTCTCCTTCCCACTCTCGCTTCTCTGGCATAGGGTCATGGTCTTCGAAGCGTCATCAGTTGCTTCCCCCTTCAGCACCATGGCTCCTCTGAAGCTCTTCTAGTTGTCTACCGCGACGCCACTCGAATTTAAGCCCCACTGCCGTCGAGTCGCAGTCAGGCTTTACTTACTTCTCCACACCATTGCCGCCTGGCAGTCGACTTGCTCCTAGGATCACACCCCCATTACCTCCGTGACTGCGAAATATTTTACCTTTACCTTGCGTCGGTGAAGCCGGCACACGGTCCCAAAAACTACAAAAGGCCACCCACTATCCAGACTTCTCCTTTCCGTGTGCCCCTTCCACAACCTCTGGCTGCCTTGTCTTCACGGCAATTTTGCCCCTTTCCCGTCGCTTAGACGTCGAGCCCTCCGTGCAGGAAGGCTTCGCGCGCCCTTGCCACCACCACGGATCGCTTTTCTTCTCGCAAGCGCCTAGGCACACCTCGTTCTTCAACATCAGAGAGCGACTCGAACACCGAGTGCCCGCTGGCCGTCAACATGCACGAAAGCGCTGCCCCACCTGCTGTCCCTCGACAGCAAGACCTCACGCGCAACATGCGCGGCTACATTGGTGGCCAACAGCAGGTAAGAATAGCTTGCACGTATCCAATTCACCTTCAAATCACCCCGCAGAACTCACCTTGCAATGTAGATGGACATAGATCCCGCTGTGGAAACTCCAACCCAGGATTACCCGCCTTCGGACCCACTTAATGACCTCGAGCAATCGTCTCCGGTCGAGTCTCGCATCCGCCAGGAGTCCAGCGACGAGGATGATGTACCCCTGCGCGACCGCCGCGTTCGCCACGTCCAGCAACAGGACGCATCTAGCATGGCTATTCAAGAGCACCGGAGCTTCCAGAAGCCTGCGAAGGGATCATCCCTCAGCATCGGCAAAGCCCACAAGCGGCCGGGTCCGAGGCCCTACGCCGCTAAACCAATCGCAAAAAATGACATGAAGGCAAAGATGGAGGTGATCCGCGCTATCGAGGACAACTGGGGCAAGAATTTCATCATTGACTACATTCCCAAGTGCCACCGCCCGCTACAAAAGAAGAAGGGCGGCAAGCGTACTTCGTACCGTCAACATGAGACTGGTAGGTATTATTCTTTTGCAACTGACTCACGCATGTACTGATCACCATTCTAGATCCAAAGAAGTGGTTGCCCTCAGTCCTCAAGGCTGTACATGGGATCTCCGAACTCACGAACGATAGAGCTTTCTTAAAGAAGGCCATGAACGATATCGTCCGTCATCGCATCAAGCATACCGGAAATCGTAAGCCACAGCTCGTGACTACCGACTTCGACGTCATTGAGGACATGATCACTCACGGCTGGGACATCGAGACCAGCTTTTCCATCCGATACAAGCATCTGCTTCTTGCACAGCCGAAGGGCTACCTGGAGACAGACGAAGACATAGACCACATTTTAGCTTGCGGTGACGATGAATATCATCGCACTAGTGATGCAGAGCTCGAAGACGAGGATGAGGAGGACGATGATGACGTGGATGTTGATGGCCAGGAAGATGAAGACAGCACCGCCTTCTCCAGCCCGTATGCTGTGAAGGGAGCATATATCCATGTGAGTACATTCAGCTCATAACATGGCGTTGTCCGCTAACTTGTAGCAGGGATCGCCGCATCAGCCCCCAAAGATGATCGTGCCGAAGTACTCGAAGCTGTCCAAGCCGATCAAGAAGGAGAAGCAAGAGAAGCCGACAAAACTGGCAAAGGTCCCTAAGCGTCCTGAAGCTGCTGCTTCATCTCCTCAGCAAGCCCCTCCACCCATGTATGGTGGCTATGGCATGCCCGGCTATGGTAGGTGATCTTAACTTGTCACAACAGCACTCACTAAGTTTGGGTCCAGGTCCGTACGGTGCCTATCCCAGCTATCCGCCCATGCCAGGCTACCCTCCACCGCAAAACATAAAGGGCCGCCCTGCTCAGCATCCATACGCCAATGGGTATCCTCAAATGCCGCCGATGTACCCCTGGTCCGGATACGGACAGTATCCCGGCTATGGTCAGCAAGGCCCGGAAAAGGAGGCTAACGCTCAAGATCCCCGCGCTCAGTCTCATGGCTACCCTCCTCACGGCTTTCCAGGTCACGGTTACCCAGGCATGCCACCCTACCCGCCCCGATGTCTCCGTCGCCTAGTCTTCAGTCATCAACCCCCGCCCTGTCGTCCACCGCGCATTTCTCAGGCCCCACGCGCTTCTCGCCCTTCAGCAGCTCCAAGCGCTCGTCTTCATATCACCCAGATGCGGCTTCCGCTCGCTATGACGCGTCTGGCTATTCTCGCGGTCCGCACATCAAGCGCGAGCCTGGGGTTGAGGACCAGCCTATTGCCATCGAAGACTACGATAATGCGCCGAGCAACTACCTGGGTCAGGCGGCTAGGGAGGATTCGCAGGTCAGCGACGAGCAGATGCGCAATGAGATTGCGGAGCAGGAGCGGCATGTTCAGATGCTCAAGGCACGCTTGGCGAAGAAGAGCCGTGGATAGTCTTGTGTACAGTCCGGTGATGCGGTGGTGGGTGGTGTTTGTGGCAGACAGGTTTGCGTTCATGATATCCGGAGTTCGAGTGCTTGCTCGGTTTTGTACTTCGAGCGAGCGCATTCTTGACTATGGTGTGCAGCTTTCCAATCGGAGTTTTTCGTGGAGACTTGATGCTACTCAGCCACAGAGTGGTAAGTTTCTCGTCTTCCAGTTCGATATCAGTCTTAATAATTGTGGTATTCATTGCGCATTCCTTTCCCTCCTTTCTTCACGGAGTGGCTTTCACAGACTGTATGATCATGGCTCCTTCTGCGTGCGGGCTTTCAACCTCATCGCTAGCAAAGATCAACGTAGCCAGAATTCCAACAGGAGACCAAAAAGGTGTAATTTTAGTTTCACCAAAAACACGTGCTATTCGAGCCCCCGACTTTGCTTTATATACCCTCTGTCGCCTGCGTGTTCTTGCACTCTCATCAACCGCACCTTGCCCCTTCTTCGACTGCCCCACCCTTAAGAATGTCTCTGAGCAACCACACGGGTTACTCCGGTTCTCCCAACACGACCAGTGACGCCCCGACGAACCACGGTGCGCCCGAAAAGCGGTATCGAGCAACTTCCAGCGACCGCACCACCCCTGGCGATGCTTCCCCCGCTCCGAAACGCCAGGAAATCGACTTTGTTCCCACCATGGGCGGTCTAGCCCCGGAGCTCTCCCCACCCCTGTACGATCGATCTCTCCAGGCCTTGCCTTTCCTAAAACTTCCCGCTGGTACGTATATCGCAGGTTTCGTTTGACTATATCACTGATAAATGCCTAGAGGTGCGCAACATGGTGTACGACCTGGCTTCAGAAGAATCAATCAAACAGAAAGATGGCGACTATTCACCTCCAAGGCTCACGAAACGAGGCAAACGGCAAACATCTGCGGGTCCCTTTTTCTCTTCTCGGCGGGTCTTCCACGGTTTGACCCAGGTCTGTCGTCAATTGCGCGCCGAGTTCCGGCCGCTGTACATTGAACGCAACGAGGTCTGCGTGCGAGCCGACGAAAGTGTCGAGTACATCAGTATGATGTGGAAATTGGCAGTAGAGGGCGCCCCTGCTCGGCGCCTCACAGCACGAATTGCTGCTGATGTCAGCTCGGGTATTCGCAACGATGTCCTTCCCATGCTCAGGCTCTGCAGCACTTTCATGACTATGTCGGCGCGTTTCTTCAGCCCTTGGTTTCACTCAATGTCCCGTGGGGAGTATGAGGTCGTGAATGAGGACCTTAAATCCATGTTCACGGATGACTGCAGCGAATGGTTGAGCCTGTACGACGAGCATCTTACCGAGGTCAGGGTGGAAGTACCTCAAGGCTTTCCCCTGGTTACATTCTACTTTAAGCAGGGCTTTCACTCTGAAAACATGGTCGAAATGTGCCATGGGCGACGCTACAAATATACCATGATGATTTTCAGTACGATTGAGGAGAACGGAAGGACTTCCGAGGTGAGCACCCCTTTCTCGTGGCTCGCAAACAGTATGAGCTTGGTCGATTTCCTTGAGGAGATAGCGCGACGTAGGTGGCACGATCGTGGCATGCATGATTTTGATGATTGGTATGGCGGGCTCGGGAATCGTCGAGTTGTCTCTAAAGGTCCAGCGTCAGGGTTGAGCTCGTGAATTGGGCAAGCGAGGTTTTGATATTCTGCAGCAGTGTTGCCCAATCCCGTAATTCTGTGCTTCTCCATGATCTTATCGACAGCCGTGGTATTTACCATGCCCTTAGTCGAACTTTGATTTAACACTACATCATGGGTTTGAAAACGGTATCTTGAGTGCGGAATATTTGCTTCTTTACTCGGAAGTGTGCATCATCAACCGTTTTCTTGAGAGGTCAGCATGAAGAACTATATGATCGTATGCAGACCAGCGTGTATCCACGATGAAGTGACTCTTATGGCATCCCAACATTTTAAAGCTCATTTGCACAAAGATGACTTGGAAGCGAGAACTGAAAACATCATGCTGCTAATTATAGTACTCAAAGACTCATCATACAAAAAGGCCTCTCATGGACGTCATCGGTGATATAGCAGACACCTATCTAATGTATAACAGCCTACTTGCATGCTTAAAGTTCCAACTGCCGCTGACCCATACCAGGGTGTCTTCCACCCCTACTGAAAGCCATACCATTCCTCCTCCGTAAGCACATTGTGCTCTTTGTCCTTGCTGTCGTTCCCGGCGAGATTCCAGGGCCCGAGGCCGCGACGAGACGACACTTGATTATTTGTAGGAAAGGTCGTCTCGCTCCACGGAGCGTGAGAGAAGTCCGCTTGCTTGTCGTGGATGTTATGTGGTGATTGGGCGTATACATGTCCTCGAGCCTTCGTGATGAGATTTTCGTTGTGATATCTCCGATGTTGCTCATGTGAGTAGTTGTGATTGTCGCTATGCGCCCACCTATGGGGATCGTCGACGACGGATGCACCATTGTTGATATTGAATCTGAGACCAACAGTTTGATCGGCCATAGGCGTATGGTACACCCCAAACCGGCGATCCGCTGATACAACTGTAGCTGGGGCAGTGGAACCCTCGTTGCGGAAGGACCTTGCCTCAGGTCGGAGCTGTGATCTCGGCGGGGACACAATATCTGCGTTATCCGGCAGAAATCCGTCGTTGCTAACTCGGATGCCCCTGATTGCGACATCCAGGCTGACCTCCCTGCCGAAGATCTTCTGGCCGTTTTTCGTCGCTTTGGCACGGTCGCGATCTTGGACCGACTCGAACAGCACGAAAGCGGTCGTGTTGTATTTGCCAAGGCGGTCGTTGTACTTGCGCTTGTAATCGACTATGCGGAAGCCCTGGAAGAAGAGCACGACGGCGTTCCTGTCTGCGTCGGGGTGGAGCTTGCTGATGAGGAGCACTCGGTGCTGCGGGCCATCGAAGTCAGGCTGACGGCCGTGTTGGCGAGCTCGAAACATCTCAATACGTGGGCGGTGTCGGAGCATGGAGGAGGCTCCACTGGTGGACGTAGCTTGCGGTGGGCCAAGAGGTGGAAATGGTGTAAAGTGTTTGCCGAATGTGACCTCGCGATCGGAGTCTGTGAGGTTCAATAACCCCGAGGCCGTCACTGCGCAAACGGAGTTAGTTACGTTTCACTCGTTTTTAACCTGTTCAACCTACGCTGGAAGCCTCCCTTCGCACGCATAAGGCGAACTTGACGACCCAACAGCTCTTTCCAATTGAGCTCTTCAGTTGCCCGAACTACGTTTTCAAGCGTGCTTAACAAAATGTAAGCGACTGTTGACTTGCCGCTCTTTACGTTGATAGATCGTTTCCAATCTACCAGGCCGTAGCCGTCGAAGAACTCGTTGACGTCTGCATCTGTAGCATTCCAGTGGAAGTTGGTGGCACGGAGAACACGATCCTCTGGCACGCTGATATCGCCCAACGCAACCTTCTCGCCACGAGGCATGGTTAATAGCTTTGGGTATTTGGGGTGTGTAAATGGTTGAGTATAAACAGGAGGCGCTGGAAGTGGTTTTGCGGAGGTATATATACGAAGATGACCCTGCCAGAAACGTAGTGGTGGTTGGGCGCACCTGCCCATAGCGAGGTTCTTATACGCTAGTCTGCTCCGATATTGTCACGGTGAATGTGAAGTGGGTCACGTTACCTTCCTTCACCTATAGAACAAATCGGCATTTGGGATTGCATGACCGATGCATCACTGGAAGATACAACTATAGACGCGAACTTTCCTTCTATAGATATCTCGTGAAGCACCATCATAAATTGACATGGAAGTTTCTGCACTAGTGGTTGCTTCGATATGGACTCCTGATTATCGCGCAGTTTCCGTATCGGCGGTGCGAGGGCAAACAATCATCTTTTAGTGTCACGGATCTCCAATAAGGAAATGTAAAAGCCTGACTCAATGGAAGCCAATAGACCGGTCACCAAAGTCCCATCACTCAGAGTGCGGTAGTAACCCATAGCCGTGAATGCATTTATCATGAAGCATCGAAATGGGGTATATAACGCCGAAGTATTTCATCCCCCCTAAACTTGGCTATCTAGTGAACGTTCTTAGGACAAGCAACACATGCAGAACAGATGCAAGGTATGCGTCGAGCTGTGCCGCGAGCTCTTTCGTAAAACGTGAAGGAAATTCAAACTGGAAAGCCGTAGCCATGTAAATAGGCTGGCTGTAACAAACATGCAACAAAAAAGAATAACAAGTTCTGGAAGGAACCCCCTTTACGCACCTACAGCCGTTGTGTTTAGTGCAACCTCTGAAACTCTCCGATTCTTTGTGTCCCGAATAGTCAATATTTTTCAATCGCCTTGATAATGCGAGTTTTACCTATTCGATACCATCAGCCCCCTGTTACTTACAAATTCCTTCACATGTATCGAAAAGCGCTGTCAAGCTAGGCGTTTCCCTCCTAGCTATCACGCGCAAACCCATCAAGTCGAGCGTGCACTCTCTCGTTGGTGGGTCTCGATGGACATGAAAGGAATTTGGAAGAAAAGGGCTTTGGGGTTCTGAAAGGGGTAGTCGTGCGCGTTGAGTAATTTATCGTTCCGACACGTTGATGCATCGTTCCTCCGCTTGTCGTTGATGCTTTGACCTCTCTTGAACTCGTGTATGACTTACAAAGATATGAGCGCAGATCCACTTGGTTGCACCAGATCCTCTGATCCACAGTATACGCCTGGGTATCGACAAACTCAACTCAAGCCGAAGCGAGGAGCATGGCCGTAAGCGATAATAGTGCTTGGATCTGGTGCTAATTGCCGGCGAATTGCCAAAGCCTGCTGCCTCAGCATGCGAGATTCATCAACACCGCCATCTATTGGCGGACGTTCTTTGAAATGCATACTTAGACATGCGATCGCGAAACCTGATAACATGGTGCCTTTACACACGCTTCTTCTTGCCAGAGGGTCGAACGGTCTCGATCTGAAACAAACAAGTGGATTTAGTGAGGTGGATGTGTGGCATGTGCCAAGGTTTTGCAAACTTTGGTGTCGGTTTGGACTGATTGAGGAGGAAAGTGTAGCTTCTCTCTGCTCTCTGTGGGAATCTTTGAATGTTCGTTAACTTAACGGTGGAGGAGATTCTTAGATTTTGATGATATGGATGGGGAATGCGGCACGGTCGAGATCCAGGGAACGGCGTCTGAGTTGCTGGAAAAGTGAGATGCCGGTAGTGATGGTGGCGCGTTCAAGCTTGGTAGTCTCTCATTTTGAAGGTCTTTGTGATCTGAGGAAGTGAAATGATGTCGATGTCGTGAGATACTGAAACTCATTGAGCATGCTGGCTCACGAGGCGTGGCGTTTGAGGTGCCACAACGGAAAGGACTGACAAACTCCTTTACCGCGGATGTTGGGGACCACGGTAGCGGTTTTGCTCTGGCCGATTCCGGTTCAATCTATTGTCTCGGGGTGTCCGATTTGGCGGTCGTTGAGACTGGTTATAAGCTGGTCGGGTGCTGTTAGCAGCTCCGCGGACACGGAGCTCGCCAACATTTTCGAGGGGAGTGAGCGGCGAGCTGATCGCCGATTCTTTGTCCTTGTTAGCATATCTTCCAGCATCATGTCTTCTTCGGGAACTCTTACCTGCTGTAGACAAATTCGTAGATTCGTTGTTGTACGCTCGAACACCCTTCGGGGTGTTGGGGCCGCGATTCTCGTGATCCTCATAATCTATAAAAGCTGTCAGCGATGCCGTCGTTGTCTATAATTTTAGTTACGGGTTGCTTACCGGGCTTATGACGCTTGGGATCCCGTGATGAAGAGTGTTCGATGTCACTGGGTTTGCGTTTGTTTGCTGGCTGAGACTGGTGATGGCGCTTGGCATCCTTTGATGCACGGTGCTCAACGTCGCTAGCTTTGCGTTTGGATCCTGGCTGAGGCTGGTCGCGAGTCATCCGATTTGCAAGAGCTTGCCCAGGATTCATCACGTGGGGAGTTTGATGTGCGGTATTCGGTCGAGGAGCTGGTGTTGGCGAGGCATTGATTTGGTGCGCACGCCGATTTCCCGGGTGTGGAGGACCAGGGACAAATCGCGAGTTCGGAGTGGATATATTTTGCACGAACGGAGATGTTCCCGTCCAAGGGGTTGAAGAAGATGTGGATGGGCTGAACTGGGGGGTGAATTGGGTAGACTGCGTTGAAGGAGTGGATTGTGGCATCGTATGACCCGGCTGCATGTATGAATTGGGGGTTTGGTGCTGCCCAAAAGCACTAGATGCAACATTAGAATTAGAGAATTTATGTGCCGATGAGTTGCGCGCTTTCTGCGGACAGAACTTTTGGACATGACCGGTGCCGCGGCAATAGTAACAGACAGGGCCAGCTTGGTTAGTGACGTTGTGCTGCTGTTGACCGAACGGGGTCGGAAAGGGTTGCGCTCCATAAGCTCCCGTTAGGCCGTTCGAATTGGGAGTACCATAAAATTGTCCAGGAGTTGGGAAAAAATTCGACAAAGAGTTGAAGTAGGCCTGGCCCATTGCAGCAGCGAGCATCTCAGGAGTTGCGGATTGCACCATGTCCGGGTTAACAAACATGTTTGAGCCGACGACAGCTGGCATCTGCGTAGGTAAACCATACTGATTCCGTTGCCGCATGAGATTGGGTCCCTTTGCAATGCCAGATGGAGTGTTCGCAAACTGACTCTTCGCTCCAATTGTGTGCGGCTTGTATGGGATATGCCGCTTGAAGCTGCATTGACCGTTTTGGAGATCAAAACAATATCCAAATTTGTAGTAGCGTGGGCAGACGTTAGGATCCTTCGGATCACCTCGAGGCGGTACTGTTGGCCCACGATGGTGTTTGCGACAGCCGTGGCAGCCTGGCCTCCGGCACAATTCCGGGATAGTCAGAGTGTCCGGTATGTCTGGGAACTTAGTGTAGGTGACTTGCACTCCCGCCGTATCATGCTCAAGCCAACACTTATTGCCACGCCAACACCACCCAGTCTGGAGCATGTTCCGACACAGTATCCTCACTCCGCCCCCAGAAGAAAGCCGAGCTTCGTTTAGGTGCCTGCGGTCTGGCTGATCGACTGGTGAGGTGGGCTCATAAAAATCGGAGTGGTAAAGGTTTGGGTCACGTAGAGGTGCATTCAGATCATGAAGATTCTTGCATCTGTCGGGCCTGTTTCTGCACTTTCTGTCGATATAGAATGAGCACTTGTATCTGCTCTGGCCATGCGGTAAATAGTGTAGCTTTGCACACAATAGGTTGGTGCAACTAGCGCTCTGCCAGGCACTACAGACAACTGACCGATACGCAAAGTTTCTAGGGTGCGTGGAGGCTACATGCATGTTGCGCGGATACAATGGATCGTCGTGCGCGAGGTCGCAATCCACGTCATTACATTGATTGTGTGTCCAGTCTTTACAGAGTCCGTCGAGCCTAAGGTCTGGATGTAGGCTCCTGCAGAAGCGGGTGGTACATCGCGGTGGAGTTTCCGGATCCTTTGGGTCGTACGACTTTACCCAGCTTGAGCAGACCCGCGCAGGTTTTGCATGAGGATCTTCGCGATAGTTGGTGATTTCGATCACTGAGTAATCCGAGCAGATGCTCTCGGAATCGCTGTCACCTTCAATAAGACATCCTCGGCCGGTGCCATCCTTGTCAATCATGAGGAGACCGTCCCGGCTGATAGCTCCAGCGACCGCGAACGATACATCAGCATCACCGTTCGTGATTGTGGACGAACTGCCTGTGAACCAAGCACCAGACGGTGCCGCTTGAAGCCGCCGCTCTACCCAATCGAGCGAAGGGAATTGAGCTTCCACAAGAAAGTCGAGAACGAAATCAATCATCTTAATGCGATCAGACCGTTTGAAACCACCTAAAATAGTGGTTTCAGTGGCGCCTGTAGCTTTTTCTACCGCTTTGGCTTGCTGCAGGATACGCAGTATCTCAATGAGCGGCCGAACCGAATCCGCAATAGCGAGGAATTCTGCGGCTGGTGTCTGGAACTTCAGTAGAGTATAGAAGCCCCTGCAGAGTCGCAGCAGGGATCCGCAGTACATCATGAACTCTATCGCGCGCCGAATTTGAGAAGTATTCCCACCATAAATGGTACTAATGGCGCTGACAAGTATCCGCAACGCTTCCACGCACCGACGGACGTACGCTGTCTTTGGAAGCGGGGCTTCGTAAATGTTCTTGCCCACCCGCTTGGGAAGAGTGGGAAGTTTCTGTATCATGGCCCATTCGAGATCCTCTTCTTTGCGTCGCTGTGCTTGCATGAAAGCTTTGTCTCCGTTAGAGCAATAGTTCTCGCTGCGGCAAGCGAAGAAATCAAATTCGTTCGGAGATCGAAACGCCACGACAGCCTCTTCTCGTAGCAATTGGTAAAGAGAGGTGTCTTTCACATCCGACGGATGGTTCCGAGGAGCTGCACAGATAGCCTTCAGCTTTGTGTTGGCCGCAGTGTCCGCATTCCTATGGAAGTTCAGAAGGCCGAGGTAGCCGACAATTTCTCGAATGAACTCATTGTTGACCTGTTCTGGATTCGCTAGTAGCCACGCCCTGAGCAAGTTTGCAAAGCGATCCACGGACGACCACGGTAGACCGAGCATCCGCACTCCCTTGTCGTCAGATAAAAGGGCAGACTCGTAGACCTTCTCGGACCAAGCGGCGCATTCCTCCCGAAATGCGGAAGAGCGAAGATTCCGTGTGTTCGCTGTGTCCAGAAGACTGCAAAGCCAAGCCCAATCATCAATTGACTGCCTCATATTCATGAGAACATGGAAACACTGAGAACGGCGTATGACTGGATTGATCTCTACAGCTGGAAGCCGTCGAGCTGTGGACTGAGCTATCTTCACGAGAGTCGACTGGAAACATATTAGTGTCGGATACCACAATATAACGTTAGATTATACGTACCAACTCGGCGTTTTCTTGGACTTCTCCATCGCTAGGCTCAGAATCACTGATATCGGACTCAGATGATTCGACTTTGGGCTGGTGTTGGGTCATTAATTCCAAGTCGAATATCCGCTCCGGATGTGGAAGGCCCGGGGCCACGACGCGGTAGAACGTCTGAAGATCAAGGGTTTCGACTTTGCGTAAGTTCGTGACCATGGCACCGAGTGCATCTATGTCCTTATGTTCCTTCTGCTTGCGCGCGATCTCAGCTTTCATGTCCAGCGATGCTCGAATCTCCATGAGATCGCGGAGAGCCTGTGAGGCTAGTACACGGTCTCTGATACTGGCCCGTGAGATATCCGCATTCTTGTTTTCCTTCTCAGAAGCCATTGGTCTCAGCTGTTGACGCTTGCCGCGGATGAAAGCCTGGACGTAGATTAGTGTCTATACAGTATTGAAGCAACAGCACCTAGCGATACTTACATAGACGTCCGGATCATTGCGCCATGCGTCCTCATCGAATTCATCTGGTCGCTTGCGTTTGCCCTTCTGCTGCTGCTGCTGGCTAGCAGAAAAGCGCGAAGCTGGGATTTGTGGCCCGGTCTCTTGCTCTTGTACAGACGCCGTCGCGAACCATTCTCGATCGGCAGAAGAAAATTGCGCCATTTGAAGAAAGGGACCCACGACAGAGTGGAACGATTCAAGCGTGAGATCGCCCTGGTCGTTCTGCTCGCGTAGGCCCGGAAGCAGAGTCTTGAGCGCCTGGAGGAGCCATTCCAAACCGCGATCATTGCGCGCGAAGTTTGGTATGACCCCCCGACATCGCGAAGCTCCTCACCGAGGTTCGCGAGTCAGGGAGGGTGTGTAAAGTTGCTCGCTCCAAGAATCCAAGTTCGACTGCGCCTGGTGATGTAGTCGATGTTGAGTTCGAAGTGCACGGGGCGAAGAGAGAGTAAGAAAGGGGGAATTTGGGCGTTTACCTAAGAAACTGTGATGTTACATTAGGGTTTACGTTCGGAGTTTCCGGGTGAGGTGGAGCGGTAGGGAGAGCACGGCGCCCAATCCGTATACCATGGACGACAAGCGCCAAGCTTGGCGTGAGGGGCGTGCTGAGCACTTGACGTAGCTGTTGGTGAATTCCTGGTGTTGGGTTGAATCTTGGAGAGGTTGAATTCGGGGGGCGGGCGGGGAGGTCAGTGAGCATGCGTAAGAGCAATGGAACAGGAGCAGGGGCGCAAGGTAGAGTAGCGAGAGTGAAGATAACGTATACATATTGAGATAGAGCCTGTGATTCAGCGCAGGCTGCCTTCAGACGGTGATTATCGCGTACAATCCTACAGAACTCTGTCAGTGACGTCTGGCCCACGGCCCCGAAAGCCGCCCACCTACTTAGTAGAGGTATATAGGATAGCACAAAAATTGCATCAAGGTTACTAGGCTCGGACATGGCTTGTACAAGGACTACCTCACTTTGTTTCTACACAATGGTCCGTCAGTATCGCCAGGGGGTGATTTGCCAACATTTGAAGCAATGAATGTCCGCCCTACCAAGATTTTGAATATCCGTCCCACCACGACTATCGCAGTCGCTCAGCAAGTTGAAGAGCGTCGCGTTATATCATACTCGACTGAATAAAATAGCCAATAGTTGCCTTGACCCCAGCCCTATACCGACCCTAATCCTACCTAACTACAGCCCTACTAATCATACTCCTACCTAACTCGGGTATGATCTTACTCCACGTCTCAAGATTTTGAACAGTGCGTTGTTCGAATTCGGGCTCCTGAGTGAAAATAGAAGATTGCTCCTCCTAGTTGTGAGAATGCAAGCAGTAACCGGCAGTTGGTCTCGCTGGGGGTTGGGGGTGCGCGTCGCAACGTGTCCACGAACGTTGCGAACAACACCTCCGTTACAGGACCTTGGCTACTGTTAGATAAAAGAATTGTTAACAGAAGAAGGAAACCAGAGCCATCAGGCATGAACATGCGTTTGCTTGTGCAACCCTTGCAGCCGAGGGCGTCGGGCCAAAAGCAGCCAGTCGCCGAGCAGACGGAAGAGAGCCCGTGCCGCCATGACCCCATTTTGAGAAGGTTGTGAGGGCAGCAAACTCAGGGCCACGGCATCAGTGCCTACGCCCACTGCCTGCGATGCGCAATCCTGTCGCCTGCGTCTCTTGTCGGAGCGCGAAGCAGAAATGCCTCCACAACGGTCCGTTGCGTCCCCGTAGAGTTGAGCTCCGTATGCTGACGCGCCCCAGACGCTCCACCTTGCGATCGCTGCAAAGCAGCGGGTAGGGCTGATCTTTGCGAGTTCCCACCACCGGGAACGAGTGCAATTCATCGGAGGCCCAAGCGGCCAAGGCAGGATGAAGGTCCCACGCCGTCCGCGGCATCGCCTGTCGTGCAGCAGCCGTATCGCGCGGCGAGCGGCATCGAGCCCACTGCTGCCGCATCGGCAGCCCTCTCGCCGGCCGCCACGGCATCTCTCCTCGATAGCCTAGATCCCTTCGATCTACTTACCGACGAGGTAGTAAACAGCTACTTACGTTGTAGCTACAAATGGAGCTTCCACCACACGCCTACGTTGTTGCTGCGCATCCGCGATCGAACCCTCGAGCCATGGATGGTCTGGGCGATGCTGGCGCTGGCAGTTCGGTACAGTTAGAATAGATGCAACCATGGCTTCGCTGACAATAGTAGCTTCGTCAGTCAGCCGCCCGCCCCGTTCAGAACGCAAATTGAAGCGAGCAATGCCTTCGCCGCCCACGCCCGCCAGATCCTACAATCCGACCTCGAGACGCCGAGCATCAGCCGCGTCCAGGCCCTTCTAATGTTGACCGGACACGACTGGGGAGCAGGAAATGGGCGCAGAGCATGGATCTATCTCGGCATGGCGATTCGACTCATAGAGGTCATGGATATCACACAGGAGCTCAAAGGCCCCAAGAACCGCAAGCCCACGCGCGAGGAGTTCGTTGAAGCGGAGGTGCGCCGGCGAACAGCCTGGACCTGCTTCTTGATGGACTCGCTGCTTAGCGGCGGCAGAGGGCGCAAGCGATCGCTGGCAGCCAGCGATATGGCTATCCAGCTTCCCTGCGAGCGGGAGGACTTCGTCTTTGGTGAGCCTGTCTGCACGCAGCGTCTCGACGGGTCGATACACATGCCTCCGCTGTCGCTGTCGATCGGGGAGCTTGGTATTATCGCTTACAGCCTTCGTGCTGCCAATATCTGGGGTAAAGTAGCGCGGTGGGCGTGCTCAGAGGAGCTCAAGACGCAGCTTCCCCTGGTCGGTAACATCGCATTTTCAGCAGCTCATATACGAGCTAGAAAACTGGAAGAGCTCCCTACCGCCCCGACTGCAATACGAATTGTTCTCGCTACACAGCCATAACGCCATGGATCAGGGGCAAGCGTATTGCTATATGCATTGCATATACTTCATGAGCTATATGTTCCTTCACCGAGCCTACCTGCCCGTTCTGGGACCACAGAACATACCAGAAGAAGCACTCCACGAGTACAGCGAACACAGCGAAAGGTGGAAGATGTGGCAGAAATCCTCGCGGAGGGACCTGTTCAATGAAGCCTCCATGGTCCTCGATATGCTTGAGGAGATGCGCAACTTTGGCGTCTACTTCCTGCGCGGTCTGGTGCCGTGGATTGGTTTCACAATCTATACTGCTGTAGGTGTGATGCTGTACAGCTACAACTTCCCGTCCGGCGAAGATGATCCGCGAGTCACGGAGAAGGCGCGAGAGCGCGTCATTCGGGGTTGCACTTTTCTAAAAGAGATGAAGAATCAGTGGCCTATGTCGGACACGTGGTTCGAGACGATCAAACGCATGCAGGCTTATTACCGCACTGTACTGGGACAGGGCGGGCCGGTGTCGCCTGATGAGCGCCAGGCGCTGCGACGTGCCATGGTCGATTACGGTGCCTTGCAGCCGTCGCCCGTGCAGAAACCGGTGGACGCAAACGTCGTTCGGAGTAGCATTGCGCAAGAGGTACGCGTTGCCTGGCACTTTTCATTACACAGCTAATCCTCATTAGCAACCTCCCACCACTGCGCCTGCACAACAGCAGTTGGTCTCGCCACCTGAGTCTACCCCGAACGGTTATGCCTCGAATTTTGGCTGGAACGGACAGCATGCCATTCCGCCTATCGAGGACGACGACTCTCTGAAATTGAACTTCGACTTTACTAGCGCAGATATGGAGGAGATGATGAGGGGGACGCGACGCAGGAGTTTTGGGCGTCTTTCCCGGGAGAAGTCGGTGTAGGATATCAGTAAACCATGTACACCGTATAGTATGTATAATGACGGGTCCGGCGTTCTTCCCATAGGCGAATAAATAACGATGCCTTTACCACGCACTGCATCGACCCGCCCTAATTTGAATGGTAGGGTAGTCGCACTAAGCGCGGCTGCCTCCGGCATCCCACCCCACTTTGACAAAAAGTTTGCTCCTCCATAGACATTCTTACAGTTAGCGCTGTTCGACTCTCTTTGCTGCACATATGTATTTTGCACCGTAACAATTTGGCATCGATCAGCTCAATGAGCAGTTCGGCCATGTGGCCCAATGGCAAGGCGCTTGACTACGATTCAGTCGAAATCAAGAGATTCCAGGTATGTGCTTACAGCTGAAGAGCTCTCATCCGTGATTACTAATCCGACTTAGGTTCGACCCCTGGCATGGTCAAAAGACATCTTTCTTTTTGCTTTTGTTTTTGGTAATGTTGAGTGGTGGTGCATGTCCAGGTGTTGGGCCGGCGCGGCACCGAACCAACGACTTTCTTTCATGCTTGTGTACAGCGAAGCTCTCACCGATCATTACAATGCAATGTTAATCACATACAAAGCAGTGTTAGCACATTCCTTTTTGCGTAGGCCTCGGCTCCCGATTCCTCTATCGCCTGTTTGCCCCGCCATGCTAAAGCGACCTCGCTCTACAACGTCAGGACACTGTTCAAGCCATCTGCGCACGGTAGCGCAAGGCACGCTACGACTGCATTCCTTCTCAACATCAGGCCCATTGTTTGGGAAGGTGCGATCGATTGTTTAACGGACCCCATGCACGTAGATGCAGGCTCCGAAATCGGCGCTCGCACAAGTCGCATCGAAGCTTACATTAGAAGTAGTGTTTCCGACGGACAAGTCACCAAACCCAGAAGACTGGATTCAACTGTACATATAACGAGAGCTCAGATTCGTTGGTTCTGACTGCTATCTCGTTCTGAGTCATCCTCTCGGCCGCGCATCCAGCGATACGACCCTCAACCCGCTTCAGAACCTCAATCTCTATTTCCTCACATACATCCTTTACCGTGCAAACTATTACAAAGTACATTCACCAAACCGCCACCATGGGCGTCTACTACGAAACCATCCCCTCCTCTCTCAAACCCTGGATCCTCGACCAAAAAATGCTCTTCGTCGGCACCGCGCCGCTCTCCCCCAACGGCCATATCAACATCTCCCCAAAAGGCGGAAAGCAGTTCGGCATCGTCTCCCCCACGCAATTCTGGTACCTCGACCTTACAGGCTCCGGCGTAGAAACCCACGCCCACCTGCACGAGCCGCAAAACGGCCGCATCTGCATCATGTTCATCGCGTACACGGGGCCTCCCCGCATCGTACGCATATGGGGCACTGGCCGGGCCGTCGAGAACGGGACACCCGAGTGGGACGTCTTCGTCAGGGAAAATAAGGTGGATACCATCCCCGGGAGTAGGAGTATCATCCTCGTGGATGTGCACCAGTGCGCGACGAGTTGTGGGTTCAGCGTGCCGACGTATGAGTGGACGGGGTGGAGGACTACGCTCGACGACTTCTTTGTGAAGAAGGAGAAGAAGTTTTTGGAGGGAAAGGAGGAGGAGAGCATGGATCGGTAAACTAGACTTTCTCTCCCTATGTAATGTATGAAGGAAAGCTAACGCGTGCAGATACTGGGCGTTCAAGTCGCAGTATAGCATCGACGGGATGCCGGGCATGAAGCGCGGGTACCAGTATGCACAGACGAATGGCGTCGCTCCGCTGAAGAAATGGGTTGGGAAGTGGGCGCCTAAGGACTTTGGGCCGAGGCCGGCGCAGCAGATTGCGCCGATACATCTCGTGCTCGTTGCGATACTGAGCTTGATTATTGGGGTTACGCTCGCGGTGACGTTGACGCCGCCGGATTTTGTGAGGAAAGTGCAGCACAAGGAGTTCTTCTTATGAGGAGGATCTTGATTGGTGTTGCTTATATTCGAAGCGTAACGTTGGTCGCTTTATGAGTTGCTGGTAGTATTTTTGGCGTTTTTGTCACGGTTTGGTGTTAAGGGAGCCTGGGGTTTTCATTGATCGAGATCACTGTTGCCTTGGGTATATCAGTCTTAGTACGTTCTGGAGTAGATAGTGCTTGACTGCATTTGCACTTGACAGTTGGTCGTACGTATGTATAATGATTAACGACACAACAACACACGGTCCCGTGGCATTAGTCCATTCTAGCGCAAGCTGATTCGTTTAGTGTGGTCCAGGTAAATTCCCTTGCAGTGCGTTCCGCTCTGATCTTGAGGCAATACTGCCATGTCACCTAGACTTGAGTGAAGCTTTTCGATTACGAGTTCACGAAGCATTCTGGACAAAAGGAGGTTGAGCAGTACACACATTTTACTCGTTACTAACTTCCTAAGCAGCATTCTATTCACAAGGTATCATCCAATCAACTTTTCTTCGCCAGGTATTATATCCTGCCCTTCATTCACACAAACCTTTAACCAAGCATAATGCCTTCCAACGTCGCAGCGAGCGATACTCGAAACCAGCTTACACAACCGGTCCACCTCTAGCACGCATACGCGCACCGTAAATCTGAAGCAGCGTAATAATGATAGACGCAGCAGCGACGATAGCAGCCTGAATCCCAAACGACTGGCCATACCCATGAGCCTGACCCCACGGCTTCTGGAAGTACCCAACGGAGAACCCAGCACCAACTGTATCCACTTTGTCAGCGAACTTCTCACATCGCGAACAGGAAATGTACTCACCCCTCGCAAAGTTTAACAACCCCGCAACTTCAGAACTAGCACTGCCGTAGCTGTCGAGGCAGTACGCTGTCAAACTCACACTCGCCAGCATACTTCCAATAACGTACATTCCCCAGCCCATGATAATGCCCGCATAGCTGAGGTGCTTTTCCAGCGTCTGGCCTACGAGCACGAGGCCTGGCACCATCAGCAGAACTACAAGCTGGTTCATGAGCAGGCGGGCTTCAGGCTTGAACACGCCGTTGTGGCGCTTGACGTAGCGGCGCGCAATCAGGTCGTTAAAGAAGTGGCCCGACAACTCGCCGATGGTGACGGCGAGGAGCGGCGCAAAGAGAAGGTAGCCTATGGCGTTGTTGTCGAAGCCGTAGCCGCCGTAGGCTTGGGGGGTCTGCAGGAGGATGGCGGAGGTGATGTTTATGCCGACGACCCACATGAATGTCATTGCGCTTTACATCACTATTAGCACTTGGAAAAGAAGCGAGAGGGAAAGGAGCGGGGAGACAGACTAGTAGATCATGCAGGGGATCATGATGGGCTTGAGGAATGTCTTAACAAGGCGGGTCACCGCGTGGCTGAAGTGTTGGAAGCCAGCTGCGCTGTGGTTCTGGATCTGCCAGATGCCGACGAGACGGGACATGCGGCCTGTGAACGTCTTCGGACGGGGAGGCTGTTTTTCCCGTGGGATCGTGCGGTCGTAGTATGTCTCATCCGATATCAGGAAAATCAAAATCATATCGAGGGCGCCGACGGCAAAGACAAGCCAGAAGGCTACGCGCCACCTGCCATGCGTGCCCGCGATGATGAAGTTGCTGAACATGGGTGCGAGGTAGGGTGTTAGGAAGACGCCGTACGTCCAGATGCCGATCTTGCGGGCGTGCTCGTGGAAGTAGAACATGTCCTTGATGCAGGCCAGACCTACGATTTGGAAAGCGCAGAAGCTGAAGCCCATCAACACGCGGAAGCCGTAGTAGACCGAGTAGTTGTGGGTTACGGCGCAGGCGATGGTGAAGACGCAGCCAGTGAGGGTAGACCAGAAGAGGGCAGGGCCACGACCCCACCATGTAGAGACGATGATCCAAAAGAGTCCGCCGATGGCACTGTCAGAATTAGAGCGTGTCTCTTGAATTGGATAGGGTACTTACACCATGAGAACGTTCAGGTTACCAGTCTCATTGACCTTTGCGGGCGTCTTGTTCCATTCCAGGCCCTGGGACACGATCAAGGGAATACCAGCCGCAGAGCTGTAGTCCCCCAGACCGGCGGTGATGGAGAGGACAATGAGCACAGCATGCTTCTTAGTGGAAGACCAGTTGAGAGGATCATTCGGGTCGTCCGAGGGTTGAGGAACAAGTACGGTATGGCCATCCGGCGCCAGCTTCAAGTTGCTGTCGACATTACCAGCGTTGGCATCAACCACAATATCATCATTGATATCCTGCTCATGTACCTGCACCACCTGCACAGTGTGGCGCAAGATGCCGGTTTCTTTGTCAGCCAGAATGTCCATGTCGGATCGGCAACGAGTAGAGCAGGAGGAGTCGCGAGAGCTGCTTCGTGTCTGCACGAGGGCCAACGTGTTGGGTCAGTGTTATATAGATGTTACAGCATAGTTGGAGGGTAGTACAAGGCAACACCTTGCGAGCGATGCCAGCCATGCGAGCGCCACCCGCTATGCAGTACACAGAAGCTAAAAAGCGAAGGATTTGGGAACCAACCGAACTCCGATAACCCGGGTCAGTGTTTTTGGGTTCTAAGGAGGCTCTATGTTGATTGGGGATTTTCTGACAGTGAAGGACGTAGGATTCTGACTGGTTGATGTTGTTAGTCTTCCTCATCAAGATGCCACGAGATCTCCTGGAATAGTCGGAGATAGCAAGGCACAATTAAAGCGTTGTCGTGTTCTGTAGCCATTCAACTTATTAATTATGCCGTTCATTGGGTTGTTGGTGTTGTATGCACGATTATTGACATCTCACTGGTGGTGATGTTCCTTCGACTTGATCGCTATTGGACGTGACTAGCGTCGTTACTAGGATGTCCAAGCTCGGGCCGAGCCACTGTGTTATGCCCACTCTCTAGGCCCAACCACTACCCGAAGATGTCCGTACTCTATCACAGACCCATGTGAATGTTGATTTGTGGTGTACTGATCTTAGTCTGAGGAGAGCACTTTGACTCCTTAAAGACTTAGATTCGGTGAAGGTTGGAAGAAATCTGCAATCCAAGATCTTGGATATCTTATCCACAGCCATGCTATATCGCGCAATCGTAGAATCGAACGACAGACGAGGTTTGTCATGTTTGCGAGGCCAAGGTCAGATCTTGATGACCTCCTGGCAAGTGAATGTTTGGTGGATCAATTCTCTAGTTCTACGAGCCGTGCCACCTCTTTTGCCATGGACGCGAATACTTGGGCTCTGGAACTGTCCGGTTCCGCAACAACGGTAGGCTTTCCACCTTCAGCACCGGCACCCATGGCAGCATGCAGGGGGAGCTCGCCTAGAAGCCTCATGTCGTATGTACGGCACATGTCTCTTAATTTACTCAAGTCTCCGAACACATTGTGTGTCTCCCCACATCCGGGGCACTGGAAGCCGCTCATGTTACACACGAGCCCCAGAATGTTCGTATTCACTTTGCGGAACAGCTCGACGCCTTTTACGGCGTCTTTGAGCGCGAGATCCTGCGGGGTGGATACGATGATGGCGCCATCAAGGAGAAGCTGTTGGGTAATGGTCAACTGCACGTCGCCGGTACCAGGGGGCAAGTCGAGTACGAGGACGTCAAGACCACCCCACTCTACCTCGTGGAGGAGCTGCTGCAAGGCTTTCATCACCATGAGCCCACGCCATGCTACTGGCGAAGATTCCGGGACTAGGTAGCCCATCGACATGCTTTTCAGTCCATAATTCGATAGGGGTATGAGTTGGTTGTCTGAGGGGTGTCAGATTCCGAGTGGGGGCGGGCCTTGGTCGCATCAGGAATGGAAGACTGACTGGCTGAGAGCCTTGGTTCGCCGGAGAGATTGAGCAGAGTAGGTATCGAAGGGCCGAAGATATCGGTGTCTAGGATGCCAGCTCTGTACCCACTGCGCGCAAAGCTAAGGGCCAGATTCACTGCAGCGCGGTCAGGCTCATGGATATGTCTCTTTGGGCGCGCGGCATACCTGCGATGGTGCTTTTCCCGACGCCGCCCTTTGCTGAAGAGACGGCAATGATCTTCTTCACGTCTTTGATGCTTCGCTTTTGCGGCAGCCCGCGCTGCATGCGAGGCATCTGCGGTGGTGCGCCAGAGCGCGGCAGTCCCTGTGACCCATAATCAGTTTCTCAAATCAATTCGTATGTGTTCCGGAGCTTACCAGCGGGTTCTCATGCTGCAGCCGCCTCAGGGTGGAGAACAATCGCGGCTTCATGGTCGCATTGTGATGGTGACGAATGAGCGGCGACGAAGCTCCGCAGCCTTTGGACGGAAAGCGCAACACGCCAAACCCACCTGCCAAGATTTCGCAGCCGAAACTTTTTAGTGGGGCCGCAAAGCTGTTTCCCAATCCTCACACCTCACAAGCTACGGATATCGCCATGAAGAAGTCAAAGATCACTGGTAAGTCTGCTTTGACTTAGTTGGTAAGTTCTGTCTAATTCCCACGCTCAGATTTCGATCCCGAGGCGTTGCTTGACCCGGCGCCGTCAAGCTCTAGCGAAGACGAACGCTCCGATTTATCTGGTGCGGAAGATGATGATGCAGGTCGCGAGCATTACGCAGATGTTGGCAAGAGCAGGTTGAGGAAGAAGGAGGTTGTTCCTTTGGGTCCCCAATACACTGGTACCCAGGTTAGCCGCGATGCCGTGGAAGATGAGGACAGCGACGACCCGTTCGCGAAGCGCTTTGACGAAGATGGCAGCCGCAGCGAGGACGACGAAGACAGCGAAGTTGAACCTGAGAATGGCATAGCTCCAGGGATTGTCGGTTCGGGTAGTGGCGAAGAAGACGAGGAGTCTAGCGAGGAAGAGAAAGGCTCGGATGAGGACGAGGATGTAAACGGCGTGGATGAAGACGAGGACGCAGATTCCGAGGAAGACTCAGATGACGACGACGCATCCGAGGGCGAGGATGATAACGATGTTCGGGCGCTCATGGGAAAGAACAAGGAAGACGTGCGAGAGTTGATGAAGGACCAGAAGTCGCTCACCACCAGCCTGGCTGCAGCCGCGCAGTCAGATGTCGCCAAAGGCCAAGCGATCAAAACCCAACGAAAGACTTTCGATTCCTTCCTCAACACCCGAGTGCGCTTGCAGAAGGCGCTGATCTCGACGAATTCCATGGTTGCTGAAGGTCACAAAGACGAATCTGCACCGGCTTCCTCGATGGAGGCCGCCGAAGCTGCGGCATTGGCGCTCTTGAACAACCTCACGGATCTCAAGGCTTCAATAGAGGAGGCACGTACGGGCGAAAAGCGCAAGAGAACACCCTTCACATCCTCCACCGCTTCCTCCGAGATCTGGAATAACCTGAAGGCCTCCGAAAGCGCTACAAAGAAGCAAAGAAGAGCCGTCTTGGAAAAGTGGTCTGCAAAAACACGAACTGCAAAGATTGCCACTGCGCAGCGACAACTCAACGTCAGCGCCGAGCAGACATTGACCGAAGTGCTCGACTCCCAGCTCATGAACTCAGACCACCTTGTCGCGCGAACACAGAACCCCCCGTTCCTGCGCACCCATTCAGTCAGCAACGTCTAAGCCTGTTCCTGATGCGAATATCTATGATGACGCTGACTTCTACGGCCTACTTCTGAAAGAGCTGCTCGAGCAACGGTCCGCCGATCTGTCCAACAGCGGCACGGCAGAGTTCGTGGTCCAGGCGCCTTGGCAGGTAGCGCGTGAAGCGAAGACGAGGAAGGTCGTCGACACGAAAGCAAGCAAGGGACGACGGCTGCGATATACCGTGCACGAGAAGCTGCAGAATTTTATGGCGCCGGAGGAAAGAGGGCTTTGGGGTGAACGCCAGCGGGACGAGCTTTTTAGCAGTCTGTTCGGGCAGCGCCTTGCACTGGGCGAGCAAGACGACGTCGAGAGTGAGGAGGAGGATGCAATGGAAGCCGAAGAGCAAGGCTTGATGCTATTCAGAAGCTAGATGCAGAATATCATGCTATGAATCGTCGTGTGTAAGATATGAACAATGCACTGCACACTCTATATCATGATCCTAACCGCTTGTGGAATTTGGCATGGAGACTTTCTTGGTGTTTCCCAAATCGCGGCTAACTTTAACGGGGGCCAATCCCGCCCAAACCGTGGAAGGATTGTGTTGCGCTCGTCTCAAATGAGGGTCTTCATGCTCAAGTGGGTCAGGAGAGACCAACATGACGTAGCTGGCGTTGCTGGACCCTTGCTCGCGAAGATCTAATCTGGGGAACACCACGGATCTCACGCTGAGCATCTCACGCTCCACCTCCCCTGACACAGCGCACGAGGGAACAAGTTTCGCCATGTTCCCGCCATCCTACTACTCCTTCCGACACTCTTCCTAAGACTCCCCCTGTTCTGATTCCAAACTACGCGCTTCAATGCGATACAACTATGTTTAAAGTCAACACCATCACCGTGGGCGCCGCCGTTGCGCCCACCATCATCGAAACCTACATCTCGCACTACCTAAATCGCAAACCGCTCAAGCAGAAGCCCACAGCGCACATCTCATATCACGAAGGCCTCGAACTCATAAGAAGATTTTTGCACTATGCGTCCTTCCACGCTGTCGACGAGCTGCAGGCCTTCACCTCGCAGTGGGTGCCGGTACCGCACTGGGTCCACGTCGACAACCTCGTGATCCCCAACGCGCAATTGAAACGCTCCGCCGACTACGTACGCGCGCAGCTGGGTCCTGATGGCATCAAAGCAGTTGGCGGCAACACGTGGTGGGAGTGGAGAAGGGAGGGAAGCGAGGGCCTTAAGGCCGAATGGATTGAAATGCGCAAGGATATGGAGGAGCGCAAGAAGTCACCCAATGTAAAAGGCCAGAGAGTCATGCTGTACGTGCACGGCGGGGCATACTACTTTGGCAGCGTGGACGAGCACCGCTATCAGATGCAGCGGCATGCGCGGAAGCTGAAGGCCAGGGTCCTGGCGCCGAGGTATAGGCTTGCACCGCAGTTCCCGTTTCCGTGTGGGTTGATGGACTGTCTTGCCAGTTACCTATACCTGCTGGAACAGAAACATGATCCGTCTACTATAATCTTGGCGGGTGACTCGGCTGGCGGCGGCATGGTGTTGACGATGTTGGTGGTGATGCGCGACCAGGGCATACCTCTTCCCGCTGGCGCGATATTGCTATCCCCGTGGGTAGATCTTACACACAGCTTTCCTAGCCTGGCTGGGGATGGCAAATTGGATTATATCCCAGCGCATGGCTTCGTTCACAAGCCAAGCCTAAGCTGGCCACCACCGAACGCTGACGACCTACTTGCACTCGAAGGCATCAAACCCAGCAATGAAAAGCCAAAGCCGGAAACTGCACCCACGCGGGAAGAAAAGAAAGAAGAGAAGTCGGCCAAGAAAGAAGAAAAACAAGACCGCGTACGGGGCTTTTCGCTCACCACGGCCGAGAAGCCAGATCTGGAGGACCTGCTGAACGCGCCGGTCTCAGATAAGAGCAACGGAGCTGGGCCAGAAACCTGGATCTCGCAGGACGGCAAATATAGTATAGGACCCAAATCGACGCTTTCTCTCCAGCTGGACGGAAAGCTAATCGAGATCAAGGACCAGATCCAGATGTATGCGCCGAACCACATGCTCACGCATCCGCTGGTTTCGCCGGCGCTGCAGCCTTCGTTGGGTGGACTTCCCCCTCTTTTGATCCAGGTTGGTGGAGGAGAACTTCTGCGCGATGAGCAGATCTACATTGCTCACAAGGCTGCTCAGCCGCTTGCATACCTTCCTCCCCCATCGAACCATCAAACAGCCGAAGCTATCCAGGCCCAAGCAGCCAGATACAGACCTACTAACGTACAATTACAAGTTTGGGATGACCTGTGCCATGTCGCTCCGACGCTTAGTTTCACCCGGCCGGCAAAGCACATGTATCGCGGAGTCGCGCAATTCGGCGCGTGGGCACTCGCTCGCGCGCAGAAAACCTCGATTGATATCATGGATGATGAGAGTATTTCAATCGTCAGTAGCGACTCGGCGTCTACTTCGTCGGATAGCCAGCTTGGTGCTGAAGACATCAAGTTGAGCATGCCGCAAAGCGCGCAGCACGTGGGCTTCGAAAGCGTGAATACGAAGGAAGAGCAGGGTGCTGTGGTGGGTAGAGCCGGCGACCCCATACCGGCTTTTGAAAATCATATGATCCGCCAACGGGTCGATCGTCATGGACGCATCTACCCACTTCCGCCGCCGCAAGAGTTGGAGGCACTCACTTTACCGAGCATCGAAGTCGGCGTGCCAAAGAAGGGTCCAGTCAATAAGTGGATGAAGGCGCAGCAGCAGTGGAATGGCAAGTTTGCAAAGCAGAAGCTCAAGATCCAAAGACGTAGAATGAGGGATATGGAGAAGGGGTACGAAGGATTCGACGGCGAAAAGCCGCCTCCAACCGCACTGGCAGGCCGCAGAGTAAAAGGCATGGAGAAGGAAAAGAAGGCCAAGAAGAGCTGGGGTATGGCGCTGTGGAGTCTGTGGGGAAGTAAACACGATGAAGCTACAGTATGTACATCCTTTCCCTACCTCCTCCAGCGCATGCATACTAACACGCTTACAGCTCGACCGCGAAGACAAAAGGGATCATTCTTCAGCTGCAGAACCACCTGCTCAAGATACCACAACAACAGACGGAGCAGCCGACGGCGCTTCAGATTTTAAGTCCCCTACTTCTCCGCGGTCAAGCCGCCGCAAATCTGAAAAACACCTCGCCCCCGCCCATTCCACGGCACGCTCTCGCTCACGCTCCCGTCACTCCACCGTCACAGACCGCGGCCAGGTCTCGGCCTCTATGGAAAACCTCGCGCACCTGGCTCCACCGACGCCCACCCTCGCCGACGCAACTGTCATCGCGCCGGAGCGAGATGATAGCCACGGTGCGCCAACGCCAACACTCGTACTCCCAGCGGATGAACACAGGCCGCAGAGTCCACCGACATTGATCCCCGCGACGGACACACTGAGTACGCGGCCGACGAGGGGTGGAGTCGCGTATCCGTTCAGCTTGAGGGTTGACGGGGAGGGTTCGGGCGGTGCGAATGCCAGCATGCTAACTTTGCAGAGCGTGCATATGGAAACGCCCGGTCTGGAGGAGGGCAGCAAAGGGTTTCCCAGGGTGAGTGGGGACGGCGAAGCGCTAGGAAAGGAGGCTGAGAATGGGGAAGACAAGATTGGAGAGAGGCCGGGTGTAGAGCGCTTCGTTACCGCGGACATTGGGGCGCTTGCCGCCTCTTCATCTGCACCTGCGGTAGAAGAGCACGTAGAAAGGCCTGGCGTCGAGCGCTTTGAAACGGCAAGAGAGGACCTGAGCACTTTGGCTTCTTCGGCTGCTGGTGCGAATGGGAAGGTATAGACTTCTCCCTAGGGGTTCGTACATAGCATTATACCCGCCTAGCCATCCTTCCCACCCTCATGTATTTAACAACAATAATCAATCCATTACCTGGATCTAAACATCCTGCTTCGCCATCCACTCCTCCGCTTCCTTCTTGTACTCGTCTCGCCACCTTGTAAGCGGCGGCCGCTCGTTTACTATGTCTCCGACGGTCCAGAGCATGCGCTTTTTGTCCGTCTCCTCGTTGACGTCGTTGTCCTGTTTCCACTCAGTAGATGCTCACATTGCAGCAAATTCGTGTCCAAGAATATAAGGAGAGGAGGCTCACCGGACAAATGATGTAAAACTTATCGTCTTTGATTTTCTGCTCCATGTACGAAGCGACCTGCTCGGGGGACCAAGCGCCGGGCGGCTTCTCCTTGGACGCACCGGGGACGTTGCCGGACTAGGTAGTGTAAGCACGACACGTTACATAGTGAGGTGGTGAGGTCAATTAGGTAGTCTAGGGTCATTGAGTGGAGAAGAGGGATCAGCACGAGCGCAGTGTATCAAGATACTCAGGATGCGTCAACCACCACCCCTCCACGGTGCCACAGTCAAGAGAAGAAAATAGTGGAACTAACCAGCCCCGTGAACGTCCATCCCGGAACAAGCAAGTGCACGCTGACGTCCTTGTTCTCTCTAAGGTCCCAGCTCAGATGCTCGGCGAGCGACTTGACCGCGGCTTTGCTGGCATTATATGCAGGGTTGCCTGGTGGGTTCGTGATACCTTGCTTGCTACCGGTGATGACGATAGTAGCGGGGGAAGCATTGCTGCGAGATTGGAAGGTTGGTACATAAGTGTTTAGGCCATTGACAACGCCGAAAAGGTTGGTGGAGAAGATCTGCGAGGGAATGTTAGTTAGCGGCAGGGTAGAGAGTGGCAAGGGTGGCGACGGTACGGCCGGTAGTGGATTTAGTGTATGACAATGGCCCGCTATAGCTGTGGTGGCGTGAGGATGGTGGTATGGTAGGGCTTGTTGTATGTAGGGGTGCCCACGTGGTGGTAGCCGAAGTCCGTGGTGACAAGGCTAATGAGTTTCGCGTACAGCACCCGATGGCATGCATGACACCGAGTACCCGTCCCCTAATCGAAGAACTTACCTTCGAGAAGTACTCTGAGTCTCCCCACGTGCCTCTAGCCCCAATTCCCGCGTTCAGTAGGAGGAAGTCAACGTCCTCAACCTTCTCTTGAATACCCTTCCACTCCTGCTCTTGACTAACATCCGCCTGCAAGTACTGCACGTCGCCCTTCAGACTCTTCTGCGCAAGATCAAGCGTCTCTTTGTTGAAGTCAACAACGGCAACACGCATTCCATGCTTCAAGCATAGTTGCGCGACCGCAAGACCAATTCCAGAAGCACCGCCGGTGATAAGAGCTTTAGAACCAGACTTAAAGACGGACATCCTGCGCGCAAGCACTATTCGTGCGAAAGAAAACCGTCTTGAGCTGGAGATAGGACGTGTTCACCAGAAGGCACGAGCAGCAACCTACACTTCACTCGTCAGCGTTTCAGGCCGGCTGGGCGGTCTCGCACGGGACATGTCTTGCGTTGAAACCGAACCCACGAATGCGTCGAGCATGGCCAAGGCGTCGCAGAAGCATGTTTCTAGAAGAACCTAGAAGAACAAACGTGCAAAATGCTGGCTGGCTTCGGGAGCGCCCGTATCGGAAGGGGAAGGTAGCTTACGGGTTACCGCGTGGTAGTGGAGTCCGTAGTGCGATACCAAGCCAAATTCGGTTTTGTTGCCCTAGCTGCTGGGCAATTGAAAAACTATTCGGCCTCAGAATTGTGTTTCTGTTGTCGTAGAGGTGTTGTAGTAGTGTGAGAGGCGATGAGGGGAGTGGGTGTTAAGTGACGTCTAGGAACGTCGGGAACGGCGTTAACGCCGTTATTCCCGATCCTTCGTCGAGATGGGCTTGAGCGACCCACATGCATTGCACCTGCTTCTCAATCTGCTGGGAGGATGATCAGTGCTGAGAATGGTTCCAGGCAATGCTATGATCGTGTTCGGGACTGAGTACGTTGATCAATCTGAGGTTCTGTTGGCGAATACCTGTGAACGACAGGCACTGAGAACGAGAATATGTGAATGCTGTATGATGGCAGATAACAATATAGAAATTATGTACTTTTAACTTCCAAGGATATTCTACATTATCTATGATAACGCTCTCACGTAAAATGACCGCCCCTACCGGCATAGGGTATCGTAATTCCATCCCATTTTATCCAAACACCATGGTGATCCCAGACAAAACTCTGATTTGGCAGAGAAGAATGTGTAAATGGGGACCACCCAAAATAACCAAGTACATGTGGTACGCTTGTTGAAGCTTAAGAAAAGACTACCGACGCTCGAAAAGTATAGGCAGGCGCATACTCCGGACACTGTTCGGCGTCTTTGGAGTCTTCGGCGACTTCGGCGTTTTCGGTCTCTTCGAGCTACCCTCCACCTCCCCTGTAACAGAATTGTTCCGCGAGGCCATCGGCAGAGGAGTTGGCGGTAGCCTCTTCATGCGCGAGTCTCGGCCTCGGGCATCCTGGAAAGTGAGCGGGCTCTTTCGGTAAAAGTCCGCGGACGCCTTCCGAAAAGGTAATTCTTCCACGCTGAGGTGCGTCTTGCGCCAGCTTGTCTTCGGATCCGGTACGGGTGTGGATGTCTGTGTCCGCGATGGGCTTTTGTAGTAGGAGAGCGTGCTGTTGTAGCGGGTGGTGCTGGGCGTGCCGATTGTGGTCCTTTCGTTGAGCTCGACGTAGGTGTAGTGTCGGTAGATTTGGTAGAAGCTGGTCATGCATGGTATCAATAGGCTGATAGATACCTCTAGGATCCTAGCACCATCATTAGCGCTTTATCTAGAAATATGCTGTTGGTTGCTTACAATGACACGATGATAGGGATTTGGTAGCCAGTGAGATCGACATGCTGGTAGGCCTTGATGCGGTAGACGAGGCCTAGAATGCTACACACAGAAGCGCTAGACACTGTTAGCTGGCCGTCAAATCGCTTAGTGACGATTATCTTACACTACTCCCACGAAATGCATGAGATAGATGACTCGTCTCTCCTTGACAGTGACATTCATGGACGGGCTTAGGAGAAAAGTGGCCACCAGTAGATAGAAGTCGGCAAGCGAGTTGAAAAGTGCCATGAGGATGCCAACAATCATGTTTGCTCCCCCAGCCCCAGAACACGTCGTTTTACGAAAGCCTTCAACGTAAGAATCCAGGTCATCGTCGGGCTTCGGAGAACATGCAATGCTTGTGGTGCAGGTGTAGAGTGCGTAGATCATGCCAGTTGCCACGACAATGACGTAGCCAGAGTTCTTGAACCATCTTACGGAAGTAAAAACATGCACCAAGTGCGCAATAACCATGGTTTTGCTGAACCAGAGGACCGGGCCTGTGAATATGGAAAATGTTAGAAATCGCTACAATACTGTCAGTCAGATTGTCGAACGTCTGTAGGGATCACATACAAGCATCCAGGGCTTCGTTAAGCGGCGAGTATCAATGTCCCAGACATGGTACCCAAAGGGCTCGGCAATGGTCACTACACACTGAGTCAATATAGGGTGGAGGAGTCTGGGAGGATGCTTACAAGGTATCGAGTACGTGATGAACGCTACCCCAACTATCTTGGAAGATGTTAATGAAAAGCACAAGCGTCGAAGTGTGGACACTGCCTACCAGAGTGAAGCAGAAGAGGTCTACTTGGGTCAGCGACGCTTACAATATGTTTAAGGCTTGCACTTACAGTCCTGGAAAGTCCATTTGTGAGCAAGCACACGACTGAGAATGCGGGCACATGCGCAGAGGAAAATCAAAGGTAGACACACGCCTGCTGTGACTACCACCGGCAAAGCTAAGAATCCGGGCCTGTCAAAGTCGGATGCGACACCCTACAACAAGTCAATAGTGAAGTGGGACAGCAAGGAGGGGCACACACTGGAGGGGGTTGACGCAATGGAGATGCCATGAGCACACCTCACCGTGGCACTGCCTGAGGGGCAAACCGAGGATAGATCTGGGGTGCAGTGCAATTAAGTAGCGATACGGCGTAGATACCCTATCTAGACGGGCCCGGCCGAGGGACAAGGGGATGCACGTGGCGATTACAGAGCAACCCAGCGCCAGGGACGCGTAGACCGAGACGATCATGGTAGCGGAAGCCCAGATCGGAGTTTCTATTGCGAAGCGGAGTACGACAAGGATAGAGATGTGTGTCTGATGTGCGCTTTTCGAGCCAGTACACACGTGCCCATTGTTGCGAGTCCACGGACCCGCCAGGCCGGCTGCCGCAACGTGCGATTCAACGCCCGGACATGGCGTTCGTCCCAAAGAACAGATACTACAGGTGACAGTCCAGGCATCTGACCAAAATACGTGACGCTTCTCTTAGGGTACGTTTTCGTGCTGTCAGTAACGGTTCCCTGGTCCCAAGCGCTCAGATGGCTGCGCTCGAAATTGGACCAACATTATTATTTTGATACATGCTGGTGTGAAGCCCTCCCACGTGTAGACCAAAGAGAAAGGCCGGTATCTTGGGCCGACATGAGACCGTCTCTGCTAGCCAGGTACGGATGAACACCGAAGGATCCTCCCGCATCATGGGGCCATCGAACGTCTATCGACGATGCTAAGCGCACCAATGGTATGTTGAGCGCAAGAATTTCCGGTAGAAGAAAGGTTCAGGGGTGTAGAACGGTAGACTTAGACCGACCTTTGCCGCTGCACCTACATCAATCTCAAACGATGCCCGAAAGGAGGGGCAAACCTGGAGGGGCGAACGTGCTGTGGTGGCCTTGTCGGGTGTTCCTTATCGAGCGTAGAATTCCCTCCGTCGGCAGATGGATGCGTTCAACCATCTCTCAGGCACCCCGCCTACTCGGATTGTCTAAATACCTTTCGGTTGATGTTGGCTCACACTGGTCGTAGGCCTCGGTGTTGAGCTTCGAGTGAAGCCGACATTCCAGTATCCTCCATTGCCAAGACTAGAAAGAAGTACGGCAACTCAAACGTTTCACTGATGATGCTGGGCATTCGGGACAATGATGCAGGTAGATGAGATGAGGGACGGTGGGTTGCGATTTGCATACCCTAGCGCACAGACCAGTCGCCTACTGCAGGTGCCTCTGACAATCATTGGTGGCCGTCATCACGCCGCTCTGCACCTCGATTGCGCCCTCATCTTGTCCGCGGGCACTTCCAAAACAAGCTTCCAGCCAATGGCTCGAGCACGAAGGAATTAACGAACACTGGGCCTATTTGCGTCAGGCCAAGCATCGTCTTTGGGCCGAGACAGCCAAGCACTGCCGGAGCATTCGAATATTAGATGGCCATCCACGAGAAAATCGCTGGTCGTATAATAAAGTGGGTGAAGGCCTTTCTTATGCATCTCGGCGCTGTCATGGTTTCTTTCGTCTCTATGATGCCTTTATCGCGAGCGGGCGACAACACTCAGGTGTTTTCGGGGCGAGGCGCACCACACATTGACGAGCGAGCACGAAGAGCAAAAGAACTGTGACCTCCGCCAGGAACACCAGCTCCCACCAATCGCAACTGGTGAAGGCATTCACAATTCATGGTCGCTTCGACTACGGTACATCTACGTGCGATGCTCGGAACTAACCTGCATCAGGCTGGAAGACTGGCGCAGTGGTTGTCTAGCGCCCGATGCATCCGTCCACAGCCTCGTTCACAGCGACTCATCATCAGGACATCCACATCATCGACCGTAAGTGGTCTAGTTTCGCAATTGGGTTTCTACTACGGGCAAACATATCGTAAGCGGGGTCAAAGCTGTATGATGCGGTTCCCACTCCTGCTAAAAAATTCCCCGCTTCGGCACTGAGGTAGGAAACATGGCAATTGGTAGCGCAGGCATAAAGTGAGCAGTGTGCGCTCCACAACATGGTGTCGAAAATTTCAACAGCACGATGGTATCTCTAAAGTCGTTGCTCGTCATCACGGCGACGTTCCAAAGTATCGTAGCGATCCCACATGCTAGGCCATTCGAACAGTGGAAACGACAATCAGGCACATCAAACACTACTTCCACACAAGTGGACCTAGGATATGAGATTTATGAGGGAGTTGCAAACTCTTCAACGGGCTTGAACACTTTCAAAGGGTGCGTTTTCGTTACACGACTTGAACAATGCTATGCTAAATTGAACCAGCATCCGATACGCAGCCGCGCCTGTTGGAGATCTCCGATGGCAGCCGCCACAAAGTCCAGAGTCAAATCGCAGTGCTGTGATATCGGCCGCTAAACAAGGCCCTATATGCCCTCAATCATCAAGGGCCATGCCAGGAGCTGAGACGTCGGGAATCACCGGCAGCGAGGACTGTCTATTCTTGAATGTATACGCGCCGCAGAACGCTACCGATCTGCCTGTACTTGTTTACATCCATGGTGGCGGGTACGGTCAGGGAGCTGCCACGTCGGACATGAGTTCTATGATCAATGCGAACAATGACAGTTTCGTTGCTGTCGTTATTCAGTATCGCGTAAGTGATGTTGCGCTGCAATCCGGCATGTTTGGCTAACTATCAACACAGCTAGGAGCTTTTGGATTTTTGGCAGGCGACGAAGTGTACAGAAATGGGATCGTGAACGCCGGAATCAGGGACCAATTGTTTGCTCTTCAGTGGGTTCAAGCATACATAGAACTTTTCGGAGGCGATCCGAGTCAAGTCACGATAGCTGGTGAATCAGCAGGCGCGGGCTCAGTGATGCTGTTAGACATCGCCTACGGCGGCACACTTGGAACGTCCTTGTTCGTTAATGTGAGTACGCCTAAAACTCGTGAGACATGATCCTCTCTAACATCACAGTCCATAACTGCGTCACCATACCTCCCTCAACAGTACCATTACAAAGACTGGGTGCCTTCCCAGTCGTACTATTCTTTCGCTATGGCGGCCGGATGTCCCCCAACGTGGGCTTACGGCAACAGCTCTCAAACCATCTTCGAATGCCTTATCTCGCAAAGCACAGGGACACTTCAAAATGCCTCAGCGCTCGTCTCACAATCCGGAACATTCGGCTCATGGGCCTTCTTGCCAGTCACAGGTCCGTCTTTCTCTGGCTCTGTTCATACAGGAAGGCTAACTCATTCGCGCAGACGACGTCTTCATCCCGTCCACCCCAAGTAAAGCACTGGTCGAGCGCAAACTCAATGGCCTTAACCATCTTTCGGGAAACAACGCGCAAGAAGGCGACATCTTCACTACGCAGAACATCACGACTGAGAACGACCTGGTAGCCTGGATCCGCCTCGTCTTCCCCCTGTTCACGCAAGACGATATCGCGAAGCTGCTCTATTACTATCCCTCGTCGAACATTAGCGACTCTTCGGATGGTCTCACCGAGTTTGCGACGAACGGTACCGCAGGACCGACTTTGTTGAACGTCAGGTAAGTAACATAACCCTCTCGATCTTTTCTCTACCACAAGCTATATATATATCTACGACACACCATTTCCCCTCCTTCCAAGACACATATATACAGTACCTCTAACCCCACCAGCCAAACCGCCACCGGCCACCAACAACGCGCCCAAGCCATCTACGGCGAAACCACCTTCGTCTGCCCCAGCTACTGGCTCGCAGAAGCCTACAACGCCCGCGGCCGCACAGGCTACAAGTACCAATACTCCGTCCCTGTCGCCCTCCACGGCAGCGACCTCGCTGCGTACTTCGGTCCCCCCACCGCGAACACCGGGCCCGACTTTGTCCTCGCGTTCCAGCGCATATGGGGGAACTTCATTACCACGGGGGACCCGTCTATCTCGGCGTCTATCGCAAGTGGCAGTGCCTCGAATGGGACGAGCGCCTCGGGGCTGGAGGACTGGCCTGTGTTCGCGATGTGGGATCCTAGAATGGCGAATTTGAATCAGACGGGTGGGATGGCGGAGTCGGTCGATTTGTTTAATGAGACGGGGGTTTTGGACGGGAATGCAACTGTGTATCTTGGGCCGGGGCAGATGAATGATATCGCGTTGGTGGATGCGTATTCGTGGGAGGGTGGACGGGGGAAGAGATGCGACTTTTGGTTGAGTGTTGCGGCTATTGTGCCGGAGTGAGGGGGGTGGGTAGTGTAAGTTCTTGTAGAGCTATGTTAGTAGGTCTTTGGGTGGTCTGAAATTTTCTCATGATGCATGTTGTGAACACGACGTCACATTGTGGTCAATTCTAAAAGTTCCTCGCCACCTTCAACGGCTCTGGGTACCCTTTTTGCTCCAGCCTACGTAGTGTAGATCGACAGGTATTGGCCTATTCGCTTTGATATACTAAATCCAATAGCTTACACTACGTTTACTTCAGGTACTCAGAGTCATGAAATGGTGTTGGAGGACCTTTTATAAAGCATCGATTTGTGTTCTAGGGAAAGATACGGAAAGTGTGTACAGGTAGAAAATTTGTGGCTTGCCGAGGTAGCGGCCTGCATTGGCTCTGACCACAAGATTGCGCTTGGGGTCAGGTTCGTAGCCCTCGCCACGTACAGGCTGCAGGTCCGTCTTTGAGGGCCGCCCTGTCTTTTGTTAGCCCGCAGGCGCCCTGCATTGGCTCTGGCCACAAGATTGCGCTTGGGGTCAGGTTCGTAGCCCTCACCACGTACAGGCTGCAGGTCCGTCTTCGAGGGCCACCCTGTCTTTTGTTAGTCCGTGGGCGCCCTCACTGGGCGCCCAGGACACACCGAGAGGCAGGGAAAGTACTCACCTGAACCAGTCGTCTTCAAAGACCCCTTTGTGCGATTGACACCGTAAGCATGGCTCGAATGTCAGATCGTCCTGTGACTACCGGGCTCCCTGACCCAACTCCCTTGTTGCGACAACGATACCTATAGGCGGCTCCCACAACCGTCGCCACCCGAGCAGCGTAGCACCTTCCGCTACCCGTGCAAACGAATTCAGCGTGAGGGTCGGTCCCAAAGCACAGCCCAAGTATCATCGTCGCGGGTATGGCAGGTGAGGCAAAGCCATAGGCCAGTCATGTAAAGACCGGAACAAGGTCGTGAAGGAGAAGTCACCGAGGTGCTGAACGTACCCAAGTTACCGCAGCTAGCTCCTGTCCGGCGCAAGGATAGCTTGAGCGTCCAGTCACAGGCTGGTATGAAGACCACAACAAAGATGCCCAGGAAGAGTCGCCGAGCCGTCGCGATGAGGTTGTATCGATCGGGGGGTGGGAAACTGGGAGCTGTCGAGTCGCGACGTTGGTGTAGAGCGCAGGCAGCAGGGCGGTTTTGGTCCGGCAATTTTAAGCAGGCAGGCGGGTTACGTAAGCGGGGTTGTCACATGCACATCGTTTCGGATGGTGAATGTCCGTGCACGTGATATGTTCGACGCTGTTTCGGGTCTGGATACTTTCGAAACATCCCTTTTCTGCATGGATGAGATACCGACAACTTTTCTTATCAAATGACACGGTATTGACGTGTGTGGACGTCCCGAATGGCGTCCCGCAATGCCTCCCACGGTGAGCCAGCAGGCAGTTGCAGCAGCAGCAGTGAACTTGACGCTTCAAAACGCGCTAGCTTTATCGGATATCATATTTTTGACCAACCTCGTGTGATTTCGCCTAGCAAACGCGCTGGTAGAGCTCTACGCTGCATTCAACCGCAATCTTACGGCCCGCTGTGGCCGTACGTTTGGCATTATCCTGTTGGACGTTGCGCCTGACGGCTTAAGTTCCGACTTCCATATTCTTCATGTCACAGATCACAGTTGAGCGCAATGTCAAGCGTTCCAACCTCTTGCTTCTCCCCCCCCCCCCCGAGCTACGAGAGAAGATTTGGAACCAGGTGAGCCAATGTTGCGCAAATTGAGCATACTTGTTGACTGGTATAGCTATCACGCCAATCTCTTGTCGATGCGAGCAAAACGTGCAACGAAATTCGTGAAGACTGCGCCAAGCAGCTATGCGAGCAAGTCGGTAGAGGGTGGACGCCCGCCTTCGTCCTGAACTCTATCGGTAAAGATGTCACTGCTTGGAATGAAGATACACCCGGGGGGGGCTCGCGTACTATCACAAGTTCCGCAAGTCGACAAGGACGCTCTACCTCGAGCGTAAGGTGATGAACTCTCCGAAAGCGTTGGCACTGGTCTTCAGCATGTACAGGGATGTGAAGCTGCGCCATGTGCTCGTTCTGGACAACAGCATGTGGTCAACAGAGGCATGCAAACCCCTGAAAGATTTCCTTGGGGCTCAAGATGAACTTCAGACCGCTTGCGTACCAGTCGTCGGGTCCGCTAATGTACCAGCTGTACTAAACTCCATCATCAGCATTAGTATATCGGACGACAAACAAAAGCGGAATCTTTCAATCGTCCTCAACAGATCGAGTGATTTGGATATCGTCAAACGTCTAATAGAGGGACCAGGAAGGGAAGTAACAGATATAACCTTGTTCGGCAATCAACTTCAGGGTGCTACCATCGAAAGCTGGGCGGCTACACTTCAACATCAGGGCCTCGTCTCACCCTGCAATGTATTGAAGCTCTGGTTACATTTTTGTGATTTGAGCGGTTTATCTCGCCATCTCGACAGAGATGTCGTTGAGTCGATAGGAGTGTTCAATTGTGCGTATAACGCGCCCTCCGCGGAGGCTATGAACGAATTCCTGTCCGATCTTTTGGATCATAAGGATGCATCAAAGAGCACTAAACTCAAGGAGTTCGTTCACACGAACTTCATCGAGAACCGGGATGCTGATCAAGCATATGGAATCACCGATGCTGTTCTGTGGAAGCTCGCCCAAACCGTAACAGATGTAGTTGCCTTCACAGTGCAGAAGAACACTTCGTCATACCTGGAGCTGACCCAAGTAATCGACAGGTGGAGTGAGACTTTGCGAGTCCTTGCGTGGAATATGAAGGGCAAGCCGCTGGGCTTCGACACGATCCGACGACTAGGTATAACAACGCCCAAGCTGGAAGCTCTCGGTCTTGCATCACATCTATCAGAAGCCATCATGGCATCCACATTCTATGACGAAACCACGAGAGCAAAGGTTCATAACATTACGAAGGAATTAGGGGTAAGCTCAACATCTTAGAAAAGCAACATTTCTAATGTTTCAATGTAGGAAGCCATTATGGATGGAGGCGGTCTCAAGCACTTGCACACGCTGCTGTTCTTCTTTCCTGAGCTACCGATGAACCACAGCTTCCTTTCTACCTTGCTCGAGACTTTGACGGATGTTGTGACTATACTCAAGACTTATGAGGTAGCTATCAATGTAATATTCCTATCGCATTCTATGATGACACATCTACTGATCATGTCAAGATGTTACACGTAACCATCCGCAATGCCGCTTATCCTTACGGAGTCTACAGCTCCCACACCATGCGGATTCCTCAAACATTTTCTTGGCGCATCAGCTCAGGCCCCTCGCTATTCTTTATTGAAGAAGCGAAACTCTTGCCGCAAGAACATAAGGTCATGTTTCAGCTTGGTGGGTGTTCGGAGACGCGCGTTCACCAGGCACAAGCCCGTCTTGAAGGCCCCGAAAAGCCGCAAAGAGAACCTCAGAAAGAGCTCCGCAAGATCTCAAATGAAAACGTGAAGCGGAGACTGGAGGAAGAGTTGGATGAGAAGCGAGAGCGCAAGTGTGTTAGAGATGGAAACAAGAAGAATCAAGATGGAAGTAAGCATGGGAGAAGACCGGGTCGTAAGTGAAGACGTGAATCACTTGGGAATACCATTTTGAATTATCTTCATGCTTGCTCTTTGAAGAAACCAATCTCAAATTTTAATGCCTTTGATGTAGCATACATCGAACTGAGACATTACCCTGACTAGAAGCCATGATTTATCGCGACCTGCCGAGCCTTCTGACGTGATGTCAATCGACCAATGTACCACAGGTATGGCGTATATATCTTTTCTCCGCCCTCCGTACACACTCGGCTAGGGGTTTTCTCTCCCAAAGCAAAGACGCGGCGACGAAGAAACATTTGCGATTCGTGGGTATTCATGCCAATGATGGCACAAGCCCATGCTGCGAAGTGCCACTAGAAAGATCATGCCTTTCTCAAACATAACATCGCAACTCTTTCAACCACAGACCGACAGAACGATTCTCGCATAGCTGTACAACACATCCATCTCCACCTCACACTACCTCCCCAAGCCCCTCCCCATAAAACTCCCCACCCTCTCCCTTACAACCCCTCCCCAAATTCCCCACCGTATACCTCAGCACCTTCCTCACATCACTCATCTGCATTCTCTCGTCCCCTCCACCCTCTGTCCTCAACCTCATCCTAACCTGCAGACTCGCCACCCTCAACACATTCTTAATCGTCCTCCCATCGAGCGGAATCCTCGCCAGAGCCTCGAAGTCCTCCTCCCTCAGCTCATGCTCCGTCTGCATCGCCATCTTCTTCCAGATAAACAGACAGTGCTGCACGCTAAGCTGTTCGAATTTCAGCGTGACGTGCACGCGGGAGAAGAGTGCTGTGTCGAAGTCGCTCACGCGGTTGGTCGTGAGAAAAATGATGCCGGATTGGTATTCTAGCATGCGGAGGAGGATCGAGGTGAGGGCGTTCTTTTTGCCATCGCTGGTTTGCTGGTCGCGCGAGGCGACGAAGGATTCTGCTTCGTCGAAGAGGAGGATGGCTTCCCAGCGGGCGATGCGCTTGAAGATGAGCTCGAGTTGATCTTCGATGGGGATACTGCGGTAGCTTATGGTTTCGAGGAGGCCGAGTTCGGCACCGGAGATGTAGTAGAGAGGGCGGTGAAGGGTTTCGGCTGCGCTTTCTGGGGTGGTGTTAGAGCGGGCATGGAGGTGAGGAGGGAGGGGGGAAGGTACCTGCTGTCAAGGTCTTACCGCAACCTGGCGGCCCATGAAGGAGGAATACGAGGCCCCTGCCTTTCCCTGGGATGAAGTCATCGAATGAGGAAGAGGACGCGTGATGGCTCTCGATTATGCCGCGCACCATCTCTTTCTGCTCAGCTTCCATTTGTAGCATGTCGTAGATGTCGTCTTTCCATTTGATATTCTCCATGTCATCAACATCGATGAGGCCCCAGCATTTGAACGTCAACGAGTACGCAGGGATTGTGGCGGGTAGAGTGAGAAGATCATCGTCGGATAGCTTTCTACCGCCGTTTCCGTCACCGGCTTCTGAGCTGATTTCGAGGAGCACCGTCTTAACATCTCGAGAGGAAGAGTAGGAATAAGTGAATCGGCTGCTGTTCGGATCCTCTTTCGCTATAATATCGCGGAACTCAGGGTTCTCTAGTTGCAGGCCTGCTGGATCGACAACAATTCGTCCGTCGTGCTGAGTACTGAGTTGAGCCAAGATGATACACGATGTTAAACGGTTGGACATACCTGACGGTGCGGCTTAGTATGAAAGCTAACATTGGCCCTGTCCGGTTCATCGATATATCTGCGGCCATCGACCTCGGGGATATTCCAGAAAGGACCGACGTAGTGGCGATGACAGCCCTGACCGCGCGTGAGGTTATCATCAGTCTGCCCGAAACACAGCTCTTGATGCCTCCTTCCTCTTCTTATCAGATCCTTTTCGACTTCTTCTTTGTCTGGGTGCATGCTGAGTGGATACGCAGGAAGCGATCTAGACCATCACCAATGTCAGCATTCGTAGCATAAAGCGTCCAACATCTTACGATGACGCACCTTATATGTCTCGCACCCACGAACCCCCCAATCCTGAAGGTACGCCATACAGGCACGTACTGCTTTCCATTGAAGCTATTGAACTCAACGTGTACATTCCATATCTTAGGCTGGTCTGCGCGATCGGTCGGCTCTTCGAAGCACCCCCGTACGGTGACGCACCACAACAGAGGCTTTCCAGAAGTCTCCTTGTTCTCGAGCAGAATTTTGGAACCAATGGGGAACAACGACCAAAGGTTACTAGCGTCTATCAGACCTTCATTTCTCGCTGTCTCTAGCGAGGTAATGGTGTTCTTCATGTAATTCTTGCGGAAAGTTTCCAGAAGCTCCAACTCTGACTTGACTTCATCCGACTCGGCGTTTTGGATTGCCTCTCGTATTCTGTCTTGACAGAAGTAGAGTTCCGAGAATGGCTCGCTGATTATGATAGGGTTCTGTTCGAGACTAGTGGATGTGTAGCCTTTAGCGATATCTTTGAACGCTGTGCGCAAAACCGAAGACTGGAGCTCGAGCGTCATGGTCCATTGCTCGCCCTTGTTCATGTCGAAATGGTACATGCGGCGGAGCAGTAGCGCTATATCGCCAAACTTCTTGTCCGACGGGCCTCCTTCACCCTTTTCACGGCTTTGCTTGTCGGAAGTTTTGAACACCTCACCGAGGCTGCCATATTGATTGGAGAGTTGCGTGACATCCTCGAAATGTGTCTTGTAGCGTGTCGTATCTCCATCATCAGCGCCGTTATGTGCTTTTACGTAGTCTTGATAAAGGTCTTCGAACTCGTCATCCATGACTGAGAACCGTATATTTGTAGTGAGCGCTGTCGACCAAGGCGGTCTGGCCTACATATGCGGTAGGCTGGGGCCAGGCGACAGTGAAGATCGTGCAGACCAATTCGTGCAATGCGTCGTGATTAAGCATCGGTTGGCGTCAAACTGGGCTGCCGATTGGACTTCTCCGCATGCAAGCCCCACCGTAGATTCAGCCCCCAAATCCTCCTGAGAAGCACCAGGCCCGACACCTCAAAAGATATGTGGAGGCCGGCGGAGCCTGCGGGAACTCACTTTACTTTGTCACGATGGTTTCCGCAAACAAGAAAGTGTCGCAGCTGCAAGCAACGAGCGAGGATGACGATGTTGAGAGTTTCGAACCAGCCTCCAATTTCCACAAGCGAGAACAGTCACTGGTTAACTGGACGTTGCCGAAGCTCGATGTCGAGAGTATACAGTCGAAGCTGAACAGTCATGAGCACTTCGAGATCAAAAGCGGATACACAATGAGCGGCCTTCCCAAATTCCATGATTTGACAGCCTAGTGAGTACGCGCGATACGCCGCATTGGCAGGTTGCTTACCGTCTGCTTGTAGTGGTGCATCAGTGGATGGAGAGATGAACTTCTGGAAGAAGGAAGTAGCGCGCCTGGTCAATGTCGCCAACAACTCCAATGCCATCCTGCTGAGTGGAGAAGACGCGTGGTTTGGTGAGGCTGACGGGGACGGGTACACCAACCTGCATAAGGTCGCACTGCAGCTGCAGGACGCATTAGATATTTGCATTCACGATAACGAGTTATTGTTGCTCGAGCACATGCCGAGCCAGACAGACCACCAAAGCTACAGCAATGCGCGGAGCAGACTGTTGCGAGACTACGACCCCGAAACGGCTAAGGAGCGGTTCCAACGTCATTTGCGGCTCGACAATAACAACGATCGCTACTACCATGCACTAGTGAACTATTTGACTGCGATGATGCTGCGAGTCATGTTGCGCACGATGCGCGGAGCGTTATGGGAAGAGCATTGCGTTGTGACGATTGCAAAATTTGCTGCAAAGCTCAAGTTGCTGTTGAGTGATCTCCCCCATTCGGCATCCATATGCCTGAAGCGGACAGAGGAAGTGAGATTTCGGGCAACGCACAATGCACGCGTTCAAAGGCGTATCGGGTATGAGGGTGAGCGAGAGGACCAGGACATCTATGAGCCGGACGTCGATGCTATGAGAAAAGAGAAGGACAAAAAAGATAAGAAAGAGATCTGGCAGCCGGCTCGTGTGGATGCGGAGATGCGATACTTTATCGTGACCAAAACGTTCAACCTGGGAATTTCGCGACTTCTCCTTTCAGCGCTCGCGAATTTGAGCTCGAACGAAGACACCGAAATGTCAGCTGACGTTTTCGATACTACAGTGCTCATGTACGAGGACTACATCACCAACCGACGTTTGATCCTGTGCTCCCAACGTGATGGCACGATTGGCGCTGCGGCCGACCAGAGAGTTATCGCATCAGCCGGTGCAGCATTCAAGGTATGCTTGGATGTCTGGAAATACTTGAGTACTTCCTCGAAGGGGAACGGCATCGTAAATGAGAAGTATTGGACAATGCTTTCATGGAAATGGACCGAACTTGATCCAACGACTCTGGATCCGCAACCTGACCACATTACATCGTCAGCAAAATTAGTCACTATGAAAGGCGTGATATCCGCTTTCGTGCCTTACTCGATGGTCTGCGGTAGTTTTCCCAGTCTGTTGCAAGATCTGTCGAACAACGCATCTCTGATTGCGGATCCTACGGCACCTGTGAAGCTTGTTCGACAGAATCCTTTCTTGGCTGCTCTAGGTGTCAGAACTAGCGCGTACATGTCGCGCCGGATGGATCTCTTCAAGGACGACGATGCCTGCAATATCTCGCAGTCGTATCTCGCTCGTGAAAAAGCATTGACACGATCGGCAACAGACCCGATGTTGACCATGTTTGCGGACGAGCGGAAAGCTGTCTCGGATCAAACACTACGGTCGCAACGAGACCAGCAAAGAAGGGACATGGCAAAAGCAATGCAAGAATTCCAAACATGGATGATCGACGAAACTACGATTGTCATCCCAAATAAAAGGTATGCTTGGGGCTTCTTAGGTGGTTGTCTAGTACTTGTGCTAGGCGGTATGGCCATGGGACTATCGGTTGGTAACCGAATTGAGGGCGTCGACCCTTTGGGCTTCGCCACATATTGCTGGGTCCTCGCTGGCTTTGTTTTATTGGTCGCCAAATCGATGCGCGTGGAGAATTGGCCATGGAGTCGATTTTTTCGTGGACAGGTGGTGTGCCGATCTCTCAGAGAAGTCGTTTCGGTGACTCGGATGGACGCCCAGACCATTCTGGCCATCCTGCTGCGACTCGAACCTCGTATGAATCTAATCAAGAGAGGACCTTTCAACGCCGTTTTCTCTAAACAAGGCGCCGCAGGGTTTGCCATTGATGTGCCTTTCCGCACGTCAACCCTCATGGAAGGTGGCCTGATTCTTGTAAAGGTTCAAAGTGTGGTTGGGGATGCTCTCGTGGGAATCCGGTCGGACCTATGGACCCGGTATGACGCTATCTCTCCAAAAGGTGACAATGAAAAGACGGACAAAGTTGTATGCCGAGACTTCTTGGATCCGGGAACATGGGCAAGCAGCAGGATAGGCGGCCGAACATTTCCGTTGTATACTTTGAGCCGGTCTGATATACAATGGTTTCGGGTAGTTGGGTTGTTTGAGAAAGATGCCTTTTTCAATTAAGGCTAGAATTTATCGCAATTCGAAACTCACCTCAAAGTCATTTTGGTGAATCCTGCCTGTGGAGATTATTGCTATCAACACATGTAGCCTCGGGCATCATTAACGATCAGTCCGTCTTGACGGCAACCAGTGGGCGACATTTCGACATGGTTCACGTGTAAATGCGCTTTCGGATTGATCTTGCGCAATTCTGCATCTCGTTGGGTGTTATCCGGACGTTCAGCATATCATATTCCAGGAGCGTTCGCGGTTGGCGAGGGCGATGATTCAAGATCGCACGAGGGATGAATCATCGCTTGGATACATTCATCCGCAGCTCGTGGCGTTCACACATGCTTGTATTCAATCGCGCTTACGCCACAGCAGCTCAAAACGCGTGCAGACTCTTAGCAAGCTAGTTATAAGGCTTAGATTCAGCTCCAGATCGTCGTTGAGACATGTGGCTTTTGTGGGGTCCCCGTACCCCGGATATCCAGTCCCGCCAGTCTGGGCCGCACCAACGTGTTTAAGATGCTAGAAGTATTCGTCAAATGTGAATGTGGTATCTCAGAAGAGTTTCGACCATGTCAGTCGTCAAAATGTCGTCCGACAAGATCCCGGCGTACCATCAGGAGAATGTCGACACAATTTCGACCTCCACTCCAACCAGTGACCCAGAAAAGGTCTACGAAGACGCAGCCGTCGGTGCCAATCTTGAGCTGGACGAGAGTGCATTACCGCCTGGGTATTTCCGCTCTAAGTTCTTCGTAGGGACGATGGCAGGCATCGGGTTGGGCCTGTGTGCTGGTGTTGCAGCATTCGGATATGCAGCACCAATACTAGGTATCATCAATGCAGACATTGGGCCGGTAATCTTGTCTCGTCCTGTTTGATCGAGTCAGAGAGCTGACGCGTACCAGGATCCAAACATCACGTGGGTCGCCCTCGCCTACACGCTCACTTCGGCTGTCACCCTCACCATCATTGGACGGGTTTCCGACATTTTTGGACGTCGCTGGGTTTTTGTTGGAGGTGCCGCCCTTGGTGTTGTTGGCAGTATCATTGCAGCGACTGCGGAAAGTGTCAACACTCTCATTGGTGCAACTACCATCTTGGGTATCGCTGCCGCTACGCAACTCTCGTACTTCTATGTCATGGGCGAGCTCGTCCCCATGAAGTATCGCCTTGCTGGAAACGCTTTCTGTTATCTTTTCTGTATACCAGGATCTGGAATCGCTCCCCTCGTCTCGAACGCATTCATTGTGTACCAGCCGAAGGTTGGGTGGCGCGGCTGCTACTACGTGCTCATCGGTATCGAACTCGCGTCGTTCCTCTGCTGGTTTTTCTTTTACCACCCTCCAACGTTCCACATGAAGCATGGACAGCAAGCTTCCGTGGTCGAGTACATCAAGAAATTCGACTACGTCGGCACCACACTGTATACGGGAGGCCTCCTCATCTTCATGATGGGGCTGAGCTGGGGAGGTTCAGTATATCCTTGGGCATCCGCCTCCGTCATCGCGACCATTGTGATTGGGTTCGTTGCGCTGGTTGCGTTCGTGCTCTGGGAATGTTTTATGGACCTGAAGGAGCCGCTGGTGCCGATGCACATCTTCTCCAACTACTCCTGGAATGCGTCCGTCCTCCTGACTGGACTAGGCGCATCCGTCTACTATGCCTTTGCGATTGTGTGGCCTTCCATGGTGGCTGTTCTGTATAGCGATGGTGGAATCATGGCAAGCGCGGCCCTGTCCTCGTTCGTTGGGTTGTTCATTACAATCGGGCAGATTGTGGGCGGCTTCGTGGGTAAGAAGATCGGGCATCTGAAATGGCAATGCGTAATCGGGATCACGCTCGGAGCGATCTGCTTTGGCTCGATGGCGACGTGCGGTGTAGGCACCAAGGCGAGAGCTTCCGCGCTTGTAGGTGTAGGCGTTTTCTTCATCGGGTGGACTGAGGGTGCCGCGATCACGATCGTTACGCTTGCGGCCAAAGACCAGTTCGCGTTGGGCACATCGGCTGGCGTGGCAGGTTCGATCCGCTTCCTCATCTCATCCATCGCCTCCACTGTGTAAGTCAATCTCGATTTGCATGAGTTCCTCGGCTGACCTTTCCAGGTACTCGGTCATCCTGGCCAACCGTTTGGCAACCACTATTGCAGCTCAGGTCCCATCTGCCGTGATTGCTGCTGGACTTCCAACCTCTTCTGTCGCCACGTTCATCTCGGCGTTTTCCGTCGGAGCTTCTGCGTTCGAAGGCATCCCAGGGTTGACGCCAGATATTCTCGCGATCGGAACAAGCGCTTACCAGCATGCAAACGTAGACGCATACCGGACCGTGTTCTTCTCAAACATCGCCTTCTCTGGTGTGGCAATTATCTGCAGTTTGCTCCTCCCGAATGTAGACCATTTGCTCACGGGTCAGGTGGCCGCAACGCTGCACGAGGGACGAGATGAGGACCACATCGCGGGCGAGAAAGCGTAAGGGGCATATCGTCTTCTTAGGCAGAACTAGGCCAGTTCGTAGTTTATTGTTCCAGATTTCTTCGTTCGAGCACCCTGCGCTGGTTAAGCTGCCGCCGTGCTTTTCTTGCCCCTTCCGTGCTAGACACTGTGATTCCCTGGCGTCATCATGGCCTATCCGAAAAGCAACCGCAGGTGATATACCTAGGATACCCACTGCACCGCTCCCGTTGGCAATAAGCGAAGCTCAATAGGATGTCGAGGTCGAAGCCGTGGAGACCGGATCGACTTGAGACGCAATCGGACAAAGGTAGGAAGATCAAGAATAATCGTGAATGATGATCTCGCGTATAGACGCACCATGTCATCAGGAGACACGAGTCGTGAGAGCTTCCAGGATCGCGAAGACGTCATGTGTCTCGACGGCAGGCACGATTCTCCGAGTACTGCTGATGCTGGGTTATGGCCGCGTGTTCACCATCCCGCCTGCCGTTTGCATTGTAGTACGTGCGCTGTGTAGTCAGCCCTGACGACCTAGCCACGTCGGCCCTTGACGGTGCTCTATTGCTTTGATGCCACACTCCATGAGGCTTTAGCTCTCTCGCAGATGGCATCGTGGAGATATGCTGTGGAGATATGCTCTCGAGTGTGTACGCCGGGCAATGGCAAGTCTCTTGGCCTATGCCATACACAAACACTGGCTCCTCAACCTGAAGTCAGCCTCCAAGTTCTCTTGCGCCCACATACCCGTTACATCGCGCTCCTGCACACTGCAACCCAATTGCTGTTCATCTAGGAATCCCTCTGTGAAGGGGGGAAAGTCGACCGTATCGACTTTGAGGACCCCACGCACACAATCCTCTCAGTTGTGCGAGCCGCGCAGGTAACGCTCCTTCACCACGATTTAAAGTGGGGTACACATCTGCACGACAGAATACATAACGTCGTACGCCGTCTTCTTCAGTTCACTCTCATCGAACAAGCTCCAGCTGCTCACCTTGCTCAGATCCTCTTTGGCAGGCCGCCTCCACCGACTCCACTAGCAGTACAACATGTCGTAAGCAGCCTCTCCCAAGCATTGAGACATCTAGCTGATGTAGACCACAGTGGCCAACTCAAGACCGAGTTCCGCGACATGCAGCCTGATGTCCCGCTTCCTGAGGTTGCTGAAAAGCTCGAGAGGCCCGCTCAGCCGCACCGCAGCAGGGCGATACTGAGGCCCGCTCCGCTTTCGCTAGAGGGTACGGGCTTCGAAGAACACCCTCGAATTGGGTATGTAGTGTGCTGTTTGGCCTCAGAGCTTTGACTGACGGAGTGCAGCCCCTTCCCCCCAACTCCGCAGCACCCGACCGTACGCAAGCGCAAAACCCCACCGACGTTCATTGAGAGCCAAAAGCCCTACCACCAGCAGAAGAAGCAGCTCGCTATCGAGCAGCGCTCTCCCATCACTCCGTCGTCCAAGCGGGTTGGTGTCAGCAAGCGTACCCGGCTCGATGATCTCGAGATCACCATGAATGATCAAGGCGCGAGTAACGCGGACGAGATCCCTTTCTCATTCATGGAGCTACCGGGCGGTATGTATCTTGGTCCATCATATTCCGCATTCAGCTGACAAGTAGCAGAGATTCGCAACATGATCTATGCTTACTGCATCGACATGTCTACGAGACAAGCGCTCGTCGTCCATTTGCCCAAGACGGGTACGCTTCGCTCAAGCACTCGCAAGGCCCGCTCCGCCCCGGGTATGTATCGCGAGCCAGCTGACCCAGACAAGAGGAGGATGGCAGAGCAAGGTTCGGTCGAGGAGGCCCCACCCAAGGAGCTTGTCCCGAAGGAGTCCAACCGTCCGTTCGTGGGGCTGACCCAGGTCTGCCAGCAGATTCGCAAGGAGTTCTACGCCTCCTACATCGCTATGCAGGAGATTGGCATGGACCTGACCAATACTTCCAAGTACGTGGAGACGTTCTTCAACCCGAACGTTCCCTTCTCCTACGCGGACTCTCCCGACCAGACCATCAAGAACATGCCCTTCCGCGGCAACATCACCATTGCGGTAGCAGAAAAGATTCTGCCTATCGAGAAGACGATCGGTTGGATCGATGTGCTCCCGCTTTTGACTACGTGGGCCAACTCTGCTCACATCGAGGCCGGCTTTGGTCGTTACTCTCGAAAGGAGTACCGTCCTGAGTCAGATGGCGAGGCCAAGGATATGTGAGTACTTCTTTTGTATTTCATCGGTAATAATTGCTGATCAGCGGCCAGGTACCGTCTCTATGGCCGCAAGGTACTCATGGATCGCACTTGCACGGAGATGAACAAGATGTGGCGCGTCGTCCTACGCAATCGCCACCTGGCCGCTGTCCGCATCCATCGCCAGGCGGGCACATACCCCAAGCCATACTTTCATCTGATCTGGAAATACGAGCACCGCGAGCCGTGGATGATGGGAAAGCACTCCCCTATCCCCGGCATCGCGAATGTTCGCGCTACGCCTGGTAGCTGGCTGTGGGCCCTGGGCTTCGATCGCATGGAGCACTTTGACGTCCGGGTCGGTGTCGAGGAGCATCCCGGCGAGTTCCTCTTCTCCAGCTAGATCTAGCTGCTCTGCTTCGTCTTGCCTGGTTGCCTTCATGGAAAAGTGCTTCAGCCGTATCTCTAGCATGCTTCGCCCACGGAAATCACGCCGCCTTATCCGAGTGTTGAAGACGACCAGAGGTCGACGGCGCCGCCTTCTTATGGTTGTTGACGTGATCGTATCGGCTTCAGGCACGCTACGGTCGACGCGCTCCCCTTGACTTTCTTTGGACGAATCTACGGTTCGATCGGTAGAAGTTGGAATCTTTTTGAATATTCTTGCTGAACATAGCGCTTGTATTAATTTGGACTGACATTTTGAGCTCGTCTTAGCGATAAACCTCACGCCTCTTAGGGCGTCTACGCGTGGCGCTTGGAGCTCTCACGCGACTCTGGATAACACAACCAATTGCATATACTGTTCCATTTCATTGGCCCCTTGCGTGTTGTTGATGTTCTCTTGCCCTGTTCTCTTTCGAATTGGCCGGTGCCCGGTTGCTGCTGACGGTACATTTGGTGTTGGGACAAACCGACATTGGTGCTGATCGGGCCCAAGGTGAATTAAGCTTTTGCAGCGCGGCCTCGCATTTCCAAAAGTAGGAGGCGAGATTGGCTACCGGCGCTAGCACAGCACGCACCCCGACAGCGATCTTCGCCAACAAGGCCGGCCTTCGTTACTGCAACCCAAATGCGACCTCCAGGCGTTGCGATCACTCCTCGTCCTTCGGAACCAAGCGATCGTCATCAGATTCGCGACTGCAAGCGACCCCGCTCCGCGGGACTCGTTTGGCACGCGGGCACTAATGAAACGGACACCGCATGACAAGGCGCCGCCGACAGCCCGTTCATTCATCGCCACGCGACGCGTCTACGCATCACCATGGCATCAACAATGCAATCACAGACAACGGGCCGCTCCATCGTACGAGGGTTGCTGTTGTAACGTCGGTCTCGAAACGTCTCAGAGCTGGCGCGCTCCTTGACCGGTGAGGTCATCGACTAGGGTTTGGACCTGTTGACCTGTTGCTACCCCAGCCCGTTCTGCCTCCTATACGACATTATGGAACCACCGCCAAGGATGCACTCTCGTTCTTCTCGCTCGGTGCACTCGACACATCATTTCTCCGACACCCCATTGCGCTCTGTAAGAGAACATTGGGACGACATGTCTTCGCGTCCAAAGAGCATGTCCGACTTCCAGTCGCTGCTTGACGCGTCTACCCCGCTGAACGGGCAGGGCTTGCCTCGAAAGAAACCCAGCATTTCTCTCGCTGCAGGCCTCATGATGACGAGCGACAGTCCCAGGAGCTACAGCATACCAGACACTCCCGCACTGGCACGACCAGCGTCCGCCGGCCGTCCATGGAGCGAGAACCTGTTCTATGCGTATGCGCAGAAGGTATACACTGCTGTACCCAACCCTTTTGTTATTATTGCACCTCTTGCTTGGGACGGTTGAGCTGACAGTGCTGCTTCACAGAGTGACTATGCGCAATCCGCACCGTTCATCCTGACCTTCGCCTCCGCCCTCATCGCTGAGCAATGGTGGTCCCTCGTCCAGCGCGAATACCCCGATTCGACGAGGCCCGGCCCGCAACTCTTCATTCTCAAAGGCGACGACATGCAGGAGCAGATACAGGACAACCCTAGGTTCTACGATCTGCGAAACAGCTGGTTCTACACGCCCAGTGACGGTGCGACAGCCCCCATCCCACTACAAGACTACCGAGGAAACCCCGTTACGGCACCTGCACCTCCTCAAGAGAAGGAAGAGAGAACAGATACCGGAGGGTTTGACTTGAAGGGTCTCGAGGCGACGTTGGAGAAGATGACGACCATGATCACGGAGAACACAAACTCTATCCGTGCCCTTTCCGTTGCGCAGTCTACGGGCCTCCAAACTATGCAGGAGATCAACGAATCCACCTCTACTCAGATCAAAGCGCTTGCAGACAACCAAGCCGCGCTTCAGGCCATCGTCGACCAGAACGCCTCCCACTACATTGCCCTGTCTAACTCCACCTTCAACACCCAGTCCACCATGCAAAACGTGCTCCAGTCCAACGCCAAACAGATTGAGAGCCTAGCAGAGGGCCAGAAGAAACTGGTTGCAACCTGCACGGACATGATGCACAGCGTTGAGAAGGTCGGCGTGGCAATGAAAGAGGTTGGCTCGGATTCGGCCAGCAATGCGAGCGTCATGCGGGAGACGGAGAAGAGTCTTGGGACGATTGTCAATCGCATCCAGCCTCCGCCGCGTAAATTGAACAGGAGAGTCAAGGGTGTGTGGTATGAGTACGATGATGGATCAGACGGTACTGCTCGGCTATCGGTGCCCATGTCGCCGCGGAAGAACGTCACAATGCTCGATACGCCGCCGAAGAGTCCATTGAGCGTGAGGTCGACATGATTGAAATGCGAGACTATGTTGTATGATTACGATAGCGCATGCGTACGGCGTCCTTGCGAAAATTGGGAGCATATATGGGTCGAATTTTTGTGTATTACATACATCATAGTAATTCTATGCATAAGGAATTGTCATTCTAGGTAATCAGGGCCAGTCTCATTCCAATCCTCGAGCGATCCGAGTTTTTCCCCACGTGCTTTGATTACCTCCCCCTGAGGGCTGCATGAACTAGAGCTAGGTACACCAGTGCTCAGCGGGATTGGAGAAGCGCAGCGGGTGGCATTCCAGCCTGTTACTGGCTAAGCCATCAACAATTGAGCAGCCGGCCGGTATCCGAAACTCCCAGATACCTGTGGTGTTCACGATGCCAGAGGTGTTGGGTTACTTACGTGCCAATCGCTTGCAATCCACAGCAGCGTTCTGACGTTCTGACACTCCTTCTGACATAATCGGACGAATGCAAACACACACGCAGCATTGCGCTCACCTCAACCACAACATGGGCGATGCAAGTGGAGTCCTATCGCGCGACAGAAATAACAACGATGTATTTAAACCTCACACATTGTCTCACAATATTATTTATCAGTCATCTCTACTAATCTCGCTAACCCTACTACCACTCCTACTACCACTCCCACTTCCACTCTGAGCATGCCAAAGACAATCCTCATCACAGGCGCAAACCGCGGTCTCGGTCTCGGCCTCCTAAAACTCTACCTCCTCCTTCCAGACCACACCGTCATAGCCGCGGTCCGCAACCCCGCACATGCAAGCAGCACAGCGCTCTCGTCTCTCCCCACAGCCGAAAAAACCTCCCTCATCACCGTCAAGCTCGACGCTACCGTCGAAGAAGATGCCTCCGCCGCAATTCGAATTCTGCAAGAGAAGCACGACATTCAGAGGTTAGACGTTGTCATTGCCAACGCGGGAGTAAGCTACGTGTGGCCTAAACTTAAGGATGTGAAGATCGAAGATATGAAAGGCCACATGGCGCCGAACGTGTACGGCGTGGTGTCCTTGTACCAAGCTACGCGGGGGCTTCTTGAGAAAAGCGTCCAACCTTCTTTTGTCCTGATGGGCAGTCAGGCGGGGGTGTTGTCGTGCGTTTGCCATCTCGTTCCATCGCCCACCTACTTCTCCTTCGCCACTTCTTGCCTTATTTTCTATCTATGGGAGAGCGAACTGACGATTGTAGGAACTTACCGCCCGTTCCCAACGCCGCGTACGGCCCTAGCAAAGCTGCGGCGCACTGGTTGATTGTTCGCTTGCATGCTGAGGAGGAGTGGCTTAATGCGTTTGTGCTGGATCCGGGGTGGGTGCAGACGGATTTGGGGCAGGCGGGGGCGAGGGGTTGGGGTTTGAGAGTGCGCCCTGTAAGTATTGTTACCTTGCTTGTTATCATCTCGGTCGCTGCGATATTGTGACACTATACTGACCTGGGGATAGTGACGGTCGAAGAGAGTTGCAAGGGAATGCTCGAGAGATTGGGAGAGAGCAGTAGGGAGAAGCATGGGGGGAAGATGGTTGTGTGGAGTGGGGAGATTACGGGGTGGTAGGTGAGGTGACGCCGCACTCCACGCCTCACCCTGAGTGAAGGGAAAACATTGAAACTGTGCTGTCTATGATGTATAGACCGAATGATTTCCTGGCGCACACTTCCTCAACGGTTTGTACCACGCCCTAGAGAGATGTACCTCCGACACATTCACTCCTTCGCGTTGACCAAATTAACCGCCCCCTTTACAATCTCATCCAGCGTCACCCTCGGCAATCCCAACTTCCCGTTCCACACCTTCTGCTCCTTCTCAAAGTCATATCCCACATCCACATCCCCCACAAAGCTAATCGCCAGCAGCTTATACGTCGCTTCAAACTCGCCCTTCTCGAACCTCTCCTTCGCAGCTTCGATCTCCGGCCCCGACTTCCTCTGCTCAAGTGCGAACTTCTCCCCTATCTGCCGCTCTAGAGCGTGTACGATTTCGCGCGGCGTAGTGACAAAATCAGACAGAAAGATCTGTTTATTCGCAGTCGTCTCAGGACCTTGCAAAACGCGTGCAACGGCGAGACCGGTGTTCGCAAGGGTCGTAACGCTGAACCTTGCGCTTCCCGAATCCCAAATCATCGCCTTCCTCCCCTTGACGTCGATGCCTAGAAAATTCCCAGATTTGGGGGCGTCAAGCGCCCAGTCGAGCGGCGAGCCGCACGCGATAGACGTCCATGTTAACGCGCCGTTTGAAGCTTCAGCTTTCTGCATGAGGTATCTGTTCCACGCAGAGTGAGCAAAGCTATGGCGAAGACCGTTTCAGGTGAGAGGGAAACACTTACCGCAGCATATCGCCCTTGAGCTTATACACAGGCGCCAACTCCGCCGCCCTTGGGTCGAGATTATTCGCCCCGAATTCAGACGGGATGAGGCGTTTTACGCCTGCAGCGAGGGCGGCGTCGATGATGCGGTAGGCGAGGTCATCTTTTGTTATGGCGGTGGTGTTTATGGCGGAGACTACGGCGTCTTGGCCTTTGAAGGATTCTGTCAGTTCCGAGACGGTGAACGCATCGGAGATGGAGATGACGGGGATGCCTGGGGGAAAGGTTGAGGCGGAGGTGGCGCGCGTGAGGATTGTGACGGTGAAGGTGGGTTCGGATAGGAGGGCGGTTAGGATGGGGCGCCCGAGGGAGCCTGTGGCGCCGAGGAGGAGTATGTTTTTGAGAGGATTTGGGGTGGTCATGGTGTGAAGTGGAATTCAAGTTGAAGTGAGAATGGCAAGTGATGATTTGAGTATATGAAAATGCGTCGGGTCAATGATGCAGGTGAAGAGGTGTTGATTGTAAGTCTGTTTGAGCATGTTCAGGATACAAATTGCGATACCTTTATATACTTAATTTGTTGACTCTGCGATTTCTCATCTTGACCATGAAGTTGTATTAGTCTACGCTCTTCGTGAAGCTGGCGATACGACCAATCACGTTGCTTCACTGTCCTGCAATGCCATCGGCCGCCGCTAATGCGAACCCGGTCCGAACCCGGTCAATTAATCATCACGGGCAATTTTGTACGCACGGCAGCGGTTCCGCGCATTCGTGTATCACAAAAGTCGACTAATCATCTCGCAGTAATCATAGTCGATTTGTCGCGAGCATGAGTATGCGCGTACTGTTTATCCTTAGACACATGTGACAGGCTTAGAAATTAGAGGTTGTGAATACCACTCGGGCCGAGTCCTCACGGTCCAGCGAAGGGTATTTGATGCTCGAGCCATGGAAAAGTTAGCTCGCTGGGACTCCGCGGCAAGTTCCATCTTGTAATAGGGTATCAAGGTTGGCAAGGATAAATGTTCACGACAGCATGCTGACGAAAAATTGATGAGCCAATGTCAGGACCAGGTGGGCACTAGTCTGCCCGATGACGAACAACATGGCTCGGAATACCGGTCCTTGTTTCATGCCATAGGTATCTACTGCTTGTTGATTCTATGCTGCACTTCGACTAAGCTCCATCTTGTCTTCCCCATAGAAGAAGAAACCTATCTGATGCTATTTGACGGGACTGCGGATATCAATTGCATCCAGCGACCAGCTTCTCAGACAAGTCAAGCGTGCAGTATAGCATGGCGCCCCAAAACCAAGTCAGCTCCTTCTGTACTTGTGCTAACTTTATGAATCGTACAATCGTACTAAGGAGTCTGATAAAAATGGTGTTGATTGAACCAGAAACATCGAGGACGACAGCGAGACCGAGATGCCACAATGTCTCCCTCCAGATCGATGCCAATTTCATGTAATCCGAGCTACAGATATATTCTGCGCTGAAAGATTCATAACCTTTTGAATCTACCAGGCCTAGAGAATGAATGTCCTGATCGCCGTTTCCTTGGGCTCTATAACAATCGAGATAATGCCCCCGGAAATGATGACACCCCCAACGAATCGGCAGGACGAACAAGATTAGGTGCTCAGATTGCTCGTAGCATTCGGAGTGAGGAACGGCCACGTCAGGGAACCAAAGCTATCACCGGGCCTACCATTTCTGGCCCACGCTCCGTAAATGGCTATTCCCGAGTCTAAAAGTACCACTCATTATGCGTCGTATACGAAGTCTTCTTCCGAGGTTGTTGGGTAAAGTGCCGGTTAGAGCGCAAGTTACGCAAAATGGATAGGATATCGTGGGTATTGTAAACGTTTACACGAGAATGCCGCACGAAGAACCTCTTGTCCGATCACACCCTTAGGCCAAATCGAAGAGCCACAAATCCCTCTTGAACCCTTTTGCCTTCATTATCTCCCCGCAACACCAACACCTTACGCTATGAGTGACACAGTGGAAAGGTTGGCCGTGGTACAACCAAAATCCGAGTCTTTGAATCGTGTACGTAAGAATATCACATCGGAAACATCGTTTGCAGTCTCATACGTTCCAGGTCAAAGACCTATTTACGACGCTTGCAGAAAAAGTCATTGCAAACGAGAAGGGATGCGATGAGTACACGGTCTGGGTCCAGACAGAGTCCCCGACAACACCAAATATCATTATTCATGAACGGTTAGCTAGCTGGTGCAGGATGAATTTCCACTACTGTGTTGCTCACAAGATCAAGGTACTCTAGTCAAGAAGCATTCGTCGAGCATTTGAAGACACCATATTTTCTCGAGTTGGCTACCGCCATGGCAACTGAGGATTTATTGAGAGAGCCACTGACTCTGGAGGAGTCGGCTGTAGCCAGACTGGCTGGGCGGTAGGCATTTGAGATAGCAGGAGTCAGAAGTCCAATATATGCACATTGTCCTGCATCGTGAAGTACATCCATGAAATTATTCCTCATACAGTGAATTTCTTTCCTGTTAGCTCCTCTGTCAATTGCCACAGTTTCTCTGCCTTGTTCTTGTCTTTGGCAAATGGCTGGACATCAGTGACTTGGCAATCCTCAAGATAGGCTCCCCCGCTCTCTGGAGATCGTTAGAAAACAAAAGTTAGATCCCAAGGATTCGTGGTTTGTAAAGCGTACCTTTCAGCTTCGCGTCAAGGGCAGCGACAAGCATCGTAGCTATACCCTGAGTCGCAGTCTTCACCGGGAGCATACTCAAGATGCCTTTCACCGCCTCTGTTGGCATCTCGCGCCAGAGATCCGTCTCGATCACTGGACCACGTTAGTAGATGCGTCAACAACATACCACTATATGACTCACCTCCAGGCATAACGGATATGGCAGTTGCATTGCTTCCCTTGAGTCTATCTGCCAATTCGAGAGTGTAAAGCATGGCAGCCGTCTTGGACTGGCCGTATGCGACAGGAGGTATGTAGCCCAAGCCGAATGGAATTCCGAACGCCGCACAGGCTTCCTTCGAGGGCTGTTCGTCCTCCGGGAGATCCTTCACATCGTCGAAGTTGTAGTCGGAGAACCGGAAAGGCGAGAGGGCATATCCGTTGCTCACGACGTTCACAATTCGCCCAGCATTGCTCTTCTTGATCTTGGGCAGGAGGCTGTTCGTAAGGAGTGCGAGCCCGAGGTAGTTGGTTGCGAGATGTAGTTCGAATCCATCGGCGCTCAGCCTTCGCTCGGGGACGTTCATCACACCTGCATTGTTGAAGATGATGTCGATGCTGGGCTCAGCGAAGCCATTGATCTCCTCGACGGCTTTGGCAATCGATCCAAACGAAGATATGTCGAACAGGACAACCCGAACTTCAACTCCCGGGACTGAGATGTCCTTTGCGACGGCCTCGACTTTAGAGGCCGTACGGCCGGTTAGGATCAGAAGCTTGGGTTTCTCGGTGGCCAACGAGTGTGCGAGTGCCGCACCGAGACCGTTGGGGCTGACGCCAGTAATGAGGACTGAGACAACTTAGGAACATGTTCATGATGTTTCTCGAACGGTGTGCTTCAGCTTACCGACTTTGCCTTTCACTCCCGCTGGGAAGGCTGCCAATACCTCACCCGCATCAGTTTTTGCTCCAAACTCGCTGTGTGAGGCCATGTCGTTAGGTGTATGGTGGCTGTCGTGGTTCAAGTGTGAGTCGTAGGATGTGCTGTTGGTGCAGCCTTGTCATGAGTGGAGGATAAGGACTACAGAGTGGCTGGCGCTGACAAAGGTGGTAATCATCAAAACATGTGATGTACACGGCAGTAAGAGATTATTATCTCCGATTCGTCCTTCTACATGCTGTGTCACATAAGACTGCAAGGCGTTCGCTTTGTTCTGTGCGGCGTAGCTCGGCTCTAAGATACGCTCGCGTATAGTTGAGGGTGAATAGAGAGCTGATCTACGCATATCAAGTCACGAGATGCGTACCTTTCATCATGCTTAGCGCTTCTTGGCGGTTCGCCTTCCACATTGCACGTTTGAGAGATCTGCTCCCTCCTTCACCTCTCTTCCTAATAGGCAAGTTCCGACCGAGCAACCGGTCAGATACTAATCCATGCTCTCGGGGAGGTTGTCTGTTGGACCGTGGCTGTATCCGTCGTGAAGCAGGCGACAGGGCATGACCGCCTTATATCTCGGTTGCACATCGAGCGGTAGAATACGCAAGTACGAGATCACTTTTCCAGTCGACTGAATCTGCAACAGCAAGATGAAGGAACTGATTATTCATGAAGGGCCGCGAGTGGAGCAGATCAACAGCCCGATACCAGTTCCCAAGGATGATGAGATCGTGATCGAAGTCGTTGTCGCCGGGTGCAACCCGAAGGACTACAAGACGTACTGGGTGCCCAAACCCATCAATCAAGGCGACGATATAGCGGGAGTCGTGCATCAAGTCGGTCTCAAAGTTCTCGAATTTCGCCCTAGCGACCGCGTCTTCGCACTCCATCAGATCCAGGCTCCACACGGCGCCTACGCCGAGTATGCTGTGGCAAGCGCTGCAACAACAGCTCATTTGCCACCAGAGACTTCATTCGAAGGTGAGAAAGTCGTCCCATTGTGGGTTAGATCTGTAGCTTATGCCGATGGCCTACAGAGGCGGCCACGATACCCCTGGCAGCCATAACGGCCGCCCTGGGGCTATACCGAACCCTAAGCCTGCCTCCACCATGGGCGCCACGCACGTTGCCCGGTCCGCTTTTGATTTATGGCGGGTCAACAGCGGTAGGGGCGTTCGCTATCAAGCTGGCAAGGGCTGCAAATTTGCATCCAATCATGGCCGTGGCCGGTAACGGGCTTGGCCTCGTATCATCGCTGTTGGACTCAGCTGCAGGCGACGTGGCGCTCGACTATCGTAACGGGCCGGAGCAGCTGCAGCGGGATATCGGCAATGCGCTGACTGCATCCCATGTGAAGGCGGCCCATGCCGTCTTCGACGCCGTTTCGGAAAACGCCTCGTGGGATGCATGCACACCGTTTTTGATGGCTGACACACCGCTGGCTACTGTCCTCCCATACCCTGAGACAGCACATCTACCCGGCGGCACTGCGCAGGCACAGCTCGTTATGTCTGGAGATGTCCATGATGTGTTTGGTGTAAAAGCTGGCGGGCGTGATTTTGGCTATGTCATGATGCGTGCCTTCGCCCGCGGGCTTCAGGAAGGTTGGTTTTCAGGCCATCCCTTCGAAGTGGTTCCAGGTGGTCTGTATGGTGTGCAGAGCGGTCTGGAAAGATTGAGCAAAGGCGAGGTCAGCGCAAAAAAGCTTGTCTATCGCATTGAAGAAACGACCGGACTCAGGGCATCAAGCTAATCGCACACGAACATAAATCTATCATTCAAGAGCTTTCTATGAGTCTAACGCGTTCTTCGAGGTTCCTTCTACCTTCTTCCAGCCTCAATGCTTCATTCAGCACCTCAGCAACCCGAGTGAAGCTCGGATCCGAGCTTGAATCCGGGCACATTCTTTTGGAAGATACCCTTCGGATCGTATCTCTTGGACACCGCCCGTAAGCGAGGCAGGCTCTTGCCGTACCCGTACGTAGCAATGGGATCTTGTGCTTGACCGGCATCGTTGAGGAACTTCCAAGGATAGTACAGTCCACGAGCTTTCGCGTCTTTTTCCACGGCAGCAATTGTGGCTAGCTCCCATTTCTTAATCAGTGGGTCCAGGGTTGAGTCGTACCAGTTTGCGTAGTAAAGCGCAATGACGAACGGACCCTGCGCAGGATCCAGGTCGATAGCATCTCCACCGTTTTTCTGCGCGGCCTTCAAGTGATTGACCGTTATTGGCTGCACAGCAGCACCAACTGTAGCATTGACGCCGCTCAGGATAATATCTGCCTGCATGCGCATGTGATGGTAAAGCATATTCATAGTCGGCGGAGCTGACTTGACAGCGGTTACGTAGAATGACCAGCGACGATCGCGCGCTGCGTAGCCAGAAGTCGTGGCTACCACACTAGAAAAGTTCTGCACCGAAAAACTTCCAGACGTAATTGGTATCGATGTCAGGTTTCGCAGCGCTTCAGGGTTTGGGTCCGAGCCGTTGAAGACGAAGACAGTCCCTGAGTTGTTTTGACCGGTCAAGGGACTGTATCCAAAGTTTGGCATTATAGCTGCCCTATCATCCTCGGCGCCTCCGCCAGGTAGAATGAAAGCCGTCTGCGCATCGAGGTATCTTTGCGTATCGTTGCTGGCCCAGGTGACGGTGCCACCAAAAACCTTGCCGAGAGGAATCGCCCTGAGATCGTATCGCGTGATAATGCCAAAGTTACTGGATCCACCTTTCAACGCCCAGAACAAGTCAGGAGCTGATTTGGCGTTCACGTTGATCAGGGATCCGTTGGCCAGAGCGACTTCGTAGTTGACCACGTTGTTAGCTGCCCATCCATGGACACTCGAGAAATAACTCAAACCGCCACCAAGGAGCAGGGAACTACCAACGCTAGATACGCGGCCTCCAGCAGTAGTGAACCCGTACTGTTCGAGGAATGAGTACACTTCTTCCCAACGAAACGCTGGCCCAGCACGGAGGTAGTCAGCGCCGTACGGATTGGGGGTGCGGACAAGCGTCTTCTCGTTCAGGTGCGTCGTGGCTACCATAACGCCGTTGTCCAATGAAGCATGCCCAGTTACCGGCATGTGGCCACCGCTGCGGGCCGTGAATGTCACATTGCGCTTCACAAGCTCTGAGACGCCTTGGGCAAGATTGTGCGCCGTGAAGGGTTGGAAGATGCAACCGGGTTGCAGCCAGGCGGCCTGGTCCCAGAAAGCTGACACACAGAAAAGTCAGAAATTAAAAGCGTTGAACCAGAGCATCGGTTTTAGTCGACGAGTGAGGAAGAGGATTGAGCATGAGGGTAAAGAGCTGCATAGTGTCTTACCTGTCGATTCAACGGTATAGTTCTCGGTACCAGGGAAGAACACTTGGCGAGGAAATGCATGCAGGAGGGCACTGCATGCAGTATGCGTCTGCGATGTATCGCTCTTGAGGCACACTGATCTAGGATCCCTGCTTGAAACAGCCCCAGCAAGTGATCCCAGCAACATCAACTTGAAGAAAATCATTGTAGCGGAAAGAACGACAACACTAAAGAGACCTGCGACGAGCGACAATTCTTTCTCCACCGCACCCAATCCAACTTTATACTTCCGCTCATGGCGCTATGGACTCTTCCTTCGTGGCTTGCAACTCGTGCTTTGGCCAAATTTTGGCTTCAGTCGTAAGCTAGAAGGGGGCCAACAAGCCATATCTCACAGTCCATGACGCTGAGGCGGCTCGTTCTTCTCGTGTCTCGTATTACTGCTACGCCACAAGGTCACGAGGCGCAAGGAGCTGATACACAGTGACCCACAAGGCTGACATCAGCATCTTCAGCCTGATAGCGTTGAGCAAAAGTCGGAAGTTCCCTCTTCCAGCGGATAGATAAGAGTACATGGGAGTCCTTCAATGTCATATCACGCCCTGAGCCACGCGTTCGGCCGAGCCAGGTCCCAACCACCATGGACACTCATTGTTTTTGTCAGCAAACGTTGCTGCCTTCATACATGGATGCAATCCTTTGGTACGACAAGTGACGAGATACACGCTACAAACGGTCACCACGTTCAGTGAAGTGGACCCTGTAGCTTGCGCCACAATCTCAATTTGTATCTGACTCTATACCGGATCCCTCCTATGGAAGACCTGTGATTGGACTACTGCATGAAAATGCTCCTCAATCTTCGTCAAAACGGCCAACTGGGTGGGCCATCCTGCCGAATGTGCAATCATCCTGAACCGTTGTATTAATTCGCGCGTTGCCTTAGTCTGTAGCGCGGTCAAAGTTCGCATCACGTGGGTCCATTCCTGACCGGTACGAATGTCAAACTGTCCGAGCTTCCCTTTCCCAATGCTCGCGAATAGATGCGATTCATTGCAGAGCTCCAAAGACTCCACTAGCTTCTCGCAGAGTATCAATGGGAGCATCATGGAAGAAGACCTGACCGAGCAATATTCGCATGCCAGGACTGAGTGACCTTGTTGGGTCGTCTGACGCTGCAATTCCAGCAGGCTGTCGATAGAGCTGTTCTCGCCGTCTTGTCGACGCCCTTCCCAGACTTCCATAAGTCTGCATGATGTTTCAAGACATTGACAAGGTTGACTGAGCATTTTGGGTAGCGGCCGTGCTAGGGAAACCATTCCGTGATTTGTGCAGGGCCGACTTGATGGTGCGCTGCTTGCAGGGGAAAGCAGAGGCAACCGTACAACCTCGATGTCTTTGTTTCGAAAATCGTCCGCGCTGTTTGCTGCAAGGATACCGGTCATGGCATCATCGTTGTGCGTCTCTTCATGTCTTGATGATGTCTCACAGAGAGCGAACGCTGACGTTGCAACCCCCTCTTTCGGAATTGAAATATCGTCCCTCAAGATAGGAAGCTCAGCTTGTTCTTGGTCAAGCGAGGTCATCTCCACCGACGTAGAGAGCAGCCCCAGCGGAAAATCCTCGGGGAAGTCCACAGTCGATCCAAACTCGTCAAAATCTGGCCAGGTATCGTAATCCAGTAGATCAGAGTGATCATTATGACCTTCCACCAGCCCGTCCACAGCACCTTCAGCTGGTGTGTACGTATCGAGTGAAGTGAGGTTGAAGGGCGTTAAACTGTTATTAGTGCTCGCATGTTCCTGTTCTACGGCAGGACTTTTTTCAGCCTCCCGAGGCTCTGCGGTGGGTGAGATTGTAGCCGTAATACCGCCACCCGCTGCAGGTTTCTGAACCCCAGTAGCAGCCCGTCGTCGTCTGCCCTTTGGCATGGTGGGGTACTGGCAGTCGATGCCTCTGCTAGAGCATCGTTTGCAAGGCGTTTCTCCGCTACAACGAAGCTAGATCGAGGTCAGGCAATGGAAGGAGACTGCGAAGGACGGTACCTTGTTTTACCTTCTTCGAGCGGCAATGCTCACACGCGGAGTGATGCATTCCACCACCTTCTTCGCTGGCAGGTCGGTGACTATAATCTATTATCCCATCTTTCCCTTTGTTCAAGTTGCAGCGCAAAGTCGAGAACATAGCTAAGAGTGGCAAGGTAGATGAGAGTGAGGAGCCAATTTCATGAACCAACTGCTTCTTGTGGGGATGGAGAGGCTAAGACGATTTACCGTATACAATACGTAGTATATGCAGATACCATTTTTCTTGGGGTACAACACACATACACGAGCGTAGACGTTGGCCCGCGATTCGCTTCGATGCGAGCGATGCGAATGGATACATGCTGGATCAGCATACATAGGTGGGTACATCTGCAACAGTCTCTATTCCGTCGAACTATCAGTAACTATCATGTCCCAAGAGTGACTTCTTCCTGGCTTCATTATAAGCTTGCTGCGTATGTTAGCACTTTATTGGTGTTCAAGACGACCCTCTACCTTGATCTTAAACTTTGCGCCATCAAACGGGACTAGCGCTTAGTCGTGCATGCATCATCAAAATTGAAGGGTAACTGCAGCCGACAGTAAATGGCATCTCACTACCTGCAGGAAGACAATGTGGTGCGGACAAGCATGTGCGGAGATATCTCGTTCATACTGACCATGGTATGGTAGGTATCGCACTCGGGGACGCGTCCTATGGGAAAGACCGGTTCGTCGCCCGCGTAACGCCACTGCAATACGCAGTAGATAAGAGCGCTCCCGTCTCACGCAAGCTTCCAGGCACACCAATTCAATATGTCTCTTGCCGGCAAGTGTATCGTTATTTCCGGTGCGGCTTCTGGTATAGGCCAGGGCGTTGCGAGGCACTTAGCCACCCTCGGTGCGCATCTCTCCCTAGCAGATATCAACCTCGAAGGCCTTACTGCAGAGGCGGAGCAAATTCGTGCTGCCGGCAACGCTTGTCTCGTGCACCGAGTGGACGTCCGGAAGCGGGCTGATATCGATGCGTGGATCCGATCGACAGTCGACACATTTGGACGCCTAGATGGTGCGGTGAACTGTGCAGGGGTAAGTGTTGTACAAGCTTATTTTCTTTTGCCGCCCCGTTCCTACACTTCACCCCACGTAGTCTCAGCCAGCATGAGCTGATCTTTGTAAGCAGATATTCTCCAAAACCGGTGACAGCGATCCAATAGCTTCAAAGGCGGATGATGAGTGGGATACCGTCATCGACATCAACTTAACAGGCATGTTTCGCTGCTTACGTGCACAATTGGCTGCCATGAGTCCGGGAGGCAGCGTGGTGAATCTCACTTCCACTGTGGGTATGCAGGGTTTGCCGTTTGCGGCTCCGTATTGCGTGTCGAAGCATGGTGTCTGTGGAAGTCGATGCCTTACGTCCCACTCCCGCTAATTTCTAGACAGATTATTGGGCTCACAAGGACCGCTGCTAAGGAGTGTGCCAGCCGTCGTATTCGTGTGAACGCGATCGCTCCGGCTACGATCGACACGCCGATGCTCGGACCGAACACAGGTCGGAGCCGAGATGAGATGCTAGCTGAGATTGCAGGGCATACTCCGATGGATAGATTGGGTACTGTGGAGGAAGTGGCGAAGACTGCGGCGTTCCTGCTGAGCGCAGATAGCTCATTCACCACCGGGGCAGTGTATACTGTGGATGGTGGCATGACTTGTTAACACATCAAATCAGCTTAGAGCATTGTTCGCACTTCCTTTGGTATCGTGATTCCATACAGTTTGTTCTACGACCGATCATTTTCATCTGTTTGATTGGAGAGCTCCAAGTGCTCTGCATCCAGGTCTCTATCGATTAGGAAACACCGAATATGTGAGATTCATAAGCCGCCAGACATAGGCCTTTGGTCCCAGATTCGTGGTGCGTGACAGTTTCAACGATAAAACTTCTGGCTATCACGAGGTCAGCCATATCTTCACTAAGACACTCCGGAAACAGTGCCTCACAGCTTGACCTGCGAGCCATCCTCCACGAGGTACCCAGGATGCAACCTAACCTTACGCACTATGGCATTGTTCTTTGCATTGCAGTAGGTCATTTTGAGATGTTCGCAGCCATGTTTCCACTTACTCATGAACAAAGTGTTTTCTCTACACGTTGTGTCATATGGTGTACAATCTCTACTTCCATCCATTGGCACGGTTTCCTGGTCCTTTCTGGGCCCGCTCGACATTAGTATGAGATCCCAACATCCACAGAGTTCTTGATCCCTCTTACATTGCCATATAGTTGTGGAGAATCTTCCATACTATGAAGGGTCGTTTCCACCGAGCAATTGACCAGAAGCACAAGCAATACGGTGGGTAGTTTTTTCAGCAAAGCATACCTATCTCACTGGCGATAGGTCCAGTTTTTCGAGTCGCTCCAAATGAGCTATCCTTCGCATCCGTTTCGTCCTGGAAAGCCATCTACGGACACCAGCCGCCTAGTAAGGGGACACATATCAAGAGCGAATTCTACGCCGTCTTTGGATCAGGATACAACAGTCTATGTATAGGTAGTGAGCGAAACCCTACTCGCCAATCAGCTATGAAGAGGAATTTGACCTCTGCATTTTCCACGCGGGCTTTGCTTGAGCAAGAGAGCATTGTCGATCGCTGTGTCAACGACTTCGTCACTACGATTGGATCTGCAGAGGGGTCACAGATGAAGGGGCTCAATATGACGAAGTGGTACGAAATGATCTCCTTTGACATTCTGGGTGAAATGGCCTTTGGAGAGTCGTTCCATGCAGTTGAAAGTGGCAAGTTTACCTCCATCGTGTAATTCATATTGCTCTTACAATTACGCAGGTAAACCGCATTTCTGGTCAGAGCTTATAGTCAGCCATCTGTACTTCATCACGGTTCTTGATAACCTGCGACGATATCCCTCGTTCGTCACCATGGGAAAGTTCCTCCTGCCATTTGCTACCACCTCGGTCCGAGACAAGCATTCTGGTTACACTAGGGAGAAGGTGAACCATCGCCTTGCTGCCAAGTCTCCTCGGAAAGATTTCATGACGACATTGACTAGCAAGGTATCCACAGGCGAGATCAGCAAAGAAGAGATGACTGCTCACGCTTCGACTCTTGTCATTGCTGGAGGCGAGACAACCTCGACATTTCTTGCGGCTACGACCTATTACCTGCTTACAACTCCGAAGGCTTACCGTGCCCTCCAACGGGAGATCCGAGATGCATTTTCTACTTACGAAGAGATCGATGCAAGTTCAGCCCAAAAGCTACCATACCTGCAGGCAGTCATTTCGGAAGGACTCAGAATGTATGCTCCGGGATCTCAAGGCTTTCCTCGTGTGTCGGCAGGTGTGGAGATTGATGGCCATTGGGTTCCACCAGGGGTATATATACCTTTGCACTCAATCTCACAGGCTGTAGGCTTATCATACACAGGCGGAGATGTACACAAGCGCTTGGACGGTCACTCACGACTCGCAATACTTCAAGGACCCATTTTTATTCAATCCCGAGCGTTGGATCGATGAAGATAGCACAGACGTGAAAGAAGCCAGTCAACCATTTTCTCTGGGACCGAGAGGCTGCCTAGGGCGAAAGTAAGTATGATGTGTGCACGCCCGATACTAGTGCGAGACGCTAAACGCTATGTAGCTTTGCATATATGGAGATGAATCTCATACTCGCGAAATTGCACTGGACGTATGATTTCGAGCTGGTTGACAAGAGTCTGGATTGGGAGGGGAGTAGTCACTTGCACGTTATGTGGTGGAAGCCAGATCTTTGGGTGAAAGTGCTACCTAGAACAGGTAAAGCCTGAATGGCGAGGATGGCAGCTTGGGGAAACATTACGCATGATCTTAGATTCGCAAGGGTAGATACTACAGTACCCCAAAACCAGCTGAACATGCTACCTTTGATCGGCATCGCTCGTTGTCGTATTTCGCATTTGACAACTTCAAAGCGTACGGCTTCTTGGCGAGTCCGGCAGTCCTGACAAAAGTCCTGCTAACCAATGGAGAAATGTCGGCGCGTCGGTATGACGGTGTGTTAAGTGTTAATTGAGCGATGTCGGCTCTTACCACATGCGGTGGCCTGCAGCCCAGCCCAGCCCAGCCTCTCGGCAGTGAGATTACGCCCCAAGCGACGCTGTGATAGATGGCCTCGATAGCTTTCTTGGTAGTAGCATACTACCAGGAATCCTTCACTCATTGCGCCAGTGAGTCTTCAAGGGCTCCACAGAAGGAAAGAATCATGATCTCAAAAACTGGAGCTGCTGCATTGCTCTTGCTCTTGGTTGTGTTGTACAAAGGTGCCAATCTTGCTAGGTGGTATCACGCAGCGAGAAAAACTGGCCTGCCGATCGTTCTCACGCCAGTGCTAGAAACCGAAGTTTGGGGCTACATTTTCACTCCAATTTTACGCTATGTCTACCATGGCTACCTCCTCCAGAACCGTGGATGGCCTCGTTGGTGTCGATTCATGATCAAGGACTGGGCTTGGGAAGACAAGCGACGAGCGCACGACGAATTTGGAGATGTGTTTCTTGCGGTGTCGCCTGAAGGTATCATTTGCTACTCAGCGAACGCGGCTTTCAATCACAACGTTATGAACAGAAGATCAGAATTCACAAAACCGCGCGACAAGTATAGTATAGAATGCTCAATCCCAGTCTCGAGATATAGGCTAAACTTTACTAGAAATACTGGAACCATATGGACCTAATGTGGCCACGGCAGAGGGAAAGACATATCAATTTCATGTACGAATCACGGCACCGCCCTTCGGAGACATGAGTGGTGCAAATGACCTCGTCTTCGCGGAGACTATGACTCAGACTGAGCGACTCATGCAATCGTGGTCGAGTAAGCCGTCTGATGAGCTTCAGTTCGACGTCAACGGCCTCACCCTGGCGGTTATATCCATGGCAGGGTTCGGGAAGCGTCTGGACTGGACATCCAACCAAGATGATACTTCAAACATACCTTCTGGCTACGATATGAGCTTCTTGAGAGCCATAAGCGACACGACGGGCTACATGACAGCTATCCTGTTGCTGCCAAAGTGGTTGCTACGCCTCACACCATTGAAGTGTGCAGCCGTGGCGCACGAGAACCTCGATCGGTACATGCGAGCAATGATTCGGGCGGAGCGGGAAAGAATCCTTTCTGATAATGCATACGAGTCTGTTTCGGCTCGCGGCAATCTACTGACGTCGATTCTCAAGGCCTCAGCCCTGGAGGCGGCCGAGAATGCAAGGAAGGATTCCTCAGCTCGTAAAGAAGCTTTTACCGAGGATGAAGTTATGGGCAACTTGTTCATCTACCTGCTCGCAGGGTATGAAACGACAGCAAACGCTATATTGTACGGCCTGATAGTGCTAGCGGTAAGGCCAGGCATACAAGCCAAATGCATCGCTGAGGTGGACCGCATCTATGCCGAGGCCGCCAGTCAGTCCAGATCCACGTTGACGTACGCAGAGGACTTCGACAAACTAGAGTACCTCTACGGGTTCATGTACGAGACGTTCCGATTGTATCCTGGAGTCATCATGATCACCAAGATGGTCAAGAAAGACACTGTCGTGACAGTCCCTGGCGACGGCTCTAAGCAACAACCACGAAGCATAGTACTACCACGCGAATGCCGCGTCTACCTTAATTCTCCGGCAACACAGTACTCCGAGGCTTACTGGCCTGACCCTGAGACGCTTGACCCTCATCGTTGGGACAGAGTTGCGCGGCCTGATGGCTCGTCCGAGAAAGAGGGCAAGCATAACGTTGTTGCGGCGGACAAGACACGTCAAATGCGTGGTACGTTTCTCACTTTCTCAGACGGGTCACGAGCTTGCCTTGGCCGGAAGTTTGCTCAGGCTGAGTATATCGCGTTTCTTGCAACTCTTCTTCGGGAGTACGAAGTTGCGCTTGGTGATGAGATGGATCGAGATCTCGCGGAGAAGGACCTAAATTTGCGCTGTGCGGGCAAGGTCACACTGGCTCCAAATGACCACTTCAAACTCAAGTTAGTCAAACGTCATTGATGGCCTATATCCTGTAGAACGGTGTATTCCATGATCTTTTGGCTCGTTTTTGCGACCACATGGTGTGATGAACTTGTGAGACATCTAGATTTGCTTTCGCTGTTTTCCTTTGCGCCTTTGCATCATAGCTGATGCTCGGGAGCCTCACGATTCTTTTAGGTTTATGAATCCTTTTCTACAACAACTTTAGGTGCTGAGGGCTACTGCTTCACGTAGAATGCTCAAGCGCATATGTCGAGAACTTCAGAGACCAGAATTAATCACTGCAGATTGACATGCACAGAGATAAAAGAATGCTATAGTGTTCAACTGGAGGTTTTCTTGTCTTTGTCTATAGGCCCAGTAGTCTATGCTCTGCGCTTGAACAAAACCTTGATCGATGGATCCGGAGCGTTCTGCAGCTCGAACGCTATGTTAGCCGGCCGTTCAACTCTTCGCTTCTCAAATTTGAGATCATAGTTCAGAAGGATATGTGCCATCACCATTTTAATCTCGAAGCTGGCGAAGAACCGCCCTGAGCAAGCATGTTTTCCGTATCCCCAAGCAAGATTGGACGGATTTGTAGTCACGAAGCTGGGAGGTGCGGGCACTTCGGGCTCCCTTACACCTGGCATTATCCACCGGAATCCGTCAAAGACTTCCGGGTCTTTGCAAAAGCTTGGATCATTGGCAATCGCGTGAGATGGCACGCCAATAATGGTCCCCCCAGGAATCGTAATACCATCGTGAAGCGTGAGGTCCTTACGTATAACACGCCCGAATGTCACTGCGACTCTGATAAGTCATCTTATGACAGCTTTAGGAACAGCCAGACTTACTAAACACTAGTGGATTGAACCGCTGAGATTCTTTCATAAAGCTATCCATCTTCACGAGTTTTGCCAGGCTCGCCTTTGTGAAAGATCCGTCGGCAGCGAGGACTTCTTTGAGCTCGTTCCTCAACGGCTCGATGTATTCAGGTCGGGAGCATAAATCGAAGATCAGGTGCGCTGGGACACTGGCGCTCGTGTGGATTGCGGCGAATGATACGACCAAGCCAGTGTAAGCTAGGAAGTTACTGTCTCGATCGGCGCCACGCGCTCCGTTGTGCAACATCTGTATGAGGTCGGTCGGTTTCTTTGCGCTAGCCGATAGCTGTTCACGTTCCGCGAGGATGGGTTTGATAAATTTCCGTGCCACTGCTATGTGGTGTCGCACGGCTTTCATCTCAGGAATGAGCCACTGTACAATCGGTCTGGTCCAGAACGGATACTGTTTTAGTCGTTGCGCTGCAAGCCACGTAGCGTGAGTGAATGAGAGGCTGGTCTCGAGCCATTCCATATTGCGAGAGAGTTGAGTTCCTCCAATCATTCGACCAGAAGCTTGAGCGATGATCTGAGTCACCGTAGATACGACTGGAACCGGCGTCCAGTCTTCGCATAGTGGAATGACTCGCGCAGCGGCGATCGCGATTTCTTCCTCGACAGGTGGCAATACGACCGCTACCTATTGTCAGTACACATAATGGAAACGTAAGTACTACAGGATGGTCATACGCAGACTTGGATTTAGCTGCTGCTTTACGATTCGGGGATGGAGATCCCAGCGTTTTCCGATCGTTGTGTATTCACCTTCGAACATCTGGTGTTCAACATCAGCATGTCAACCTCAGGGTATGGACAGTACGCACCTCACTGAAGCTTCCTAAGAAATCTGCCTGATCATCCGGAGCATTCTTCAACTCATTTAGGTACTTAGTAGGGATCATGAGCCGATCGCAGTCAGGTCCGGGAACGTAGTAGAAGCCGCCATTTGTCTACCACCCGTCAGAAAGCTTCTATAACTTGACTGGAAGTTTCGTATCAGATACATACCAGTTTGTATCCTTCTTTGAGCATGTCAGCTGCATGGGCTTGATATCGGCGTCGAGCTTCTGCTAGCGAGCGTGATCCATTCGCCAAGCCAGTGTGAGGGGCACCTGGGAGGAGTCGTGGCTTTCTATTTCGGGACCATGCTAGCAGTTTCAAAAATACAACCGCTGTCGTGACAATAACCAAAGTGAAGCGATGATGTTCAAGAACGCGAAAAAAGACGTTCACATTAGTACCAACTTGGCGAGTTGAAGGCATACTGTTGGTCCCCCAACTTCTTCGTAATTCGTAGTTCTGAATAGGATACATTGAAAAATTGTAAATAAGTTGCCTGGCCTCCAGATGGTTCGGGCGAGCTTCTGCATGACTTCGGAGTTGACTGTTTTGAGACGAAGGCACTATACTCGTTCGGGCCAACTATTCTATGACTCGGGCAATTTTCGAGCAGTCCATTAGGTCCGGTACGCTCACTGAGCTGGGAAGGGTAATGCTCGTCCTTTATGAATGGAAAAGTTTCTAATTTCCTGTCGTGACTAGTGATCAGGCGAAGAGGAGCTGCTAGAACAGCATAATATGTGCTCCGAAACCTCATCGGTAGGCCAGAAACAGGTTCCTCTTTGGGCCATGTTGGAGCCAGAGAACTATACCTCAATTCAAGGTCGGGTTGCAGCGTTCTGGAGCAAGGAGTATCAGGAGGAGTGAGGTCACGTGTCGGGTCCACCACCTGCTGGCCGACCAGGGACTAGTGTGACGTCATCAATATCGCTGATCACCGAGGTAGCTCACAAGGCGTGTGAAGTTCTGTGAAAACAGCTTAATGGACTGCGATGCTAAAATCTATACGTTGATTCTATCTAGGCATAGCTCATACTCAATTTTCCCGTTTCAAAGCTCTCGATAGAGCAGCCGGTGCTGACCTGGCGTGACCGAGCCTGGCTTCAGTGCACTGCCGTCTCGCCAATGGTGCTGTACCTCTTCGTTTCGCTGCTCCAGAGCTCGTTCCCACTCATCTGGTACTCTAGTCCTTTACAGTACGTAAGCACCTCATCACGGAGACCCTTCTCCCGAAGTTGCTCGACCAACTCTAGGTGCAGCAGCTCCCATTCGCGACACATTGGCCAGAGCACCCTTTTAGCCGCTTCTGTATTCAGTGTGGCTCCATGCATTACTACTTGAACGGACGAGCAAAGAACGGAGCCTTCCGCTGGAGATTCGATTGACTGTTGTAACTCCTTCTCCCAACTGTAGATGTCGTTGACGACCGAAATGTGCTTGGAGCAGTTCCGATCGCAGGGTTTGACGACCTCAAGCTCTTCGTCGGTGAGCTCGAGCTTCATGACGAACCGCATAAGTGCTGAAAGGAGCCTTGCGAACCGTTAGTAATCCCTGGTCCATCAAAGCCGAATCCACCAGACTTACGCTTTACCAACATCGCGTTCACGGTACACGAGGTACTCTCCAAAATCCATGAGTTTTTTCCGTCGCGGATCAGTCTGGGCGCGCATGAATGTGAAGACGGGCTCCAGAATCTCGTCCGCAAGTTTACGATCGAAGGCCCTCATGCTTTCCCAGAGGTCGTACGTAATCCACTCGACTGGTACGTTGCGATCCGGGAGCACATCCCCACGGGAGATTGGCATGAGCTTTTCGTTGTAAAGACGGCCTTCCTCGAGTGACATGTCCTCTAGCAAGTCTATAACATGTCAAATTGAAGACTTTCTGGGCTTCGGCATCATACATACCATCGATTAGAAATAGGAGTGTCAACAAACGACACCCAAAATGGATGCGGTCGTTCAAGGCATCGGGATAGTAACAGCATGTTACCCGACTGAAACCAGCGGCGCGAAACTTCTGAACTGCTCGCTCATTGGGAAATGGCCAGTTCTTGATGAAGTACCCATCAACCTCTTCGGTGATTTGGGGTTCAAGTGGGTGACACTTTGGCTCAAGGTAGGCCTCTGGCAGTTCCTGCTTCGGTTTGGGCTTGGTCGAGCTGATCTTCGTTGCTCGGTAGTTTGAAGCTGTCATATTGCGAGGCAGTAAACGATAGAGTATGCTCGTGGTCAGAGATAGTCCTGTTACCAGACCAAAGATGCGGGCGAATGGTGAAAAAGAAGACATCTCTATCCAGACGTCCGGATAGTGGTCTCTTTGTCTATCGCGTAGTGACCACATGTATGGGTTTCGGGCATGAGGCTTAAGGCTTATGAAGCTTTAAACCGATTTGATGGTGCCGTCGGAGCATTCTTTCACCTCACCTTTCCTTGATCAGATCTCCACAAATTCATCAGCGAGAAACTGCCCGAATTCGGTTGTTACTTGTTTTAGAACCTTATCTCTCGGAGTAAACAGACAGATTGGGAAGGGAGACAGCCGGTACAGCTGAGCAATGGGCAGCTATGCGGTATCTTTCACATGCGGGATCGCTTTGCTGACTACTTGTAGGAGTACTTGAGAATTGAGATTGAGATTCGCTACTTCAATGGAGCTAATCTACGCGATGCCCCGAGTATCAGTCAGCGTCTGTTGAAAGGCTGTCATCTCTGTGGCATACGGCCCCAACCACTTCGTTCTCAAGGAGGCGATAGGTTCCTCCAACTCCGTATACGTATCTCCCAGGGTCAGGATGACGCGACCGTTCCACGGCCCTTTACTGGATATCATCTCGTCCGTGTCCTTTCCATACCCCTCTACTTGACGAGCTTGCTTGGCGGTGGCCGAATATGCTATGGCCAAGCCCGCATGGTGCGCATTGGATACCGGTGCTCCAGCCTCCATAATGGGCTTGGCGAGATCTTTCGGTAGTAACCTCGAAATTGTCGCCGCCGGGGCTACTGCATTGATGGTGGCCCCGTGAGAGTGCGGTATCGTACTTCTTAGAGCTCTCACTAGGCCGATGAGTCCGAGCTTGGTGGCCGAGTATACCGGGAGACTATGCTCCGGGCTATAAGCCGTTGCGCTTGAGGTGATGACAATTCTGCCCCCTTTACCTTGCTTGCGAAATGCTGAGAGCGCTAGCTTGATGAAATTGACAACGGATCGCAAGTTGACGTCAAGCACTTTGTAATCGGGTTCCAACAGCTCGCCCGACTCGGAGAACGTATCAGCGGTGATATCAAATCCCTGGCTGACACCAGCGTTGGCAACGGCGATGTCGATGTGGCCAATATCTTTGAATTTCGTAGATAAATCTGACCAGGAGGTGACGTCGCATATATCATGTTTGACATTTGATGAGCTCCCTGGGTCTGATTTATGTGGTAGTGTAATGTCGAGAGCGTGAACCGTCGCATTTCGGGCGGCAAAGATATGTGAAGCTGCTAGACCAATGCCTGACGCTGCGCCTGCATTGACTTGTTATTGGTGATCTCTCTGGCCTATGTGGGCACCTCACTCACCTGTGATGACAACAACTTTCCCGGTAAGGTCGGGAATGTCGTGATCTCTGATCTCTAGAGAAGTCATAATGAGCAATAATTGTACACTCGGCGTTGTGGGAGCCGCAAAAGCTGATGTCTACCGACACATGTTTGTGGAGGGATGGTGTGCCGGCTTTCTATCGGAGCATCAGCCACTGCTAGCTCGTTTCGGGAGTTCCCTGTTTTGGGCTTTTATGACACAATGAACCAATAGCTATCAAGTGTGTTTTCTATTCGGACTTTGTAAATTTCCAAAGGCATCTAATATAGCAAGGTCGAGGGTTCCAGCAATAGCAGCGACTATGTGAGCACTCGAGACACCAGCTATAGAAATACATGAACGATAAGCTAAAGGGGATAAGTCTTCCTTGTACGATGCAGCAATGATACAACGAGGAAGCCAACGCTCTATGGAGTGAACATGCCGCTGATTTGCGGCAAGCCTAGTATAATTTGAACCCAGGTACCAGACGCTGAAATACCTGATCAGGGTCGTATCTTTTGCTTATCTCCCTTAATCGTGGCATACTCTTCCCATATCCATATGTCTCAAAAGGCGCTTGATCAACTCCAGCATCGTTGAGGAACTTGAAAGGGTAATGTAGATTTTCGGCCAAGGAACTCTCGTCTATAGTCCTCACGAGCTCTCGCGCCCACTCATCCAGTCTTGAGTCATCTTCCGACCGATCCCAGTAGGCGTAGATGAGAATTACTGAGCGTGAAATTAGTTGCGTATTTGCTAGGCAGTCGTGTACATACCACAGAAAGCGCCTCTCTCAGGGTCGAGGGCCAAAGCGTCGCCACCAGACGCTTTAGATGCCTCGAGTAGGCTCTTTGTGATAGGCTGCACCCCGGTCCCGACAGAGCACTGAACCGCAGCAAGGTTCTCCTTAGTAGTAGCGACCAGACATTCATGAACGAGTCCCATGGTGCGGTTGCTAATCTGTAATGAGGTACTCCGGAAAAGTGTCCTGGCTGGAGATCAGACGTGTTAAAAGCAGATAACACATGCGCCATACCTCTTATCTCGAGCGCTGTATATACCAGTTGGAGCAACTAGATCATGGAATGTCTGATGAGAAAGCGTACTGAACACCGCTGGTATCTTCGTGAAACGTTCCATGGCGCTTGTGTCATGCCCAGAAGAGACAAGCATTGCGCCGGTGGTCAGCGTCCCTGAAGCATCAATTTCCATGTTCGACATGATCGCTGCTATCGGGTCGTCGTTAGAACCACTTTTCCGAGACATCAGATCTGTCTGGGCATCAAGCACGGCCTGCGTGTGCTCAAAACCCCATGCGACGGCACCTCCCCAGAGATCCTCTTCCGGATACACTTTGATATCGTACCGGAGTACAATTCCGAAGTTGTTCGAACCTCCTTTGAGTGCCCAGAATAAATCCGGGTTCGACTGGTGGTTGGCACTCACGATCTCGCCGCTTGCTAGAAGCACTTCGAAGTTGACCACGTTGTTTGCAGCGAAACCATATCTTCCGCTAAAGAAGGATATGCCACCGCCGAGAAGCAATGAGCTTCCAACTCCGAGCACACGGCCACCCACTACAATCAGTTTATGTGGCGCCAAGTAACCATAGATATCTTTCCAGGTGTGCCCTGCTCCAACGGCCAAATATGGAACATCGAACTCGTTCGGTAGATGCACAAGTTGTAGCCCTGTGAGTTTCGTAGTACCGATAAGAATTCCTTCACCCTCTATCGACGCGTGGCCGGGAACCGGCATGTGCCCTCCGCTTCGTATCGAGAATGGCATGTTCAGCTGGGCCATCATTGGCACGGCATCTGCGAGTAGCTGTGGCGAGGAAGGGACGAATACAGCTGCAGGTTTGAGCCACGCAGCTTGCGACCACATTGCTAACAATACAATAAGCATTTCATTGTTCAAAGCATCTGCGAGACTGATTCTCTTTGCTCATCTCCTATTCTAGGATATCGTACCTTCAGTCTCCGACTTGTACACATCGCCGCCCGGCTCGTGTACATGGCCAGGGAACTTCCGAAACAGTGCATCAACCTTGGTTGAGTTACCCTTCTCAAGGGTTGCCTGAGTAATGGTAGTTTCTGTCGTTGTCATTGTCGATGTTGAAGTATATTTCCGGGCAATAGATCTATGTCGCGGTGCGAAAAGGTCGCTCCAGAAGTTACTCAAGGCAGTTGATCCGATCAACACAAAAACACAAAACGTGAGATCGTTAATCTTCAGCATGATGCAAATCAGATCAAAATGTCACCTTCGCGGGATTATCATAGACTATCTGAATCATAGACTATCTGATCATAACTATCGTTTAGCTTCGGCGTTGTTTTCGTGGATCAGGTAGCCCCAAGTTAGGCAACTTCCGAAGCCATCACTGCACTGCTAGCCGCCGGACTTCTCGCAAGCCTAGCACCGGTACTTGCAATCAAGATTTTCTGCATGAATAGGCGGAATAGTGCAACTTGTGCTTCCCAAAATCCGATAGTACAGCGGTTGACGCACAAAAGATGAAGCTCAGTAACGAAAACCCAGCATCGGAAATGCTGAGGATTCTTCTGATATCTAGCATTACAGCTGTGAGTTCTCGAACGATGACGTGAGAAATACCCTCTAACAATTGTTAGTTCGCAATATACCGCCTGGTCCTGCTGTTCCGGCTCCGTTACTTCCACCCGTTGGCGCGCTTCCCAGGCCCGACACTTGCTGCCATCAGTAATTTTCCCTACTCTAAATCGTACCTAGGCGGACGACAACCGTATGATTTCCTCGCACTCCACGAGAAGTATGGACCCATCGTGAGGACTGCACCCAATGAGCTCTCGTTCTCAACGCCCGAGGCCTGGCGTGATATTTACGGTCAACGCAATGGGCACCAAACGTTCATCAAATCTGACTTCTACGCTGGCGGGAGTTTTGCGAACCAGGCTTCGTCGATAGTGACGGAGCGCGACCCCAGCAAACACCGCGATATGCGAAAGTATCTTGCCAACGCATTTTCGGATCGATCCCTCAAAGAACAAGAGTACTTGATTGCGGGAGTTATCGATGGGTTTGTGGCTCAGATTGGTCGTCACGGAAGCGATAAGATCAACTTAACGACTTGGTTTAATCTCATGACCTTCGACGTGATTGGCGAGCTTGCTTTTGGAAAGTCCTTCGGTGGAGTAGAGACTGGAAAGGTGCACGAGTGGATTGCGATTGTGCTCGCTTCCATGGGACAAGCATCGTTCAGCGACACTCTAGCGCGATTTCCATTACTCGGAAAGATATACATGCGCGTTCGTCCAGGTTGGCTGAAGAGCCTAACAGAAGGTTCGAAAACGCATGAGAAATACACACTGGACCTTCTTAGAGAGTAAGCATTGGGCCGAAAGCGCGAAGCTGTAACACTGACTCAAAAGACGGATCGACGCAAAGACCGATAGGAAAGACTTCATGACCAGCATTCTCGACAATAGAGAAGAATATGGGATCTCGAACATCCAACTTGCCGCGCATGCATCAGACTTTGTGTGAGTATGAGACTTCGTTATAGAAGAATGACTGATGTTTTATCAAGCATTGCTGGCAGCGAAACTACCGCTACCTGCCTCGCCACGATCATATACTACGTTCTACACGATCCAGACATCGAAGCGAAGATGCGACATGAGATACGGTCGACATTCGCAACATACGATGGGATCAACGCAAACTCTGCGGCGAAGCTTCCCTACGTGCACGCAGTGTGTCTTGAGGCTCTACGTGTATATGCACCGTTACCTCTGGGACTGCCCAGGACAGTCCCGGCGCGGGGCGACAGAATTGCTGGCGAATTTGTTCCAGAAGGGGTCAGTTGTGAGTCGAGGTTCCTCTTAATTCAGCTAACTCTTCCCTAGACCACGGTATACGTAAGTCCTTTTGCAGCCAGCATGAGCTCTACAAATTTCGATGACCCATGGGCATTCCGGCCAGAGCGATGGTTGCACGCAACTGAGAGCGATATCACCAATGCAAGCCAACCGTTCTCAATAGGCACTCGTGCATGCTTGGGACGATCGTGAGTCTTCCAGATTTTGCTGCAAAGTCCTAGGTATGGCGACCGCTAACGTTTCGCTCAAGCCTTGCCTGGATGGAACTGCACACATGTCTAGCGAAGATGTACTATCGATATGACTTTGAACTCATCAGCAACGACGTGGACTGGCAGAGAGACTCAGAGATGCATTTGCTTTGGAAGAAGCCAGATCTGATGGTTCGTGTCCACGCGAGACGTATGTAGTTCTAGATGGACTAAATACACAACTTGCACTCTGTCATGAAATAGAAAATGGGAGGCTCTTAAGCGTATGTATAGTTGTGTCTGGCTTGCAACGATGGCGAACTTCAGCACGCGTCTACTTCCCTCGCGTGCGCCCTCACCTAGAGAAACCCTCGCTTCCAAAGAATATCAAGTAAAACACTAATTTGAGAACCTCACCTCAGCATCCGCGACAGTATTATTATTTGCATCTTTCTTGATTCTATATCGTACTTGTGCTTTACCACGTCTTGTATATGAACGATTTGAATACTGCCGCCATCGGCCGTCTTTTGTGATAATCAATGCATCGCTGAATGATTTGCATATTTTTCATAATCTCAACCAGGTCCCACCACACTTTTGCATGAGCCCGAGTAGATTCAGCCTCGAACCTCAAAGCACGACGGCCCTTAAGCTACCAATGGTTGCAATTATCTTGATTATATTTTACATATCGTATCTATACATATGAAAATTATAGCTCTACTGTGTTTACACATTCCATACAATGTCTATTAATCCGTCGCACCCCACCTCTCCCATTCGCTCATGATCTTCTTCGCCAACCTCTGATGCACAACACTCTTCGGATGCATCGCCTTATACAACCCGTTCTTCGTCATGAAACTCAAGCTCCTCCCCGCTATATCAGGATACTTCTCCCCATCGACACCAACATCGACAGGATCGTCGCTGCCCGCCTGCGCCACGGCCTGCGCCCACGCGCAGTCCCATAGATCGGAGAAGTAACCGCTCCACGACTCGCACTCGGAGCCTGCGGCGTCGCGCTTCGTAAGGTCGGCTTTGACGCCGTCGGTGTCACGTGGGTTCAGCTCGTGTCCTGTCTCGGTGATGTCGTCGGCGTACGGCACGAAGAAGTAGACGTCTTCGAGGTCGAGCAGTTTGCCGTCGGAGCCTTTGTCGCAGAAGCGGCGGCCGTCGAAGAGGGGATCCATGTCGACGAATTTGACGCGCTTGAAGGGGTAGTCGGCTTGGACTTCTTCAATTGCCAACTGGATTTGCTTGTTCATAGCCTGGACGGCGCGGTTGAGCTCGAGGCGGATGGAGCGGGTCAGGTAGGGGACGTGCTTGTTGAGGACGTTATCGGACTCGACCACAGAGATGGTCTGCTTGTCGCAGTTCTCATCATCGGGCCCGAAACCAGATTGGTCTTCGTCGTTGAAGAAGGAGGCGTAGCCAGTTACGACGAGCGTGAAGTACTGGTAATCGACGGCGTCGAGCACGGCGCGGTAAGTTTCGACCAGCTTGGGGCGCATGTCTACGACGGCTAGTTCGGCGTCGGCCATGTATTGGTCACACGAATTCATTCCGAAAAACAGGCAGCGGATAGCGACTTCTGCAAACATGGCATCGTTTCCTCCGATGGACAGTGTTGCCATGCCGAGCTGAGAGCCGCCAATCTGGTCCTTGAGGATAGATATCTGGGACGGACGGCTATGGGAGCCATCTGTCAGCACATTCTCGATCTTGTCGCCTGTGCAAGCAAGGAAGTCGAAATTCTTGTCGCCCAGGTTGGTGGTCCAGAAATTGTGGCCGTAGGCATTGACAGTCGTGAAGCACTGGTAATCCGCCTGTGCGTCCCACTTGTTTTCGGCCTGGCTACCTGCACCAATGCCTGCGGCGTAGCTGTCACCCAGTGAGACGAATGTTGGGAAATGTGGGAGATTGGAGTAGACACCCCCAACGTCCGGTGGGGGAGCAGATCCTCCGTTGCCATCGCCAAAGCCACCATCACCTCCTCCTCCGCCTCCAGACGAAGGTGGCACGGGGAGGTTGGGATCTTTGACGGGATCATCGTCATCTTGGCTTCCGCCCACCGAGCAGTCGTTGAACCAGGTCCAGGCCTCGTTCGTCTGAGGATTAACTTGGACCATGTCGGCTACGCCCAGCCCGCCCAGGTTCGGGAAGTGAAGGTTTGGGCCGTAGCCGGGCCCTAGATAGCGCTTGCCGACACCGTTCCAGAATATGGCGCTGCCCGAAGCCTCCTGAAAGCCAGCCTATATTTAAGAAAAGAGTCAGCGACGCCCGAGTCATAGCGGGCAAGACATAGAGAGGATCTTACGTTGAGGTTTACAGACGTATCGCCAGTGAACTTTTCAATGAACAAAAAGTCGTCCAGGCCGTCACCATCGACATCCGCCCATCGCAGGTTTGCCCGGTCCTTGCCTTCGGTCCTCTTGACCTGGCCCAAGGTCTTCATGCCGTCATTTGCGGTGTTAAGCCATCCGTCGGCACGGCCATCGGGCTCGATGCACAGGTAGTCGATACGCTTGTCGTCGTCGAGGTGGGCGAAGCGGACGCCGAGATCGTAAAGTCCCGGACCCCAACCCTGAGTGCACGAGACACCACTAGACATCTGGCCCATAGCGGTGAAAGAGTAGCCTCTGGCGGAGGACCAGTCATTACGCCACACCTCCACAGCGCCGTTGTCACGGTTGACGCTGAGGACATCGCATTTGCCGTCGCCGTCCCAATCGCCGAGGTGAATGCTCTTGCGGTCGCGATACGTTTGCAGAACCTCACCCATCACATTCCACAGTGGCGTCGAGTCCCACTGGCCGTTGCGGTGCATGTTCTCGTAGATCGAGATCTCACCTGTGCTCTTGACCCATACCATATCGTCGGCGCCCAGTCCGCGCATGTCGCAGAATCGCGTACCATCGCCTTTAAGCTTGGTGCCGCCCTTGCCTGTATTCTCCCAGATCTTGATGCGGTCAAAGAACCTGCCTCCGGTTTCATCGCGATAGACGTACACATAGTCAGCCCGATTGCTACCATAGATTCGGGAGAAGCGGATTCGATCCCTCGCGCCGGCGACGCCCATGCCTCCGTGGCCCGACTGTGCTTTGATCCAGGTTGGGATCAGGTTCTTGCTCATGCCGCGCTGGTTGATGTAGATAACGGTCGATCCATCGTCGTTAACGTACACCCAGTCGGCGCGGAAATCACCATTGATGTCGACGAGGCGTACTCCAGCAATGTCACCCATCTGACACGCACGTGTTTAGTTAGCAATCTGAAATCTTCGCATTTGCATCCAGAATCAGACTCAGAGAAGTATCTGCACCTTGAGCAAAAAGAACCACTCACCCCTTTTCCAGTAAAAACAATCTGGCCACCAGGGCCCATCTCCTGCCAGTATTCCGGATCGCCGCCTATGCCACCGTTGCGCCAGCAGCGTACATCACCATTGGCACCCACAACACAGTAGTCAATACGACCATCGCCGTCGATGTCGCCCAGTCTCACGTTAGCCTGCGAGTAGCCACTAGGCACGGAGAAGACGAGGCCGATATAGGTGAAGAGGGGCGATATGCCACCATTGTTGATGGAGACATACATGTTGCCCTCGGCGCCAATGCAGATGAAGTCGTCGAGTCCATCGCCATTCACATCGCCCCAATGCACCCCCTTGGCTTTGCAATCATTCTGCACGTTGATGGTCCCTCCGCTGGTGAAGTCACCGTTGCCTTGATTGAGACTCATCTCGAAGAAGCGGAGACTGCCGTCGGTGCCGACGATCTGGCGGACGTGCTCGTCGATGGCCATCTCGCGGTAGCCGCCGTGGACGTTGACGAGCTGGGCGAAGAATCTGTGCTGGTGCGAGTCCTCATCATCAGAGCCAAACGCGAGTGTGTTGAAGATGCCACGCGAGCTGCTGGCATGGATATAGGGACCATCATCGAGCCCGGAGCCGGCCTGCGTTTTAACCACACCGCGCTCATTGCCTGAGCCGAATGCCTTGAGGCAGGAGTTGCCGCCTATATCATCGTACGGTGTGGTTGCCGGCCTGGTGACGACATTACGTGACAGGGCTGCGTATATGGCGCGCTCCCAGATAGCCGCCATCTTGCGATAGCCCTCCTGGGTGGGATGCGTCTTGTCGGTCAGATCGGCTTGAGTAAGCCAGCCCGTGTTCATATCGGCCAGCAGCACATGCTCGTCGTTCATGAATTTGACGAGATCGCGATACCGCTGATTGAGCGTCGTCACACGTGCATTGGCATCGGGCCACATGTGCGGAACCAGCGTGGACACGATGACGGTGACGCCGGGGATCTTGCTCCGCAGCTTGTCGACGAGGGTCTTCATGCGCTCGTGAGCCGTTTCGAACTCGATATTGCGCTCACAGTCGTTGGTGCCAGCGTTGACGAGCACAATGTTGGGCAGGAAGGGGATGGAGAGATCTGCGGCGGCGATGACCTCGGAGATGAGGAAGCCTGAGGTGCCCTCGTGGTTGTCGTCGTGCATGAGGCCGTCGTGCTTGGTGCCGACCATGTTGACGGGCCAGCCGGTGAAGCGGAGGGCATCGCGCAGCGGCTTGCGGTAGCCATTACCACCGTAGGGCTCAGACGTAAGGCCCTTTGTGATGGAGGCGCCGAGGGGCAGGATGCGGAGGAAGAAAGGGTCATCGGGCGGCGTGACAGGATCTGCGCCGTCTCCGCCCCCATCGCCGCCCCCACCGTTCCACTCGGGCGGAACCTCGTTGTCGCCCTGGTCTTCGATGCCGTTGAAAAAACCGCCGATCGGGCACGTGTCGGCCCGTCCGCTTAACGCCCGGAGCACGGCGAGGTTGGCAGGCGTCGGCACCGCGTTGGCGCCGGCAAGGAGCGCCAGAGCGGCGCCAGCATGCAAGCTGAGCCGCATAGTCAGCCTTGCAAGAGTCGAAAGCTCGGGATCAGGAAAGAGTGTAGTAGCTTGCAGAGCACAGCATATGGTTTGGCATCAGACAAAAAGAGTGACTGTCAGATCGGTAGGCGATGGGTCCAGGAGTCTTTAAACCTCTCCCGATATATCTGGCGACTGCGAAGGTCCTCAGCCGAGTAGCCCGCGCAGGAGCAGGAGAGACTTGGGCCCTGATGGCCGTCTCCACCTGGGCCACAAGGGTGGCACGGTGTAGGAATGGCCGTACTCTCTCCTCGCATAGTAGTCCCGCGCTAAAATAGCTGGCTTCCTGCTTGGCTTCAACGGTTTATTTGTAGCGTCCAGTAGTACAATGTCCGATCTACTTCTTTCAGCAATCTGCCACTCTCGTCTCACGACATGCTCCCATACCATTCCCCTAGGATGATGCCGCTTGCCAGCTGTGCCTGTCTAGGCGCCCTTCCTAGCGAGCTCATCTGCGAGATTCTGGCCCGCATTGACTCCGTAGCATCGCTTTACTCGGTGCTAACAGCGTGGCCCAGGGCCAACCTCGTCTTCTCGTCCTCTATCGGACCAGTCCTGCTCGCCCGGACCCTTGAGGAATCGCTCCCTGGACAGTTGGTGTCGCTAGTCTCCGCGACTGCCCGCGTCATGCTGCAAACCGAGCCTGTTCTGAGCCCCGAGGCTGTTCGAGATGGCTACTTCCGCCCCCCAAAGGGCCGACATGTCGGCCGGGCCCAGCCCATACCGCAGCCGTCACCGCCAGCGGCAGACACTCCAGCGGCAGATGCTGGTCTACCCTTCATCTTGGGAAACAACGGACAGGCCGCTCGCCGTCTCCTCGGCCAGGTTGTGCGCATCGCACGCGCCGCAACCGCATGTCTCGAGCATTACAGCACGCAATGTCGCCTCATCACACCGCAGCACCTCGTACGCCCTCGGCGAAACCTCTACCGCCATGGCGACTCCCGTCGCCCGCCCTGGCGCGAGACTGCCGCCGGTCGTCCCTACGTCCCACCCGAGTTTCATTGCTGCTCGTGGCAAGAAGGCCAGCGCGCAATGCGCGGTCTCTGGCGGCTGCGCTTGGCCGAAGCGCTCGCTCAAAGCGCAGCGGAGCGCAACGTGAGCTTGGACCTGTTCTTCTTCGCTGACTCGGAACCGTGGGGCGAGCAGGATGAGCTACTAACGGCCGCCGAGTATCTGGGCTACAGCCAAAACGCGCCCCTGAATCCCATCCGACCAAAGGACGACATCTGGTGTTGGCCCGTGGCTGTGGTAAAGGCGTCCACGGCTACCGCCTCGCTACCCTGGGAGACGCTGCTGTCGCCGCTGCACGAGGTAGACACCCGATCGCGTGGGACGCTCCGTCTAGCCACGGCAGGGTGGCAGCATTGGGTCAGGCTCGCATCACATCCGGCGTCGCCTGTTCGCGGCGTGCCTTTTTGGCCATTTCGTCACCTCGGCTTTGCGCTTTGGGACAGAGAGAAGCTCGAAACGATGCAGCTGGTGCCGCTCGAGGTCAAAGCGACGCAAGGCGGTGACAGGGGCGTCGCCTCGCAGGCGGAATGGTTCTTTACCTGGCGCAGCCTCGTGCCTGCAGGCCTGCGCACTGAGATAGAAGAACGTCTTGATCGAGACCTCGAGGGCTGCGGGCAGGACGTACGAGATTGATGGGATTGGCTAGCGTATCTATCTATGGAAAAGTCTCCGGTTGGCCATGTAATAAAACCTACCAAGCCCTGTTCTCCAAATGTGTCCAAGTACCCTCCTCCATGCTTGGATCATCGCATCACCGAGTCACCGATCTTACTTGGCCGGTATACCAGGGTATGTACGGTGCCACTACGGAAGGCTGTCACTGGTGGTTCTCGCGCGAGAACAGGGAGCACAGACGCCACTACTGCTCGTACATTTCCTAACTCTACCACTATTGTCGGCGCCAAGACCAGATTAACTCGTTTCGTTTCTACTACCTAGAGGATAGATAGAATGTGGGGATCAAAGTGCCAAGACCCGTTGCCAAAGGATTCAATTAGGCGATGCCGACAATCCTGGTAACATCGAACGTGCCATGCTAGTGAACTACTGTTTACGCTAGAGCATCCTTTTCATTCACCGAGTCAATTCACGCGGTTCAAGGACTCCATTTCGCGGAGTCAACATCATGGTACAGGCAAGAAGCCGAAGTGCCAACAATTAGCCTACTCCACTACGAGGAGCCTTACCAACAATTAGATCACATCAGTAAGAAATGGGACCATCGCCTGTTCGAAATCGAGTGCAATTTCCTGGAATCGACGTCCTTATGAGCGTCGTTTTCCCGTCGTGTTCTCTCTGTGGATGAGCATCTACTCCGGTCACTCTTTTGTCCCACTGCTCTCCTAGCCCCCAACGCTCTTTAACACAGTCACTCGTTTTACAGTACCTTCTTAATCGCAATCATGCTGCGAGCTACTACCAGCGTTCAACGCTGGATAATGGCGTTTCTTGCTTTCCTACTCGTATCTACCGGGTGCGCCCGCAGTGTCCCCCTGCAGTCTCTGTCTGGACTCGATGATGGTGCTCTGGCGACGGGCAACGCAAGTCTCGTCAAACGCCAAAACGACAATTTGGTGGTGGATTGGGCGGATAGAGGCCCTTTGCTGAATAAGGGAAATGGATTTGTATGTTTGTTTTTCTACCACGCCCCCTCATCTTAAGACGATCTTCGTGTAAGAGCTTGTCGTTTTAAAAAAAAAATCTCCACGCACTGCACATCCCTTAACCTCCTCTTCGCGCAAACACTTACCCTCTCGTCTTTCCCACCAGGTCTGCGCCTTCTCCCAAACCAACTACCAAATCTGGGCCGCAAACAACAACCAGAATCCCCAGAGCATATGGACCCAGTACGACGACCTTGCCGCCCAAGGCTGGGACGACGATATGTACATCAGCGGCGCCGGCGACGAAGACGACGACGCGGACAACGAACCGGCGTACGGCACCGACATCGACGACGCGCTGGAAGGTCTCGGCAGCGATCCTGAAAACTGGGGCAAGATCTCGGCGTTGCATGCTAATAACTGGGTTTGGAATGACGTGGAGTACGAGGCGACTGGGGCGGATTACCAGCAGGTTGTGTACCCTGTTGGGGGAAGTACGTACCATCTCATACCAACCATGTCCTTCTCCCTCCCTCCCTACCTAAACTAGAAATCCTTAGTGCGTGTCCTTCTGGCAACTAACACCCCACAGTCCTCGCCGCCGACGTAAACTTCTCCCCCGCCGCCGCAAGCTACGGCACGCGCCCACCCCTAGAGCGCTGGTCCGACGTCGCCTACCTCCAATGGGAAGCCATGTGCGCGCAATTCTCTCGCAGCGTGCGCGACCTCTCCGCCATCCTCCGCGTGCACGTTGTAAACAAGCAGTCCGCTGCATGGATCATCGCCAGCGTCAAGAACTACGACAGCCGCATGGGGAACGCGCCCCGCGCGCGGATGCCGACGTGGGCGAATCGCATTACGTTTGGTATTGAAACGGAGGAGGCAAGGGTACTGCTTGGTACGCCGAATGGGAGTGGGGGTGCGTTCTTGCTGAATACGCATAAGGATCAGCTGGGGCTTAAGAGGATTAGTGAGGTTGTTGTGTGGGATTATGAGGGGTCGGTTATTGATGGGCCGAGGGAGAGTATGGGGCTTTGTATGGCGTTTATAGTTGAGGATGTTTAGCTGGTGGTTGCGTAAGATTTGGAGCACGCGAGATGGGATTCTTCGATGGAGAATAAAAGATGCTCGTAATCTATAATACTTTGGAAGGAGACGGTCTGAGGCGAGGCTCGCCGTGAGGAAGTGCAGGTTGACAGACAGACACGACATGGAGAAAGGATTTGAAAAAGGGGCTATCTTCCATCATCCAACTTCGTGAAGATCTTTCCGTCATGACTTCGCTACAACAAGCCAAATTGAGAGAGAAGACAATTGAAGTTGTATCTTGGACCACAATGTTCACTTCCCCCGCTTGTATTCCTGTTCGCTAATATCGATAAATGAAAATTTATGAATGTGGGCATGAGTCTAGTCCAAAGACGCGACTCGTCAATTTTCCAAAGACGCCCCTGTGGTTGTCAGCATGGAACACAATATTGGATCTGTCCACGACCTAACAATAGTAAAGGGTAAAAGTACCAAATGTAGAACACTAAGAATATATTCATAACTCATAACTAATAACACGTATTCGAAAGATACTCTCCAAATCATACCCCGTACAAGCCAGCCGTACAGATACAAAAATGCCACCCAGAACCCAAATGCAAGAAAAGCAGCGACCGTGGTATATCGCACCCTAAACTCCATTCAATGAAGACCCATCCTTATATGCCCAGCCCGTACTTAAAGTGCAAATGAAAACGCAACACGCCCAAGAGACAACACCAAGCATAGATACGCTAAGCCACTATCCTCTTCAAACCTCCAAAGAACCCCTTAATACCATTATCGTCTTTCTTCTTGCTGCTCCTGCTCCGTTCCGTCTCGCTGCGTCGCGGTCTCGCACGCTCTTCGCCTGCTCCCCTGGTCCGCGGTCTATCGCTTTCCGTCCGTTTGCTTGAAGGTCTTTCTTTTTCGGTGGTGGACATGCGTCGACTCTTAGGACGCGCATCCTCAACGATGGAAACGCGTCGGGTAGTTCGCCGACGTTCCCGATGATCACCGGAAGATGTCGATGCGACGCCAACAACGGCCGCGGAGTCGTCGAGGAATGGAGATCTTGGACGATCTTCCACATCTTCGTGAGGTTGGGGAGGTGCCATTGCCTCTGCTGGCTCAGGTAGCGGGGCATCGTCGACAGTTGCATTCAGTGAGATGCCTCCATCACGAGCACCCGACATTTCTGGCTTGTATCCTTTGGCCTTGCGCCGCTCCTCCTTTCGAGCACGATACTCGGCTTCCTCTTCCGCGGAGTTGAACCGGCGGTGCGCGTGTGAATGGCGACGACTGCGATGCGGCCGCTCCGCCCTTTCGCGACTCTCATTGGAGGAATGTTGGCTGCTGGCTCGACCCTCCTTCTCCTTTCGCAAGGCCTCCACAGGGCTTGGTGGTGACTCTGCAGGGTCGGTACGAACGCGAGCTACAGGTTTGATTGACTTGGCGTTAGGCACGACGGGTTCTGTTTTCGATCGACCAAAGAGTCCCCCAAGCAAACTGTTTCTACGTGGGGGAGGTGGTGCGTCTCGGCGGCGGTCGCTCGTGTGCTTACGCGTAGCCGCACGTGGAGTGACAGGGGATTCTGGAACAGGCTCCTCTTCCTCTTCAGCAGCACGGCGAGCCGCGTCGCGAGGTTCGGGTTCCAGGACCTCGGCTTTTTTAGGCGTCAACTTCTCCTTTTCGCGACGTTGGCGGCGCAGCCTTCGGTCTTCTTCTTCCTGTTCGGCCTTTTCACGCTCCAAGCGCCTGGCTTCTTTCTCAGCCTCATGCCTTTGCCGCCGCTTCTCGTGTCTATTTCGTCTTTCTTCTTCTTCCCTTGCATGCCTTTCTCCAGCTTCTCTTGCAAGCCGTTCCTCCTGCTCTTTACGCATTTGCTCTTCCTCCGCTCGTCTGGCCCGACGCTCCTCACGACGCTTCTGTCTTCGTTCTTCGTCTTCTTGTTCCTTTCTAGCCGCCTCCTCTTGGGCTAGTCTTTCTTTCTCTGCACGTCGGGCTTCACGACGCTGCTTTCGCTCAGCTTCAGCTTCGGCCTCCTCGACGGCGCGACGCTTGCTTTCTCTATCGTCGCCCCTGTCGCGGTGATGTCTGTGTGACTTGTGCTCGCGATGTGATCTTTCCTTGCTACTGCTGCTCCCTTTCTCGGCTTCTCGCATCTTCTCCTTGTGCCTGCCGTGCTCACGGTCAGTCATGCTATCTCTTCGCTTGTTCTTGGCAGATGCAGCGAGCTTAGTAGCAGCCAACAAAGCTATAGGATTGAGCGTGGGACGTTCACTAGCGCTAACGTTGCTCTCGCGTCTGCGATGTGAGTGTTTGCTGTCACGGTGTGCGTGAGAGTGTCGACGCCTATGTTTTTCTCTCGGTGTTGTGTCCGGTGTGGGCCCGTCAACCACGGCTGACTCGTTCGGCGGCGTTCGCGGTTGCGTATCGTCAAGTGGACCCGTTGAATCCAGTAGTTCCTTGGTTGTGGGCAGACCTGTGTCTTGAGTACTTTCAGGCTCCTCAACTGCTTCAGGTTGCTCCAGAGATCGTTCTGCGGGGGCATCCTCCGCCATGGGCTCAACATGGGGAGGATCTTCAGTCACCGATTGCGTTGCAGGTTCCTGTACTTGTTCGACAGGTGCTTCCTCGCTGATATCAAGTGCAGGAGTGTTGGACTGCTGTTGCGGGTCCGGCTCCCCTGCGACACTTTCTTTGGCTTGTTCTTGAACTGCTACCGCTCCTTCTTCCGCGGTTCCTGCAACCTTAGGATCAGTTCCTTCAGTGACCTTCTCAGCTTCCTTCTCGTTGGAGTTATCTCCTACATCTACAGCAGCCATTATGATGGATGAGTCTTCAAGTTCCGCGGGAGGTGTAGTGGGTTGAACCTCATCCATTTCTTCATCGAGTGGGGTGTGTGAAGCATTTTCGGATTCATTGTTTGCGACTTCTTGAGTTTGGTCGCCTGCATCAGCATATACCGGGTCTGGCGGGGGATCGGTAGCTCCATTGCTGTTGCCTTCGACCTCCTGCTGATCCGTGTTGTCGGGTGCTTTTTCTGTAGGCGCTGAAGATTCCGGATCGCCAGAAGGCTCTGTAGTAGCATTGTCAAGCGGCAACTCGGTCTTCTCGGACAACGCCTCCCCAGCAGTACCCTCGGCAGCGGTAGGTTCTGTGCTTGCTTCTGCCTCAGCTGGCGGTGCATTTTCCTCAGCAGCGCAATCCTGTGATCCGGCTTTGCTTGGCTGTGCGTCTACGGGGCTTGGCTCTTGTTGTTCGGATCCAGCCTGCTCAATAGGCGGTTCTTCTTGTTGCTCTGACGTAGGTTGAGCACTGTCGGGCTCCAAATTACCAGCATCAGCTTCACCTGGCTGCTCTGCCTGCCCACTGGGACGTTCCTCTTGCGATTCAACTTCACCTGTGCTTTCCGCTACGGGCTCGCCAGATTCATTCTGCTCTTTGGCTGCTGCTTCGCCGTCGTTGGCTGGCAAGTCTGCAGTAGCATCCGGCGAGTTGATTTCCTGCTCCTGTGTAGTACTGGGTTCCGCCGAAGGCTGCTGATCCTCAGGAACGATGGCTTCCTCCACCTCTTCATTGGTTTCTTGTTCTGGGGTGGGCTCGCTCTCCTTGGGACCATCTGAAGCGGGATCCTTCTCATCACTAGCTTCTTCGGAATCAGGTTGGGTATGAGTGTCAGTTTCGGTATCTTGAGACGCTGGCTCGACCACCGTATCCTCTGCGATTTGCGCGACCTCGGTCCCTTCCATGGCCGTCTCTCCGATCACCAGTGGCTCGGTTTGCTGTGCAGCAGACGAAGCATCACCAGCGTCGGTCTCATCTTGAGGACCCTGTTCCAGGGCGGGAGCGGGCGCTGGAGACGCCTCCGTCGTGACTTCATCTACTTCAACCGGCAGAGAGGGATCGTCGCTCGTTTGCGCCTCTGTTTCTGCTGTAGAGCCTTCTGGAGAAGGAGGATCGACAATCAATGCTGCATCCTTTGAGTCCACATGCCGTTCGTCGGGGATCGACCTGTCGACATCTGCTATACCGTCAGTTCAGCTCACCAATAGTCCCAACCCGAAAATCAACACAAGTATATGTACAAAGGGAAAACTTTCTTACCTGAACTCTCTTGCAAATCCTCAGTCACATGAGCCTCGACAGGCTCTTGCAAAACCGTAGGATCGTCAACGGTCGTGACAGGATCGCTAAGATGCTCAGAGTTGGTGTCCGGGTCCATCTCATCGGCCGCGTCAGTATTCGCATCGTTACTTATCTCATTGTTGTCACCCTCTGGAGCCGCTGCGGCAGGTACTTCAGGTTGCGACGATTCGGAATCCGAGGATGGAACATGACTCTGCCCGGGGCCGTTGCCCGCCGGCTCATCTACGACGTCGCTCACGTTGCCGCCAGTGGCGAGCGCAGGTGTCTCAAGGGTCTTTTCCGGCTCTTCACTCGCAGCTATCGGGCTCGATTCCTCCTGCACTGAATCGTCATTTGCGGGTGCGTCGGAGGGGACCTGCAGATCGGACACAACGGCGCTATCCTCTTCTTGGACAGCTATAGACGCATCAGTATTCGACCCATGGCTGGAATCCACAGCAGCTTCAGCATGCTTGCTAGCCTCTTCCTGGGCGACCGGTGTATTCTCGGCTTCAGCGGTTATTCCGGTGGCTGAGAGTTCGCTATCGCTGCCAGGAATTGTGGTAGTGGTCGTCTCCTCCCCGCCATCACCACCACTGTCTTGCTCGCCTCGTTCAATTTGAGCGTCCTCGGGCTCAGTTGCGCTGCTATCATCATGAGGAGCTGTTTGGGTCGCGAGCACAGTAATTGGCACATCATCTGTAGCTTCTTTGTCGTCTTCTTTGACGGGGTCAACCTGCTCTTCGGGGTTGCTGTCTTTCGCTTCCTTGTCCTCGGAAGCATTATCTTTCGTCTCATCTCCATTCGCAACGATCATTGTTTCACTGGGAATTTCAGGCTGATCAGCATCTAGTGTACCATCACCAGCTGAATCGTCATGAGGAACGTCCGTCTGCTTTTGACCCTCATCAGGCTGATCAGAGTCCGTTGAAACATCAGTAGTGGGCATGTCCGTGGTCACTTTTGGATCCGAGGAGTCCCGTGTAAAGTCGGTCTCTACAAGTGGTGCTTCAGTTTTATCCTCTTCAGCATTGGAATCGTCCGTTGCATGTTTGTCAATCGACTGTTCGATAGGCGCCTGGCTCACTTCAGACGGAGGCATGGTGCTGTCACCAGAATCGACCGTATCCTTGGATTCAACTATGTCAGGGGAGGTCATCGTCGAAAGCTGGTCTTTCTCGTCTGGTTGATATTCGGCATCGACGTGATCAGCCACATCTACAATTCCAGTCTCGGCTTCTTGAGCGTCATTGGCACACACAGATTCCTCGTTACCACCGTCAGCATCACTAGCAAGAGTGGTCGCGTCGGTAGAGTCTTCTTGAATGCCCTCGCTTGAACCTTCGCCCTGGACGGCCTCCGGTTCGCTTGTAGAAGAATCCAGGTCTTTTTCCTCGTCATCCTGCCTTGATGCCTCGGAATGCGCCTTCATGATTTTCTCGACTATAGCAACATCGAGGGGATTTGGTTCGCTGTCTACAACAGGTTCATGGTCCGTTACTAGGTGATCTTGTACTGCAGGCTGGTCTTCTGTCGTGGTTTGTTCCGGGAGCACAGGCTCGCTCTCGCTACAAATTTCTGATGCAGCTTCCTCTGAAGCATGTTTCTCATCGGAAAGTTCGCTTCCCACAACAGACGCATCGTTTGCTGGGAGCTCGTCCCCTGTTGAAGGCTCCAGATCAACCGATTCAACTGCAGGCGCAGTATCTGTATCAACTACGAGAACACTGACTTCTTCCGATGGAGGTACACTTGCTGCAGTCTGCTCGGTATCGGTAATGGGCTGGCTCTCATTGGGGGATTCATCTTCAACTGCTGATTCGGACTCGGTCGAGATCTGACTGCCCGGTGGCAAATCATCGGCGGCGGAAGAAGCTTCCATCACGACCGGATTTTCGCTTGGGCCAGCGGCACTGTCTCCAGAGTCTTCCTCGTTGTCCTGCTCCACCGTGACTGGTGATTCTGCGTCAACAGCAGGCTGCGCACCCTTTTCGTCCTCATGTGAGGATTCTGTAGTCGTAGGTGAAGGGTCCTTTGACCGGGTGTCCTCGTCAGGTACGTGTTGTTCTGCAGCTGACTCATCGTCAGCGGCGGGGGTGGTCTCACCGTTCTTGTCGTCGTCAGAACTTTGTTCTCGCGTGGCGTCCATGACCTCAGAACCCGCTTGAGTGACAACCTCTGCTTCGACGCTTGCGTCGTTACAACTTGAAGCCTGTGAATCCTCGTTTCCGGACTCACTTGGAGAAGATTTTGATGCTTCGGCACCCAGTTGCTCGGTCACATCATGGATAGGCTCCTCGGGTGTCTCTGGACCTTCAACAATGGATTGAACTGGCGTGTCGCTCGTCACCTCCGGTTCAGTCTCAAGGGTTTCTGGTTCCGAGCTAACTTGTGCTTCCTCTGAAGGGATTCCGCTTGCGCCTTCGGCTTGATCTGGAGGCGTTGGCTGCTGCCGTGCATCAGGCTCTACAACTGCTTTGTCTTCGGATTCAGAGCCAGCCGGTTCTTCAGGCTGGCTTTCTGCGGACTCGACCTCTATCGGCTGACTTTGTTGAGGTTCGCGCTCTTGAAGCGTTGTTACCTCAGATCGGTCTTCTGCAGCCTGAGTTTCTGTAGCATCGCTATCACCAGAAAGATCTTCTTCAGGAGTGCCTTCTTCAGATGGTTTCAAAGTTGTATCAGGGTCGGACTGGCTCTCTTCAGCCAGGGGGAGGTCAGATGATTGGCCATCAGGTAGGCTTTCTTCGGGTGGAATGTCTGGTGGTGCGTCCTGCTCTCCACTTGCATCAGCCTCTGTCGCTACACTGCCTCCTATAGGAGCTTCGTCTTCTACAGGTGCATCGTCTTCTGTAGGTGCATTGTCTTCTGGAGGTGCATTCTCTTCTGCAGGTGGGTTTGCTTCTGAAGGGGTATCGTCCTCGGTCACTACACTGCCTTCTGCAGGTGCATCGGTCTCAATCGCTACACTACCTTCCACAGGTACATCATCTTCTGCAGGCGTGCTTTCTTCTGATGTTGGGCTTTCTGACGGCGGCGAGCTTTCTTCTGTAGGCCGGCTTTCTTCAGCAGGCGAGCTCTCTTCCGTAGGCGGGCTTTCTTCTACCGACGTAGTACTTTCGGTAGGCGTGCTCTCTTCTGTAGGCGAACTCTCTTCTGAAGATGGGCTGACTTCTACGGGGGCGTCGTTCTCTGTAGGTAAATCGTCTTCTGTAGATGCGTCTTCTGTAGGTTGGCTTTCTTCTACAGGCGGACTTTCGTCTGTAGATGGGCTAGGTTCTGCAGGCGGGCTGGGTTCTGTAGGCGGGTTGTCTTCTACAGGTACGGTTACGGTGGCTCCTTCATCGGCAGTAACACCGTCGTCTGCAATATCCTGATCAACAGGCGCACTCTCTTCTACAGAAGCAACCTCCTCTGCTGGGGCGCTTTCTTCTGCTGGGGCGCTGTCCTCTGCGGAAGCAGTCTCCTCTATAGAAGCACTTTCCTCTGCCGGAGTGCTGTCTTGCGCAGAAGCACCTTCCTCTGCTGGTGCACTCTCCTCTGCTGGTGCACTCTCCTCTGCTGGTGCACTCTCCTCTGCTGGTGCACTCTCCTCTGCTGGTGCACTCTCCTCTGCTGGTGCACTCTCCTCTGCTGGTGCACTCTCCTCTGCTGGTGCACTCTCCTCTGCTGGTGCACTCTCCTCTGCTGGTGCACTCTCCTCTGCTGGTGCACTCTCCTCTGCTGGTGCACTCTCCTCTGCTGGTGCACTCTCCTCTGCTGGTGCACTCTCCTCTGCTGGTGCACTCTCCTCTGCTGGTGCACTCTCCTCTGCTGGTGCACTCTCCTCTGCTGGTGCACTCTCCTCTGCTGGTGCACTCTCCTCTGCTGGTGCACTCTCCTCTGCTGGTGCACTCTCCTCTGCTGGTGCACTCTCCTCTGCTGGTGCACTCTCCTCTGCTGGTGCACTCTCCTCTGCTGGTGCACTCTCCTCTGCTGGTGCACTCTCCTCTGCTGGTGCACTCTCCTCTGCTGGTGCACTCTCCTCTGCTGGTGCACTCTCCTCTGCTGGTGCACTCTCCTCTACCGGAGTGCTCTCTTCTGCAGGGACACTCTCCTCTTCTGGAGCGCTCGCTTCTGCAAGTGCAGTCTCCTCTCCAGGTGTGCTTTCATCTGCAGCTACAACCTCCTCTGCAATCGGCTCTTCTTCTGCTATTGAGCCTGCTTCTGCAGGTTGGCTGCTTTCTTCCGGCGGGCTTGTTTCCGGCAGACTTTGCTCCGCAGCCTCGGTGCTTTCCTCGGGTTTCTCTTGAGCAGGTGGATCAGTGGTAGCTTCTTCCTGCGGGTCCGTTGCTTGTTGAGAATCCTCGGGCGACGGCGTTGCAGCTGAGTCAGCCACGGAGCTATCCTGTGCCTCAACCTTTTCGTCTCCGTCATCCGCAAGACTGCCCTCAGTGTGAGAAGCATCGCTGCTCTTCCTGGTTTTCTTGCCCTTGGACTTCTTTTCCTTGTCGTCGTGCTTCTTCTTCTTTCGTTCGTCTGCTTTGCTGGGCTTCTTCTTCGAAGACGGTGGCGCTGGCAGCTCCTTTGCAACAGGCTTCTTGTCATCTTTAGGGGCACTTGACGACTCCTTTTTCTTGGTGTCCTTCAGAGTTTTCTTCTTGTCCTCTTTGGCAGGTTTCTTCTCCTCCTTTGGCGACGCCGGTCGGACTGGAACGGGATCTCTGATGCGCACGAAACCAGTGGCCTTGCCCTTGCCAATCTTCTTGGCAATACCCTTCTTCTTGCTACCAATGCTAACGGCGTCTGGGTCTTTAACGTCAGGGGAGAAGTGAACGGACTTTGTACTTGGGGACATCGGGGGCTCTTGAGCAGCCTGCTCACACTCACCACTCTTTTCGGCAGGCTCTTGGGCTGTGTCGATGGGGGGGACTTGGACGACTTGATCGGATTCATTGATCGTTTTGGTTTCCTCTTGAGCGGCAGGCGTAGGTTCGGAAGGCTCAGATGGTGGTGGCGGATTATCATCGGATGGTGCATCCACCTTGGGACTTGCATCGTCGGCCGGACTAGGCTCGTCTGCAGTTGGTGGTGAGGCTTCAACGGAGACAGGCGGCGTCACATCCTCGGCCTCCTTCGCCGGAACAGCCTCTCCAGGCGGTTCGACCTTTACATCATCGGGTTTGGCATCCCCAGCAACATTGTCTTCTCCAGGACTTGATGCCGCTTCCGGTGGCGCCGGTTGTGCGGCGGTCTCTTCTGTACTTGCACTTTGTTCAGGTGCCGGGTCAGCTGGTGGATCGGAAGCCGGTGGTTGCTCTGCTGATTGATCCGCTGGAGCATCCTCTTGTGCGGGTGTCGGTTCGGGTGCTGTAGGAGGTGGTGGTGGCTCGGAAGCTTCTATCAAGGTATTATCAAGGGGTACACCGGATTGTCCTTCCTACTGTCAGTGTATCACGAAATGTGCGCCGCAACACCACTACATACCCTCTTCGGAATCATCGTCATCGCTATCTTCTCCAACGACCTGTTCGACGCCCGGATGATAGAATATGGGAGCGGGTGGAAGCACTACACGCCGAAACACCGGCTGCTGGGCGGGTGCGGCATAGATGTTCTTCCCGGCATTGGGGCCTGTGGTGTAGGGATTCGCCCATGGCGAGTACGATATAGTGGCAAACTGGCGCATTGTTGGACAGAAAGCTGGATCGCGCTGCGTAGGCGTCCAAAGATGTAATAACTCGTGCTACTAGCTAGCTATACTGTATGGCTTTTCCGAGCCATTGCGGGTGTAATCGACGGGACAAGAAGCGCAATGGCGACATAAAACGTGGGAAGCGGGATCTGGGTGTGGGGAAGCGAATGGGAGACGACTCAGGGAAAAGCATGTGTATGGAGGCTGTCGTGGCTCAATGGGGCGACAGATGAATAGCCTGTAACGTGGGAGTGAGAGAATTGCAGACCGATAGCCACGCAGACAGATTCGCACAGGTATGCAAGGTCGGCCCAAGCCTCACGCAGGTAGTCGAAACCGTTCGGAAGCCTCACGCTGGCAGTCCCGTGACCGCACACAGGATCGAATTTGGGACGATGCTTGGCCCATTGCCATTGGAGCCACGTCAAGACGACTCGGTCGTGCTCGCGATGAGAGAATTGGAAACCCGGGAAGTGGGTGTCTGGCGTGCATGGCCTGAGGCCATTGGCCGTGTCCCACGCTGTGTGTTAGCTGCATGGCACCGGCTTCTCGTTGGCCGTGATGCAGCGTTCGTGGTCACCTCCCAACGGCCCGCGAACGAGGGACCGCGGTCGACAGCGGGCGGCGGCGTGCGCCATCCTGGCACGGTCGGGCTGGCAGGAAGGTCGGCAATGCAGGGGCATGCGTCTAGAAAGATGAATAAATTGGGCGCTGAGCAGGTGGGTGAGGTGGTGAGTGTGACGTGGCGTGGGGCGAGCGAAGGCACTGAAGGACCCTCGCTTGCGCCTTCCTTGACCGGTGCTCTGCAAATGAAGCTCATTTTCTCCTCTCAAGCTGCGCAACGTAGGACGAACGGAAGCCGGACACCTGCGCTGCACCCTCGAAGCTTCGCGTACGACAGAAGGCCGCCATGGTTAGTCGATGGGCGTTGCTACCGGTCGCGCCGCACCCACCCGCAGTCCCCGGCCCCTGCAAGTGACGTGCATCCAGTAATCGGGGTGCCGCTGCAATCGCAGCGGCTATCGAGTTTATCGTCGATACGGCCGACGACGAATACCGTTCGCCAACGTGTTCCAACCTCAGTGCCTGACGCTTAAGGCGGGTGTCGCAGTGTGGCTGGTCATCCCAGCAGTTGGCGCAGTAACCCAGCAAATGGCATCCGGTGAGACCTCCTCATTGCTGCCCTCGGTGACATTTCCCCGCGTTCTAGATAAGTATACAAGGCGAATCATGTCCATGTCATCTTTCGTACAAGAAGTGCGTCCCGGATTGAGCTCGGGACTCGCCGAGCAGACGCTCATCCGAATCGAGCAGAGCCGACATGTCACGTCGACATCGCCATCGCAGCGATAACTGCAGGGCGGCCTGAATGCCCACCATCTTCTATTCTGGTATTTGGTACTTTGATGTGATTCGTCATGCTCTCTACGCGTTAAGGAACACGGAGACGTACGCTTTACTCTAAAGTTGATAACGAGTCATAGCACACGCGAGAATAGACCCAGCCTTTCGTCAAGGCGTTGATTAGCGAGCGTGGACGCACAGTCGTTACGATGCCTCGCTGTCTAACATTCCGTAGCAATTTTGAACCAAGTTCGTGAGAATGAAAGTTGCTATCTGTTATTGTTTCGGCTCGTTCCATCTTACGAGACCTAGTCGCTAAAGGCATTGTTGCTTTGCGAAGACTTCTCTCTGATCGCAACAGTCCTTTGACAAAGACTTTTCGCTGCCTTCTTCAATTTTTGGTAGCACACCAGAGGCCTTGTGCGGCATCTTCGTTGAATCCTCCTCATCACTGTCCTCGTCGGACACGTCCTCCTGATCCACGACACCCATCTCATCTCCTCTAATCAACCCCATCAACCTCCTCTCCACTATCACTGTCCTCACCACTATCACTTTCCTCACTACTATCGCTATCCTCACTATCGCTCTCCTCGCCCGTCTCCCTCCTCTTAGCCTCCACAGCTGGTCTCACCCCCGCAAACCCAAAGACCCGCATAGCCTCATAATTCATCCACGCCACAAAATAGCACGCCTCGCACCCCAATCCCTTATCATACTTGCTACACCCTCCGCACCCCTTCCCCATCTCCCCTTTCCACCCAAACCCTAACGACGGTATCGCAACAGCAACTTCATACTGCTCGTACGCATCCCCGCCCAGATCTTCCCACGTATGGCAGCACATCGTCGGATGCGAGTGCCGCGGTCCCGTGAGCACGATACCAGGCCTTGTGCTTGTCTGGCCGAGCAGCGGAACGATACCAGACGTGTTCCACAGGCGGGACTCCGCCGTGCGGTGGTCTGTGAAGTCGGATTCGCGCGCTTGGCGTGCTACGTCGGTGTGGAAGAGGGCTTTCGTGTGCCAGAGCCTCTTGATTTGGGAAAGGTGGTCGGGGAGCATGTAGGCCGTATGGCAGCGACGGTTTCTGGGCCGCCAGGCGAGGTGCGCCCCGGGAGGGATTGTGCGTGCGCGTGAGGCTTCTGGCTGGAGCCTGCGCCAGGGGTGGGGATGCGAGTGAGGCCTGGGCGGCGCTGAGAGGCTGCGGGAGTACCGCGCGACAGCAGGGTGGAGAGGCTCGTGGTGCGAGGTGGATACACGGCTTTGGAGTGACCGGCAGCGTCGTATGCACGCACGTTGAGGCTCTTGCATTGCCTCACTGCCAGCTCCGGAGGCTGGAACGGGCTCCGTCGCCTCTGTGTGAACAGTCATCGAAGTATCTGCCATGTACGCGATCGCCGTGTGTAGTTTTAATATTCGGCAGTAGGACAGGATCGAAGTTTGGTACCAGGTCTTCCACAGGTAAAGTCGGTATAAGATCTTATATGCCGTGTATGCGAGTCGAAACAGTGTATGCGTGGACGATGGATACGGAGGATACATAGAGGAAAGAGAGAAGATATATTGTATATGTTCGAAAAAAGGCAATCGCAACCAGAGTCCTCTCGAAAAAAAGGCATTCGTGACCAGAGTTCTCTCGAAGAATAGGCAGTCGTGACCAAAGTTCTTCGATGGAATGTGGATCTTCGAAACCCGAGGGACAGAGCGGTTGCGACCCAGGGTTCCATCAAGCTCATGCATGCGGCTACGCGTGAAATATGATGCGATCCTACTGCCTCGAAGATGGTTTTGATGCGCGGTAGCATGTCTCAATATTTGTTCTCGGCCAGATGCCCGGTGCATGTATATCATATCTCCGGCCATGTCAGATTTCTTTGTCGTAATCACAGCATCGTACTCAGAGAACAACCCATTCCACACCAACGAGCCACTTTTCTGCCTGTTCACCGTAGCCGATATGCACATCCCAGATTGGAGCCCTCACGCCCACGACGCCACCCTCCCGGACTCTTACGCCTCCCTTTCCCCTTGCACCACCTTGACCTGCAAGCATGATATTGACCTCGGTGGGACCCACGTGATTGCCTTCAACTTGTGTGAAGCTCGAGGCTCTTGACACATTGTACAGGCTCGCATCAGTGACGCCGCGCAGGAAAATGATGCCACCGGGCCAGCACTCAACTTCCGAACCTCCGCAGCCTCGACCACCCATGACGCTGAGGACTTCGATCTTAATCTTCACGCCATCTTCCTTGTCTCTTCCCCACACCACGGTTGAGCTTGTATTCGCCGTGTAACCTATGCTCGCCGTCTCGTGGACCCAAGACTGTAGAGTGGAGGCCATGCCATCTGCAACGTACTTTCCGTTCTTACGACTAGGTGAAAAGGTTTCCGGGAGCGGGTTCGCAGATTTAGTAGGAGAAGGCGAGAGATGCGGTAGGATAAAGTGCGGTCGTGGGTGAATTCGACGATCGACCACGGTAGTCGAAGCGATACCGGGTACATTGGGCCGAGGGCCAGGTACTTTGAAGCGATGCGACACAGGTGAGGCTATCTGCGGGGAAGAATCCGCATGGGGAGTGGCAGGATCTCCATAGGCGTGAGTTGGAGATGTTGAAGGGTGTGGCGAGACTCGTCGCCGCTTATTGCGCTCTTCCACAACGAACAAGATTTCTTCTTCGTTCTCTTTATCCTCCAAGCCTTCGTCTTCGCCGAACATTGAGGACTGTTCGATGCTTGGCAGAACAGAGAGGCCATCGTGAGCTTCAGCGTTCGCTGAAGACGACGGAGAGGTATTTTCTATGCTCTCCACCTTACTCAACCTCGGTTTCGGCCACGGTGTACCTTGAGTATGTGCCCACGCTTCATCGACTTGGTCTCTCCCTCTCCTTCGTTCCCCGCTGTTTGGCATGTTGCGCAATGAAGATGGTGGCACTACAAATCGCTTTGCCGGCGTCACGCGCCTCGGCCCATCCGCTTCATCGTATGTACCTCGTGGTTGGGAGGCTGTTGGTCTTGGGGTGTGAGCTGTCGCTGCATGACGAAGGCCCGATTGCGGCTTTTGCTTCGGTTTCTGGGTTGCAGGCGCGGCTGGCGCTAGGAACCGGTGCGGTGAAGGTTTGTGAAGCGGCATCCTGCTATGGGTACCATCGCTCCAGGAAGATGGGGTAGTGAGCGCGTGTATCGGTGGTTTTGGTGCTTGAGAGACGGCATTGCGACGTGAAGGTGGGATGAGAGCACTAAGACAGACGCGATGACGCCTAAGCGCGGCTTACAGATTGACGCGCGATCACGAGCGCGCTAGCCGCATGTGTCCGGCAGCCCTTACGATCTGTATTGCAAACACGACTGACTTCCTACACCCATAGAAAGTGTGTTCTTTCATCTAGTATACTCAATTCGATTCTTCGCGTTCGAACGGGCAATTACGAGTGTGCCGGACAACCCTTCGAAGAGACGAGCAATACTTCTCGGCGAACCCCTCTCCTGCTTACCCCGACCAATACCGCCCTAGTCTAGATATGGTCGTACTGCAGTTCACCCCGGCGTATAACTATCCCAACTGAGCAACTGATGCACGTCATGCACTGGCTACGAGTGTAAGGTAATGTTCGGGCTCAAGTTGATCAAGCCGGTCGCGCTGAAAATAGCATCTTAATATGTTAGAAGCAGCTTGTTGAGCGTTGGATCGTACAGCTAGCTGCCCGGAGCAATCACCGTCGCGTATACGGTGCCGTAACGGGCTGAACAACTCAGCAGCCACAATCGGTACGCTAAATCGTCATGATATAGTACATAAGCACGCCCATTCTTGACTTCTTGTAGCTATCCACCGAACGAGCAATCTCCGGCTACCACTCATCGCTTTCTGAGTCCAGCAAATTTCCTCCATCTCTTACTTCGAGACGCAGATTTGGCAGCTCAGCGCTATCCCTCAACTCCAGGATCAACAACAAGCTCTCATCAGCATGCGTTTCACCCTCTGTGCAATCGCCTGTCTTGCCTCAGGTGCCGTAGCGAAATGCTTGACTGAGGCTGCCGCCAACCGAGTCGCGAACAACTTCAGAAGTACCATCACCGATTACAGCACCGCCTTGGCTGCAAGAGTCCTCTCGGCAAACTTCATCGACTACTCTGACGGCGTGAACGAGCTGATCAACAACGGATGCCCTAACGGCCCTAAACCTCTCGGAAACGCTACTTTCTCCTCCCTCGCAGACTTCCAAGCCGGCCAGGCCTCTCAGCCGCCAATTCCTTTTGAGATCCTAAAGATCTGGTACAACTGCGACACTGTTATTATGCGTTGGAGATCTGTTGCGCCAGGCTTTGTCCAGCCGGAAGAGCCGGTCACTGGCATTATCGTGCTGGAAACTTCCTGCTCTAAAGGCAAAGAGCCTTTCTTGATCGACACTGTCTACTCGGAGTTTAACAGCGGTGCCTGGCTCTACGATCTTGGCATCTTCAAGCCAACGAACTGCACGGCTTGAGATACGATCATGTTCATTTATCTCGCGGTCAGAACAGGTTTCGCAAACTTGGGCCCAAACTACAGCTCTGCAGCCACGAAGGGAGACATAGTCGCTAGCGTATCTAATTGTGCCTTGGATAAAATCTAGAGTTCACTTATTTTAGCATTATCTAGGACCCGATCTTGTGTTGTATTGACTTGAGCATGCGTTACACGGTGATTAATCGTATGGTTGAATCATAATTGTTGACAAACCTCCAGCCACTGTCTATCCCGATATACAAAAAGTAGCATAACATAACACGAACCCAAAGTGAAATAATATCTAACAGCAGGCAGTCACAAAATTGCGGTCAGTAAGAGAGTTGGTAGCGCAAATATCTGACTGATTTCTCCCATAACTTATCCACGCTGTGGCAAAACTTTCACTTAACTCAATTTGATCAAAAGAAGCATATCGTCCTGATCTCGATGCTCTCCCTCGGGGGCGCATCCTTCGAACTGGTCGAATCCACAAAAGCCGAATGCCCCACAAACCTTGCCCTACCATCACCCGCTGAATCGTAAGTTTTCAGCAAGATCACTTGTTCCTTAGTCATCCCTGGGAAATACCACCACTTGTGCCTAGACGAGTGTTGCAGGACGTAATTCTCTCCGTTGCGATCACGGTAATGAAGGTGCAGCTTGAGGAGGTCCTCATCCTTGCAGGACTTGACGTCGATCATGGCGAGGGGCCGCTCTTCGACGATACGTTTAACAGGCTTCCATACGTTGATGAAAGCAACGCGGCGTGAGAGGAGATCATCGGCTTCATCGGGTAGGAGCTGGCGGACACGTAAGGGCCCGGATTCAGCGGTGTAATCGCAGTGAACGAGCATTACGGGAGAGCGCTGAGTGGTGTTTTTCTCCATCGGTGAGTGCTTTTTGGGTGTTCTTTTCGGTGCGGATGGCATGGTCAAAAACAAGAACACGCTTTGCGTCCAAGGTAGCTTTGAGGAACGAAACTACTTTGGGATAGAAGGTTGAACGCACTGCTTCCTCATCTTCCCAGTCAGAATGCGAAGTTTTGAGAGAGTGGACCGAGAAGCCATTCTCGTCGATGTGGAAGTCTTTGGCATGTGGCCAGCCATTTGACATACTGACTTCTACCGGAGCGTCACCTGGTTCGTGGATGTTCTTAGCTTTCTCGGTCTCGTAGAAGTAGAGCTCGGTGATTCCGTCAACGGCTTTGGTGTAGTTCACAGTGGCACGTACTTCAGGTTGACCGTTGCCGCTGGCCCCATTACTTCCGTTCATCGGCGTACCGTCGGGAAGCAGAGCTTTGTCTACCGCAACTTGTGTCTTCTTCCAACTTTCCAATTGCTCCACCTGACCCAGCCACCGCTTGACACTAGGATATTTTTCAAGAGGTAACTTTGAAGCGGCGTGCAAATGCATGGGCGCCGCAACCGCAATGTCAGCAAGTGTGGCATTGGGACCAGTCAGCCACTTCGTCTTGTCAAGTTGATCGTTCATGATTCCCGCTCCCCTATGGAACTTTTCAGACTGGCCGTCGATAGCTTTTTGGTCAGGCTCTCCCTTGAGGAGCGGTTTGACGACATTCTCAATGAGGTATACATAGCACACCGAGAACCAGGTCGCAGCCTCCCAAAGCATCCATCTGTTAACATCAGCACGATGCTCGAGCTCTTTAAGGTATTAATGTCTCAGCCCCGGTTTTGTCGGTTGCGTATTGCAAGATGGCGTTCGATGTGAGTGTCAAAACACCATCTCTTGCCGCCGGAACTGTCGCATGCGGGTTGATTTTCTTGAAGTCCTCACTATTTTGCTCTCCAGCAAAATAATCTATGAAGTTCTGTTATAGTCTGCTTTCATCTCTTCCAGTCCAGCAAGGACTTTGCGAGAATTGATCGTACAAGGATCGGAATAGACTTGAATCGTCATGTTGGATGCTTTCAGCTGGTATCTTGATATCATGAACTGTAACGTGAAATTTGTTCTGATTCTAAATCGGAGGGTCCCGAAATGCTTCTATAACTAATGGTCTTTCAGCTCTATGCTTAGTGCTTCATAAAGGAAGCTACCTAGGTAGTCTACCCTACACTGTCTAACCGTGTCCCGTTGTCCATTCGAACGATCTCCTAGAGACGCGCGCTGTGATGCTGTGGCATACGGCTGCATCGGTAGCGGTCCTATCGTTTGTATTGGTTACCCCGCTAGGACGATCTAGTTATTAGGGACTTGGTCAACTGTTTTGGATCGCGTGGCACATGTTAGTTTTTAACGATTTCAGTATCGAGAACCAGTAACCGGACTAGCCTACTGATGATCATGTTGTGTCCGCTTCTTTCACAGCGACGCACATTAAAAAAGTGACTTGGTTGTCGCGCCAACATGAGAGACGGTACTGCCCTATCCGCAGCTTGGACACGTTCTATATCGCGAGTTACCCTTCGCTACACAATTATACATGTTATAACTGGCCTATATATTAACACAAGGGTTTAATTTTAGGAGAGGTTGATGCTGATTTGTATCGACCATTGTGTTTAGTACATTGTAGCAATAAAGTTCGCTGCGGTGCTACACTCCTTGGCACTATCTGGTATTAGCAAAAGACCAATATTATCGTTCCAGTGAGCTTGACGAGAGGACATGTAGGCTCAGTAAATGAAATGACCGTCATTCACCAATTACACAACGCTCATTTCAGCCGAACACATCGCTGGCATCACTACGCACAATATTGAACCCCAAGAGAAATTGAATTGCTAAACGAGTGTGTGTAAAAGCTATAATGAGTGACGTTCCCCTTTCCTTCACCTGCGAACCCTCTACATCAATACCCCGCTACACCGACCCAGTCGATCAGTTTCAGTGTTCGGTGACATGACTTGGACTTCAGTTCCAGCTCTTATCATCCTTGTCATCGGCTTTCTTTCCCTTGTCCATCTTTCCCTCATCCTTCTTTCCGTCCATCTTTCCATCTTTCTTTCCGTCCTTTCCGTGCTTCTTTCCCTTGTGGTGATGGTGGTGATGGTGTTCTTTCTTCTTTCCGTCTTTGTCATCTTTGCCGTCCTTCGGCATGTGAGCATCCTCAGGCTCGGCGGTCCGAGCAGCTAGGTAGTGCGTGTCCTTCTTCTCATCCTTCTTATCATCCTTGTGGTCTTTCTTCCCGTCATGCTTTGGCTTATCATGGTGCTTGTGTGCGCCATGGTGGTGATGGTGCTTCTTCTTGTCTTCGGGCTTCTTGTGGGCATCGGTCGCATCGACGTTGGCGCTAGCAGCATTGTCGCCCATAGCCTCTTCGCGAATGGCGAGGGAGTCGACATTCGGAGCAAGACTGGGGAGCGCATAGGCTGCGGTCATGAGAGCCGCGAGTGTGATGATGGAGACACGCATAATGGACAATTTTTTGAAAATTGAATGTAACAATGTGAGTGAAGTTGCAGGATTCAGTGGTCTCGATGGTTCGAGTCGAAAGGTGTCTCTAGTAGACTTTATACTTGATTCGGGAGATAGCTACCGATGAGCTTCCCAATTGATGAGCGTATTGCCGAGAAGAAGTCCCTCGTGGCAGAACGATGCTCTGGAATGCAGTGCGCGGCCTCATGGCGAAGACGCGCACTGCATTCCTTCCTCTGCAGCGAAGGCACAGAATATATCGAGTACGTAACCTGGAAATAGGTCGAACTCCGGGTCGTAGCACATGGTTATTACCGAATGCGTTGGCACTAGCTTTGGTAAAGCTAGAATTGGTGTGAAGCGTAAGGACCCCCTTGCATCACACCTTAGAACTACCAACGCAAGTCGTATTAGCACAGACGAGGGTCCCCTTGGAAAGCGCAATGCCCTCTACATCCCTAGACTTGAACGTTCCAATGGTTGACTGTCAAGCAGGTGTGCGCTTTCGCGAGATGAACGTCACTCTCGTCAGTCTGGTCACATGAGGGCTGACGTCCTGCTCAAAGTTTCGGGCCCACGTACAGCAAAAAAGATTTACGGAACTTACGTCCGCGTGAGCTGTGGCACGGGAGGCACCGCCGGAATGTCGGGCTCAAGGTCGGCTGATGCCGACGTAGAGTGAAGTACAAATCTGACCAGGAGCAATGAGGCCGCGGATCGCGGCACTGGTAGTGACCCCCTACATGAGCCCCACAGGTCCGCGCGTTCTGTGAGACCTTAGAGTAATAACTTCGCTTTCCAGTAAAACCTTTTCTGCAGAGTCCGGAAGCATCATTAAAGAGAAGAGCAAACCGGGGCTTGCAAAAGGATGTTATCAGTGGCCGCCGTCGAACAAGGGCAACATGCCTGAACACTGAAATACACCCCAGCAGCTTTAGTCTTGTAATGCTCGTGCAGACTCACTAGGTTCGTGACAATGCCAAGATGTTCAAAAGGATAATGCTCCCTTTGGAATTCGATTACGACGCTCTTGACGAGGACAGTGCTGCGACTGTAGAAACCTATCTCTTTTAGATTGGGACATCAAGAACCCAGTAAGGAAAACGTCGATTCCAGGGCATTTCCTAAGTAAACCCAATCGAAGGCAGCACCAAAGGTAAGTACATTTTGAATGTGGCAAATTTTGCGGCCAAGAACAATTTGACGTACCTTTGACACTTTTATCGGAGACAGTGTTCTGCGAAAATGATTAATGGCATAAAGAAGGGTGCTTCTTGTGCTTCCTAATTGCCTGCCATGCTTGTATGGGAGTAGTCTCGCTTTTAGTTAGTTTCAAGTTCTGGGGGGAATTCTAACAGAGTTTTAAGTGCAGCTGTAGGAACGGTCCACTGCGTATCGGCGGCGGGATATCTAGAGTTGAAAAGATTGAACCATAAACATCGTGATCACTCGATAATCGGGTTGGAAAGCATTGATCTGTGTCCGTTGCCGATGCTTCTAGCAGTTAAGAGCTCTGGCACCGGGACTTTATGATGACAGAGACACTGCTATTCCAAGGCCGAAATGGAATCAATACCCGCCTGAAAGTAGTGTCACGCTCTATGGCTTCGTGAGGAAGGATGTCTGGATCAATGGCATTATCATGTTGCAGGCGCATCGGGTTCTTGCTACTCATCCAGGTTCCTGCACATTATTTGCGGTATTATCGCTCCTGCTGAGTGGCCGCTCATGTTTGGACGGCAAGGTCGCCTGAATACCCCTCATTTTAGCCAGAAAAGATTCTAGTGTCAGGTCATGTGTAGCGTGGAGTCCAGAATTCTCATTCGAAAAGAAACATGTTGTGTAGGCACTTTAGATCATTTCGACAAGCGGCAACCTCTGGGCTGCAGGATGTCAAAAGGTTTCGTAACTTGAGCTGAGTTCATCCACGTACCGTTTCCACAAGTGGCTTGTGCTCTCGAAACCACTTGTCCCATCTTCTGGGGACTTGAGGTATGTGATCTTCCAGCGCGATGTTTCTTGCACGTTAACATGATTGAAACGGCGTGTCAGGGGCACTCGCATTCAAGCCTCTGAGCATCGAGGATTCCTCGTAATGATCCAGCACAACAAGGTAGTGTTACCTTGGTTGTTCCTCCTGTTCCGGTTTCGCCCTCCTCTCCACCACTGCCGCGCGATGGGCTGAGAGATATGAACGAAAATCGCCAGGTGATTGTCTCCTACCCCGACCTCTGACTATCACTTCTTCGCCGTTCTAAATCGTACTCCGCCGAATTCTACAAACTCTCGTAGGCCAACGTTCAGACGACGTACCAGACTATCAGCCCAACTATGAGACGGAAGAGGAGTACGTAAGGCACGAAATTTCGTGCGTTCTCATTACCCCCAAATCGCAGACGAGAAAAATAGACCGAAAGCTACTCAGGACAAAAGCTTCCCAGTGCTTCCTCTTCAACAAGTTCTTGGAGCACGCACAGAGACCTTGCCAAGGATTGCGATCGTCCAAATGGCTATAGATGCATGCAGAAAAGCAAGAGGACTGGCCAGCTTAAATTACCTTAGTAATCCCTTAAATAGGTGGAACGGGAGAGCAGCAGTAGTGAGAGAATCAGAACATCGAATCTAATGGACGGGGTTGGATGCATCCACCGGAAACCAATGGTCTCGAATTATAACCTAAGTTGATGGATTATTAGCTTGTGAGAAGACACTGAGCCTCTGAGGCTTAACAACAACGCGCAAGGCATTGTGAGCTCATATGCGCAGCCGTCCCAAACTACGATGTGCAGATGCTTGCTATAAGATTTCGTGATGGATTCGTGCTGAAAGGGTATAACGTAGTTAGCAGTTTTGTGCGACGGGTCGGGTGAGTGTGGGCCCTCGTGATTACGTTATCGATGTCTGACCCACCACGCCTAGACTTTTGGTAGCACTCGTCTACGCCATTGTCCCATCAACGGTTTTTATCCATGAGGAGCTTGTAGCACCAAAGATTCCGCTTACACTTCGAGTGTCCCACCAGAAGATCTTGATGCCAGAGGACCACCCTCATCAAGCCAAGAAGCGCAGAATTCGCCACTTTCGCCCCATCTTCGGCCAATCGAGACTACCGGCTATGGCCGCAGATGTGCCACAAACAGGCCTCCTAGCCCTGGTCGACGAGCTTCTTCTCTCGATAATCGATCAAATAGATTCTCGCGATACACTCTGCAGACTCGCAGCGTCCTGTCGTCGTTTCCAGGGTCTCACGGAGCCCTACATTTGGCGGACTCTGCTCGTAACCAATGGGGACCGTGCGAGGAGTATCGCTGCAGCGCTTGACATCCGCGAGGCACGGTCTTCTTATATTCAAGACCTATCAATACGATACCCGGACCACAGTAAAGATGGAATCCAGGAGCTCAATCATTTCATCGTCTTGATGGACAAGCTTCGCCATCTCACGATTGAATCACCGTGTCCTAATAACAGTGAGTGGAAAGATGATGTGGAATTTGATGGCTGGACGAAGATCGACTACACGACGCTGTTGGAAGCGTCAGTATACCCTCGAAAAGGGGTCCCACCTACGCTGCCCATGCTACAATCTCGTAAGTCTTGTGTTGATTTCCACTTGCCCGGTGCACCAGCGCACATTCCATATGTGCTTTCAGTGGTGTGTAGATGTAGATACTACTGTACGCGGCAGATTGCATAGCGTATCGTATGTATTGGTGCATCACCCAGACATAAGCACCTGGAACGTCTTCCGCCATGTATCCCATAACAACGATGATACAGCCGACTAACTGCCCATCAAGTCACACTTCATGGTCACGGTCCCGACGAAAGAAAATTCGTGTTCGGTCGTTGTGCGGTGGTGTTTTTACATCCCACCCTCAAACGAATAACGATATCATGCACCAACTTCGACGCCAAGATCACGCACGCCGACATCACAGAGAAGCAAAGGCGGTCAACACCACTGACATCCTTGACACTTATTGAATGCAATGTCAACGTCCAGTTCTTAGACGTAGTTCTCAGTCTTCCCAAAGCGCTCAAGGAACTTGACATCGGCGAGCGCCTGCACGCATTTCCAGGTTGCATGCCCAGCAATGACAGCACAACCCGGACATCGCAGCCCGCTTTCCTCAAAGCTTTGATTCGCCAAGCAGACTCTCTTGAGCGGCTCTCCCACATTGGCGGTGCCACGCAACATCTTCCGCGTAAATATTCCACCTTCGACGATGACAGCGCCAGGCTACGTCACCTCTCGAATTTACGATCCCTCTCGCTCGGCATCGAGACCATGCTCCTCACCCACCTTCAACGTGACGACTACCCAGCCTCTCTTTGCGAACTCAAGGTGAACGATGTATCCTGGGCCAACAATCTCAGAGGCGGCCCCGAAGACACACTCAGACACCCCGGGCGCGTGCTCCGCCATTGCACCGAAGTAGTAAAAGGCATGAGTCGTCCCGTCGATCTGTCCATCCTCTTCAGTAACCCCAACACGGAGCAAATCCTTTCCACAATTCCGACTGCTAACATCGCCCTGGTCCTGCAGTCGATCATCGACGGGCCGCTACGCACACCGATGTACACCCTGTCCTCGCTCTTGCGCTCTTCCAATCGCCATCTAGCACTGCTCACGTCCAAGTTCTCGTCCAAGCATTCGTACATACCGCCATACATGTATGGTGAAGAAGTTCCGTTCGAAGAGAGGTTCTACGACGCGAATCACTTCTGGCGGGTTTGCGGGGTCAACTTCAGAGTCATGGACGACGAGATGTTTGTTGAAGAAGTTAAGAAGGGGCCGAAGATGGTTTGTACGCCGTGTAGGGAGCGTCTGGGGAGGTGGGAGTGTTTCAATGCGGGGGATGGGAGCAGTTGCATTCATTGTGAGAGGGATAGTAGGATAGATGGCAGGGATGTGGAGTGTGTGTATGATGTGGATACTGTTGCCTGGGGGAATGAGGTGGACTGAGGTGGGCATTGCGAAGAAACCGGTGCTTTTGGTATATTCACAGGGAGATGTTGCTTCCATCCCGTCGACCGGTATCATATGGTGTGGTTGTATGCCGTTGGAGCATTGAGCACAACTTGGTCTCTACCCACGCGAAGCTTGATAGGCTTGGCTCAAGTGTCGCCCCTATGCACCCATGTGTGCGTGGTCTTTCTCCATCAACTTCAGGGGAACTAAGAAAGCTCGACATGATGGTTTCTAGAGGGAACACAAAATCTCTTTAGTATTTTGACCGCGCTGTAACACCCGAGCGTTGTACAATTTATATCTCAGGGTCTCAGGGCGCCGGGTGTGACAGTCAAGTGTTTCACGCATATCAGTCGTATGCAGGGCTTCTCCAAACATGACAACCTTAATCTCCGAGGCGCATGCGCTGTTACTGCGGCATACCGGACTTGCTCTCTGGAGGAATGTCGTAGGGAAATTGGACGGTCTTTTCTGTCTTCTGTTAACCGGCCAGACGCGAGGATATGTGGCGCGCCACTTGTAGAAGCGCCTGCCATGCAAGCGCATGAGCTTAAGCGAGCTTGTTCGCACTTGGCCAATCACGCGGCGTGCAACAAGCATGGCCCCGTGCCGTCACCCGCGCGGTGCGTTTCTTATCGACATGGGCGAGCCTCGTCCCAGGCGCAAACACACAAGAGCCCCAGAAACCTGCCATGGCAATCTTGATTCACCCGCCGCTAAGCACGGCCGGGGCGAGGAGCCGCGGGAGCGAGCGCGACTTTTCGAATCTGTGCCTTCTGCTGCCTCTTCTCCACCGTCCCTCGCTCAAAGGTCGCATTCACTCGCTGTTGCTGGATTCCTTGCTGGACGCGACTGCCGATATCGTGGACCTGATTGTGCCTAGCCAGGAGAATCAACCCACCTTCGCTCACCCGCCGGATTGTTACGTACGGTCGCACTTTGTACTATCCTGCTGAGGTTGATCCGCTCTTTGCATACCAGCCATTCACTTGGCCTCCAGCTTGATTTCCACATCACTTTACAGTTGAGGATCCCACATTGTGACAAGAAACCTAGTAGAAGGATCACCCTCTTTGGTTCTGCATTTCTACTCGCGATGCGCTCTACCCTGTTGGCCTCGGCCGCGGTGGCACTCACAGCAGTCAGCGCCATTGACACCATCTCCGTGAAGGGAGCCAAGTTCTTCACCGAGAGCGGCGACCAATTCTACGTCAAGGGTACGAGCCAATTGAATTAGACATTGAGCGTGAACTAACCTGTCTATAGGAATCGCATACCAGCTCGTCCCCGACGACCCGCTTGTTGACAACACGCAATGCAAGCTCGACTCGAACCTCATGAAGTCCATTGGCACCAATTCGATCCGCGTTTACCACGTCGATCCCTCCGCCAACCACGACGATTGCATGAAAACCTTCGCTGACGCCGGCATATACATCTGGCTGGATCTGGATACCTTCGACACGCAGATCGAGCAGGTACGGCAATACGTTGGGCAACATACACGGAGAGCTGACCAGGCTAGACACACCCGCAATGGAACCAGACACAGCTCGACCGCTTTGGCGCCGTCATGGACGCCTTCCACCAATACGATAACCTGGCAGGGTTCTTCGTGGGCAACGAGGTGTTGACGACGGGTATGCCATTCACCGCACCTGCAATTCGCATTCCATTGACAAATTTCTAGATAATGGCTCCGTTGCTGCCCCGTATGTCAAAGCTGCGGCCCGCGACCTCAAGGCCTACCGTGACAAGAAGAAGTATCGCAACATACCGATCGGTTACTCGGCCGCCGATATCGCAACACTTCGCCCCATGTTGCAGAATTACCTTGCTTGTGGCGATAACACCTCCGAAGCACTCGACTTCTACTCCTTGAATGCCTACTCTTGGTGCGGAGACTCTGGTTTCCAGCAGTCGGGTAAGTTGTACCTGATTTCACGATCTTGGTGAAGAATGAAACGGGCTTCGTTCTCATCTCAAATTGGTATATGCTATGGAATCACGGCTGACTGGTTTTGTGCAGGCTACGCCGATCTCATCAAGAACGTGACGAACGTGGGCTACAACATCCCCATCTTCCTTTCAGAGACTGGTTGCATCAAGCCACGCCCCCGCGACTGGGCCGACCAAGAGGCCATCTTCGGCGACGACATGGCCGAGCACTGGAGCGGTTCCATCGTATACGAGTGGATCAACGAAGCCAATGAATACGGTATCGTGAGCTACGGCGCAAAAGTAGACCCCGCTTCACCCGGTATGTCGGCATCTTTGTCCACTCCAAACAATGCACCGCACTGAAGTTCCAACAATACTGACAACCCACAGGCGCCCCTCCAGACGGCTACCCCCGCTCCGGCACGCCCTCCCCATGTCCCCGAGTTCCCCAACCTCAGCTCCAGATGGAAGACGCTCAACCCCACCGGCGTGAAGGCCTCGAACTACAATCCTACGCTTACGCCGCCGCCTTGTCCCGCTTTCACGAGCGGCATCTGGCAGGTTGAGGCGGAGTCGAAGTTGCCGTCCCTGGGGCAGACGTATCAGGCGGAGCAAGCTAGCAGTGCGACGGGCAGCGGGACCAGCGCTGGTGCTGAGCAGACGAGCACGGGCAGCGCGGGTACTGCGAGCGCGTCCCCGAGCGGGAAGGGTGCTGCGCCTGCGGTGTCTGCGTGGGGAGTACAGAGCGTGTGTCTGGGGTTCGTAGCGGTGGTTGCGGGGTTGTGCATCTTGTTGTGAGTGCGGGGCCTTCACTTCAACAAAGACGCTCGATTTTGCTTTGAAATTGTTTGCGGCTTCTCACCTTATTGGTGCTGCGAGGGACACACTTTGAGGAAACTTTCCTCTTCTGGTTGTGTATATTGGTGGAGGGGTAGACGGGCGGTGTGCTTATCAGACGAGACGCGTAATGAGAAGGGGGAGGGCGAGCGCTGATGCGGTGGGCGCGGTGGGCACGGTGGGCTTGGTTGGTACATATACCCCCCTTTTTTTCGTTATACCTATGACATGACATGACATGCATGCATGCTGGCGTTTTGGCTCAGGTGAATGCTTGGTGAGTGTGATATTGTACCTCGTCTTGTTATGGTCTGTGGAAGGGAATGCATGTTTAAGCTGAGTGAGTACGTTGGTATCTGAAAGGCTTGTATGCAATGGTCGAACGGGGCGTGATTTGGGGTTATGTGGTGAGGGAAATGGGTATCGTAGCACCTAGGTTTGTCTTTGATGTTCTAGCGCTGAACGTGCGTGATAGACAATCGTTGACAAGACAAAGGTGTTGAAGGGAAAGTGCCCTATACATGCAGATAGTAAGCAAGCAGTACATGCCGGAAACGTGCCCATGCTCCGCTGACTTCAGAGCTCTCGTTGACTTCTTCGACGAAGTCAGCTGGAGTGGACGTGGTTACATGTATCTCGGTTACGGGGTAGGCTAGTCCGGGTATTGCCGCTGCGTGACAATATCCGGGTTAAGTGGGTGCTCGTGTTCTGAGATATGCACCGGACGAGTGGAATAGCTTCTTTGGAGCCTCCTAGTCGATGTCTGGATATTTCAGGTGGAGGTGGGGTGCTTGTGTTGCGGGATGTATGTGCGTGGGGGCTTCGTGTGGTGGTCGTCGCAGAGGGTACGTCGGGACCTAAGAACACTCTTATGGAGGCTTGAAAGATTCACAACTACTCGCGTTGAAGATTGCATTCGTGAGGGTTGTTAGATCTGGTCTGTGCAGAGTCTATGAATAGTATCGCAACGCAGGATAATCTAAGGCACGTATCGTCAATATACACGTGCAGTCTTCAGCCCTCAAAAGCGAGCGGGTAGCAGAAACGGGTGTTCGGTGCACGCGTACCGCGCGACTGGAAGGTAAGGTCTGCGCTGAGCTGCATGCGTGGACGTATTGTTTCATCTACGGTAATATCGGTGCTCGTGGGCGGCAGTCAACGCCTGGTTGTAAGACGCGGGAGACGACGAGACTGGGAAGAGATATAAAACGCCCGTGTAGGACTGATGGAGTAGACGGGACCTGTTAGTGTGTGCTGGCTTCAAGCTCGTCGATTGCAACCATGAAGATGGTTCATATCTTGTCTCTCCTGTTCGCTGCTGCAACGGTATCAGCGATAGTTCTCACCCCTCGCGCCGACCCGGGTGACCCCTGCGAACAAGATAGCAACTGGTATGTACGGCACGAGTACAAAGTGATTCACTGTGCTGTCGCAAATATTTTGTGTTTCCAGACTTGATACTCAAGCTTGAACTCCAAACATCGGCAGCCAGCTTCGTCAACTCTTCTCGATCCATTACTCGTGACCCTCACACTGACACTCATCCCCCATCAGCTACGGCGGCGCAAACTGCTGCAACAAGATCTGCAAGCTCGGCAGCTGCGGCCTTCCTTCCAACAACGCGGGCGCAAAATGTGCCAATGACGGCGGATGCTACGGCGGAGCGGTCTGCTGCACGGGTGTCTGCACGCTGGGGAGCTGTCGAATGGATGGGACCTGCGATGCGGATAATGATTGCTACGGGTGGTGCCATAATAATGTAAGTCTTATGATGTGTGCGATGAGGATTGAGAAGCTGATAAGGGCAGCCGGGGATATGCTGTGTTAAGAAAGGTAAGGTGGAGGGCAAATGTAATTGTACGGCGGCGAAGTGTTAGCTAGAGAGGGTAGGGCAACCGTAGGGAAAGTGACTGGAATGGGTTCTTCGCGATGGGTTGATACCGACGGATAAATGATATAGATGACTTCTAGAAGTTTGATGTTGAGGTTAGGAGATGCGGCTCGTTTGTTCCTGGCTCCGAATGTGAATGACAGTGTCGTCTTCGGAAGGCATGAATCAATCCCACGGTACGTCGAAGGACGGGCTTGATGCGACTCCACGATCTAGTAGGGACAGTCGGAATCTTCCAGATTTCTCGCGAAACAAAGTTTTGGTATACTTGTGGTGGTTCGGAATTCTGCAACTAGACTGTGAGAACGACCACAGCAAGTCTGCCTAGGCACTCGAAGAGCTGGCCCGTCAGAAGATAACAAATGCTGGATAACGCTTCCGGAGAAGGACAAATAAGAAAAGGTGACTTGAGACAATGAAGGGTAACTCCTCAAAGATTTTGAAAGTAGTACAATGTGCGACTAAGCGGAAATCATGATATGACGTAATCAGACTAGAGCGACTTACTACCATAGGTTCCTACCAGTACCTTTCCCTTGCAGATTACACAACCACACCATGCATGTTCACAGTGATGAGTCCTTCAACCCGCTCTGTATTAATTCCTGACCTACTACCTTGTCCTGGCACTGGACGGTGCGATTTCCACACGAATTATTTTGGAGACTCGATAATCCGTGAGGATGTTCCCAAATCTTGGTACTGTAAAGGATGCCAGCAAGACCATTGCACCGTTATCGGTCCTCTGTCCATGATGGCGACAGGATCAGCATCTCGACTGGAGACTTTACCAACCGAGCTGATCCAGCACATCATAGCATATCTGCCCCACGACTCTCCGGTTTTGCTAGGCTGCGCAAGTCGCACCCTGTACGAGAAAGTTGGCAACACCAGGGTCAAGAACACAGTGGAGCTGTGGTATGGATCTAGAAATGACTTACAAAGGGACACCCCGGCTTGGGTCCCTTGCTTCAATTGTCAGAAGTTCAGGCCTTACACATCCGAACATGCCTGGCCATATCTTAAACTGCACCGAGAGAAAAGGCACATACCGTCCACAGTATACGGGCTTTCCTTCTTCCTGGACCGCAAAGTCACCGAATACCTCAAGTACCAGGGCCATTTTCCCTTCTGCTCTGCGCTGTTGACCTGCGCCGGAACATGCCACAAGCCTTTATCTCCAGCCGACCGCTCCACTCTCGAAGGCACCGGCTTCGACAGCCTTGATGCTACCCTCGGACTGCCAATCCAGTACAAGGCCTCGCCTCGGATATACGCCTACCGCGCCAAACACAGCGTCATCGTACATATCCGCTACCGCATCTCCACGCCGCACCCCTGGACGTCCTTCACCACCCCCCAGCGCTACGCCATCCTCCGCGGCTTCTACCTCTGCCCCCACACATATGCGTCGAAAGTGCAGCATCGCGACAAGACTGATCCAACGTACCCCGCGGACTCTTCCATCGCGCATTGGCTACCGCATCAGGGCCCCGTCCCCGAAGCGCAGTGGCGTTGTAAGCATTGCCCGTCTGAATTCGTCAGCAACTTCAAAACCACGGACGAACGGGGGCGAAACCAGCTCGTATTCGATGTGTGGAAGACGACGCTGAAGAGGTGCAATGAGGGTGTGGCGGAGATGACGCTGTGTAAGACCCAGGGGGCGGTCGAGATGGTGGTGCAAACGAACCTTAGGACTGCGTGGGAAAGGGCCGAAGCTATATAGTGCTGTGCAAAGCGGAGGCTTAAAAGTGTAGAAGTGAAGAGGTCTAGTGCATATGAGCTGGCGGCACGGCAACTCTTGTTGATTGTTGTTTGAGCAGAAGGTCCATCCTGGGGTTCTAGCGATCGACGCGTGCGTTAGGACGTGGCATGTTGTTCTCGGAGACAGGAGCGATTTGGCGGGACGAAATCGCTGTTGAGGTAGCACGCTGGAAAGGCATATGGTCCGCTGAGGGACATTGGATTCAAGAGCCAGGTCTACAGAGAAGGATTCTGTATGAAAATGTTGCTTCCTAAGATACAAAAGCATCCTATGGCGTGAACATGGTGAGGATGATAAGTACTTGCATATCTAAGTCAGACGACCTGTAGTAGGGGTTGCGATTTGTTACACAGTGAGTTGAAGTGGAAGCGACTGTCTGCCCACAGAATGGCCTATCATGTATACTAATACTATGGTACGTGATGTGCCCCTGGTCGCTTACTACGAAGAAATGCGCTAAAGCCAGCGCGCTCGGAGAATAGACCATCGGAGAAGTGGGGGATAGGCCGACTGAAACAACAACTGGTGAATCGAATGGCTTGTCTGGGAGCGTGGAGCCAGGCAGGCCTTAGTGAATGAAGCAAAATGTGGTTGGAGCGGACTACTGCAACCACAGTAGAGTCGAAGTGCCCGTCCAAAAGCTCTTGGATTATAAATTCAAACATCGAATGAAGCGGATAGCTCGTGTAAGAAGAGTAAGCACTCGAACTATGGAGGTTCGCTTAGGTACCATCGTTATCATTGAGTCAAGTACGCCATTTGCATGACGACCCTCCCTGTAACCCGGCCTCTTGGGTTTCGGGAATGGATGTCGTGGTCGAACGTATCGGGGAGCTGCTCCGATTCTTCTCCAGGGGTCGGTCTTCCGTCCCCAACATGTTGTCTATAGCAGTAGTTGTACCTTTTCGCCTTCAAAAAGAGATGTCGACTCGACCAACCCAGTGAAACTGCCTTCGATGAATGTGCAAATGCGAGTAGGTAAATCGGCTGACAATTGGAGTGAGACATCACCACTCCAGCGGCGTTAGTGTCAGCAAGGCCAGCAAAGCTGCAGCACTCCCTGTCAGAGCCGCACCAGCTGGCGACATGTGGTCGAATAACGGCCAGAGAAGGCCGCGGAGCATGTAGAAGCGCTTTGGACAGGCTCTCGACGTCTTAGCGATTGGCCTGCTGCGATACGCTCGAATGTCGAGGAGCGGATCGTACCCCAATGCGCTAGAAGCTGGCAATAGACGACGAACGAAGGCCACGATCGCGGATTCAGATGGCGATCGGGCGGCCAGCCTCATCCGTCGGCTACCGCAAACGGCAGCCGTTTTTCCGCGTGTCGGCGAGTGCTCCCTCGGCGTCCATGTCGTCAGCAAAAAAGGGACGACAGGCCCAATAAATGTTGCCGGCGAAGACGTGAGCTCTCCGGAGGTCGTCGCTGGGGGTGCCGAGCAAATGAGTGTGGGAGTGTGTTCTTTGACGGTAAAGCAGATGGTGCAATGCGGCAATCACTGCTGGGTTGGTGCTAGGGCGAGGATGTGATTGGTAATGCGGGCTAGCAAGGAGTCGGGTGCGTGGTTAGCGGGGCTTGGCAAGGAAGGAGCCCACCGCGCTTTTCTATGGGCGGTAGCGACCGATGACGTTTCCTCACCTCCTTCTTCACCTACGTCACGCATTCACCTCGAGCCGCACCCGCGAGCAGCAACACCACGGCCACGCTGAGACGGATTCACAACCTGATATCTACGCCTATCCTCGTATGATCCTTTGCGCACCGGCGCGAAGACGATTGCAGCCAGATCACACAGGGTAAGGGGTGCACGCGTATTGACGTCACGAATTTCTTTCTCGTGTCGAACGCCTTCGACAGTGTCCAGCACCAGATCACTTTCTTGATTCGCAACCCCGCATTCGGTCTACGCCGATTCCAAGTGTTCCTGGGGTATGCTGTTTCGTCCTGCGTGCTGCGCTTGCTGCGTGCCTGGTCGCTGTTGCTGCTGCTGTCGCGCTCGCGCTCGCCACCATCTTTCCGCATAGGGCCTGCTCAGCGCGCGCGCACGCACGGCGACGAGTCGCATCCAGCCCAGCGCGTCGCCATCCCAAAGCGCATGAGAGCTGACGTATTGTTTGCTAGAATCGACATTCCTGAGATCCGACCGCGAGTGTTGCGCCCGTTAGAGGCCCCGGATACGAGTTTTTGGTGAGGTGAGAAAGGAGTGCTCGGTGGTTCCGCCGAAGACGAAGATCTCCCTGCAGTCACCTGCCGACGTCATCTCAACCACCACAATGGCTGCCGCTACATCCAACCCGCCGACGTCAAGCATGTCAAGCCCCAAGGATAACGCAAAGAAGTCGCTCCCTAGCAAAGTCGAAGGTACGTTCTGCTGTCGCATGCCCTCAATTGCCATTGTCACGTCTTGCTGCCCTTGCCCTCACCACTTGCGCCTGCCTACTATACATGGACATTTGTCTTGGTGTCGTCATGGCTACGATGTCGCACAGTGTCACTGACCGCGCCCATTGCAGAACCCGTCAAGGTCGAGACTGCCGACAAAGCACAACGTAAGTCCTCTCACGGTAGTCGCGACTGCTGTCGCCTTCCATCAGCGACGCGTACCATGCTAATGCCTGCCAGTTGCGACGACGCAAGAGACCAGCAACTCAGACGCAAAGCCGCCCACTTCCAATGCGCCTTTGGGCCCGCCGCCGAAACCGAATACCACTGGCGACACTCCAGACTACTTCAACACGTACGTGAACCCATATACACATGATAGGCGGCCCGTCCAGGCTTTGAATCGCCTTCGCGCCGTCTCCCTCGAGCAGCCCAGGCGTCCTTCGATGAAGATGCCGAGTGTTCGCGACGGGAGCGATGCGTTGCTCGATTCGGAACCTGTGGACTGCTTGGACTGGTTGATGCCTTCCGCTCAGTCGCCCTTCCTCTGTGATTATCGCTAACATCCGAGCAGGGTGCACAATACCTTCAGCGTTGAGCCCAATCCTTTTGAAGCTTCTTTCGGTATGCTCTCCTTCGCCAAGATCTCTGTTCCGTCCCACTGATCTTCATCTAGGTGGCCAGTCAGGACAGTCAGGACCTGCCGAAACTCCCGGAAAGACCGTCTTGCCCCCCGTTGCCAACATCACGTCACCGTCACCACTTCCGGGGATCACCCCTGGCTGGCAATCGTTGCGCGCAGGACCGCTGAGTCCTGCTATGCTCACAGGCCCTACGAACCAGACCGATTATTTCAGCGAATCTTTTAGAGGCTTCCCAACGCCTAACGAGTCTTCCTTAAGGACCGGTTTAACGCCTGGTGGAGGCGGGTCTATGTTCCCAGCGCCTAGTCCTAATACCCAGGCCATCTTCAACCTCCAGAGCGCAGGTGTTACACCAGGCACTGCCGAATTCCAGCAGTCTGCTCTACGTGCCGCTGCTCAAGCCAATCAAAACAAGCCCATCACCTCGGGACCCACTTCGCAACCCGATACCGTCACCGCTGGAATGGATCGAGCAAACAACTTTCCTCTGCAACAGCCTCAGCAGCGTCGTGCTCAGAACGACCCCTATGCCAACCACGACGTTAGTAACGCCGCCAATGACCTGCTTTCTTTTGCAACACAGAACGGTGGTGCTCGCAACGGCCAACAGCCCTATTCCATGCCGCCTCAGCAGCAGGCAATGCACGCTGGACACATGCCTGTCCAGCCTGTAAATCACGATAACAGCCGACGCAACACAAAGGGCTCAATAAACAGCATGACTGGTTCCGCAGACACCGGGGACTTCTCCGACAGTGGACACAGTGAGGATGCGAAGACCAACACTCGCTCACGCGGTAAGAAGGGCGCTGCCAATGGAAAGCAGACTGCCGGCACCAAACGAAAGGCAGAGGAACAAAAGGGTAACAGCAGGAAGAAGAGCGTCGCCGCGTCTCTCGGTGACGAAGACGAAGACATGCACTCTGACGATGACATCAAGAACGAAGAAATGGGCGGCAAGAAGATGACCGACGAGGAGAAGCGCAAGAACTTCCTCGAACGGAATAGGTCAGTCACTGCCGATTGCTCAATACAGATCATGTTTGCTGACGTATTTACAGGGTTGCTGCACTCAAATGTCGTCAACGCAAGAAGCAGTGGCTTGCGAATCTGCAGGCCAAGGTGGAACTGTTCAGCACGGAAAATGATGCTCTCTCAGCTACCGTCACACAACTGCGCGAGGAGATCGTCAACCTCAAGACGCTCCTCCTTGCACACAAGGATTGTCCCGTCTCTCAGGCCCAAGGCTTACATGGCGCGGCTATGAACAATTTCCTCGGCAGCGACATCAATCATCAAAACCCGTATGGCATTGCCCAGCTACAGCCTAACGGTGTGCATATGGGCATGCCTATGCAACCCAACGGTCAGATGATGAACCGGTTCGTATTCCCATCCCAACGTGGACCAGGTGCAGAGGACCAGGAGAATGCGTCCTACCCACCCAAATACTAGGATAGTGGCTTACCGAACATCCAGGTAAACACAGTGCTGGGAGTGCGTTGACAGTGCAACTGCCTCGATAAATGCTCCACATCGCCAAGTCAATGGCATGTTGGTCAGCAGCATTGCGGCCACGCAACTTCGGCACTCAGCATAGTGCCATTCATACTACCTTGTAATCTCCAGCACCTTACCCCTTTCTCCCTTCTCGGACGGTCCACCTTCCCTGGCAATGCATGGTCGGGCGTTCGGATTCCCTTGGCGTACGTCACCTCGTCATCACTCCAAAATATCTCCTACCGGGTGGCACGGCACGCAAAATACGCGATCACGATTTATATACCTACTCTTTCTTTACGTAACCTCGTCTACCGGTGTACATACAAGGGCGGTAATTGTTGGGCTGGCGTTTGGGCGTACATATACACCGGCCTGTCTGCGCTCCTCGGGGCGGCCCGGGCCTTTTCTGTTGATCTTGCAAGCTCTTCGGCACTTGTCTTTCATTCCTTCGCGGTGTGCTGGTTTAGCATGCGGGCCTGCTTTTTGTTTGCTTCTCACGTCGCAACAAGGAGGGCGGTGGTGGGCGGAGTGCAGAACATGCGTGGGACGCGTGCGTTTGTGGAGATGGCTCCAGCGTTGAAAGGGGGCCCTTAGACAGCTACCTATTCATGTACGTGTACGCGATGAATGAAATTAGTGTTCAAATTTTGGTTCGTTGTGCCTCATGTGATGATTTCTTGGGCAGTGTGTTGGAGTGCTGGGCATATGTTGTCCAGGATTGCCAACCGTGTAGACAATCTACTTCGGTACCTCGTCCTTGTCCAGGCACTGGTGGGCCAGCGCCATCTCCGCATTCTCATTGTACGAGCAATATACATGTCTCGTTCAAATTGCTCTTTTTGTGAGTGCTGTCACCTTACCTTCGACTAGCACGCAACTTGGCCTTGTCTTATGTCTACCCATTTGAGAGCAAGGCTAGGCTCGCATCCATGTCCTCTTGTCGCATTTTGCTTCTTTTTCTTTTTCTTTTTCTTTTTCTTTTTCTTTTTCTTTTTCTTTTTCTTTTTCTTTTTCTTTTTCTTCTTCTTTTTCTTTCCCCTTTCCTTCTTCTTCTTGCACAGTCTGGGATGTGTGTGGCGTTGTTGGTATTTTGTTGTTTTTGTTTTTCAGACCAGGTAGAGGCGTGGCCTGTGAGAATTTGAAATTGCATTTGAATTTGATCGGCGGGCGGTACGGTATGGGTATCAGGAGATGGAAATGGAAGGGCATGACTCGTCTGAACGGAGTAGTCAGCGCCTTGGTTCGCAAGGAACGAGGGATAACGGTATAGTATGTTTGAGGCGCTGGGACTAGACAGGGCGAGGCGAGGCAGATGGAAGACTTGCTCGTTCTTGTGTTAAGTTGTCTTGTCTTGTGCTGTGTTGCGTTGCGAAGCGCGACTGACTTGAGCTTTACGTGGACGTTCGTGGATGTACATACGCGCGAGAATCATACGCAGCCTCGCACTATTCCATGCAGTATCTAAACTTCACACACAGTACTTTTTCTATTCTAGCTGGAACAACGTCAGTGTAGTGTGTATGGCGTGCCTGGAATAGAATAATGCAAAGGTACTACTATACTATTTAGGGAGAAAGAAGCGGGACAAGCATGCGTACAATGTAATAGAGTATAACGCCCCAGCTCTGCTCTGAGTGTGAGTTGTAAGTTCGAGGGCACTGGGGTTTTAGCATGTGCCATATGGTATCACAGTAACACAGCGCCGAGGGCAAGCAAGCTAGATACGGAAGAGTATACCTCCCGAGTTAGCGCGCTTGGGCGTAATGATAGGGCTTGTGTAGACGACGACGCTGGCTGGAAAATTACTGCAGAGGAGGTAGGGCGAAATGTTCTCGGTGTTTGCTCGAGCGAGGAAAGAGAGAGCGTGCGTGATCCCTGGCCTGCCTGCACCAATGCATGCCCATTGCTAGCCAAATACTTAATGGCCAAAGTTCTCGAGCGTATTCTTGGAAGGGTGGGTAAGCGGTGGAATCGCATATTCAATTACAGCCGGGCGAAGCATCAGGGGCTACGTGCCACTATTACCATTCGGCTGTCATGCAGATGAGCACATTATACCATCGATAAAGCCAAGATAAGAACTTTACAAAGTCACTACTTGAGTCCTATTATTATGTGCAGTTTAGAAATGCACAGACAGACAGTTTTCGTACCAATGATCTTGATATCGATATCCCCAATGCCGCCCGCCCGTCTAGAGAAGAACCCCATCCACACACGCCCATGCACCTCCCACCTTACCCGAATACTCCTCCCCACCCCTAGATGCCTCCCCTTTTCACTTACTCTCCAGAAAGCTGCAAAATAAGCGTACTCGCCACATCCAAGAACGGAAACGGGCTCGTGCACCGCTTCTCCCCCTCCTTACGTCCTGCGCCCTTCTCGACGACTCTCTCCCTCAGCACCGCGCCATGCTCCCGCACCTCGCGCGCCACCTCCTCCGGCAGCGCGCCCTCGTTTAGCTGCCGCCAAACGCCCTTTTCGTCGTCCCACCCGTCGTCGTGGCCACCTGTGTTATTCGCCAGTTGGGACAGCGAAAGCGAGGAGTCAGACGTCGCCTTGATCTCGTGCACGAGGTTGGCGACGAGGCGCTCGTAGCCCGCGCACTTGAAGTCTACGACGAAGAAGTCGCGGTCGATGCTGTAAAGTTGGATTGTAAGGTAGATGTAGACGGCCTCGTCGGTGCCGGCGTAGCGCGTGCTGCCGGCGACGGAATCGCCTGCTTGGGAGCCGCTGGCGTCGCGTTCTGCCGAGGGGAGGGAGGTGATGCCATCGACGTGATTGAGCGACGAATGCGAGGTATTTGTTGATGAGCGGCGACGGAGCGCGGCGGGATCCTGCTGTAGGTCCACGCGGGAGGAGTGTGTTGATGATGGGTGTGCGACGCCAGGGGGGTACATGCCGTCCTTGCGGAAGCGTGCGTTGATCACCCAGGGGTCTTCGGGGATGCTATATCCCCAGTCGTTGGCGACACTATAGTGCTTCCTCTGGCGCCCCCTTGACTGCTCCTCTCCATTACCATTACGGACCCTGAGGTTTCGCCGATCGGGAGAGATGTCGGGGGCTTGCTCGCGATCCGACATCTCGTAGTCATCCTGCGAAGACGAAGATATCGAAGAGCCACGTGAACGGCTGCGAGAATTTTGTCTTGAGTGAGAGCCAGAATGCCGCGAGCCACTTCGGCTGCGGGACTGGCTGCCGCCACCGGCCCTCCTTATCTTGGGTACCTCCCAGTCCGCGCCCATTGCCTTGAGAGCTTTAAAGATAGCCAGCATGGCCTCGGCTGGTTGATTCCGAGACCGTATACCAAACTGCCATTTGACGGGCTTGGTCTTCTTGGATGGCAGCGCAGTCATGGGCTCAGGCCGCGGCCTACTGGTATCAGGGACGGCTCTGAAGTTGGGTCGCAGACGTCGTGCTTGCACAGCTCGCTCCTCTTCCGACTGCAAGGGATGTGGCGCAGTGTCAGTATCTTGGGGGTTCATGCCTGGTTTCGGATGGCCTTTCATGTACGCCTTGTGATATTCTGGAAGACTGCTCGGCAATACTGCTATTGTGCTCACCGGGGAACGGATACTTGTGATTTGGCTGCTTGACGTCGATCCTTGCCGTGCGCGTTCGTGGTCGGGCGGCGGAGGTATTATTTGCGGCCTGCTCCTGCTCAGCGCTTCGGGAATTGAGCCCATATAGTCATGTTGACTTGGAGGCGACTGGGCAAGGAAAGGTTGGAGGCTCTTGTCTCCAGTGACCAACGCTACATACAAGTCAGCATATTGCTCTCAATTTACCGTGTTATGGCAGTTTGGGAAAGCATATTATTATGTAACGTGCCGTAGTCAGAAGACTTGGGACCAGGATGTTCAACAGCAGAGATATAACCGGACAGGGATGTGTGACTTACGATTTTCCTTCATCATCTGATTTTCGCGGACAATCAAGTAGGCATCCTTGATTGCGCTTGGCTCATCGCGAGCGAGTGCTTCTTGAACATCGTTCTTCGCGTAGCCCATTGTTTTCCCTAGCTTACCAACGACCGTCTCGTGGAGCTTTTGCACGACGACCTCGGATTGTGACGGCGCTAAACTTCTTGGATCGATGGCCTTGTTCGGATCGACACCGGTGTCGTAGAAATCCTCTGGTGGCAGGGAGAGATATGCCGGAAGATCTTTGGTAAACCAAGGATCTTGGCGGATCTCGTTCACTGTGATGCGGTGGACCGGATTCACCATAAGCATCTTCTTAATCAAATTTACGGCGCCTGGTGACAGGTAGCTCGGGATGCTGTAGTTGCCCGCCGCAATCTTCTTGAACAGTGTTGGTATATACTCGTCGTCGAATGGCAGCCGTCCCACTAGCAGTACGTAGAGGATGACACCGCAACTCCAAACATCGACCTCAGGCCCAGCGTAGAGCTTACCAGAGATGACTTCGGGCGCGGCATAATTGGGGCTCCCGCAGCTCGTCTTCAGGAAGTTGCCATCGGTCATGATGTTGCTCAGACCGAAATCGGCAATCTTGACGTTGTAGTGATCGTCGAGCAGTAGGTTCTCCGGTTTTAGATCTCGATGAACAATCTTGTGACGATGGCAGTACTCAACAGCACATACTATCTGCTGGAAGAACTTGCGGGCCTGGGCCTCGGGAAGTCGTCCGTTATTTACAATGTAATCGAACAGCTCTCCACCGGCATACTCGAGCACCATGATAATCTCGGTCGGCGTTGTTATCACCGTATATCTAGGGAGAGTCAGCATAGGCGCCTGGACAAATTCGGTTTCACTTACAGCTTGATGATGTGCGGATGCCGCAGCAGCTGCAGATACTGGATCTCGCGCTCTATGCGGCCGGCCATGTCCCTTGTCACCAGTCTCTTCCGGTTGATGATCTTCAACGCGACTTTCTGGCCGCTGACCTGGTGGGTGGCCAGCTTGACCTTGCCGAACGAGCCCTCGCCGAGCGTCTTGACGATAGTATACTGGCCGAGGCGCTGGCTCGTCTTCGGATCGGCCTTGATCTTGGTCTCCTGCGCGGCCGTCGTAGGCGCTACCGGCGTAGACGCCATGTCAGGCGGTCGGGCAGAGGTTCGCCTTTGCGCAGGCATGGAGATGGACAGCTCCTCCAAGTCTTCATTGTCGATTGCGGCCGACATGGCTTGGGTTCGACTTTGGTAGCAGCAAGGCTGCGGTCGAGGTAAAGTGTATCGAGTTGTAAGTGCTTGCGATCGCAGGAGCTCTGGACGTGGGCACGTTCGTCTGTCAACCAGTCCACCAGCTCCAGCAGGCCGTCACAACGTTGTTGCCCAACGCTCACGCTGCCCCACTGCTACCGACGCGCTGGCGAGTGTACCATTGACCGACAAAGGGGTCTTTACAGCTTCGTATGCGCCGGAGCAGCCTTCTGAAGTTTTTCCTGCTGATCGGTGAAAAGAGGTCTCGGGGCGGCGGGGAAAAGCTGGGGCGCGGCTATCGTGGAGGCGTGCGTTGGACGGAGCGGAAGTGGGGCGACGACACGAGTCTGGACAGCGGCCGAGGACGGGCGGAAAGCTCTTCAATATGCGGCCGGGCTGACAGACACAGGACGCGGTGGTGCTGGACGAGGGCGCGCGCGAGGACAGAGGATAGCAGCGCCTGGATGAACGCGAAGGCACGAACTGCGATGACGGTCTTGCTGCGACTTCGCAACCCCTCACAGCTCCGTGCACAGACCCATTCGCGGCTACGACACGGCCTTCTGTCCTGTTCACACACGCAAAAGAGAAAAAGTCATAATGAAGTTTGGTGAAAACAATGTCGTCACCGCGCACAACGTAATGACTGGATAAGAGCACAGCGTCAGCTCCAGGATGCTGACTCGCTCCGGCTGCCCACCACGCGACGAGCCCAGCTGACCTCTGCCGTGCATCGTGGGTGGGCCCATGGCAGTCACGTTTGCGGAGCGAGCCGATCGGCCCAATGCATCTTCGTTGGGCCATCGCTCCATCCATGTTGCACAAGGCGTCATAGGGTCCTTCATGAAGTACGCGTAGGTAGTCGCATATCAGTGGACACAGCGAGCGCACTTGTATGTCACACTCATTGGTATGTAATTGATAGGGACACACTGCAATGTAGGAGAACGACATATCCTCTTCCAGCGATCCGTGGCTGGACAAAAGTTTACTTATGCTATCATCAATTGCCCTCCGAATCATCATTGTCGTCACCGCCACTCCCCATCTCTTCGTCTTCATCACCGTTCTCGTCTCCATCACCGTTCTCGTCTCCATCACCGTTCTCGTCTCCATCGTCGCCTTCGTCATCGTCGTCTTCACTATCCTCCTCATCGTCGCTCCCTCCATCCCCAAACCACTCCCTACAACTCCTGTTCCACTCCCCCTTGTCACTCAAATAATTGCACAAGCTACGGTCAATATCCATCCATGGATCCTCGTCCTCTTCCTCGGTGCTCGCCTCCCCTGTGTAGTGACTCAGACTAATCTCCGCCGCGTCATTGCACGGGATCTGGTCGAAGTCCAGCTGCATGCGATTGGGGTGGTACCTTTAGCACAATAAGAATAGATCCAGTGTGAGCAAGTTGGGGCGTACGCACCGTATGGCGTCCCAGAGAGCCCGCCACGAGCTCGCGCCCCGCCCAAAACACGTTTGCAGCTGCAGCCGCGTGAGCGCTCGACACTTGGTCTGCAGCCAAGCGGGGAAGCTGTCGAGATTGAGTGTGGTGGCCGTGGCCAAGTTGGTCAGCAAGGGGAGGTCCGGGAGGTCCTTCACGTCCACATCCTGCGGCGGCCACACGTTCGGGCAGAAGGAGGCGCCAGTGAGCAGGTCCAAGTCTGTGAGAGACGCTGCACAGCGCTGGAGGAGTGCACTAATCGCTTTGCCGCTGCGGGTCTCGACAGCTGCGGTCCGGTCGCCATCCCAGGAGAGAGATTCGCCGAGTTCTTCGGCGCGCGGGTTGAAGGTGAGGTGAGTGAGCTTGGTGCTGTGAGGCTGGTTAGCATCTACTCCAAGGGTGAATGGCTGAGGCGTCACACACAAGTCCAAGCCCGCGACGCGTACGTTGTCCGCCCATGCGAACTCGCCTGTGCCGTAGCAATCGATGGTCAGCAGCTTGATTTTCGTTGTGGAGGTAGCCAGACTCTCCAATGCGGCATCGAACAACGCCTCCCCTACCGGCGCCTGCACCTTCCTACAGTGCGTCTCATTGTGAGGAGAGCGGTCATGCGGGTGATGATGCCCATACACCACCGGTCCCAACTCTTTCCAGCTTTTCCCCTGGGTGCTAACATGATGTTTTGAGATATCATCGTCGAAATCCCAGTAACTGACCGAAACACCCTCTACACGGTCCAGCTGGCTCAACGCCTTCGCCCATGTTGCTGCCAGCTGCCCACTTTCAAGCACGGCCTTCGCTGCATTGGCACGAGACATGTACGCTTCGTATCCGGCCGCCAGCTCCTCCTCCGAAAACAGCGCTTGACCCTGGGGCAAATGTTTCTCGGTAAAGGCCCTGACACCCAAATCCTTGAGTTCCTTCGCTTTCTTGGTATTTCCCTCTTGAAACGACCTATACCCTCCTGTTATGCGGATTTCATCATGAAATGCATCTAGGGCTACGTAAAATGGCCTTACGAGAACTATGTCGTCGAAGAGCTCGCGCTTTGTCACCCAGCTCTCCTTGGTTGGCTCGAGAGTTACGCTCTTCACATACTGCTTTAGCATCGAAAGATCCGTTTTAGCTACGTGTTCTACGTGCTCCGCAGAAGCAACGAGGCGCACAGTGTTGAAGAGCATGTCCAAGACCATGGGCAGGTAAGCAAATTGTCTGCACGCTAGGCGGAGGTTCTTCAGGGTGGGGTAGTCATTGCTACGGTCTGTCAGATATGCGTGCAAACATGTTGTAGTCCACTGTGATGAGCTAGGTAGGGGCAATGTAACATACATAATACGCCAGTATCCCTTCGAGGTTATCGCCATCTGCTCCAATATCATGTTGAGCAGTTCGTTGGGCAGGCGCGTGAAAGCCGGGCTCGTAGGCTGCTCCGCGATCGCCATAGTGGTGCTTTGGTCCCTCATTTTGCCCCGCTGGATCCCCGATTTGAGGGTCTTGTGTCGTAGACGTGTTGCAAACAGTGTGCGCGGGAAGGCCCCAGGTCTGTGTACCGCCAAGTTGTCGTCGCTAAAACTGGTTAGACTGGCTAGCTTAGCTAGCTTACACCCTCCCAGGAAGTACGGGTGCGTAGCGGGGCAGGGATTTTCTCCTTGTGAAGGACCACAAGAAGGTCTGATCCCCCCGGACACGCTACACACCCGCACTTCCTGGAGGGTGTAGGAGCCTTCGTGTTAGCAACCTCTCATGCCTCTTTAATACCGCCCACTTTGGATCGTTCAGACCGCCTTACTATGACCTGGTACACCGGGAAGTCTAGAACATGATTCTTGGGGATGCTTGTATACCTTTCGGCCGTAAATGATCCGTGCGGTAGAGCAAACCCAGTCAGACAATAAAAATACTCCATGGTATACGGTTGAGCGGAGTCGGAGTATATTCAAGGACGGCTTCGATTTAGTCCACCCATCGATCGACCTTAGCGTTGGTGTGCACATGTGGAGGGTGCTGGGCCTTCATCCTTTACTTCTATATCAGCTTCAAGACCGACAGCAACATCGATGTTCGGGCGACAGCAACTCAGAAGCATGGGTCTGTGTCGGTACGTTGGACTCTTGAATGGAAACTATCCCAATACTGAAATCTGCGTAGCTCATCCATTTGGAAAGCCATCTCGCAGTCGATACAAGACATCGCACAGTTACGTTCCTCCAGTCTGCAGGAAACTGGTAACCTGGACGACAACTTGATGGCCTACACCACAACGCGTACCATCACACGTCATACCAATTCGGCTTCACCATCTCCTGCCGCCGACTTTTTTCCACCCGTGATCGACCCCACAAACGCATGCCAATTGTCAGCAGTAGACCGTGCAATGATTTACCAGCCACCGCCGCCGCCGCTTCCCCAAGTGTCCCCACCTCCAGGAGCGTTGCCAGACGCAGCAGCACCAGCATTGCCGGAAGCTTCCCATTGGCCGCCTCCTCCTCCGACGGCACCACCATCTCCGGCAGCATCACCTCCATCAATGGGCTCTTTGCAGCGCTGAGGCAGTTAGCAGAAGCATCTTCTTGTAGAGGGGAACGCTCACCTTAATGGTGTGACCCATCTCACCACAGTTCGAGCACTTGACCTTGGACCAATCCTTCGGTTCGGGGCAGTCGCGTGAGAAGTGACCCTGCTTCTCGCAGTTGCGGCAAGTTACGTTGTCAGGGTTGCGCGGCTGGTCGCACTCCTTGGCTATATGATCCTCAGAGCCGCAGTTGCGGCAAGTTCGGGGTGGACGAGCTTCGACGTTAGGGCACTATTTAAGCAACAAAGTCAGCAACTTCCTAACAATACGAGTTGAAACAACTTACGTCTCGTGAGAAGTGGCCAGTCTCATTGCACTTGCGGCATTCAACGCCCTCAGCCGAACGAGGCTCGGGGCAATCAGCTGCCTTGTGACCTTCCTGCTTGCAGTTCTTGCAGGCAAAAGGGCTGATGCGTTCCTTCGGGCAGTCGCGCGCACGATGGCCCTCCTCCTTGCAGTAGACGCAGTTAATGACCGGAGCCGTCTTTTCGTGCTCAACAAGCTCTTGCTTGCAGTGCTTCCTCACGTGGCCGAGCTCATTGCAGTTCGAGCACATGGGCACGCCGCGATCTTGAACGAAGCCGGCGGACTTGAGTCGCTCCAGGTTCTCTGCAGCATCCGCAGGCCAACCTTGTGCCAACTTGGCACGGCGAGGCTTAGCCGACAATTGGATCGAAAGGACGAACTCTCGGTCCGGATTGCCGATGAGATCCACGATAGTCATGTATGGAGCGACTTCTTGCTTGAGAGCTATCAGGAAGATTGACAGCTCTGAGTCGCGAAGTGCAGTCTCGACCTCGGACACGTTGAACTCGCCGTCGATGGCACGAGCGTATGCGCGCAGGCAGGTACGGAACGCATCCAGGTCCTTCTCGTCTGATGCAGTAACAAGCTTCATCCAGGCCTCTTCGGCCTCTAGCTCAGGGACGCCGGTCCAGTCGATCTTGCGGCGGGAGCTGCACTCGAGGGCCTTGTGACCAGCTTCGCCGCAGAGCCTGCAAGTAGCGCTGGGACAGCTGCGCGCACTATGGCCTTCAACACCGCAGGAGTTGCAAGTGCCGGTGAAGGGACGATCGACCTTGGGATTGGTGCAGTCAGCCTTATTGTGACTGTAGCTGGGTTAGCGACCATGTCTCAGTGCCAATTGACTGGAGCTCACTCACCCGACCTCGCCGCAGTTGAAGCACTCGCCAGTAAGACCGCCACCCTCAGGCTTGTCAGGGCAGTCGCGAGCAAAGTGGCCAACTTGGTTGCAGCTATGGTGTGTCAGTACAACCGGTATTCAAGGGTGCAAACAAGAAAAACATACACTCGGCAAGTCCTGTCACCGGCATCGCCACCTCCGCCGCCGCCAGAATCATCGCCGCCAGCGCCCCAGGACTCACCGCCGGCGTTGGCAGTTGCAGTGTTGGCGCCGCCGTTCCAGCTGTCGTCCCCTCCGCCGCCGCCGGAACCCCAGGCATCCGCACCTGTAGAAGGGTTAGCAGGGTCAGATAGGTTGTGGTGTGCCACTTACCATCAGTACCCCAAGACATTACAGTCGAGTCGGCCGAAGCTGTGAGAGGCTTGTGACGTCTAATGGCGAGGTCAGCATCTTGTTCAGCCCAGAGCAAAGCACAGCGAAAAGGGACGGCTGAGCTACAACAGCAGGGGCGAAAAGTCCCTGGAAACGAGCTCCTCGGTGTCTGGCGAAGGTGTACGCGGCGGGGTACTTACCTTGTTGTGTACGTGTCGTTCGCACAGGGCACCTCGCAAGTACTTTGCGGACGTCGTAGCGAAGGAACAAGATGTAGTGGTAAGGAAGAAGAGAAGAGATGGTAAAGACGGCTGCTTCTTATATGTGGATCGGAGCCGAGAAAATCCGGGCGTCGTGAGAGTAGAGGGAGGAAGGAGCTGGTTGCTAGGTGAAGGTGAGGCAAGCGCGGTTGCAGTGGAAGGCAAGCACGGTTGCAATGGAAAGGACGAGGACAGCTTCCACGTGTCAGGTGAGGGACAACCACTGGACGCGCTTTCAACGGACTATCTCGGCAGTAAGAGAACAGCTTCACCAAGTGACGAAGCCATTAGAGAAGCACGAGGATGTACGCACGTTCTGAGCGGCCTCGTGGTGAGAGAACGTTGTGAGAGACTGCATACTGGACCTCGTCCGAGGGACGGCTTAAGCCGAGCAGACACGTTACTAGCTCATCGTCATTCAGATGGCGCCGATGGACTACATACGGTCACTGGACCAAGCGCACTGTCCTGAAGCTGCTTTTGTACAGCTGTAACTGCAGAGCAATAACAAAGACACAGAAGAGTGCCACAGGAAAGCGTGCAAAACGCCAGCTACCACAGCATCCACGCGTCAAACTTCCTCAAGCACATACAAAGAGAAAAAAAAAAGCCTTTAGACCACAGCGCGGCACAAGTTAACTGGCATGCATCCACACGATGGGTAACGAGAGTGAAGGCTTGCAACACCGCAAGAGCACCTGTCCTTTGACCCTGCACACGAAGACGCCGGGGCGCAAACATCACAACCGCGACACCATCAAACAATTCCACACGGTGACAGAGCAAGACAAAAACGTCCATTGGTATTGGTATCAAAGTCATGCACGCTCGTAATCATACCCCAATGCGAACCCCAAACGACAAACGCCGGCATCGCACAACATGGTATACAAAACCGCAGACTGGATACCGGTCCAGAGAGATAGCCAAACAGCTACAGACAAACTCAGACACAGCAAGGATGGTGAAGTCCCAGCGTCAAATGTCTGTACTTTACACACCGCGGAACTATTCAACGTTAGCATGTATCCTGCGCAACTCGAACGAAGCGGGGAGAACTCACCATCCTCACGACGAGGAACCACATCGCCCCGATGAACCTGAACAGCGACAGGCCCGCCACACTCCACAGCACAACCGCGAGATAGATCGTCGCCGCATCAGTCTTCTTCTGTGCCGCCTCATCCGGATCGCTAACCGTAACCTCCAGTCCACCCGTCTGCAGCACAGCCGCGCAAAGCGCCAAATTGCAGAACATCCAGAAGAGCACAACACCAGAACGGAAGCCCTTGTAGTAGTCTTCCTGCTTGTCGGAATCAGACACAACCTTTTCCGGCTCTTTGTACTTCGTGGAAAAGACCTGGATCTCCGCTTCGTACTGGGTGTTGAGATCGGCATCGTCGGTCGGCGCGTGAATCTCGGCCTTTCCGTCTGCTTTTGTTGTGACCGAGGGCAGCTTCTCCGCTTTGGTGTCGCCCTTGGTACCCCAGGTGATGTCGTGCGTATTGCAGAAGGCGTACACGTTAAGGATGTTGATATAGGTCGGCGTCATGAGGAGATACTGGATGAAACACGTAAACATGTGCCATGGGTCCAAAAAGAGGATCGAGACAATGAACCACATGAGGTATGTCGAAGCAAGTGATACCACCAAGGTAAAGAAGATCTTGTCTGCAAAGATATCGCCGACATTGAACCCTTTATTGGTTTTGATTTGCTCCTGGACCGATCTGACCGTGATGAATATTGAGGCGAACATGAGGTATGCCATGATGATGCACCAGAAGTATACCATACTCATATACCATCGATTTGATCCTTGTGGTCGATTACCGAGCGCAAGGATGAAACATGTGATCAGGACGCCGATATATAACCATTCGAAGATGATGAAGAGGACTTTTCCAGCTGTGCCAATTTCCGTGGAGAGTGACTTGGTCAAGATGACGAAAACCAGGAAGAAGTTACCGAGAGCGAACCAGGCGAAAATCATGTTGATGGTCTGATAGAAGAATTCCACAAGGAACATCATCTTTCGAAGGAACGAGTGGTCACTGCGGAAGATGTCGAAGGAATGGGCCAAGGCGTACACAGCGGCGAAGAAGGAACCGTTCAGCCATCGTCTTCGCTGCAGGATAAAGTCGGCCATCTCGACCGGAACGTCCGTCTCTCCGTTGGCAGACTTGACGTACTGCAGGATCCAGTGGCAATTCCTCTTTGAGACGAGTTCGAAGCAAAGGATACGATCCTCGGCAAGATACATGTTAGCTGTAAACACACCAGCATTCGTTCCATGCATCTTTTCACCGAGGAAGTATTTCTCCAAAGGTCCAGTACCCGTCTTGTCGTTTTGTAAAGCGACGTAGCGGTAGGCGGAGAAAGCTCCTGGAAGCACAGAAATGAACCCGAATGCAGACTCCAGCGGCTTGTCCAGGATGTTACTCATTTTGTACTCAAAATTCTGCGTCGCAACAAGCGGGTTCAACAGCTTCTTCCCGTGGACCAACATAGCTTTGATCTCACCGCAAGCGCCGGCGCACATGGGCTCCAAATCGAACGCTCTCCAAAGATGGTAGATGGAGTCTTTGCCGGGTTTGGTTCCAGCGTCCAGCAATACACAAATGTTCGGATCGAGCACCGCTCCGAAAGCTTGGAAGAACCATCTGTGCGAATTGATCTTTTTCTGGTTCTTCTCCTTTAAGCAGAAAAGCATCTGCACAGGTGTGTTGCCCTTCTTGACACCCACAACACCCTTTTTGATGTCGAGGGTCATTTGCGTAGTGTACTATATATGTGTTAGCTCCGCTTAAAATGCACCAAATGTACAAATCACCTCATAAATATGTGCAGTCACATCTTTGCCGTTGACCTGCTGCTTGGCAATGCCATCTTGGTAGACACCGAGCGCCGCTAGCACGGCCCGCGTTCTTGGATTGATCTTAGCACGACCATCGCTGACGACACAGACCACGATCTTCTTCCACGCGTCCTTGCCCCACGTCTTGCTGTTTGTACGCGAGTTCATGTACTCGATGTTCTTGATCACACCCATCATGGTTCGCGCAAACAGCTCGTCCTCTTCGTTGTACATGGTAACGACGATGAACAACTCGGTGTGTCTCGGCTTTGCGAATAGCTTCTGTCGCAGTGTGAAGCGCTCCTCGTCAAAATGGGCAGGGTCGCATGTGGCAGCCGAGTAGCGCATATGCGTGAATTCGTCACGCTCTGGAGGCTGTGCATGCTGGACCTGATTGAGCAGCCGCGGCGGAATCGGGCAGTCGAGCACCAAATTTCCTTTGAACAGTTGCACCTCCTTGACCGTCTTCCATCGTTTTATGGGCGCAGGGCTCGGAGTGGGCAGCGGCTCATCATGAAACGGGTTCTCAGCGTGTAGGTGACTGTCGTCGCCTGGATGGTATTCATCGTGATCGAGTGGCTCATGCGGATCTGGTCCATAAGCGTCGGCACCGCCTATCATGGGCCGCCTATCATCGTCTTGCCAGTAGTGGTCAGGCTGTGCGCCATATGGGTGCGGGCTCTCGTCATGCGGTGAAGGATCGTAGGGCGGGTTGTAGTACGCATCGTGATGCGCTTGAGGATCGAGCGAGTAATTACTGTCCTGGCGATGCGGCTGCGGATGCGGATGCGATATGTAATCGTCGTGATAATCGGTTGCGCCGTAGGGAATGTTTTCGACCGAATACTGTGCGCAATCAGTTCCATATCCTTCGTGCGCATCTCGAACACACATACACTTGGCTGTATTTGGAGCCTGTCACCTGGTGTGCCAGGACCGGGCCCAGGACCCATGGGGATTTCCAGCGGGCCGGCTTGCGAATGTGAATAGCTATCAAGCTGGTAGTTCGCCAGTGGATGCCCTGGCGAGGGCGTCCGACCTGGCCGTCGCGGATCCATGTCCTCGTCTATGTGGTGTGCGGTCAGCGATTGTGTACAACTTCCTCCGCGCGATAGCGATAGTTAATGTTGTTGAATAGGCGATTATAGCGCTGCGTCGGCGACAAGGTCGATTTGTAGGCCTCTGTGTAGCTGGGTATAGCTAAAGTGCAGGAATGATAAGACCAAGCGAGGGAGGCGCGGTTCAGGGCCACGCGGCAATCCGCAGCACTATAAGCTTTCTGGGGGGCAGGGCGAAGACGACATACCAAGACGATTATAGCCAGACATTGTGAAGGGGAGATGCCTGGTTGCTTTGCTGCGTCCTCAAACTTCAAACGTCCTTGGCAGCGGCGGGAGAATGAGATCACCGAGGCAGGCTTCTTGTTTACCTACGACAGCGCAACCCAGCGAATGTCGAAGCAGTGCTTGGTGATTCTCCACGATGATGCGCTTTGTGGCTAAGCGCGTTGGTTTCAGATAGGTTTTGTGGAGACAGGCGTAGTGCGATTGTTTACCCAGCAACGGCGGCTTTGCGCAACGAGCGATGGATCACGGCACAGTGACGGCGAGCAAATGAGACTCCAAACGAATTCTCGTGAGCGTGTCTGCTCGGTGCGAGTGCTTTTGAAATATTTGCACCGCTCAGCCGCTATCTCCTCGCTCAACGCTCACTCGCCAGCCTGAAACTGGTCTGCGCCCCTGCAACACACATGACAAGCGGATAGCGGCGGTGGCTCTCTTTGCGCCACACGCACCGCCGCACCCCTCCGCGAGCGAACCCGTTCTAAATATACCGCTGACAGCCCTGCATTGCGTGGCACACTGACTTTATTCATCGTGGCTTAGGATCGACGAACTGCTTTGTTTACGTGCGGAACAATTGAAAGGCAGACTCAACTCTTGTCTCTTTGCTCTTTGCTCCTCTCGAGATTGCGATTCCTTCATCAATTTTAGCTGAATTGGTTTGGCTATGGGGCGTACGGCTGACGCTCCTGTACGTCCGTATTTGGGCTCCAGTAGCGAGCAGGGCGACGATGCGTCCGGTCAGTCGCAACTCGTATCTGCGCGCAGAAAATGTGCCGTCTTCCGAATAAGCCCGAGGCTAGCTCGTCGCCTCTTGGTACCATTGCTCTATAACGTCCTGTGCATCATATCTAGATGGGTATCATAGTGTCTTTCGTCTCTCATGCTACTGTCCGTGATGCTCAACTCAGCTCTCCATTCTCCAGCGCCTCTAGAAACGCCTTCGAGAACCTCACAGCCTGCTCGTATGCCATCGTGAACCCGTCGTTGCCGCCATAGTACGGGTCCTGCACCTCCTCACCTCTTCCGCCTCTTCTCTGCTTCCCTCCAAAATCTCCAAACAGCATGACTTTTCCCACTCCTTCCTCGCCGCCCTTCCGCTTCACCTCCCGCGCGCGCAGATCCAGCAAGTCTTCCAAGTTATTGTCGTCCATGGCTAAGATGTAGTCGAACTCTGCAAAGTCCGAGGATGGTCTGAACTTGCGCGCGGCGTGTGTGTAGCTGGTAATGCCCTTCTTCTTAAGTGTCTGCATGGTGCGCGAATCGGGATCGTCGCCAACGTGGTATGCGCCAGTGCCGCACGAGTCGATGTTGCGGATGAGAGGATGGGGCGACGCAAGCGGTGGGCGGGTCACTTGTGGAAGTCAGTTTGATACATGAATGGGCAGCTAAGGTCAACTTACGCGATTGGAACACGCCTTCAGACATGGTCGAGCGGCCTGTTGGAGTTAGCTGTGCGCGAAGAACAAATCTGGCACGCGTACAAATGTTGCCTAGGCAGACGAAGAGAACGGACACAGCTTGTGCCGATCCCTTTGCAGGGTCCTTCGAATGCGTGTTCGTCGCATGAGTAGCAGTCGCTTCTCCAGCCGTCATCGTGAAGGCGCTTCCAGATGTGGTGAAAGCAGAGGCTGAGTGTTTATCGAGCCGAGGCGGGCCAAAAGGTTGATCGGCAGGGCCCGATGACGACGCGGGGCACCCCGGTTTCCTTTGCTCGAGCTGCACTATGTGATCACATATATTGCTCAGCTACAACGCCCAATCTCGTAAATATTGGAGCTCCTCTCAGGCATTTACATCCGCTCTCCAAGCTTCCACGGATATACACCCGTGGACATATCGAACACACTTGACCACCGAATTTCAAGCTTCGCAGTAGCTGCATGTCCCAATCATCCTCCCAAGCAGCGCAGCGCATCGAAGCCCTATCCGCCCAACTACCCTCCAAACCACATCCACCCACAATGTCTACCGAAAAGAAGCCCCCAATCACCTGCCACGTCCTGGACACCTCCCTCGGCCGCCCCGCCGCCTCCATCCCCGTCACCCTCACGCTTCACAACCCACCCTCCTCGTTGTCCCAATCCGGTCTCACCTTCAGCGGCACAACAAATTCCGACGGCCGCGTAACATCATGGAAACCGTCATCACCGTTCAGTGCCGACGGGCTGGAGGTCATCTTCAAGCGTGAGGGCGATCAAAGATACAGCTTGACTTTTGACACGGAGAGTTACTTCGGGGAGAAGGGGGTTAAGACGTTTTTTCCGGAGGTGGAGGTTAAGTTTGTGGTCAGGGACGGCGCCAAGGGTGAGCATTACCATGTGCCAGTGTTGCTGAGCCCGTTTGGGTATACGACGTACCGGGGGTCGTAGAGGATGATGCGTAATCGGCGGAGATTGCCACAAGATCGGTGAAAGGGCAGATCTAGGGATGCACGTATGATAGAATCATCATGAGCGACTGGGTGCTAGAATTGTTTGGCACTTGCAAGAGTTTGGGAATTTCCGTGGTAATACAGAGCTTAAGATCATGCATTTTCTAGCGACAGGCCTCAATCGAGAAACAAGACTTACTTGGAAAGACTTACAGAGGGTCGAGAAACTGAACATTGCCTAGTTTCGGATCATATTGTATAGGGTTCGGGTAGCAAGAACGGCTTCCCGCTTCCTATCTCTGGTACTATCCTCCAGCCTTTGCTCTGCCCACGGTAAAAAGGCATTTCCCCATGAATGGCTCGTCAAATACTGCTGAGCTCGAACTATGGTACAGAACACCAACCTGTGAAGAACATAATTCTCAAGATATATATATATTCCCGGTCACTATTCCCACGCAATACCTCTATTATCATCTCTACATACTGCTTCCAAAGTACCACCTCTAAAAGAACCATCCACACTAAGATTCCATCTTAAACACCACACCTTCCACACAACTACCACAATGAACCCAAATCAAGACACACGAAGCACCTTCCCCACCCTTCCCATCTGCTCCTTCTGCCTCCGGCCAGCCCAAACACCTGGATCCTCCTCCCTCCCCACCTACCAGCCCCGTCCCATCCGACATCCCCGACTTCGACAACGCGCCCCCGCCCTTCGATTTCTTCTTCCCACGCCTGGAACTCACACTCCACCACCTCCAAAAGCACAACCCCATCCTGAACGAACATGACGTGCACGTCGTACTAGCTGCCTACGTCCGCATAGCCTTCGACGCCCTCTCTGCGTACCGGTACGTCAGGCCATGGCTGTCGGAGGAGCTACGTAGTTCTACCCGCGACATGGAGTGGGCGATGGACCACGCGGAGGAGGCTTTCAGGGCGACGTGGGACGCGACGCCGGTGTCGCTGCGGATGTTCGTGGAGGAGATTGACTTTCAGTTAATCTTCGAGGGGCTGGTGGAGGAGATCTTCCCTGCGGCAAGGGAGAATATCGCGGAGGAGTATCTGGGCTCGCGGGTGTTTTTGTGGGTGTATGCGACTGCTACGGATGATGTCCCTGGGTGCGGTATTAGTAAAGAGGTGTTGGAGAGTTGGGTAGGAGGCGGTAATGTGAGCGCGCGGACGAGGGACTTTTGGCCGCTGTGCTGTTCTAGTGAGATTGACTGGGCGGCGCTCGAGCAGGAGGAGGATGAATACGAGTTGGTGGAGGACTTTGAGGGGCTGGATGTCTTCGTTGACCGGGTGAAAGTCGATATCAGTCAGCACTCGACGCCGTACGTGCCTGTCAGCGGCGCGTCACTAACGAAATGCGTGATTTGTCTGGACGAGGACGAGCAAGGTGGCTTTGTGGCTCTGGACCTATGTGGACACGTGTACCACGGCGAGTGCTTCGAGGAGTGGGCGAATGCTGGATCCCGCGAAGTGTCATGTCCGCTCTGCAGGATAATCGTCTGCGAAAGGGAAAGACTCCCGCAGTCGGCTTCCGACCTCATCGAAAGCCTTAGGGGGGATGAAGAGTTCTTTGGAAACTTCAGGCTGGTTGAAGACGACGACCATGAGGAAGATTCCTCAGCATCCTCTTCAACACATGCCCCCCGGAGTGACGCTTGGGCTGACGACTCACCGCCCACTCTGCTCCATAATTTTGAACCAGCTGTGGATGCCGCACCCGACGAAGACGGCACAGAGTTCGAACATCTCGCCGCAACGGAGACCAGTGCCGCTGCGATCCGTCAAGTCACATCCTTCTTGACGGACCTGAGGTCCCGCATTCGAATACTGCAGGGCGACAGAGCCGTCGAGCAAGCGCTGGATGCAAGGATCAAGGCGAACGCGACAGCCTCGATGCACGCCATGGTGTTGCTGATAAGCATGGGCGTCAATATTCGGGAGACGTGGCCAGACTGGGACGTTACCTGTGGAGAAGGAATGAGGGGCCTCGAGGACGTAGAGGAGTCGAATGACGATGAGAATATATGAGAAGCTGGCGATGCAGCTTGAGGTCCGACTTACCCTAGACACAGTGGCAGACGCAAAGAACCAACATACCTAGCGCTACAATCTACTAAATCCCATCCCTTGTGAAGAAGTAAAAGTCGGCGATATCAATATCACTGTGTAGCCTAGGGTAACTTACAACGTGACATGTATTGAAAACGCATAGTTTCCCTTCTGCTGTGATTTTCTCCGGGAGCTCGTAGCCCTCTGCGTTTCTTATATCCTTTACTCCGCTTCAGAGTGAATGTTCGTACATAGCATTATGCTGACTTTGAAAAATGTACAGGAGCCACTCGAGGAGACACGGGCCCAATCAACTGTTTGTCGAGGCTTTACGAGCGCGTAGAAGCGTCCTTCACTCACAATTACCCCCGTCACTACTGGATCACGCGGCGCATAGATTCGATGCGCACCAAGCGACAGAATTTCGGGTATATATATTACCATTGTCAAGCTTACCTTTGTACGATACCCAGTCTACATGTCAACTGGCGGGTTGGTTACCTACGTGTATTATACTTTGAACTTTAGGTGATCCTGCCTGACTCTTGTGGCGGTTCGATCCCGCGGGCAGTCAGGAGCCTACTGTTCTTTTTGCTCTTTTTGTTTGACTTTTTTTTTGTTAGCCGGTGCGCTCTTGAGCGACCTTTCACCTCCTGCGAGCGCGTTGGGCGGTCTCCTAGGTAACCGAGTCGACCTGAGCTGAGGGATATCTCTTTGACGAAGAAATTGCGAAGGACTTGTAGAAGTAAGATTTGCTCATTATTTGGTATTCAAGCATATGAAGTTCGCTGGCAGATACATGCGAAATATAATGCTTACCACGATCTGCACGACGCCTGTGCTGCCTCGTCACGATGAGCCGGATCAGCAGGATAATCGTCAACGGATCGCCGGAGTGCATGCTGATCGATCTGCCCTGCTCGCTATAGCACATGTTTTAAGCCGCAAGGTTAGAAACGTCCCGGAGGTATACGTAAAGCAAGAACGAGCTTGGATCCTGATGGCGCATGCGGGGAAGCTGGATGATAAGTCGTCGTTAACCAGCCGGAGTAAGTGTTCGTTTTGAATTTATTGCTTCACGCATGTTGCTGTAGGTATAGTGACTACAACCAAGATTGCGAGGCTCTTCCACACCACAGAAAGACGTCATCTTGTGGGCAAAAACAACATTAATAAGGCAAAGGTGAGGAAGTCATTTCGGATATGCATAAGACAAGAAAGACGTTGTCCTACCGCCAAGTCTCCCCTTGTCGATAAGCAGACGATCAATCGGTCTGGCTCAACGGCAATTCTCCGAAGGCAAGGAACATGCCTCGAGCTTCGTGCGACGGATCAAAAGGGTCTACAGCAGGCCGCGCGCTGAGTGGTGCAGGCGAGGAGATTGCGCGTACCTCTGCGGTTGCATCCGCCAGGGAGAGAGGGAAGCGTGTGGCACGACGGCGCGGTCATCAGAGGCCCTGAGCTTTATGCCATGAACTGTGGCTGGCTGCATCCGGGCCAGCGACATCTGGCGGGTCTGTTTGTCTCTATTTGGAGCCTCGGACGAGCTGTCAATTGTTTGAGCAGAGTGGGGATGTCAAGATGCGGACGTTTCGGAGTTTCCCAAAGGCGTACTGTGGAGCTGCTGGCGCTGCCTCGAGGAACAGCTGTGCTACACGTTGCATACCGCGACCGCTGACCGACCATGTTACGCGCAATTACGATACTTGCGACCCCGCGAGCTGGAGCTCGTCGTGCTTGTGGTTGCGCAAAGCAGCGATCAAGACGGAAGGGGTCGGTACCCATGCAGAAATAGATTGGCCGTGGCTGCGCGTCGCATCCTCGACCAAGAAGGCAGGGCGAGTGTCAGCTGCGGCCAATATTGATTGCCCGCTCCCGGTGTCCACACACCAGGACCACAGACCAAAACGCCCGCCTTTCCCACACCGCAGCAAACAAACATCTTCTTTGTTGCGTCTTCAGCACTTTGCCGTTGCTGACCCGAAGCGCCACGACTGTTGGGGCTTTCGAAACAGCAGTCCACTTACCGACCGAGCCTAGGGCAATCTGCGGTCTGCGCAGCCAAGTCCAGCCCCGGCGCCCCATCATCCATTCTCCTCCCTCTCCACCCTGCCTCAGTCCTCCCAGGCCCGCCTTCGCTCCCACAGTCACTCGTTACCTCTTTTCTCTTCTCTACACGCACCAACTCGGCCGTCTGTCTCTGCCAGAGCCGTACCTCGCGTCGTCTTGTGCTGGCCTGCCGCCGACCTACCCGTCAACCCTCCGCGCCGACCGTGACATTCCGTCGCGACTGCCGTCACCATGGCGGCCCAGACAGGTACACGCCATCCCGACCCTCTCCGCGCTGTCCAGACTGACATGTCAGACGTCGAAAACGTCATGCGCACCATCTTCAAGCGCTGCGTCGTCTGTCCCAGCGAGGCGCCCTCGTGTCCCGACGCATGCAAGGACGGTGTCAACTGCGTTCAAACAACCCAGACGTGCGACGCCTGCCCCCAGGCAAAATGCCAAAGTATCGGAATCCAGGGCTCCGATTCTAGCTCCGGGAAGCCCAATGTAGGAGCCATCGCAGGCGGTGTCATCGGCGGTGTTGCCTTCATTGCGATATTGGTCTTCGTCATCTGGAAGTTCTGCATGAAGGGCAAGAGACGGTCATGGGTTGAGGAACAGGGATGGAACGACGGAATGGACATGTCGACCGCGCAAGAGAAGCAGGACAACGATTTCGCTTCGCGGAGGAGCACCAGGGCATCGACACATACAGTTGCTTCCATGGCGTCTTCCGTCCTCACGCGCGCTTCCAACATTATCCAGATCGCCTACATCCCCGGCGTTACAAATCGCTCAGGCCCCGGATCTCCAGATTTGCTTGTTCCACCTGTTCCTCCGATTCCCGCCATGTCTCCTTCCTCAGGTCTCAGCAGCCCGTATGCAGCGTCCGAGCAGCACTTCTTCGTGCCAGACTTCCGTGATTCGATGGCGTCTGGGTCCACCGACGTGCGCAGCAGCTACGCCCGCACCAGCATCGCCCCAAGTCTCGCTCGTGCCAGTGTTGCTTCGACCGTCTACCGCCAGAACGCCATTGTTTCCCCTTTGCCAGCGCAAACCATCGTGCGAGGAAAGGCGGCAGTCGTGAGCGTCAAGTCGAGCGGTTCCAACAGCCCGGCAGAGACGCCCATGGCAGAGACCCCGCCGGTTCCTCAGATTGATCCCAAACACTCAGTCAAACCGATCCGCATCCAGATGCCACGACAGGGCAGCGGCGCTCCGTCATTGAGCCCTCAGAACTCAGTTCGCAGTACCGCCACCCTCGGCCCAGTGCGCGCACTCAACATCACCAAAAAGAAGGGATCCGATGTCACCCCTCCCAAGAGCTCTTCCTCCAACCAGAGCGACCTGACGGGCTCAACAGCCATATCCGACCACCCGGTGCAAGCCATGCGCCCTCTTACTGAATACTCGGTCACCTCGTCCGACGATGGTGTCGCACATGCCCGTGCGCGCAAAGCCGGAGATGTAGATTCGGACTCGGACTCCGGGGATGACGATCACGCACGCGCGCGTCAAAGCTTCCTGCGCGACAGCGCCCTTGTCAGCGAGTTCTCAGACGACCACTCGATAGCCGACCTACGGTCGCCCTTCTCCGACTACGCTGCCACCGACCGTCCTGTCGCACCGCAACGGCAGACGTCGCGGTCGAGCAGGCTGCAGGCCGCGCCGATGACGCCCATTGTCGAAGAGTCGGGGAAGCGACACAGCGCTGCGTCCAAGAGGACGCAGAGCCCTTTCTCCGACGACCACCGGAGCGATCTTTAATTGCATCGCTTCCGTATGAAAATCTTTTTCCTTGATGTTTGTTACTCTCGACACGGCGTTTATGGAACGCAGCCTGTCCAATCGACGGGCGCGCTATCTTTCTTTCTGGGGGTATCACAGCCAAGGCGGCCTTCTCTGTCATCTCTCTCTCTCTCTCTACCACACTACCTTAGCAGTCTCTCATACCATACCTTTCTTGTAACTTGTATTTCACTTCTAAGATACCCTAGCTTGGAACCGACGAGGTTCGCGGGGCACCTCTTTTTTTTGTGGGGGCTTAGGGGTTGAGGCCTAATTGAGGCGCGTTGTCTGTCGTAGGCCTTTTTAGCGAGTGACGACGCATGGATCGTTTAGCTGAAGGATGGAATGGAAATTGAAGTCATGTTACGAATGAAGCACCGATGTGCAAGGTTCGGGATGGGATGTATGTAGCATGGACTGGGCTAATGAAGCGTGTTGTTGATCAAATCATGCAGTTGTGTCGTCTTGCTGTGGTGTATTTGTGGAGTGGGGTGAGGTCGATGTTCTGTGCGGATATGTGACTGTTTAAATGGGTCTGTCGAGGTGGCATGCCTCTACTCTTACTCAGTCCATTCGTTGCTCACTACTTATTCTCAAATCAGCCGATACCTATGGTATTCATCCAAATACACTGGAATCGCCAACGAACTTGAAAGTGGCCAATTCATAGGTCGAAGAGGCGATGAAGTGTGACTGACTTGATCAATATCAATGATGCTCTCACTTGTGATTATCAGTTCAGAGCCAGCGTGCGTGTGCTTCGGGACGATGTTTATGAATTGGATAACTAGCCGTGCTCGAAGCAGTCTTAATTCGACAAATAGAACTACACCCCGATATGTTTGTAAGCACTCACTATCCACGCGATTTGCAATGCTAATAAGCCAGTTTCATACGACACTATCCTATAGCACGACAAAACAACAGTGCCCTTTCGGCGCGATCAAAAAGCGATTGTCGAACTCCATCATCTCGTCTGTCATGCATGATGCAAGCCGCGCCCCCCGACAATGTCTGAAGAACATGGCTGCTCCCAGCCTGAGCTCCATCCACGCCAGATGTAGACCGATGCAGACTCTGGACCCTGCGCCGAAGGGGTGCATCGCCGTCTTCTGCGCGGAGCTCATCGCGGACTTATTTAGGAAGCGGTAGCCGTCGAACCTTATCATGTTAGAACATGTGTGCAACTGTGTGAAAGGCATCGCAAGTGCTAAAAGAGAACGTACCTTAAAGGATCGGTCCACAGATCGGGATGCCGGTGGATTGTATATGCCTGCGTGCTGACTTCAACGCCTCGGGGGATTTGGTATCCTCCAAATACGGCCCCTTCCTTTGGTACCATTCTCGGCAACGCACCTGGCGCAGCTCCATATAGCCTTAACGTCTCCTCGATGACACTGTTCAACAAAGGCGCATTGTTAACTAGCTCGTTTAGATGCAATGCGTCGCTCAAGCCTGCAATTTCAGCCTCAAGCTCTCGTTGCAACGCAGGCTGCTTCAAAATCGCCCAGACCATATACGTGAGCGTCACTGCCGTCGTGTCACTCCCCGCGATGATCAAATTTCCAGCTTCCCTCTTAACCTCCTCATCCGTGATGCTGCCATCGTCCTTCTCAGCCGCGGCCTCCATCTGTCCAAAGAGGTTCTGCACGCCGCCACCTTCCCGTCTCATATTGTGGATTGCTCGGCTGCCATGCTGCATGACCAGCCCTTCTGCCTGGGTGATAGCGTAGAGCCTGCCAAAGGGAATCCACCTCGCGATGTGCCACAAAAACGGTACTTCCCCTCGCAGCACACTCCCCAGAAGGACGCTCTGCAAGGCATCAATGTACGGCGTCTGTCGTCCAAGCTCCAGCATCCCGAAGCTCTCCCCAAAAGCAAGGTGCGCAATGACATCTGTAGCCATCAGCGTCCACCACTTCATCACGTCGGCGCCGTCGCTCTTCCTCTCCGCATCCTTTCCGTCCAGACTATGCCCTTGGCCGCCTTCCCTCGCGCACTCTTTAATCCGTCGAATAGCAAGACTCGCCTTCTCTCGAATCGTACCCTCCCAGTGCGTAGCAATACCCGTATAGCTGAACGCCCTCGCAAACAGTCTCCGCCTCTGCGCATGTTCCTTGACATCCTGCATCGCAAATATCCCCGGTTTTCCTCCCCTGTGCGATCCCTCGTACCACGGCGATTTCACAAAACGGCTGCCGATGCGGTGAATCTGGGAAAAAGCGGAGAGCTCCGAGACGGCGAGTTCAGCGGGGGCGATGCGGACGGTAGGGCCGTACTTCTGGTGGAGGCTGTCGACATGGTGGATCCTGCGGCCTTTGATGATGGCGAGGCGGAGAGACAGCGCGGTGAAGCGCGTGTGCCATGGGCCTGGGATGTGCGAGAGGGGGGAACGGAGGGCCGTGATGATGCACTGTGGGTGGAGCTTAGCTACGCGTCAGACGGAAGGAAGGCTCGTAGCAACGTACGCGGAGGAGAAGAGCGGCGACGGCCAATGAAATGATGAACACGGGGGAGAGCATGGTGTCTGCTGTCTGGCTATGGTAGTTGATCTTCTGTCCAGGGCAAGCAATAAGACGTAGGCAAAGAAAGGGAATTTTAAACCCTTGTTCTGTCCGCACGACAGGTATCGATCCAACTTGTGGAGTCCGTCCTGTGGAAGCACACAATAATAGGTCCAGGAAGCAATCGCAGTTACTGCCTGAAGATTGACCAACCTACCTCGCTCCCGGTCTTGCTTGCCAATCACGAGTGCAAGTCCACTTTTTGCGGGGGTGGAGGAGCACTCCCGTGCCCGGCAAAGTACCTACCCGCAGTTCCGTGCACTCTATCGTCTACGGTGACACACTAACCGGAAGGTGGAGGAGCTTTGCGATCCATGGCAGTCGTATGCTAGCCTAGCGCGGTGTGGGGTAGCCTGAGTGGCCTGAAGTGAACGCAACCACACAGCATCCCCGACACTCAGTATCGCAACGGCGTCATAGTTTCCTAGACGTAATACCGAGCAGGCCTAAAAGGTTGAAAGGAGTAGCTTGTAGCTATGGGTTAAAAAGCACAGGCTCAATTCATGAGGTGATGGCCAAGGCCAGTGCAAAACCAAACAGGGTAAGAATTTCAGGATGTGCCAGTCTCCGTTTCAACTTGTCTGCTTTTATCGGACTGCTTGTCTCTCCATATTCCGTCATCTCAAGCTGCTCAGAAACATTGTCAAGCTGGCAAGCGTCGCCGCAGAGTCACGTTAAGTGGACGCTTATCCTGTTCGCACATTAGCATCAATTTGAAAGGCAGTTCCCATCCACTTACCCAAAATATGTATGTGTTTTGCTCGCCCCAGTCCCACCGGTCCTCCTCATCTGCCAAGCGAATGTCGAACGCAAACAACAGCCTTGCCAAAGTGACGCGTAGTTCCGCATAAGCAAGCTTCATGCCGATGCAGACATGCCGCCCCATCTGGAACGGTTGGAACGATGCCAAATTGTCGGCTTTCGAGTCTGGATCGAGGAAGCGTTCGGGTATGAAGGAATTAGGGTGGTGAAAGTTGTGCTGCTGGCGGTTTGCCGAGAACTGGTTGTACGCCACGTATGTCTGCGCTTCCTGTAAGATTTATCTCAAGGCAAAGACGTTTGAACTTACTCCTTCTGGTACCCACTGTCCACAGATTGTATCCCCGCCCTTGGGCACCACTCTTGGAACACCGATGACGGAAGGAGGCGCGATCCGCAAGCCTTCGTTGATGACCGCATTCAGGTAGGGCAGATTTCCAGTGGAAGTTATCTTGACTTCACTTTCGGTGGTGAATGCGGACCGGATCTCCTCTGTTACTCGATGCAGGGCACCGCGGTTCTGCAGTAAGTGTCTGGTGATTGCACATAGAGCACTTGCAGTGGTCTCGGCGCCAGCGAATATGATAATAGTCATATTGATCGCCCACTCACTTTCGGAAAGAGCGTCTTTGTGGTCGTCATATCTCTTAGCAGGGCTGACCCAATCCGGTCGATCCACTTTTAAAGACAACCTCTTCTTCGCCATTGATGCACTCATTTCGCGGTGCGTGACTTGCCGTTGTCTGATGCGCTTCGGAATGATGTAGCGTAGCAGCTTGTCGACTGGAGGGTACATGTTGACCGACGCTATAAGGGATAGCCCTTTGCCGAAGTCCTGCGCGATCTCTACCCAAGGATGCGCTCTCCCCGTTGAAAGGCACCCGAAAGATTCCCCAAACGAGAGATCCCCTGATATGTCGAACATGAGAAAGACGAACCACTGAGATAGGTCGACGGTCTTCTTCGTCCACTGCCGTCCTGAAGTGCGAGCCCTAAGCGCGCTTACGAAGCTATCAATGTAGCTTTCAATGACTGGAGACTGGTCCCGTAAGCTCTTGTCGGAGAACGACTGCGCAAATGCTCGCTTTTGTCGGGCATGTGCCTCTTCATTGTAGCCCATCAGAGAGTGCGGTTCATCAGGGGACATTTTCTTGAACCAGGTGCGGTTGCGCTCAAGTGGCTGGTGGCCGGGACGATTGCCGTAGATGTCTTTCCACGCGGAGGGATCAGCATACGACAACTCATTAGGTGCAATTCGAACGATGGGTCCATATTCGTCGTGATATGTCTTCAGTCGCCGGTGTATGTCACCGCTATGTATGGCAATGACGTAGGGAAAGCGGAAAGCTGTCCAGAGCAACGGCCCTGGATACCGTCGGAGAGGGTGAATGAATGCATTATAGACGCCGTATAAAACTCCCACCTGATGCGGTTAGCAATGGGTACTACTTCGATGACTGCACTGACTGTGATCAGCGAGAGCGAAATGACCCCTCCGAGAATGATCCCTTGCGATACCAGGCCCCATCTCCAGAAATCAATTCCAGTACTATCCAGAGTAATGCTGTTCATATTCGTGAGGCCATTTAGAAACGCCACCAACAACGAAAGTTTCGCTTATGGCAGTGCCGATGTTGTGGTTGAGATTGTTGTTCCATCTGAGGTTAGTCTCTGCCCCACGACGATCTGCTGACAACAACTTTAGCGCACACCTGAACTCCAACTGTTCACTTCACTCCTCTCATTTCCCTTATTCGCTAAACACGGTTCGCACACTTCGATCGAAACATCTTATTTTGTCTTAGAGCCGTGGATGATCACGTTTCTAGTTTGTAGCTCCTTCAGGAAGACAGGACGGAACGCAGCACGAACTAAGCCCGGAGCACGGCTCGGTTGCAAACAAGCGGAGTTTACGAAACAATTGCCTTGTGTTTGAGCTGCACGTTCTGTCAAGCCCACACGACGGCCCGCCATGGTCGTCAAGAGGGGAAGATGTCGACTTGAGACAGCTACACGAGTCGCAAACGCGCACCCTGCAGATTATAGCTAGTCGCGATTGTCACTGTTGCGAAGCAAACCCAACGCAGGATTCCAGCAGATAGTATCACCTGCAGTCACCTTCGCCCAAGCCCCCAAATGGGATGCATCTTTGATTCCGGTTCCTGTATCAGATGCTGCCGTCACCGTCCTGAAACCACTCGCTTAAGTTTTGACACAACCTTGAGCCCTCCTCCACCAGTTCAAGTTTCGAAACACCCCATTTGACGTCGCTCACGATATCAAAACGAAACTGCGACTGAATGTTGAAAACGACTGTCCCACTTTCAGGCACAGGGCTCACCATGTCCGCGCAATAAGGAGCGTTGACGGAGGCGTTTTCAATATCCGCTAAATCCCTCAGAACGGCAGGTAAGAGCGCTCGGGCTCGCTCCCTCAGGCAATACGTGCAGACCGCTAAGAAAGCTAATACTTCCTTTTCAAAGGAAATCGCTTCGGGAACCGATACCACTTTGTGGGCATTCATAACGGGTCAGTTATTGCATCGGATCTTGCTCTCCCCGCAATTCATCATCAGCACAAAGCGATTTAGAGATCTCATCGGTATGCGTCGGCCATATTACAGGTTACCGCAATAGAGAGAGACCAGAGATGCCGTACATCGGGTGCTGCAACCGAGGGTCTCCTCACTGGCCGAGAATGCGTAGATGCGCCGAAGGATGCAAGCCATCATGTCCGTTAATATCGAATATGCAAGGCTAATTAGCCAGCATTTTGGCTCAAAGCGGGGCATTCTTTGTAGCGCCGCATCCACAATCAGGCCATTTGCCGGCTATTTCTGACCCGGTGACAGCAAATTTGCCAGCGCTGGTGTTGGCGGCGTAACGCACGGCCGGTGAACAATGAGGCCTGGGCCACTTTGAGCCGTGCTTTTTTCCCAACCTCCATGTCCTTCCACCTAACGGGAACTGTTTGAAGTTTCGACTCCGTCGAAGGGCCGATGGTGAAACTATTGCAAGCAACATACAGCTGCCATGGAGGATGCACATTGATCCTTGTGCTCGAACTGTGTGAAGGGGCTCGTAGTTCACGAGCAGTCTGTCGCTGGTACTTTCGCGCGAATGAAGCCTTACCACGAGGATGCTGCAGACATGCGGCTCAGATCGCCTTCTGGCAGAGCACTAGCGCTTTCATCACGTCCCCAGCCCATCCATGCCTCCGATCTTGCGGTATCAACCTATCAGATGTGCCCTTGAGCACAAGCATTTTGACGCTATGGCCGGTGTGGGTACATAGCGCGACACCATCGGGTGGCCCCCGTACTTCTAATTCCATCCCAGGTCTCACCAATCTAGCCATGCAGGTCGCTTCAAGGATGAAGGTCGCGGCCTGCATGTACGGCGCGTGGACTAGGATGTTTGGTCTGCTCCGTGGCGGCCTACCTACCTAACGGGAAACGCTGCAGAACTACTAGGAGGGAGGTTATAAAGAAGGCAAACTCGACATGCACCGAATTTCGAACAGGGACCTTCGTCTTCAACCTTTTCCTAACTTGGGGGGATCAACCGTACCAGACAATTTCTATCGCCTTACGCTTCTTCTTCTACGCTCACGCCGGACTCATCCTCCCCTTTGCTCACGTCAACTACTCCTCCTACGACATCTTAGTCTTGCTGGAACGTCTAAGCCTTGTCATCACATCAAGGACTACCGAGAATTATTTTTCACGACTACAAAAGGTTCCCCGATTACCTTCGCCTCCCAAACGACAACCGCACTCCAATTCGTCACGATGTTGTGCCCAAGCATCTCCACCGCCCTCATGGCTGTCGCTGCCCTCACCTCCGCGGTAGATGCGTGGCCCCAATGGCCACGTGCGGACAGCGGTCTAAGCAATCTCGCCAAGAAGATGCCTGCGAACACTCTTCCAGCACCTACTGATCTCGAACTGAAATATGTCTTGCTTGGTGTCGGTACACAGAATTATACTTGCCTGACCGGAAACGCCGCGGATGCGCCTGACACAACTGGAGCAACTGGTGAGCTCCCGCGTGTTGATCAAACAAAGAAATTCGCTGATATCCTGTAGCCAAACTCTACGATCTCGGCACGAAGCTGAATAACGATCCTCTTGCGCAGTGGAAGATACCCGCTATCTCTGGCCTCGCACTCTCCCTCTCCGCGTTTGGCACCTGGCAGCTTGACATGTACCTCAACGCTGAAGGCTACAACCAATGGTTGGGCAACCACTTCTTCACTTTGAAGGTTCCGACCTTCTCCCTCTACAAGACCAAGACAACACCCCATCCTTTGGCCATGGTAGCGAAGAAGGCAGATCAAGATGCGCCCAAAACGGCTTGTCAGGGTACTACAGGCGAAGGTGCCGTCAAGTGGCTGTACCTTGCCGATGACACCAACCTGTCGGTGGGAGGTGTCAACACAGTCTACAGACTCGAGACTGCCGGCGGTAACAAGCCGGACACGTGCCAAGGCATGCAAAACTACTTCGAGGTTCCCTACGCCGCCCAATACTGGGTGTACGGTCCAAAGGCATAAGCGCTGGACGTGTGTCGTCCGCGTTTCGAACATATTACGCTACTCGTCTGCGCACACCCCGTTCTTTCATGACCGCTCCGACTGCTCTCGCTACATGTCCGGCTCAAGCCGTTGTTTCTGCATTATACCCTGTATTTATTCTTTTCTTACTCTCGCTCGAAGGCCTCTTATTTTCTCTTCTCAGGCATGGTCGGTTCTGCGTACAGACGCGGCGTTCGTTGGGCGGCTGTCTCGCTTTGCAAATGGGGATCCAAAATAGACTTACATACCCTAATACTCCAACACGAGAATATCAACTTGTCACAGCATCTCAGATCATCGCTTGCTTCTTGGTGTGTCCCATGCAGTCATCTACCTACCTTCCCCTTACAAGCGCGTCCCGAAGCAAGCACGCCCCAGCCTGTCTGTTGCCACTCCTGCTGCAGCCACCGCTCCTCCCATGTGCACCAAAACCTGCCTATCGAAAAAATTCGTGTACCACGACATACAGCGCTTCGGTCTTTCTGCTCGCCATCGCTATCGCCGCCTCCGAGCCCTTTCACCCAGCCACTACGTACTACTCCAGCCACTCCTTGCCACACCCAGCCCTCCACTACGCACGCGACACGCCCAGACAACCCAGTCCGTACATCACGAGTAGGCCTTCCAATCTGCATTCTACCGCCATGGGCCACCAGGTTCCGACCAAGGTACGAACCACAACGTCCTCTAGCACCCTCGCAAGCGCTCAAGGTTACCACAGCTTCTGCCCTCGTACTGGCTACCAACAGCGGACCCGCCCGGAGCTACCGCTCGTCATTCATTACATCCGCACTGTCATTGGACATCGCACGGGTATCGGCAAGGGTAGCATTCATGCGGGCTTGAGCAGGCGCTGCGCACGATTGGTCGAAGGCGGGCTTCCAGCGCAAAAACTCCACAACGCCCCCCGCCGAGCTTGATACCCGGTTGTCGCATACCCGGAGGGCATGCCGCCGGACGGGGATGGGGATATTGAATGATCATTAGACTACGTCTGGTACGCATTTGGAGAATGCGACGTCTGGAAGGGTTCGCTCCGGGCGCGTAGGTCATTTGCTTTGCCTGCGGAGTTCGCCCAAGCTGAGGAGGGTGGGAGAGGGTCCAGTGGGATGGCAATACGGATGTGGGCATGTGAGGGAGTGCGCGCAGAAGTGTGTTGAGCTGCCGTATTTGGAGGGTACGTACTATGGACGGACAGCGAGGCCGCGTGTGCTGGTGTCAGCGGTTAGGAAGCTTGGCTGCAGGATGCGCGACGCGCTGCGGGTCATGTCCGCGGACTGGGTTGGTGGTCGTGCAGCCGTGACCTTTTTTGGAGGCTCAAATGCTGGGGACGGACAAGAGGGGTAAAGAGTGCTCGTGGCAGTTCCACAAATGTCTCTTTTTGTGGGAGGGAGAAGTATACAGTTCGTCGCTCTGACGATAAGCTGCTAGGCCTATTTTGATCCTGCAGGGGTGTAGTGGTCTTTCTGTTAAGCATGATAAGATATGGCGTTCTGCTTTATTGTGCTTTGCAAAGGTTCCATCCCCTTTCATGGCTCTGGTTATACCTTTTCAAAGTTTTCTAGCAATCTATATACTCTAAGCGGCTAATCATTGGATAAATCCTGTTGAATTGTGGTTTCTTGGCCTGGTAGAGGTTAAAATAGGGCACTTAGCTGTTAAAATAGGCGTACCAAAGTCATCTATCCAATAGTAGTGTGAACATATCATAGAAATCCAATTGAACTGACGGAAACTGACCCAGAGCGATAAGAGGGATATTTGCTTTATGCTCGTCGTGCCCAGAGAAGCTGCAGCTTGAGAACGAGCACGAGCGTTTCTTTTAGGTGTATCACAAAGAAACGCGCAGAAGGAGGCATCATACTATCTCTCAGGCTCTTGCGGACTTTCCGTGCATAGACGGCTGAATGCGGTCAAAATCTGGCGATTCGACAACGTTTGCTGTTGCCTAGAGCCTTACGCACAGCCGCAGCCTAATCAGCCGCATGCTGAGAGAGAGGAATGCGACAGCCGTACACTGCAAGGAAAACATTACTTTTCCACTTCCTTTAGTTAGAAAGTCCTTCGATTACAATTATTGACACATTCAACGCGGTAGACCATGGCTACACAAGTCGATATTAGTTGTGCCGGCAGTATCTACAAGCACCAGCCTCTCGATCTCAAAAAGCATCAGATTCGTCTGCTCAGACTGCGCAATTCATCCGAACAAGTACTTGACTATCGTATCATAACTTTTGACTACGAACATGCCCCACCGTATGTTGCTCTGTCGTATACATGGGGAGAAAAAAGCCCGACTGGATTTATCAGCATCGATGGCAAAAAGCTCGAGATCCGAATGAATCTTCTCAACTTTCTGAGCACTTATCAAACAGATGAGTACCTATGGATTGATCAGATCTGCATCGACCAGTCGAACAATCGAGAGCGAGGCCATCAAGTTGATCTGATGTGGAAGATATACAGCCGATGTTATTTTGTGCTGGTCTGGCTTCGAGATGAAATTACCTACACTGTCTCAACAAAGCAGGCAGCTGTGGATTTCAATGATGGGGTTCAATCATATGTCAAGCATGGCCATCATGTATTAGGCTCCAATGACGACAAGCCAAGTCTCGACTACCCGACGCTCATTCTACTGCACAATCCCTATTTTGACCGATTGTGGATCATCCAAGAGTTGTTGCTCTCAAAAGAAGTACGCCTTCTGGTCGAAGGAAATGTATGGGTCTCGTGGAACTCATTACGCGCGAAGCTTGAGGGACTCCAGGACGAGTTACGAAACACAGACATAGCACCGAGCACCACTTTGATGGTGAGTATGCATAGGTACTACCGGTCCCCAGTTACCATGCATACCCTGCATGCCCCTCTAAATCCTTTACACTACGTTACCCACACCGTCGGCGAATTTTGGGACAAGAAATGCGAAAATCCAAGGGACAAAGTCTATGGTTTAATGGCACTGGTCCACCCATCAAGCAAGGTTGAAATTGACTATGAGAAGTCGGTCCAACAGGTATATCTTGATGCGTTCATGTCGATGATAGGAGAATACTGGGATTTGGGGCGCGGGCCCCTTCGTAGGCCCCTTTGTCGTAGGTACCAAAAACGTCAAATCACATGGACCGTCAAACGGAGCCTCAAAGCATCGTTGGGCCTTGCACAAGCCATGGGTTCTACAGATTTGGAAAAATCTGGTCTTAAATCTTTCGTAGAAAGCATTTGGGAGAGGGTTGACCGGCATGAAGTTACAGCAATATCACTGTGGCCGAAAGTGGACGATGAGACTCATTGCATCACATCAGTTGGCTTCGAGCCAGCCACGCATAAAATGTCCAAGATCAGGCGACTTGCAGTGACCTCCGATCGATGGTGGTACGAATTTGAAAATAAAAGGTACTACCATGACTGTAAAAAATGGTCGGGGAACCCGAAACTCCAAGAGTATACCGTGTCACATACAGGTCTACGCTTATATGGCGCTTAGCTATAGATATGTAAAACTTTCCCAATTCATTAGACAACCATGGCATTCGACACCCGAAAGAACCAACATCTTGATCGCTTGAAGCGGATCTCCCGCATCAGCTGTCGTCTCAGCTCTACTCATAGTCTCGTGGTGCACGATAGAATGGTGCACGACGAACGTGATGTAGCTTACATGTCGCACTGCATACCTAGTTTAATAGACTTGAATTGATATGATACCTTCTATTATACCCTCCTTATTAGTAGATATCATATCGGTGCTTTGCGAAAAGAATGCCCCCACCCTACCATGGTACAGCTCCCTATTTTGATTACCTATGGTATATATCTACTCAACTATTAGTTAAAATGCGTTGGTACACCTATTTTAACAGCTTGGTGCCCTATTTTAACATCTACCATAACCAGATCTAGCTATTTAACAAGATCTAGCCAGTAATAGAGTGAATGTATCATACAATTGATAAAGGTTGGGGATCTGTACCATGGTCGGGTGGGGGCATTCTTTTCGCAAACGATAATATCATATACTAAGAACTAATACACCATTACTCCTGGAGAAGATATCTAGTGGATTATGGAATCTTCTAAGGAAAGTATCTTGGGCCTATTTCACAGGTAGTCGTAAGCAACGAGGCTTTGAGCATCTAGCTCTGTCAAAGTATCAGTAGTTCTCTTCTCGTATTTCGAGTAACTATTGAAGATCCGAGTGGCTTCCTGCAGCAATGTTGTTCCCTCAGAGTCGGTAGCCGGTAGCGTTTTGGCGTAAAGGAACGCCGTGCGGCAGATGTAAGGACGCAAGTGGTCTACCATTCGATAATGCGGCAGAATGTCATCCAGGTATTGCCTTAATCTAGATCAGTATCATCGAGGTACGATATATTGTTCTCGCTTACCTGGCGATCGTGTAACTGTGAAATCTGACGTAGTGCATGGCCATCTTGTATTTGCAGTGAAGAGTTCCACGGCCAGTAGGTCCAGCCGTTCGTTCAAGATGAGCATGTGCTTTAACGTGTAGCGCGAAGCCTTCATGTGCCAGACCTTGCCGGATTTTTACATCGCCAAGTGTATAGTAGAGAGCTCCAGTTCTTTGAGCATTAGCATCAGTTCGCCACCACAGGTAGTCTCTACTAACCGCACGGAATAACTGTCCGTTCCCCCAAAAGCTTGAACGCGATCGGATATCGCAGTTTCAAGACATTGGGCCGCTTTCTCATTCTTGTTGAGATGGAAGTAGGCATGCGCTAGCTGATAGTAGGCACTAAATAGCCAGTCTCTCTTGAATCCTGAAATTTCCTCCCTAATCTTCATCGATATCTTGAAGTACCTTCTGGCCTCTTTCCATAAGAAGTTGAATCCGTACGCGATGCCCATGTGAAGATTTGCTTCAGCTAAAGCAGACGAGGGCTTTGAGTGTCGAGCTGTTTCCGCCGCTAATTCTTTCTTCGCATAATGTAAGTAAGCTTCTCCGTCCCGCAATATGAAGGCCACACTGATACGCCCTCGATAAATGCGTTGGTCGTATTCAGACGTATCAGCCATGCTTTTCGCGGAGGAACATATTGATTCTGAAATATCAAGTATGCGCGATGCTTCTTTGGGCTGACTGGTCTCAGAGAAGTACCTGAACGAAGTTAGCTGAGGTTGGGGAGAAAATCTTATGATCGTACACTGCAAGCTCATAAAGAAGCTCCACGAGGTCTAATGATGGTTCTTTCAATCTTCCTCGCTCTCTGAACTCAATATAAGCCTGACTAAGAGCATAGACATGCGGTGACCATTTCTTGCAGCTCTTCCATCGATTGAAGTGGCGCTGAGTGCCGGTTTGGTGGATGCGGTTGACGTACGGCCAACGATCAGTGAGCCTTCTGAGGGTTTGATTGAATACTTGCTCAGACAGTGTCTCGTCCCGAGCAATCTGGGCTCTTGTGACCTTTTGCACCAGTCTATGGACCGTGAACTTTGATTTCTGCGTTTTCTCTACCAGCGAAGCATTGATCAGCGCCCTATAATGTCGGATGAACTCCGGCTCGCTCGTAGGGTAACCAGAGACTTCATCTACTGTTGGATCAGGTTTCAAGAGCTCTTCCCTTATTCCTTCGGGGTCCAAAAGCGACATTACGCAAAGTAGTCTCGATGGTTGTTCCAACGATCCGCCGCCTGTTGACGATGGTTGCAATGCCCATACTGATGCGAGATTATATTCGTAATCTTCGACACGGTGTTCGTCAAGGTAGATCGTGTACAAGTCACTTTCTTTAGGGTGCGCCTGACAAAACTCCAGTATCGTAAGTTTGCACTGCTTGATATATGCGCCGACTTGCATGACGGCGAGTGGTAGTCCACCCAAGCGAACACAAAGATCTTGCGCGGCACCTTTGACTTGAGGTGAACTAGCCGGGTTTGAACCGGCGAAATGTGACAGAAGCTCTCCTGCATCTTGTTTAGGCAGCGGCCCCAGTTCCAGCGAGACTATACATTCTGGTGTTTCGAGATGTGATAGAAGATCGGGCTTGCGCGTAGTCACTAAGACGCTACCACATCCCTTCTCAGGCCAATAAGGTTTCAGGTCGGCCCAATATTCAACGTTGTCGAAGATCAAAAGCCACTTTGCGATGATAGATCCGGATTCTTGTCCCTGCCCGGTGGTTGCGGAAGTGGGAGCTGGCATTCGATAAGGCCTTTTGAGCCACGCTTTCAAGGCCTCTCTATACTCGTCATCACTTGGTTTTTCGGTGTCAGAGAGTAGTCCGACTTTTTCTGCAAGCTTGCTGAAAGTTCTCTTCAGTCGAAATGTTGTATCCGATTTGACTATCATAATGACATCGTACGTGTTTTGGCAACTTTTCGCGAACTGATAGGCGAGCTCGGTCTTCCCTAACCCCCCCATACCCGAAAGACATAATGACCTTAAAGGAGTGAGCTTGTCTGTATCTGAATCGTTCGGCTTCAGCTGTTTAAGCATCTCTGTCAGCTCGTTAGTCCTCCCCGCAAAGTACGCTTGTCGATCCAAGAACGATTCAGGATATTGGAATGGTAATGCTGTGATTATGCAAGCTGGTAGTGGACTTCGGATAGAAGTGCTCGCAGTAGGGGGAGAGTGGTTCCGATGAGAGCTCGGTGGTGTCAAGATGACCAAAGAACTGCCACTTGGATGACCTTAGAGAACATCAGCTGAAACATCCAGATTCTGGGTCGAACCTACCCGAAGCTTCTGAAGCAGGCGTGTGCGATGGGGATTGTTGCCCGGGTGGAGAATTAAGAGGTACTCCTGATGAACCCTGTTGGGTCGAGGGTGTAAATTGTTCGTAGGGGTTTTGAGGCTGCGTTTTACGATTCTTATCGACTTGTGTACGTATGAACTCGTCAAACGTAGATCTGGATGTGTCGTGCCATATAGATGTTATATCATAGCGTACATCCAGTGTTGTCTCCTGCCCTCCCAATCCAATGCGCACAATAGTTTCAGGTGTGGTCTAGATTCATTTAGATGAGAAGACTTTCATAGCATCGAACTCACTGCAGATGCTTTTGAGAAGAAATTTTTGAGGCCCGATTTCGAATAACAGATGAGTAAGCAGAAACGACTGTTAACGCTGGACAATGGGCTGTCACGACTTGTTTGAATTGTTGGGACGAGACGCACACCGCTTCGAGAACTTTCGCAGACAATACGCTCTCGCGGACGGCTTTTGCCGGCAACACGGACGTGAGTCTCTCTCGGTGACCGTCCAACTCTATTTGTGGTACTCCCAGCAAGAAGACACCTCGTATTGAGCTCAGTGATGACTTCCAGGCATATACACGGTGTATCGTACTAGCAAAAGCCTGGCGAGTTTAGTTGGCATATTAGGGACCTCGGTCCTCGAACATACGGCCATATCAGGGGGTTCATACTTGTTTCACCATTAAACCACCCATGAACTCACCTATGAGATATACTGAAGGTGGCTCGCTCTGCTAGATTTGTCAACAGTTGACATAATATCGTCGCAGCGACGTACGCCTAGGCTTTGTCCACGAGGAAGTTGATAATCGAAAAGCTCGATGAACAATGTAGAGCCTCGATCAAGCAACCAAGACAAAGAATCTTTGCTGCTCATCGCATGTTTGTACTCAAACACCACTGTGCGCTCGGGTGTCGGCGAAAGCCTGGGGACGATTTTGTCCCACGGAACCACGCCTTGTGGCTTTTTGGAGTCATTTAGATCGGGTACATATACAAAGCTGGATGGGTCGTTTAGCGCTGTAAATCAGAACTCATTAAGGACTGCGGTACTAACACAATTTCTGTCTCCCGTTCTGTTGCCGCATATACCTCCGCCAGCAAGTACGGAGCCATATGGACGAATACTACTCGTTGGCTTGCAGGAAACTTTAGGTGCTACAGGCGTTTGTAAAATATGTGGACAGAGTGCGGGGTTGGGATGCAAGGCAGATGCTGGTGCCTTATTAAGAGCGTCGCACAACCAATGAAGCAAGGGTGGATGTGCAACGCCTCATTCTTGCCCTCTGAATCTTGCCTGCGCTGAAGCTGCACGCTGATAAGCCGCGAAGCGCGCCTGCCGATTTACCCACTGAAGTTGGCACAGAACGGAAAATGAAATAAACAACGAAGTGCCGCAGAGCGCATCATCTGGACAGTGCTAGCAATTTGAAACAAAGCTGGGAATTGAATGTCTCAGTATAGTTCAGCATGCAGATCGACCTCTGGGGATCCAGCTCAATCGCCTCTCAACTGCAGCCTTCCCACTCCCAACCGAGCTTAGGCCCTTGATTGCGCATTGTGGCTTTCGAAGTTCATAAGGGGAGCGGTGTGTTCATTATCAAGGCTTGGACCCGGAGAGACACAATGAGCTGGAGACTGTGGCGCTGTGTGCTGGTCTCGCGAGCTACATGTTAGTTTTTACTTTGCATAGCACAAAGCGAAAACCTTTCCTGATGCATTGCAGGTACCAGTACTGATATTCCAAAAGCCTTTTCATAACGATTATGGGGAGATCTTGAGTCTATACGTCGTCGAGCCAGCAACATCCGGCGGTAATACAATGATCAGTCTCAAGAGTTACATCTACAAAGAAATCACCAAAGCTGAACCTTGCCTCATCAACGTTCCTGCAAGCAGCGATTGAATTCACTGGCCTCACTGGACGTAAGGTCTTACGTATACCGCAATTCTTGCCGCGGCCAAAGCCAACAGCCATCATTGCGCCCAAGTTGGATACCTCGATGAGATCCCAAGTCTTAAGACCCACCCCAAATTAGAAGTTCTCCAACTACTTAACTTTTGAAGGGCCCGCAGGCCGAACAGTGAGAATACTCCTCTCTTTTGTTTCCTGGTGAACAGATGACCCCAATTTTCGGGCTCACCCGTTACACCCTCACTGGGTCTCAATCAATCCCAAGGCCGGGAAATTTTCAGCCACTGACATTACTTCAAACAGAGGCTCTGGACGCTGTCGATGTCTCAGCCTGCAAAAACGCGGTTGCCTTACAACGCAAAGGCGTCTTCTAAAATATCAGCAACCGTATCTTCTTACACGCGCGTACGAATATTCATAGAAGGACTCTGGGCGTCATCTTATGCGGCTGGTCTTGATTGATACGGAGCTTGGGCATCATCTTACCGCAGTCGGACAAGTGCGATGGGGATCGCATTTCAATTATCCACGGATCACGGCAAGTGGACAGTAAGTAAAGATCTCTCGCCAAACATTGCTTTAGTAAGTCGATCCGGTAGCCAATTTTTGAGTGAAATTCATTCTTCCACCGGAGAAGGAAGCAAGCGTCGGGTAGTAGAACTAAGACGAAGCTGGCGCAGAACTCGAGACTCACTAGTGGATATTGATGCTCGTGAGGGCTATACGATCGCCGATCAATCATTAGTGACGCAAGGCTATCCCGATGTAAGCTGACTACAGCAACATCCTAGTCAATCCGGTGTGAGACCCCTGCACGCATCTCGCAACATGGCAGTGCTCTCATTGCGTTTTTTGTCGCGCACCCAGAATCCAGCCACCGCTGGGATCTTTTCAATTCCTCAAAGAAACTTCCCCAAATGCATCTTGAAATCATCATTTGATAGACGTTTGTATCAGATACTCTCGCCAGAACCCCCACAGAAACTTCATTTGTTCCAAACACGAGGCTGCTATTCGATATCATGAACAAAGACGACCCTTTCGATAATTGTGGACTTGACTTTGGATCTGTCCGTGCCTACTTTTCCAGGCCTCAGACCCACTCTTCGAACAGTGATCACGAACATTCAATCTCACTAGGCAGTAACGGACCCGCTCCCGAGCTTCATGCGAACGCTAGTCTATCTCCCACATCTCTGTGCTCCAGGAACAACCGAATAATATTCGTCGCCGGATATCCTACTCCGGAGCAAGTGGTTAGGCTTACTAAAGACTACAAAATCAGTCCAGAAGTGTGGCGTCGGCACTTGGCTACATCTGATCGTGCGATTGAAGATACGAAGCTCCCCTCCGCGTCATGTAACATCATTCAACTACGTTTCTGGACAATCGCCTCGTGGGTCAACACCTTTGACCGTCATCAGGTTACAATTCAGTCTCTGAGGGAGCATGCAGCCGCTGGCTTGAAGAAATACCTCGAGACGTTGATGAGTCTGAACTCATGGAGGGCTGGAGATTCGGTTGTGCGCGATTACGAAATCCACGACCGCGTCTACTTTAGCCTTGAACAAGTTGTCACTATGTACACTCAGGTAGAGCGAGGCAGCGAAAGTGACGAAAGTGGAGAGACTTGGCTCGGTCAGTCGCATACTTTGCTCTTCCAGAGACTCGCTGAAAATTTTCTTAGTATTAATCTGCTCGGATTGCGGACGAGATTTAGCTCAGAGTCCAGGTGGTCCATGGCTTGGTGAACGTCTTGGTGAAGCGGGATTTCACGTTCGAACCTTTCCAGTACCCGAACATCGCATATGGTCGTCTTCGAACAATCTTGTGCCCGAAAAAGAAGCCATTAACCCGACATTTAAAGCTCTTCTGGGAGCAATCCCACAAAGCCTTGCTACGCTGTCTGAAGACTACAAGTCAGGCCGCGACATTGGACCTATTGACAGCAACCCAATGTCGGTTCTACATCGCATATTTTCATTCTTCGTCTCCAGCGAAGCTTACTGCCTCTCATTTATGGCTGACCAAATCAAGCAACATTCGTCCCATGACAAGGGTACAGCAAATGTCGCCGATACCGAAGCCTTGTCCAATCTTCTACACTGCCCACAGCTGTTGGAGCGCCACATAGACGAACTACGTTATGCACTTCGAGTTGTGAGAGACTGGAGGTCAGATGACCATGCTTCAAAAGCAGTTTCAGCCACTCTCGACCAGGATCTGCTGTATCTCATCGAACGCGCTCTCACGTTGAAAAAACGTGCTGAGACCTCAATTAGTCTTTCAATGAACGTCGCCAGTATTGACGAAGCTAGAAGAAGTGTGCAGCAAAATAACTCTGTCTTTAGATTCACTGTTATTGCGTCCATTTACGTTCCACTATCATTCGTTGCTACTGTCTTTGGCATGAATTTCAGACAATTTGGGCAAGGTGATCTTTCCATTTGGATATACTTCGTAGTTTCTATTCCTGTATTCATTGTGTCTGCTTCCGTTTTGTTTGTAAATCCGCAAGCTCTCTTCGCGTTGTTACATTGGATCAAGTTGAAATGTACGTAAGAAAAATTACAACCTCATGTTAGATGATTAGCTTCACATATATTATCACTGTGCTCCGTCAAGTTTGCAAGACTGTGAGAAGAACTTACTCTCCTAAGGAACGTATCATCTCCTTGCAGATAATCTGCCATGCCGCGCGGAAACAGCATAAAATTTCGCTCGACTGCTTTAATGATTGTCCAACCCAACCCACTCCCCCGTCCGTCCATTCTCCCACCCGACAACTCCACGCTGCCCAATCATCCAGAGACACTCACACTGCTGCGGATTGTAAGAGCCATCCACAAGCCTATAGTACCCTTTCCCCGTCCCCTCGCCTAACGTATTCGCCCACGCCGTATCGCACATCACCACATCGTCCTCATCATCCAGCACCAGAATCGGCGCATGGCACCCCGTACATTTAGGTATCAACCCCTGCCTGCCCACGCGGTTAATAGGCAGCGCGTCGTTTTCCGCATCAGCCCACATCCTCCGCGTAATCTGGAACGTGATGGCAGGAAAATACTCTTGGTAGTTTCCGCCGCCCTGCCAGTCTGCGTTGAAGTACCGGCCGTCCTCCCACATGACGGGCGACCAGGCACCCTGGCGAGAGCCGTCTGTGTAGCGGTACGAGTGTGCGTCGTGGGCGCCGACGTAGCCGAGTTTCTGGCGGTGCGCAAGCGACCACTGGAGTCGGAGCGAGGGTCGCTTCTCGTACATGGCTAGAATGTCTGGGTGCACTTTGGCTTTTGCTTTATCGCCGCTGGCTTTGGATCCAAGGACGACTTGAAGGATGTCTTTGACTACATCGAGCTGGCCAAGTTGGGCAGGCTGTTGGAAATTCGGATGGTACTGAGAGGTGCTGCAGCTGGGGCAGATGATGGTCTGGCCCAAGGGCGGCATGGGCAACGTCCATGGACCTAGCGTCTTGTTACAACCGGCGGTGGAGCAGACTGTGTAGTCCTGCGTCGAGTCGCGCACGACGAGCGAGTTTTTGATCTGGGCTGGCGGCTTTGTGAAACCTCTGGGGATGAAAGATCGCGCCCCTGTTAGCTGGATTCTGTGCTCCGGGGGACATCTATCCTCGAACTTCTCCATCTCACAGCCTCCCACCTTTTCGCCTGTGACGTGCCCAAACACCTCGCACATGATGCACCATGGATAGTGCACAGCCAACGGCGGCGACCGCCTGTCCCTCACGTCACTCATCTGCTGATCCCACTCATTGTCAAAGTACGCCGTACGAATCGTCGCGTTGCTATACTTCTTCCACTCTTCTATGACCTCGCCGATCTTCGCAGCCCACAAGTCCCTGTCCAGTTGGGCCTGCGCCTTTGTGCAAGCCTTTGTCTTGTGGTCGAAGTTACCACAGTGCCAACAGAAGTCCAGTACGTCGTAGGCCTCGCGCTGGATGCGGCGGATGTTGAGCTTGAACTCGTTTGCTTTAGTGCACTCGTCGAAGCTATGGCGGCCGTCACCCGTGTCTTTGCACCATGTACAGAACTTGCCCTCTTTCTTCGCGATCTCGTCGTCGCGCTTGAACATGTTGCCTTTATATGGACATTGGCTTAGGTAATGGAACTCATTGCCACAGGGACAGCGGCTGTCGACGGGAATCTCTTTGGCGGTGCAGATGCTTTCGGTGTGGCCCTGTTTCTCGCATCGCTCACACTGAACGGACTTTTGTACTTGATGTTGGCTTTGAGATGAGTTCAGACGTTGGTTGAATTGATGGTTCGAGGTCTTCTGGTTTTTCTGCTTATACTTCTGATTTGGATTCTGGTTGTCCCATGGCGTGTTTCTCCCTTGGCCATTCTGGCCACCGATACGCTTCCCTCGATTGTTGTTGCCCTTGTTCTGGCTGTTGCTATTCCAGGGTTGTGGGTCCTGATTGTTCCATTGCCGATCCGGGTCAACTCGACCTCGTCCCCTTTTCCCCATCGCAGTACAGACGTGGTCTGCCGTTCAGAAGCGTGTATGACAAGTACCGATGGCGGGGCGAAAGGTATAAGGAGGCAATGGCGCAAAGAGAGATTGATGAAGAAAATCAAGATGAGAGTGATCTTTTGATACCATCCGCATCCCGTATCTAGTGAACAGTAGCCCATGGCGGTAAGTCGCCCTGCCTTGAACAAAGACCTACTCTTAGTGCAGATGTCGACCTCGAACAAAGCGTGCGGTCACAGCCACCGCCGGTTCCGGAGACTGACCTTGTCGCTTCTTCTTTGTTACCAGATATTACGACCTAATGGAAATCACAAAGGCAAGCCATAGTCTGAGTTAGCGTTTTGGAATATCAAATATACTTGAGTGCCGCTACACGACATAGTTTCAGACTATCGTGAAGCCAACCGGAAGCCAACCCGCATAACGTGATCTCAACAAACATTGGGTTGCCGCAGCATGAGTCGCACAATCAGGTTGCATCAAACAATATATACCCGAGGCGGACTTCTTCGCTTTAGCTTTCACCGTATCCATATCGTCTCCAGAGTCAATTGTTCAGGGTCTGCGTATTCTCAACGTGAAGCTCAGCATCCGGCACGTGGAGGATCACGAAGGATATAATGCGCGAAAGCAGAAGGTGACGAGACGTGAGGTTCGTAAAAGAATCGATGCGGTCGATAATCGAAGCGGGAACCGGATGAATGGAAGAGATAAAAAGGCATCACTGGATCTCAGGCGTTCTCTGCGTCGTCTATAATGCGTAAGACACCGATCAATGTATAAATGAAGTGTTCGGAGGGATTGCATGAGAAGAGTCATGGAACGGCTGTCCTTCAAATTCAAAGGTGCTCTCGAGGTAGTTCCTACTAAACGCCAGATTGAGCGTAGTAGCAAGGGTATCGTATAATATCATCTAGCTTCCTTTTTGCGATGGACCCGCGTCCGTGTGATACTCGTTCAAAAAAATAACGAGAAGACGCAGTGTCAACACGACACAGGCTGATATTTGCTTCTTCGAAAAATGGCCAAGCAGCCTCGTACGGGAAACTCAAACGCTGCGCTCGACCTCGCTAGCTCTCTCTTGCTGGATTCAAGAGCCGCTCTTCCCACTGACTGATTTCGTTCCGGCTGCAGCGGGGGTCTCCCTTTCTTTTTCTCGCTTCTTGTCCCGTCTGTGGCTATGCCGCCTCTTTGGTTGATACACATCGTTGAAGTTCATGACCATAGCCAACCAGCGCATGTCGTGATCGGGCTGATGTATCAGGTCTCCGAGGAGGATGGTGATTCTTGCACGGAAATCTTTGATCAGGTGCGCCAGTCGCTTGCGTAACGCGGGGAGGACGTCGTCCTCACCAGTACCACCGTCGCCGATGTTGAGTAGTGGAGGCGGAAAGGGTGAACCGGCATCTGAGCGTGAGGCGCGTTTGTTCGAAAAGGGATCGGGTGAGGAGGTGTCTCGCTCGGTGAGTCCCCAGCGGCCGGCTGCTGTGCGTGTTTCAATCCTTGCGGCCTGCTCCTGGATCCGAGTAAATTCGGCTACGGAGAAGGAATACAGACCGTCAACAGCATCCTTGTATGCGAGCATTGTCTTTAAAAGCTCGTGGAGCTGCCCTGTGAAATCAGTGCTCTGACTTCCCAACAGGCCTTTCCGCGTAATGCTGTTCAAGTACTTGGCATGCGCTTCTATCATATCGTCGAGCGTACTCTCTGGTTTGTGCAGAGCTTCTTGAAGCTCATTCCAGGATGACTCGATGACTTCGAAAAGGATGTAGTACTGCAGCTGGTCGACAAAATGAACCATCTCTGCAATACCACAGCGAACCTTTTTCCAGTCTGATCCGAGCTTGTCAGAGACGGTGCCCAATACACCCCGAGCACCGGTCATACAACGTCGCCACGTAGAGCCTAAGGCAAACTCCACGCGTTTGACGCGCCAAAGAAAGTTGAAAACCTTGAGGTACTGCTTTGAGCCGAAGGGCGTAACGATTACGTCCACAGGCGCGTCTATCTTATATTCGAGCGTGAAGACATCCCAGCCAATTTCGCCGTGGGATAGCTCAAGCATACGGGAGTCGAGGCGGCGAAGCACATCGGGCGAATCGAACTGGGCGTTGGAATTTCGCACGGCATGCTCGAGCTGTGCCGTGAGCGTATGTCTGTACTGCGTATTGGCAGGACGATCTAGGTTTGCCGACAGTGACTCCATTAGGACAGCTATGAAATCTCCCGCACCGAGCAGCAGGTACTTCTTCAGTGCCTGTAAGTGTTCAAACAATTTGAACTTATTCGCCATCAGATCGATCAACCGAGCCATGGTCGTCTTGTATGCATCGCCGATTGACTGCTCGAGGTTGGCCGTGTCGCCATAGTGCAGTTCTTTGGAGGCTTCCTTTGAATATGTGTCCACCCACGCTGCGTCTCCACAGCCGTAGCGGATAAAATTGAGCGTCTTTCCGATTAGGAAAACTTTGTTCGCGAATTCTTCTGTGATGATGGTCGGTATCATCTTCTCGTTCAGCTTGTACTTGTCTTCCCAAACGCTTGTCGCACCCCCCTTGCCTTCGTTGCTGTTAGCCAAAGCTGCTTCGTTGATGTCCTCTTCGCTCTGCTCGTAAACAAAGAATTCGCCGAATGGATCTGCAAGCTCGCCATCATAGATCCATTGTCGCAACATATCGTAGAATGGGCGTGTGACGTGAGAGAGCAGCCGCTCAGCAAAGGTTCCAACATAAGGATCACCGTGAGACAGTGAGAAGGAGTGGATGAGTGTTATGAGCTCTCCGCCTTTCTTTCTTCTCGATTCTTCCACCATCAGGCTCATCAGCCGAAGTCCTTGTGTGGCTTCGCGAGTCCATATAACGCAGCGCTTGAGTGTTACTCCAGCTTTACCGATGCCATGGTGCGGCTGTGCATCGTCTAACTGCGCCAGGGCCCTCCGGATCTGCCCTTCCAAAGTTGCGACGAGGCCCAGATACGATCTCAGCTCTTTGCCCAGTGCCGAACGAAAGCTCTGTCCCACCAAGCCTCCTTCGGTCGACTCCACGAATTCTGAAAGCCCACGATATAGAAGAGAGGGCTCCGCGAGGGTGTGCAGCAGGCTCACGAGCGGCACAGGCAGAGACGACGGCAGCTTGATGGCGGTGGATGAAGAAAAGGCGAGGTTGGTAGACGACAGCCCTTGCAAGGTGAAGGGCAAGTCTCGCAGGAGCGCAGGCTCAGTAGGGTCTCCTGTCCCATGTGTTTGCTCTCCGTCGGTCATAGGCTCCTTTGCGGCGTCTTGTGCCCGCCTTTCGCGCGGCCGTTCTAGCCGTCCTGCCCTTTCCGCAATTGCTACTGGACGAGTAGCTCCTAACTGGGGATATTCATCAGGGCCACCTTCATTGACAGGTATCTGTGCAAGACCGGGCCGCGCGAAAGCGTCACGAAAAGCTGGGCTGCGCGAGCTTCTTCCATTGCTAGATTCGTGCTGTGGAGGCGTCGCCGGGTCATGTACGCGGCCACGGCGTTCTGAGGATTCGGGTGCGCGTGGTAAATCGGATAGCTCGTTGAGAAAGTAGAGCATGCGCCATTTCTGGTCGAGCACCGGCTGCGACACCAGACGCGACAGGAGGTTGTTGAAGCGTGCACTTTTCTGCGCGCCGCCCACATCGGACAGCACTGGGCAGTGTTAGTCAACGATCTGCGAGGTACAGTTCATTCTCACATCGTCGGTCGATCTGGCTGGCGACATGGCTTATGTCTGCGACAACGGGAAGCTCGCCGGCACCGCTGAGCTCTCTGTAGGCGTGGTCGTACGCGGCATCGTAACGTTCGTTGGCTACGTCTTCGTCCTCATCAGGGTCTTCGGGCACAATGCGTACGAGCAGCTCGTTCAACGCGTGTTCGACGCGTTCCCGGTTGAACGAGGCCATTACGTCGCGTCCATGCTGGGTGTTTTCTGGGTCATGTTTGCGTATGCCCAGATCTGGCGGGGTCGGAGCAGTCGGTCCGTGCGCCTGTTGCTCTGTCTAGCCTACAGTAACAACTTCATCAGACGGATGGTAGGTACGATCAAGCCCACTGCCATCGAGCCATAAAGCATCTGGTCGGTCTTTGCTAACTATAGTATTTTGCAGGACAGCTCAAGCCCCACACCATTGGCGCCGCAGCGTAGTCTACTCTAGATGTAAAACCATGGTCATGCCCATCTTGACAATGTCAATTAGCTCTTCATTCGTTAATGTTCACGAACTCGCAGTTACGGTCATGGCTCACCTCGACGGACGCCTCCAAACACTTGCAATCCGTCAGCTTTCTCTTACCTGCTATTGCTATTTGAAACCATCTCACCTCGTCGCCTGCGAACGCCTTGAGTGGCTTCAGGGTCTTTTACTATTATGTCCATGCCCTTTGCCCTATCTATCTCTTTTCAGGCGCCCTCTCCAACCATCACATTCAACTTCTCAATTATTTGCTAGCAGTCAAGTCTCTACTCGTCTTTGCTTCCCAAGCACTGCTCGTCCGCAACACCACCATGATCCCGATCGAGCGCAATACGACTCCCCAATCCATAACCAGTGAGGTAAGCCCTCGAGATCTAAGCAATCGTTCGATTCCGGCGTTCATCTAATGAAGTTTCTCTAGGATTCCATGCCACTGGCTAAACGGCGTTGTATCGAGACGCTCATTGATGCTGAGCCCGGTGAGCAGCACCTTGACATACTTACGAATTCTCGTCTGACACGCTCACTTCACAGACAACGATATGCCCCCATGCATCTCATCATCCCAGGATTCCAACATTGATGACGGGCTCAAGCTGGAGGGAGCCGAAGCCCAGAGTCACCAGCAGACTGTGTCATCCGGCGCCGGTCATTCTGCGGTCAACGAGAGTCCAAAGCAATGTATCTCGCTCGAGTCAGTATTTCCTCTTTTCCACCGGGCGAAGATTGACTAATCCAGCGCAGTGTCATCTCAAGGACTGTCATCGCCGTCGAATGTGGCAAGGGACTCAGCGCTCAATACATGATCCCCCTAAGCCTTCTTTGCGCACAAAGCCAGAAGCAGTTGGACGTATTCCAGCAAGCAGAAGACCTACACGATAGCTACGTTAAGGTGAAGGCCATCAAGAAGCAAGCGAAAAGCGTTTTCTCGCTATTGGAGATCCACAACATCGTTCATACGGACAAGAGTCGCGAAAAGGTATCGTAATTAGACGATATCATCTTGTCTGTAATTTCAGACTGATTCGAGTGATACAGGCAATGGCAATCATTCTAGAATGTCTGCATAGATTTCCCATCGCCAAGTACCAGGTTGGGATCGCCCAGAGAATTACAGAAGCGACGGATGTAGTGTTCCAAAAGAACGAGATTTTCATCGTTTCACCCGGCAAGAAGTTCGACAGATCGAAGGTTCCTAAGAACGATGTCCACGGTCGCCTCAAAATACTCAAAGACGAGGCCGTGTACACAGTGTTGGAGCGAATCCACTTCTGCCTGTGTAAACTCAAGACCTTAGAGGAGAAGAAGGCGCCCGCAAATGCAGTACAAGCTGCCGCTCAGCGACGCCTCATACTTCCGAATGAACATCCTTCAACAGTAGAGGCTTTGGTCAATTGGCTGTACAAAGACGGTCTGTCATTCACTGACATCAACAATCTTTGCGAAATTCACGCGCTGGCCGACAAGCTTGGTATCGAGGGGCTCGCTGCCGAATGCACGGGGCTGCTGTCTACGGCTACTTCGCGCATCCTTCTTCGAGCGAAAAGCGAGGGCATTACCTTGAGAGGTCTGCTATCGGAGTGCGCTCGAAATCAAGCACGAGGACAAGATACGGACAAGGAGAATTCCACCCTTTCCTCTTTCAGTGTGATTGGCGAAATTTTCAAGATTACGTTGCAGAAACCAGCTCCCCCCGCCGTACTTCAAGATCTAGTTGCAGAAGCTATAGCAGTTAGTGAAGATGATCAACTCTTCCATGAGCTTCTCCCCGTCATCAATCTCGATATGCGAGGCAAAGTCGCAATGGCAATGATACGCAATGCCAAAGCGAAGGCCGCTGCTGTAGCGAACCGAGAGCACAGTCATTCTCAAGTCTCCTCGGGTGCTTCTCGTAACGCATCCGTCAAATCCGAGGTATCATACGACAAAGATCAGGAGTAAAGCAAGACTGGGTAGTTGGTCCTATCGGTACGACTGGAACGGCGACTGGTTGCGACGAGCAGGCTGACAGCCCTAACGCCAACTGGGCAGCCAGAAGTGGTGCACTGTAATACCCAACGCTCTCGGACTATTATACGCGCCCGTGCATGCTATTCCAGGAGATCGCAGGGCAGCGCGACTTTAGGAATTACATTGTTCATCGAATGGAATACGACGGACTTAGAATTTGGATGACGATGATGAGTGCGAGGCAGGCTCTGAGCTCTGGCGAGGATATCTTTTCTTACTCAACAAGGCATGTTCCTGCTTGGAATCTTCATCATGCTTTTCGCGAGATTTTACTGAACAAGCCTTCAGGACGGCGGGCTGGTGTTCTATTCTTTTCCTTCTTATTGCACTATAGAGTCGGCTGACAAGCGTCCATGAAGCATTCCCTTCTCCGGACATACTTTGCACAAAAATCTATCCCATTAACTAATCCGACCACTAGTCTTCCTCAAAATTGATTATGATGTCGTTACCTTGTAGGGCATCAAAGGATTCCCACGAGAGATGAAACGGAGAAACGAACGGTTCATGCAACTTCAGATCCAGCAAAGGTAATCGTATTCTCATCTGTCTTTCCAGTCGGCGTTCAGAAACGTGAGGTCAGTCATCAACCGGCATACGGTATTTGTACAACAAGTGGCTATTTCCAGACGATGACTTGATAAGGGAAGGAAATCCTCAATGCATTAGCCCAAATGCTCAGCGTACCGACCATATCTGCGGCCCTGTGAAGATTTGGTATACCTCCACTATGGTATGGGCCATGATCGAGACTCCAATCGCTACGCGCGGAGCCATCGTAGAATTATGATGCAAAGACCGCCTCAACAATGTGGTTTCAGAAGGCCTCACGCGTAACGGTTGCAGGCCGCCACCGTCCATCTCAGCTGCGGCTAGCCGAAACGTCAGAACCAAATCAAGCATGGACCAATGATTCAGGAAAGCTTGTGCAACTCTGGATGAATCCTATTGGTCATTCCTGGCGCGTAACACGTTGAGACAGAGTCTTTGAACGTTCCAACAACCGGGTTGAGGGCTCTCTAAGCGTGGTTTTCTGTACGAAAAGAGCGATCGGCATGAACGATGAATCTACTTCGTTGCCGATTGCCTGCCCAACAATAGATATGCATCAGTGGCGCCTGGACGCCCGGGAAAGAGTGCGAGGTCTACCCAAATGCACGCTCACAGTCTTCAGGCTGCATGGACTGGTATCAATAATTCGCAGGTCCTCGATTCACTTCACCGCCGGGACCAAGAGAAATCAGTCGCCAACACTCAGCACATTGCGTTGACCCATTTCAGGTTCCATCAGTCACTCCTGCAAAACTGCCACTATTCCGGCAGAGTCAAGCACTGGAGATCACAAACGGCCTCCCTTGCAGAACAAATCACAGGCACAAGCTAGGCCTTCCGCATTAATCGTAACCGTTGCGCGCCACCACTGATCACGCTCTCTGTACCACGCAAATTCCAGCCAAGATCAACTCCTCAACGTAAACGCCTCGTCGAATCTCTCTCAACCGCCAGACAGTTTCACTCAATTCGAGTGAGGGGGCGCCGCCCATTCTCTTTCAAAACAACGACTCAAGCGAGCTCCCCGGAATGCTCTTTCACAACGGACCTGAAACAGTCAACAACCGCTTATTTCCGAAAGCATCAAAAGCCCTTGTCCAAGAACCAAGCAAACGAGCCGTCTCGAACGCTCTCGGAGAATTCAGACACGTACATCGGAGAACGTACATATTGCCAAGCGTGGGTCCTGCACGTCATGTCACTGCTGCAACGACCCGATGAGGACATATCATGGCTGGTCTGGGGAACGTGGCAATCCGGCATGTAAGACCCATGTTGTGTCTTCCCGATTTGCATTCCACGTGGAGTGAGTGTGTTCGCGCATGGTGCGACATTCTGGCTGGTTGTTGATAGTGTGTGGCTTTATATCGTCGGCTCTGCTCCAAGCAGTTGATCAAAGATTCCTACATCAGTCCTTTAGCAAAGCCGCTAGGAACTTGGTAAAATCACAACGGTCGAGATTCAGAGCGGAGATTCCATTACTAGGGCCAAGTCATACCCTCCCTCTGCAGCCACCACTTGCGACAAATTGCAGATCACATCACATATCTGCAGATATCTCTCACATTGCACAATGTCAAGTCGAGTGCGGAAGTGCGTCACGATGCATGGCTCCCCTCAAACAGCAACGATGGCGGAAACGGCAGCCAATGCACGTTCAGGATTTCTCGATGTCCACTGCGCAGCCGTCACTGCCGCCACCAAACTTTCCACCGCCGTTGGTCTTCGATGCGGATATCCTCAATCTGTCCTACCAAAGATCGGACGTTGTTGAGAAAGCACTCATACTACCTAGACGTCCTAGCACCGACCTGCTCAGCTTCGACCGGAGCAACAACGCCTATATGCTATATGGCATACGACAGAGGCAAGAAATGGTGATTTCCACAATGCTACCCCCAAAGCGGTATCCGTCCGTCATTCGAAAACTGCGCTTCACTTTCCTCACTGTCTATCGTCGGGTGTTCACGTTGGTCGTCTTTCTCAATCTGATACCCCTTGTCATCATCCTTCAGCAAGATCCTGTCACTCTGGATACACTAGCAACAGCCGCATCGACCAACTTCTTAATCGCCATTCTTATCCGGCACGATCTCATCATCAATGGGATATTCCGAACAGCATGGCTCGTTCCCTGGCGGGTACCTCTGCCAATAAGGAGGTGGATGGCGAAGTGTTACTGTTATGGAGGAATTCACAGTGGAGCTGCTGTGGTAGGGACAGCGTGGTGGGTTGCTTTCAGTGTGATTCTGACCATGCAGATGGACAAAAGAGGATTTTCCCTACCACTCCTAATAAACAGCTGGACAGTCCTCGCCATCTTGACAGCAGTCATTCTCCTAGCGCTGCCAGGCTTCCGCAAAAGGCACCACAACGTCTTCGAACTCACCCACCGTTTCCTAGGCTGGACATGCATCCTCCTCTTCTGGGCACAGCTCCTGCTCGTCGTCGACCACACCACCTCACCGACCCACTTCCTCTCGACACTGTTCCAAACGCCGACATTCTGGAACCTCACCTGCATGACTGCCTTGACTCTGCATCCCTGGCTCCGTCTCCGCACCTGGGTCTTCCATCCTACCGTCCTCTCCCCCCACGCCATACGTCTGCATTTCACCAACCGCGTCCACAAGTTCTCCTGCCTCTCCATATCAACGTCCCCCCTGCGCGAATGGCACCCCTTCGCCACCTTCCCCACGACCTCGGCCAAAACCCCAACCGCAGACCCCCAACCCTCCATGTCCATCATCATCTCCGACGCAGGCGACTGGACCCACCGCCTCATCCGCCACGCCCACACCCTCGAAACACAGCGTAACCACGCACCCGAGGGCGCGCCGCAAACGCACATGCGTCTCTGGGTCAAACAGACACCCATCCCAGGCGTCCTCTCCCTCACCACCCTCTTCCCCCGCGTCCTCCTCATAACCACCGGCTCGGGAATCGGACCCTGCCTCTCCTCGCTGCTCGATCGGCCCCCGGCGCAATTCGTCCGGCTCATCTGGAGCACGCGCTCGCCGCTGGGTACGTACGGCGCTGCGCTGCTGTCAGACGTATACGCCGCGGATCCGGATGCGCTCATCGTAGATACGGATGCGGAGGGGCGCCCTGATCTCGTGCGCATGGGGTATGCTTTATTCCGGGCGGTACGTGCCGAGGCGGTGTTTGTGCTGAGTAACGAGAAGGTGACGAGGGAGGTGGTGTATGGGTTGCGGTGTAGGGGGGTGTCTGCTTTTGGGCCGATTTTTGATTCTTGATTAGAGGGCGCGGGCTGCGTTTTGGGGAGGGGAATGTTATGCAGGGTTATGCCATAGAAGTGATTTACGGAAACATCGCAATATGATTAATCAGAGAGAGTTACAGGAGCCGACACAAGGATGTGGACTTCGTGAGGGCTAGATTCTCGAGTCTCTGTGTTAAGATGGTTGGCAATCGGTTACAAGCTTGGTAGCTGGGTAGTCTAAGGCGACTCGCTGTATGATGGGTATACAAAGTCATGACCTGATATCATGTAGCCGTATCGTATGTTGGCGCAAGAGCCAGTTCAAGTTTGGGTGTCGGCCGCTGTGAATGCATAGGATTCTTCTTCCTCGGAAGGATTTCTGGGATATCATATCGAAACCCCTACACTAGAGAAACGAGGATTCATACTGGCATGTTTCATGGGCGAGATACTGCTGCTCTTGGACAGCTTTTGGATGGTATCATATGTGTGCCGAGCTACATCGCTCACACTAATCTTTTCTTCAACACAAGGCATTGTATGCAATATTGCAAACATGCTAAGCCTGCGCTGACGCCTTCGCCGCCTCTTTCTCCTTCTTCTTGCGCTCCGTCTCCTGTGCCTTCAACAGCTTCTTGAGCTGGTTCTTCGTCATAGGCTTCCCGTCCTCGCCTACCGGTGCACTACCCTCCGCTGCCTCCTCCTTGACCTCTTTCTTCTCAACCTTTGGGTTTCCAACCCACTCTAGCTTCCGTGGCCGCAGGAACTCCTCTAGTATCTCATCCGTGACCTTTGACCTCGCTTCTTGGAAGCCCTTTACGTACTTTTGCATCAGGGTAATACACTCCTTTTTCATCTCGCCCGTCAGTATCTCGCCCTTGCGGTACCCATCCGCCAACTTGAGCAACTTCTCGTCGTCATCCTCGAAGTACGCCAGATATTGATACGGGACATCGATGTCTGGATTTCCACCCTTTTCTCTGTGCAGCGCCTCGGTCTCCTGCCCGCCGCTGAACGCGTGGCTGTTGATTTTCTTCTTGATCTGGTTCTCCGTGTCCGACATGAAGATGGCTGAATTGGCATTCGAAGCACTCATCTTGCCGCCAGCGCCTTGCAGGGCGGTCAAGAACTTGGAATGGATGAGGGCCGGTTTAGGCGATGGATGTGCCATGCGGGAGCAGTTTTCGCGCACAAGGCGGAAGTAAGGGTCTTGGTCGATGGCGCAGGGGATCAGACAGGGCATGGCGGCAAGCTTGGCGGAGCGGTGGTACGTCTTGATGTCGTTGCCCCAGATGAACGGATACGAGCTTGCAAAGGCAGCGACACACTGCTTCGCCGCGAAGGCATTGCTGCCGATATTTGTGGAGCCGTGGAAACCGAATGCGCCGCGGACCTGGTTGTTGGTGATGAGCTTCTCGAACTCTGTCGCATTGAGCGAGAAATGGCGGTTGTAACCGCTGGTGAAGAATTCAGAGTCGATGTATATGAAGGTTTTCTTGGGGTCGAAGCCAATGGAAATGATGTCTTTCGCATTGCCGCGTGCGAATTCGTACACCTCGGGTTGTGTGAGCTTCTCTTTGAAGAGGAACTTCTCGTCGTCCGTCAACATGATGACTAGCGGCACGTCGAACACTTCCTGTAGCCACTTCGTGAACTCGAAGGGGATGGTGTGACCGATGTGCATGGAGTCGCTGGAGGGCCCTCGCCCGGTATACAATAGAAACTCGCCGTCCTTTTCGTACGTGTCCAAAATGAGCTCCAGGTCGCGGTGCGAGAAGAAAAGGCGGCGTCGCAGCCAGCGGTGCGGCTTGTGGCCGGTGACGCGCTCAAAGCGGGCGAGAAGCTCGTCGTCTATCAGCTTGGTGGCCCATTTTTGTGAAATGGCGGCGTAGTCGAATTCGAGGACGTTTCCATCCTCGTCTGTCGCGGCTTGCACATCCCAAGGGTTGATTTCTTGCTCCGCCTTCTTTCCCTGCACAGGTTCAGTCGCTGTCTCGGCGAGACTGAGGGCGGCAACGGAGGGCGGCTCGGGTTCCGTCATGGTGGGAAAATCCGTATAAAAGAGAGTCGAAGAAAGAACGTCGTAGCCACGACCCTGCTGGTACGAGCACCAATTCGCGACACTGAGTCAGATATAAGGTACAAGCATTAAACGGTGGGGTGGAAGGAACTGCCCCGCCATATGTCGGCGAGTCGAAACGCCGACATTCATCTGGCCCAAGCGTGGCAAAATCTCGTGAGCTCTGAGCTCATCGACCTCACACCATCCTAACCCCATCCCCCTCTTCTTACCCCCGCTCAACATTCAATTGCTATCCTTCAATTGGAAGCACACGACCATGCGCATTCGTCGCACACACACCATCACGCGCTTCTAGGTTGCCGCAGAGCTCCTTACCACCACCACCATCCCTTTCTCCGCCAACAACAATCAACCCCGATCGCTGTACGAGCACCGTCAACATGGTCAAATTCTACTCCTCCACCGATACCTACTCGTATCCCTTCCCCGCCGTAACCCTCGCCTACTTCCTCCGCTACCCGAACCCCTACTCCACGCACGTGCTCTCCACCGACACCATCGCCCGCGACTTCGACCCCGAAACGCAGCGCCTCACGACCATCCGTCTGCATCTCAAACGGTCTAAGCTGCCTTCCGCCGTCACGAAGCTGCTTCCGCGCTCCCTGCTCGGCGCCTCAGCATCCGGCGACACTCAGACGTACATCCTCGAGAAGTCGGTTGTAGATGTCAAGGAAGGCTGGATGGACACCGAGTCACGCAACCTAGAGTGGACGGGCGTCCTCTCCGTCATCGAGCGACAAGTCTTCCGGCGGCCCATGCCGGAAGTCCCCGACGAAGTCAAGCTCTTCCAGGGCATGGAGGGCGCCGCACGCCGCCACGGCTTCCTCAACTTCGGCGGCAACGGCGCCGGCGCAAAGGTCGGTGTCGATCTCAACGGCGAGACGACCGAGGTGGAAAGCTCCGTGACGCTGCACTCACACGTGGGCGAAGCATGGAGGAAGAAGCGGCTTGCTGCTCAGGAGGGCTCTTCTTCTTCGTCTGAGGAAGAACAGCCGCAGAAAGTAGGGTTCCTGAGGAGTTGGGGCACGGCAACACTGCAGCGGAATATCGAGAAGATTGGACTGACGAGGACGTTGAGGAGTCAGCCGAATGCGAGGGAGGGCATGAAGGTTGTGCTGGAGCGGATGCGCGAGGGAGGCCTTGTTGGCGTGCTGGAGGGCATGCGGAAGGATCGGGAGGCCATTTTACAAGGTCGCGATCTGCTGAAGAGGGATGGCACGCCACGCGCAGGCGAGGACTAGCCACACACCTGTTCTACTCCTCGCCTTTCCCCAGCTCGCTCGAGGCACCTGAAGGCCTCCACAGCACGCAAGGGCACATCCACGGATTGGATTCACTTGGTTTTATTAGCGACGGCGTTTGGATCTCTCCCTCTCCCACTACCGCGGACAATCTGACATGTGTGTACGTGGGCTTCCCTTCTTTCCATTCGCTCTTGTCTCGACCGCTCGGGTCTATGTTTTACTATCCTTTCCCTCGGCTACGTTTCTTTGCTGTACATGAGGGCGGCTATTTGTATCATAGCATGTGTTATGAGGGTGCACGCAACGGACAGGGAAAATGTAGGACAATACCGAACATGTGAGATTACTGTAATGCTCTACCACTATCATACTGGAAACGCACGTGAGGCTTGCTCTGGCAGGCTGCAGTGTTGGAGATGGCGTTCACGAGTGGAGCTTCGAGTTACGACAGGACAAACCGTGCGAAGGTACACCATGCCGCTCCGGAGCTATGTCAACCCTACCTTCACATGTGTACGATACGGTACCATTACTCCCAAACTCTAAATATGAGCTATTAAAGGTGAGATGCCTTTCATTGACGCATTAGTTGCTTCTACCAGCCCTTCCTTTTTGTACACCTAGCCGACCAATTTCCTCATGTTGCACAGCCCTAATCATACAAGACAGGAGAATCACAACAAGCGCAACGTAACAACAAATCCGATCCGGCCAATGTAAACGTTTCATGTGACAGACAGGATCCGGAAATGTTAACAAAATTTTGTACAAAGAAGCGCAATGGTCCTCTCGACCTGCCAGCTCGTTTTGCTAAAAGTGCATGAGCGAAATTTGATATAGATGGAGGGACAAGGGAACAGTCACGCGGGATTTACCGCATGCCTGCGCCCAATCCTGCGCCCATCTGTCCTAGCCTTGAGGCGAGTCTAGGGTACTTCTCTTGGACCTGTGTATCATTAGCGTATGTCCTATGCAAGTAATGCTGCCATGGAAGGCCTCGACATCCAGTGTTACGAGCGCTAGATAGCACAGTGATTGAGGATCGGCTGATTATGGAACATACCTCTAATTGTGTCCGAGTGGCCTCCGCATAACTGAGGGCATTTACTATCTCGCCCTCTGTCCGGGATAGCTCCGCAGCCCGCTCAAAGTACTTGAGCGCCTCTGTGACCTTCCCTTGCTGCAAAAGCAGTTGAGCCATGGTTGCGACGGCGATGTCGCACTCTGGATCGATGATCAATGCCTTCTGGCAGAGCTGCTCTGCCTCGGCGAAGTCGTTCTTCCACTGGAAAAGTGCGAGCGCCTTGTTGATTAGCGGGAGGACGTTGATGAACAGGGGTTTGTTCTGTTGCTCCATTTCCACAGCCGTATCAAACTTCTCAATGGCTTCCTGGTACTTCTGCTGATCGAGAAGAAGCTCGCCGTAGTAGTTGTACACATCCGGCACCTGTGGGAAGTTCTTCATGCAGCGACGGAATGTTGCCATAGAGGAAGCGATGCTACCCATCTTGTATTGGGTGACACCGAGTTGTATGTGCGAGAAGATGAAGTCCTTGTCCAGGTCAATAGACTTCTGGTAGTCCTTAGCAGCCTCGCCAAATTCGGCCTTGATAAAGTGTAGCTGTGCACGGTGATAGTAGATATCAGGGTCGTCCTTGTTCTGTGCGAGTGCGGCTTCGAAATCAGCTTCGGCAGCGGCAGGGTTTGCTGCGAAATTTAATGGTTAGCCTGATCCAGAGAAGCCACGATGAGGGACACTTACCGAGTTCCAAGTGCATGCTGGCACGCTTGATAAAGCTCTGAGTAAGTGACTGCTGGAGCTCGACGCTCTTATCCATATCCTTGAGCGCATCCTCGTTGTCGCCCTTGAGGTACCTGAAAGTACCACGCATGTTATATGCAAAAGACTCGTGTTCTCCAAGATCACCAAGCTCAAGCGCCTTCTCAAACGCAGCTGCAGCTTCAGCATATCCTTCGGCGGTCTTGGTGCTCATGGCACGAAGACCTTTCCTGAGTTGACCCTTGTTGCTCTCCTCGTCCAGCTCTGCATCATCGTCGAGACCGTATGGTGGAGGCTTCGGCCGGAAGCTCTGGAGATAGTTTGTGACGAACGTGGGACTCGGAAGCTTCTTCTCCTTCTGCGCAAGGATAGCCTTACCCTTTGTCTGTATAGGTGTCAGCCTCCGCATTGTGGAGCTTGGGAAACAGGGCGTCCATACCTCAGCGACCTTCTTGAGCAGACGCTCGACGCTCTGGGCGCTGCTCTCGTTGCGGAAGCCATCGATGATACAGCTAGCAGTATAATCGAGGAGAGCTTCACTGTTGCGATCGACCTGTTCGTACGCGTTTGCGCGCCGGTTGAGCGCCTTGACATATTCATTGTCAAGGTTGATGGCAGCGGTGGTATCCTCAATGACCTTGTCCCAATTGCTCATGGCATTCCAGCAAGCAGCGCGGTTGGAATAGAAGACAGGGTCTTGCTTGCAAAGAAGCGCCTGTCCGTACAGGTCTATGGCGCGGTTGTAATCCTTGGAGCCGTATGCCTTGTTACCTGCGGCCTTAAGCTTGGCAGCGTATTCTTTGCGCTCCTGCTAATTGTCAGCAGAAATCCAGTCACACCGGCTGGGGACAGGTTGTATGATGCAGCAGCCAAGGTTATACAGGCTGCAAATTATGGTATAATGGGCCCGGACACCATAAAGCAACACGCGCTGAAGATCTCCATTCACCCACGTACCTCTTCAGAGAGCGACCCAACAGTGCTCTCGTCCACATGAGGGAGCTCATCCTCGATGGCAGGCGCGACGCTTGCCTTCTTCGGTTCAGCTGCGACTTCTTCTTGCTCCTTTGCCGCTTCCTTTTCGGCGCGTTCCTTGGCCCGTCTCTTGTCCCGCTTAGTCTTTTTCTTGTTCGAAGACGGTGATGGCGAGCCCGTATCCTTCTTATCGTCTGATAGGTAGTAGATCACGCCTCCGGCGCTGACAACAAGTGTGAGACCCGCAACTGTGTAGACGACACCTTTGTGTTCGGAAGCCCATGAGGATACGCGGTCCCATAAGGAGCTTGAGCCTGCTGGCGGAAGCGTGACTGGAAAAGGGCCTGGTCCGACCGGAGCTGCTGGGTTGGCCGACATATTGCGACTCGGATGGGAGCAAGCGAATGCGCGGAGGCTGGCAGCTGGGAATGGCTGCAATTACTAAGGGTGGCCTCAAAAAGTATTAATGAGAAAAGATGAAGTTAGGAGAGACCGTACGCGGCCAATGTTTGGTGTTGGTGGCGATGAAAAGTGATGGCCGCAAGCTGAAGCTCAGGGTCAGAGAACATTTGAAGTTTAGGGAGCTCAGACCAACACACGTCATCCAATCCACGCGCCAGCAGCTTCACAATACCCGGTCTCTGTCTGCAACAGCAGTTCAGCAAATGTCGAGTGCTGCCACAATAAGTTGTTCAGGATGGGTTTATGTGCACCTGTTGAAATTGTGGCCCACGTCCTATCACTGGGGAAGTGCAACTCAAGGACCAAGGCTATCTGCATCGCGTCGTTCCTTCCATACGCATACGTTAAGGAATCATTTCAATAATATCGATCGTCTGCACAGTACGTTGGTTTACCTAAGGCACAATTGGGGGAGGACGCGACCGATGCGCAGTATTCAGCATCTGAGCGTCCGGGTGCCGGTGCCCAGGTGCCCAGGTGCCCAGGTGCATTCATGATCACGTGATTTGTTTCTTGTTCCGAGCAAGTTCTGCGGCATCGATATACCGCTCGCACACGCGCCGACCTCCAAGTCCTCCAGTTGGCCATCGTTTGATGACTGGGGACTTTACACGATGTCGCGCTTTCGGGCCATCTTGATCCGCTAACGTCAAACTCTCAGCGAATCATCTTCTACTTACTGCGTTGGCCATCTCCAGATTTCAAGTCCCACTCTTCGAGTCACTGCCACATCTAAACCACTATGGCGTCTGTTCCCTCTTTTCACCTCTTCACTTCCATCCGCTATGACCCTCTACTCCTCAGATCGGCCGAAAACTCTCTTCCCATCTTGAACTATGTCTCACCCTCTCCATTTTACATGCTCATCTACCACCGCGACCGCATGCTAGAAGCCGCTCAGCATTTTGACTTTCACGCCGTGGCCAAAAGGCTCGAAGATGGCGTATCACTCCATCAAGAGTTATTACAGGAAGTAGCAGATTATCTGCACCAAGGAGGAAAAGATGGACCACTCAAAGTACGCCCACGATAACCGCATAGTGAGCCCCACAAACTGAGACGCACCAGATGCGTATCCTCTTCGACAAAGCAGCAAACATGACCATCGACTTTGCTCCCATCCCTCCCGTCCCCTCTCAACCCTCTACCCCGCATCCTTCGACCCACCCAGAAAGCAACCCGCACCCCATCCTGCAAACCCCAATCCGCAGCCCTTCCAGCCCTCACCTTTAACAGGCGGCGCCCTCACCCTTGGCCCTGCGGACGCGCTTCCTCAACCTCACCAGAAGACCCTCAGACTCCACCGGAATACCACCTCCGCCTCGACACGCAGCCTACCCCTACCTCCGCCTTCACCCTATTAAAGACAACCGTAAGAGAGCAATATGACGCCGCCCGCTCCCGGGCCTCCCTTTAAACCCCGCCGGCGCCCCCTACTCAGAAGTCCTCCTCTACAACTCCACCCACGAGCTCACAGAAGGCACCCTCACCACCATCTACCTCTTCCGCGGCGGCCGCTGGGTAACGCCCCAGTCGGCGTCCCCGCAGGAGAGTTCACCGCCCAGACACTCAAAGAAGCACAAGGCGAAAGTGCAAATCTCGACGAGGGCGAGTTGCGGGTGCCGTTTGCAGGGCGGTGGGGCACAGTGTGCGGAGTGCGAAGGTGGGCGCGGGAGGGCAGAGGGGCACGTCGAGGAGGTGGGCGCTGAAGAAGGGATTTTGTATGGAGGAGCCGATTAGTGTGAGTACGATTGAGGTGGGGAGGGCGTGTGGATTAGTAGCGGAGTGAGGGGCTTTGCTTTTGGGAGGGTCGTTGAGTAGCAAGGGGGATGGGGGGCTAGCATAGCAATTACTTTTGCATTGGGTTTGAGGGGAAATAAAAGCTATTTAATCTTCTGCGGTGGGCTCGTCGGCGGCGTAAACACCCACGGCCTTGATGTTCGGCTTAATGTGGATGGGTAGATCGCGCTTCTCGTCTTCTTCGACATCAGCAGCATAAACGCCCACAGATTTGATGTACGGCTTAATGTGAATAGGTAGATCGCGCTTCTTCTCAACGTCCTCCTCGTCAGCTGCATAAACGCCCACTGACTTGATGTAAGGCTTGATATGAATGGGCAGATCGCGCTTGTCGGCATCGGTACCCACGTCGGCGGCGTACACACCCACAGACTTGATGTTGGGCTTGATATGAATGGGGAGGTCGCGCTTTCCCTCGGTAGCTACATGTCGTCAGTTGATGGGCGTCAGCCAAAGCAGGTGGTATCACTCACCGCCTATGGGGGCAGCAAGGGCAGTGCTCAGAGCTGCCGCTCCGGCTAGGATCTGTACAAAGCCTTTCATTGTTGTTGCCGAGGTCGAAGATGGAGTGACAGGATGTTTGATGAGTGACTGTGTATTGTGAAGGTGTAGTTGTGGATGTCGCAGGCAGAAGGTGTCTTTATCCTCCGTGTATTAAGAAGCTTACTGTTGCTTGCCTCTTGGTCACTGCGATCGCCGCTGTAACCGACGGTAGGGTGTATGCATGCGACTGGAATGAGACCTCCAGAAAGCAATCTACTCTGGGAAGTTTACCTAAATTCCTTAGCTTGCAGGCTCACAGAGGACCTTGAGTCTGAGCCCGCCCCAATCAGCTTCCAAGCACGAAGATTCCTGCCGTGTAACCAATGCATAAGATGTAACCTGAAGTAGCAGGTCAGAACCTCGTCGCATGTCTTTCTAGGCTGCTGCCAGGTTCTACATCCAATAGGCCAACGAAATCAATGGTATCGAGACGATCAATATACCGGTCCTACGTCAACGTCCGGTGATATGCGAGCAACCGCCTTGCATAGATATATACCGAGGTGGCGGGTTGATTGATAGCACAGTCATCGGGGGAAATATACCGTCAGACATACCCCTGGTAGAAAGTGGCAGTGGTGCGTAGGGGCAGCGGTGCAGTGACATGCGGTATCAAACCAGAAACTTTAGAGAACGCCTCCAATTGCAGTGACTCTGTACTGCAACCCATCAACTAACGGCTTGAATATCTTGAAGCTCCGATGATCCATAGAGATAGCAGCGAAGCTTGCAGAAGCTTTGGTTAAGCATACACTAGTCTACAAATTGTTAGTCTTGCGCTACGCATCACAGCACCTACCGTACCGATTTCTATCCACCAACGAACAGCATATGGGACTCCCCGCAACCCTCATGCCAAGAGGGTAGTGACAGCCTGCGCGTGCCTAATTGCTCTGTGTTCTGTACGCGAGTGGGTATGGCACCCTAAGCTATCATGCTCACCTGCTGTTTACGGTGTAGAGTTACAATCTACAAGTAGGGGGGCCTGATTCAAGGCGATGTTGTCAGCATACGCCCGCCACCCATCTTGCTGTCATGCTACCGGGATATGATTCTAGGCGATGGCATTAGCCCAAAGCAACTGACTTGCTGGAGAATTGCCACCATGTTCGGGTCATTCCATTATCCTGGACGAGAGAGGCTCAATCGAGCATGCCGAAATTCCGTCATCGCACATTCAGTCATTGTCTTCACTCAATTCTTGACCAACCTTGCGTCAAGCATGTCTGTCAAAGAATGGGCCAGAGACCTTCAAAGGTCACTCAATAGGCAGACGGTCTATTCCAGGATCCACGACGACCCTTCCGAATCAACAAAGACGTCTTTAGACGCAGCGCAGCCTCCACCGCCGAATCGCGTCTACTCAATCTTCTCCATCGTAAATGTACTCTTGTTCTTATCTTCGATAGTTCTCGTCATTATCGCGTACAAGCGCCCAGTGACGGACTCCCAGTGCGTCAAGCAGCTATACACATGGTGTAAGTCTCCCACTAACACCCCCAATACGACCTCGCTCCTAATATGAAAAGCCAGCACCCGCATTCGAGGCGATCGAGTACCACGAAGAAGATTACAGCGGACTCTTCCGCCAAGCATCAGCCTATCGCGGAAAACCCACACCTGAGCTTGATGAGCAATGGCTGAAGCTCTGGGACTGTGAGCCCACCATATCTCCCCTGTTCAATATCATCCAGGCTAAAACAGACCAAGACCGCGAATTTGACGTCCCTGAATCCGCGTGGCCACGCATGAACCGCACCGCAGACCCCAGCATAGTACGCACATCCAAAGGCGGCGGCGCAGCCTTATTCTGGGGCATGCACCAGCTGCACTGCCTGGTATTCCCCTCACCCTCTCTCTAGCCGTACGCACAATTGTCTGATCGAAACAACTAGGATTGGCTGCGCATGTGGTCCTACAAAGAGCACTACATGGCGCGCGACGGCGCACTGCCCGAGCATTTTCAGGGCCTATCCGATAACCTGATCCGCACGCATCTCGATCATTGTATTGATGTGCTGAGACAGGATATGATGTGCCATATAGACGTGACGCCGTATTTCATCGTGTAAGCACCTCCCGGGACTTGCTCGGATGGCTAACGCTGACAGAGGCGTGGTGTAGATACGACGAGACGGCTCCCGTGGGCGAGTCGTTTGACTTCTCACCGCATCAGAAATGCCGTGATTTCGACAAGATTAGGCAATGGAATGTGGATAATCTTGCCGTGGATTGATGGCATGGTAGAGAAGGAAGGTGGTATTGGATGATGAGCATTTTTTTTTTCCGTCGTTGTTCCGCGCCTTACTTATTTTCAGTATAAGAGCACGACTCCATTTGTGGGGAAGGATGCAAAGCAGGTGCAAGCTGCGTGGAGTGGTAACGGTATGAGTGATCCTCGGCGAGTAATGTCCGCGCCGACGGGATGCTTAGGCAAAAGTTCGTACGGAGTGTTCAATATCGGCCTAATCGCGCTGCTTGATCTCGCTTTCGAGTTCCTTCAATCGCTGGACGAGCTTTTCTCTCAGGTAGGGCGTGAGTCCCAGTCTGTTAAGCCCGTGTCAGCAAAGCCCTTTTATACGCAGATTTCACCGCGTTCTGCTTCACGTAGGAGAGATGAGTACTCACATTCCCTCCCTCGTAACAATCCTGTATGTTCCACTGTTCTGCCAATTTCCCACCAAGGACCCATTGCCGTCGACCTCGACACTGCCAAATATATCCTCGGGCCACGCGATCCTACCCCAGTCCGGTGGATTCCGCTCATCGCTGACGTGAATCCAGCCACCCTTGTTCGCGCCGCCCATGCCTGCTTGACGGTTGGCGCCGCCGGCACCGTCCCCGCCGCCCTTGTTGCTGCCCAGGTTGAAGCCACCCGGGCCGGCAAAGGCAGCGGCCTGTTGCTTGACTGAAGGGTCATCCACTGCGTGTGTAGCGAGGACGGATTGCAGGATCGGATGGAAGTGCCGGTTCTCCGAGAACGAGTCTGGGACAGGCGGGACGGATGTGGTTGTTCCCAATGAGAGGTCTACGTTCGGTGGCTGCGTAGGAAGGAGAGTGAGGACTGAGCGCGAGGAGTCGAGCGGATGCTTAAAGACGTAGACGTGAGGATTTGAAGGGAGGGTCGAGAGAGCTCTGGAGGCGCGCAGCCGGAGGGTAGGTGTAGCTGAGGCAGACAGGCGCACGCTTCGGAACGCGGGGCGGTAAAACATTCTGCAGAGCAAGGAATTACACGCAAACAAAGGCTGGGAGTAGACAGCGTGTCTCAATGGTGCGCAGTGATGACTTGAGAGAAAGCTTGGAGCTCTCGGTCAATGACGACTTCGTCGACAATTTTGGTGGTCCAAGCTCCACCTAGCTTTCTCGATTTCTGTGCTACAAGAAACATTTAATGCACGTTTTATGGTAGGTAGGCTTACACCTCAAACTGTACGAAACCTGCTCAATGAAGCACCTTTGCTAGATCTCGCATGTCCTCCCCCATCATGACACACGAACCACTCGCAAGCTCTTCCGCAATTTGCAGGGCCCGATAGTATCCGTCTTAAACAGCTACAGCCAACACGATCATGTCCCAAACCACCACTAGCGCAGCCCCACCAGAGCTTACTTGTAAAAGTTTGTAAAGCGAATGAACACCTCGGCGACCACTAGTACCACGATATGCTTGGTTAGGCCGGCATCGGCTATTCTGTCAAATAAATCTCAAAGCTCTAAAGCCTCGGTCTTTTCCTGCCGCTTCCTACGACTCATCGGATTGTATTTTGGTTTTGCGAGCCAACTCCAACATGTCTGCAGATGCGACCAGGCGGGGACCCGGGGAGAAAGAGGTAGCCGAGTCGGCAGGACCTGCACCAAAACCCAGTGACTCTGAGGAGCAAGATGTTGAAGTAGGACGAGAGCCCATCAACATTGATCGTATCGAGAAGGTGTATAGGTGTGTTGAGGTTCCCTCTACTCAGCACAGGATCTGACAGGGTGCAGTAAGCTCGATCGACGGATATTGCCAGGTATTACTCTTCTTACCAATTCTATCTTACTACCTGATCTCTAACCTCGCCCAGCTTTCTGGATCCTCTACTTCCTTTGCTCCGCCATCCGGTCTAATGTAGGGCTGGCACAGACGATGAACATTGGACAAGGTCATGATCTCGCTTCAGAGCTTAACTTGACACCCAAGCAAGTCTCGACTGGTTTGGCCTTGTTCTATGTCTGTTACGTTATCTTCGATATGCCTTCGAACTTGGTCATGTCTAGAGCAAGCCCTCATGTCTGGATGAGCAGGATAGTTACCGGAGTCGGCATCATTGGCATTGGCCTGACTGGTATGAAAGCGGCGTGGAGCTTCTAGTGCGTTTTCTTGTTCCAGAGATCTGATATAGCATTGCAGCTGACACCTTTGTAGCCTTCTTCGCCTCTTGCTTGGTATAGTCATTGCAGGCATGTGGCCTGGCATGTCGTACTACCTCACGCTATTCTACCCACCATCAAGGACTGGTAAGCGTATTGGTCGCTACTTCACCGCCTCCCAAGTGTCTGCCGCTGTAGTCGGTCTTGTCTCTGCCGGCTTTCAAGAGATGGACGGCTTGGGCGGCCTCGTAGGCTTTCAGTGGATGTTCCTGCTCTACGGTATCATTGGAACTCTTGTTGGTATCTCGCTCCTCTGGTGGCTTCCAGATCGCCCTCTAGCCCCAGGTGAAGTCCGCGAGAAATCAGGTTGGCGCAAATGGATACCTGACAGCAAACCTGCCCTAACTGGGGAGGATGCGCGAATCCATTACGAAGATTTGACTCGCGTGTACCGCCGCAAGGTGTGGACCATGAAGGACCTCTGGCATGTTGTCATCGACTGGCGTTTATGGCCTTTGGTCGTCATGTACTTTGGTGTCGTGGGAGTCGGTATTGGAACGCAAGCGTATGCTTCAGTCATTATTCGCGGCATCAATCCTGATCTTTCAGGCATTGACCTTTCGCTGCTGACCGCTCCCATCTGGATTGTATATTTCTCTATTGGACCGCTACACTCTGCATGAAGACTAACACTGCCTAGATGGATCTCATCGCTATCCTAATCTTCACCCCACTGTCAGACCGGTTCCATCATCACCGCGCCGCCTTTTTCAGCTTCGCAGTGCTCATTCAGATTGGTGGACTCCTCATGACCACTTTCGGAGGCGGTGCTAAATCCTGGACCCGCTACGGTGGGCTGCTTCTCGTATGTATCTTCGCCCGTTGCACCTCTCCGACTCGTGGCTTACCACAATGACCAGGTTGGCTTTGGCCTTGGTCCCACGGTGCCCATCTGCATGACCTGGACGAACGAAATCTTCCAGCCGCGCCACGGCGAAGTCGGTGTCGCCGCCGCATCTGCCCTCGTGTCCGGACTGGGTAACCTTGGGTCCATCCTCACTACTTACGCGTTGTACACTGGATGGCCTGAGGATGCGAAGGGCCCACACAAGTACCGCAAGAGTAATCTTGTCATGATTGGGATACTTTGTGGAAGTATTCTCGCTGCAGGGACAATGGTGATGTTGCTACGCCTGTTTGGGGACGGTATGTCGAGGGATGGCAATGGTGGTGAGTTTGTAGATGGAGCGGCGAGGAGAGAGGTCGAGCAGAGAGGATTTAGGAAGATGTTGCGCTTCAAGCGATAAGCGCCATCGTGTTGGGGCGGAGGTGGGACGGGCCTCGAGAGTATTGCATAGCGAAGGGCATGTAGAGTATGAGGGGGGAGATGTAAAGTGCAGGGATAGTTGACCGCTCAAGGGTGATTGTGTGTGTCGAAGCATGGTCTCGTAGGGTTACAGAAAGGAGCCTTGAAAAGTGCTATCTATACCCATCCCGACTATGTCCGATTCGATTGAAGGACTTGTCAGATTGCAACATGTCTCGCCGCAAGTGCAAATTTACAGTAACATCGTGTTATTCCTCGCATCAAGTACACTCTTTTGAGCCAGCTTACCTTGTCAGACATGAGCATGCACGGGCCTGGTACAGGGATTCTGGTCTGATCACTCGCGATGACCTCATCTCTGCCCATCATTTCCCAGCAGCATTTCTTATCACAGTAACGAGCTGCGAAGCGCCAGCCTGAAACCCAGCTCAGACCCTAGCTGTTCATGTCGCAATGACAGCTCAGCTAACTTCCTGCGTCATATTGCCAAGTGCACTTAAGTGCATCATGCCGTCTTCGTGCGCAGTGAACGATACCTTGAGTTGAATCAAGCTTTCCGCTACAGGAACACCAAGACATTATTCTTAACTTGACATAACCATTCGTTAGCAGACGAAACGACAATTTAACACACAAAAGCAATGGGTCTCTTCAAAAAGTCAAAAGAAGCTGTTGCCATTTCGCACGATCCCCTCGTCACATACACCATCAACCAGAACCTCGCGGGCAAACTCACAGTCACATCCTCCTCGCCCAATGCCTACGCCTACTCCATCACAATCGCGAGCAAGAAGTCCTGGCGCGACACTATCGAAGTCGCAATCCACCGCTCGCTCAACGCAACATACCAGCAACATGCCGACGTCGTGGGAAGCTGTCTGATCCAGACAAGTTCAGCAAAGTTCACGAAAGTCACTTTCGACGCGTATGGGCAGGACATCAAGCTGGAAAAGAGCACCGGCGTGTTAAAAGGCACGCCTCTATTAACACTCCTTGTGCCGTGCCTGTGCTGACCGTGCCCGCAGGCATAGAGAAAACATCTTACACGCTCGCTGTTCCCCCTCTGAACACGACGTCCAAGTGGGAGCACGATCACAGTTCTCTCACTGACTCGGCGCGGCGTCTCAAGCTCGTTGACTCAGCTACCGATGCCGTGCTTGCGCGCTTTGGCGGTGGGCAGAACATGAATGAGTTTGGTGTGCTGGAGGTGTATGATGCGAGAGTTGCTGCCGATATGGACTGGTGCGGCTTGTGCATATTGACAGCGGTGTGCGTGTTTGCGAGGGAGGAGCGGGCACGAGAGCTTAAGAAGAAGGCGAATGGGGTGGTGGGCACGATATCGAACTGGGGTGGACTGCTAACGATGGGGATTCCTGTTGGGCCTTGAGCGCGATGTCATGTTGCGATGGTTTAGACGACAATTAGCGATGACGTTCTTGTAATTCTAGTTCAGTAACATATCTGTCGGACTCAAGTCGAATTAACATGTTTTCGGATCGATGGAGGGTCTCTGAGTTTGCCGAGACATGGGGAAGAGGGGTTGCATATACATATCATATTTGTACAGGCTGCCGCGCTTGTCTTCTGTATTGGGCTTTGATCCATCTGCAGTCAGTCCTGTATGCTCACAACCCGGCAAATAAGGGTACGAAGGCAAGCAGGGATAACTTAGCAGCCCTCAACCCATTGGGTTCTCTCCACCAATGAGAAGTAAGTAGTCTCAATCACAGAAGCTCTCGTATGATACTGCCAGCTGCCCGAACACGTACGGGTCAGCCTCGTTTACCACGTTACGAGCCATTGTTCACGAACGAAGCAACTGATAATATCATCCTCCGACTTACCTTCGATCTCTCCCAAGGTTCAACACCCCTAAACATTTGTGACGATCTTCTTCCAGACCCAAAATGAAAACCAACGACCACTGGTTCACTCACGGAGCACCATTCGTCACGCCAGTCACCGACACATACCCATTCATCTCCACCTACACCCATGAAACTCTCTCCGGAAAGTCCGTCCTAATCACAGGCGCCTCCCGCGGAATCGGCCTCCAAACAGCCATCCACTTCGCCAAAGCCGGCTGTTCGCACATCGCCCTCGCCGCCCGCTCCTCCCTCTCCTCCGCAAAACAAGCAGTCGAACACGCATCGCCCTCTCAAACACCCCTCACAATCCTCACTCTAGCCCTCGACATCTCCTCCCCCTCGCAGGTCCAAGCAGCCGCAGCCGAAGTGAAGAAAGCCTTCGGCACCCTCGACATCCTCATCAACAACGCAGGCTACCTAATGCAATTTCAAAATATCGGAGACACCGACCCCCTCGCCTACTGGATGACCTGGGAAACAAACATCAACGGGACATACCTCGTCACGCGCGCCTTCCTCCCCCTCCTCCTTGCCTCAACCCTCAAGACCATAATCAACATATCCAGTTCCGGCGCGCACGTCGTCATCCCCGGTGCATCTGCCTACCAGGCCTCCAAACTCGCTCTGATTAGGCTGACAGAGTTTCTGGATGCGGAGTACGCTGCGCAAGGTCTTATTGCCATTGCGCTGAACCCGGGAGGCGTAGTCACGGAATTAGCGCGGAAGATGCCGGAGTATATGATGGGGTATTTGACGGAGACGGTGGACTTGCCGGCGGATACTTTGGTTTGGCTTTGTCGGGAGAGGAGGGAGTGGCTGGGGGGAAGGTTTGTGACTGCGACGTGGGATATGGAGGGGTTGGAGGAGGAGGGAAGAGATAGTGGAGAAGGATTTGCTTAAGATTAGGATGGCTTTCGAGTAGGATGTACTTTGGTTGCGGCGAAGTTGACTGCGTCTGTGGTGCGGGTCAGTATCTGAAATTGGGGACGGAGGCGCTCAGAAAGGTACAAAGAGGAAAAAAGGAAAGTCCATGGAATCTCACGCCATTACAGTATAAAAACAATCTTGGTCATGTGTAGGTCCTCAACGATAAGTAGGGGCAAGCCGATGGCTGAGGGCGTGTCTAAATCTTGCACGACCTTGTATGAATTAGTTGAGGATGCTGGAATTGAGATACGGGAGGCCGGGACAGTTACCCGGGATACCTATGGAGATCCATCGAAAACTCTATGATTGCGTGGAAAGATATTATGTACTGCGGGGAGACTGACCAGCCAACCCAACCCTCTATGTACTATCCGAGGATATCTCACTTCTTACCGCGATGAAGCAGGGGAGCTCGATCCACTGGATGGCGGCCTCACCCCCTGCGCCTCGGCCTTGTCCTTCTCCCCCGGGACAACCCTCTCGCACCAAGAGCACCAGCTTCTTAGCTTGCCCGAGACCTCTCGTTCTAGCCAGCGTATAGACTTGTCCCTCTCGTCCTCGTAGATCTTGACACACTCGCCGACATAGACCTGCTTCTTGAGCTTCATCTTGACAACGCCACCGATCCCCTCGATCTCTTGCGTGTGATAGCTCGTGCCCGTCCACCGCTCTGGCGAATGTGAAGAGTTGCTCTCCAGACTACCGTACGCTTCGGCGATATCGGCATTGTAGTCGACCTCGTGCTCAACGGCCCGTGCAGCGAGGCAGCTGGGCCCGCGGCCGCATTCAACGCCCTCGTTGCCTTCGCCGGCGCCGGTGCCTACGCCGCCGAGGTAGTGGCTATATCGCGTTCGCCAGGTCCAGGCGCGGACGTACATGGTGTCTGCATTCTTCAAGTGTTGGCCGCACGGCTGGCACAGCCAGACCGTGTCATCACATATGCACGGCGTTCGTTCGAAGGCGGGGGAGGTAAAAGCGCGGGGCGCGTCGTCGTCGTCGAAAAGCGAAGCTCGGAAGTCGGGAGTACCCGGAGGCGAGGGCGTCCCAGAAGACGAGCGCGGGCGTTTGGTCGTCGTCAGGAGGCTAAGGGGTGCTTTCGTGCATGTCCTACACAGGCGCCGGTGCCGCGCTCGCAAGGTGGGCGTAGGCGGCGGCTTCACGGTGCAGTTCTGGAATGGTTCAGCGACTTGCTTCCAAAACAGGACTTTGGCGTACCCTGCAAACTACAGTGCTGCAACGCTGGCACTCGGCGACCATATCCCGCGCGCACTTGCCCACGCGTCCGCTCGTCAGCTGGCGCGACGTATAGAAGTTGGCCCGCGCCTCCAGCAGCCTCGAGCCCAAGCGTGGACCGGGCCCATCGTCCTCATACACGCAGTGCAGCGTGTGACGGATGAGCTGGTCGCGGTACTCGAGCAGGTTCGCGCGGAACTGGCGGCAGGTGCGCGACAAGCTGTGCAGCGTGTTGAGGTCGAGCTGGCGGGCGAGCTGGCTTACAATGCTGTCTCATCAGCGTGGTTAGCAATCGTCGCTCCTACGGACATGAGCTTTGTCCTGCGCGAGGTTCAGGCTCACGGATAACAGCTCAGGGCAGCTGAAAATCCATTGATGTTAGGATTCGGCCGGCTGTCGTCGTCCTTTGTGCTGGTTGCTGGCGTAGGCGGGAAGCGGTGCACCAGGTGCGCCTGCGCATCGTCGGGGTCGTCCAGGTCAACGAGGACCACCATGGCAAAAGGCTACAGCGCCTGAGGGTAGCATTCAAGCAGTCTTATAACGAGGTCACGATCAGCACGCGTGTTTGACGCCAGGACGAGGGACGGCGACATCGCTTTGTCTGTAGCGGGGCGCTTGGCAGGCACGTCAGATCTGATAAGATCTGATAACCCGAGGCTCCACTTCTCATACATCGTGAGTCTAACAATTATTCCGACTTCGCATGAAACACGTGAGAAAGGTTTCTTTAGAGCTATTTATTTCGTAATAGTCTGATCACGCGATTCCTAGTTCAATCCCGACATCGCTTGCTATAGCAGGAATAAGGAGGTCGCAAATCATACCGCATGTCCCAGCTGTCTCCTGAAGCTCTGTGTTTAGTGTGCGACAGATATGACGATACACGAGCTCTTTCCAAAGTGCTCTCTGGATCAAAAAGAAGGCTTCAGAACAACCATCTTTCATCACTTCCAGCCCAGTTGCCTCCCTCCTCGCTCGCGAAGAACATCCCATGCCTCTTTCTCTTCTCCTTCTCCTTCTCCTTCTCCTTCTTCTCCTCCTCATCGACTGCCCCTGTCTCATAATCTCCACTTGTCTCCTTTCTCTTCTCTCTCATAATTGCACCCCCATAGAACGGTCCATTCACAGTAACCACCTCCCCACCCCAGACCCATCACCAACCCCTTCAAAACTAATCCCTCGGATTAACCCTCCCCCACCAAAACACATCTCCCTCCACCGCATACTTCAATACCCCATGCCTCCTCACCCCCACCCAAACCTCATGATACCTCCTCACCGCCCTGACCGTCTCTTCACAAAACACCTTCCTTAACAATCCCTCATCCTCTGCATGCCATCCAGGACTAACCCGCGAATCCACGCCCAGCGCATCGAGCATCGCGTGCGCAGCCTGCTCCCAAGTAAGCGGCTGCCCGGCGGGTGAGAAGAAGGCTATCCGTTGGAGGAGCTGGCGTGGTGGCGCCGCGTGAAGGCGTCGCCGTGTGCGGTGGGGAGCGCACAGCGGCAGATGGTATGCGGACCGGAGAGTGCGAGTGTGGAAGTGTAATGCGTTATGTGTGGGTGGGTTGTGTAAGGGTCTGGGGAGGGAGGGGCGTTGAATGGGGTGCCGGATGTGGTGCGGACTTCATAGGAGGAGCCCAAAGGGTGGGAGGTGGTGGTACGGTCGCTCTGGGGGCCTTCTTGGTGGTCGGAGGTCGGGACGGTGTGCGCTGGGTGGTTGTGTTTGAGTAGCTTTTGCCAGAGCTTCATTGCCAGTGCTGTGTGGGGTGTGTAGTTGATGGAGAAGAAAGTGATCGAAATAGGGTGCTATGGGGCACTCGATCTAGGGTACTTAGCAGTCGTGTAGTCGAGGCGAATTGGTTGGTGCACAGGTCGTTTGAGCTGGTGAAAAACCTTCCATTGAAGGGTAGAGAGGTCGTCTGTGAAGAGGTGGCATTCACGTCAGTGAAAGTCACTTCTCTGCTGGTCCTCATAGCGCTTGAGCTCCATGTCAATCATTAAATGAGGCTGAACGGTTTTCTCCTGCTTTATTAATATTACCATCAAGTAAAGTAACACCTGGCTGGTTAGGCTGTATAGATAACGAATTTGGCCATCGTGTAAGGACATCGCGATCATTTATCATTTCAAGATCGTGATGATGGAGCTAGTGCGTGAGAAGAGTATGGTTTGGCTGTGGGGCTGGTACCTACCCACTGGTACGTGAACGGCGATACGGTAGATGAGCTGCCTTCCGGGGCAGAATGGAGTACAACGGTTGTATCGTTGGATGGTCGCGGCCATGACGTCTTCTCTAGCCATACATACGGTGGCCATTTCCATGGGCGTGCCTTTGAGTCGGCGCATGATGTGGGGCCAGTGAAGAGTGCATGCTCGATATAACGTTGGGCAGGAGAAGAAAGATAGTCGGCTTGTATCCTCATGCAGATTTTCAAAGTCTCAACTTAGGAGTCTCCTCTAAAAGTGAAGATCTGATCTGGTCACAAGGCTCCGAAGTCGGGAGAGCATATAGTTGCTGTACATGATAGTAGAGCTCCAATCTAAGAAAGGCTGTTGTGCGTTGCTGCAAGTGCCATGCAGGTGACATACCATGGCCCCGGGCCGAACCACCTTCACGTGCGCTCCTGAGTAGTACTTGCCTAACAGGACATGTGCACACGCACGCCTGCAAGTTCGATCACATCCCACGCACGCTTCCATTGGGCACTACATAACTCCTAATTGATCCCTGCACATGCAATTCTAAGTCTATATGATTCATTACTTCGTTAACTTTCGCAAAAGCCTGGTTCAGGCTCTCGAAATCTCTGTTATCTGCGTTTGCGTTGCTGGAGATCCATTCATACCGCCAGCTTCGAGATCTTTCTCCCTTTCCGTCCTGCTTCCATCTTTGTGTTCCCCGATGCTTATTAAGTATCTCTGCCAGATATCGGCAAATTCTGACTCACTTGAGGTCAGCTCGTCATTAGGCATTGTATCAGGTTTCTTTCGCGTCAGAATACCACGATAGCACGGTAACGCGCAGACGATGACCGACCCGGCCGCCTGCAAAAAGACCCACAGGATGTTTTGATCGGGAAATTTTGCGAGATTGACATCAATGCTGTAGACGGTCCGGAGAATCGTAAGCACCATGTTGACAGCTACTAGTAGGAAGATGATGGCTAGCTCGAGTTTCTGAGCGGTCCGCATAAGAAGAGGTCTCAGCATCGCCAAAGGTAGTACGGCCACTGGAAAGTGATTAATTATATACTTTACGACGATGAAGAAACCTGGCTCACAAAGAAGATCTCCTATTAGGTCTAACGCACACCAAGCCGACAACATTGGGATGACCATAGCTGGAGCATTATCATGGCATTGAGCTACAGTCTAGTAAGTACGATCCCATCTGTGTCAGTAGAGAACGTACGCTGGGAATCCGGAAAGTATTTGGGATTGCCGCACAAGAAGAATGACCACATGAAAGTGATGGCAAAGCTTGTCGGGATATACGCCGTGGTTACCGCCCATGCGATGCGGAATTTGGTCGAGAAGGCGAAGATGTGCCAATACAACGCTAAAAAGCTCGCTTTGGCGGCATAGATGACGCACCAGAAGAGCAAAGAGTTGGCAGCATTGTACTTGGCATTTCTCGACTCATCGCTGTAGATGACTTCGTCTTCTTTGATCAAACCCATGGCGTATAGCTGCTTGGTATAATCCGTCGGTCCGTATACCTGATACGTGCCGGTGAAGGCCAACAGGAATGCCATGGCGAGCCCATTAAACAAGTCATCCCATGCTATACGCTGGCGACGATGCCAATGAATGGCAAAGCGACCAAGCGTCGTCAAAAGCGCGAGTACGGTCAGCGACCACGCAGTTGTCTACGCCATTAACGATCAGCTTCGAAGCAACCACCGTCTAACAAAAGTGACCAACTTACGATAACCTCATGGAGCCGAAGTGTATGCATGGTTGACAAGATGAGAGTTGGAGGCGATCAACAAGGGAAACCAGACATCTGGGATGGCAAATGAAGGCGGCGATGCCCAACAGATGAAGAGTGGAGCCAACATGCGGAGAGTCGCGCTTGCAACCTTGCAGGATACGCATGGGAAACCGGGAATGCAGGGAAATGTTGGAGCGGTAGCAAAGGCTCGTTTTCGCTGAACATCGAGCCAGTGCAGCTCCACAGCTGTGCTGACCGGCTGTCACCATCGCGTGTTGTGGGCGTTGGTGGTATTCGGTGGCACCGTATGATATGTCGGGGAACAGACCGGGATATTCTTTCGCTTACCGTGTAGAGGTCTAGGGATCCTCATTCGTTGGCCTTGTACGCTCCTCGGGGATCACTAAAGAAGCGCCATTCGCCTAACACTTATCTAGCTGACTTTAGTTTAGCAGTAAGCGCTCGCTTCGGTGAACGACATCAAGCGTCGACGACGTAAGGACCGGCTGCCGACATGTATCAGAGCCTCTCTTCGTTCCGGACATTGCCAAGTCAAGCGAAGCACTGCTTTGGACGCATATGAAAGTGAGAATGATGCTTGCGATCGCTTCAGGTCCATCCCAATATGCGGATCATCATGGAGTAAACTAGCGTCAAACTGGCATGCATGATGAATCCTATAGGCGAGATACGAACTGCCATTGGGCGCCAGCGGCCAACACCAACACTGATACAACACAAGTCGCATATAGCGGCTACGCTCGCGAGGCTCACATGGCAATGACAAAGCAACAATCCTCACCAATGCGGCTGGGTATATACGAAAGGGCATTATCTGAGACGCCTTATCCGGCTTCTAGCGAACAACGCGATGCAAGCTACATTCATTCTTCAGCTAACGGATCGAACGGCGGCTCCACGAAATCGACTACCTTTTCACCTTCCGGCCGCCTTATACCTTCTTCAGGGAGAAGCCCCATATCCACACCATATTTTTCTGACGCGTCCAAAAGCTTGTTGTAGTCACGACACTTGTGCAGGACGTTGAAATTGGGGTGAGGATTATAGTGATTCTTTAACCAGCTGTAGGTGATGAGGCCCGGGTCGGCATCACACACGAGCTTCTGGCGTAGCATATCCACGCAATGGTCAACGTGCTCTAGCCACTCGTCAGGATGCTCTTTTGAAAATCTGGCTTCTTCGGTGTAAAAGTCCGGATAATGAGTTTTCCACAGGTTGTGCAAACAATGAATGTAATGGAAGCCTTCAAATGCTGCAAGACGACCTTCGCCTAGGCTGGGTGGGGCTTTAGCGGAATGGCTTGAGGTATTGATGGTTCGGAATACGCCTTCGGAGATGACCATCATGCGCTCTGTTTCACTGTCATGACAGTGTTCTGTTCGGGTGACGCCACAATTAACTTACGAGGTACGAGACCTTCCCATAGCTTATCAACCTCTTTCGAAGGAGGTCCTTTGAATGGAGATGAGTCGCGGCTGAGAGATCCATCAAACCTCACAGTAAGGTCCCATGGGTGCTCGCCCAGGAGCTGGTCTGTGACAGACATTAGCGGCTACCATATTTTTGGGTGTGAAAGATCACCTTTGCTCAGTGAACATCTGTTGCTTGACTGCACTAGTAGTCCTGCCGAAACGGACAACGCAAAGACAAGCAAGTGTAGACACCACGGCCACAGCCTTGTTGCGAAGCTTAGAGGTACCGCAAGCGATTGCGAAGTGGTTCCCGATTCAGATGCCGTTTCTGTCAAAGAAAATGCGTCGAATGGTTCCTGCTCCTTCGAAGCTATGGGGACGTATCCTGTCATCGTTCGTGTAGTCGCGCTGGGTGAATTGTCCCTGATCCGAGAGAGTGGAGCGAAACGGGGATGCATTGCTTCAGTACACGGACCACAGTCGACCGTTTGTAGATCAGCCCCAAATCCTGGAGACCCGCTAATAGTAACGCAATCTTGGATGAACCCTCAGGTACACGTTTCCCTGCTTTCGCGTGGCCAGACTGATCATATAATCGGCGAGGTGCGCCATTGCACTAATGCTTACCGTTTCAGTCAGCTCGCCGGCATCCACGGGGCGATATCGTGGTGTCTAAATACGTACCAATGGTACATGCGGCGCCTCGGTTTCGGGCGCGAGATTACCGTTTACGAACGCTTGAGCATAAACGCCTAGCTACCACGATCCGGCTACCGATCAGTTCAGCATTCGCGATAGCAGCAGCAGCCAAGCAGTGTAGTGGCGGACGGTCGAACCTAGACCATCTGTTGGATCAATATTGGCCGCTGCGCGCGGAGTTGCCGGCCTATCAGGAGATTGATGGCTACAGAAGCCACTTGCCTTATTTGTGCCGCCAACATGGTGGTGAAGCCGTCAAGGCATATTCTAAGCTACGCTCTGAGATAGAACAGCCTCTTTCTTGTGTTGAACGCGTGGCATAAAGTTGCAGATCAGCCCACCTCATTGCGAATCCCAGCTCTCAAGACTCTCTTGTCCATTGAGTCCAATCTTGTATCTATCACTATCTATCCATTCATACCCGCGATTCGTAGCAACGATACCAGAGAACTCTTTGAATTGAACTCAGAAGCTACTGAACTAGAGTGAATCCTATCCAACTGGAAATCTGCCGATCCTGCCACATCTGGAGTTTCAGTGCAGCAGCAAACACTCAAAAGACATCGATCAAGGCTGCTCTGGTCCATAAGTTCGTATTAGACGCCTCATACGTCCGAGCTTAAGTCCCGATCACCATGAAATACGCCGCGATCCTTCTCGCGCTCCTACCTGCCGCGCTGGCGCTGCCCTTCACCATTCCGGGTAAGCATTGACCCCTGAATTGAGCTGTCCAGCTGAAAACTGACAGTGTTTGTAGCCGCCGCCAAAGCTGAGGTCAAGCGTGCGGAAAATGCAAACGGACTTTTCCCCGTGAGATACAGCAACGATGTTGCCAAAGATTCCGAGAAGCGCGCGGAGAACACAGGCTTCCCAGTGAGATATAGGAAAGATCTTATCAACGACCCACAAAAGCGCGCGCAAACACCTGGCCTCTTCGCAGTCAGTTATAAGAAAGATGTCATTGACAGCACGAATCCTGCCAAGAAGCTGGAGAAACGGGAAGCTGTGGCGCCGGAGGGACTGTTTGCTGTCAGTTATAGGAAGGATATTATTCCCTCGCTGGAATAAGAGGTAGTGGAAACATGAGTTGTTTCCTATGTCGGAGGTATTGCAATGCTCCACAGTGCGCATACCCAATGGTGGCTCTCTCATCCTTTTCACCCTGTTCATATCCATCGGCGATATGTGTTTAGGCACCCGTTCCCATTGGTGGTTATCTCTCTTGTGTATCTTGCTGTAGCTCTAGCTTCTATTTGTGGACTAAATTCGGTGGATTTACTCAACCTCTCTTGTAAAATGTGATCAATGCAATCTAATGAAGCGCAACCAATGAACAGAGCATTCAATCAGCTGTTCTAACTGGCGACTGGCGGATATCAACGTTAAACGAGGGTGGTACGAACATGGTAATGATAACCTTCAAATCGGTAAATTCAGCAGATGCGAGCAGTCCCTAATCGTCTCTTCTTTTAGAGTTTGGTCTATCGGCACCCATAACAACGTGTCTGCGCCATCAGTCGAAAACCTCAGAAGCGAACCTCTCACCATCAGCTCGAAACGCCTCCCACCACTCATCCGCACCAACGCCATCTGCACCCTCGAACTCAACGTAAGCCTGCTTCATCACTGACGCCACACCCTCCAATACCCTCAAACCACCGCAAACGTACATCTTTCCCCTACCGTTCCTCAGACCAACCGCATCCACGACCAGTTTCCTTTCTTTCTTAAGCCGATCTTGAACGTACTCACAGCCCTTCGACTGACTTTCTGCCCTGCTAAACGCGTAAAATAGCTTTACGCCGGCCGAGGAGGCCAAGTCTTGTAGTTGGGATGAATAGAGCATATCACGATCAGGATGACGACATCCAATGAAGAGCAGTGCAGGCGCCAACTTTGCGCCCGAAGAGCGAAGCTGCGCACGTTCGTGTACAAAACCTAGGAAGGGTGCAAGCCCAGATCCTGCGCAAACCATAACGATAGGGTCACCTGGGTCTTCAGGAAGATGAAATGCGATTGGGCTGGGCTGCACAGAAACATGGAGACGATCGTTGCGGCATAGACCGGCTAGGTAGGTTGAACCTGCGCCATGAAACACATTTGTTGTGCCATCCGAGAGGGTGGACATGTGTTCTAGGACGCTATAAGTCAACGTACATATTGTTGGGTCCGCAAGCGGGGACGATGATATTGAGTAGCGGCGGGGACGCATCGGTGGTAGCATGTCTAAGTAATCGGCGAAGGGAAGGGTGGCGGTTGGTAGCTTTTGCAAGATTTGAAGAGCGGACAAGCCCTTCGGAATAGACGAGTTGTCACTTTTGTTGCTGTTCGGTACGGTCTCAATGATCGCACGGATGTTCTGGGGTGATCAGCATTCGAATTCAAGGTGTACTGGTGTAGCCATACCTTTTCGGTCGCAACGTGATTCAGTTCCACAAGGTCGCGGAGGTGTGTGTAAACACTGCGCTCCTCACCGCACGTTGTAATGATCTTCGTATCGTGCGCCAATTGAAACCTATTCATCACTTGCTTCACCGTGTCGTGGTGATTTGCGGGTACAATGGCAATATGATCACCGGCTCGATAGGTCATCGTTGGAGGAAGTCGAATCGTGAGCTGGCGCTTCTGTGGCTCTCCAGGAGCCGTGAGGCTCTGTCCGTCTTCAATAGTAGCCATTCTCCCGTCGGGAAGGATGTCAGAAGTACGGGGACACTGGAAAATCCTGATCCCACTACGCGAAATATCGAATGACCGCGCCGACACGCCTGGGAAGTACAGCTTCTTCAGTGCCGGCCAAAGTACTCCATCGGCCCAGTGATCGAATTCATTCGCAACGTTCCCGTCCGCCACATCCGAAGCCGCTCGATTAACTATCGGTGTGCTTCCATATCTGATAAAAGCGTCGTCCACCAAGGCTGGAATCCGTTGGAAAGTAGCGGCCCAGTCGCGATTGCCGCATCCATACACGGCATGGTATATCCCTTCAAACGGGGACTCAGTGAGCGCTTGTAGCCATTTGATAAATTTCGAAGCATTTTCGGGAGGCTGGCCTTCATAGCTGGCAGCGACAATGACAATTGGGGTCGATGGAGTTATGTGATGAGGTTGTACCTTGTCCATTATCATTATTGTGGGATCAAAACCATGAGCAACTGCATCACGGCTCAGAACGTGCGCCAAAGTCTGGCACGTTCCAGTATTGGAACCATAGCAGATGAGTAACTTGCGTAGGTCTACCGAATCCAATGGGCTATCACTTCTTTTGGTTTGCTGCGACGATGTACGACCCGAGCCAGAGGGAGGAGCTTTTCCACCCAAGAGTTTGCGCTGGAGGGTGGCAGGGGTCAAGCCGTCGCGCAACTTGACGCGGATTTGCAAGCCCACGGGCTTTATGGTAATGGTCTTGCGTATCTTGAGCTCGTAATTTGGATCAGCAAGCTCGAAATCAAAATTCTGCAAGAGCAGAGCCATCATGATTACAGCCTCCTGCAATGCCAAGGCACGACCGATGCAAGCTCGAGCTCCGTTGCCGAATGGCTAGATACGTGTCAGCTGCGTGTTACAACGAAGCTATTTTGAGCACGGCTTACCTTCCATGAGTTCTTTGGTAACTTTTCAAATTCGTCGTCAAGCATTCGTTCCGGTCGAAATGACTCCGCATCATCACCGTACACCGCAGGATCACGGTGTACGGTTGCTATCTGCACCGAAACCGCCTCACCTTGACGCACAACATATTGTTCTTTCCCAATGTGTATCGGATAGTCCTCCGGATTTGTTGACCTGGGCTGTACGGTGAAACCGGGCGCCGTGGGATAGAGACGTAGTGTCTCGCGGATGATACCCATCATGTACGGTAGTTTTGAGGCCATATTCTGTGTCATCGCACCGTTCCCGAGCACCGACATAACTTCGTCGCGACCTTTTTCCATGGCAGCTGGGTGTGTGACCAGACAGTAGATGATAAAAGACAGTAAGCCGGACGTTGTTTCGTGCCCTACTTCTGTTAGTCTGGCTCTTTGAAAGACCGACACATACTGACCCGCAATGAGAAAAGTTATCATATTGTCAATAACGCTACTGTGGGGTAGCGATTTGTCGGTGACAGGGTCCTTCTCGTAGAGCATTGCATTGACGAGATCCTTCCTACTAGACGAAGAAGCTTTTCTTCGCTCTATGACTTGCTCGGCGATGTGACGCATCAATTCCGCATCCTCGTGAAACTTGCGAGTCTGATTGAGATAAACGTAGTCACTAACCACAGAAGGACGAAGCATGCGTATGCCTGCCTCTGCGAGGAACGAGTTCATCGCTTCGACAAACGAATGCGGTGTCTCTGAGTAGAAACTGTTGAACCTTGTGTCCATTGTGCACCTAACACAGCTAAATCAGACTACAATTCTCTAGCGGTATTAGTTAACGGATTGATGTACTCACAAAGCGATCGTATCCAGAGTCAAGCGGGTAAAGTCGTCTGATACCTGGATTTTGGTTTGCTGATCTTGTCTTGCCCATTTCATCACTAATTGACAGGCCACTTCATGCATATCTGGAGACACGTTAGGATTCATTCGCAATCAGCAAGGCTCTTCGACATACCTTCGAACATATTTCCTATCATCATTGGTCCGAGAACAGGCGTCAAGATACGATGCGCAAGTCCCCAATTCTCCTCTCCGTCACGTGCGGTGAAGAGGCCGTCGTGTGCGAGAATTCGAAGCTGCACAGCACCCCCAGTGGAGGCCTTCTTGACGAACCGTGTCTCGTCGCATACTTCGTTCGCCAGCTCGACGGTGCCGATAAAAATCCTATCTGGTTTGCTAGTTCCATAGCTAACTTTGACAACTGGCCCTGGAAAATATATCAGCTGAGCCGCTTACTCTGAACTTTGAACAAAAATTCTATCATACCATATCTTTTCAAAAGCTTGGCTGTCGAGCCGGAGTCGATGAGATCCAATGCATTGCCGATGATGGGCCAGCCCGGGGGCTTTGGAATCTCAGTGGGCATATGGACCTTAGCGTGCGATGACAGTCGTTATCTGTTCGAGCTTGAGTCGAAAATTTTCAAATGATAATAGAATACAACGAGTGTGTCCGAATTTGCGATGAAGGTAACGCACCTAATGCTGTGAGAAGCTCCACGGCCCCAGATATATGACGAAAGATCCCATAATCTTCGTTGGAGGCTGGAGGAATTTTGGAGACAATAATCTCATAGCATTGCCTAAATCAGAATGTACGCGAGCATGAAGGTTGGTTGACCTTCGCTCGAAGTTGCGTTATCGCTTTTTCGGCGGTATTATCGCCGAATAAATATCGCCGAACACTCCTGGATAGTTGCAAGTGACCTTTCCTGAATTAGCGAACGTTGCGAATTATAGGTGGGGCATTTACGGGGATTTATATCTAAGTATGATCTGGGTAGCATAGCCACCGCTAGGCCTGCCAGGCTTACGAATGGTGCCACTGCATGATGCACAGTTCCGGAGAGCTTTACGCAAGGATTGCAGTCGAGCGATTATGCGGAGATTTCTTCGTTCACAACGGTCGGCATGTGTAGTGACTCAGAGAAATCGAAACCCCAGTCAAAGCCCCAGGTGTCCCAATCGTCAAACAGAGACTGTCTGGGTTCCGAATAACCGTCCACCATGTTACCTACAACGGCGGCATTTGTGCTGTCTAGGTCTGATGGAGTCAGATTGGTTTCCACAATTTATCTTCATGACCGAACTTACGTTGATTGCTGGGCCTTGAGTTTGTCTGTGTCAGAAACAGTTTTCTCCACCAGTAGAGGCAATCGAATACCACGTTCATCGACTGTCGGTTGAGAACCTGAAGTGGAAGAATTTCGCCCCCGTCCGAAGCGCGATACACATTGTTGCTTGACCACAATTGGCGCATGATCTCTGCTACCTTGGCTGGAATATCGTTGTTTACCACAGAGATCGCTTTGCAAATATTGATAGCAGAGAAGAAAGCACTGATCATATCTTTCTCTTGAAGTCCAACAAGACTCAACTCGTTGGGATAGCTTTTGAGGAGCTTGAGAATGGTGCAGCCCGCTAACTGTATACCTTGAAAGATAGCGTTTGGACAAGCTAGAGAAATTTGAAGCGTTTGCTCCAGATCACAGATCAGGTCCATCGTTGCGGTTGCTGCTTCTGCAAGTTGGATGACATCGGTGTGGTCCAATCCGCTTGCACTGGCAACGAATGCGAAGGACTGAATCTGCAAGCGAGCAATGGTAATCGACAAAGCACTCAACGGGCCTACAAATATGTAAGCGATCGATAGCGTGTGAGCAAGGGCTACTATACTCACCTAAGTCATCCAGATGGGCACCCCTGTTTAAAGCAGATATCTCAGCATCGGATGCAGCAATGCGACTTTTGAGCGTCCGACTGTAGCTTGTCGGGTCCGTATTCAGTTCTAGATCAGCGACTATTTGATGGAATGCAGCTATATGTGCCGTGATGCGCGCTTCGAACACAATCCAGTTAGGTAAAGTTGCGCAACAGTCATACTCCCACAGCAGGTGACGTGTCGCAAGTCCGTCAGTTATAGGATATCCTTGCAGAGACATAGTCCTATAGATATTAAGCAGTAAATCCCGGGTTGAGCATCTGCGACCACTCACCTCTGGTTCAAGGTCACAGCATATGCCCACAACTTTGCACCTCGTTCCAGCCCAGGGTTTGCCATCGAAGTGAGTACCCCCTGAACGCTCAAACAAGGATGCATGCCTGATTGCAGTGTAATCGGTATGACCGCACTACTCAATGTGAAATATACACTTCTCCAAAATGGGCTATCTGTTGAAAGATGAAAGTCGCACATAAGCAGATACGCCTCGACGATAGGATACGGTGAGAGCCGCCCAACGCAGAGCGACTGCATGGCTAGCTTCTCGACGTGAGGCGATAGCGTCGAAAATAAGGTTGGATCTTCGTGACATTTTCGTGATCCTATTGTGGTAATTACCCAGAACTTGAGAGGGGACTCGCGGAATGTCTGATTGGGGGTTGACGGAGCCGAAAGGATTGGTACTAGCGGTGCGAAGCAACGAAAGAATCTACTCCAATCAGGATCTCGCTACTTGGGTGAGCTCGTGACTGATTACCTTGTAAAGCAGACATCGATCTTGCTGGGTTCTACGCGAATACCATCGATGGTTTGCGGTTCAGTTTCGGTGAGGTTGTTCATGGAGGTTGGTGCAAGATGCACGAAGAGCCCGTTTTCTTCACCAACGAATGCTGGATGACTCTCGGAGGGAGCAAAAGAACTGGCCGAAAGTGCCTCAACAGTAGTTGAAGAAAGTTCCGCATCCAAGATGGTGGCATTTTGAGACATCTGCGAAGGCGTCTTTGGACTGCCGTCCGAGCTCACCTTCTTCCGTCGTTGCTCTTGGACTACGCACACGGTTTGCTTCCTGCGGCATCTTGTGCATGGGCGAGAGTAGTCCAAGGATGCGTCACAACGGAGTTTTTGCGTCCGGCAAGTATCACATGCTGGCTTTTTGTCTTCGCGAACCTTTCGTTTTCTTCTAGGTGATGTCAAGATAGGCGCGTAGGAGAGGGTGTGGCTGGCCCTTACTGGAGGGTGGGCCCAAACTCCATGTTGGCTATAGTGTGCTCTCGCGACCGGGTTATCTCACTCTCAGCGCCAAAGTTGTTTTCGAACGATGAAACTATATTGATGCAGGATGCTGGGAAGGATGAGAGGCCCGATTACATAAGCTTCACACCATCACCCGAACGGCTAGCCTTTGGTAACTCAGCCTCATGGATGACACCGCGAGTCGCGTCGCGTCAATTTCGCTATGAATGACGGCATCTCACACCGAACTCTTTCTACTAACCTCCATCAGCATGGGAATCTACTATGTGCATGAGCTGTTCCTTTAACTTTCACCAGCCGCGAAAAGGCTCCTACGTCTCAATAGCTCGCCATAATTCCAGAACACGTACACAGCAGGCCAACCAATGACGCACGCGACACCTCCCAATATCGAGTTTCCGCGTCCCCATCCCAGCGTATCATAGAGACGTGTAGCCTAGGTTGGTCAGCAAAAACTATCGGAAGGGCTTCCAGGATTCACTTACAAACAACGGGAAGCCCGTAGCAGCAAGCGATCTTAAGACCGTTGCAGCGGCCAGTGCCGACGCAGAATACGTTGTATACGCCTCGACAAGGTATGCCTGCATAGCCTGCCAACACAGTATCATACTCCCACAAACGATATACATGCCTATGTCTGGCCACAGCCAGAAGGCAGTCACCTCAGCTGTCCAGGCGTACACAAAGATGCCTATGGGGAGCAATATTGACCCGGGCACCATCAACGGCACGCGAAACTCGGGCCGCGCAATACCCCCGTTGCGTCGCTTGAGAGCCATGTATATTCGATCCTGCAAACGTGTACCGACCTGCGAGCCTGTCAAGAAACCCAAGCCAACTGCGACGTAATTCAGACTGCCAATGTGGACCTCTTCATGATATTTTAAGGTCCACAAGCGAGGGAATGTCGACAAGACCAAGTAAATCATGCCATACAAGAAAGCCATGTAAATGGCGACGAACTGTATGATCGGCTGGGTTGTGATGAGCTTAATCGGTCGCTTGAACGCGGTGCGGAGCTTCTGACCCAAAGACTGGCCCTCTGCTTCCCACTCAGTCATGAAACTCGAATTTCCCGTCTTTTCTCGTAGAGCTTTCGCTTTTCTTGCGAGGATGACACGCGGGTATGTCTCTTGAAGCAGCATAGTGCTTATGAGTTGTACGAGAACGTCGCCGATCGATACCGAGTAAAAGCACCATCGCCAATTCGCATATTTGACGATGAAGCCTGCCATGATCGGTCCAAGTGCTAAGCAAACAGTCAGTTCATGTTTTCGACCAAGGTGTGTTGAGGCCCTGACCTGGACCCAGAAGTGGCATCAACGTGTAAATGCCCATAGCCTTTCCTCTTTCTTCGTTGGACCATACGTCGCTGAGCGTGCCGCCTCCAACCTGATCCGTCTTTCAGCGGTGTACACTCGATCCGTACAATATGAATAGAACACTCACGGCTAGTGGCGCACTTCCTCCCAAGCCACTGAGAAAACGGAACACTATCATCTGCGCTGTCGTGCGGCACCCACCACATGCCGTGTTGAAAATTAGGAAGACGACGTTGCTGATTTGAAGAACGATTCTGCGGCCGTATACTTCGCTCAGCGGCCCCAGACATAAAGGCCCAATTGCAAAGCCAAGCACGTAGATGGAGACCACTAACAGCTCGACTGTACCGTTATTGATCTGAAGCTCGTCGCTAATAGCAGGTAAGGCTGGCGAGATCATTGAAGAGGACAACGGAGCGATGAATGAAAAGGATGATGTTACAAAAGTGACGAGCCATTTGCGACCTGCGCTCCAATTCTTAGGGTTCGCGGGATCGTCTGGACCATCCCATGTAACCTCGATCTTCATCAGTGAGGTTCGTATCATATACTGGCATGTCGTACCCGAGCTTCCGTTTCGGTTCTTGCATCGATAGTCTCTCCAAAGTCTGCAGCTGGTCCCTTTTCAAGGTGCTGGTCTGGCTGTCCTCTTTCGCGCACCTCAAAACTTGTTGGACCAGTCTCCAAACCAGGCTTACTTGCTGAGGTGTTGATCCTCTGGATTCGCTCGTTCGACAAGGTCTCGGAAATGTAGTCTCCGCTGGTCCTGGGAATTTCCATAACGGGAAGCTGAAACTAAAGGAGGCTGTGAAAACTTGTGATAAGGCGCCTCGAAGCCGAGCCTCTGCACGTATAGTGTTCAGGGTGTAATAACGCCGATAAACTAGTGCGAAGCCATGACAATATCGCCGACTGCACATACCCCACACACAATATTAGCGAGCATCATCCATACAACACCGAGACCCGCATTATTTCAACACCGAGTGATAGACATCTTCGTACACCTGTACCGGATGCCGCCCATTCTTGCAGCATGGATACCTTGCAGCAGCATTACGTGTCCATGTGTTCCGCGTGTTCAATAGGGCCTCCAGGTTCTCGGTATGGACCTTGCGGACAAATGCTAACCGCGTTTAGACTCACTTGCGAAATTTCTCTCGCATTGTGCATACAATTCTCTGTGGAGAATTTGGACGATCACATCGTGGAACGGGGTTGGAATGGTCGGACATAAAGTTGTTGCGTACTCACTGCAATAAAGAACGGATCAGCCCGTCTCCATTCCTAGAGATATTAGCAACACGACAAAAATTCTGGCAGAGACGTGTTTTCCTTCAACTTCGTTCAAGTTATCGCTTCTTGCTCCTCTTTTTCACGGCTTTCAGCCATCAGGATCGCTCAGTTATGGACATTCCGGCTGAGCAGCCCAAAGCCCACATGATGGAAACAATATCCACCGAGGGGAGTCAAGCTCCAATCTACGGAGAAGGCAACGATATTCCAATTGATCCTGCCGTCGAGCGTCGCATCCTTTGGAAGCTCGATCTTACGATCTTACCACTCCTAACGTCGGTTCAATTTCTATCACAAATGGTAACACGTATCGCGAAATATCAAGATCCAAGCTAACAAGACAAAGGCCAAATCGGACCTGGGCAATGCAGAAGTTGCCGGCCTCAGCGATGAAATGAATTTAAACGCTAAGCAATATTCGGATCTCGCCATCATGGTCCTTGTCGGATACATTGTTTTTCAAATTCCTGGGACGATGTTGATAAAGAAGTTTGGTCCGTCATATCAGGTTAGTGCAATTTCTTCTATGCCCTGAACAGCGACGTTTAACATGGCTTCAGTTCGGTAGTGCTGTGATCGCATGGGGTGTGTTCACAACGTGTCTAGTAGCAGCCAAAACCGCGGGTGCTCTTATGGCTTTACGGTTCTTGGTTGGTAGCGCGGAAGCCTTCATTCAGGGAACACTAATCTACTTATCCTTTTGGTACCGATACAACGAGCTTGCTACTCGTGGGGCGGTATTTGATGGGTGTTCGGCCTTGGCAGGCGCGTTCAACGGCATCATCGGCCATCAAATCCAGGTCAATCTTGAAGGAAAGAACGGTTGGCGAGCCTGGCGCTGGATCTTCCTCATCGAGGGTGTTATACCCATAGGCTGGGGCTTTGTCGTTATCGCCCTACTGCCCGGTACGCCTGAAACTGTACGCTGGATTTTCAGTCACAAGGAGAAGGAGATCGTCATACAACGGAGCCGAGCCAGCCACAATACAGGATCGTCAAAGATCAAAGTGAAGGTAACGCACTCCATCAAGTACCCATATCAGTCCTGATGCTAATTCCTCCAGGCCGTGCTCGAAGTCCTCCTCCATCCTCTTTTCTGGCTCCTGACCCTCATGAACTGCTGCGTCCACATCACCACCTCCAGCCTCAGCAACTTTCTCCCTCCCATTCTCGACGGTCTCGGCTGGAAAGACGAACAAGCCCAGCTCATGTCCTCCATCGTCTACGCCTGCGCCTTCGTTAACATCATCCTCTGCGCCCAAATTGCCGACCGCACCGGCCGACGCGGCCTCCTCGTCGTCGTGAACTGCGCCGTCAGCCTCGTAGGCTTCGCCATGCTGCTCGCTTCAACCAACGCGAGTGTGCGCTTCGCGGGGACATGCTTACTCACCGCTGCCTTATACCCTTGCCTGATGCTCGTCGTGGTCTGGCTAGCGATGAACTTCCCTGGTTACAGTTACAGGACAAGTTGTATTGCGCTCACGAACATTTGCGCGCAGGCGTTCAGCATCATTGGGAACAAGATTTATGTTGATCCGCCATATTATCGGGAGGGTCTGACTGTGAGTGCGTGCATGGCTGGAGTGGCAGGTGTGACGGCGGCTATCACGCTTTGGTGGATTGGAAGGTTGAACGCTAAAAAGGAGAGTGGGAAGTTTGCGGCGGAGTATGGCGCTCTTGCAGAGCAGTCTATCGACGACTTGGGCAATGCGCACCCTGATTTTAGGTACACATACTGAAGAATGCAGATTGAGGAAACCTTGGACATAGTGAAAGTATTGCGATAGGTGAAGTTCATAGAAATTCAACTTGTGCGCTATGGACCTGGAGATTGGGGGATCATGCTAGAACATGTGCTACTTGATATCAGAGACACCATCCTATAGTCCCCTGTGCTTCACGATCGAAGTGTCTCGAGGTCTAGCTATGTAAGCTGGGTATGTGGATGCCTTACACATGGTATCCAAAATTAAACAAACTGGATCTTTCGTATTCATATGGATATCAACCCTACACGTGACTGGAAGACTAGCGAGGGTGCTTGTATCCGAGAACTACTGAGCTGCTACACTCACATTTCAGAAATCCAAATAGATCCTTTCACCACTTACGCAACCTTCTCCATAGCAAAGCTCTTCACCTGCACCACCCCGCCCAGCGCCTTCGTCGCAAAATTGAACACCGCATACCTAAACCCGGTAAAGAAATGCCAATCATTCGTCATCTTGAAAGCGCTGCCTAGCTGCGTGAACTTGCTCCCGTCAGTGCTATACCAAAATGTCGTCGTCCTCTGCGTCGCCGTGTTGAACGCAGGCGTAATGTCCGCCTGGACCTTTAGCCAGACCTCGGTAGTACCCGCAGAAAGCGTTGTGCTCGCTGCGACTGTGCCGGTTGCGTTGGTCTTCCAGGAGTTGTTCAGATCGATGCTGAGGTTGTTGACGTATACGAGCTTGTCAGTCGTGCCCTCGCGGTGGATTCCAATGTACGCCATGTTGTCGCGGAAGAGGGCTGCTCCGGTACGGTCGCCGTCGGCCATCTTGCTGATGTCGATGCGAAAGGTACCCGAGGACTTTGGACCGATGATGCGGTGCGTGAGGGTGTTGCGTGCAGTGTAGAGGTCGTCTGTTACGGTGGCAGTGGACAGCTGCAGGCCGCCGGTCGAGCCACCGAGAAGCTTGAACTTGGTGGTGTCGGGGTTGTGGTTCCACTCCCATTCGTGGCTGAGAGAGGTACCCTGGAAGTTGTCTGTACCGGTGGGCGGCGGGACAGTTTTGCTGGTTGACACGGGGAAGGGATAGGTTTTGCCCCATGCGCCGCTGCTGTCTTTGACGAGCGAGGGCCAGCCGTCCGAAGACCATGTGATGGGTGCTACAACGGGGATGCGTCCACCGGGGAAAGAATCCATGAAGGCAACGTAGTACCAGTTATTGTCTTTGGTGCCGACGATGCCGCCTTGATGCGAAGCTCCTGCATTCGCCAATGGTCCGGCGATGCTCTGCACGAGGACCTTCATTTCGTAGGGACCCCACGGGCTCTTGCTCTTGAGAACCCACTCATCAGTTGCAGGCTTGGTGACGAAGATATAGTAATATCCATTGATCTTGTACATGCGGGAGCCCTCGATGTACGTGCCGTCGGTGTATACCTGTTGCGACTTGACTTCTGCAGTGCCGTCCTTGTTGAGTTGAGCAACCATGATGTTGGTGCTCCCATAGGCGACATAGATTGTATCGTCATCATCCACCAGCAAGCCGCAGTCGTAGTAGCATTTATTGACTGAAGCAGTAGCCTTCCAATCCCAGTTCGCCACCTCGCCATTGTTGCTCTTCGCTCCGGTGCCGCTCGCTGTCCAGAGGTAGGACTTCGACGATTCGACACATCCAATCCACATGAAAGTGTCGGTGGACTCGCGATAGCGGAGACTGCTGGCCCAGATACCCTGGACGTACGCACGGTCTGTCGCACTCGTAAGGTTGTACTTGGAGCCGAAGTTCAATGTGGGTACACTATGACTGACAGGCGTCCAATTCACGAGATCGTAGGACTTCAGCACAGGAGCACCTGGTGAGAAGGCGAAGGTTGAAGACGAATAGTAGAACACATCGCCAATGCGAATGACCTCAAGGTCAGGATAATCTTCCCAAAGTACTGGGTTCGTGAAGGTAGCTGCTCTAGCGTCGAGACTGTTCCCGGCCAGCGGACTGGCATGAATCAGGCCGAGTAATGCTGAGCAAGCGATTGCTGAGAAACGCATAATGGACGTTGTAGTATGGTGAACCGCAGCCGCCTGTCACTTCGCAATTCCATCGCGAGTGTCTCAGCAGTGATAAATATTATGGGGCCCCACACTTCGCCATCATCAAATCGAGCGAAAGCTGCAAATCCGGGGAAACTTTGGAGGTGACGAAATTGACCAAGATCGGAAAGCCGCTATCATTGGTGCATTTGCGATGGAAATGCTCCGACTCGGCGGGGATCAAGATCGAAAGACGTATATAGCCTCGGCAGAAGTAGAGCGCTGCAAGGCACACGCCAATCAAGACTTACCGCCGAGCGATGAAGAGAGAACGAGGAATGGAGCACATTAGGCATTCACCCAGGTGCGGAGTGGAGCGTGGTAGAGACGCTGATCTTGCGACAGAACGTTAAAAGACATCAAAATCTCTAATTCTAGGAGACCGAATGGACAGTTATCTCCCAATAATGGATGTAGCACTTATTGCAGGGTTGTAAGCGTGATTGCTGGTGTAGTCTGCAGTCAGTACAGTCATCGCGGCGATGCCTACCTTTAGCCCGACGCCAACAGAGCGGAAAGCGGCCAGACGAAAACTTCAGAGCACTTTTGTACAGAAGCCTTACGACTAGACATCGTATACAGAGACCGGGCAAACCGTCATTTGCCAGCACATGACGTGTCGCTGGTGTTGCATAACTGGAGCAGCCCTGGGACAGCTAGAGCCGATCTGGTAGGCTATGAAGCCGATTCCCTGAGCCTGAGCATGGCAGGCAGATGTTATAATCCTGCTTCACAGGCCAACAGGCAAGTCTTGCTGCATTTGACGGTGAGGTGTGTAAGCGGATGTGGTGTAGTAGCGATTTCTGGATGAATGCACCTCCGACATCGCCGTGAAATCCCGAAGCGGAAGGCGGTGAACCCCGCGCTTTCGTAGCTGCATTCACCCAAAATTATTCTGCCGCCTGACTCACGCAGCACCGCAACTGCAATAGGATGCTAACGAAAAGCTGCTAACACACACAATCGCCTCTACTGCCTAGCTGAGCGTCTTCACTACTTAATTGGCGTGTGACGGGCCTATATCTGGCAATACGCAGCACTTGACCCCGCCGCCATCATGGCGATCAACGGCGGCGCTGAGCCCACAAAGGTCAAGATTCTAGGCAAGGACTCGATCGTAGTCGACTACGGCCTGTGGCAGAACTATGTCGCGCACGATCTCGTTACGGCAATCCCCTCGTCGACGTATGTGCTGATTACCGACACCAACATCGGACCGCTCTACATCCCCGCTTTTGAGCAGAGCTTCAACCGCGAAGCTTCGGCCGTCTCACCTGCACCGCGACTCCTCACATACCAGATCCCACCCGGCGAGAACTCCAAATCACGGTCGACTAAAGGCGTGGTAGAAGACTGGCTGTTATCGCAAGGATGCACGCGCGACACCGTCATAATAGCGCTGGGCGGTGGTGTCATCGGGGACATGATTGGCTTTGTGGCGGCGACATACATGAGAGGAATAAAGTTCGTGCAGGTGCCAACGACGCTGCTGTCCATGGTGGACTCGTCAATTGGCGGCAAGACGGCCATCGACACGCCTGCGGGCAAGAACTTGGTTGGTGCATTCTGGCAGCCTGAGCGCATATACGTGGACCTGCGCTTCTTGGAGTCGTTGCCGAAGCGGGAGATCATCAACGGCATGGCTGAGGTCGTCAAGGTAGGTAGTGTAAAAAACTTCTGCAACAATAACATGCTGAACGTGCCAGACTGCCGCTATATGGAACGAGGAGGAATTCACCGCCCTCGAAGGCAACGCCGAGGCGATTCTACACGCGGTTGACCAAAAGATCGAAAACGGACGACGAAACTTCGACGACATAGCCGGTATACTAAAGCGCATCGTGCTTGGATCAGTGCGGGTGAAGGCGGAAGTGGTGTCGGCAGACGAGCGCGAAGGCGGCTTGCGCAACCTGCTGAACTTTGGCCATTCAATTGGACACGCCATGGAAGCCATTCTCACACCTCAAATCCTCCACGGAGAGGCCGTGGCAATAGGCATGGTCAAAGAGGCGGAGCTAGCCAGATACCTGGGTGTCCTAGATCCATCCGCTGTAGCGCGCTTGTCGAAATGCATTGCGAGCTACGGACTGCCTACCTCTCTCGCCGACAAGACTGTGCGCAAGCGGTCTGCTAACAAGCACTGCCCGGTGGACGAGCTGATCAAAATCATGGCCGTGGACAAGAAGAATTCAGGCTCGCAAAAGAAGGTTGTGCTTCTGTCTGGTATCGGCAGGACCTATGAGAAGAAGGCGAGTTCAGTCGCGGACCGAGACATCAAAATAGCTTTGTCACCCAGCATTCTCGTCCACCCCGGCATTCCCTCCGACTCTAACGTGACATGCTCTCCTCCTGGATCGAAGAGTATCTCGAACCGTGTACTTGTACTGGCTGCGTTGGGCTCCGGATCTTGCCGAATCACAAACTTGCTGCACTCGGACGACACCCAGGTCATGTTGGACGCGCTTGCCCGCCTACAGGCCGCGACCTTCTCATGGGAGAACGATGGCAAAGAGCTAGTGGTCACTGGAACCGGTGGTAGCCTTAAAGCCACCGATGATGAGCTCTACCTCGGAAATGCCGGCACTGCATCTCGCTTTTTGACATCTGTTGTTGCGCTCGCTGATCCTTCGGGGAGCATCACGTCTACTGTTGTGACAGGCAACGCCCGCATGAAAGAGCGACCGATTGGCCCTCTTGTAAAATCACTTCGCTCAATGGGAATTGACGTGGATTTCCAAGAGAAAGAGGGCAGCTTGCCTCTGCGCATTTCGGCATGCGGTGGTTACGGCGCAGCGTCTGGGGAGCGCGAGTTCACCGGCGACATCGAGCTAGCGGCTACCGTATCTTCGCAATATGTTTCATCGATCCTGATGTGCGCTCCATACTCAAAGAAGCCCGTCACGTTGCGCTTAGTAGGTGGCAAGCCCATCTCACAGCCCTACATTGACATGACTATCGCGATGATGGCTACCTTCGGAGTAGAGGTCGAGAAGTCACAGACTGAAGCAAACACCTATCACATTCCAAACAAGGCCTACACGAACCCTGCAGAATACGTAGTCGAGAGCGACGCTAGCTCAGCTACATATCCGCTTGCTATTGCGGCCATCACAGGAACCACGTGTACCGTACCTAACATCGGCTCTGGTTCCCTTCAGGGCGATGCGCGATTCGCCGTCGAAGTGCTTAGGCCAATGGGCTGCACGGTGGAACAGAGCGAAAGCTCGACCACTGTAACAGGACCTCCACGAGGCCAGCTGAAAGCGGTCAAAGAAATCGACATGGAGCCTATGACAGATGCTTTCCTTACTGCCTCAGTTTTGGCCGCCGTGGCATCCTCGAATGGTAACAATGCTACTACCCGCATCTATGGCATTGCAAACCAGCGTGTCAAGGAATGCAATCGGATACAGGCCATGGAAGATGAGCTTGCCAAGTTTGGTATTACCTGTAGGCAGTTCGACGACGGAATTGAGGTCGACGGCCGTGGCTATGAGCTCGATGCGCCTCAAGTTGGTATCCACTGCTACGATGATCATCGAGTTGCAATGAGCTTCGCGGTTCTGTCTCTCGTCGCACCCAAGCCCGTCCTCATCCTCGAGAAGGAGTGTACCGGGAAGACCTGGCCTGGGTACTGGGATATTCTTCACCAGCTCTTCAAAGCTGAACTTGACGGTGTGGAGCAGCCGCGAGTTCTTCGCGATACCCACTACGGGGGAAAGAAGCCCACAAAGTCCATCATCGTTATTGGCATGCGCGGTGCCGGTAAGACCACCACCGGTGGATGGGCGTCTCGCTACCTGGGCTGGCCTTTCGTTGATCTCGACACGGCCTTAGAAGAGCATGTTTCCATGACTATCCCCGATCTGATCAAGACCAAGGGATGGGATGGATTCCGAGATGAGGAACTCAAGTTTCTGGAAAAAGCCGTAAAGGAAAAGGGCACTGGCCACGTCCTCGCATGTGGAGGTGGCATTGTCGAGACCGAAGCGGCCCGTAACGTTCTCAACGACTATCAGAAGGACGGTGGCATCGTGCTGCTTGTCACTCGTGATATCGAAAAGATCATGAGTTTTCTCCAAATGGACAAGACACGACCTGCATACGTCGAAGATATGAGGGGTGTCTGGCTTCGACGGAGACCTTGGTTTCTTGAATGCAGCAACTATCAGTTCCACATGCAAAGCGTGGATTCTGTTGGTCTAGCAAACACTCTTGAAGACTTCTCGAGGTTTCTTGACCTCATCTTCGGAAAGAATACATCATTACAATTGCTGAAGAAGAGGAAACAGTCCTTCTTCGTTTGCCTCTCGGCACCACAAATACAGCCTTGGCTTGAGAAGATGCCAGAGATAGTGGTCGGTGCGGATGCTGTCGAGCTCCGCGTAGATCTGCTAGAAGATCCTGATGGTTCGGAGGGTTTACCATCATTCGAATTTGTTGTAGACCAGGTGGGCCTTTTGCGCACTAGAACAACCTTGCCGCTGATCTTCACGTTACGAACCAAAGCCCAAGGCGGAAAGTTCCCCGACGACGCGTACGACCATGCTCAGCTTCTATACAGCACCGCACTTAGATTGGGCGTCGAGTTCGTCGATTTGGAGATGACGATGCCTGAAGAGATTCTGCGTGAAGTCTCCGAAAATCGTGGCTTCAGCAGGATCATCGCCTCACATCATGATCCGCAAGGTCAGCTCTCCTGGAGCAACGGCTCTTGGATTTCTTTCTACAACCGCGCTTTGCAATATGGCGACGTCATCAAGCTGGTCGGCATTGCGAAGAGTCTCCAAGACAACTTCGCGCTTGCAGAATTCAAAGCTTGGGCCGAGAATTCGCATCCTGTGCCCGTCATCGCCATCAACATGGGCGAACATGGCAAGCTCAGTCGCATACTCAACAACTTCATGACGCCCGTTTCTCATCCTCTTCTTCCTTCTGCCACGGCACCTGGCCAGCTTTCCGCGACTGAGATCCGACGAGGACTCACCCTCATGGGCGAAATCACACCTAAGAAATTCTGTATCTTTGGAAGTCCAGTCCAGCAAAGCCGCTCGCCCCCAATGCACAACACGCTCTTCCGCGAGACTGGCCTCCCGCACTCCTACGGCATCCATGAGACGACGAACGCTGCGGATCTCGAAGCAGTTATCCGCAGTCCAGACTTTGGTGGCGCCTCAGTCACTATACCTTTGAAGCAAGATGTCCGCCCTCTCCTCGACAGCGTGGGCCCTGAAATTGATTCTATCGGCGCCCTCAACACCATTGTGCCAGTGACCGAGATTAATGAATCAGGTAAAGAAGTCACCAAGCTCGTCGGCCGCAACACGGATTACCTCGGGATGGTGCTCGTGCTGCGTAATGCCGGCGCACAGGGCAGTGCAGGGCTCCAAGCTGGCCTCGTCATCGGTGGAGGAGGCACATCGCGCGCAGCCATCTACGCACTCCACGAAATGCAGTACTCCCCGATCTACCTCGTGGGCCGCAACCCTCAGAAGATGTCCGCCCTGCGCGAGGCTTTCCCCGAAGACTATAATATCCAGATCATCAATGCTGCGAGCATTGCGGATCTTGAGCGCATACCAACCGTCGCCATTGGAACTATTCCTGCAGATCAGCCGATTGACTCGTCCATAAAGGAGACCCTCGACGCATTGTTTTCAAAAGCACAGAATGAGAAAGCGGAAGCAGAGGCGCCCATTGGCAGTCGACCACCGGGAGGCAAGAGGATCTTGCTTGAGATGGCGTACAAGCCCGCAGTCACCGAGTTGATCAAACTTGCGACCGAAGCAGGGTGGGACACGGTGAATGGTTTGGAAGTACTCGTTGGGCAGGGGGTTAAGCAGTTTGAGTACTGGACGGGGATTAGGCCGCTTTATCGGATTGCGAGGGTAAGTGCCCTGTATACCTATTATGTGAACGATGTACTAATGTGATAAAGGATGCTGTTATGGGCGCGTGAGCGTGGAGACAGGCGACGAAAATAGAGTAGAGGATGTTAGATTCTTAATGTCTGTTTTGAATGTGGAGATTGATTGAAGAACTGAATCGTGTTCCCATCCTGGTGTCTCTCTTACCAAATTGGTATACTGACACGATTCCAAAACGCTTTTTGTTTTGGCTATGTATATTGTCAACCTCTTTCGGTCGCTTGCACATGATAGGCTACGGTAACGCGAGACACCTCATCTTAGCTACGCAGGAGAATCTGCCAAAGCTCCGAGCCGTTACTAACAGTATGGTGTGCCTCGCGGTACAGTGCAGCACGTTCGCCGGGAGGTCAGCGCTGGGCGCGAACTGAGCGACGCCAGGATAAACTGGACTCATCCGGATTGTAAGCACACTCGCCTTTAACCATCCTCGCCTATCCCTATCCACCACCCAATCCAGGGATAAGCAATCTATCATACACACGAACTACCGTAATGTAGATTGGCGACCCCGGATATTATTAATGATTCCTTGGCTTCATATGCGATGCGAATCGGAGCCGCTCCTGCGCCTGGCTGAAGTCAAGAAAGGACAAGAGATGCTTGTTGTCACTGCGAGGCATTACCTGAGGTATGAACGCAGCCTCATTCTCAGTACTGTGTGTGGATCCACGGGGTCTTATAAAGGATGTGTTTCCACCTGGACTGGAAGTACCTGACGTAGTGCCCACCCGCCATGCAGTCTCTTATCCGGTTCTTTGCTTTTGTGGCAGCAGCAGTTTCATTTGCACAGGCGGCACCCGTGTCCACGGCTGTCGCTGGTCAGGTCGTTCCTGGAAAGTGGATAATTACGCTTCAGCCTGATGCCGATGTCGCTACTGTTGCGTCGCATTTCGTCAAGGTGCGCGAGATTCACGCTCGCAACGTAGCCAGGCGTGATGTGACGGAGCAAGATTCCGGAGGGGTTGAGCGACAGTATGGGTTCGGATCTTTCAAGGGCTACGCAGGGTCTTTTGACGCGGCGACGATTGAGGAGCTGAAGGGGTTGCCAGAGGTAGCTGTTACAGACCTTTGTATGACGTGAGGAAGCCTAATCAATGCATAGGTGCTCAGAATCGAACAGGACACTATCATGACTACCTTTGACTTCGTCACTCGTAAGCCTTTAGATCGCTCGACGAAATTATAATGCGCTAATAGTAACTAGAAAGCAACACTGAGAATTGGGGCCTCGCTGCTATCTCTTCCCGCACAAAAGATGCCACAGACTACATTTACGATTCCAGCGCCGGACAGGGCAACTACAACTATGCAGTCGACACAGGCGTCCGCATCACACATCAAGAGTTCGAAGGCACCCGCGCAGTCTGGGGCTACAACGCCGTCAACGACATAAACACCGATAACTCAGGCCATGGAACGTACGCCTTTCCCCCTTCCCACGACCCTTTTTCTCTCCAAACCCACTGACCGTCCCCAGCCACGTCGCAGGCATCATGGCCGGCAAAACCTACGGCGTCGCCAAAAAAGCCACCGTCATCGCAGTCAAGATCTTCGAAGGCAACTCCGGCCAAATGTCCGTCGTCCTCGACGGCTTCACCTGGGCCGCCAAAGACATCGTCGCGAAAAACCGCACGAGCACCGCCGTCATCAACATGTCTCTCGGCGGCGCGGCCTCCGCTGCCTGGGACGCAGCCATCACCGCCGCATGGGCCCAAGGCGTCCTCGCTGTCGTCGCCGCAGGAAACGAGAACCGCGACGCGTCGCTCGTGTCGCCTGCGCGATCGCCGGAGGTTATCTGCGTGGGGAACTTGCAGAGGGATAATTCGAGGTATGGGGGTACGTCGGGGTCTAACTACGGACCTGCGGTGGATATTTTTGCGCCGGGGACGGGCATCGTGAGCAGTTATCGGACGAGTGATGATGCGATCCAGGTGCTGTCTGGGACGTCGATGGCGGCGCCGCATGTTGCTGGGCTGGTGTCTTATGTTAGGGGTCTTGAGGGGGCGATGAGCGCGGAGAAGGTTAAAGCGAGGGTGTTGGGGTTGGGGTTCCGGGGAGGGTTGGGGATGCTAAGGGGTCGGCGAATTTGGTTGCGTATAATGGGGCGGGGAGGAGTGAGGAGGCTAGGAGAGGAGGTATCAACTGATGATGCTGGGTGCGAAACTGAGGACCGAGATACACGAGTTCACGCAATGTAGATTGGGGACCTGTTTGACGTGGTCGACCTGGTAGCTCACGACCGCATCGGATACATGTGCAAAAAGCGCAGAAAAGAGAGCTTGAAATAGCCAGTAAAGATGTGATTAACAGCCAATCTCCAGATTAACGTAAAAGTATGATCTGGTGCAGTCTTCTGTTGCTCCAACACACATTATACATCCCATCCAGCCTTGAATCCACCGCATCTCACCCACCCCCTACTTCAAATACCCCATCCCCATCCCCATCCCACTCAGCCTCCCCAACGGCTCCGCACTAACAGGCCTCACAGGCCTCGGCCCACTAATCCCCCAACCCCCAACCCACCTCTCGCCCCCATCCCTCTCTACATTCTCCTCTCGCTCGCCATAAACGCCGCCCGCGGCACACTCAGCATCTCCGCCTTTCCTTCTCCCCATCCCGAAGTAGTAGGCCTAGGCCGGCTGATAGTGTCTTTGCTCAAGGGAGGGCCCTTCCGTTTCTCCCCTGTGAACGAGCGGTTCGAGGAGCGCGAACTCGCTCGCGAAGAGCTGCGTGAATCTGCGCGGGAGGAATCCCGTGATGGGCTCTGCGACGCGGGCAAGGGCGAGTTGAACATGCGGTGACGCAGTAAGGATCCTAGTTTCGAGCGGCGGATCGGAATTTCTTTTATTTCGGGCTTGCGGCGCCGGCGCAAGATAAAGATGGCGAGGGCGATCAGGAGGAGGAGCAAGGTGGAGGAGCCTGCTATGATGCCTGCAAGAGCGGCGGGGAGAGGAGGGGCGAGGTGGGTGTGAGGCGGAGTTCTTCAGCGGGCGGGGTGGGGTTGGGGGTGTTGGTTTTGGTGTTGCTGGTTGGGTCTGCGGGCGGTGTTGTGGTCGTGGTGGGTGTGGGGAGGGAGGAAGATGTGGTTGGGAGGGTGATTTTTGGGGTGGAGGCGGACATGCTAGTGAGGGTTTGATGGGCGCGGGGACGTTGCCTGTGTTTCCGGTTGCGTCGGGGATGGCTTGTCGGTTGTGGAGATGGATGTGGGCGGCGGAGATGGCGAGTGGTGAGGCGGATGTCATTGGGAGGTGGATGAGCAACGCCAGAAGAGTGAAGTAGAAGATCAATTTGTTTGTTCGGGTTGGTCTGGACCTCGATGGACGGCAGTCTGGTGGTACCTTTGGCGTCTTGAGATGTATCATGTGGTTTGGTTGTATGGGCGAGGTAGCTCTTCGTTGTTTGCGCTGCATAGTGCGCTGCTCTTGGTGTGCCCATGTGGATCTCCTCGGGCCATAATGGGAGCCTGTGTCTCTGATTTTGAGTGGGATGTGACTGTTTCCAGCATTTGGTCTAATCGAAATCAGCAATCCATCTTAGAAGGATAGGTCAGATCAAGTACCTTGGAATGACAACGTCTTCTCCGCGCCATATCTGACGATCTAGGTAGTCTACTCGCATCTTCGAAGCTGCACACGAACTGTCATCCTCTGTTCTCCAGTTCAGTCTCTGGCACACAAATGTAGTCATCAGGTAGACGTCTCGTCTAAGAGACATGCAAAGCGCAAAAGATTGCAAACCCCGAGTATCGAGAGCACCCTCTCATTATAACAATAACCGCAATCGCAATGGCTTTACCGTGGGCGAACCTTTCAGGCACACTGACACCATCATCATCCGACCTCCCCATCCCATGGCACCTGTCCCTCTTGAAGCACAGCCGCATAGCCTTCGTAAAGAGCCGCAGTCCCTACTAAGCCCTACCCAGGTTCTAACGTGGGCCGTGCGACTACCTCCGTGCGGCCAAAAGCTTCTCGGTCACGTCATTGAGCAGCCAATCAGTGGGCTACTTCGAGCTCGATGGGTGTCTCTGATTGGTGTATCCAACAACATCCACGATTCTCCCCATCGATCCATTCGAACCATGTTGTCCTCCCCGTCCGTCCCAATCAGGATGCAAATCTGGGGTAAACTCGATCCCGCATATCCTTCGCAAAGAGCCGCATGCCCTAGTAAGCCTTACCCAGGTCCTAACGTGTTCTACCCTCGGCCGTGCACCAGCACCATCCACCTCTCTCCCCATCAAGCCTTTCAAACCAGGATGTTTACCAGGATGCTTCCAGGATGTTTACCCCCGTCTGTCCTAACGCGGCTGCAAATCTGGGGTAAACTCGATGCATGAAGGCGGACTTGCGCCATCCGCCATCGCAGATCGGTATTAGCCGAGACCCACGTGCGGCGGGCGCCGAGCGACACTTCGGTACATGTTCTAGAAAGAACGTCCGCAGCGTTTAGCATGGTTTCCTACGCGAGGAAAGTACCGAAAGGTAGATAGTCATGGGAAGAAGATTGCCGGATAAAGTGGGGCGGCCTGGGGTTGGAGAGACATTGCCGATGGTTCAGCTCAGTGTTGGGTATGCCGATGGAAGGAATCGCACGATGTAATGCGGTGCAGAGAATATTCTAGCGGGGGTATGGAAGGCGGGGATGCGGTGGAGCTTCGGATTGCTATCTACCCTTTCTATTCGTGATGTTAAGGGTACGTGCTATCTGGACCTACCTACTCCTCTGGATCACGACCCTGCCTCAGCTCCATGTTGTGCAGATACTCTTCCTCCGTCTCGACGTCGAACTCAATAGGGTGAGTTATCGGCACCATCGGCGTGCCGTGTTCTTCGCACTGCTTCAACCGCCGCGCAGTGGCGGGTTTGGTCCTGTTCATGCTATACACCTTGATCCGGCTGGCATACCATTAGCGCTATCCTTCTAGAATATAGAAGCCCGCTGCAAGGGTTAAGTTTCCGGGGCACCTACTGGCACGAGGACGTAACATGGAGATCCCAGTTCCTGTGCACCATTAGCGGCATGCGTAAACTACAGGGAAACGTCCGCACCATGCACTCCGCACATAAGTAGGCTGCGTCTAGAAGGGCAGTCAGTCATGTAGAACGCGCTATAACGCGATGCGCCGAGGAGAACTTGCATTTAGAGCATTATCCCAGCAGCGCACGCAGAATTCGAGCCAGCCTTCGGCATCAACCGGCAAGTCGTACTCCCACACGCGCCACGAGTAGTAGACCTTCTTGCTCAGCTTGTCGAAGGGCACTTCATACCAGATGTTGCCGCCGTCGCCGCTGACTTCGACGCGCTCGGGCCAGCCGCTGCCGCTGTAGGCCCAGCCCGTGAGTTTGATTTTGCCGTCGTGGATGATCTGGTCGTGGTTGAGTGGCGTCATGATGGCGCTCGAGACGGGCATCGTTTGGATGCTGAAGCCATTGCTGTACGTATTATTGTGCTTACCAATCTGCGGAGAATAATAAATGTACTCTTTCATCTGCACTGGCGCCAAGCTAGGTTGTCCAATGACGTTGATCTTGTACAGCCATTTGCAGCTGCGGGCTCCGATGAATCCGAAGACGACTACCCGTAGCGGATACCCATGGATCCTGGGTAACGGTTTGCCGTTCATTTCCCAGGCGAGCATAACCTCGTGGATCTTGACTTTGCGATAGGGCACAGACACGGCGTAGTTGTACACGTTGCCTTTCTTGAAATACGTGTCTGCGCCGTAGAATTCAACGTGCTTGCCGCCGTCTTTGAGACCGCCGCAGTACTTGATGACTTTCTTCAGACTGACGCCTGTCCAGCGGGCTGTACCGATGGCGCCTTCTGCCCACGGTGCATTGATCAGTTCGTCGCCGTCACCAGGATATTCATGGATCTGTTCGATGCGACGAGTGCCAGAGCACTGCAAAGAGGCTGTTTTGCTCATGCGAGGAAAAATAGACTCATCCTGCAGCTCTTTCAAGGTGATTTTCTTAGGGTCATTGACCAACCCTCCAACATCAAAGACGAACTTCTCAGCGTCGATTTCAGGGATACCCCCGTGATTGCGAACGAAGAAGTCTTCATTGGGTGTGATTTCGGTCTAGGCAAGTCAGTGTGCGGCCTGTCTTGATGGCCATCAAATCTTGCCTTGACCAATCTGTCCTAGGTCACATCAGCCTAAAACTTGTAAGACATCTGAAGATCGCTCACCCGGGGAGGCTCGCCGTTATACGGGAACTCCAGCACGTGAATCATATCCGGGCTCTTTTCTTTCTGCACGTATTTCCAAGAGATTTCCGGGACGTTCTTTAGCGTGGGGCCCATCGCATAGTGGTAGTACTTCCATCTGACGCCCTCTAGAATGGGATTCGTCTTGGGCAGTGGCTCGAGTTGGAATTCCGGAGGCTATCAGCGTCAGTGAAATGTATCCATCATTACATACATCACCTAGAAGTTGCAAGATTCGGGGAACATCGCGTTCTTCCTGCAGCGAGGTGACTTCCAGAAATGGGCTCTTAGCTTACAACAGGGAAGTCGTATCTCGAGAGGATCTCCGCCGCCTGCTTCTTCTTCTCGGGGTACTGCAGCCATTAGCAGAATACGGAAGTCATCAAGTCTGCGAGCACCTTCTCCCATTCGATGTAGCCATTCCATCCCTCCAGTTCTTCAGCAAAGTAAGGTTCCTCGCCCTGAACCTTGAACGGCGCGTGGTTCGGCTCTGCAGGAGCCATCGTAGTCGCAGTGATTAGCTAATCGAACAACGGTTATCGCGAACCGACCTTCACAAGATCTTGCGAAGTACTTATAGCAACGAACGTCGGCCCATTAGAGACTAACGACATATCTTGAATCCGTCATATCGATAAGCGACGCGGTTGGAATGCAGCGCACATGCATGTCATCAACATGCAAGACGCTACTGGTCCGGACAATTACTGCGACTTAGAAAGCGCCGAGGCGAGTGTTAGAAAGCAGCGTCACTGTGATGGCCTTTGTGGTTGCGGACCAGGGTCCCCAACGGCCCAATAGCAATGTCGCTATCCCCGAAAACACCAAACAAGCACAGCATGCATGTGGCTGACATAGATATATTGATACGCCATAAAACAGGTTCTGTTTGCACACGAATGGTACGAATAGTAGTGTTCTCTCCACATTGACAGCGTTGTGCTGGACTAGCTGCAGGAATGGTCCACGGAGGGCTATCGTGAAGATACGTCATGAAGAAGCGAAAAGGTAATAGACTCGGCGTCGCATGCAGGCACGCCCCAGAATGGTCCTAGATCAATTGCGGCAGATAACGTGGATCGTGAATTGATGAGACAAGACAACATAGCTAACAGCGGCTCGTCGTGGGGACGTACGGTGGGTGAGGTGACAAACGAGGTTTAGCGTACCTTTTTTGAGAGAGCTGTGCAGTATGCCTAGTTATGCCGGTTCCTCCGCGGAACGTGCCTGTATACAGCAGGGACTCGGCGGTTGCTGGGTCCAAATAGCCAACAAGGAACAGCCAGCTCAAGCCTTTAAGTTGCCATGCTCGTCCTCGTCGCCGAGCATTACCGAATGTTCGCTCTCACTCAACCTCCACACCCACTTGACATCTTCGTCATTTGACCTCCTTCGTATCTCAACATCGACGTCGAAGTCAGGCGCCGGCATGTTTGTGGTCATTTCAGCATTCAGCGAGGTTGGGATAACCCATTTGCCATCTTTCGGCACGATGTCGAACCTCAGCAACAGCATCGCTGCAAATGCAAGCAGCTCTGTCGTTGCGAAGTGACGACCAGGGCATAACGTGGTGCCTCCACCAAACGAGCGAAAAGAGACGTTGCTTACCCGCGGCCGGGTCTTGTCTGTGAAGCGATTGTAACAATACTCTTCTGCATCCGCACCCCAGCGCTCGTGGTCAAAGTGCTGAGACGCCAAAGGCATGAAGACGAGAGCGTCCTTCCGCAGGAGGTATTTGCCATCGAGCATGTGGTCTTCTTCCACTCCTCGCACGCCGGTACCCACTGCTTCCAAGCGGAGGACTTCCTTGAAAGCGGAGTGGAACAGCGGACACTGGGTCTTGAGTGCAGTTATGTCGACTGTTCGAATGGAGTTGCCGTCTTCGTCCTTGCTATGCACGACTTGTTCAAGGATTTCTTCGCGGCACGCTTCGTATACTTTGCGATCCGCATAGAGGTGTAGGATGAACCAAAATGCGGAAGGTAAGGTGTTGCCAAGTACTGCCACAGCTGTGCCAACAATGAGCTGCGAGTAATCCGCGATTGGGTAGCCTAGGCCCGTGTAGTACTCGTCCATCTTTTGAATGAAACCCGAGTGTTTCAGGTGGCCGCCTTGTTGGATGTGTTTCTGCCAAGCGAGACCCAGCGAGTCAATAGCTGCGACACTGTCCTTCATGAAGAAACGTCCTACTTTGATCAATAGAGGCAGTCCATCGAAGAAGGTCCTGGTATGAATTAGAACCATGCCGTAGCACTTAGCGATGGTGGAGACATACCAGTAATCTTTCCGAGCAGCACTGTCCTGATATGGGTTTTGAGGACCGTAAACCCCGTTGGTGGTGGGAACAACAAGGACCTCTTTGACCCATTCAAAGAGCGGCGTCCTGCGGGATTCTGAGCCTCGGGGGACCCACTCTTCCATGCTCTCCTCCAACGACTTGAGCATGATTCGGTTCATAGAGTCTAGATCCTTTCCAGGTGCCAAAGGCTTGAACTGTACATGTGCGGGACTGGGTATGTGAGCAGGCCCATGGCGCCAAGCATCAGCTTCTCGCTTCTGGATTTCTTTTGCGACAGGGCTCATGGAGAACATTCTGTGGGACATGCCATCTTCAACAGACTGAAAAGTGAGGGTTTTGTGTTGTCTTTGAACGACACTGATCAGCTGTGGATCATTGATCACGTAGATTCGTTGACCCGGTAGTCGAAGTGTGAATATCGGCAGCTTTGCATATCGCTTTCTACTCTTGTTAGCGTTGCAGCAAGAGAAAGACCAATATGTAGAGGGTTTCATACCTTAAATAGTCAAAGTAAGTATGCTTCGAAAGACCAAGAACGGGCGTAATATAAGGTAGCTTTGTTTCGATGACAGGGGGTTCGCGTGGATCTTGCGTCGATCGAAGGTGGAATTGTAGCGCAATGTAAATGACGGAGAGCACTACGCCAACGACGGCGAGAATGGTAGAAGGCGAAGTCATAGTGCTACTGTCCACCAGCGGAAAAGCTGTTGTAAATGTTGAGGATTGCGGCGTGAGTTGCGATGTTGCGCCGCCTCTTATGGTGACCTAGCCAAGCTCTCGGTTAACATTTAAGGTTAGGCGCCTTGCCTAAATGAATACTGATCAATCACCAGTCTCGGAGTGCGAGATTACATGTTAGAGAATGGAGCGCTGGGTATAATTTCGTCTCACAGCGTTGAGTCGGTGCTTCCATCCAGACAGTCCGCTGTACGCGTAACGAGGGAAAGGAGGTCCTCGGTTCGCACGACTCAGCCCGGCACGTCGTCAACTTCCTTGATGGGTAGAGGCTTCGGGCACAGTGCCAAAGTGGCCGACACTAAAAATTGGATTGGTCCCCTAGGCTCTTGTGTTCACTCAGAGGACAAAGAGATTCAATTCAAGCTTTCGATAGTCCTAGGGTAACTTGGGCTAGACTACGTCCCTAGAGTTTAAATTAGACACCCCGTTCTTACCTGGGTGAGAGGTAGGATCCGGTGCGCAGTAGTTCAGATTCAAGTGTTGGCCACTGTTATGTCTTTGTTTGGCAAATGCGATGTGAGGTGAGTTCGAGGTTAACATGATAGTATCTGCGTGATTTTGGCTCAAGCATCCGTACCCCAATTGGCTTGTTAGTGCACATTGTCGCACTGCACAGAGGAAGATGCGATCAATATGAAGAGGAGAAATACAGGTTTTAAGATATAAAGGTCCTGTCCGACAGCGTGGTGAAGATAAGATAAAGGTACGCTTGAGCCCCGCACTCGGTGGCGCCGCAAGCGCGCGCTGTCGTCCGAATCAGTGGAGCAGAAGTGGGGTAACCATTCACCAGCTACACTTGGATACAACACATCTACATATCGTTTCCATCGTGGCAATTAGAGTCTCAAGGAGACATTTTCATTTCGCAAAACTCGCACAATAGATGTTTACCGCCTTCTGGAACGTTTTCGTACCGTTGAAGTCATTGATTTACGTTTTTCTATCTCTTTCTATCTAATGGCTGGGATTGCGATATCGGCCGCCGCCGAGGATCGTCAACGTCTCGGGATGCAGGAAACAATCATCCGGTATCTGCAAGGTACCAACGGCCTTCTCGATCAAGCATAGATGGGCGGAGCGTGGTCACATCGGTCTACTACACTGCTGACTTCCGAGAGCAACTATCTAGGATAGATGTGTACGCCTTGAAATCTACTTTCTACACTAGGACATTCCGACTATAAGATGTGTCTTCCTCCTCTCCAGACACTGTAGCCGTGATTCCAAGTTCTAACCGGCAATATGCGGCTTCCACCGACGACCGCTCTCATTTCAATCGCCGCTCTGGCACCAGAGGTTCGCGCGCTTGCTGTACCTCCTGCTCAAGCTCCTCTTCCCAAAAGAGATAATCTCGACCAGATAGTCCTTCCCGGCTTCCCGCACCCCAATCCAACCGTCTCATACTGGCAAGACCCTCCACACCGCATCGCCAATCTCCGTACCACCCCAGAGCTCCCAACAACCGACGTCTTCGACTATGTCATCGTCGGCTCCGGCATCTCAGGTGCCGCTGTCGCCTTCAAATTATTATCGCGCGATCCAAATCTCTCTATTTTGATGCTCGAAGCGCGCACCGCAGCTGGCGCAGCCTCAGGTCGGAATGGCGGGCACTGCAAGCCGGGCGACTGGAAAGAAGTCAAAGACTGGGTCGAGCTCTACGGCGAAGACGAGGCGCTCCGAATAGGCAAGATGGAGCAAGATTGCGTTGACGACGTACGCAATTTCGTAAAGACGCACAATGTGTCCAGCGGATGGCAGGACGTCGAAACAGCCGACGTGTACTGGACCAAAGAGGCCTTCGACGAAGCTGTCGAGATTAAAAAATTCCAGGATGAGCTGCAACAACGCAGACCAAATGACGGTCCCTGGAGTAATAAGCGGACGGTCTATGCAGGCCAGGCAGCCAGAGACTACTGGAAGTGGCCGCAGATCCTCGGCGCGGTGGCGTACACCTCGCATACGCAGAATCCCTACCTGACAGTCTGCGCATTGCTCGAGCAGGGTCTCGAGAAGGGTCTCAATCTGCAGACTACGACCATAGCTCTGAGCATCGATCAAGTATCCAACAGCTCTGAAGCGGGTGCAAAATGGGAGGTCAAGACCGATCGAGGCACCGTCCAGGGAAAGCAGGTCGTCCTCGCCACAAACAGCTACACCAACGCGCTGCACGCTGGTCTTGCGAGCACGGGCTTCCTCGTGCCGCAGAGAAACCAGGTTGCGGCCGTTCACCCATCGAAGGATACCTCTAACAACACGGTTTTCCGCCGCAGTCATTCGTACCCGGACTTGCACAGTGGGAACAACTACATCGCCATCCGCGCTCCAGGTGACATTGGTGCAGGCGATGTGATCGTCGGCGGAAGCACGAAGTTCTCACCCACGCGAGAAAGGAATATCACAGACGATTCGGTGATCAATCAAGACATTGCGGACGATTTGCACGGCGTAGGCCGCGTTGTCTTTGGGTATGAGAACTGGGGCGAGACAACAAAGGTGGTTAAAGATTGGACGGGCATCATCTGCAACACGCCTGATGGCTTTCCAGTTGTTGGCGGGCTACCTAATGAAGAGGGTCTCTGGGCGTCTGCCTGCATGAACGGCCACGGGATGGCGTGGGCGTTCCGCAGTGCGGAGGCGTTGGTGCAGATGATGGCTGAAGGGGAGACGCCGACGTGGTTCCCGAAGGCGTTTGATATTAATCGGGCGTGGAATTATACGGCAGAGGAATGAAGTAGCAATGACATGCAATCATGTGAACTCCCCCTTAGAAAGCGTCTCCCTCGATTGGAGATTGAACAGCAGGCACATGCTAGGACTGGTCAATGCGCTGAATTAGCGCGATTGTTGACAGTTCTAGAAGGTTGAGGGAAGCTTCTCCGAACATCGACAGCTCTCATTCCACGTATGACATGCATATAATGGCGCTTTCAAGACGACACGCTCAGTCATGACACTCAATATACGCCTCCTCCCGCGTTCTCTGTACCTGCGACAACAATTCCAAAGCCGCGCTTTTCAACGCGTCCGCTACATCAGCACCACATTTCATCGTCTAATAATGGCGAACGAGAACAGTCCGAACACAGCACCGCCTACAAGCGACGGCGCAAACGTTTCAGAACAATCCTCGAACCAGCCACTGCCGCTGCCTGAACCGCCGACCGACAGCAAGGCCACAGAGCTCAATGTGAGCACCGGCACCGCCGTCAAGCTCGACCACCTGGGCCCGATGGTAGTCAACCGCGACGGAACGCTCAGCCGTATTTCCAACTGGGAACAAATGACGGAGATCGAGCGACAGAATACGCTGCGAATATTGGGAAAGCGGAATCAGTTGCGCATGGAAACGCTGAAGGCAGCCGAGGATGCTAAGCCATCGTCGGAGTGATTTTGAGATACCCTATGGAATGTGGACGAAATTGCAAGGAGATAGATATCAATTGATGATACACACGATGAGTGTCAAGTGTGGTACGAATTTACAGGCGTTGGAGGTTCGAAGGCTCCGCGTGCCGCCTGTGACGTCAAGCGCGATGACCTGCGTCTGCGCTTCCAACAACTTTGAATCATCCTTCAGCGACCGACAACAATACAGCCGAAGTTTTTCTCATAGCGCAATATCCCCTGCTACGTTCCGCTGTTCATTCTCTTCTCTAACTTTTACGCCATGGCCGCTGAAAAGGCCGACTCTGTCCAATCACCCGATGTCGAAATACCCAAAGACCTCCCCGATGAAGACCGCCTCAAGGAAGCCGCCGCCGCGGCAGAGAAAGCCATAGCAGCCCAAGGCATGGCGAATAAACTGCGCGAGACGGCCTCGTCTTTCACCGACCCAAAGAAGCGCGAGAAGATGCTCACAGACGCGTATAATAAAGAGATGGAGGCACATGGCAACAGCAAGAAGGCGCGCATGCTGCAGAGCGGAGCGTTCCAGGGGACCATAGGCGGAGCTGGCATCGGCGGCGCGGTGAGTGCTGGCGTCGGTACGCTCGTAGGCACGGTGGTGGGAGGTGTGACTGCGATACCAGTGACGGGCTTAGGTGCGTTGGCTGGCGCCGGAGTGGGGGCAATACACGGGCCGTTCATCAAGCTGGGGAACCTTGCGAAAGGAGTTGGAGGCGGAGACGGCAAGAAAGATGGAAAGAAGGGCGAGAAGCAGGGTGAAAAGAAAAACGGCGAACAACAGGCCGAGGAAATCAACCCGGACGATGAAGACGTCGTACCCAATCCTCAAGCTTTGCGCCAGGCTGCCGACGCACTATCCGAAGAGCGCGCAAAGACAGGATTGGAGAGCGAGCCATCGGCGAATGGTGGTGACGCCTCTAAACCGGGCAAGAAGAAGCCCCGAAAGATCGAGATACGGTCCGGAGGCCAGAAGCAGGAGTCTTCGTAGCGCCTGATATCGTATCCCTGCACACTCCCGCAATTCTTCCGTTTCTCTCGTAGTATGATACATTGTATATCTTCAAGGAGCATATCGGCGCATAGCGTATAAGGCATATCAGGTATTCTTGTCGGTTTTATTAGCGTTCTGTCATTAGCGGTTGGCATTCGTATCTTGAACTATTCCTGACTCCGTTGATCAACAACTTCAGACTCCCGATATTTCGTCGATGTATGGGTTCTAATCGCACTAATCAGACTATGATTGAATTATTCATCGCCACGAGGTAGTTTGGAGCTTGCGAGACCCACAGGGCCGAATGTACTGTGATGTGTCCGTCGTACTATCGCTACAGCCTTATCTTAGTGGCTGAACTTTGGCGCTCTTCATTCTCTCAAGGTAGAACAGCCCTTGCACCGTCAGCAAGCGATTTCTCCGTAAAGCCTCCTGATTCTCTTGCTGCTACCCTACAAGCGCTGTAATATGCAGGTCTGGGAGCGCCATAATGAAGCTGTGACGGAGACTCCGGAAAGACGATGATGTTCAGCCGAAGCCATTTACTTCTGATGGCTATCATCAGTCCTTTGTTAGACACACATGTCCGTGCCCATGTCACCTTTTTGGTCACTATAGTAGACTGATAATGAAGGGGACACATCTATCTCTTGAGTGACCGGCGCGTAGAATGAGCAGTGTGTTTGTGCATGTACTGTAGCTATTATGTTGACCCCTACTGATTCGTGTATGTAATTTCTCTTCAGGTCTTTCTATCTTGAGCGTAAAGTATTTGTTCACGTGCTTTACCAGAGATAGTCAAAATGGCCAGACCACCAGCTGATTGTGTGGGGAGAGGTAGCTCTGTAGAGATGTGGAGATCACTACCACGAACTCGAAGCAAATGTTTAGTAGAACTAGTGATCTCTACCTGTTGATACAGGCAGAGCCGTTGTCCAGCCTTGTGGGCTGTATGTAACCCCTAGCTCGCGAGCGCATGATTGGCTCTCCCGATTGAATGCAGAACTCAGCCACCACCGCCTCGATTACTGCACCTCTACAGCTTAAAAGTGTCCGTGTGTAGGCTGAGATGCATCTTCCATCTGAGGGCATCCACTCCTTTAATCGAAAGGATGTCTTCGGGTGACGGCACCGCTGTGCTCCTAGAGCTACAGTCGTTGCAGTCGCATACCCCACCGCAGCAGCCCCCAGTATCCCAGCTTGTCGCGCAGGCACCAGCCGGGTCGCAACCTTCTCCATCGATACAGGATACAACACAAACATCATCAGCCCCTTTAACGGTACAAGCTGCAGAACTTCCTACATCATATGCGGAATCTGCTACATCTTCTCCAGCGCAAGTCTTTGCATTGTCTGCGGAATCTGCTACATCTTCTCCAGCGCAAGTCTCTGCATTGCCGCGGTTTTCAAAGCCATGGCAGAATGCGCCCGCGTTGATCGCAATGGCTACAATTCCCGCAATGGTATACTACGCTGTCAAAACATACAACTTGGCCGCATGGACTGCAACAAAAGATTATTGTGAATACCAAGAGGCTCACGGGGTGGGTGTCCCCAATTGTCGGTTCATTTCAGTCAATCTTCAGATTGCTAACCACCTTCATCATCAGAACGGCACAGATCTATCAAGATGTAACATTCAGTATCCTCCCGTGATACACAAGCGCTGGATTCAAGCCGGTCTGGTGCTTTGGACAGAACCTAGACCAGACTTTGGTGCGCGCTTCGCAGACGCTGATCTGTGGTCACTTATCTGGAGCATTATCCTACTCTCAGCGATATTGATCTTGCTGTTCCGGTGTCTATGTACACTGCTAGTACTTCTCCCGTTAGTACTGTATGTGTACTTTGAGATTTCCGGAACGACTCGATCCCGTGTCAGTCATACCACGCCGAACCATCCGGGCACCCATCCAAAGACAAGACGACGGGTTGCGAACGACCACGCTACCATTTCGAACGACGAAGTCCCGTGTCAGACGGAATCAATATTGTCTAGTTCAAATTCAAATGATCTCATCAAGCGATGTCCAGGAGAAAACGACAACATCATATACAAACAATACGTGTGCCCAGCTTTCTTCCTCTTGCGTATTCCGCCCAGAGCATCATTCCCTGCAGTTTCACATCTCAATAGGCTAAACACGATATTCGAGGCTGTCATTGACGTGTTGTTAGACGATGTGTTTCGACCCCACCGTGAACAGGCCTTGCAGAACTTTCAGGACTATCAAGACAGGTTCTACTCCCCTTGGGCATTGTACGATTACACGAATATTGGAGCAAAGAAGGATGTCGTCCTATTCTTGCAAGAGGAAAGTCTTGATCGCCCAGAAGGAATCAAAGTTGGCTTAAATCGTTCCTACGAAACGATACATGACTGTCCTAATTTGCGCATACAAATCTGGCAAGGTTTTCGAATAGATCAACTGTCTGCTCTCCGCATCCAGGCAAAACAGCCCTTTGCGATTATGACACGAGGACGGCAATACATCCGGATTAGTATCGGATTCAGGCACCCTTTAGTCTCACGCTCGAGTGGACGGTCAACGTGGCCATATATTGAACCCTCATCGTCTCGTCGATATTTTACAAACTAAAATATCAAAAAATGACAAAGAAGCCGAGTAATAGCGTCACCTATGAAAAATGAACCTAGGAATGTGGAGAACCTTCTATGTTATCTTCATCGATCCTCTTGCCACATGTGGTACATACACATAGGGTACTACAACGCGCATGCTAGCTGTTACTTTTTTCAAGTCCAGGTAAATTTGTTCTTAGACTCTTCACAACACATTTCATTGTCCCCAATGATGATATTACTAGCTGAGAATCATGCCGGAAGCACGTACCTCAAGGATAAGGAAGCGAACGACAGGCTGATGACATCGTTTGCTCCCCAGGATATAATTCTCCGCTCTGGACAGCTTACCTCCGAGTATACCATTCAGCTGGTGCGGCTCAAAAGCTACATGTTCCACTAGTGTTCTGGATCGCAATCTCCGTGTGAATGCAGCGACCGGGCCGTCGTTTGCTAGACAAACCCCATGATGGACACCAACCTTTATATTCTCAGAACTCAATACCGAGTAGAAATGCGACGTCTTCACCTTTCCCGAGATCCTGAGTTAAAGTCGTCGATCCACACCTCTACGTGGCGCACCTTCACAGACACCTAAGGCGCCCGCAACACACACGCCACGCACCACAATGGCCCTCCTCCCAGACCTCACATCATCCACGCACCTGCTCACCGATCCCGCCGATGGGCACACGATAAACAATATCATAGGCCCCCCCTCAACAGTCAGTCTCCACCCACCCGGGCCCAAACCAACCAAACCCTGGCTTGACTGTGGCCTGGGCGACGTCTGCATACATGACCCGTGCAACGCTCAAAGGGTCTGCTACAAAGGCTTGAAATGCGACATGGGGATGTGTGTGCCGCTTCAGGCGACACAAATGTCTACGACGGGACCCAGCCCAACTAAACCCTGGCTTGACTGTGGCCCGAGAGACATCTGTATAAATGAGTGGTGCAATGCACAGAGGGTGTGCTATAAAGGCTTGTGGTGTGACATGGGGATTTGTTCGCCGCTTGACGCTACGCTGCTGTCTACGACGAGCTCTACGACGAGCTCTACGACCTGCACGGCCGTCACTTTCTCGAGCGCATCGAACGTGACGAGTCCGGCTCTGAGCTTGAGCCCGACGAGCATGATCACGTTAGCGCCGCTGTTATCGTCATCTCTCGCCACAGTTGCAACTGTGATAGCAACAGCACCAGCATCCACTCCGCCAGCGCACGCCACGCACAACCATGCCATCGTCTACATCGCCATACCACTCACTCTACTTCCTCTCCTAGTTCTCGGCATCATACTCTATCAGCGCTGGCGTAAAGTCTATCTCAGTCCTGCCATTCTGGATGCCGCCCCAGCAACGCAGATACGAGGCGAAGCCAGAGCCGCAGGGCTGGGGAGAAATACTGGGTCGTGGACAGGGAAGAGGTACCGAGAGTATAGGAGCAGTGCTGCGACGGTGGACAGTTTGAGGGTGTCTGTCAAGAATGCTAGGGAGCGGGAAGGGGAGGGGAGGCGGAGTGCGGGAGCGTGATTGGGGGAGTAGCCAAATCTTCGGCGATGAGAAAGGCAAGATGGTCGCTTGATAGAGCTATTTAAGATGTAGATACTACTCGGTTGGTAATGTATGAAGAGTATATGTACAGTTTTGAAAATGTGGGTAAACCAGCCTGAGACAGTAGGTAAACCAGAAAAACAACCCCGTCTACTAGGTGAAGTTACGAAATATCGGGGAGCGTGGCAAGTTTATTTGCAGAATCCGCTCTTGCAAGCCCAAGGCTCCTGGCAGGGCACACTCGCAGAGCAGTCCCAGCCCCAGCATCTGTATCCAGTCAGCAACGTCAAGTACAAAATTCAAGAGGAAAGCTTACCCCCACTCGCACCCAGCCCCCGAGTTCGTCGGCTTCGCTGCACTGGTCGACGTCCCGCTCGAAACAGGCTTAGACGTAACACTCGGCACTGCAGTCGGAGTGCTAGTTTCCACCGGTGCCGTCCCATTCCCACTCCCACTTCCCCCACACGAGTCATTGCCTCCAGACAGTAGAATTTCTTTAGTCTGCTTCAGCGTCGCATCGTCCGTCATCACGATCCTGAAGTCCGCCTCTTTGTCGAACTCGAACCACGACATGCTGACGTAGTTGGGATACTTGGTCTTATCCTGCGATACCAGTGTCTTGAGCCACTGCTCCTTCTGTCCCGTGCCTGCGCCCGTCTCGCCAATCGCGAAGGGCAGATCGTACGGCTTGCTGTAGGCGTCGTAGAAGCTGCCGTACAGGCGGTCGAACAGCTCGTTCGAAGACGTGTCGTCACCAGTCCGAGGGTAGCAATCGATGCCCACGAGATCGACGTACTCCTCGCCGGGCCACCACGGCTGCAGATCCGATGCGCTGCCGGCCTGGTTGGGACTCCAGAAGCAGGACACCTTGGCGTTATCTTTGCACGCAGCATTGTAGATGTTTTTCCAGGAGGTGACGAAGTCGGGGGATGTGCCGTGGTAGGTGCCGTCTGTGGCGTACCAGTTCATTTCGTGGGCGTAGCGGAGCCAGACTGTTACGCCGGCGTCGGTGAACTGCTTCATTACGGAGGCAACTTGGTTTGCGATGTCCGGAGTGACCTGATTGAAATTCACGGAGGGCATGACGGAAGCGACGAAGACGGCACCCGAGGCGACGATGTCCTCTTTCACGGCGAGCAGCTGGCTGCCATCGAAGCCGGAAGATGTGATTTGCGCGTACCACCCATACGTGCTCGCCTTAGCACCCAACTTCTCATTGATCTGGGCCATCGTGTAACGCGGGGAAGCAGAGTCGCCTTCAGAAGGGAGGAATCCAACAGACAGACAATTTGTCTTCAGCGTATCGTCAGGAAGACCGAGGTCCTTGGAAGCTCGCTTGTGGATGTGCTCAACAGAGCTCGGAAAGCCAGGGTTGCTTTCGATTGGATAGTTCCCTGCGCGCGGAACGCTCATGGTGCTACCGAGAGATGCCATCATGGCTGCGAGAGCGGTGGTGTAGCACGTGGACTTCATCGTGATGCGAAAAGAGTGATTGTGAAACGAATGGAAAAGATGCGAAAGAGCGTGGTGTTGAAGATGGTAATGGAAATGTCGATGCCCGAAAACCCGTACTGCGAGCGTTCTATACTTTATACCATAGATGCGGAATGTTATACGAGAAGCTCATGCCCAACTGTCAAGCCACCAAACCAGCGAACTCCGTTTCAAGCGAGTGTCGATCATCTCTACGTTCCTCCCATTTGATCTTCGCTATAGGAGGTGGGGCGGGAGGTTGCAGGGTTAGCCCCCACGAACGTAATGTCGGAGGACTAGGCTGAGACACCGGGCTCTCAGTAAGCCAGTTAGGCGACCGAAACTTCGCCGCTTCAGGCTACGTCCGCTATAGTTACGAGCGCTATTTTGGACTCTCCGTGGAGTCCGCCAAGGAGTAGCACGGCTCGGGGCGCCCATGCCACGTGAATTGGACCGGAAGCACATGGCATCCGAAATGTTTCCTTAAAGGGAAGCATGCTGCGAATGTTTTGATATGACTTTTCGGTGCGACTCTTGATTGCCGTTGAAGCAGGGGTGCGGGGGAACTCAGGGCCGTTTCAGCGATATGAGAGTCGTGAAGAGCGACAAGAATAGAGTCTAGGCGTTCAAGAATTGCACACTCAGCAATTGTTAGTTTCATGGTAGGAAATGAGATACACTTTGAGTGTCATGCAAGCTTTGTGGATAGTATACTGAGGACGAAGTGCGATGGCCTATGAGGGAGAGTCGACCATCAACAGGAGCTATGCAAAGGTCGGCTTGACCCGTCCAGCTACCCGCTCCATCACTCTCTGTGGTAAGAGGCTCTCATAGACATGACTGACCCACTCGCAGCAAACTCTTCTCGTATACGCCGGATCGATGATCTCTTCGACGCCGAAGTGATTCGCCGTTCGCACGGGATTCATCAACCGCCGATACTCATCTTCTAGTTCCTTGTACCTCTGCTCACGCTTCTCTTTGCCTTCTTTCTTTTCGATTTCCTTGAGCTCGAACGAGTGCCCGACCTCTATTCCACCTTCTAAAGGCAATGAGCCCCACATTCCCGACGGCCACGCAACCCTCATCCTGGGGTCACGACAGTCGAGCATGACACCGCCGGCAACACCGTATACGCGCCGCAAAATGACGGAGAATATGGGCATGGTGGTGCTATAGTACGTGGTCGCGAGTTGTACACCGTGCCGCATGGTTGCTGTCCGCTCAGCTGCTGTGCCAATCGCATAGCCTGGGACATCGACAAATTGCACGAGCGGGATGTTGAACACATCAAGAAACTTCAGCATGCGCGTGATCTTCTGCGACCCTAGTGCATCGAGCGCTCCAGCGTTGACTTCGCAGTTGAGCGAGACGATGCCGACGGGGCGACCTCCAAGGCGAGCGAGACCAACAATGGCCGTGGTGCCCCAAAGCGCACCTATTTCAAAGAACGAGCCTTGGTCCACGACTTCAGTAATGATCTTCCGCGGGTTATACATCCTGTTCCGAGCGCGTGGGATAATGGAACGCAAGGATTCTGACAGCCGATCAATGGGGTCGGAGCATTCGATTGTCGGAGGTAGCTTTGTGCCGGAGTCAGGTAAATAGCCAAGTATGGTGCGGATCTGCTCAAAGCAGCCCGCTTCATCGGGAGCGAGGTTGTCTATCGTTCCGTTGGTGCAATGCATAGCAGGGCCGCCGAGGTCGGTGAACGTCAGTCCTTCCTCGAATGTGGCATTCTTGACTACGTTTGGGCCGGCGTTGAAGAGGGATCCTATGTCGCCAGCCATAACGGAGAAGTGACAAGCTACTACGCGTGCGGCTCCTAGACCAATTGCCGGACCTACTACAGCCCCCAAATTGGGAATGCCCATGTTCAATTGCTGCACAACCTGGGCGAACGACGGGAGAGGTGGTACGTAGGAGAAGCCGGTTGTTCGGATGGTAGTCACTGATCCGCCGCCTGAAGAGCCATCGACGAGCTTGACGATGGGTAGTTGCAGAGCTATGGCAAGCTTCTCCATGTATATCTGTGTTACATTAGCTCGCAATCACTCACACCATTTATGCGAGATAAACTACCGTCTTCTCCATCAATGCTCCATCCGCATGCCCCGCCCTTATCGAGAAGTCATCTGCCGTAAACACGATCTTCCTTCCTTTCAGCTTCCCAAAGCCCTGCACGTTGTTGCTCGGCACATACTCCTCAGGCTCTTCTTTGATACCTCCCAACTGCTTCCATTCTACTGTCCCACTCACGCTGCCCACTTCCTGGAAGCTCCCACGGTCCAATAGTTGTTCGACCCTCTCCCGCACCCACAGCTTGCCCGCTTGCTTCTGCCGCACATAACCTCTATTATTCGGGTCAGGCGTCGCTGCGATTTTGCGGAGTGCAGCGATCTGGCCTAGGATATCCGAGTAATCGGGAGGAAGATCGGAATCAGGACGTCGTTTCCGTCGCTTCTTCTGCGCGTCAGGCGCGACGTGGGATGAGACTTGCTCGAGACGGTCCTTTGCGCTTGAAGATGACGTCGAAGCGCCTTTGCGTGGGGACGCGTTGTCGTCGTCTGCCATTGCGCAAGCGTAGAGCCTGTCTTGTATAAAAAAAAAGAACTTCTTGAAAGCTCCTGACAGGAGCAGCACTATCGAGGTCACATTGTCAACGAGTCGCGACAGATGAGGCGTGGGGGGAAGTATGGGGAAGTTGGGGTCGAGCCGAGCCGAGGCAGTTGGACACTCCCCCGCCGCTAAACCTCGTTCATGCCACAGTCCTTCAAACGAAAGGACAGAGACGCGATGTAACCAGGTACGCTGATATCCTGACCAGTAAGTAGTCTCTCAAAGAACCAATATCACAGCGTCTTTGGGAGTCTATCAATGTACCTCTCCACTGTACATTAACACAAGTTCTATCACAGAAGCTGCCCTCCTAAAGCGTTCTCACCACCGTCAATCATACCTCCATTGACCATCTGTTGATTCCGAAGATAACAATCGAAAAAATGTCCCGACCACCACAGAGGCCAATAACCCGCCTCCTCATAGCAAACAGGTCCCTCACTTCTCCCTGAAATTAGACCCAAACTAACCCCAACCAGAGGCGAAATAGCAACCCGCATCATATCCACAGCCAGCGAACTCAGTCTCCAAACTTACGCCATCTACACCCCTGGAGACTCCTCCCACACCATTCATGCCTCCCACTCAATCGAGCTCCCTTCAGCCTCTACCTTCATGGACATCTCTGCCCTCATCGCCATCGTCAGGAAACATGACATCGATGCCGTCCACCCAGGTTACGGCTTTCTCTCCGAGTCCGCTGAGCTCGCGAAGAGGATGTGGAACGAGGCACGCGCGGTGGTGATAGGACCGGGCTGGGAGGTCCTAGAAGCGACGGGGGATAAGCTGAGAGCAAGGGAATTGGCGGAGAAGTGTATGTATTTCCACGTGATTCTTACAACACTTGTTTATACAAGACTAACTCTCCGAAGGTAACGTCCCCGTGTCCCCAGCCTTGCTCACACCTACCTCCTCCGCGGAAGACATCGCCACTTTCGCCGCCCGCGTCGGATACCCCATTATGGTGAAAGCCGTAGACGGCGGCGGCGGCCGTGGTATCCGCTTGATCCGCAATGAGCAAGAGTTAGCAGCATCCGTCAAGCGCGCCGTAGAAGAAAGTCCCTCGAGGAAAGTCTTCGCTGAAAAAGCAGCCGTCGACGGCTTCCGCCACGTCGAAGTCCAGATTATAGGCGATGGGACGGGAAACGTAACGCACCTCTGGGAACGCGAATGCTCGATCCAGCGCCGGTACCAGAAGGTCGTTGAGATGGCGCCGAGTACGCTGCGGGACAGAAGTGTGGTAGCGAGGATAATTGAAGATGCCATGCGCATGGCGAGAAGCGTTGGTTCTCCCTTCTTTCCCCCCTTCTCCTAATTATAAGGCTCCGCTAACTACCTCCGGGTATAACTAGATATCCTACTTCTCCCTCGGCACCTTCGAGTTCCTGCTCAACCCCCAAACACACACCTACTATTTCCTAGAAATAAACCCCAGGCTGCAAGTCGAGCACACGGTCACCGAAGAACTGACTACATCCGACATCGTAGCGACACAACTCCTCCTCGCACAGGGGGCCTGCGCTCTCCCCCCAGCCTTAAGCCCGCTGAATCCACCACCTGTATATTCTATCCAGCTCCGCATCACAGCCGAGAACCCCGCCGCAAACTGGACTCTCTCAATCGGCAAGATCTCAGCCTTCGACTTCCCCTCCGGCAACGGCGTACGTCTCGACACGCACCTCAGCCACACGCGTCCCACAGTCGTGTCAGCAGCGTACGACAGCCTTCTGGCAAAACTCATCGTCACCGCCTCCTCGTGGGACGCCTGCGTGCGAAAAGCAAAACACGCGCTGGATACAACGCAGATCACAGGCGTGAAGACGAATATCCCTCTCCTCCGCGCTATCGTTGCGCACGAGGACTTCCCGCGCGGGAAGTGCGACACGCAGTGGCTGCAAGGAAATATGTCTGCGCTTCTCGCTCGCGCTCAGAGCGTTGGAGTATCCCCGGTTTCACGCGCAGAAGTGCAGAGTACACCGGGCATCTCCTTAGCAGCAGCGAATACCCTCCTCCGCAAAGGCGACGCCTGGTCTCTTACGCTTACCCCCGCCCCAAAATCCTCAGAAAGAAGAGCGCGTAGTCAGGAAGAACAAACCCACAAGTCCCATCTACGAATCACGCGTGTCTTGCGCAATGAATTTCCTCAGGTGCTCAGCGCGGATATCCTCTTCTCATCTGCTTCTCAGGGCCAAGTTCCCTACACGATGCATCTATCTTCCACAACGGCCTCTGCATCTGCGACAACGTCGTCGCATCGGCGGGCGAATCCGTCGGATGCGTCGCACGTGGGCATCCCGTTTGCGGGGAAACTGGTAGAAGTGCTCGTCGACGAAGGGGATAGTGTGAAAGAAGGGGCCGTGCTATGCGTAGTGCAGCAGATGAAGATGGAGCTAGAAGTGCGGAGTGCACGCAGCGGCGTCGTAACATGGGTGTGCGAGGCGGAAGAAGGGGAGGAAGTGGGAGAGGGGACGTTAGCTGCGATTGTTGTGCCTTCTGACTCGCGGTTATAGTCATCCCCATACGCATACGCATACCCATTTCCTGTGCGTTTGTAATAAAGTATGGAGGGGAGATGTATGCTAACGCTAAACGTACGACTCAACAATCCCGCCCCCACCGTCCGCCCCCATCCCTCAGCACGATTCTACTGGAGACTTCAAGCGGCAAGCCCGCCGACCCCTCGAGCTCCACCCGCACGCGCGCTACCTCCCCCGGCTTCACTATCCTAGGCTTTTTCTTCACCACCTCGCCCGTGTTCTTGTTCAGGATACTAGCCAGCGCGGTGATCAGTCCGGTCGCCTGCTGTCTCCCGCGAAACACATCCACAAACTGCGGCATCACATGTTCAAACGCAAGCATCTTGCACGTGAAGCTCTTCACCAGGCGGACGGGTGCTGTAGGCGCGCAGAGCATGTCTCCGAGGCGCAAGTGCACAGCGTCGATGTCAACGAGGTGCAGCGTGGGGATCTGCCCTGCGACGGCCCACTCAGCGGGTGCCCCGTCGGGGAGCTCAATCGCCTTCACGGTAGCTGTCTCGCGGGAGGGCAGCGCGAGGACGACGTCGCCGACTTGGACGGTGCCGGTTTCAATCTGGCCGGATATGCTGAGGGGATTTTGCCCGGAGCCGCGGAAGACGTCGTTGATGGTCAGCCTCAGGGGTTTCTCGAGGGCGCGGGTCTTGGGCTCGGAGGCTTCGAGCGCTTCGAGGAAGGTAGCGCCAGAGTACCACTCTGCACGGGCATCGTCGGCGCGTTTTGTGACGTTATCGCCGGTGAGGCCGGCGCAGGGGATGAAGGTGATATTTTTGAGGGAGAAGGAGGCGGTTTCGAAGAAGGAGGTTGTGGCTTGGCGCACTTTGTCGAAGCGCTCTTTACTCCAGGAGACGGTGTCCATTTTGTTGACTGCGACGATGAGGCGTTGGATCTGGGGTTGTTTAGCATAGCCGTCTTTGTGGGATGCATACTGCGCGACTTACCCCCATGCTTCGCACAATCAATGCGTGCTCTTTCGTCTGTCCCTTTAATCCAGACTGAAAGCTGTTTTCTTGTGCGTCGACCACCAGAACAGCAAAATCCGCCTGGGACACACCAGCAATCATGTTCGGAATAAAGTCCCTGTGTCCGGGCGCGTCGAGTATCGTAAAGCTCGTCTTGTCCGTTTCAAAAGGCACTGTGGCTATGTCGACGGTCACACCTCGACTCCGTTCTTCGGGTGTCTGGTCCATGAGCCATGCAAGCGCAAAAGACGACTTGCCTATCGTCTCAGCTTCTTGCCGAAGCTTGTCCACGGAGCGCTCGTCGACGATCTTAAGGTCATATAGGAGGCGGCCCATGAGCGTGCTCTTTCCGTGATCGACATGTCCTGTCAGTCGGCGTCAATGGTGTGACCTAAAGTAATAACACGCATATATCTTCACCTACCGATTACCACAAAATTTGAAACCCTTTTTAGACCACTTTTCCTGTACTCTTCTACAACATCAAGGTTCTTGCTTTTGACTTTCGTCTCAACGACGAGCTTCTCTACTGAATCTGCCAGCTGGTCTCCATCCGACTTTCCTCTCGTCTTCGCCTTTGCCTTAGGTGTGCCTATCGTGTCTTAGAGTAAATCAAAGATGGGAAGAGATTGCAAGACAAGTCAACGACCCGCACCCGCGCTGCGTGCCTGTGCCTGCCGCACCAGGTCATCAGGGCTCGGTTTCGAAAAAGGATCGGCATCTGTGAATGCTTTGGCGTTCGCATAGGGGAGTGGGAAGCTGCTCAGCGCCCTTTTTACGTGCTGCTGCTCCGGCTCGTCTGGCGGAGAGCCGCATAGTATGGCACCGAACATGGAGGGCTGTTTAGCGCGCAAGTTGGGGAATTCGATGCGGATTCCCTGAGGTTCGGTGATGGGTTCTTCTCTGACAAACTCCGGTTCCTGCGGCGGAGGCGTTGCTGAGCGCTTCCTGGGGTATCTGGGCTTTGTATCTTCGCGAGCAGGAGCAGAAGGCTTGTCTTTGAAGTTGAGCCTGTCGAGTAACGCTACAGCCTTATCTGCCGTCTGTCCATTCGCAGCGGCGTCCGCCTTCGCTGCCGCTTCCTCTTGCTGCTTCTGCTTTCGCTTGGCTGCCAACGCCGCCAGCTTAGATGAGCCGCCTAACAAGCCTCCTTTGTAGGGCGAAGGTTGCATTGTGATTGTGGCGAGCCTGTTGCTGGGCACATTTCCCCAAGGCATGTCCCAGAAAAAGTCTTTCGTACGTGCGGAAGTGTAGTCCGAAGCACACGAGGGCGTGTGATTAGGTATAACTCGGCTTATGTTCAACAATTCCTGCGGTAACGCACCAAGCTGGTCCCTCAGCGTCTCGCATATCGTCGTAATACTGTCTCTTTCGCTATCCTGGGCCCAATCCGACGTAGTGCGGGCCGTTGACTCCGTACTGCAAATCAACATGTGCTTACCAGTAGATGTAGGTGTCTTCGCATCCGCCGCGCCTGCCGCCTGGTCGAATCGAGAAACAGCTTTCGGTTTTGCTGGTGTTTGTGGTTTCGGCGCATATTTGTCTACAGTACATGATGGTCAGTTAGGCTCCCTCACTTGCGTCCCCAACATGAAGACCGCGCCCCATCTCTTCACAATTGGGCGTGTACGTACTCTTCAAATGAGTAACGCTCTTCCCCACATCATAGTAGTAATTCCACAGCGCATCCTGTATATCCACCTCCTTGACCTTGTACTCGCTTCCCAGCGCTTCTTTAACTTTGGCCACACCCGCAGCCATCTGCTCCTTATCTTCTTCGCTCATGGCGTCTCCTTCTCCTTCGGCCGCATATTCCTCTTCGCTGTAGTCATCGTATATGTCATCGTCATCGTAGTCGACATTCTTTGCGCGGGAGAAGCCCGACTTGGGAGGCATAGTGGATGGAGCGTGGAGACTTGCGGTACACGCGCGTGTCGGTCAGATTAGAAACGCGTGTGAGCGGATTGGGCGTCTCTTTCGAGGATCCGAGGGAGAAGCTGCAGTCTTCGTTGTTGGGTCTCGCGCGCTTGCGTTGGTCGAACGAATATCGAAGGTAGGAAGGGGGTATGAGTATTTGCATATGGTGGGCGTACCCAAAATTGTGTTTTGTTGTTTAGAGTGCAGTGTCGAAAGGTGATGAGCTCAGAGGTGGGGCAGCTACCACACATCATTGACGTGTGGTGCCCCGCACTAGTATTAATTGACGCATTTTAAATGGTGCATGGTAGGTATGTCACTAGGTTATCCTCATTGCAAGCCGATTTCGTGAGATAAACTATCAGTTCATGCAATTGATCTGTACGAGTGAACCGTTAGCATCACACACGAAGCATGGTTGCAAATTGCCAGTATACTGATCTGGATTTTCAAGCTCCTTATATATCCGCATTTCAACAAACAAATAACCAGTCGCTCGCTAACAGCAACCCCGGGGTATAGAATGGTGTGGGAAAGGGGGATAGGTAAAGACCTCGTCTCTGCCGCACAACGGTAATATGCAAATATGAAATCACGCAAACTCGAGAAACTACACCTGTCCGCTACTGCCCAAACATTGTTCCTAGGAGAGATTGTCAAATTGTGTTGAATCACTCCTTCTTGTCAGTAGGAGCAGCGGCGGCAGGCTCCAGAGAGGCGGCAGGCTCCGGAGCGCCGAAGTCTGGCTCATCGCTCATGGGACCGCTAGTAGCGCTCATGCCAGGGGCAGGCTTGGTAGCTGGGACTTCCGGCAGGGGTTCTTGAGCAGCTGGGGCGGGGGCATCAGTCGCCTTCGCATCGGTTGCCTTAGGCTCGGTAGCGCTGGGAGCGGCGGGCTCTTGGGCGGCGGCGGCGGTTGGTGGTGCAGGGGCAGTAGCACCGGCAGGCTCGGGAGCTGAGGTAGATATGTTAGTGTACAGTACAGAAGTAACGGTCGTCCAGAAAGGGTATCATAAGCCGCATTGATATCGTGTGCATCGGGATCGTGAAAGGTCGTGAGATCGTGACGGTCGTAGTCGTCGCAGTAAGAACAGTGCTCGCGCTGTTGGCTTGATGCTGTCAATGGGGCGACTGGTCTTGAAGCACTCTTTTAGAGGTGCGTCGAGTCCGTGCCGATCTTGTGTCTTCGTCTCGATCCATCGTCGCATTCTTGTCCGTAAGGTGTAAAACTGAGAGATGACCTACTTTGAGTCGCCTTCTTCACCTCGGTGAGAGCAGCCTGCTCTGCCTTCTTGTCGTCGCTCTCGGCGGCAGCAGGTGCAGGCTCGGCAGCAGGCACAGGCGCAGCGGCGGGCACAGGTGCAGCGGCGGGTGCTGGAGCTACGACAGCTGGGGCGTCGCTCTTCGATGCAGCGGGCGTAGTCTCGGGCGCGGTGGCGGGAGCAGGCTCAGCGGCCGTAGTCGTCTCGGTGGGCTTCGCGGTAGAGGAAGACGCCTCGGCAGGAGCAGCGGTGGTGGGTGTTGCCTGCTCCTTCTTCTTCTTGCTGCCGCTGCTGAAGATGTTCTTGAAGACGGCCTTGGCCTTATCAACTGCGTCGAGAGCTTTGTGTGGGGGAGCCATGTTAGCAAGATATCACGCTGTATGGACCTTTGCAAATGGACTCGTAGAGGGGTTTGGGGGGACGAAGAGTAGTTTGCGTGAGGGAAGTGGCAGACACAGGCCAAAAAAACAGTCATCTCTGGAAACAAAGTGTATTGTGGGATAACAAATCGAGGCAACAGCATCATCGCGGGGACATCCGCCGGTGGAGTGAAGGTGAAATCAAACTGTACTCACGAACGCCAGGCATGGTGACAGTGGCAGCTCTTGCAAGCCGACGATGCTCACAATGGAGGGTATACGCAAAGAAGGCAAAGATAAAGGAAGCACACGAGGAAGGAGTGTGGGAGCACTTGCAGTTAAAGCGCGTGAGGTCAGGAGCGGTCTCGAGGAAGCTGCGACCCTGCACGGTCCGCTAGCCTGGGAAGCTGCAGCAATCTGGCCAATCACTGGCAGGGGCGCCCACCCCACGGCTTGAAGCACGCCAAGCCACACGGTACAAGGCGCTATCTCCCCAAAAATAGTGCCCTGTGCGTGCATGTGCAGCCCCAAAAGAGACTTGCGTTTCATCTTGTACCATGCCGCGCTAGTGAATTCATTTGCTCGAGAACTGCACTGCCTCTTTGCATCTCCGATCGAGCGGATACGCAATGCTATCAATATACACCAATATCATGTGCATTCCACCATCTACAATTCGCCTTTTGTAATGCCGTCAGCCGCTAGGGGTATCGCCCGCTGTCCATTCGACGCTCCGATACTCCGCCTCATGCAGTCGTCCCTCGTGAGTCGTCAGCATACCATCGTGATCGAAGACCAGCTTCTTGAGTTCACTTCCGTGGCTCCTTGTCTGCCCACGGAGCCCGTGTGCTTGGGACTGTACCCCGTGTCGTCGACGAAGCGGCTGCTCCCGGCCTAGCCCATGGCGCAGTCGTCGTACCCCCTGGTGGAGGCAACGACGTCGAGGATGCCCAGGGCGCTCTTGTGGGTTGGTTGGGACCAGCGGGAACGGCTGGGCCTTGTGCTCGCGCGGGAATGCGCGCGGAAGCCCACGGTGCGGCGGTGCCGCTTGTAGGCATCTTTGTAGTCTGCGTACTGGGCTCGGCCAGGGGGTCCCGCAGCGCTGGTTGTGGTCGTGCCGTAGGTGCATTTGTCTTCGGTTGGGAAGACGTGTGGACACTAGCTTGGATCTCTTCTGCCAGGGGATCACGTTCCCATGCGAAGAGGGATCCAAAGGGGAAATGTTGAACGACCGGGAACTTGGACAGTACTTCTGCGTTATACATCTTGATCATGCCCTTGTTGATCTTTGCCCAGCCCGCTTTGACTCCAGATACGTCGAACAGAATGGGGCTATGCTCCCAGAATGGCCCCTTTTTAACATCGTAGATGAATCCGATAGCGCTGAAGTACATGTTGCGGCTGCGCTCGCGTTCGACGGCCGGCGCCTTCGCTACATCTCCAGGATTAGGAGCGGTTGGAAGGGAGCCCTCGAGTCTGAGTTCAGCAGGGGACGATACTGCAGGTGAGAGTTGCGCAGATCCTAGAATGTAGGGCAAGAAGGAATGGTCGTCCAAGCCCCAAACGCCGTGAGATCCCGCAGGCTCTAGGGTATACGTAAGGATCAGGCGCCGTATCAATGCAAGGTATCTGAAAAGGGTCAATGGAAGCATATGAAGAAGATGCAAGCGTCTTACGGTTCAATGACGCCAAGTACAATGGCTCGCTCTGTTGCTCCGTCGGTACTAGGAGGGAACCCGCCCAGCTTCCACAAGCAGCCCAGGAACGCGAGGAAGCTCAATTCGTGGCCGGTCCCGTAGTCCAATCTTTGCGAGCTGCCAAAGCTACCGATGAGATACGCCTCGAGCTCTTGCTTGGCTGTGACCTCTTCTCCAGATGAATTGTTAAACGGCGCGAACGCTTCCGCGGGCAGGTATCTGTCCAGAAGATCCGACACTCGCTCTCTTACTATATCATACCATTTTCTGAAGCTGATGTTTCCAAATCGACGAGGACCAGGGTCCGGGGGGGCTTCGTCGATTATTCGTGCTAAATCCTCCAGGAGCTTGGCGAGGTTCTGCACAACAGGTGGATATGATACATCGGAATTTTGCAGCATCCATTCTTTGACACCCTTCACTCCTGACCCTTCTTTTTCTGTTTTACGGGGCAACATGGCTACGTTCAGTTGGAAGATAAACGTCATAATGTCGGCATAGGCTTTGCTGGTAAGGAAGAACGATACATCGTCCCCATCGTTGATGCATTTGGCGGGCACTTTGAAAGTATGGCTTGCATTTCGATCCAGGAGCTCTAGAGTGCGAGATGGTAGGGGTGTATTCGTTCTGTCGCCTTGCATATTGTTTGTTGTGATATTGGTGTGGTGGGGGAGAGTTTTGGCTTGGCTCTTCCCTCGTGACAGCGCGTTGGCTCGGGTTCCCTGCCAGTCGCGCCAGCGCCAGCCTCCCTAATTAATTCACCGCCCGACCCCACTTGAGCTCCCCGCGTGTTCCCAGCATAGACTATAATCGCATTCGCTATCGATAGACCAGCTCGCGATATGGAGTCGAAGGAGCGCATAGGTATGGTACATTTGCGACCTGGCCACGCGCAGCTCCGGCGGCTAACCGTTATAGACTGATCCCACAACCTACCGGACGGCGCTTCTCGATACCTTCGCTGCGCTGTTTTAATCTCGGCAGGGTCACACGACATGGCGAGCTCTGACGATCTCGCTGAGCAGCAGCTCTTCGCCGAAATTCAGGCTTCTGCGGAGAAGGTTCAGCAATACCACGACCCTCCTTCTGTCACGGCCGTTCAAAGTGCGAACCTCCTCAATGCTGCCCGTCTGAACCGCCGCCGCACAGTCGCAGTAGCCCCTACTTCTTCGCTATCGCACACTTCATATAACGTGGCGCAGAGCAGCCCGGCAAGAGTAAATGGGATGGCACGAACCGGTGGTGCTGGGAAGCTGAAGCCAGTGAACTTGTGGCGCAATGATGCTGCAACACAACCGCACCGTGAGCTTGCAAGACGAGGAGACCCTTTCGATTTGGGATTTTCTTCACCTGAAAAAGTGGCAGTTGTTCCAGCCGGAAAAGCCCGGCAGAAGCCAGGAAGGAAGAAGCGCGTGCAGGATGAAGTCTCGCCAGGCTTAGAAGTCCCTGCACCTCATGATCCACCGGAACTAGAAGATACGGAAAAGGAGGTACCGTCAGCTTCTTCGCCTCCTTATGTGACGGACAAACACCATCTCGATGAAGTACCGGAGACGCCTCCGACTAGCAAACGACTTGCTGGTGACGCTGGCATTCCGAGAAACTCTATGCAAGTACCAGAACAACGTGTACAAGTAGAGAAGCGCAAGGCTGCAGATCGGTCGCCAAACAGGGGACGGCCATCAAAGTCTCCACGAAAGGACGGAGCTGGCGCAGCAGAGGTTGAGGCGGAAGACATGCTCCAGGCCAGAGGCAGAAGCCATCCACCGGGAGCGACGCATCCACAAGTAGTCATTCCCCCACCAGAGCCTTCCACGCGAAACACTCGAGCTGCAAAAGCGAAGCAAGCACAGGCTCTCCCTCCTGCACCAGCCGAAACCGATCAAGGGCGCGATGATGACGGAGAGCACCCCCAAATCGACCCGCAGCAGGAAGCTTATCAGACACTGAACAATCAAAGGGGTCACGAACGTCCGGATGGACCGCCTCCATCTGCACAGAAACCGCCCGCAGATGGTCCAGAAGTTCGAAAGCCACAAAACCCAAAGCGTCGAAGGTTTAGACAACTAAGACCAACGAATACCACGAACGGTCTGGACATACCATCGGATAACGAAAGGGAAATAACTCAACGCTCTAAAATCACCAAGCGAGTCGAACAGGAGCCTGCGACTGCAGAAACGGAGCAACCACGGCGTCGTAAGGGAAAGAAACCAACATCGTCTGTGTCTGCCACTGGTCCAGCTATCATATCGCCTGAAGAGCAAGAGCAAGAACCTCAGGAGCAAGAACCCAGGCGCCGAAAGGGCAGACAGCCAAAGGCATCGAAGAGCTCTGCGAACGCAGAGATCACATCTGGCCAGAATGATGGAGACGAGGAAGCAGTCAGAAAGACGCGACCGAAATCAAAGACGACCGGTTCCGTTCCTGTAGCTAGCGCGCAAGGTGGGCGCGCGCACAACGACACCTCACGGCATCGCCACCCGCAAACCCGCCACGATGATGCTCGGAATGCGGCCGAGGATTCGTTGGAAGACCTTGAAATAGACGATGAAGAAGCTAAATCAGGTCAAGCAGCTACAGATGTGGGCGAACACGCACAGTCTGGCGAGGAAGATGAGGAAGACGAAGCAGATGAGGAGGAGGAGGAGGAGGACCACGACGATGGCCAAGGCGCCGGCCATGGCGCCCAACTTTCCGAAATCGACGAGGTTTTAAAATTCCTTGACTCTGAAGAAGTCAGTGGCCATTGTCAAACCGAAGAAGCCAAGACCATCAAGCAAGCATGCCAAACGGCCCTTGAAGTCCTCGCTGACTCGGACACCACCTTGGACGAAATCTCCATTACCACCAAGCATATACAGATCTTGCTTTCGAAATACGGCGCCGGTAGTGACGAAAAGAAGCGCAAAAAGCTCAAGGTGGACGCATATGCCTATCTTTTTCGACAAGTTGTAACAGTCCTAGAAAGTCTTTATGACTGGTTGTCCGACGTGTGTGGTGATATTTTTGCATCTTTAGATGCCATGCGTATCGTCGCCGCACTAGTCAGCGCCATGGTCTCAGTGAAGGACAAAATCGCGGAATGGAAAGCCAAGCTCCACAGCCGGTACAAAGGCGAAAGCTTGATCAAAGACGTCGACACCAAACTAATCACCCCACTGCGAAGGCTCTGCGAAATATACACGACAGCTCTCCGCAATCTGGAAGATGACGCTCGGAAGAAGCGTGCTGAGGAAGAATTTGCGCGCGAACGTCGTGAGAGGCAACAGCTCGAACTAGAGAAGCAGGAGATGGAAGCGTTGCGCATTCAGAAGCTGGATCGCTGGATTGATCTGCATGTTTGCCGGCTACGACGCGAGCCTGACGCGCGTCGGCGGCAAGCATTGCGGATGAAGCGAGAATACTTCGACAAGAAGATGGCGGGGTCAAAGGCTGATGAGACGGAGTGGCGGGAAGATCGAGACGCCAATGATGTCCCCTTCTCCCGTGTAGACGTTTTCATGAAGCGCGTTGTGCCTCCTCCTGCTGCAGAGTGGACGGATGAACATATGGAGGCTCTGATCTACGGCCTGCAGACCTTCGCGGGTTCTTCAGTCTTCGAGAAGATATTTGAGTACTACTGTGGCGTGGGCCAACCTCTGCGGCGATTCGGCGTTCCTGAGATCACGGCGAAGGCGGCAGATGTGAGACTAAGGCTACTGGAGAAATACCAAGAGCGAGGCTGGGAAGAGGTGCCGGAGTGGATTGAAATGATACCCATACTACCTTGAGCGTTACGCGTATATTCGAGATGTTTGACATGGAAGTTGAAAGATGAGTGGTATCTAGCCAGTCACTCTTTGTGTTGACACATGACGAACGAATTGATGAATATGATATAATGTTCAAAACACATCGTCGCTTCTTGCTATCGTACGCAGCTCTGTATGGTGCCAACTCGGGGCCAACTTAACTCAACTCAACTCAACTCAACTCAACTCAACTTAACTATATAATCCACTACCCTCCACAGTTCACCCAGCACCTTGTCTGCTGCAGTGCAAACAACCAACGTCATACTTAGTGAATCCGCCCTCGCCCTCACCCTCACCCTCACCCTCACCCCAGCAACGCCCGTCAGGCCCGTAAGGTCCGTCACCTGCTCCACCTCTCCCGCCGGAACCGCCTTCACCTCGCCCGCGGTCGTTTACCCTGTCACCCGACACCTGCGCTCAACGCCTTTTTACCTTCAAACCTTCTCACCCACTTCTCGATCTACCCCGCCAAAGCTAGAAATACGATGGCCGACTACAAGAAGCTCAAGGCTAGTGAGCTTGCGGAGCTCCTGGAGCGTCGTGGGTTGGAAGGTGGTGGTATGTGCTACTCTGTTTCTGTTTATTTGCCCTTTCCCATGGTTTTTGTCAGTCCTTCAAAGCGCCTCGTCAGAAGGCGCCGGTTTCGCCGCTGTCTTCTTGCCCTCCCTTTCCCATATTCTTCGTCAGCTCCTCGATCGCCGCGGCCTCGAAGCTGGCGGTGTTAATCACCCTGCTCTCTCCTTACCTTAAAGAAGGCGTCAGAGAGGGCGGACCTCCCAAAGATAGTCAGAAACTCACTCTATAACTGCATAACAGGCACCAAGACGGAAATGCTCTCCCGCCTCGTGAAGCAAGACACCGAGGAGTCAGCATTTGAGAAAGCGACCAGTGCAGCAATCCGCGCTGCGTCCGCGCCCACTTCCGCCCCGGCAGGTGGCAAGGAGAACGACAAAGATGAAGGTACGTGGGTGGAGCAAACCAAGAGCGGTGCGGATCGTGCTGGTGCGGGCCGGAAGAGTGAGGTTATGCGTAGGGAGCGACTTGAAAAGGCGAAGAAGGGGAAGAAGGTGGGCGACGGGGGTTTCTACGGCGTGCTTGGAGAGGACGCCGAGGGTGGCGAGAAAGAGGGGGACGTGGATGAAGAGGCGTTTGTGAAGGACTTGCTGGCGAAGGGTGGGATGGAGCGTGGGTATGCGAAGACGGCGGCTAAGGCCCCAGAGAAGAAGGGTGGTAAGTCTGCTCCTTTGTTTGGGGTGTTGGGAGTTGCGGTGCTGATCAAAGGCGAACAGGCATTATCGTCAATATGACTCCCGCGACGGTCCCCATGCGCGGACGCCCACGTACGCGCAACGAGCGGTACACATCTTCGACCCTTGTTGCTGCGAACGACGACGATGGCGCGCTGAGCGATGCCTCGACTATCCGCGCTGACTCGATCGTGGCGCCAAAGGATATCCCGCTACCCAAGGATGTCGGAAACTTCGAGAAGAGCGGCCAGAACGGAAAGAAGCGCGACAGGGCTGGAAAGAAGAAGGTCAGCGCCGAGAACAAGCTGAACAACGCCACTATCAGTGACTCCGCCTCTGTGTCCGACTCTAGCGCAGCAATGGGCGTCCTCCTCTTGGCCATCTTCATCGCGGTGGTTTATCTCTTCGCGTTCAAGCCGGATGATGTGCGAAGTATGTGAAGGGGGGTCTCGTGGCTTTCGTGAAGGAGGTCTCGTGGCTTTCGTGAAGGACCCCTTCGGCTATCTCCAGACGTGTGTCGTGGGCTCGGAGTGAACAATTAGGGGGAGACAAGGAGAGGATTGAAGGGTTCCTGTGTTTTGGCAGGGTGGGTACACATTTTACAGATTCGTGGTTATGGCATCGAAGCTTTGCTTAACGATTGCTTGAATCAAAGGGAGCATTTTAGGGAGGGTAGTCACGGATATGGCATCGTGTGCGTGTCTTAGTCAATGGCAATCGTGCCTATTCGAAATGGAATGACAAGCTCTTCATGGTCTTGTGTGAATGCAGTGACAAAAGTGGAGGTGTAATAGCGTTCAGTACCAAGGTAATCCAGGATGAAGATTGAAAAATTTCAATTAGAACGTTGACGTACAAAGGCGGTCAGTATTTTGAAAACGCATTCTGGAACAATGCAATTACAAAGTTGGAAATACAGAGGTGTTAAGCATCCTGAGACACCCGAGGATGCGTCCTGGAAAGCTCATGTGTTCAAGTCTGACTTGGTATAAGGCCATATAGGTGTGCAGCTCGCACAAAGCTCTAGTCCTAACCTCGCAGGCAAACTGTACCTCAAGTTATCTCAAAATACCTCTAAATTTTCTCAATCCCTAATATAAGCCCCGATGTCATTGGGCGCGAGGTGAAGTGAAGACAGCTCAGTGTTGACGCTAGCCCGTGTCTGTTTGCACCTTCCGCGCATACCCAAATTTCCCCGCCGCACACACAAACGCACCCAACCCACATTCCGAAGTCTTCGACAAATTTTCAAGACTCTCAAGATTCCGAGCGTAGCCAACCTCTCTCTATTCAACTTCGACATCGCCGTCCCAAGCCCTCGCGCGTACATTCTGAACAAGCCTTCACAGCCCCGCTTACCCCCACTACAACTCGCACTCCCCGTCCTCGCCATATACACAACCCGCATAGACATCCACGCTACAGTAAGGAACCGAAAGTTTGGAGACGTTTGAGAGCTTGTGTTGACCCAAGGTAGACTGCAGCAATCACGATGGCACCACCCACTCCGCCGACCCGCAATGAACTGGAAGCATGGGCACAAGAAGCATTCCCCGAGGACTTCGCCTTGTTCAAGGCTGAAATCGACAAGATAATGACACCAACTAGCTACCCATATGGGTATGACCCCGATTACCCCGCTGGGCCAAAGCCGGAGTACCGAGACTGGGAGTGCCCAACAAAGGTAGACAGGGTCAAGTTGAACATGGAAAAGCATTTGATTCTCATCATCGGCACGTTCAAGCGTCGTAGTCCGGGAGGGAAAATGGACAAGCTCTTCATCTACATGACTCCAGGCTGGGAGCTCAAATTCGGTCGTCAAGTGTTCGACGGCAAGTTGGCCCAGCATTGGTACTTGTCCAATGACCAAGCCACAACAGGCAAGGACGTCAACATGTTCCCTTTTTGGAGGGGAATCCATCTTCGAGACCCTAATTTCCAGCATGGTAGGCTTATCAAGGCCGTGGCGGTGTACCTTCACATGCTTCGGGAGCTTCTTCCCGATTCCCGCGGTCGCTTCGAAGTGAAGGAGCACTTTGAAGCAGCAGTCAAGGCCTGCGCTGAGCATTGCCGCAATCGAGACAGACCTCAATGTAAGTTACATTCCTCAACATGTTGTCGTATACTAAAGGCTGATTGAATTCAGCAGCAGTTGCGAGCCGTGCTTCTCTCCCGCAACCCGCACCTCCCCCCAGTGTCGCCCTTCGCACAGCCACCCGTTTCGAGCGCGCCAGTAGGAGCGCCTCCTCCATCTCAAGTCACCACCAAGCCTGCTGCGCAAGCAGCTCCCCTTCCTTCTCAAGTGCGCGCAGATGGCAACGGCATGAAGAGGGGTAGAGGTGAGGATGTAGGGCCGCAAGAGCGTACCAAGCGGGTCAAAGGACCAGAAGATAGGGTGAAGGAGCTGGAGGAGAAGCTCAAGATGGTCGAAGAGGCAAATGCCAAGCAGGTGAAGGAGCTCAAAGATAGAGTGAGCGAGGTAGAGCAGGAGAACAAGCAGCTGAAGGAGGAGGTGAGTGGTGTCAAGGCTGAGGTTGCCCGCAAGGACGACCAGCTGGCGACCATCCAGAGCGTCTTGGGAGATCAGTATCGTCAGCCGTAGGCTGGGTGAGAAGGATATGTACGATGTCGAGAGATAAGATTGAATACCTTGTATTACCACACGATAGAAATCTTGAATTCCAACTCTACTCGTGTATCAATGCTTTAGCCATGCGATTAGTGACGTGAGTGCATCATTCTGAGTGGTATTTTGTGACCCTTTCACTTCCTTCGCGGGCGCTTACCACCATATCTGAGCTCATTTAGCGGTAGTCAGGTATCTCAGGAAACTCCCTAACAAGCAAATAACAAATCGGGGTCTTGTGATAACTTGAAGCGCTTTGTATGCTTCAATTACTTCTCCAAAAAGCATGCCTTCCACCACCTGCTATAGCCCTCTTAATATCTCCTTCTCCTCCCGCCAGCCCGACCGCCCGCGTAAATGTCTCTCAAAACATCAAATACAATCCAGGTCCAATACCACTTGATGTGTCCCCAGGCCCACCTCTTCGTAGACTGGGGCGTAACGCGCCAACCGCCCACCCACAGCGCAGCAAGCACGCAGAGGATCACCACCCTTCTGATATACTCAAGTCCTGGAATGTTTCCCACAAGGAGTGCACCGACCTCCACGGCGGTGTACAGATAGTATTTGCTCGGATTATACACGAACACGAATTCCGGACCCCACGTCGCCTTATGAACTTTCCCGTCACGTACGTACGTTTCGGGCTGAGGGAGCGGATTTGCAATGGTAATGGCGACCGGGTATGTGAGGCTCGACAGCTTGAATTGAAAGTAGAGTGCGCATAGCAGGATGAGACCGCCGAGGAAGCGGTCGAAAAGATAGGCGCCTTCGTTTGGGCCGGTCAGCCATGCTACGGGGCTGAAAGGTAATGCGGTGGAGAAGAGAAGTATAATGACAGGGAAGGAAAGTATTTGATGTCGCATGACGGACGAGGTGGATGAGAACGAAGGTGGGGCTGAAGACGACCATGGCCTAGAGGAGGAGGGGTGTTCGCCCCAAGCTTTGGATGTGCCAGCATTACTTGATTGGTATGGACTGGGCATTGTCAAGGAGAAAGAACGATGTGAAGATGTATGAGGTTATGAGATGATTTTAGAAGCTGAAGATCATCGCTGTCTGATATATAGTGGTGTCGTATTGCGAGGCGAGCTGTGGCACGGTCCATTGTTGCCTTGCGGACCTTGGCCATCCTTCGAAACACTTCGAGAGAATTGGCCCCATGCCAGGCTGAATTGCAGATGATCGGGGCCAAAACACCCAGCCGGACTTAGTGTACGATGCTACATTAGTAGCGACGGAATGCCTAGGGCTTAATTGCACGAATTTGGTAGTGCTGATTGGCTTTTCAGATGGTGATTGGGTGCAGCAGTCCATCTGACCGTATAGAATAGATGGCTGTGAAAGACCCAATCGTCGAAATACTAGCGTGTGAATTCGAAGGTCATGACGCACTCATAGCTACCAGGTTCATATCTCCTTTCCATTATTTAAAAAGGTGAGTTGGAAATCAATTTTGCTACACAGAAATTGCAGACATCATGAGAAGGGTAGCTTGCTGCTGGAGCTTCCTTTTTGGTGATTACGCACAAACCAGCACTTTTACACACTATGTCTTATATTGGCTGAACCGATCCTAGGACGCTATACTCTGCTTTCGAATTCACGATTTACCATTACGAAGTCTTTCAAGTTACCCAGAGGTACATGGGAAATCCTCTCAGCAGGTGGTGGTAATGTTCAGTCGAGCGGCACTGTCGATGTCGCTAAGTCGATTTGTTTGATATAGCCTCGGACGAATTCAGGTCGAGTGCTGCTGTTATGTATGAACTTGCGGACGTCTTGGACTTCCGAGTGTCGGTGGTTTACGGAAACGTCTACAAGTGAGAGGTGAAGTTGAATATCGCACCTGCCGTCTCGCGCGGCCACCCGCATTTCACTCACCTCTATTGCTGCTTCGCTATACCAACAGATTCATTGTCTTACAATTAATGAGGGTATATATATTTAATAGTTGGAAAGATTATCAAGTTCGAGCGTAATCATGGCGTACTCGCCGCTTGTCAGAGATGAGCAACAGAGGTTCCCCGTTCGATTCCCGTAGGCGCCGGTAACGTCTACCCCTGTGGGGAAAATATAGAACTCCGAAAGTAAAAAACACAGGTAAAGCTGGGTTTCTGATCAGTTTTTTGTACTTTTTTTGTACACCTTTTTGCAATTTCTGTTGTTTCTCACATCTCCGCATCGGTATCTCCAAATCTGCCGTCATGTCATCGCCGCAACAAGAACGCGACTATAGTGTAAGAAGTATCAAGTGAAGTTTGAATTCGCCTGTAAATCGCGTATACTCTTTCCTTCGACCATCTTACTACTTCTGCAAACGGAGATGCGTGTACGCGCACGCGCTGTCCTCATCCCTACACCCAACATCGACAACATGCCGGCATCTCAATACATGCCTCACCAACACTAACCAGAAAACCAGAAAGATGTCATATTCCATCCCTATCACCCAACTCCCACCCCAAGATCGCCCGCGCAACGTCGTCTGCAACTCTCCATCTGGTGCCAGCTATGCCGGTCTAGACTGCTTCCCACTCGGGCATCATACCACGCCCAGCGAAACCGCCAAACTCACCCAAAGCTTCCGCTCACTCCGTGAGAACAAGATGGTGCACCACGTCTCTCCATCTAAGTACAACGACACCAAAACGCATATGGCGCCCCTCCAACAGGCGCAAGCCTTCTGAGCGCGACACGCTCGCGCCCGCTCCCTATACAAGAAAATAGGAACTCCTCGATATCCAACGACGCTACTTCCTTCAGAGCATGTACCATCTCTACACCACCCGAGTTCCTCCTCAGAATACCACCTACAAAGCGATGCTTCCCAGACTCCACCAAATCGTCTCCGTCTTTACGATTCACATGCGATCCTTCTTCCTTCCACTCGGACCTCCTCCGCGATATCAATAGCTCCATGCTTGAAACGCTCATCGAAGCCACACTTCGCTCTTCAACAACATATCTATCAAATACAAGCCGAGCCATATGTTCACATACGAACTACCGCTGGCAAAAAGTGAACCTCCGCTGCTACACCTCATCACACGCCTGTTGCTTCACCTCCTTACCCCAGCCCAGCATCGTTGCGCCCGATATTACCGTAAGGTGCGGCGGACCCTCGTACTAAAGCCAATCCCCTATGCAGCCGCACACGAGGCTGCCTACAGGCTCAATCCCTTGTCTTCACTACGCAATAAAGCCCTTTTTAAAATAGAGGTGAAGAAAATACTTCTAGAAAACTAAATGTGTATTAGTGATAAGAAGGCATCGTAATAACGCGTAACATCCCCTGCCCCAACACCAAAAGCACACCCCTCCCCAAAACAATTTAGCCCATAACCCCGCGCAGACCTGATTAGAGATGTACCGTTCCAAACACCTTGCTCGCTATAACGCTTACCAAGACAAAACACACATTAAACCATTAGACTGACCCCGAACCCTCGAACCATAGCACATATCAAAAGGAACGGAGCTACCTCACGACACCGTCCCCTGCCTATCCCTCTCCTTCCCCGCCGGCGCACCCCCAACAAGCTGCACCCTCCCCGCAAGCGCACTATCCAAGTTCCCCCTCGTCCTCAACGGACTCGTCGCATCCGCCGCGCTATCATCCACATCAAGCTCCTTCTCCTTGCGCCTCACGCTGATAATCGACGAGCGATCATCCCCATCGCCACCGCTCTTCTTGCGCTCGCCTTCACCATTGTGCACTTCGATAGTGACGTCCGTGTCCTGAGAGAAGACGCGCAGACCGAGGATGCAGACGGCGTTCCAGGGGTCGCGCTCGAACTCGTCTTCTTCGTCCTCGTAGACGTAGCGGCCGCGGTAGCGCGGTTGCTCGTAGAAGCGCGGCTGCATTTCTTCATCCGAGGGGTCGAAGTCGGAGTCGCATGAGTCGGGGCCGTCGAGCTCCGAGTCCCAGGAGGAGTAGTCGGACATCTCGGACGGGGAGTATACGCCGTGGCGGGCGCGATGGGAGGCTACGCTTGCGACCCGGCTACGGGGGACTGAGATACCGGGACGAATGCCAGGGATGGGTGAGAGAGTTGCTCGGCGCGATGCGGCGGGAGAAGGCTGGGTAGGTCGACGATCGGGGCGAGGGCTATAGGGTCGATGAGAAGGCGATCCAGGATGGAACTCGTCTGAAAGGGGAGTGGGGATGGGTGAGTCGGTTTGACCGCCCTCGTTGTAGCCGTCTCGCCCGTTGTAGCCATCTCGGCCATTATAGCCGTCGCGTCCATTGTATCCGTCGCGGCCGTTGTAGCCATCACGTCCCTGGTATGCGTCTGCGTTGTACCCGCCGCGACCTTCGAAGCCAGCAGCGTTCGCATTGTACCCACCTCTACCTTCGAAGCCAGCGTTTTGATTGTATCCGCCGCGGCCACCATAGCCACGACTGGGGCTTGATGAACGCTGAGTCGTGATAGTCTGCGTGGACTGCGCTAGAGCCTCAGCCATGCTTGATCCTTGACCAGCATCGCGGTTGTCTGAATAGGTCAGTACAAGTAGTCCTCGATGAGGATGTAGATCTGTTGTATTGAACTTACAGCCTCCGCGACCTTGCAAAGCTCCAGGCAGAGCTGCATTGTACCCGTCGCGACCACGGTTATAGCCACCTCGGCCGCCATATCCGCCGTTCGGGCTCGAAGATCGTTTACGAGCCATATCGACACCGCCAGTGCTGGCAGCTCGTGTGTGACGTGACACATTCGGATGCATTGGCTTGATCTCAGGTTCAGCGTCGGAAGGACGGCCTTCATCATCAACGTTAATACCTAGTCCTGTGAGGTCTTCGAGCTTTTTCTCGACTTCTCTGATGTCGCTAGCCTTTGGCCTCTTGTGCGACTGCTTCGCGGCCTTCTTCTGCTGCCGTAGTTTAGCCTTTCTCTGTAGCTTTTGGCGCTGCTCGTAGGATTGCTTCATCTGCGCCTTCTTGCGCTCAAGCTTCTGCTCGCGCTCACGTTCGAGCTTTTCTTTCTCTTGCTCTCGGAAATGTCCCTTGGCATGTGCAAGATCGTAAGACAGACCGATAGAGAGAAGCTTCTCACGTCGCTTGTTGCAATTCAAGCGGACAATCTCCTCGGGTGTTGGGTCATCAAGCCGCGTGGCCTTGACCTTCAACAGAACAGTGTAGTTGCCCGCTTCAAGATCCAACTCCATCGAGACGGAGCGCTTCATGAAGTAGGCAGTATTACTGCGGACGATATAGTCCTCTTCGTCGTCTTTGTGAAGACGGAACTGCAAGTTAAACTCGTACTGCCCCTGGAGGCCCTCGAAGTAACGATCGTCCAACTGGCTTAGCACGATAACGACAGGACTGGGCTTCGAGAGATGAATTTTGAACTTCGTGTCTAGGTAATCGACCGACCAAGGGACATTGACGCTCGTCCACTGCTGCGAGACAGTCCACTCTGGTCCGAACAATCGCGTTCGGTCGAAGTGCTGGTAATGTCGCAGAAGGTCTTGATAGGAGATCCAGAAAACACCGTCGTCACCGAATCTGTGGTTGAGCTTCTGCATCCAGTCAGGCGTCCACTCTTCGGAACCGTCGCTCCAACGTCCAGTCCACTCGGTCCGACCCCAAGGATTGCGAAGTTTGAGAAGCCGCTGCCCGTCAATCTCGCGGGCCTCCATGATGGAGTATGCATGCTTCTCTTGGATACCTTGCCTTTGACCATATATGCCGCCCATTTGGCCGCATCCGAAGAGGAATGTCTTGTTGACATTGAGCAACTCTTCGCGCCAGAACTTATCCTTGTCGAGGATGTCCGTGGCGAACACTTCTGATGTGACACCGCCGGTGAGATCTTCGATACCCTCACCTACAAAGCCTCCATCAATGGCGGAATAGTCCCCGTGCGCCTTGGCATACGCTTTCTCGAGCAGTGGCAACCACGTCTCATTGGGGTCGCTGCACTGTGCGAAGTACAAGGCCCGAGAGCCAGTCTGCATCGCCGTGCGATATTCGTCCTCGGGGCTCTTCCGGTTCTGTAGCTCCAACCATTGGTGTCGGCCAAGCGTGGCTTCATCGAAGTCCTCCTTGATCAGGTATAGCTTGTCGTCGATGACTTCCGAGATCCACTCTCCATCTGTGCGACGTTAGCGCATTGTTCTGGTCGCGAAGTCCTCGGGTCCCTACCTCTATGGAACACGAATCCGTATACGCCAACCTGCTCGTCGCGCGCAACGCAGACCCTCTGGATCAACTCCTCTTTGTTGCTTATGGTGGCCAGCGCCGACATGAACCAGCAGTCGCCATCATTTCCTTGTCTGACATCGTTCGCGGTCGCGCCCTCTATGAAGAATTGTGGTCGGTCGAAGATGTCCTAGAGTACGCAAAAGCAATTAGCGGGGCACTTGCGGCGTAGCTTCCGAGTAGGGTCGTACCTCGATTCTCTTGACAGACATGGGCTGAAAAGTGGTCGTATCCTCTGTGAGCGCTGTAAGGCAGTCTGGTGGTATTTCTGGGTTTTGCTGTGATCGCTTGAAGTCGGCTTCAATGTCGAAGTGCGGGTCGCGGTACTTCTGGTTCAACCTTCTACTTTCTTTTGCTATCTTGCTGACCTTCTTTATGCAGGCATCGGCTGCTTCCTGATACGAAGCCAGCGCATTCTGTCCAGGTATAGAACCTCGAGGCGCATTCGCCGCGGCGCGCTTCGCATAGAGGTTGTCCGGCAAGACAGTAAACACTTTGCCCGGATGTTTGGTGGTGAACTTGTCCCAGAATTGATTGATGCTCTTCTGCGGCGGCTGTTTCTTTACCCGGAGCCGCGGCCGGGGTGCAACTGGAGCTTCGTTGACCATGCTGGGAGCTTTGGATTGCGGTCTGGTGATGTTTACCATGTCGATATGCGAGATTTGGGAGTCCATGTTTCAGTCGTCCGCCCGGCTAAACGTGCCCAGGGGTAGAGAAGATGGTAGAGATCGGATGGCGTCCATTGGGGGCTCAAAGTACGTTAATAAAGGATTGAACGTTGCGTTGAAGCATTCAGCCGCAGCAGTGACGGCACGAGCTTGGTGTATTTTCAGCAACAGCCCGCTGTGAGAATTAAGTGGGGCGGTCAGACCCCGGGGTCCTCCTCGGCTCTGCCGCCAAATCCCCGCCCAGATTGGCTCGCAGCAAATCAGCATCCAACGGCGGGCGCAGTCCCATCGAACTGCCATGCAGCGCTAGTCCACGCATTCCAAAAAGGCGGACAGGCAGACAAGGCACCGAACCATGCCAGCTGTGACATGCTGCATGTCCATCAATAGGAATGAGTCGTGACAGTAGCGTCCACCGGCATCGTGTAGCCGAGCCACGGGTGGAGGCCCCCGTTTGGTGGGTTCCATATCGGCGTGGCTTTGGGGCGGAAAGCTAGCCGCATCTGGTTGGCACAACTGCCAGCCTGACCGACTCCTGTCGTTTCCGTATGGTTACAGCAAGTCATTCGTTGGAGGATCTGGAGGTGAAGACTCTTCTTGGATGCAATTTGACCAAGGAGTGCAGAGAAACACAAATCAGAAGCAGTTATCTGGCCCAGATGCTTGGATGCAACAAGCCTCTCATGATTCTGGTGCTGCTCCACCGCTCATCGGGGAAGGCTGAGTATGCGACATTTAGTCCTCCTTGTGACAGTGTAACGTGTTCTTGCGGTAAATGGAATGCATCTTGTGCCTCGCTGGAACTTGTGCATAGCCTTATTGTTTGCCCCCACGTTCAAGAGGCATACTGTTGATTGAGCAATTGATAGGAGCACGGACTGTCAGTGCAGCGTCATCGCATGCAGTCAGGTGTAGATAGAAGCGTTCTCGAACGTTGAGGCGGTCTAGGGATGTCTCCTTTCGCAATGTGGCTTTCTCGGGTTTTCTCCAGAACGCGCAACTCTGTGCTGTCGTTGGTAGTTGGTCGAACTCGGTAGAGTCATCAAGACCGAGTACAGTCGCGGATATACAAATGACCCACAAGAGGAAAATGTCTCACTCATCCCCTATAGCCGGGTCTTCGGTATGCGGTCTGAGTCGAAGTTGTCCCTGCATAAGTCGACATCATCCGGCTAGGGTGTACACATTCGAGCTGACCACCACGCCAGCCAGGATCTCCGATTCGACCGATGCCCTTACTCAAGAATACATTGCGATCAAAGCGATGCAAGGGTCCGTCAACGTCGCAAGCTGACTTGTTCCGCGTGGGATTACAAGGTTCTAAGCCTTAGTACTCAGCCTTATGGGACTCCGGAAGACGGCTTGTGGGCTCCACAGCTCACCGTCGTTTATTCACGATGGGCCAACCACAACGCTTATCTGCTTGCATGCCTCAAAAAGGCGTGTAGGGCGTGGATGATTAGAATTTGAGAGGTGGTTGTGCCTTTCGGGAAGAGGGCGTGCATGCAGACCGCTCGTGGAACCAAATGTGATGTTCATGCAGGAAGCAGGACGCAGGACGAAACGTACGTGCAGCTTCGTGCAGGCAAAGTAGAAAACACGGCGAGGCTGAAGGCAGTGTAGGGCGGAGGAGCGGTGAGTGGACACGGCGATATTGCGACGTTGCATCCACTCACATTCCGGCCACTACGCGAGCCCGGTGTTACGTCATACCTGTCCGAGTGTCAGCCTCGCGCTTGCCTTCCATCCCAACATCAATAACACCTACTTCATCACCTTCGACGCATGCAGCAACCTTTGCATTGTAGTATGTCGTTGGACAATAATCCAAATTGCATTGTCACTATACGTTTCGAACAAGTATGAACACGTCCTCCCAAGACAAATGCCGATAAGAACAAACACGTGAAAGTCGCCTGTCCACGGGTGGCCTTCGAGAATTTCATAAACGGAAGCTTGCGTTTGGCCGACGCATCTTTCATGGAGAGAGTTATCAAACAAATCCAATGCTGCTTCATGAGCAAGGCTCAGGCCGAAAACTCCTGGATTCCTTTGTCACTCAATTGTAAGCCTGTATCTCCATTCCTGCGATGGCCCTGCTTCGCAGTACTACAGAGGAGCTCGGGTTTAGTAAGTCACCACCCTCGCTAGTCCTAAGGTAGCCAAGGGTGACTCACGCTCCTTCATAGGTAGACCATCAGCCGGACCAGCGTAGTAACACAAAGAGATGAGGCAGCTTACCTCAACACGTACACACTACGTTGCCTCTCCATCCTCGTCCTCTCCCAAGTCTACGTGTTCGACGACGCGTATGCGCTTGACCTCGCTCCGATCTTGGTCTACAAACTCGTCCGGGCCTGGGCGCTTTGCGAGAGCGTTCTGTTCCTCGGGCATTGCCCCGAGTGTCTCTCCTTGTGTTTTTGGATGTTCATGTTGGTCGATGCGTGTTCGCTTCGATGTTGCCTCCGCGTCTGCTTCTCGGTCTATCTCCTCAATTGTGCGCTTCTTGAGGTTGCTCTGGTTTCCAGTCACTGCTGTGTTTGTCGCTGCCTTCTCTTGCTCTGTATGCTCAACCGTCCGCCTGCGTTGGGCAAAACCATCCCTGTCCTGGCATCCCACCATGATCGCCTTTCCATTCGACCCTTTGAGCGCCCCAGCCTGCCACAGAGTCCGCGTGATAATGCGGACATGCTTCAGCTCTATGATCTTTATCTTTGACGATATCATGACACCGCGCACAGAATCGTGATCGACAGGAATGATCTTTCCCTCGTACTTGCCCTTCTCCTTATTCCACCGGTCCACCATTGCTTTCACGCACGCAACCGCAGAGACCATGCTTCCGAAAGTAGCCTCAACCTCCACCTTGGTCACGTACTGTCCTCTTATCTCATGCGGGCGGGTCCCAACCTTCGGGATATCGACGACCACCGTGTAAAGCAGCTTCTCGAAGCTCCAGGCGCTACTTCGGTAGCAGTACTTGATGTAGTTTTGTTTCTCGTACTGAATGAGGAAAGTGATGGAGCCCTCGAGGCCATGGAAGGGAATATGGACTTCCTCGACACCAGCTAGGCCGCTGACCGGTGCATGGAGCAGCTCAGAGAGGAAAGCGCCGCTCGGTATCACAGTACTGAAATCATCCTGCACCTTCTCTTGGATCTTCTGTTCGAGGCCAGCGAGCTCAACGAACGGCGCTATATACCTCGCGCGCTTCGGTTTCTCTCCAAAATGTACCACGAGAATCAAGTGGTATACCACATCTTCTTGCCTAGCGATCTCGGTGGAAGTTTTGTCGCGACACTTGATCATGTCGGGGGCGTTGAACATGTCCTCAGGCTGCGCCAGGTACTCGATCGTCTTGCAGTCGGGCCCATGAACGTCCGCATCCACCTCTCGACAAGCCTTGTTGCAGTAGTAGCGACCTTTGCACTTGCAGAGTATTAGCCCATCGAAGCAGTTGGGGCCGCCGGGAACACGTGCGCATTTGGCGCACTTGAGGCGATCTGTCTCGGCCATGGAGGTTGTGGTATAGAAATCAAGGCGTTAATGTTAAGCCAACAGTGTGATTCAAAAGCAGGGAGAGATTATGACAGATGGAATTGGGCGCGTGTTGTGCTTGAGGCTGAACGGAAGGCGCGACTGTGGCGTCACTTCCCAAAAGGGTGCCAAGACTCACGATAGTTCACGCTCACTCTCGAGCAGTCACTCGCACAGGCCCTCAGGTCGTTCAGAGTTTGATAATTCACTTCATCTTATGGCAGCTGCTTTGGACGGTTTTAGTATTGACTTGGAGGGGCGCGTCTGGCACGCTTTCGTTTCTCGCTGCGGTAAAACCGGATGCCAACTGGTATGTCAAAAGAATCCGGAGTATACAATTTTTTCCGCTGAGTGCTACAGTTGCGTACCATGAAAACTACTGTCAATCAGATCCCGGTGTTCATCTGCTTTCGAGTATGCTCATCTCTCCATCAACACCTCTGTGCAAATATGAAGAACCGCGCTTGCCATACAATCTCACTTTACCAGCATGCGCTTTCGTGACCAAACATCATGCCAAACACTCAGAATCAAAGACCAACCGCCGCCCAGATCTTCGAATCCGCCTTGCAGAATCCAGCAACCTCCTTGCCCACAGCCTTCCACATGTCTTTCAGCTCACCAGCATCCTTGCCCATAACGACATCAACCACGTACTTTCCGGCCTCCACCACTCCACCATTAACATAACACAAGAAGCGCGGGCTGAGGTGCACGGTCTGTGTGCCGAAGCGCGTCGCCCAAGGAAGGACCGGTCGAAGGGCTGGCGCGGAGAAGACGAGGACCTCGCGGCCATACGAGGCGAGCCAGGTCGTCAGGTCGGTCGAATTTGCGATTAAGTACCGGAACTGGAGTCGGAGATATAGGAACGCGAAGCGCGCAGCGATGTGCACGTAGAACAGCGCTTCGTGGATGGCTTTGAAAGTCGGCTCGTGGACGAAGATCGCGATGAGGACGAGGCAGCCGATGATGTTGACAATCAGGAAGTGGACCATGCGCAAGACGGCGGAGAGCATGGTTGCGCTTTTGTTTTTCGCTGCTAATCGGGCTCAGCGTCTGGGTGGGTTGGTAGACGAGTGCGAGTGTGAGGGGGATGATAAAAACGAGACTTGGCCACTCGCGGGTTCATATGGGCGTACACTGGGCGAAGTTTGCATGGGCCGCGCTGCTGGAAGCATCAGGCAGACGCATGTGTGAAAGTGGAGGCAAATTTTGTCTTGCGCGACCACAGACCAGATCGACCTCGTGTTTCACTGATCTTCTTCGACGGCTCCATGCGCCTGTGCCACGCTAATAACACGCATCACGACTACTTGAAGACGCAACGCTCCATTTTATGATCACCCACGCTTGGGACAACCTTTCTCAACCAACATCTGATCCCAAACTATCCGAGAACACTCCACTCCTGTCACCATGGTATCCCACAAGAAGCGAGCTACTGGTATGAACGACCACAGTAAGTCCCATGACATCTCAGCTCTTTTACCAACGACCTACTAATTGCTCACAGTCGGCGAACCATTCGTAAATCTTCGCGAACCCGCCGCCCGCAAGGAGTCGTCCAAGAAGGTCAACCCCGATGCAAAGTCCTTCTTTGCTGATGAACTCGAACCCTCACATATGAGATACGTTATGCGTAACTACGGTAAGTTCTAAGCTCATGGTACTGTCTATTCACATTGAACTAACACTGCGAAGCAGTTGATCCACTTCAGTACCGTCCCCTTGCCGGCGGCGCTGCTGAGCGGTCCCGCGACACAAGCCCATATCAGTTCTTCATGGGCAGGGATGACGACAAGGGAAAGCTTATATTTGCACATACCATCAAGCATGATCTCTGCACCTTCAAGGGTATGCTTCTCATGCTCTTGGTCGCTGTTCTCGGCTACTTGGCCCTGCGCAACAGTTGTGACGCACGTGTGTCGGCTTGAGATGGGGGTTTTTGGGGGTTGACGACGGCTGAGAAAGCCACGCGGATTGATGATTTCTGGATGAAGCAAGATCGGTATTGGTGTAAAGTGTCTGGTATGGTCGAGATGTTGTTCAGGGTGGAACTCTAGCTATACATTCTAATGTTGCACCCCTAGATATGGGAAGATTTATACCTAGGGATCGATAACAAGAATTAGTCACAGCGATTTGATGTAGCCCATTAGAATACAGCTCTTTTTACAATCTGTTGAGGGCAATTCCAGGGCCAAATTGGCCCCGCTTCACGCGCAGTGCATGTGACATCCACATTCATCTCGCTTAGGTAACCAACTACCACTGACTTCACAAACCCGTACGTCTTGGCAGCAAACGCCCGCCCACGCGTTCTACTTAAACAAAATTAGCTGCACCTTCCACGCGTCTTGTAACCCAGCTAACACGCACGCCGCCACCATGGCCCGCCTCAGCGCCGAAAACAGCATCGAACACCTCGCCGCCCTCAAAACCCCCGATCAGAAAGGTTCCCGCAAGTCCAACCGCTTCAAGGACTTCTTCAAGGGCAGCAACTCTCGTGCTAGCCTCAGCTCCGGCCACAACATGTCACCACCAGGCGCTTCTCCGACCGGAGGCGTGGAGAACTTCAAGCCTGGCTTTGAGAAGGTGGGACTGCATCCTTCGGAACGTTCGCCGGGTTCCGAGGAGCTGGGATTTCTCCCTCCTGAGCGATCTCGTACACTGGATCTGGATGAGTGGGAGAAGTTGAAGGAAGAGAATAAGGAGATGGGTCACATGGCCAAGATGCGGTTGTACAAGGAGCGAGAGGAGATGAGAAAGCGCGAGGGTGTTGAGGGGGAGAACGACGTCGAGGGTCCACAGCGTGAGCGTTCGAGGGATGAGAGCGTAAAAGCGATGGAAGTGCCCGGTATCGAGGGCGATTTGGAAGAAGGTTTGCCGACAGCTGACATTGCCCCCGCTGCCGTGAGCAAGGAAGCTGCATCTCCCACCAATATTGCTCAAGAGCAGGAGCGGGACTATGCCATCAGTGCGGCCATCGAAGCACTAGAGGAGACTATTCACGATGTATGCGAGGGGTCCACGTCTGGTTCCACCACCAGCCTCTTTGCCGACGTAGGCTCTGCTCTACTTAGACAACGTTCTCTTCGTCACAGCCCACCATGTGAGTAGACTTTGCTAATCGTGACACGCATCGAGACTAGACTGATCAGTACAACAGTGGACGATCTTCGCGCCAGTGCTCAGAACCAAGTACTTCCAGATGAATCAATCTTGAACATTGGCGACCCGCTCGAATACGCATCAATCCGCGCCAACGCATCTGAGTCGAACGAGCAACAGATCTCGGATGCCATAGCCCGGCACGAGTTCCGCTTTCACCGCTTCCGAGTTGCAGATGTCGACTCCATTGACCCACGCACCAGCACCGCTCGCCGCACCCGTAGTTCGAAGATCGCCGCAGAGCTCGAAGGCATATCCAACACAGTGTTGCCTGCCATAAGAATCTTCAAGATTGGCCCATGTCAATTGGAGGACACTTCCGCCACTCGGACTCTTAGAGAGTCTTTCTTGCCTCTGACATATTGCTCCCTCTTCTTCTTCAAGGCAATGCAGGGCCCGTCCGAGTTCTTCGTCGCATTGTGGAAAATGTGTGCCTTGGCACTCGCATACAATGGCCTCGGGAAACTTCTGGGTTGGCACGAAGATGGGTCGAGCGATGTGTTACTTGCACCAGCCGAAGATCTCGCTCAGGAGGTGAAGCGACGCTGCCTGGAGATGATGACGACGTTGTTGCAAGCTTTTGCACAGGCTATTGCGGTTGCAATGCGAGAGTTGGATGTGGAAGATGACGATTGAATCCTTGTATTCGTGGTTGAGGTTCTTTTGGTTGGAACTAGTTGGTGATTGACTGAGGGATCACGGAAAGGTATTCTCTTACCTGTTGAATGTGTATGCGCACTTGTGACCTGCAATGGTCTCACAACCCCTGTTGAGTAGTCTTGATAGACCAAATTGACCTTGATCTGCGAAGGAAATCAAAGGCTGTTGATTTAGACAAACCAAACAGGATTGAATGATTGATTGGACGATCAACAGTTCTGAACATGCAAACACTTCTGAAGGTCCGAATTTAAGCTCGAGAACTTAAGCGTCTCTTGCGAACCATGTAGATGACCTCAAACGGTCTCCGCTTTGCGTATACGATTATTGTGAGATCTACGAATTCTAATCGGTGATATGTACATATATACAAAACATCTCATCTACCACGGTGCATAATGCACTACTCTCCGCTCATCAGAACACGATAACGCGTACGTTTCTCTTCTAAGCAGCCTGCTGGTAGAGTTTCACAGAGTTGAACTCAAAGAAAGTGTCCTTGAAATCATCAGGGTTGTTGGCAACCCAGGTGTTGCAGTCGGTACCAGTCTCAGCGGCACACTGTGCATCCCAGTCGCTAGCGCCACCAGCCCAGCTACCACAGAAAGTGATGTTGATGATCTAATTACTCTATTAGTCGCTTCTTTTGTGCAGGTGGTCGAGCACTCACGATCTTGAACTGGCTGAACGCCTTCTGGAAATCGCAGCTCTTAGGCGAAAGAGAAACAGTAGGTGTCTTCCAGGTGGAAGGATCCGGAGTGCCAGCACTCAGATCAGCTGGGATCTCGTTCTTACCGAAATGCCAGATCTTCATGGTGTCAGTCTCGACCTGCAGAGCAATGATCTGGTAATTGTCGTTGAAGGCCTGGTTGAAGGTTCCCTCTTCGGCACTGAAGCTGCAACCTTGTTTGCCTGATGCCTGAGGATCGTAGTGGCAGTTGTCTGTTTTGAGCGGGCTGCCGACATCGAAGTTCACGCTGCATTCTTCGGAGGTGTAGAATGAGTGGGTGTTGGCGGTCGACTTGTCGACGTTCTCGAGGATGTCGATCTCGGAGTAGCCTTGGGCTTGTTCACCGCGGTAGACCCAGCTGTAGGTTGTTAGCGATATGAGTGGGCATGCAAGAAGGAGCGACCGTACAAGGCCGGCCATTGCCCACAGCCTGCTACCGGAACATGGGCAAAGTCCGCTACAAGGAGACCTTGGTCAAAGGTTTCGTGGCTATGCCTAAAGGTACAAAGTCAGTGTACTCCCCAAACATCAGGACGTGAGTGAAGTAGATGTTCTGGCCAGCTGCTGATGTCTGAAAATTTCAGACTCCGAGGTGTAAGGCCTGGAGGCTAAGACAATCGTCCAGCACGAACACCCACTTTGTTACCAAACATAACTTACAGGCGCACACTCTTTCGCCCAGTGCTTCCTAAATCGTATGTGTTGTTCATGTCGACGCCAATGTGCGCCTTATTGTCTAAAATGCCGGCAAGGCCCATCGAGGTAGCCTCATCCTGGCTGACGTATTGAGCGAACCCTTGTGTGAAGCTGGTGTCAGGCTCCTGCAATTTGTCGTCAGTACAGCTGTTCTTCCAATTTTGTACTCTTCGTGGGTAGTAGATACTTACGTTGATGAAATCAAAGTTGTCAAAGAAGCTGGGGCCGCTGTAGTCCCATTTGACCTCGTAGCCAGCAAGGGCAGAAGAAGCAAGCGCTAAAGAAGTGAAAAGAGTGGAAGTATGCATGATGGAGGATAAGACGATAAATGAATGTGATAATAATACTCAAAGAATGGAATGGACTGTATGGCTCGACTGATAGGGAGATACATCACGGCAGCAGCCATATTTGTACGGATGGCTGTTCATTAGGCTCCACGGTAGGATGCGGATGTCCATGCAAGATCTGCCGGCGGAGTCGAAGGAAGGCGTTGTTCCTCTCCCGCGTCCTCGCCATAGTACCCCCGGCGTAAATGCCTGCCGAGAAACGGCCTCTTCATTGGGCATGTCCTGTCTAGTTTCCAATGAGGTCCGTTTCAAGGAGAAGGACTCGTGCGCATTGCCCTGGCAAGTAGCCTGACACTGCATTCCCGCATAGGAAGATACACCAAGTTCGCACGAGAGGCTCCGCGTAGACTGCGCGGGCAAAAGATCGAAGTCCGAAGCACGGGAATGGGAGATCGCTTCTGGACAATAATGAATATTTCCCTCAGTGCTCCCGCAGTCATGTGTGCAACCCTAAAGATGAAGGATCACTTGCACCTCTGTTGATTGTCTTCATGCGGGTGAAGTCATACTGCCATCTAGTTAACAATCCTTTCTGCAAAGCAGTGTTCAGAGTACCAGCTATTGCGGCCCCTGTCATCGCGTTCGCTAAGATCCGTCGGGCGTAAGTTAGGGCTTTGAGGCGCTGCACCCGACATCCCCACTGGAGAAAACCGTTACTGTGACACATAATACTGCAGCCGTATGCACAGTGTTTACCGCAGAGCAAAAGAAGGCACTCATGGCCTTCAAGATAGAAAAGGATGCACCACAGATAAAGATTCGTTGCGAGCATCTTCGGCTCCCATGCCCTGCACGGCCTATCGAACCATCTCGAGATATTTCACCTTCTATCATCAGCGTCAAAGTGACCGTTCGGTGGGAACCTTGCAATAAATCGTACTTTGCTTAATTAATCATCGTATTTCAACGTTATGAGAAGTATTGAGTTGGTTGAACCCCCGGACAAGCTTTTGTGGCGGAGTCGGCTGTCAAACAACCCCTTGCAAATCCGGCAGATCCTCCAGCTCACGCATGGTGGCATGCACAGCGCTCAGCCCTACACGTGATCGGTAAGCTTATGCAACCTTCCTCTTCTGAGCCGCGCTGCGTGTACGAGGACTCCGTCTCATTTCGTCGAGCCGTCCGCTCTCGTGTTGATGATCCCACTCATCGGAAGAAAAAGCAGAGAAGAGAATTCCCCGACTCGCGCGACAAGTATAGACTGCCGAATAAGTCGATCGAACAAACCGATATAAAGCGAATTAGTCTAGCACATTCGTAAATAATCGTAGTGACTAGATGCTGAAAGGCCCTTTTTAGATTGAATGCCCTTGGCTTCAGCGACCTACAGATAGAAGGACGAAATGTCATCGCAGGCAGCTCTGCGCCTTGGTCTCTCAAGAGCAGAGGAACAATAAATCATCTTTTGAGCCATCCCAGGGATTACTTGACGTTTGCGATGGCATTGTCGCGACCCAAGGCACAGGGTAACCCCTCACATTAGAATGGCTAAAAACATTCCCCAAACCCCTCAACAGGCCGCTCCAAATCCCCCATCAACCACTCCGCCACCCTCTCAATCTTCCTCCCGAACTCCTCCATCTCCTCAATGGTAAAAACACTCCCCTTAATCTGCAGCACGACAGAATCGTTCCCCCTCCCATCCCTCACCAAGCTAGCCCCATTGTAAAATCGATGCACATCCCTCCGATTGACCGCCTCCACAAAGTCCAGGTTCTCGTACGCGTTTGTGCCTTTGATGTTCGTGCCTAGCCAATTGTACACGCACTCGGTGCTGTAATGGGGGAAAAGTCCTGCGGTTTCGGCGTCGAAGCCGCGCATGATTTCTTTGAGGGGCGCGGCGGCGTGCTTGCTTTGTAGGAGCTGCTCTTCTTGGAGGCGGGAGAGGAAGGCGAGTTTTGACTCGCCCGGATGGAGGGAGATGAGGTCGAGGATGGGGTTGATGAGCTGGCCGCCGACGTCGCTGGCGTGGACATTCGCAGGGAGGGTAGAGTACTTTGTGATGAAGGGGAATTTGTCGCGGCTTGAGTCCCAGTGGGAGAAGATGGCGTGGGAGTGGTTGGTTGTGTGGAGGAGTAAGAGACTAGTGGCTGCTTTGAGGACTAGCGACGGCTTGAGATGGGGATGCTTTCGCATTAGAGCATTCAGGCTGCTGGCGGAGAAAGTGTGGATACAGCCGTCTGGCTTTCCGTCCTCAAGTAGCATGGGTTTATCGAGCGGTGGGAAGAAATGCGCTCGGTGCTTTGGCAGGTCTTTGAGCCTCTGCACATGATATTTGGTAGCTGCGCGCGCGGCGGGTGAAGTGCGCATGTTGTAGAAGTGGTCGCAATAGAGTTTATAAGGGACGTGAGGCTTCAGAGCGTTTCCACTCAGTGCAATATCAATGTCTTCCCAAAACAATGAGCCGAATGTCGCGTCGGTTACAGTGTGCTCGACTAATAAAAGTCAGTGTCGTCCGCGAAGACCATAAGACAAAAATGCTAGGCTTACTGTTATGAATCAAGGCCGCGCACTGCGTCTCTTCGACATGCACGACCCAAGCTCGGAATAGTGGTCCGGGGTATTCTGTGCCCTGTACCTGCATCATATCGTGCGTAAGCTGCTTCAATTCAGCGACGGTCTTCAGACTTCCCTTGTCTTCGATGAGCTTTTCTATGAAGTCCGGCTTCAGGTCAACAGTGACCTGCAGCGCAAGATCGTCACCGAGCGCAGCGTCGTCCCAGAGGATGAAAGAAGACTGCATCGGATTGTTGGCTACAGCCTTTACGACTGCGGCCCGTAATGCCTACATGTGACCATTAGCAGAACGATCTGACATGCACGGGCATATTCGCACCTTCACGGATTTATTCCTTGCCAGCATAGCGCCCTTGAGGGTAAATTGGGAAAAGATACCCTTCTTTGCTGCCACCTCTGTGAAGTCAAGCGCGGGCATCACGTCGCGGACGTCCTCCCACTGCAGTCCATGAGGCTCCAACGCTTCTGTGATCACTCGTCTGGTGGCTTCGAAGATCTCCTCGTCATCCACTGCATGTACCATGTGATCAATTGTGGGCGGGTTGTTCATAGGTTTGAAACCTTCAGTGGGGTCTGCAGCTATCGAGGAAATTCGGTCTTCTAGAATGCGAAGTAAACCGCCTAGGGTCTTGGAATCGAGCATCTCGCGGACTGTGAGATCAACCCCGGTCATTTTGAAGAGTCGATCCTTCGCGCGCATCATCGTGATGCTATCGCCCATATCTTCAAGCGATGTATCGAGTGTTATGTCTGATAGAGACGCGCCTACGATACGTGCCCATACAGATAGGAGTTCATCAGTCAATCTCGAATCTGTACAGCCATTCGTGAAGCCATTCTGTTGCTCATTTTGCTTGCGGTACTTCTGAACCAATTCTTTGAGTCTCATTCTCTGGACCTTCCCTGCGAGCGTTCGAGGGAAATCTTGCAGGCCAAGGTCACCCAAGTAGATGACATCGTCAATGGCATATATGCGACCCATAGTCGCAACCACCGTGTCCTTGATTTCTTTGATCGTTTCAGTATCTGGCTTTTGTGCAACGACGGCAACCGGTACTTCCCCGGCGATAACATCTGCAGCGCCCACTATCTGTGTGGTCAGGTCCCTGAGATGTGGCAGTTGTTGGCCAATTACTGTTTCGACCGCCACAGGTGAGATATTTTCGCCGCCTCGGATGATCATCTCTTTGTACCTCCCAACGATGAAGACACGTCCGTGTTCATCGATACGCGCCATATCGCCGGATGCACACCATCTGAACCCATCTTCATCGTAGTACTCTTCGCTGTCTTTTCCGATGTAACCGGCGCATACGGTTGGTCCCATACTATGCAGTTCCCCAACTTCGCCACGAGGAACGGGCTCGTGTGATCCTGGAGCACAAATCTTAACTCGCGTTTCGGGTAGGACTGTGCCACAAGACGTTTCTCCGTTGGCGTTGGTCAATTCTTCTACAGAACAGCGTCCAGAAAACACGATAGGCCCTTCTGTCATTCCATAGGCGACCTCACAACCATCGGCACCTAGTTCGGTTTCACAAAGTCTCAGAACTTCAGGTGTGACTGCCGCACCGCCAAGCAATACGGTCTTTAGGTGGTCGAGCTTGAGCTTCTGAGTCGCTTTTGCGAGCACCATCGCATATACCATTGTGGGAACAGCAATGGTATGTGTACACCGCTCCGCCTGCGCGATCTTCAGGAATGTAGTCGGCTCGAAGTATGCTGTGGGATAGACCTGGCAAGAACCCGTACCGAGAGCCATGACTACGAGGAAGCAGCCCATAGCGTGGTTGTTGGGTGCAAATGCAGCAAAAGCATCTCCATTCTTTGCTCCAAACTTGTCTCCTAATTGTTCTCGTGAATGGATGAAGAAGGCCAGGGAAGGATAGTGCCAATGGCATCCTTTCGGTAAGCTTGTTGTGCCGCTCGTGAAGAGGATGACGCTATCCGTGTCTGTCGGCATGAAGTTTCGATAATCGGGGAGAGGTTGTTCGACTTTGAAATTCTGTAATACCGTTACAAAAGCAGTCCATTGTTGCCAATTCTCGGTGCTAGTGATGACCCGTTGCGCGTTGGCGAGTTGCTTGAACTCTTCTAACTTAGCGGCTGTCTCTGGCGAATCTGCGAATATAACAGCTTCTTTAGAGGGGCACTCGAGGAAGGCAGTCTTGATCATGTGTGTGACTTCTTGTGTGTTGGTCAAATTTCGAACGTTGATGGGTACTAGTGAGCTTCCCAGTCGCATCGAGGCGAAGAGAATAACGAGGAACTCAGCTCCATTTGGAAGGAAGGTGAACACAGGCGTGCCTTGCCCAACGCCAGTAGCAGCAAGTGCGCGGGCCAGCCGCTCGACCAGAGCGTAGAATTCTCGATATGTCCATCGAAGATACGGCGACTTGGTGTATTCTGTGCTGTCCAAAGGTTGGCTCTTTATGTCGAAGAGGTCTTGCGGCTGATGTGCGCAAACGACGGCCGTCTCGTTAGCATACTTCGAAGCACACTCTTCTAGACGTTGAATGCAGCTCTTCCAAGGTCCAGGCAGCTCTCTCCCCATCACGTAGCTGAGTGAACTATCTGTGACTGCCATATCGTCGATGAGCGTCGGTAGGAGGGCAGGTAATCGGAAGAACAGGACCGCGTGTCCTTGTAGTCGGTGTCTCACGTTATATGATCATACAACTCGGCCTCCCAAGGGCGAGCTGTCACTACCACCGCCCCGCTATCGTCATTTTTACTTGGGCCACGCACCCACTATGGGGCAAGCACTAGAGGACTTGACCGAAAAGCGAGCGGGAATAAGCGCTTAGGTGGATCGCGCTGCATGGCGCGAAATGATACGGTACTCTTCTTCGGCATGATCGGCCTCCCAGCTTAAAAGCTTCCGTACCTCTAGAAGTGGTGGGAAATCATTGATTGGACTAATCAACCTGTTATCGAAGTTAATATATTGCGTTCCCTGCATATGCCGCAGTGCGCGACTAGACCCTAGACAGGAAGCTTGACGTGCTTGTCTGAGGACGCTATATTCTGAGTAAGCAAGAAGTATGACCAGTAGCGTGTTTTCTCAAACCGCTCAAGTTGTACATGATGTGGGTTCGCTCGTTCAGACGCGTTGTAGGCATGATTGTGGCGATGTGCTAGGTTATTAGCGCCCCGACAGAACGGAAATATGCGCTACTTACGTGAGACCAGGGTCTCCAATGCATCGGGTCCAAAAAGCTTGTTATGATGTAGTACGACGTGAGAGAAGACCTGGTTCAAATGGAAACACATCGAAGTGGCATGTCAGTTTTGATCATGAAGATTGTCACCGTCGCAAAACTAGATGCATAACCCAGGAAGCTGCTTGTACGGCGAAAATCGACCACAAAAGTCCGGATATTCAAGACTAGATAGGCCTTGAAAGTTGTTAGCGAGATATCTCATCTGTTCAACAAGAGTCGCGAATCGTTCAACTCGGTGACTAGTATAACTGTGCACGGTGGGTGCTGCTGTGAAGTCGGAGTGATATGACAACAAAATGGTAACAAATCCCGTTGCGTACATGAAAAAGAGCCTATCTCGGTGATCTATGAGCCGTGCGAGGTGATGTAGCATTCTTTACAAAAGCTATAAATAAAAGGAACATCTCTCCATGTTGGTGGTGTTGGGAAAATTCGTAAGAAGACGCTAGCAGGCGACAATGCGGCATGACGTCATCGGTCGGCATCGCGAAATCTTCGCCGAAAGCTTCACTCTGCTTCGGCCGCGTGGACATCAATACGCAGCATGCCTACATCTATGTCCCCTCCCGCATCGACGCCGGATCGCGCGAGAATCCAGAAGAAGGGCACAAGATCCATAGCGTAAGTCACTCCTTGCGCTTGATTTAGGGGTAGACCTGCAGCCAGTCTCACCTGAGGAACCATGACACAGCACAATGGTCAGGATGAAATGCTAATACATCATGTGAAAACAGTTGTGAGAGATGTCATTCACGAAGGCAGAAATGCTCGGGAGGGACGCCGTGCACAAGATGCGGTGAAACCAGCCCCCCTGCCGAATGCGTCTACCCATCGCGAGATCGTAAAGTTAAATTGAGTCAACAGTAAGTTTATTTCATTCACAGCAGGTGCACGAGATTCGCGCGATGTCAATGGTTTCATACCTTGTATACAGTACATACCCTTTAGAAGGCAGGCTGCACGAACTGTTAAATGGCTAGACCACACAACACTCCTTCTAATTAAGGTCCAAGAATCAATTCGGGATTCACCGCACTGGAAAGGGCTGCTTGGTCAATTCTTAGGGTGCTTGCATCGAAGTCTGCAGAACATCTCCAAGCCCAGCTGACTCCGCGCCTGTAGATACGTTGAAGACCTCTTGAGAGAGAACGAGCTGCTTCGGAGTAGCACCAGGGCGAGTACTGCGTCAACACCGGAGCCTCGGCGTCCTACTTCACCACCAATTGTGGTTGAGCAAAATGCAGATAACCAAGAGACAACACAAAATCCTTTGATAGAAGAGCGACCATGGTCCGTATCTACCTGCTACGGAGTGAATATAGTTCGACTGACATGACGTCTCAACGAAAAGGTTTCACCCTGTATCAGCGCAAGAATCGCCTATCCACGTGGGAGAAGCTTCCGACGCCGCCTTCTCCACCAGATTCCGCCAGACAGTAGGCACAGTTTGCACTAACCATCTGCCGAGGACAAGCTTCATCAAAGATGAGCCACTGACGCTCCTCGCGGAGACTGACCGCCAATGGCCGACACCAGCGCGTGCTCGATTCTTGGTTAAGGTTGCTCTGAACACAATCTGCCGCTATTACCATATCGTGCGCAAGACTGTGGTCCTCGAAAGCCTAGAGGAGGCCATCAAACTCGAAGGGAAATGCGAAAGGCTAAAGATTGCCAAGCTCCTGGCTCTTTTCGCTTTGGGGGAGGCCTATTCAGCCCGGAGCGCAGATCAAGGGTCGACATTTCCTGGTCTGATCTATTTTGTACAGGCCAGGAGGATGGTCAGCATTCCGGCTGAACGCCCTCAAGTCGATTCGGTCGAGATCGCACTTCTCCTTGTGAGTTTTTTTGCGGGCGTGTGGCGAGAAAATGCCCACTATGCTGTCCATACATTGGGATGCGATGTCCTTAGATCTACAGCCCCTTGAGCGTGTTAATAGTTTAACAGGCTAACTTGCTCCTCCAGACTCTATATTCGTTCATCCTCAACCGGCGCCATTCAGCTTACGTACTCGCTAGCTCTGCTGTACGGAACTGCCTAGTCATGGGTATGCAATTGAATGTCCCGGAGCAGCAGTACCACAATCGTCGAGCGCGGGAGCACCGCATAAGATTGTGGTGGTCGGCATACGTGCTAGACCGATCGTGCGCATCTAAGCTGGGCCTACCGGTGTCCATCGCTGATGACGACATCTTCGTCGATGCTCCCAGTAGTGACGGTATCGACGGTACGGACGAGGACTTTGACGACGTCGACTACTCACTTCGTAGTATCGAGATATCTCGGATTGCGGCAAAATGCACAAGAGAAATCTATGGTAGAAAGAAGTTCCATAGCCCGTTCTCGCAGCGAGTACAGTCGGTTCTCAAAGAGTTTACAAAATGGATGGACACATTACCACCGAAGTTTCATCTGAAAAACGACGGTTCTTCTTCACTACAGCGACATCACATCGTGTACCTGCACCTCAGGCTAAATCAAGTATGTCTGCCAAAATGTACAGGATCAGGTACTGACATCAATAGGGTGTTATCCTTGCGACCCGTCCAATCCTGCTACATGCACTTCGGATCCACCAGCAATCGCGCAGTGACCCTCCCCCTAACCCTATGCCAACTTTATCTGACAGCGCTCGCACGTTAGCGGAGACGTGTATCCAGTGTGCTCGCCACTCGTATCGAATTATCACAGATGCTTGGATCCATGGCACATTTGCTACGTTCGACTACTTCAACACGCAATATCTATTTTCTGCGGCTACCATTCTAGCAGTGAATAGTCTATTGCACACGCCTCAAAGCAAAAGCGACGGCGACAGTTTTGACAACGCTGTTGAGCTGTTAAGACAACTAGCACAAAGCGGTAGTTTTGGTGCGAAAGAATTTTGCCAACACATTGATGCAATGCAACAAAGCATGGCTGCAGCCCGCAACGGAGCTCTGCCGCAGTCCACTTTGGGGACGCCCGTAGAACTACAACAGCCGTCCATGAGCGCATTCGCCGGCACGGGTATGACCGCGGGCATGGCGCTTGCCGATCCCTCATTCCAAGGTTTTCTTGCAGAGACAAATTTGGACATGCAGGCTCTGGACAATCCGTCCTTTTATGGACTTCAAACGCCCTATTGGCCTGATATTTGGGGTGAGGATTGGGTTGCACCCACGCAGGTCTAAGCCAAGGGTATGAGAATCGGTTTTGGGTACCTCAACTACATGCAGTCTACAGATTATGCAATCGGAAAGACCTTCTTGGTCGGCAGGAGCTCCCTCCTCTTTGTCACCCTCCTCAGCCAGTTGTCGGCCTGCTTTGCTCCTTTGTCCTCATCGCTCTCCACATCATGCCGCGCCGTCGCGAAGGTGAGGCATCCAGCAAGAACAGACAACACAGCGCCTATCGTCGCTGTAGGTCCAATACCAATGGCTTCCATCAGCGGAACAGTACAAGTGCTCGCAAAAGCAGAGAATGTGTATTGCACAAGATACTTGCCAGCGATGACTTCTCTCCTTTTTCGGGGTATCGCCTCTGTGTAATTGTTAGTTCTATGCTACCATTCTGACGGATCATACATACCAGCACAATAAGTGTTCAGGCTCGCGAACGCAGCAAGCAGCCCAGCAGCAGCCAAGAAGGCCGTCACAATGGGCAGAGCCAAACCCCCTTTGACCGCTTCGCAACTATTGCAGTATTGCAAGCCCCATCCGTATATTAGCACCGCCACAGGTATGATGAGAAAGAACGGCCACACGCCGCTGTTCAAACGATCTTGAGGCAGTCGTTCTCCGCGCAGCTTGATGAACTTGCGCACTGTCATGTCGGAGTAGCGTCCACCGATGACGGTACCGACAAGGAAACCGGTCGCAGGCGCAATGTAGAAGAGCCCAGAAGAAAGCGGTGATGTCAAGCCAAAGCGCTCGACGAGGATATGCCGAGGAGATGCGAGGATAGAGTACTGCGTCCAGCTCAGGAAGCCGCAGCTTAGATGCTGGTCAAGATCGTCAGCTTCGGTCGCCCAGATAGTCCGACCCTATCGCAGGGAAAGCTTACCGTAAAGATAATATCCCTAGACTTCATCTGTTGGAAGATAGGCAGCGGGTTGAACTGCCTCACAGCCTCCATGCCCCTCAAGTTCAGCGCAGACCGGCCAGGCTTGTCCAGCCTGCTAGGCGGCACAAACGCCACCGCGAGTATGAACGCAAACCCAACCATCACAACCTGCAGCCACAGCACGCTCCTCCAGCTCGAGTAGGTCATCATGATGCCCGCAACCAGAGGCCCAAGAGGCGGACCCAGCACCGTACCCCCAAGGAAGAACCCCGTAGCAGTGCCACGCTGGACGGGCGGAAAGTACTCAGCAAGGATAGTCTGCCCTGCTACATGGAAATAGCATCCTTGAAGACCCGAAAGTACACGCATCGCGATAAAGACGCGCATATTGGGTGCGAGAGCCGCGCCGATAGTGAAGCCGAAAAGGACGAGCAGGCAGATATTGTATGTGGCTCGGCGGCCAATGATCTGCATATCTCATGTCAGTGATCGATACCAACAAATCCAAGTATAAAAAGACCTACCGCAGCAACAGGACTCCAAATCAACGGACTGCTCCCCAACGCAAGCAGCACCCCTCCCGTAGACAGACTAACAGCTTCCTTCGTGCCTCCCAGGTCGGCCGCAATCTCAACACTAGCGCTCAGCAACGACGTCGAGGAGAAACACGCTGCGAGGGTGGCCCAGCTGGTGACGAAGACGATCATGCATTTGCGCCACATGGGGAGGCTGTCGTATAAGGCTGAAGCATTGGTTTCGATTTTCGAGAGGCTGTTTGATGTAATGGTAGAACGGGTGGGGTTTGCTGCCTCATCGTGAGGCTGGGAAACTGCAGCTTCAGCTGCCATGGGCTCGCTAGCAGGATTGGCTTCGACGTCCTTTTCGGCGGATGGCATGTTGGCGGTGGTGTTGAATGGGGGAGAACGGATGGTACTGTCTTGTGCATGTGGCGCAATAAAAATAATATTTTGATCCTGACTCGAAATGCGGTACTGAATTAATATAGGAATCACGCCGTTATACACACTATATACATTTTCTACATTGCAGGCTCTGAACGTCCACCATCGGCGAGTGAGCCCGTTCGCCGACGCGCCCTGAAAAATATGCCCGACCGCCCCACATTCTGCCTTTACGGCCGAAATAATATACCGATCGAGTGAGGAAATTGAAGTGAGCCACTGGTAGTCGGTAGAAAAGCGCATATGGCGTAACTGAGAAGGAAGGTCGTGGTTGGCTCAGGATTAGTCGCAATGGAGAGAGGGATACGAAGCTCGCCGACTGGATAACTCTACTCCTCACCATCAAAGTTCCAAGTTTCACACCATTCACGCATCAAACATCGATTGAATTTACAATCTCCATTCAATTATTTGTTTAGGGGGCTAACCTTTTTTTGAAACGCTGAACGCTACATCAGAACGCAGAACGCAAGACTATTAAACAAGTAAGTTAGTCAGACTTCCCGCCCGTAGGATGTGTTGTCGTTAAAACCAAGGATCATGGAAATCGCACCGGGTACAAGAGGGATAGCCTTCCAACTTGACTGGCCAAGCGGTCCCAGACACGAATGCCGCTGCATGTAACGGGGTCTTGTAGCGTGCTGGTCCAGACGAGGCGGGTCGAAGGAGGAAGGTATTTAAATAGGAAGGAGTGCGGTTGGTGGATGGAGCCGAGTGTTGTCGTAAAGAGTCAGGTTTGGTGTGGAAGGAGCCAGGTATTGTCCAGGAAGAACCAGGTATTGTCGTAAAGAGCCAGATAGCGTTCGGGATGGAGCCAAGTGTTATCTGTTTGGTGCCAGGAGTTGGAATCATCCATAAAGATCTCGTGCGAATAGAGGGAGATCAGCGAGGTTGTGAATCTGCGAAGTGAGCCACGGGGGTAGTGAGGGTAAGCACAGAGATCGGTCGGCTGGGCCGTCGTGAGCGCAGATGATTTGAAAAAGGCCAGAGAGTATTTGCCAATAATGAAGCGCCCAGGGAGGATCGATTCTTTGGATTGCGAAGATGTTTTGCGAGCTTCGTACCAGCGAAGCCGCTTCAGAAGTGGTGATGATTGGCAGCGTAGGCAGACCGACCCGTCGTTGTTTTCGTGGGAGCCGAATGCTGAAAGTTATTGGAGAGGTGTTGAGCTGTTGAGCTTCGATGCTGATCGCGATGTGAGGGGAATAGAAAGCCCACAGAGACCGTCCCCTGCGTTTTCTTCGTGGGCGCTCGTAGACTAGAACACTCTCGTGTGCTGTATCTTGTCGAAGTACGCCTCAAGTGTGTCATAAGTCAGGTTGTCCACACTGCAACGCTTTTCCCATCACAAATACATACCACTCACACTCAGCTTGATCGCGCCTACTCCTAGGTAGGTATTTCATCCCGCAGCATCAAGCTGTGTGAGTGATCCCCACCCCCTAGACAATAGCTCTACGCACTACTCGTCTGTATTGACCAGAGTCTCAAGAACGGTGTGGCTTATGCTGTGTCTATCTCCTTCCATAAGATTATAGTGGAGTGTCCATGCGCGCGCGGTGCGGCATTTGGGGGGTGGGAGTGTAGGGCGGTGCTGGCCTTGCTAACGGAGCCAAGACTGGGTGGGCATTGGCTGCAAGTAGTGTGGATGGCGAGAGTCGAGATAAGCCATGAGTGTGGGCGAAATTAATGCGATCGTGGCAGCTCGGTGGTACATGGTGTGAAAGGCGATTTAGCTACTAACGTTCGGAATTGCAGGCTTCTGGCAACCTGGCTGGAATTAGTCTAGAAATCAAGCCGTCGAGGCTTTAGGTACGTCAAAGGAACTTACAAACTTCTACTGGTAGACATTGGGTAATTTGGTAGGCTCGTGGCGATATGATGGGCGTATTGTGGCTCGTAAGGAAGGAATGTATCGTAGCAAAGGGATCGTAAGGACAACCCATCCAGCTTGGCTGGTCACGCGGTTCCAGACACGATTGCCGCTTCATGTAACGGGGTCTTACATGGCGCTGGTCCTGGCGTGGCGAGGCGAAGTTGGAAGGCATCGGAAGAAGATGTAAAGAAAGTCACGGAGTTTTATGTCCACCGAACAGCAGCTCTCAAGCATAGGCGTTCCCTCCTAGCTTTTAAGCGCCAACCCAAAGATTCGAGCGTGCACTCTCTCCTCAGTGGGTCTCGGTAGCATGTAACTCAGATCCTGCTTGAGGCTCCTGGCATGGGTTCCTGGGTGGTATCCTGAGTGGTATCCTGAGTGGCATCCCGAGTGGCATCCTGAGTGGCATCCCGAGTGGTATCCTGAGTGGTATCCTGAGTGGCATCCTGGTTTGCTGTCTATGGTGGTGATCCTGGGTGATCCTGGGTGATCCTGGGTAATTCTGGGCAACCATCCGGGGCGGGAAGTCTGAAAAAAAGCTAAAGATACAATGGAAAGAAATGAAGAAAGACAAGTACAAGCTAGAAAAGCCCCCATAACAATTACAGACAGAAAATGCGAATGGAGATTGAAATTAGAGAAGGCGCGCAAGTCCTTCAGGACTTAGCCAGCCCACATGTGTCGAACAATGGAGTTGTCTGTGGCGTTATGAAATCCACGCGACTGGCTCTGTCAATTGTGTCAGTACATCTATATACTCATTCTCAGAAGATCTGAATTACGCACCGGGTTCCCATTCATTCTACGAGTAGCGTTCTGCTGGCGAGACTGGGCATAGAAGTTGCCCTCCGGTGTAGCAGGAAACGACTGCCCGCGAGGTCCTCGTGGAGGTTGCCGGTGGGCGTGCGTATCGATACGTGAGCCATTGCCCCTGCTTAAAACGGAGTTGTCATTTTGATTGAACCGATTGCCAGGACGAGAGAGGTGAGCACCACCGCGAGTTCCGAATGAGGTACGGTTCAGCGAAGACTGCGGGTGGCGAGGCGGAAAACTATTGGAGCCACCACGGGTAGGATTGCCAGACCGTTGAGACCTATTCGCTCGGCGGTTGGAAGATTGAGTCTCAGTCTCAGCGCCGAGGATACCGTTCAGATCTTGGAGAAGCTTCGAGCCAGGGTCCGCGACGGTCGTCCTACCTGGAGGAGCCGGGAATCCAGACGATTGGCGAAAGCCCTGAGTGTTGGAGTTGGTAGAACGTGACTGCTGCGAATTCCGTGGCTGGGGGCGCGAAGATCGGAAACCCGTCGTTCCATGGAGGATGTCGTCAAGGTCTTGCTCAAGGGTCTCGGTGGGAGAAACAGAAGCCTTTGTGTGCGACGAAGGCATCTTTCCAAACTTCTTGCTCTTATCGCTGATCATACCATCGAGAATGCGTAATACGGGAGGAATCGTTGCAAGGTCTTCTGGCATGTTGAACTCTTTGCCGAACCACGCGTCGAGGCCGGAGGCGATGGCAACCAGTTCGTCTGCTGGTAGGCTTGAGCGGGAGATTTCTTCTGGCGTAGCATCATCGATCATGTGGGTGAGCTTTGTCTCGATGTGCCACTCCATCATCTTTAGAAAGATGATCCTGTTGGCGCGGGTCAAGGAAGCTTGCAAAGCATTCTGAAAGATCCAGACGATAGCGTTATGGTAGCTAGAGATTTCCCGATCCATACTGGGGTGTTTCGTATAGACAACTTCAACCAGGTTGTTGATCGTCTCTACTTGTATAGGAAATCTGGCTTCACCAGGATGGCTAAATTTGCAATGCGCCTTATTGCAGCCTCCTTTATGAAGGATATACGCGCAGATCTTGGGCTGGCCCGGGGTCTCGATAACTCTCATGGAGTTTGATTGCGCATCTTGTGCCTGAGCTTCAGATGATGGGAACCCAGAAGGATTCGAGAACGGGAACTGAGAAGACTGAGGCTGAGAGAACCCACTCTGCGATACCACATTGTTGTCAACATCCATGTCCTCTGGCTGGTCCGCCGTATCCCGGATTTGGAAAGGCTGCCGTGCAAAGGGACCTGGAGCTTGAGACCCTGGAGCGAAAGTCTGCGAAGGCTGCTGCGAGTTAGAACCCGAAGTCCATGAACTTGCGCCGGAAGGAGCTTGTGCTCCAGGCATAGGACCTTGAGCAGGCTGAGCCCATGAGCCTGTACCATATACGGGGCCTAGAGACTGAACGATGTTGCTTTGAGTCTCTGGGTTGGAGTTGTTGCCCACTGTGACAGCGCCGTTCCCATCACCATAGATCTTGGCATACTCCTCGGGATGCTCCTCGAAGTAGTTTTGAATGTGGAATGTGAGCTCCTGGTAGGAAATGCAGCCATCAATCAGATCAAAGAACTTCTGGTGAAGCGAGGGAGCGGTATTCTCCAAGGTGAAGGCACTGATGCCGATATCATCCGCGTAAAGACGAAGCAGACCGACCAGAACATGACGCTTGGCTAGTTCGAACGTTTGGATCTGAACTTCGTTCTTGATCTGTTCGTCGTGGTACTGGCTGTTCTTGTTCTCGGAAGCAAGTTTCTTCGAGAGATCCTGCTTCTTTTTGCGCTCTGTAGCAAGCTTGGTCGAAAGGTCCTGCTTCTCCTTTTGGGCTGTCTCATGCTTGCTTGAGAGATCTTGAAACTTCAGTGTTTGCGCTTTGTTCAAGCTTTGCTTCTCTTGCTGGACAGTCGCGAGGGTTTCTTCCAGATTCTTGATGGCGATGCGCTTCGAAGTGAGTTCCTTCTGCAGATTCTCCTTTGCCTGTCGCTCAACGGCAAGTGCCTCCTCAACAGCTTCGAGCTTGATGCTGTACTCTGCCTTCTCTGAGTCGCGCTCCTTCTGCAATCGCTCTTGCTGCTCGGCAAGCTCCTTCTGGTGGCGCTGTTCCTGCTCGAAGAGTTCCTTCTGGTGGCGTTGTTCCTGCTCGAAGAGCTCCCTCTGGTGGCGCTTTTCCTGCTCCGAGAGCTCCTTCTTCACGCGCTCGCACTCGCCTGCAATTCGCTGGTTCTCGGCAAAAGATTCGTTCCTTTGCTTGGGCAATCGAGCCAGCCTCCTAGTCTCCTCGGCAAATTCCCAAGGGCTAGTGACCGACAGGTCAAGCAACGGATGTAGCCGGCTGCCAGCGCGGCTCGAGGAATCTGGCGGCGTCTCAGGTGGAGTGGGAGGGAACTCTGCCTGCATGCTGTGATACTCCGTGAATACATTCCTCGTAGGGGCCGTGTATTCTTGATGGCTGGCAGCAGGACGAGGTGCAGGAGTGTGTGGATCACGGCGAAGTGTAGCATCCTTCCGAGCTTTACCGGCAGCAGGCGTAGGCGTTAACGCCTGCTCAGTTACCGAAGACGAGAGTTGTCTATCCGTGGTCTTCGCAGTCGAATGGCCGCCAGGGAGCTTCGTGTTGGTCTGTTAAAGTCAGCATTGTACAAGTATAAAAGCGTGTTAAGGAGTCAACTCACCGGACGGGAAACCTTGATATGTGTCCGATCATCGTCGTAATCAATGTCGTGGCGCTTGCGCTTTTCCCCTTTCGAAACATTCCAAACTTGCTGGTGGAGAGAATCCATCGCCTGTGAAGCGATCTTTGAAATGAGCCTGTAGACGAGGCTACGTAAAAGGGTGTGTGCAACAGAGGGAGTGTTCAACTCTATAGAGGAACAAGAATGCGCTTATGTCTAACTGATCACAACGATAGCTAGCACTTCACTGTCGCAGATGCGGCGTCGAAGTACTGGCGGGTGGTGGAGTTATCGGTCGGGCGCAGACGTGGAGACGGTTCGAGGGAGAGTGGCGGGCGAGGCTTTTTATCTGTGGTGACGTGCTGTTGCCCAGCTTGGCAAATAATTCGCGAGAAATTTTTGCGGTTGAAATGAAGGCGCGGGTGCGACTGTGACGTCGGGGCGGGGCTGGTGAAGGTGAGTGTGAATGTGCGTCGGCGTTCAGTGCCGAAAAGTTGAAAGGGTATGTAGACACAAATCAATGATGCTGCAGGAGATAAAGAAAGCTATGCGATGGTAAATTCTACGCGTGGTAATAGCATTGTTGCGTAACATAGCGATGTCCTGGCGCATACACGATGGATATTACGTCAACAGAGTTGGTCAAACATTGTTCGCGTAAAGTCCATGAAGTGCTCGCATTATGTAGCTACTATGTACTAAGATATCAGTATGGGGTCCCAAAATTGATATGACTTATGGTCTTGCCTACTTGTCACGATCTCAGCCCCTGGAGCACGCCGATGACTGAAGCATCTTGCTAGCTCAACTTGGAATATGACTACACTCCATCATGGTCGTTGATAATTTTTCAAGACCTAGCTATGAGAAAAAGGTGAAGTGCAGGAAAAAAGTATATCTGCTGGAGATGCTTGTCCAAGGTGATAACAAACGCACGCAAGACTCCCATGTCTCGCACACAAAGGACACGATGCGCCTGATCAGGGCTCGGACTCGTTCCAGGAGACTATGTAGAGCACTTAATCTTTTTCTTCTCAAGGAGTCACCCCCGGACGGCGTGCGAGTTGCGGTCTTTTATTGATTATCAGTGTTGTGTGATATCAGGCCATTGAACAATCAAGCCGAACGCGTGCTCCAGCAAACTGTCATAGAAATCGCTGAGAGTCCAAAGTGCACTAGACGAACATATCCGTGACATTAGGTCGCGTTATCGAGGAAAGGCACTTCGCGGCGCACCCGTGACGACTATGGCCGCCGCGTAGAGGTTTCATTTGATGTAGACTACCGATGCAATACATGCCTAGATCACAACAACTGAACTCAAACACCGCTGGCAACTCCGCATCCCCACGATACAAAGGTATCGACTAATGTGAAGCGAACTTGACCGTTCGGCCACGACCGGAAAACCGCATCAACATAGAGCTCATCCAGCGACTAAAGAGAGCTCTAGACGTATCTCCCACTGAACATGTGTATTTGACTGCGTTCCTGCCTAGTTGACTATTTCGTCGTTGAAGTTCTCCACGGCATGGCCCACTATCTCAAATTTCCCGCCACCTTCCCCACCACGCTCATGAATCCCAACACCATGCGTCTTCTTTCTATTATAGAATCAATAGAATTCGTTCTCGGTCGATCAACAGCCCCCATAGCAGCTCCCCACGTGTAAGTCAGGTTGAACCCGTCCCTCGGAGTACCCGGGGCCCGATAGTCTCAGAGCTTCGTATCCGGCTTCCAGGTACGCGTCCATGCACTTCACCCCAGCCTCCGCACGTGTACACCTGAATGGCCAGTTCCTATCGGAGGTCAGAGACTCTTTGCCCAGATAGGCAACTGTGTCGGAAGCCAAGGTACATGCCCAGGAAACGCCAAGGCCAGGAGCCACTTCCCGCGCGGAGGGATCCGCCACGGAGAACCTTGAGGGAGCGATATAAGGCTGCAGGTAGGGACGTAAGGTTCCTTCCGTATCTTTGCGATCCTTGACATTCCTTGAGCCTCGTGAAGCGTGCAATAATGAAGGGCAGCGTGATGAAGGCATCGTTGATTGCGCTCTCGGCGCTGGGCTTGGCGAGCGCGACGGCGAAGGAGGAAGTGCTGTTTACGAAGAGGCATATGAAACGTGGATTGGACTGCGATGGGAACTACAATATCTGTAAGTGCTTGAAACATCAGCTTAGTACCGCATCAAACATTTGGGCATTTGGGAACCTAAACTCTCGACCTACGATCCAAATAGCATACACTGACAGTAGTAGCCTTCTTCCATATCAATGACGTGCACGCTCATCTGGACGAGTTCAGCTCCTCGGGAACAGACTGTACCAACCCCGCCAGGGGCTGCTATGGCGGTTACTCGCGCGTCAAGCACGTGATCGATACTCAGCGGCCCAACCACAACGACAGCCTCTGGCTGAATGTGGGCGACGAATTCCAGGGCACCCTGTTCTACAGCTACTACCGCGGAGAAAAGATCGCGGAGACCATGAACCAACTCGGCTTTGACGCCATGACCTTGGGCAACCACGAGTTCGATGGCGGCGACGAAGAGCTAGGCGCCTTCCTGCAGAACCTGACCAACATCCCCATCATCTCCGCCAACATCCATTCAACTAATGCGATCTTGAACAAGACGATTAAGCCCTACCACATTTTCTGGGAGAAGGGCCTCGCGCTCATCGGCGTGACGACCGAAGACACCGCCAGTATCTCGAACCCCAGCAATGGTACCACGTTTTCCAGTGCCGTGGAAGCAGTTCAAAATGCCATCGACGAGATCAAAGCAACCACAAACATCACCCGGATCGCTGCCATCACGCACATCGGATACGACAAAGACCAGGAACTCGCTGCGCAAACAAGCGGTCTGCAGCTCATCATGGGCGGCCACTCGCATACTCTCCTCGGCAATATGACCGGCGCCGAAGGCTCCTACCCCACTATCACCACGAACAAGGATGGCGACGAGGTCTTCATCGTGACAGCGTACCGCTGGGGCGAGTACGTCGGCTACATCGACGTGACGTACGACGAGGCAGGCAAGATCCTCGCGTACCACGGCGCGCCCATCCACCTCACCAACACGACCAAGCAAGACGAAGGACTGCAGGCGCAAATCGACGCGTGGCGCGGGCCCTTCGAGGAATTCGCAAAGGAAGTCCTCGGCGTGTCGAACGTTGAACTCGACCAGACGACATGCCAGCAGAAAGAATGCTTGCTCGGCGACTTCATGGCCGATGCCATGTACACCTACCGCAAGGATGCAGGCGAGGACGTAGACTTCGCCATCATCAATGCGGGCGGTATCCGCGCGACCATCGACACGGGAGACATCACGCGCGGCGAGGTCTTGACTTCCTTCCCCTTCGGCAATTCCATCGTCGAGCTGACTATCTCCGGTGCGGACCTGCGCAAGGTCCTCGAGGGTATTGTCTCCGGAGTGTCGCAGACGAATGGGAAAGAAGTCACGTCCTTCTTGCAGATTTCGTCCTCTTTGCGCATCACATATGATCCTTCGCAAGCCGTGGGCAGCCAGCTCGTCTCCGCGAGTGTCAATAACGCGACGCTCGACGACGCGGCTGAGTATCGCTATGTCACGCTCGACTTTATCGCGGGCGGAGGCGACAATTTCTTTGAGCCGACGAGCGAATTCGTGACTTTGGACACGCAGGATGAGGTGCTCGTGCAGTATATCACGAAGACCACGCCGGTGGACATCGCGCTTGATGGGAGGATTGAGGCGGTTGGGGGGAGCGAGGCTGAGAAGAGGGCGATCGGGATTGCGGGAAGGAGGTGGGCGCAGAAAGAGTAGATTGATACTGTACAGATATCAGTATGTACGGAATGACAACACGTATTGTATGAAGTGTAAAAATCAGAATCACTTGTAGCCTCAGTGTATGCGGGTCTTCGTGCGACGAGAGGAGAATCGATGAGCATGGCCGGTGCGCACGTCGTGGGGCCACGAGACGCTGTGCAGCGATTCCAAGGCGCAAAGTATAGCTGTTGCTTCAGATACTTCAAATAGTTTTACGACGCGGCGTCCGCTCCGAAAGTGCTGATCGAGTTGGATAGCGAAGAGATGTCACTCATGTTGATCTTGGTATAGCACAGACGACGAACGCAAAAATCATCTTCTCATCAGCCAACAACATCCCACATTTTGCATTCTCCCTCATGCATCAACAGGAACCTAGAAAACCCTCTAACCCGGCCTGTGATGATCCCCATCACTTCATGTCCACACCTTTGTCCGTAGAACCAGTGGCAGTCCAGAACCGCGGCATCCCATCCACATTGTCCTGAAAGAATGAAATCTCTGTTTCCAACTCGTCTCGCACCACAGAAGTTCCAAAGCCACCCAGCAAGCCATCCAAATCCGTCTCTTCAAAGCCGTTTGTCTCCCTCCACAATGATAAAGAAAACCTCCCCATGTGCGCTACCATACACGCCACATCAACTCACACAAAGCCCCAACAAAGAGCCACATTCACAACTCCACCCTTTGTCTTCTCCGCGCAATCACCATTACTGAGCGCATATAGCCCGCGGACGACAACTCGCAATCGCATGCAAAACCGTCCACGAAAAAGAGAGACCATCGTTACTGAATACTGACTGACCGACCGTTGTATTCTAATTTCCAAAATGGCAGACCCCCTCATAGGCGACTACCGCTTCGGCGGCCTCGAACGCCGCGCCTACGACGCCCTCCGCGGCGGCCCCGACGAAAAATGGGCGTACCTCGTCTTCGCGCGCGGGAAGCACGCCGCAGAAGACCAGCGCATAGCAGGGCACCCGCGCAGGAGGCACAAGTGGCGGAACAATCCCTTTCTTGTCATGAAAGAATGGCGCGCGTTGGATGAGCGCTCACGGCATGAGCGGATACGGGCCGCGAGAAGAGATCCGAATCGGCCGGATGCAGTGGCGGTTGAAGTGGAGGTTGTAGAGGAGCCTGACTCGCCGGGGTCGATCGAGGACTGGTCGGATGTGAATGAGACGTGGGCGCAGGAACTGGAGTACCGCTTTGTGAAGACGGTGTATCAGCGGTATTATCGGGAGGAGAGTGCGCCTGACAATGGTTTTTGGTCTGTTGTTCGGCTGTATAGCGGTGTAGACGACACAGGCAGAGTCCGCGATGTAAGTGTTTTGATGCGGAAATCGGGGCCTCTCGATTGATTAATATGTTGTAGCGCGTCGTAGTCAAGGTCGCAGATTGGGAGGTGCCGCTGATTGAGCCGGACCCAAACGATAGGAGCGCCTTCCGTATTTACAGGGAGGTTGACATGATGAAACGCAAGTACCGGAGAGTCGACAGACTTCCAAAGTGCGATCACATACTCAAGCCGCGGTACTGGACCGATAGTGCTTACGAGTACAGACCGACGGACGAGAATGGGAATGTGCGGACCACGCCTGACGGAGCCGAGGTGACGAGAGAGCGTCTGGGGATCAGGTCGTACACGGATTATTGCGAGTTTGGGGACTTGTCTGACGTCCTGTTTGAGTATTCGTGGGAGAACGACAAGCTTCAAGATACTGACTCGTGAGTAACAAGTACTTCATGCGAAAATGACAAACACGGTGGTGGAAGAGATACATCCGCTAACTTGGTGAACAGGATGAAGATACCAGAGGCTTTCATCTGGCACGTTTTCCATGCTATCTCCATCGCTCTGTACGTTCTATATACTAAGAAAGAGCATATGGATGGAAAAGAGGAAGTAGAAGGCAAGAAAAATATTAACGGCTCTAATAAGGGGGACGTTGACGGATGGATGATACACCGCGATATAAAACCTCATGTAAGTTGCAGCATGGATATGCCATCACACCTTTCTGTTTCCAAGCATATTAACGCCGTAACCAAGAACATCTTCCTGATGGCCCCCGCAAACCCCGACGATTATCCTCGACCGGTTCTTGCAGATTTCGACTGTGCCACCATGACGAATTTTGGTAATTATCGAGGAGGAGGAACGAACGGCTATATCGCACCAGTAAGTAACATCCTGCGCGCTATCCACACGTAAGCAACGTTTGAATGACAGATTTTCTTCCTCCAGGAACATTTCGAAGACGATGGCTACCCCGATGTAGACCCTATAACAACCAAGACGGATATTTGGAGCCTCGCCGGCGTGATCTGGGACTTGATGAATAGCAAACGTGGTTTCTTCTCTACTAGAGATAAAGTCGGTCTAAAGTGGCTGCGGAGGAAGCTTCACGAAGCGATCGCAAATGATGATCCACACTTGGATGACGAGTACCCAACCCATGATTATATGCAGAAGCACTTGGACCCCCGAGATGATCTTCCTGCGTATACTAGCTGGCTTGAAGACCTTGTCAAGGACTGCTCGCGGTAAGTCATACCTAGGTACGAAGTGGACATGTTCCAGACATGGAACGTCATACTTATCCCCGCTATTCTGACTGATACTGACTTTGTATCTGCGCGTGTAGGCATAGTGCTAAGCAACGACCGAACGCTGCCCAGCTAGTACTAACAATAGCGATTCACTTAGATGATATAGCTCTAGTAAAGAATGGTCAAAGGCTAGCTCATGACACGCTGCGGAAGAAAAATGATCCGTTTCTGCCGGGTAGGATCTGGAACTTGAATAGAAGACGCCGGGGATGGAGTGAGGAGGATGAAGACGAGGAGTAGATGGATAGCGTGATTGAGAGCCTGACTACCTTTTGCATGGATACAAAGCTCGCCCGCACAAGGCATTAGCAGTCCGATGTAGAGTCACATATCCGTGGCAGGATACTTGTAAAACGTATAATATACCAACCCCCCTGATAGCGTATGCCCAAAGTGCCTACACGGAGATCAATCACTCACGCAGTGTCTGTCGGGGCCACCGCTGCCACGGCCCCAAAGAGTGTTCTCTACACAGGGCTCTGTACGAACTGAACTACTACTTTGTGACGGAAAGTCAACCCTAGATTAGAAATGCACAACATTCGTTCACCATTCACTCGTTCGCCGCCCCCACGGACGTATTACCCAAGGACTGAACACTGCCACTGTCAATTCCTTCATGTGACGTCCATCTAATGCATGCACACTCATTGCATCTCGGGCAGTCCTATCCGTCCGCGCCCCCAAGGCTCCTGAAATGCACTTTCTCATTGCGCATGTGCCGTCCAAGACAAAACCAGTGCGTTCCGCAATCGTGCATCAACGACACTACACGCTCCTTCAAGCCCGCGGAGCCAATGCAATTACCTTATCTGGACAACGCTCGATCTGTAAAGTCCTACAATACGCGCAGTCCAGTCAGTATCAAATCGCGAGTGTCACATACATATCCGCCCCGCCTGAGGCAGGATGCTCTGCCCTGCCCTGCGAGCGAGGCGGTACGGCACGCGCATGTATGCATGCATGCAGCCAGGTACGCGCACATGCACATGCCAGCTACAATCTCGCATCCCAACCTCCCATCACCACAAGGACAATCGTCCCCTTGTCCTGTCGAGCGGCCCCGCCCCCTCCGTCGGCTGCACACATCCCAGCATGGAAAGGAGGTACGTCGCCGAACGTTCGACCCAGCGTCTCGGACCCCGAGCGCGCGCCGGGTCAGAAGAGCGCGTTGAGAGGATGCATACCTTGTAGACACCATCAGAAGAGTATGTATAGCGAGGCTCGCGCAGGGGGGACCGTCGAGGGTGGTGCTGCGCGCAAGTCCGTTCGCGCGAGATAGATAGATGGCTGCATGGTGAAGGATGGAACGTCTACGCGTCGATTGGAGGGATAATCACTACCACCACCGTACCACAACGCGTATCTGAAGGGCGGAATGCAGAACTGGTTCCGAAGACGAAGCTGGCGATGTTTGAGGAAATCACCGAGTATCTGGCCGTTTCCGCGCTATGCTGTGCACTCGTGAATGGGGGAGGTGGTGATGATCCTCAATCTTACCATACTACGCCTCGGCGATGACTGTGCGCCGAAGGAGGATGCGCGGTAGCTGCGGGCCGCGGCGCGGTCCTCACCGATCAATCACGTTACCCTGCACATGTTCCCGGCTAAGGGTACGTCGCCGCATACGTACGACGATATGGAGGGTTTTTCTGCGTGCAGGCCGTCAGCGTGCGATGGCGCCTCTGGACCTTTTACGCGGTGCGAGAGGCGTTCGAGCGTTTACCCTCGGTTACGACATTAATCGAGCTTTAACCGGCCTATGGGAGCATCTCGTTTGCTTGATTTACCAGAAATTCATGCTCAACGCCTGCTCGCATACGAGTGTAGGATCGAGAAAGTTTGTAGATTTAAGCGGAACGTACGCAGCCCGGGTATGTGGATGTGTGTACCTGCCGAGTTCACATGGTTGATATGATGGCCATTGAGCACGTATCGCGGACGGAAACATACATAGTAGGATGCAATGCGCCGATCCTGGCTGCGAATCAATCCCAAGAAGGACAATGTTGATTGCAGACGAGACCTCCGGAAACGCGGAGAAGGCGTAGGGCAAGACAGTTTGACCGCGTGACTGCACATCCACAGTTGCCTCGTTGCGGCCAAAAGGCTGATGTCGGTAGTTGCTGGCTAGGGCGCTCCACGTTGCACCAAGGTTGGGGGCTTCCGCCCCGTAAGCTAAGCACAAGCACCACCAGACCAGGGACTTGGGGAAGTGGGTGAGGAACCGTGAACGGGTCGACACGATGGATGTTCGCCTCGGCCCTCACCGTTTCTTCGGTGCTTAGCAGGTATACAGTTAGACTCGATGGAAAGGTAAGCAATGTATCGCAAATCAGTACCATCTCACCGATGGTCGTGGCATGTGATCGTGATGATCAGGGATAACATGAGACGGTGAAGGTCGATGCACCGAGGAGGGGGACGCTAGACTGGGGAGTGATGCGGACAATCTGGGGTTGTGGGAACGGAGGAGACGGAATGCTGCCGGTATGGGCGAAGCTTGGCCGAGCGTGCTGATGTGGGACCGCACGGCATGAGACTGATGGGGTCTGTTATGGAACTTGGATGGATGAGACCGCAGGTGGAGGTGGCTACGGGCATGAGGAAGTTATTCCTGGTCTCAAGTCGTGCGTCAAAGTCACCACTGGCTGGCGTGACCCAGCTCAGTGATGCCTAGAAAGCGAAAGGTCTTGAAAGAGAGCGTCGGAGACGAATACTCTAGGCGTTGCGGACGGGATGGCGAGATTTGGCCGGTTGAAATGGATAATTTACCCTGACCGAGGAGGAGAGATTCGGCTCGGAAGCGATTAGTGAGTGCGGGATGGGCCGAAAACTTCATTACTCGGGCCGTGGGCGATCAGATGACAGGAATGACGAGGCAGGGAGGTTTCTTGAAGGATTTAGTTGCTGACCCAAGCATTACTATCTATAACAAGTGAACTGGCCTGTTGTATTGACAACTGAGAACCGCTGACCGCAGCGAACGGTAAGTTCGTCGGAGAACCAGGTGTTGGGGCGTTCACCGCACTGCCAGATCGAGCAGACCCTTGAGCACCGTTCGGTTTCACACTCGAGAAAACCGAACGGTAGGCTGCAAGATGATGCAGCAGTTCGTGTATGTTTCGTGTGACAAGGCAGCTGAGGCTGATCCGATGGTTTGGTACTCCGTAATGACAGCCTGTAAGCGTAGGCTATGCTGGCCGTTGGTCGTCGCAATTAATATCGAAGCGCAGCGCAAGCCTCAACGCTGACCACCCTGCCACCCTGCGGACGTTGAAATAAACTGCCGATCTGAAACCCTTCGAGAAGACGTGCATACAAGAAGACACAGGATCTAGCACGAGCTGTCCATCTGACTGGTAAGCACGCAGTGTCACCAACGCCAAAAACAGCGCGATAATTGGAAGTTATTCAACGTATTGAAAGATGTGGCTTCCGACTGTCAACGAATTCTTGCTGGTGAAACCTTGAGGGTGTTGACCGCCTCTGGCATGGGGTCCTGATATGTCCCCGTAAATGGCCAGAACGAGAAAGTCCGTCGCCGCACGGCAGGACCTTCTCGAAGCATTGTCGTATCTCCGCTACTACCGCAGCGGCGTGCGAGCTTCCAATCCAAGCCTAGGGATTGAAGGAATAGGAAGGTAAGGCTGTAGCAGGTACTGGTGGAGGTCGGCGAAGGATAACCATCCCACGTTCTTGTCCCGAGCACATGTTAGTGGTGAAGGTTCAAGACGCGAGCCGTGTCGGAGAACACGTTGTACCCCACCTGCGGTTCGTGGAAATGGTTGCTGGGCAGCGATAAGCACGTGGGGGATGGATAGCTGGAGCCGTCGCGTTCTCCACAACGCACAGACATGAGCACATGAGCACACAACCCTGAAATGCAACATGAATCTCGAGGGATGTTGTTGGCTCGTCGCTTACTCCGCGACAGAAGAAAGATTCGGGCTTGGTCCCAGCAATCACGGACAAACGAAAAACAAAAACCCCCAGCACGTGGGCATCTTCTATGCTGTCCGGAAGCGAGATGCTCCTTGTCTGACCCCATTGGCCTCAACGCCCGCGTTCGTTTTAGTCGTGTTCATCCTTAGCAAATATATCGAGTCAATTGCGCGCACGGGCTGAACAGTGCTCAGAATGGCCTGCGGATGCAATGTTTGAGTGCTTCAGGTGGGTCGTCCCGGAGCCATGAAAGCGGAATCGACTTGCTGCCTGTGTGTGCTTGGTGGCTCCCGATACGGGCAGCCGACGATCCTTGGCGCTCGCGGCCACGCGAGCAATGGGGGTCGAGCGCCCGAGGCTGTGGCATGGGAACGTGCTAATTGCATTGCGTCGGAAGCCCTCCGCGATGCCGCGACATTGTTCTTTTAGGCGTTCAAGCGAAGCGCTTAATTGCGAGAGTCATGGCTTCCAAATCTCCAACACGAATCGTCAGCAATCAAGGATGAAAGAAGAAACCGCGGAAGTCAGCATCGTCTTCCCCCCGCGCACTAAAGAGTCAGAAGCTCGGAGATGGACGTGAACGGAAGGATCTCATCCCACCTGGGCAAGGGAGGCTGGGTCCTCATTTGGCAACGGCCGCCTAACTTCGGTAGATGCATGCGCGAGGCTTTCTCAATACAGCACCGAGGCCGCTTCGACCTGCGCTGAAGTGAAACGCTCCGCAGTACTGTGATCAACTTGCATCCAAGGAGCCTGAGATGAGCTGTGTGCTGTAAGATGTGCGGTGAAGGAAACGGTTTCACTGTGCAACCGAAGCTCCATTTGATGACACCCAACCTAACAGCAAGCGCGTTGCGGTACGGTTCTGACGGGAGAACAACGGGAATGAAGGGAGCCCCCGCGTAGGAGGGGAGCCGTGGACGCATGCCACCTTGGAGTCCCGCGATTGGTGATGGGCCCCAAGACGATAGCCACGCGATTCGTGCAGCGGCAGGCTCGCCAGAGACCCGTTCCCGAAGCGGTCAAGCAGAACGCCAGAACCACAATGCCGGGTACACGCGCGGAGCCAAGTGTCCGGTGGTGTGGCACACGCTCACGCCGCCTTCGTGGGTGCGCTGTGCTCCCCATGCTCAGCTGCCAGCTTCGCGGGGTGACATCCAGAGTACTGCTTCGAAGGCGGAGCCTTTCCATTTCTCAGAACCGTGTGACGTAACATACCGTGCGTAGGGTTTAGGTCTGGGAACGCATACTAGCAGTAGTTCTGCATCTTGGTGACGCTCAGGCTGCGCCAGCATTTGCGTAGCGTACATGTACCGATGTACCTTCTGCGAGGCCTCTTTTGCACGGCCCGTTGCGTCCAGGATGAGTCCAGAAGCGTACCGTCCCCGGGATCAGTGTTGCTCCCGTCCATCCAAGCAAATCCTGATGCGGGTGAGATGAGCACCGCGTTCGTATTCTTTGGCTGAAAGATTTATTACAAGCCACGTCGTATGAGACAGGAAAAGCAAACATTGCTGACGCCACGCAGCAACCAAGCTTCTTACGATGCAGCGATAGCATCTTCCATGAAGTTGTACGGATATCGAACTCACATCTGTATGGTGCAGAGTTCCTGCTGGCCCGGCAGATGTGAAAGACTCCGACCGGGAGCATTTGGGATGCACATTGTACTGAGTGGTGGAAAGTCATCCTGTGCTCCGCTTGCGTGCTTTGCTGGCTGGGTTGCACAAAGCAAAGTCGTTTGTTCTACGCCAAAGCTCCATCGTGGCTGTCCTACCTTCGGATTGGCCTTTGTAGCTGAAGACGCCGCTCTTCTTGTCTTTGATACGTGCTGATCTCTGAGACAAACGGGATCTCCGGCGGCAAGGATGGATAGAAAGTGACTAGAAGAGAAGGGTGCTCCACTGAAATATCCTTTGATCTTGCATGCATGCGTATCGGCTCTCTTGGGATCGAATGAAGATTTGTACGAGCTCAGATTGGAGCACCGAATATAAGTCTGCAACATGTGGGATACGGCAATGCGACGCGCTCGTTTTGAGACATTGGACTGAGGTCAGATGGGAAGACGGGGATTTTCGTAGACAGCAGCCCTACGCTCCCATTCGTCACGCAGGCGCCCGCGACTGGCTGAAATTGAGGGGTGGATGTGGCTTGGCCTCGACAGAACGACAGCGCCTGGGGCTGTGGTGGAAGGTGTCCAGCCCGGGTATTTGTGGGATTGTGGGGAAGATGGCACTCGATTGTTGTACCGGATTGTCGGTCCGTGAAACAAGGCAGCAAGTCTTTGACTTGTCACGAGCTCTGGTACACGGGAGCCGCGAAGTTCAAACCGCCCTTGGTCATATCGCAGAGATGGAGTAAAAGTGAACGTGACATTGCCGTGGATAGATGCGTTGTGTAATTTTGGCATGGCGCGTGGTGGAGGCCTCATGTTCAGGAACTTTGAGCCTGGAACATGGTAGCGATCGTCAAATGCACGGGGAGAGACAACGGGTCGAATGCCACGCTGTACCGCAAGTATTGGCGGTAGGTCGTGATCTTGAATTGTACAACGCATGAAACCGGCTATCACGCCGCATGTAGGGAAGAGGGACGGTTGCACATGAGACTTGTGCGGCATGGTGATTCGACGCAGGAACGCAGATGACCTCGAGCGACCGACTTGTAGACAGTCGACGTAACACGTTTACTTTGTCGCGAGTAACAAGTTGATGGCAATCAGGCACGAAGGTAACTCTCGATCTGGATCTGTGACGATCGCAGGCAGGGCTTGGCAAGGACAGCGCAGAGATGGCTAGATGTCGCGATGATGTCCAGCTCTGGAACCTGGCCAACAATGGCATGCTGCAAGAGTCAGGACGGTAGGCTAGGACGTGCGAGGCGTGCTCATGCGGAAGATGATGAGGGTGCTATTCGTCCCTTTGCCGCTTCAAGCCTGCTTCGAGGGTTCAGAGGGCAAAACGAAGTCTCCGCTGCTGCGACTGGAACTGGCCGAGCGGAGTATCTTCTGGTCGAGGCAGTGGCGAAAGCGGCCTTCCCAAAGCAGGGTGTCACCGGCACGCGCAGAGGCTGTTGTTTTTGGCCGGCGGCGGCGGAAAAAACAGAGGACCATGTGACGCCTCACGCTGCGAGCGGAGCGTTTCGTTTAGCACCCTAAACGGAGAGATGCATCGTGACAGCTGAGAACGAGGCTCGCGGGTCGGGCCAAAGTAGGGAGGCGCTTGTCGAGGAGCCGTTTGAGCAATGACGGGCCTGGAGTGTGCGAGACGCTGGGCAGCAGGCGCAGGGCTCACGATCCAGGGCCCGGTGTAGCTAGCCCGGCAGTGTCGAGTACTGCCGACGAGGCGACCGTGGACGACCCATCTGGCTAGCAGACGCAGGGATGCCGGATGAAGCAAAAGCGCGGCTGGACTCGCGCCGCCGAGGTCACATGAAGACGGATTGTTTACGATACGCTGACTCAGGCGACTGACACTGCAAGATTACCGGTAACGCTCTGGGATGGATGGACAAGGACCGGGCCCGCTGCGTCCACGATGCTAACGCCGGGGTCGACTTCGGCATGGTGCTGCACACGCTCGGAAGTGCCCTCATGCCCTCAGAGAGAGAGCAGGAGCATGGTCAGGATGGCACGATGGCACAAAGACATGGTCGTCGGCGACGGGCAGTCAGCACGAGCTGCAAGGCCTGGTCCTGGTAGTCTGGCAGCGTCTCAGCGAGTCAGCCCGTGTGCCCCGGCGGTTCTGGAAAGGATCGCGCTCGGACAGGTGGTCATCATGTGCTGCCTCTCCCCACGCCCAGACGTTTGAGAGCCAACAGTCGAGCAGGGGTGCGATGCGCATGGGCAGCCACGCGGAGACGGTCAGAAAGCGGTGGCGAGCGCCCGGGATGGGCGCGAGTCTGAGTGTGATGCTGCACGCACTTCGGCGGCTGAGCGACACGAGGCAGGAAAGACGCTCGACGGGCGTTGGCTGGCCGCTGGCAATTGGCAATACTGAAGGCTTTGCGTCGGCGAGTGGGCGTTGCTAGCGGCATGTACTTGTGGTAGCATTGCTAAAGGGCAGTCATCGGGCGAGCTCCGGCCTACAAGGAGCTGGGCCTGGCGGCATGAGGCGTTTATGGTGACAGGGGGTCTTCCGTAGGGACGGGCCATCTCTTTTGGGCCTGTAGGCGGTCCAGGGCGTGCCCACCATTTATTATCGCCCCGACCTGCTCGCTTCGTGGGTCTGCCATTCTGGATACTATATACACTGCTGCTGCACCACTCCACCGCGGACCTGCACCTGCCCTGCCCGCCCGCTGCACCTTCCCAAGGTCGCTCACAACAACACGCACGTCCATACACACCTATATCCTCGACATTCTTCTCTATGTGCGTCGCCGCCCGGTAGCAGCCAGGCGCTTGATCGTCGAGCCCGCAGCCGATCTCCCTGACGCAATCTCGTCGACGTCGACGAAAGCGGACGCACCCCCCCAACAACACATCATAGCCACGACGCCCGCCGCAATCACGGCGCCCCACGCAAACATGCCTCTGCACGCTACGCGCCCCATTGTGCGCGTCGAGCACGGCTCCGTGCACACCATCGAGACGCGCAATGCCGAGAACCTGTTCGGCCTGTGGTCTGGTATGTGGGCTTCTTCGGCGCGTCCTTTGCCTGCCACTGACACGCTGCTTCTAGTCTTCAAACAGTGCTCCCCAGCCATGGAGGACGGCAAGCGCTACGAAAACATGGTGAGTCGCCCTGCGAGGCGCAAGCCATCTGAGACAGCCGTTGACAATGATGCAGGCATGGAGAGTCTGGTCGAGAGAAACCTTCTGCTGCCAGCCCGATAACCTAGCCTCCTCGCGGTGGTCGTTTGAGTCCAAAAACGCTGTAGACGAAGTGCCAGAGCTCTCCTCGAGCATAGCTTCCGACGACTCTGCAGCAGAGAGTGCCACCACTGCGACGACCCGCTCCAACTCGTCATCGCGACCGGATCTACGCCGCTACGATTCTGCCACCAGCCAGGCCCGCGGCAAGCACATTGCTCCAATCGACCTGGAGAAGGTCGTAAACTCCATCCAGGAGAAGAAGGCTCTCTCGCCGCTCTCGCCGCTACCGCCACAGCTCGCCCAGCCCATTGCGCAGGAAACGCCGAGAAAACCCGTAGAAGAGACCATCACCACGCCTCGCCCCTCTTCGCCGCCTCCGACTGCCCGTATGATTCCTGAGTCATCTACTTCGACAGTTGCCACCGCTATGGGTAGCGACCCAATGAGCCCGACGGTGGGCTCGGATGTCAGCACCTCTACCGATCTTAGCGCTCACAGCGTCGTCCATGGTTTCGATCCGAGCAGGATATCTACCTCTGTCCGATCCAGCACTAACCTGAACCCTACACCGATCCTCAAATCCAGCTTCATCTCCAAGCCGCCCCCTTCCAAGGCTGAGCCGGTACGAAAGAAGGCACCCGTATTTACCCTAGGCGGTTCGTCCGACGAGGACAACAGCAGCTCTCTCGAGGCCTACTCACTCGCAAAGCGTAGCTCGCTCTCCGATAGTATCCACAAGGCCGGCCTCGTCCGCAAGAACCTGTCCTTCAACAACCAAGTGACCACCCGTATGATCCACGACGTCACCTCCGAGGAGAGCGAAGAGGCGATCGAAAGCGAATCTGAAGTAGACTCCGACGACAATGCGATCGAGGAAGAGGATTCAGACGGGGAGTGGGAAGACGACAACGACGACAGCGCGGTCGCCAGTGTGGACGAGAGGCCCATGTTCCAACGAGTCGATTCCAAGCCCAACCTTGTCTCACGCCGTTCCCTACTTACCACGATGATGCACCAGGGGAGACCGCGCCCAAGCCCTCCAGAACGCAGCATCTCGCTCTACACCCGCGATTCGACGCTCTCGCACCTCTACTCCCAATGGGCCATCTACCGGCAACTCACCCCAAGAAGACACCGGTCTCATGATGAGGCAACAGGTCACACGGTCAAAGCCCATCATCATGACTACCACCAATGCACACCCTCCGGCGCTCTCACCGCGCACTACGCGTCGTAATATGCTGCAGACGGAGCTGACTGCATCGTTACGCTCAAATCTTTTGTGGGAGAGACAGCAGAAGAACGCTACCACCAATGCGGTGAACAAACGAGCTCAGAGCGCAGTGTCTATGCCAGCAATGCGCCGAGCTGCGACGACCAACGACTTCAAGGGTTTACAAGCGCAAGCGCATCAAAACAACTTGATCAAGGCTGCCACTCACCGGGAAGCAGCTAAAAACAACTCGTATAACGATTACTTCGACCAAGGCCTCCAAGAGTACCATCAGAAGGGATGGTAGAGTGGCCTTTTCTTTCACCAACTGCACATTCAGCGGCATTATGGAGCAGCATTCGGGCACTGGCGTTTTTTTTTGGGGGGGATTTCTATATGCTGGGCCGTCCGTCAGGTTTTCTGGACGGCCACGCGCGGGTAATGTTCCCCAAAAACCTTTTGATACCATAGGGCATTGAGTATGCCTACGAGGCTACGAGTTTCCTTCCTTCTCTTCATGACGTCGGACAACGGGCGGTTCTTTCGGCTACAAGATATGTCAAGGCTCACGCCTGGGTGTCTGGGTCTGGCTTGTACGTCGACCCACGCTGCATGCACCTGTCTGTACTATTACCTGCATTGTACTTTTATCATTGGCCCGGTGGGGTCAGTATACCCTAGGATCCAGGGTACAGACGACGATAGCATTACCTCATGGGAGGGAGAGCAGGTAATGGGCTTAGCTAGCTAATGCCGTAAAAGCGGACAGTTTACACATGATTGCGCACATGGTTCCTTCCCATTGCAGTGACGGCGATAGTGATGGCAACGTGAATTGATACTAAATTAGAGCTACTGCCGGTGAGAGGATGCACGACCCCCACCTCACCTTCTGCTCTAGATGACGGCACCCGGGGACTCACCTCCCAACAAACGCAAGGGGGGATGGGCGAACAGGCTGTGTTTGGCAGGCCTCTTACCGCTCTTCTGAAGCGTGCCTCGAAATGGGTGTGTGAGAGGCGCTTATGCATGTTGTGCTGTAGCTCGGGCCACTGGCGCAAGCACGCTGTGAGCAGTGCGAGCAGCTCAGACTCAGACTGCCGGCTTCACTGCATTGTTTCCGCATCTGCCGCAGGTGCTCGTTGTGTCACTCTATCGTGGTGATGGGCATGTCTCGGTTCGTGGCTGGCCCGCGGGTCGGCACTTCGCGCAGGTGGATGGATGGAGCCGATGAGGGCATGGCATGTCTGCGCACAGGCTCGACACGGTGGGAAGTTCCCTCGGGCCGGCTTCCTGTGCGCCGTCGCCCGCGCTGCCTGCCCTGTGAGCGTGCCTGGATGGACATGTCACGTCACGTAGAGATTGACGCTGGCTGCCCTCGTGAGAGTGTTTCGCATTGCGCAGCGCTCCGTGCATGTTGTGATCGCCGCTCGAGACTCGAGAGGTGCAGCGCGTTCAGCCTTATGAGTCAGGCGCTTGCGTTCACAAGTTGGACCTGTCTTGAAGCAAGCACTGGCTGGATGGAGAAGGCTCGTCGTCGCAGCACGCGAGACATGACTACGCAACCGGCGAGGCGAGTAAGATGTCGCTGTTAGGTCAGAGAGGGTGACGAGATACGGCACGCCTGGCGGGAGGCGCCTTGCTTCCCTTCTAAGTTCTCACCTGTGCCAGTCCCCGTCCGTCTCCAGGTTTGCCGCGCACCTGACCGACGCGGAGCCACGACGCTCTTCCCCAGCCCATGCCATGCCATGCCATCCCATCGCATCACATCATGGCATCTCCCGCCTCGTCTCGTCTCGTCTCATCGCCCAGACTACCCCGGACTCGACTCAACTCAGCCCAGCCCCCATCAACCCAACGCATCCCTCTCATCTCATCTCTCCTTTGTACTTCCCTGCTCCCATGTCACACGCCGCCCACCACAAACCTCATCCCTGGCGGGTGCCTGGCTGCGCCGACGCCTCTCCCAGAGCCGGTGATATCGCGGTGATGCGCTGGCACTGCTAGCTCGATGCGCGCGCGCAGATGACCTTCGTTCTTCTCCACGCTGGGCCGTGCGCCTCCTCAGCCTCACCTGTCCCCGCTCCGCCACCTGCCCGCCCCGGCGCATAGCTACCACTGCCCTCGTACCTCGGGACAGGCATTATGATCACGCTGCGGAGCGGTATCTCCATACGGTATGTAGACTCGCGGGGGCGAGTGGATAACACGGAGGATTACACACCGCACCACTCGCGCCATGCAGCCGGCCGGCCCCCGCGTGGACACGTCGTCACGAGCAACGGCCGGATTCGTTTTGTAACTTTTGTTTTGATAAACATACATGCAAAGGCTATGCTATGCTATTCTCGTCCGTCTGGGTACTTTTCCTTGAAGCGCGAGGTGCGCTGAAACACCACGGCACGATACTCGAGGCCCTTTGTCCTGGTTGCCGATCTATCGGCTGCAAGGGTGCTGTACAGCGAAGCAGAGGCACTCCGATTGTGGCGTGCAGCATGGGAGCGGGAGAGCTTCCCATTGAGCGGCGGGGAGACGACGTGCTTATTCGATACTTGGGCTGCGTGGTGGACTGCAGGCGGTGAGGTTGTTGAGTACGCGCGCAGGGTGGCGTTGGGGTATATGGTAGGGCTATACATACGAGTAGGGAGCGTTGACCGGATAGGGATCACTTGACTGATCATGTTCGTGAGATGCAAGCGCATCTGTAAGGCTGATGTGCTGGCTAGGGTACGACTGACTCCCGGGTTTCGAACAGTCAGGAGGTTGATCTACCCTCTGGGCGGTAAACAGACGGATACAGGCATTACATTACAACCTGTTCGTTTCGATAGTCAGGACTGTCTCCTAGCCTGGTGTTGGCTGGAGACGGCATGTCTGTCGACCCCAGCAGCCTCCGTGCTTGTTACACATTTGTTCATCATCTTTATTCTCCAGCTCTCGAGAGTCTAGCGCCCGCGGGGAGCACTGTCTTTGACGTTGACGCGTGCAACACCGGACAAGACCTTTATATTTCCACCATACAGCATCGATGAGATCTAACACCAGATTATGAAAACGGAAGCACGGGAATAAGAGTGTCGCCATGACGAACTTCATAGACATCACTGGGTCAACGGACCGGCGCGCTTCCAGTCAAAGCCAGACCCTGAGCCACCTCGACGAATTGACCCCATTGCAAGAGCTACCGCACAAGATCGCCAACTACTGCGTTGTTGAAGGTCCAAAAGCAGTGCAGTGCGTAGCTCTACCAGCTCCGCTCCTCCCCACCCCCCGCTGGCCATTACCCCGACATCTCGCCTTCCAGATTGCCGCACACAAGGTGAAAACACTACGCCGCGGGATGACGCCCTCCTTACGACCTGGTTCGGAAAACCACACCTAGTGAACCACACACGACACTCCATCCAACGTCTCGGTAGACCTCATCAAGATCATGTGGCTGCCACGTTTCTTGCGCGATGCCTTAGGCCTAACGCCCACACTCTAGATATGCTAGCGTACCAGCTGTTTCCAATCCCCACTAGAACGACTGGGGAAGTGCTTCCACGCCCGCCGGCTGTCTACTTATACGCAGTGATGACGGAGCGGAGAGCAGCGACGAGGTATCGAGCGGTACTCAATAGCCACGGCTTTCAATGTTGCGACCATCAGATCGTGCACGCCTTCGCGGATGCACACCGATTTCCTAATCAGGACTGTTTCTTCTCTGAACTGAAAGACGTGCGCACCAGTCCGGTCACTTCACTACCCGCCGCTAGACTCTCCGCACGCGGAGAAGATTCCACGGTTCGGTCGACATCTGACGTCGCTGGCTTGGGGCCCTGAGCAGTCCAACCCGCAGATGGTATTTAGTACGGTTTGTTAACGGTTCTGTATCCACGTGGCTTTCAGGGTGCCTAGGTGCGAACACCGAGGATTTTGTGGTAGGCTCGGTGGCTCGCTCGATCGTGAGATGCTTGCACCAGTGTGCGCGAGGGAGTTCTATCGTGAGCTAGCGGCAGGCGTATACCCCGCATTGTATAAAATAGGCGCGGCGGAGAATGTGTATCCTTGCACATTGGTGAGTCTTGAGTCTGTTGCGGGAGGGCAGTGCGGTACTTGACACGAGCAGATGTTCCTCGCTGAGCATGTGCCTACTTCGCCGCTGCATCAGGAGCGCATCGCGTTGCAGGTGGTACATGTGAAATGCAATCACCGAGCTTCCATGTGAATACTATGTGTAGGTACCATCAATACCGCCGTGCGGAATTCATCCGAGGATAACTCGCCAAAGCATGCGAGGCCGTTGACATTACCGCGGCTATCATCGCTCAGACAACGGACGGCCTCACTTCCATAGTCTCATGACTTGTGATCACGCGGATGTCATCTTTGCACCGGCCGATGTCAAGCGCGTTCCGAGCATTGCACCAGCCGCCTTCCCCGACGTAGCGCAAACGTTAACACATGGTGCCGGTAGCCCAAAACAGCGAGCAATATCCGCGACTCGACAACGGCGATTCAAGGTTCAGCTTATGTTGATATCAAGCCTGGATCTGGGATCTACCAGCACGATTCAGACAGGTGCTCAGATCTCGACAAGGGACGCATGCCGTCGTTGGGCTCCCTTTTGCACAAGGGATGTCCTTTCACATTTACATAGTACGATTCTGTGGTCAGGTGTCCCGTATGAAGCGCGCTACTTTCCCCGGACAGCCAGCCCCAGATCAGCGGCACGCACCCGTAGGGCTGAACCTCCCTGTCCTCGACACGAGGTTGCGCATCGACAACGACCCTTCCTTTACAACAGCTGTTTCACGGCCATACCCAATACGCCCGTCGCGCACCTCCATCACAGCCTCACGCCACCGCGCTGCACATTGGGAAAGTCTAATACATGTATTATGCTCGTCGGCCATGTTCCGCGGTCCCCCTCGACACTCGCCACCAGCGTGACCGATGATTCGCGCCTGCTCAGCGCCCGATATGCAGGTACGCCTTCGCGGGCGCTCGAACAGGAAATCCGGAGCAAAGCCGTCAAACGATAGTCTCGCGGAGCATAGCACGCGTAATGCATGCATTCATCGCGCGCGCACTTTTGCAACGCGGCGCACGAGGAGTGCACACGCCCTGCTCACACCACACACGTAATGCGTGCTGTAAATTTGCAAGTGAATTGGGCGGTGGATTCGCGTTGCGGAAGAGGGTTGCATGTGATGCTTGTGCGGTGGGTGGGGTGCGACCAGCAGAGCCTCACGCCTCGAACGGCCGGCCTTACAGTACCTTGACATGGTGGGTGACTCGCACGCAAGCAACGTGCAACGTGCAACGTGCAACGCAGCGCCCAACCTTCGTTTCTCGATCCTAGCTTCCGCCTTTCTCCACCGCGCAGTCTCCACCGTCCAGCCCTCCCTTTCACAAGCGCTCCCCGTCCTCACACCTGGTTCGCTCGCCCACCTCCCACTCATCTCGCTCGCGGCGCATTTTTTCCTGCAAGCATGCCTCTCGGCCGGCTACAGCTGCGCGTCCGCCCAAGCGCAGCGTCCAGACAAAGAAGTTTTCTAGAAGGCTTTTACCTGCCTCCCGGCCGTCTGGCGCGCTGGGGCCGAGCTTTTGGCGCGCTGATTCGTGGACGGGCTGCGCTGGGCGGGCTTGACGCGCGGATGCGAGGCGGGATTTGTGTTTTCACGTGCGAAGCGCTCCGGGAGGGCCGCGGGGCGTAACTAAGTGCCATGCATGGACGTTGCTTGGGCTATGTTCTGTTCTTCGCATGGTCCATACGGTACGGTCATTAATTTTCGATAGCGGTAGCAGCAAAGCCACGTTTTGCACGCGTGGTGCAGAGCTAGACGTTGTATTGTATTGTATTGTATCTAGAATAGGCCGGTCGTCGATGACGCCTTAGTATGGTATTCTGCGGTGTGCTTCACGCTGACAAGTACAACAACAGCGTAACGTCAGGATGCTCATCCATCCTCCCCTCTCCACTCATGCAAACCGCCGAACACAACCCGACCCCCTCATCCTCATCTACCCGCTCCATGCTCTCTGCAACAGTCTGACTCCTAACTACACAGTTTGCTGAATCCTCCTCCGATTCCCTCCGCTAGCACCCCGCTAGCATCGCGGACACTTGCACAAAGTCCACAGTACGTAGCAGCAGACCCACCACCCCGTAAGCACCGTCGAAACGCGCGAGCGAGCGAGTGGCGGTGAAAATGAAAAAGCCTTTCAGCCGCTCTGGAAGGGAGGCAGGGCAGGCCTGTGGCTAGGGACGGACGGACAGGCATGTGCAAATGCAAATGCAAATGCAAATGCCTGAGCAGACTCTCTGCGGACCGGGATACTACCACAGTATACTTACGCATCCCGTGACTCGTGACAGATAGATACTTTACACCTACCGTACCTGCGAGCTTCCATACAGTACACGTTCAATGTTCCCTGCACAGCTGAATGAGCGTGCTCTAGACCCCCCTCCCAGGTCCTAACGCGGCATCACATCACCATAGCCCATCGCCTGGCCATTGCCACAGCACCATACATACCTCCACCAACTCCACTCCACCTACACCCGTCTCGTCTCGACCAGATCTGAACCATGTCCTGTTCACGCAAAGCACCCTGACGCGTGCGCGGAAGCAAGCAGAGAATTCCCTTTCCTACGTTTCAGCAGTGGTGGTGTAGTGCTTAGGTTGGTTGGTTGGGCACCACCGCCTCGCATCTATGCAGGGACGCAGAGCCGCGGTTTCCGCATTAGAGGCGGAGTGCACTCGCTTTTGCAAGCGAAGCGAGGACGGGTGCTTGGAGGGGCGATGTATTGATACGGGGTGCGATTTGTATCTTATCTCTCTATGGCGTAATGATACGGGGGCGGGTGGGTGTTGAGGTTACATAGTACAGTTATGGGATGGGATGGGGCGTGGATTGGATCAATTTGCATTGCATGGTAGGGTATCCTATCGTTACTGTGTAGAGGAGGTGAGTGTGGGCATGTTGGTGGCGCGATGGATAGATAGCGAGAGGGACAAGGTCCCCGCGTTGATCGCTGCGAGATGCGGTCGTTCCACTGACTGGAGTTTCCAGAACGGGTAATGCGAGAGCGCGACTCTCGTGATCGGCCTGCGAGGTTGCTGGAGCAGCGCATGGAAAAGAGGGATCGTCTGCGCGCAGAATGGCGGTGGCGCGAGATGGACTTCTCCGCATGAGGTCGCGAACCTCCACGGCTGGCTGGATGGGGAAACGAGGCTGCGGCGGGGAACGAAGACTGGGCTGTCATTTGGGGGGTATAGAGTGCTGCGCTCTGTGAGCTGACTTGTGGAATTGTGAAATCGTATAGGCCGATTGGTGTCTGCCAAATAACTACATGTACACGACAATTGTAAAGCGACCACACTCACTGCTACACTCGTTACACCGACTCGCTGTCTCCACAGCTGAATTGACTTGCAGATGGACCTCGCAGGAATACTGTACATGCCAGCCACTTCAGTCTACCATAATGTGGCATTTATTCCTCATACTCTCAACTGCTGACAAAAGGCATCCCCCTTGATCCAGGGGCCTCGACTCGACTCATTCGCTACCATACCATACGCTCCATGCCGTGCATGCTTACAATCTCTCCCCTGCCACCTTGCTTGTATATTTCCATGCTGCAAACGCCCTCCACATACGACCACAGGACACTGAAAATTGGGCTTCCCGTCCGCTCAGCCTTACACAAGCAGTGTACCGGCGGATTAGTATTGCGGTCCGTGAGGACGCGAGAATCCCCGCTGTTGTATGTTTTTGCCGTTCTTGGACTTTCGCCTTCTTTTTTTGAAAGTACGCGTTGTGTTTGCATATACATACTACCTAGAAATACTGCTTTTCCAGCTTACGCCCTCGCTGCTGGCTTCACTGCGGTGAGGCATCGGATCGGGAACCCAGCGTGGGAGGAGCAGTTCAGTACCAGCAGCTGGATTTCTTACCATATCCTACTTTTAGCTATCTGCGATATAATTACGCTGCACAAATGATGTGTACAAAGCAGCTATTCCACACACGTACTCGTTCTCCTGTAGTCACGAGGTGGGCCTCAGACACGCTGCTATCAAGTTGCACAGACGCGGAATAATCGCACACGTACTGTCTCGTACCATGCACCGTCATCTGCCTCCTCACCAGCTCGAACCTTCCACCCACCATCGTAATATTGAAGCCGCGAAAGGAACTCCCCAAGTCTTCACCCCATCAGTACCGCCAAAGCACCAGACCGTGCCTTCCCTTCCCCCTTCTCCCCACGTCACCCGAACGCGTCCACAACTCAATGTATCTGCTCGCCATAACAGTCAAGTCGCTAGTCCAATCTTGTGAGTCCTCGCAGCTGGTCACGCGCACATAGCAATTTTCCAAACGAAGCCCCCTTACACATTACAACGTTTGCCATGCCATGCCATCGGCAGCGTCCCCCGGCAAGAACGGCATACCTCGCGGCAACGAGTAAGGAAACGGCTACGCAGCGTACATACGCACATCGGAATGTCTCCACTCTTCAACAGTGACACAAGCCATCCCGTGTACTGCGCTTGTCGTACAGACGGACGGATAGGCAAACCGTCCCGCGTCGCACAGTCAATTAGGCGCGAGGAACCAAATCTATACCATGTCAAGCGCACCGTGCCTCTGCCTCACCGATCCGGATAATTTCACTGCCAAACAAACAGGTGCAGCATCCCATGCCTTGACTTTTGCATTACAATTGCCGTCTATATGTGGTATAGGGCGTCGTACATCTCGCCTCCCCTAAGCGCTTATTGCGTGCCTACGTCCCTCGTCCTTCACCCACGTGGCGCCCTTCGTCCCTCCGCAACCGCGCGTCTAGTACTCGTCTTCGCCGCTCCCCGCGATGATCACATTGTTAACCTGCATACCAGTCAGCAAAACCCTTCCTGTGACGGTTGATCGCGGCGAAGCGAGGCGGAGATGGACGCAAGCAAGGAAGGTTGGAAATAAAGAATGAAGAGGATGGGTGGACACAATCGGAACGTGGTGCGACCACGACGTTCCCCAGCCGTGGGGCTCATGGGCATGATGGAAGAGAGGTCTTGCACGGTGCGACCGTGACTTGCATGTGGGCCCGCTTCCCCGTTCCCCGCATCGGAATGCGCACAGTGCAAGGGACGGTTGGCGGAGAGCAGGGAATAATGTGCTGTGGCGCTATTGTGACACGCTGTGGCACCGAGGAACGCCGTAAAGAAACAGGTACGACGTGAAATGAAATACGAAGGGAACGGTAACGTACCTTGAGGACCATCCTGCACAATTGCGTAGCGAGCAGCAGCTGTTGCCTCTTGGAGATCAAAGGATCGATCACGAAGTGCTCCTTCATGTCTGTTGTCGGCCCGAGTTAGCACGGTCCACTCTGAACTGCATACGTATGGTGCAAAACAAGGAATTGAATATGTTCCAAGTCCGAGCCGTCTGCAAATGCGTAGGACTGGAGAACGAAATTGTGGAGAGACAGCGTAGCAAGACCCCGTTATGGCGTACAAAGCGGAAAACGGAAGCCAGTAGACCACACCACGAGACCATGGATTGAGCCGTTGCAGGTACATGGTGGAACGTGAAATGGCCATACAGGCGCCGCACCTGTGTTGGCTCGGCAAACGAGTGTTGTGGAGGATCAAGCCACCGGTCACACCGGAAAGACTGATCCACGGGACGAGAAATACTTGACTTACCATTGCTACCGGTTTGCATGCAGTCAACACCTAACCTGGAGTTGTTCTCCTTGGCTTGTCGTGACTTGATGTTGGCGAGGGTTTCGATAGGACTGAGACCAGAATTCTCGGCCAATGCCATAGGCACGCAGTCGAGCGCGTCGGCGAAAGCGCGCATCGCGTATTGTTCTAGACCGGGGCTCTATAATAGCAGTCAGAGATGATCCCATTGTCCGGGTAACAGTGTTGGTACCTTGACTGCAGCATCCTCTACAGCGAGCGAGCAGGCCACCTCTGCCGCACCTCCACCATAAACGATGCGGTTATCTGTAACGAGATTCCGGACAACGCAGAGAGCGTCGTGCAAGGATCGTTTCGCTTCATCGATGATCTATCAATCGTTAGTCCGCTGATACGGGTTTGAAGTAACTCTCCGGCGGGAATTCCTTTGCGAGTATTCCCAACCGAGCATCAATAGACAGCCACCTACCATCTTGTTGCTACCACGCACGAAGACAGTCACTGCACGAGTGTTCGCACACTCCTCGATGACCAACATCTTGTCGCGGGTGGTTCCGAATGTTAATTCCCGGACAATACCTGCTGTGCCCAGCTTCTCCGCACTCAGGTCCTCAAACCTGGGTACTATTCGGCCATTGGTCGCAATGGCAATAAGCTCGATCTCTGGGCCTCCTACCCACCGGACAGCAGGCAATTTGTTGGTGAGAAGCAGATGGTTGGCCTCGTCGTCGAATCCCCATTGGCATATAACCACGTTGGCTCCCGTATCCTTGATGCGCTTAATCATCTCGGTGAACTTATCGGATTCGTAGGTCTGTAGCTTCTTGAACTCCTCGACCGAGGTGATGTCTAGCTTGTGCTTCGTCTTGGGCTTCGGGGGCTCGAAAGCGCATGTGAGAATGGCAAGCTTTGCGTCCTTGACCTCGTCCGGCATCTGGGGGTGGGAGAAGTCCTTGTCTATTATCACACCCTTGACAAGCAGTGTGTCCTCCAGCGCTCCTCCGACCTTGCCGTCGACCTTGATGAGCTCGAAATCGACATCTTTCCGGGATAGGTCCGCGACAGACAGTACCGCGTCAACAGCGATGCTGGCGAAGTGGTCGTGTGCTTTGGACACAATCTTGCTGCCTAAACTCGTCTTCGCGACCTTGAACAACTCTTCTGTGTTTTCCTTGGAGAACTTGATCTCGTCACTGATCTCATCGAGCTTCGCAACGGCGACCTCGCAGGCCTGGTCGTAGCCATCCGCTATCCGGATCGGGTGAATGCCCTTATCGATGAGGTCCGCTGCCTGCTCGAGGAGCGCGCCTGCGAGAACAACTACACCAGTTGTGCCGTCGCCAATCTCGTCATCTTGTGATTTTGATAGCTCGACGAGCAGCTTCGCGACGTGGTTCGATATTTCCATCTGCGAAAGAATGGTAGCGCCATCGTTGGTTACAGTAATGTCGCCGTCCGGTGAAATCAAGATCTTGTCCAATCCTCGTGGGCCCTATCCATATAAGCTCGTATCTCATTCGCGTAGCCCAGAATTCGTACCAAAGACGTCTTGACAATGTTGGCCACGGTCCGCGCAGCCAGAATGTGTGACTTGACAGCTTCGTTGCCGTGCTGCCTCTTCTTCTTGCCTTGGCTATGCTCCGTCAGCTTCTCCTGCTCTTTTCCAACTCCCGTAACCGGCCTAGCATTTTACGTACTCTCTGACGATAATAAACGGCCGTCCCGACTCATCTTTCATCACCTGGGCTGTTTGTGCGCATTAGTCGTCGTTCGCAGCGAGCGGGGTAGATATAGAGCATTCGGAAGAAGGCATACCATTCGACATGTCCAGTTCTACAAATTCAGGTTGTCAGCATGTTTATCTTATGTTTCTCATGTTGTTCCTGAGATAGTGGGGGAGCTGTGTTGCAGCCTGCGGCACTCACGCATCGCCATATTGACAGAAACCCGGACGAAAGCCCTTCTCCGCGTGTGTATGTAATGTTCAAGGATTCAAGTAAGAGGAGCAAAAGAGGGGCAGTGAACGGACGTCGTGGTGGGGTAACGCCGTGTGTTGACAGCATCTCTAACTTTTCGAAATTCTGGCAGGTGCCCCAGCCTTGGCGCGCTTGGCGAGGAAGCTCCGACCTTGACGCGCCGACGTGACCAGCGATCTCGAAATCACACATGCGCAGCCGTGACCCTCGCTTCTTTCGTATCCGCTCGTTCTACATCTCAATCGGGCTCACAAGGATTACTCTGAGCTTCTCGCAGCTACAGATTATTCCAATCCGACTTGCGCGCGCACTCGCGACAGCGACCTACCATGCCGCGTGAGCGCGTCCACATATGCGCCAGGCTGCCTTCGCTAACTTGCACATAGCTGCCTTGAGCGACGAAGAAATTAGCCAATCTTCCGAAGCCGAAGAGATCCCCGAAAAGAAACAGAGCAAGTCCAAATCGGCAGAACCCGTTCAAGACGAAGAGGACGAGGACGAGGAGGAAGAAGAGTACGCGCTGCCAGCTTGGATCAGATGAGGATTGCGCTGATGGGCGGATAGATACGTCGTAGAGGAGATTCGAGCCCACAAGACCGTAAAGGTTTGAAGCACTCCCGAGGAGTAATTCGTCTATGTATTGATTAGCGAGAACAGGGCTCAGTAGTCTACCATGTAAAATGGCAAGGATACGACGATCCCAAGGATATGACATGGGAGGGCGAAGACAACCTGTAGGCTACAGACTATGACTTATTCGGAAGATGGCATACTGACAGGTCTCAGCGAGGGCGTCCAAGCACTAGTAGACTACCACAAGTCGATTGGCGGCAGACCAGAAGGCGGGAAGAAGCGCAAAGGCAGAAAATCCGCCGCCGACACCGAGAGGAGCACACCCGTAGCAGCGAAGCGAATGAAGAAGGAGAAGGAGTGGGCCCCGCCGCCAGGCTCATGGGAGGACGAGGTAGACCACGTTGACACAGTGGAGCAGCGGTTAAACCCTAAAACCGGACAGCACGAGAAGTTCGGCTATCTGGTCTGGAATAACCGCATCAAGACTCAGCATCCCCTTCCGCTCATTTTCAAGAAGTGCCCACAGAGAGTAGGTATTGCACACTCATGGTGCCATATACAGTGAAGCTGATTGAGTATAGATGCTCGCGTACTTCGAAGAGCACTTGGTATTCAACAATGCGGATGAAGAGGAAGTGAATGGCAACGTGAACATGAGCGGCGTCGATGACGATATCTGAAACCGAAGAGCATCCTGCAAAAGCAACAACGCGAAATCTCAAACCACGGACGTGTGTTTATATTGAGCGGGACCGTGTCACTTTCTCGGCGTTGGTACGTGGCAAGCCGGCTTATTTCTCGGTCTCTGATGGTTTATGTCGGGAGGTGCTCTCTAGCATGGCGTCCACGGCTATATCGGTTCTACATTTGGAAAGCTACGACCAAGCGTCACGTCGCGTCTAGCTGCAACTATATCTTGGATCTGGAGGATCAATGTAACATCCCCACAAAGCGACTGAGCTTGTAAAACTTTTCCACCAGCAAGTCCACACAGTCTTGGATAATTCGCAATCTGATCACGCATAGTTTTACAGAAATCCTACATGATATATCATCCTTGACGCGCGCTCAGAAAGCTACAGCTCCTCGACTCTTCTGTGATGCGCGTCGCGAGTAATTATCACCTATAACTCTTCCGACAAGTCTTACATTCACTTCCCATCCCGCATGTCTCAAGCTCACGGATAGGCCAACAAACAGGGTGATAATGATGCCATTCAATCGCAGACTGTAAGCTCTATAGCTCTATATACATCTCATCATCCTCTCAATAAACATCCGGGTATCCAGCGTAACAATAGAACGCTCATTAGCCATACTTCAACAATAATCCTCCTTCATCTTCATCTCAATAAATAAATCGGAACCCTTTCCGTCAAGGCCGTCAAACAAGCCTTTCCCAAGCGCTATGCAAATCCAAAACGCCATGCCTTGCCCTTTTGTACATCCCGATGCCGTTAAAGTCATAATTTGCTGCGCGTAACCGGACGTTGCGCAGCCAGAAACCGTGTGCAAGGTTAAATTCGAAAATGGAATGGTGGAGGTTTATGCCTCTGTCATGTCGCTCACGCTGCTCCCCGAGTTGCCGACTGCCATCCGCGTTTGCAGGTAGTAGATCATATAGGCGATGAGTGCAATGAGGATGAAGAGGATGAGGATGATGAGGAAGATGACGACGTTGCGCTTCATTTTGGGGGTGGAGGGGCGAGCTTGCTGGAAGAGTTGCGGGAGTGGAGTTGTAGGTGGTCTAGTGTAGGCGAGGCTGTGGATATGCTAGATATCTATTAATTAATAAATTGGGAGTTTTGTGAGGAAAGGACATACCTTTTGCTTCTCAATGAGAATCAATCTTCAGTCCCAGAGTGTTGGGTTTCTAATAACTTTCTTCGACGTATACACGGTTATCTGGTCCAAGCTCAAGTTGTCGCAGCAACAGCTAATCGAACAACAAACACACGACGTAAAAAGCTGTGCGGCGCGAGATAGTTTCGTGAGCAATATGTAAAGTGGATTTCTTGGTATCTTGTGGAATGCGCGTGATGGGCGCACTTTTGTATAGATGTGGTGGGGTGCGTGCGCGGGGGTGGTTGGGCTCGTTGGTGGTTGGTGTGGCTGGGCGAGATTGGCTGGAGGCTGGCAGGGGGAAGGTGCGACGCACAACACGTTATGAGCAGGGAAGGCTGGATGATGTATGTATGTATCTCCCTTGATTTTCGAGAATTCCATAATCTTGGAATTCCATCATGGAAATTATTGAAGTTGGCTGTTGGCTGTCTGAGGTTGAGCGGGAAAGTGGTGGTACAAGCGCAATGAGGCTAGCCTGCGAGGTACCACCACCACCACCATCACCACCATTTGGGACAACACGGCCCTTGCTATCCACACACATTGTCGCATCTGGCTCGTATTAATATTGCTTTCGCTCTCGCAATCAATGCAGTTCTTTGCAAAGTACGTGCGCCATAGAACAACACTATCGATCTGTGCCAGTGACGGGACTCTGGAAATGGCACAAGTAAGACGTGATAATGCTTGAAGAGCTTCTGGTAAATACGCAACGAATTAATCAAAGTCATGCATAGGAGGATCTAAGGCAATATTGTAACAGTGCGTCATGATGGCGCGATAAGCATGTTCAACACTTCATGTAAAGCGTGAAAAAGGACTCTGGTCCGTTGAAGTAGGCAGTGACGCATCCCGAGAAGAACCATACTTGTGCGATACCAAGATGTTAGCTCTATGACTCTTACCTAAGGTCTCTAAACAGAGTCAGAGAGGTGCCTTGAATGGAAAGCCCTCAAATTTTGGCTTCAACGAACAGGTTGCAGAACGGCAAGATTTCATTGAAGATTGGAGGTCTCTATAGTATTCCGAGACTGAAAGTCCCCTGCATATAAGGACTACCCACTACTTCGCTCCATGTATGAGGGTCCTGCTAAGGTAATGGTATATGACCTACAAGTCGAATATCTCACAACACTTACCGTTCATTTAATGTTCATGGTTGTGAAACAACACAGAACTGTGTGTGCGCTGACGAAATCAGTATGTTACTGATAAGACGAGCTGCACTTCAGCTGCACGAGACAGCATATTCCTCGGTCTCTTGTCTTGTTTACCTGATACCTAAGTGATCACCAACAAACTCCCCCTCAAGCAAATGTCCAATCTACGTCACAGCCCGTTTGGACTTGACAAGCCGCAAGCTCTGCGCAGAAATAAGTACCCCCGTTAAGCTATGAGACTAGCTTCTCTATTCATACCTTCGCAGTGAGCCGCGGTACAAATCGAATTCCCCTACGATTTGATTCTGAACACCAACGACTGATATGGCTGCTCCCGCAGCAAACCCACCACCCTACAATCATCCACTTACCATAAGCATCACCGAAACCGGCTGGCACTTCTCCTTCCACACGCATCATCATCTTCACCGGTTTATCTTACCCCAGGCTGGTCCCCTCATAACAAGACTTAAAACATGCATGCACGTGCTACTCTCTATCATCATCCCTATTCTTCTCTTCCTGGAGGTCTGCCTTTATTTCGGCCTTACAGGCAGTGTGTGGTACGTTGCACGGGATATTTTCAACGGTGGGGTTGAACATTCGCCCTTCTGGTATTTGGCGAAGGCGTGGGGTTTCATGGTTAAAGAGGTGGTTGAGGGGTTCGTGGATGGGAGGTACGCTTGAGGGGTTGTGTGAACGGGGTTTCAACGGGTGGGTTTAGGCGGTGGGAAGAGGGGAGATGGTAGCATGTTAGATTCTGATAGTTTAGCAGGTTTTGTGGTGCTTTGTCCCTTAGCATGATGTTCTTTTCGACGATGACAATTGCACACGGCTACAGCTGAATGTGAGTAAAGTTCTGGTGTAAAGGACACCTAGCTCGACCGTACGAATGTTCGACGAAGGGCTGTGACACGGACATCAGATCACGCTACGCGCATGGGAAGCAGGGAGAATGATAACTTGGTTCGCCCTCCTCTCATCGTTCGATCAGCATTGATGTTCGTCTTGAACCTTCGTCAGGCTCTATACGAATGCTTCCACGCCTTTAAATGGTACTGGCAGCGGGTTTCGCGCAAAGCGCTGCCACATCCCGTAGCTTTAGGGTATTTCTTCCATCACGCGTCACTATCCCATACAAAACCCACCCCGCTACGCCTTCCCACTACTCCCGCAAATATCCATCCACCTCTCCGTCTCCACCTGTAACACCTTCATCCCCTCATCAATAAGCCTCACCAACAGCATCCCAGCGGCGTTCTTCCTCAAGAACTCATTCCACACCTCCAACAACAGCTTATTCACATTGAGCTTGATCGCGCCGTTCTCGATACACTGGCGCATGATCTCAGGCGGGAAGTCGTTCGTGCCGTGCAGCGCGATGAGCACGCGGTCGTCGATCTGCTTGTTGATGGCCGTCAGGCGGTCGAAGTGCAGCTGGCCGGGCGCGGGGCCAGACGGCCCGTAGTCGCCGTGGAGATTGCCGATTGAGGGGGCGAGGATGTCGATGCCGGCGGCGATGAAGTTGTCGACGTCTTCGGGGGAGGTGAAGAGGGCTGGTGGGGTCATGATTAGCGATGCGTCCGAGAAGTGCTGGTAGGAAGGCTTGATGATATATACGTACCTTCGAGGCCTTCTGTGTCTGCGATGCCGTCTTCACCGCCTTCTATCCGTCCGCTCTCTGCTTCTACGGCGATGCCCTTGGCGTGGCATTCTTTTGCGAGGGTTTTGGTCTTCGATAGATTCTCGGCTTCGTCGTAATGGGACATGTCCACCATGACGGAGTCTACGGGTAGAGTAGCGATGATCTCGCGGATGTGTTCTACATTTTGCGCGTGGTCGATGTGCAGAGATAGCGGGACAGTAGCTGATCTTACTGCGGCAGCGGCGGCGTGTGCGAGAGTGGGAAGCTGCTTAAGTGTTGACGGGAAGAGTTGGATGATGAGAGGTGATCGTTTTGCTTCGGCGGCACGGACCAGCGCTGTGAGTTGTTCAATGTTGTATCTATCATATGTAAGTAATTACCTTTTCGGAGGGGTAATGTTACATACGCAATTGCTGCCAGAACACCGTACTTTCCCGCCGCCGCAGCGTTCAGGATCTCCAACGTCCGGTTCTTGCTTTTCAGAGCCATCTTGTGTAGTGTGTGAAAGATTCTGCGCAGTCGTTCACACTTGCGATGGTGTACGAGAATACAATGGCACAGCAGACACGAGTGATTTTAGTATCGGAAAGCTATCGGAACTGCCATTCAATGGCAGTTCTATAATTCCGAAACGGGTTCTCGGCGGTCATTCTATTCGCCCCGATCTCTATTGGCGATCACGAGACGAACATGTTCTCACAGTTAGTGTTCGGATACACGCGAGAGCGTTTAAACTGTTCCGCTCTAGGAGGATCTGGAGGATGTGGGAGTGTGCACCGTCTCGAGGCATTGCCAGCAAGCGAGCGTTTGCGTCATTTACCAGTTCGGACCAAGCCGGGGCAGTTCCCCGCAAATTTGATCCAGTTTAATGGGAATAGCTGACTCAAGCTCTCGATGTAGTGGAGCATCGGCAGGACCAACTGAATCGTATACACAATGTTGGAGCATCGGGTTGCGGCTCGCAACGCGGCACGACCAAAAGCGTGACCCGACCCGACCTCGTCCCCAAGACATGGAAATGGAAGCCGCATAGTCTGCCGTGCTTTAGCGGTGGGCTTAGACTGTTACGGCTACTCGGCACGTACGAGCTTATTTGCACTGCGTATCTACAGCCGCGGAAGGAATCGATTGGAGTCATTTGTGCCGAGGATTGCGAGCCTTGACCTTTACTGCACTTTATCGAACGGGACCTTCAAGCGAAAGGTCATATCGGAACGTGGCCGAACCAGCATTCTTCACACTTTGGTGAGTCTAGAGGGTATTCATGAAGCATGGGTTGGCTTGCGGTCTTTGCGTTGACTGACCATTCCCAGCTACCTCTTTAGCTTCTTCGTCACGCGCATTCGGGACGCTAGAAGCTTGGACGTTCATTTCATTTTATTGTATTCTGTTCATGGTTCAGCTCTCCAATACCGCGCAAGGTCATCGAGCAGCGTTTTCGGAGGAAACTTGGTAGTCTCCAGTGTCTTCTCCAGAAGCTGCAGAACAGCACTTTGTTTGACTGGCGTTTGTACACAAAGTCCAGCTGCAATTGAGTCAGCGTGAAAGATCTTACAACATGGTGGATAGGGGAGTCGGCATTGCGCAAGTCCAGCCTAAGTGGACCTGGAGGATAGGTCCTGCCGTAACGTCGAAAGTTCACTCACCTGCGTATAGAGCTTGGTAGTCTACGAATGCGCCGGGCAAATTGTTGCCCTGGTGCATCAGTGCGATACCGCAGATCGTTTCAACGCTCTCGTCCAGCAACCGTTGCCGCCGACTAAACTCACTCATGCCTCCGAGCGACGGCTGGTTTATAAGTACGACTATACGAGCGAAGTGGAACATCTGAATGGCTGCAGCATACGAAGGCGGATGAATCCATATAGGCGTAAATAAGCCATTTTGGGGCACCGAGTGTGCATATATGGGTTGGAAAGATGATGGTAATATCCTGTACCAGTCGTCCAGAGCTTGAAGAAGTTTATCGCCTTGGTCGATCCGGATGTTCATCTCGTAATGCTTCTCGTTTGCTGCATAATCGACGCATCGCGCGCATATGTAGATGATCCGTGTGGCCAGTTCGTCGGGTGTGAGGTCGACCAACCTTTTTGTTGGCCTCCAGATGGTAAGAACGCGTCGATTCTCGCGGAAGGCGACCCATATGTCTTGTCGCAACCACATCCACCAGGCAGCCCTGCGGAGCCCGTCTTTGGTCTCGCCGTTGTTATCTTGTGATCTTTGAATCCAAAAGATACCTCGCAGATGACGCTCCCATCCTCCATCGCTGTATCTTCCAGATGCATCGAACATCTCATACGTCGAAATCAAAATCGCGGTCGCGATGATTTCTGTCGATTTTGTGTATGAAGGGTATAATAAGTTTTGAGACAGGTACTGTAGAGTTTCGTAATAAGACTGCGTTGCAACTTCAAAGAAGGGGTTGTGGTTGTTTAGGCCGTTCGACTCCTGTGATACTGGTGTCTGGACATTGAAAGTGTTTTGTGCCGTTTGATAATCGGAAAGCAGCGCCATGTGGCGAGCCGCAACCGCTAGCAGCGACTTCAGCAAGCCAACATTGTGTACAGCAAGTTTTGGTACAAGGTTGGAAAAGTTTCTTCGCGGATCGAACAGGTCTAGAATTGGTCCAAGTACGTTAACGTAATGGTGGAAGAGGCCGAGTTCATCATCGCTCAAAGCAATGATGTCTGGAGACCTCCATGGCTCGAACGTGGCATCAGCGGGACGCCTTTGTCCGGCTGGTTGGAGTTGAGGGTCGATTTCGTCTTCGGCCTCAGGAACCGGGCTTTGTCTTCTTGACAAACTGATCTCAGCGAACCCTAGATTGTGTTTCTGGATGTTGTTGATGGCGTCCTCGGCTAGGAGGTCATACCACTCGAAAGGTGCTGAATTTGGTGACGGAAGCGAAGTCGACAGGGCCAGGGGCGATAGATCAAAACGCAATTCAGGAGATTCCCCATACATGCTTGTCTCCGCATCGCCGATTGACTTGCGGGTAACAGGAGATTCCGCGATTACGGAGGCCCGGGGTTGGGCAGGAGAGGTGGTAGCCTCTTGGCCACTCGAACCAGTAGTGGCCACCGCATCTTCCGTGGATTGAGCATAGGTGCATTCCCTCCCGCTCTTGAGGCATTGTCCGCAGCGAGGCTTGGCCTCATCACACTTGACTCGCCTCTTGCGACATGTCAAACTGGTCAGCGTTAGCTTAAAACCATCTGTTGTTGTTCAGCGGAACCCTCAAGTCATATCAGACTTCAAGCAAGGCAAGTCAAGGCAGAGCAAGATTCCGACGGAATGGTGAACGACCGTTTTCAGGCCCACAAAGGTCTTGTCAGGCGATGCAGTGCCTAGTCGAAACATTTGGGTACAACACTGCTCATCCTGGGATAGCACAATGGACCGAGGTTTTCAACATAGCACTGCAGACCTAAAGCATGCTGCCGTGAGTGGCGGACATCCAGCCTGAGTGGACCTGAACAGTTCGCAAAGATGAGCTTGTTTGAGCTTACCAGCCTGTTGTGGTTCGAAGTCCACGCGCACGTGAGGGTCGAGGCTTCCGAGGCTTCTGGGCTGGCATCGCAGCGTCTCACATTGTCGGATGCCTTCGCGTCGAGGATGCGGGGTGCGCTCGGTTCGAGGGAAGAAAGATGGAGCAGCACTGCATAGAGTGTTGGTCTGCCAGCGCGTTCCGCCTGATCTGGTCCCGGCCCGATTAGCTCCTCTCCACACGCTAGAACTCCACTTGCGGCGAAAAGTCTGCCTGGGGTGGTTCCCGCAGTGGATCGGACAGCGCGCGCAGCTCCGTAGTAATAATTTATGTGCGTTGTTGCGGCTGAGAGCTGAATCGAGTTGCGATATTGCGGTGTTGGTGATGATGATGCCCTGACCCGGGGCAGGCCCTCACGTGACTACCGACTGCTTACGCATGTGCACGCTCATTCCAAGGGTCATCCCTACATGAAGGCCTTTGAAGCCAGCCACGCTTTGCAATCATTCACCAGAGTCACCAATGTCAAGACTACAGACTCCTCTGCGAGTAATTTGTGCAAGGTCGCTGTGTCTTTTTTTCGCGTTCGGGATCCGTCAACAAGTCCTCTGTTGTCAGTTGTCAGTTGTCTTCCAGCTTCCCCGCATTTCACTATCGACGGACGTCAAGGTACATCAACATCATGCAGATATAACACTTTGTTTGGAAATTCGAACATGGATCTGGTATTCGTTCTATCACAGTGATCCCAGCAAAATGCCCCTAAACTCCGCCCATGCATCGGACAGCGTAAACTTCATGCAATCAAACAAAACACTCTACCATGCACCGACAATACCGGCAATGGGGATATCGATGCCGGTGGTGTACGTTGCGCCCTCAGACAGCAGGTACACGTAAGCTCCACCGAGCTCCCTGGGGTCTGCCAACCTGGGCATACCGCCGTAGTACTGCATCTTCAGGTTCCAGTCCGCAGCCTTCTCCACGTAGTATGTCATTTGTGTCCTCACAAATCCGGGGGAGATGGAGTTGACGCGGATGCCGTGCTTGGCCCATTCCATGGCCAGTGTGTGCGCCATATTCCGTACGGCGGCCTTGGTGCCTCCATATGGTGCAGAAGGAGCGGCGCGGTTCGGTCGGTAGGATGTCATCGACGCGGTGAAGACGATAGAACCCTTGATGCCGAGCTCAATGAACTTGTTCGCAGCCGCCTTTGCGCAGAAGTATGCTCCGAAGACATTGAGGTTGAACAGCTGCTCGAGCTGTGGGCGGTCGAAGTTTAGCGCGGGCTGGTGCTTCGTCATGCCGGCGTTGGCAACCATGCCATCGATACGGCCCGATTGTGCGACGACCTGGTCCACAGCCTTGTTTACACTCTCTTCCGATGTGACGTCGCAGTTGACGTAGTGGACGCGCTTCGGATTTGCCTGCTGGAGGGCCTGGAATTCCTCACCAGGCTCGAACAGGTCGAATGAGTAGACCTCCTTCGCATCGTTGGCAAGGCATACGGTTGCAAGTCCGAGACCGATACCACGGTTTGCGCCAGTAATAACAATGACCTTGTTCTTCAGGTTGACCTTCCAGTCATGGTCGGGACCTGGCTCGGTCGAGAGGTACACCGGTGCAGGTACAGACTGGGCGACCTGGTTGGAAACGCTGTCTCCTGCTGAAGTAGGAGCAGCAGTTGTGGGGGCTTCAACGGCGGAGGGAGACATTGCGGCGAAGGTCTGTCGAAGTTTGTTCAAAGAAAAGGGTATCGATGGAACGGTGGGGAGACTTTGGAATGTACAAGACTGTGGTCTGGGCTCGAGCTTCTTTAATACATGGCAAGCTACCTGAGGGGCTGTGGTAAGGACTACTGCCGCGGAGCAGACCAGTTTCTACCGAACAATTCTGCATCGAGATATGACTTGCGGAACGACACATGCATCCACCAATGCGTCGAACCGAGGTCCTACCACGAGACGATTGCGTCTGGAGCTCTTCACGAGGACTTGAGTCTATACGCGAGAACCTGACGCTCGCTAAGTGGCATGCCTCGAGACGGGACACTCTCGCCTGATTGTCATTGGCGTTCCTCACTACGGGCCCCGGAATGCCACGCGTGGCTGGCTCCCGAATTTCACCCAATCAAGCCGGCAATCATGCGACGCTAACCCGCAAGACCAGGACCAGGTTGTAAGAGTTGGCGGTGGGAGGACTAGCCTTGTGCGGAGACCTCATGCGGTACAATCCGGGGCAGTCTTCCATCTCCGCCAGACTCTGCACCACTGACTACGATTGATCTATAAAGATTGATCAACACCCCTTGGGTGTGAAAGTCAACCGAACAGTCGGGCTCAGGCTTCTCTTTTTACCCTGTCCCATCTACCGCCGATTGGTACCTCGTGTCCTCTCACGAAATCGTGCAATGACTTCACCGCCTCACTCCGTCGAGCACTTCGACGTCGATACCAAAGGCATGGACGTCTCAAAGCACGAAAATGTTGAAATGTCGGATGGCATCTCATGGACCCCCGAAGAGGAGAAGAAACTCGTTCGCAGGATTGATACCCAGCTCATGCCGATAATGTGGCTTATGTATCTTCTTTCGTACATGGACAGGACAAAGTAGGATAGGCATAACCCCCTATTTCTGATCAATTTATTGACTGTTCTACAGTATCGGAAATGCGAAGGTCGCGGGTATGCAGACAGATCTGAACCTCACTTCCAACCAGTACAGCATCTGTCTTGTGGTGTTCTTTGGTGAGTGAAGCCGAAAATTTGCCTCGACTTGGCACTGACAACTGCAGTCACATATGTCGTCTTCGAAGTGCCCTCGAACATGTTGATTGTGAGGATAAGCCCGTCCATCTATCTTCCAATCATCATGACCATTTGGGGAGCCTTGACCTGCTGCATGGCCGCCATCAAGGACTACAAGCACTTGGTTGTCCTCCGGATCTTCGTCGGTGTTTTTGAAGCAGGTTTCGCACCCGCTATGCTGTTGCTCATGTCTTCCTGGTACAAGCGTGAGGAACAGTCCAAGCGCTTCGGTATATACATCTCTGCTGCCATCCTTTCTGGTGCTTTTGGTGGTCTCCTTGCTGGTGCCATCACGGGTGGTCTAGATGGAGCGGCCGGTTACGAGGGCTGGCGCTGGCTCTTCATCATCGAGGGAGCAGCAACCATGTTCGTTGCGATCGGCTCATACTTCATTCTCCTCGACTTCCCGGCGACCACTGCCAGCTTCTCTGATCGCGAGAGGGCAATTGCTGTTGCGCGACTGCAGCAGGGTGGCGTGACCGCCAGAGCCGAAGGTGCCGAGCGTATGAGCAAGGTCCAGTCTTTCATCCTCGCCATCAAGGACTGGCGCACTATCGGATTCATCCTCGGATACATGGTAAGCTAATCGCTCATGAAAACACAACGACTCCATGGCTAACAAACACAGGTCATCGTCGGCTCCTCCACACTATCCTACTTCTATCCTACCCTCGTCAACGGACTGGGCTACACTTCCACCGTCCAAGCGCAATACATGACCGTCCCCATCTACGCCGTAGCCTTCGTCTGCACCGCCATCACAGCAGTCTTCGCTGATCGCGTCCCCAACCACCGCGGTCTCATCATCGCCTGCTGGCTCTGCTTCTCCCTCATAACCTCCATCCTCGTCTGCGTCGTTTACAACTTCACCGCGCGATACGCGCTCCTCGTCCTCATGGCCGCCGGTCTCTGGGCTTCCAACGCCATCTCGCTCTCCTACGCTGGAGCCACCTTCGGAGACATGGAGCCCGAGGTGCGAGGCGTCGCGCTTGCGCTTGTCAACGCGCTCGGAAACCTTGCGCAGATCTACGGCGCGTATCTTTTCCCTGCTGATGATAAGCCGAAGTACCTGATGGGCTTTGGAGTCATCTCGGGCATGCTGGGCTTCGGTGTTGTCGTTTATGTTATCATGCACATCAAGACTAGGAGGAAGGATGGCATCACCAACTTCTTCAAAGACTAGAGGGTGGTTGTGATGAGGGCGCGATACCCAGTGCATTTGCGAGCGTTCGTGAAGTGACGCATTCTTTGTATATATGGCAGCATACTTGAATACTCTATGAGTTCATGATCAGCGACTCTCTTCTGAAGCAGTGGGAATGTGATTTGCGCTTCAGATACATGCGAGGCATCTATAAGATTCTCTATGGATCACAACCCCCAAGGCCAACCTATTGAACGTGCTGTCGAATTGAAACACGTATACCTCCAATTGGAGAACACATCGTCTTTCCGTCACTTGTAGATATTGACAGCATGCCAGCACTCAAACATTCACACAGTTCTCAAGCTATATGTAATCCTGTAGAAATACTCCTCCAACCTTACAATCAGTCTACTTCTTGGAGATACTTTATACAACACAAATCCCAATCCAGACACCCCATACCATGTGCATACCAAGTAAACGAAAAAAATACCCACGCCCAAACTACCTCCCCATCGGTCCAGGGCCACCGAACGGAGGACCACCAAAACCGGGTAACATGCCTCCCTACGGCGGTGCACCCGCCGGTAAGTCCCAACATCCTTTGCTCCTCTATCTAGCTGGAGTTAGAAACACTAACGGATCACAGGGCCGCAGTGGGGAAATGCAGGACCACCAGTACAACCAGGACCACCAGGAGTCTCTCGAGGGCGTGTCAAACGGTTCGTGCATAATCCTGACGGCACGCTTCAAGAAAGACCGAACGCTTGTCTAGTAACGCGGGAGACTATAGCTAATTATAATGCGCAACTCGCGAGGAACCCTGGGCAGCAGCCTTTTCCGCAAGGAGGGCCAGATCCGTTTTGGTCCCCTAAGGTTTGATTTATGTGGGCGCCCAGCAAGAGCCGGTATAATTTTGTTTTAAAGCAGGAGGAGGAGTGACTGGTGAGGAAGCTTGGCTCCATGAGACACTGTGTATTGCAATGCTTGACCAGTTCTATGAAGGGCGATGGGTTGGTGCTGAAGAAGCGGTATTGTATTGTACTGACTTGGCTTCTATTTATATTAAGCTCAGCTACGCGGGGTCTGCTTTGGTTGTAGATAGAACAACATTGCTTGGGTTGTCCCGTGATTTTGGTTTTGCGTGCTTGCACTGCGAGTACAATAGTACACTGTTGAGCTCTCAGCGTGGGATACTCATGAAATCAAAAATCCTGAAAGTCGACGAGATGACCAAGACCATGAAGATGCAGATTATTTCCTCTGGCAGACAAATTGACGGCTTGGGCGAGTCTTTGAATGCAATTCGTGAAAGTCGAGGGGCTATCATAGACATGTCGGATAGCTTGGATATCGTAAGCCTCGAGAATCACGAAGACAAGGTCATGTTGTGGGTGTGGTGTGGTGAATAATGACGCAATAGGCACATCCGATGCGATCAGGCAAATTCTGTGTTCGCAAGGTGCACACATCAGTGAAAGATGAGGACATTTGGTGGTGAACCTGCCTAATCGGGTAAATTCACGTAGGTGTTGATCGCAGGTGAATTCAACCTGTGAAAGTGAACCACTTCGGGCGGTTTGGAGAGTGGTGTGAGCACAGACCACACCGCAAACGGCAGTCCCACCTTCGCGTCCCACTAAAATTTCCATTTGCTTGCATCCCGCGTAACAACAACACCCGCAACGGCCACGATGCCTAAAAGAAAGCGTACAGAGCCCACTGGCCCCGATCCTCCCGAACACATAGCCCACCGCATCCTCGCTCGCCGCAAAAAGCAATGCACGCAGCGCATAGCCGCGGCGCAAAAGCCGCTAGTAGCTGCCCTCCGAGTCGCCGCCGGCCTCGAGCGCCAGAAACACAGTCGCAGGAAGAAGACGGCGCAAGCGAATAAGGATGACAAAGCTTCAGCACGTTTGGAAGCGGAGTATGCACACTTGAAGGGCTTAGATTTGGAGAAGGTTGCGGAGCAGCATCTGCGCAAAACGATTGGGAAAGTTAAGAGCCTAAGGGAAAGCGAGTACATGCCGGAGAGTGTAGGGGAGGTGGAGAAGGGGAGCAATGATCCGGCGTTGCTCAATGTGAAGGGCAGGTTGTTTAAGGTGGATGCGGTGCGGAGGGTGGTGGATGAGACCATTGATGAGTTGAAGGAGATTGTTGGAGTCGGCGCGAATGGTGCGAAGGCTGAAGGAAAGAAAGAGGAAGACAAGGCCGCGAAGAGTAAGAAGGCGAAGATACAGGAAGAGGAAGAGGAAGAGGACGAGGACGAGGACGAGGACGAAGATGCGTGGGCACAGAGCGCGTTGGCACAGAACGAAGAAGACGGGCGCCTTCTTGCAGCTTTTGATGCACTGATCGCAGCACCATCTTCTGCCGAAGACAGCAGTGAGGATTCACTATCGGATGGACACAGGCCACCGAGCGAAGAAGACATGGCTAGTGAGGACGAGGACGAGGATGAGGACGCGTTGGCACAGAGCGCACAGGCACAATTTGAAGAAGACAGGCGCCTTCTCGCAGATTTTGATGCACTTATCGCAGCATCATCTTCTGCGGAAGACGACAACGAAGGGACGGAAAGTGGATTGGTCTCAGACGTCACAGAAAACCAGGATTCAGACTCTGCATCTGACTCCGACGAGCCTTCGATACCCCTTCCTAAAGCCAAACGAAAAGCAGCCGACCCGAAGATCTCAGCTGACTCCAAGTTCCTCCCCACCCTCAGTCATCCCACGTACATATCCGGCTCTGAATCCGAAGCTTCCGACATCGAAGTCGCCCCACGCAAGAACCGCCGCGGCCAGAAAGCGCGACAAAAGATCTGGGAGCAGAAGTACAAAGACAAGGCGAAACATGTAATCAAGCAGGAGCGGGATCAAGGCTGGGATGCGAAGCGCGGTGCTGTGGGTGAACGAGGTGGAAGAAATGGACGGGGTGCACCGGTGCGCGGCAGGGGCCCTGAGGTGAGCGGAGCAAATGAGCAGCCACTGGGTGTCAAGAAGCCGAAGAGAGATGATGCGGGGTCATTGCATCCGAGTTGGCAGGCTGCGAAGGCTGCGAAGGAGAAGAAGATGGACATGAAGCCTATGGGTAAGAAGGTCGTGTTCGACTGAGCGTAAGAGCCCTGTGGATACCTGCCTCTGTCGAGAGCTTGACGAAATCGAAAGTGTACCCGCGAACGCCGGAAAGCGTATCTTCTTGATCTGCCATCCATGCAATGTCGTTCTTCTATGTTTACCTGCATGCTACGCCATTTATCCTTGCCTGTAGACTTGTGGCCTGTTGGTGCGCTTAACCTTCCTTCGTGGATGGGGATAATGCGGTGAGAGGGCTGATATGCGAGGCAATAAATGTTCCTTAATTAAGGGGATACTGCACAGAACTTCATCAATACCACCTGGGGATGAGGCGGTGAGAGAGCACTTGTTCCGTTCCTTCTGTGGAAATGACGCGTCTCCTTTCGAAGTGACATAGCTTGCTATCTAACGTCTTCTGAGATTGTCGTAGTAGATTGACATGTGCTTTCGTATCTATTCCACAGTCATGACGGTGTCGATTTGCCGAGTCCCTTAATGGTTGTTAGCTCAAACGCCTTCGTATCCTCTGCAGCCTACTTCTGGTAGTTTTTAGGTACGGGTGTGTTTCTTCATCTCAAATTGAGCTATAGTTCATTTCCCAAAAGTAAAAAAGCCAAAAGATTGTGTTAATACTTTTATAGTTTTCTGTCTTTTCGCCTACGGTGCAGTGTCACATCGTTTCTCGTCGCGTCTGGGCGTGGATTTAACTTCTGTGGTACTTGTACGAGGGCTCTGGTGGAGGGAACTGGGGTTGGCGATTGGAAAGATATGTGACTATGACGAAATACTTTCGAATAACAATTGTGAGCGCTTGTAGTAAGATAGGAGGGAATTGGTAGTGGATATAGCTAGTTGATGGAAGGCGAGTGCGGAGGGCCTGCTGACACTAATAAAAGTTGAAAGCCCGAGTCTGATCGATTTATGAGGGAAAAGCCGTGGATTGCTCTCTCCGTCGCAGACATGAATGTGGTTCAAGTTTTGCTACCGGTAGGCGAAGACTTCTAACAGTACATGTCACGTTTTGCTTAAGCTGAACGTAGGTAATGAGCTGGTTTGGAGCTTCGGAAAGCTTACGGAGAAGCTCCACTGATGGTATGGTCTTCCCGTTCCGCTGGAAACCTGTCGGTCAAAATGCTGAGGATAGGCGTTCAATATTAACACAAAGCGGGAGTCGTATGCCTTCTAGAGAGATTGGGAGGGTCAACGTACGTACTTAGTCCAGGGATGGACATCGCAAGATATCTATAGGGAGGTATCGTGATCATTGGGCGTGAAGTGTCTCAGCTACTTGTCGGAAAACGATTTATATAAAGAAGGACTAATTACATTAGGAGAGATTTGAGACACGAAAAGCACTATAACCACCTTTATCGTTATTACAACCACACTCCGCGAAGAGCTTCCCAGCGCCCCATTAACCCTGTGGTTTCCAAAAATTATAAGAAGTGGTCATTTCGAACTTATTTCCTCGTTACGACCACTACGGCGCTTTGAAATGCAGACAAATCTCGAAAGAGCCAGAACGGCGGGTCTTGTCGTATTGCTATGAGTAGCGAAGCGCATAGGACACACTTAGTGCAGGCATACCTTCGCCTGTTCTTCACACCACTTCCAAAACCGCTCTGCTGCACCCTTTTCAATTGCCTCATAGATATCCGCTCTCGGACTCTTCGCCTTCCTTCCCCACGGCCAGATGAACTCCCCATTCGCAACCTCTTCACTCAAGCCCGCATATGCCATGGTGTAAGCTCCATAATACGTGTCATACAAGAACAAAAATTTCAATATCCGTCGCATCACCCCCGGCACATACCGATACGCCTCCGTATTCAGATTACCCGGATTCTGTACCACAGAGTAGATACCATACGGCCCCCACGCCTTCGCAGCTTCGTGGCTGAGAAACCAATTACCGACTTTGCTGGTGGCGTAATCGGGACTTGAATTCGTTGTCTTGCCTGCTTCGATGGCTTTGAAATCGATGCCACCGGGTGGAGAGAAGGTGTCTATCATCAGCGAGCCGGTCCAGACAACGCGCACGCTTCCCTTAGGCGCGGACGTCGCCGCTTTCCGCAGCAGCGGGAGGAGCAGCTGCGTGAATAAAAACGGCGCGACGCAGTTCGTTCCGATATGGCCTTCGAGGCCTTGTGCTGTCGTCGTTCCAAGTGGTGCGCCGCCGATTCCAGCATTGTTCCATAGAACGTCTAGTTTCTCTTCCTGGGCGGCGAATTCGATTGCGGCGTGCTTCACGCTCGGTAGGTCTGCCATGTCTACGTGCAGATATTTAAGGGTCCCTGGTGTCGCGACGTCTGGGTAGGCTTCCTGGATCTTGTGGATGGCTTGGAGTGTGCGCTCCTCAGAACGGCTCGCCATGTATATTGTTGCGCCTGTTGGGTAGAGCATCTTCGCCAGTTCGTATCCGAGACCTTGGTTTGCGCCTGTGATGAGGAAAACTTTGCCTTTCTGTTCAGTGATGTTCTTCTCTGTGAAGGTTGGGGCGGGCGGATAGTGTTGGGTCCACACCGCTTTCATGAATTCGAGGGACGGCATTTTGGTCGTTGATATTATTCTGTAGTTTGCGTATGAAGGGGGAAGTTTGTGCAACAGATAATCTTGGTATTTAAGCTGAATAGAGAGCTGTATCCCGCCGTGCTGATGGTTCGCCTAGCCGTGAACTAAGATTAGTTGAGTAAGCGGCATCATCAGCGCTATCGCTCGAAATGTTAGATGCATAATCTTGGACATGTCTTGGCACTTATGGTTTTGACTTTTCCCCTCACCTTTCTAGACATTCCCAGGAGTTTTGATCGTTTTTGGGTGATGCTGAGGTACATGTGTATAACAAACCGCCGGAAAGTGCCAAGACATACCCAAAATTATGCATCTAATAGATGTCTCTTAGTAGTATTAAGTTAATACGTGCGCAAGGGTCCATATCTTTTATGCGGGGACGGACGAATCGTTTCACGTGTCAAATTTAACGGGGTTTGGGTCTTCGCCCACTACTTTTGTAGCCTCTACATTACACGCCTTCCCAAACATCTCACTACCTTTAGGTTGTGGGGACATACTACGCATCTGCCTTACTAATGATCTCCTGCTCGACCTTTCCATCGTTTCCAAGTACCGTCCGCACCTTGACCTTCTTCTTCTCTGTGCTTGCCTTACGCGGGTTCTTTGCTTCGAATATATCGTCCATTTCTTCCAGGGTCAGGCCCTTGGTCTCAACGAAGAAGAAATACATGAACACAAATTCGAAGATGTCCCAGAATACGAAGAACACGTAGAACCAGTATCCGATCTGTGAAGCGTCAGAAATCATTCTTTATTCATAAAGCAGGGTGTCTTACATTCGAGAGGGCAATTGGCGCCGCGAAGGTATTGATGAAGCCTGCTGCTCCACCGACAATCTTGTACGTCCCCATGCCCTTGGCGCGCATGTCGTTCGCCATGACTTCAGCAGGGTAGATGGGCTGCATCGCCGTGAACCCGAATGCGAAGATGGCGCCAAAGACAAAGATGAAGCCGATCGAGGCCTTGGAGCTGGTTTCGGATCCTGTGTTGACGTATCCTGCTGCAGTGCCTGCAGTGATGGAAAGCGCGATAATCAAGCCTGCTGTGGAACACAACAGCATCTTACGGCGACCAAAAACATCATGCAAGCGCGCTCCTGCTGTTGCGAAGATGTACCCTTCGACAGCGTACATGATGTTGAGAAGGAGCTTAGTGTCAGTGGACTTGATGCCGACGTTGGCTGCAAGTTGAGGAAGATAATAAGAGACAACACTGCCCTTCGTTAACAAAACACGTACCAACGGACAGCAAGGGCTCGACTCACTTGTTGCCAGAGAATTGACCAAACCACGCAAATGTCATGTTTAGCATCGTCCTGTATCGTCTCGCCCTAGTTTTGAAGAGCACTCGCAGATCGAAGAAGTTGCGCCAGTTTGATACCGGATCTTTGCGGAGAGATTCTTGCATCTCATACATCTCAAGCGCAATTAAGGGGTGGTTGGCGTCGCCGTTGGCGTGGTGCTTGACCAGAAATTTGCGTGCCTCTTCGTGTCGGTCTCTAGCGACCAACCAACGAGGACTTTCCGGGAAGAAGAGAATCACGCAGCAGACTAGGCCTGGGCACACCATCTGCAGCCAGAGTGGGAGGCGCCAGTCCATGTTCGTATCGGAGAGATGTTTGTGTGCCCCGTATACAGACGATGTTGCCAGGATGGAACCCTAGTGGACCAGTCAGTCTGACCATGCCAACGAAAATTATCGAGCAAGTGTACTATATCACTTACCATGTAGTAAAAAGTGTTGTACATGCCAGCTAATGTACCCCGATACTGTGGCGGCGCCACCTCTACCAGGTATAGTGGACTAGCCGAGCACGCCAATTGTGCGAAGAAGCTTAGCAAGAACCTACCACCGATGAAAGTAGGGAGAGTCTTCGCAGTCGAGGTAATGACCGTTCCCACAATGACACCCGCAGTTCCAATAAAGATTAGCCAGCGACGACCGAGCCAGTCCGCTACCCAGACGAAAAGAGCAGCGCACATCTGTCCAACCTGGAAGATGGCGAAGATGATACCGGTGGAAGCTGTGCCTGTGGTTGGGAGGTCGTAGTACTTGGTGTAATTGGGCAGAGCGTTTATCGAGCCCATGAGTGATCCATCAAAGCCTGACTTGTCAGTTGGAGGCTCTTGTTGGGACTCGGAATGAACAACTTACCGCTCATGGTCGAGTTCAGAAAGCAAATAGTAGCCAACGCGTACAACTGCAAATGGCCCTTTCCCCATGGATTCGGCTTGTGATTCGCCATAATGGTCGCAAACGAAGCGTTCACAGCCTCCACCTCGGTCTCTTCCACGATCTTCCTGCCATCCTCGGTCAACGTCTTCTCGCCCACGTACTCTGCAGTATTCGGTCCTTTGTCTGCCATACTCATCGCGTAGTTGTTCGTAAAGTGGACTTGCAAGAAGCTGCGGGGTTATATTACTCGCAGTCATTCGTTATCTCCCGGTAACCCGGCTGCTCGTTACCACCACTTTTGATAGCCAATCGTTAGCCATGTCACGTCGCATCCCGTCGTTGCACGGGTGTTCCTTCGCTTACACCACAGCACGAACATCAGGAAAGCCGGTGGTTCATCGCCCGAGCAAGTCATGTTAGCGGGCGGTATCAATCAGGGTCGCGATGATCGTTGCCTTGTTGAGACAGGCGTTCGAGTCCCCGCACCAGGCGTCCACCAAGCCGGTGCAAGCCTCGGAGCATAACCGAACGACGACCCCTTGGCAATGTCCCTTGGCGATGATTCAGCGCGGGATACCCTTTTCGCTCGCGGCACAAACCTTACTTCAATGTTAGAGTCTGAGTACTGTGAAGTCTGTGTGGGCAAGATGGCTATGTCGCGCTTTGAATTGAAGTCCGGCTGGACGTTCAAGAAGGGAACTCGCAACTCAGAGGCAGAGTATCTCCCCGCAAATGACCTCCCAACCGAAATACATTTAGATCTGCTCAAGAACAAGAAGATTGCCGACCCATTCAAGGACCTCAACGAATTATCTGTCCGCTGGATTGGCGATGAAGCATGGACGTACCAGACAACCTTCACCACTCCTCCAGACTACGGGAAGCCCGGCATTACCACCGCTCTCAAGTTTGGGGGTTTGGACACCTTCGCCCATGTCTTTCTCAATGGGGAAACACTTTTCGACTCAGAGAACATGTTCATAGAACACGTTGTCGACGTGACAGACAAGCTGGCAACAGACAACGGAGGCGAGCAGGTGCTCGAAATCATGTTCGAATCGGCGAGGCAGAAGGGCCTTGAGCTTGTGAAGGAGCATAAAGAGCATAGGTTTATCGTGCACCAGACGGAGATTTCGAGGGGCCCGGTCAGGAAAGCACAGTATGACTGGGGCTGGGATTGGGGTCCTATACTCATGACCGCTGGGCCCTGGAAGCCAATTGTACTCGAAACCTTTGAATCGAAGATCGTCGACGTATGGGTTGAGTACGACGTTGATGATGATCTGAAGCAGGCCGAAGGCAAAGTCTTCGTCGAGTACGAAGGGCTGGGAAAGCTTGAGGCGGACATCTCAAAAGACGGCCAGTCATTGGAGAAGCTTGATGAGTTCAAGTCCACGAACAAGAGCAATGTCATGAGCGCTGACTTCGAGCTTCCGGATGCATCTCTATGGTGGCCTCGTGGATATGGTTCACAACCACTTTACACTATTTCTGTCTCACTGCGTTCAGTGCCAACATCTACAAAGCCGGAAACTGTCATCGATACAGTAGACAAAACCATAGGCTTCCGTAAAGTAGAGCTCATCCAGGAAGATGACAGCCATGGCACGTCATTCTATTTCCGTGTCAATAACGTGGACATCTTCTGTGGAGGCAGCTGCTGGATTCCACCCGACTCATTCCTCACTCGCACTAAACCGTCATCGTATCGCGCCTGGATACGGCAAGCGGCTGAGGGCAACCAAACTATGGTGCGGGTATGGGGAGGCGGTATCTACGAGGATGACTCCCTTTTCGAGGCAGCAGATGAGTTCGGTGTAGTCATATGGCAGGACTTTGCTTTCGCCTGCGCAAACTACCCTGCCAACCGTCCTTACCTAGCTTCGGTGGAGACTGAAGCACGACAGAACGTCCGGAGACTACGTAACCACCCTAGCCTAATAGTATGGGCGGGCAACAACGAAGACTACCAGATCGTAGAACGCTATGGATTGGAGTACAACTACGCCACTGACAAAGACCCAGAATCCTGGCTGAAGACTAACTTCCCTGCTCGTTACATTTATGAGTATCTGCTACCCAAAGTCATCCGCGAGGAGACGAAAGGCGTACCGTATCACCCATCATCACCCTTCGGCAACGGCATTTCTACTACGCTGAAAGTCGATCCCACCGTTGGCGATATCCACCAGTGGAATGTCTGGCACGGTACTATGGAACCTTACCAGCGCCTTCCACGAATGGCTGGTCGATTCGTCTCAGAATTTGGCATGGAAGCCTACCCCCACGTCACCACGCTCGCCAAGTCCATCACTAACCCCGATGACCGCTACCCAGGCTCCATGGCCATGGACTTCCGCAACAAAGCCATCGGCCACGAGCGTCGTCTCGTCTCCTATGTCGCCGAGAATTTCCGCATTCGGTATGATCTCGAGGGCTTCACGCACCTAACGCAAGTCATGCAAGCGGATGCATTGACGTGGGCGTACAAATCCTGGCGACGAGACTGGAAGCAGTCCGGCAACCGAAAAGTTGGTGGCGTATTGGTGTGGCAGCTGAACGACTGCTGGCCCACTATGAGCTGGGCGGTGGTGGACTACTACGGTGTACCCAAACCCGCTTACTATGCTATCAAGCGCACTTTGGAGCCGCTCGTCGTCGGCGTACAGAGAAAGGTGAACGATTGGACAGTACGACTTGCCGATGAGCTTTGGCAGCGCGATACTAGCCACATCGATATGCGCAAGGTCTGGGAAGACGTACAGTTCGACGTGTGGGTCGCGAGCAACATGCGCGAAAGCATCAACGGGAACATCACTATCAAGTTTATCTCCGTCAGAACTGGAACAGAGGTTGTTGACCCGCTGGAGCGAGCAGTCCGCATTGAACCCAACGGAACGACGGAAGTCTTCGAGAGCGAGAAGGTCGACGTGCCCAACGCTCAGGATCCAGACACGCCATTCGACACATCCAAGGCCGATCCTTTCGTTATCTACACCACGCTCACCATCCACGATAAGCAGGTAGCAAGCGATATCTCATGGCCTGAGCCGATCAAGTATCTTGATTTCCCAGACCGCGGAGTACAGGTCGAATACTCAGAAGACAAGAGGAAGATATTCGTGTCGGCTAAGAAGCCGGTTAAGGGTTTTGTGTTTGCTGAAGATGAGGGGCTGAAGCTTTCTGATAATGGGTTTGATCTGGTGCCAGGAGAGCGGACAGAAGTGCACGTGCAAGGGAATACTGCGGGCAACTTGACGTGGAGATATGTAGGCGGTCTTTGAGCCTTCTCACATGAATCGCTGGTAGATATAATGGTTGTTCACGCAGATATGCTGATTGTTGTTCTGGATGGTAGCAACTCAATTCTCGTTACGTACATAGCCACTTGAGTTCGTGCCTTCACTTTAACCGTGATATCAACTCACGCAATTTCTCGATTGATCTACTAAAGAAGTCAGTTGATCCTAGAGTCCATAAAATATCGATGCTGGAAGCTATTTTCGACTATTGCAGAATGTGTCTTGGCCAATGTATCCCTTGATATCTACGTCATTCTATTGAGAAGACGAACGGCAAATACGACTTTGATCATGTGTGTCAAAGACAAACATTTTCTTGCAAGCTCTACTCATATATAACAGCAAGGTACATGCTATCGCTCCCCGACTCCTTCATTCACAAAGCACTCTGTAGGCGAAGCACCCAACTAAGCAAAGTCACTCGAACCCAGCATACACTCAAGCAGCATGTCTACGCAAAACTTAAGATCCACTACCACATCGACTGCACACTACAATGGCATGCTGTTCCACCGCACTTTACAAGACCTCATTGACCATGCCATCGGAATCGCAGCTGATATTACGGTCGTCCTACGGTGTTCCCTTAACGCACTTTTCGCGTGTGCAATCCTCTTCGGCGTCTGGAGGTCCTTGAAATCTAGACTAAACCACTCTTGGGCGTATTACATGGCATTTGCGGTAGGCGTAATATTAGGAGAGTTGATTGGCGGTTTTCGTGCCGGATGGAAGGCTGTTCATAGACGGATGAACGTATAGAGCTGCGGCGGTACGGTTGTGGTGCCTGTATTGAAGTGAAGGGAATTTGATGACTGGAGACCTGAAGAGGGAATAGGAGAGCTGGATTTGACGCGAGATCAGTTGACACCGGAAGTGACCAACTTACATGGCAATGCGAGGTATACGGGTTTGATGGTCAGCGCTCGGTTTCATAACGACATGACTGTACCACAGAGAATCGAGATTCCATAAAAACCTCCCTATACCATGGCTAGTGAGTTACTTTGTATGAACTAGTTTTGACATTATACTGGAGATTTATCAGCTTTGACTATGAAATGAAATACGAAGTGTATCTTGAAAGCCTATTAATGTACTAGTGAAGATGAGGCAACAGCTACCATGACTGATTGCAAGATCGCGTCGTTCGTACAGACCTGGGTATATGCTCAGTTTTTGGCAGCATGAAAATGGGACGGAGAAGTTCACATTATGCATTGCGCCACAACGCCTTGCAAGAATCTCTGTTTCAGCAACGATGGCAATGATGGCAATGATAAGACAGCTCTCATGTATCAGAGCCACACCGAAACCACCACGCGCGTCTAGAACACAAACAATTCCACAGGTGTCTAAGACACAAACAAAACCACACATGTGTAAGACACAGTGTCTATCATGAACCTGCCAAAATTTCAACCCGAAGGCTTTAAATATGCTCTGGCCTGTCTTCAGCTACTTCAATCTCCAAAAACTCAAAACAATCTGCAGACAAAACAGTGCACCTACGCCATGTCAACTTCAACTCCGCTCAACCGCGACCGCATGGCCGACAACAACTCTTCACCCAACACCCATCGCGGCGCATCACATCGCGCCTACGGCTTGGTCCTTCAGTACTTCGATCACTTCTGGGTCCACTATCTCACCAACCCTATGTTCTGGTTGATCTTCACAGTCACGCTATTATTCATCTGCATCGCACTAACGGAGATGATCTGGGAGCCGCCGTTCTTTGGCAATCCAATCTTCCGATCGACCGGCCCCGTAGATCGCTTGCTCGATCTCTCTTTCTTCACTATGATCTATTGCGTTATCGGATACCCGTTTCTCTTGGGCACTGCCCTTGTCATCTTATTTTCATGCGTAGCCGGACTCGCCTTTCTCTTAGGCGTCGTATCCTCGTCAATTGGCCTAGCTCACAGCTTCGCCGCCCTGCTAGGAGCTTTTGAGCGCGACTACGCCAACGTTCATCGTTGCCTTTCGTCTACCTCCCGACGGGCCGTCTTCCTCCTTCGCCTTATGTTTTACTATCTGGCTTTTCTCGTCATCTTTGCATGTATCTACGGTATTATTCTTGGAGGTTTTTATTGGAATAACAAGCCTTTCGAAAGCCCTGACGGGAAACACTACAGCTTGGCATTTCATATAGGAGGCGCAATCGTCACGGTCGTCAAGGTATTGGCTGTATATTTTATAGGGGCCCTTAAAGGAATTGCGTCTATTCCTGGGGAGGTGGTCGAAGGATCTCAGCGTGCATGGACTTCACCATTGCGGTAGTGGTTGGAGGTGGAAGTGAGAAAGGGAAAATCGGTCCGCGCAGCTTGCAAAGAGCGAGTGGGAAGGATTCGTGCATATGAGAGAAACGAGTGGAACTCGACGTAGGAAAGACGTTCGCTCGAAACGGTAACACAGCGTAATAGTGGGTTTGGGCGTCAGGCGTACATATCATTCAACAGACAGCATAATTCATTGAAAGGGTCTTCCAACCGATTTAGAAAACCCATACACATTTGCCATGACGATGAACGCTCACAAATTGCCGCCAACGATCCACACGACTCCTTTTGCCATCCCCCCTTCTACACCCTCAGCATAAGCCTAACCCCCATCTCACTTATATGCGCCTGAAACCACCCCTTAATCACCGCCTCTCCCTCAATTTCTAGCCCAAAATCCATCACCAACCTACTTACAGCCTTCACCACACAGAACCTGACCAAACTCTGCCCGAGACAACTATGCCTCCCGCCCCCAAAACCCAATCATACACCATCTATCCTGTGAATCTCTTTCTTATTTTGATCCATGCCGTCAGGCATCCGACGCTATAGCCCTCCTTAAAATACCCCTCAACCCTCACCAAAATTCAATTCAGCGCCACCCTCACCACTTCCATACTCCTCATGCAGCCCCGGCAGTTAAACATGCTTTCCCCCCTTCCACACATGCCACAAGCAACAGCCTCAGCACCGCTGCAATTTTATGACCCGGTAAACACGCGAGAGGGCGGGGCTACAACGCAGCCATCAGGAGGAGAAAAGCAAGGGAGATACCGACTTCCTCTCGTTGTCCCTCCGCGTCATCTTTATCAAGAGCCATACTTCCTCCTTACCCCCCTTAAAAACTAAACGCAAAACACCGCCAGCAATTCTTCAAAGGGCGACATATTAGTATACATACATACAAGCATCTTATCCCCTTGCCGCACCTCGCACACTTTCGAGCTTCAACTTCATTCCCGTCATGTGCGATTGGGCATTGTACTTCGTACATACCCACCACCCCGGCCAAGGATTGATGCTGATCTCACCGCGTAGTCTCCCTGCTGTAAGCGGTACCACTCTAAACTTGAACTATATACCTCGCAATGTATCAGGCACGCCACACCAGCCCTCGCTCACGGGTCAATCTACGCGCGCCTCCGCATAGGTCCACCCCGATTTATCGCAGCACTTCAAAACCCCTAAGAAACACACTTCACATCTCAAGAGTATGCATCTTCATTGATAAGTCTCAAAACATGACTGGCTCGCTTTTCGTTTCCATTTCCCATGAGACAGACGCCCGACGAAAGCTTCAACGATCCGCATCCCGCCTGCATGGTGCGCACCACCTAACATAATGTACATGTACAATAGTGCTTCTTTCTTCCGCACTTCATTTTATCCCCTCCGCACCGCAGTCCGACCTTTCGATGCCAATTCTTTCCGCGAATCGGTGACCTTCCAATGAACGCAAACGTTCGGGACATCACCTATACAGATCTCAACATCGTATCGTACATCAGTTGTGGTCACCAAGCAGCGGCTGGTTCTCCCCACTTCCACCCGCATTGCCCTTCTTCTTCTTACCTCGCTTCTTACGATTCTTCTTCTTGCTGCTGCTTGCGCCTTGCGAGTCATTCGGCGTACCCTCCGTATCCGTGTTTGCGTTCTCTTTGTGATCTTGAGCACCGTCAGTTTGAGCAATCACAGTCTCCGAATCACTCGAACTGGTAGTCTCCAGCACGATTTTCCTCACGCCGTTGGCTTCCACAATGTTCTCAGAGATACTACCACTGCGGGCTGTGTGCCGCTTCCTTGGTGGGCTGCGGGACTGCGATGGGGATCGGCGGAGCGACGCTACGGTGCTGACGGACTGCGATCGCTGCTTGGAATTGGAGTTGGAGCGGCCGCGGTCCTCCTCGGCGTTCTCGTTGACCTGGTGAGATTTGGGTGAAGCTGGCGCCTCTTCATCATCCGCATGTTGTCTGGGATGGTCGTCTTTCCAAGACATACGATCAGCGGCCATGGTTCCGTAACCCACGGCAACGCTGTGTACTCCATCGCTAGCCTCTCGTCCTGTGTTTCGCATTAGCTCGGCTTAACATATCAAAGTGTTTGTATTATCTTACCTGCAGACTCCAGCAGCCCCTCTCCCACGCCGCCTTGGGGTGCATGTGCAGATCTGACGCTTATGACCGGACTGCGAGGCATACGGTCCTCAGGGATTGTGTTGGGAATGCCGGCTCCGACACCTTGTTTGATCTTGACAGTGCCAATGCGAGTTGCCTTGGGACGGCTGGCGACGTTGGACGGGCCCAGATGCTTCAGATGCTGTCTAATTTCCGGATCGTCGCTGCGGATGCCTCGAGTCGTGGCTCGGTCCAAAGAGCGACCAGCAGCCCCGCTGCTCTTGCGACGCAGGAGGAAAGTCGTAGCTTTGGTGGTAGGAGTCTCTTGAAGAGACAGCCTCTTTCCATTCCCAGAGCCATTCTCGGACTGTTCAACCTGTAGCTCTCCGTCCTTGACCGCCTCGGTATGCTTCTGCGAAGGGTCGGCGAGGATCTCGCCTTTTGGTACGCGTGTACGGGGCGCGGGGTGTATCCGACGAATGGCCTGTGGTTTGTGTTAGTATATGGTTTAACCGCCTAATAGTCGCGAACGGTAATGTACCTTATGAACATCAACAAACACATCCGACTCGTCGATAATCTCTTCACCGATGAGTTCCTCGATAACGTCTTCCAAGGTCACAACCCCAACAGCGCCATAGGAGTCGCCTGGGAAGTCAGAGACCAAAACCATATGCGATTTTCCTTCCTGGAAGAAGTTGATGATGTCCAAACAGCTGGTCTCCGGGCGCGTTTCAGGGAGGGTGGCCAACGCAAAGTCGCGTACGCGCAGAGCGTCCTCGGGGTCGTATGTGATGAGCATCTTGACAAGAAGCATGCCAACGAAGTTGTCAGGGTTATCGGGGGTGTGAATCGGGATACGGGAGTAGCCAGCAGAGAGGATGTTTTCCATCATCTTCTCATCCAGCACAGTATCGGACGACATAGTGAACACATCATCCATGGGTGTCATGATGTTTCCGACAGGCTTAGCCTTCAAGTCTAATACGGCTGAGATGATGGTCACTTCGTCCTCATTGAGACGATCGTCTGGGCTGGTGCCGAGCGTCTTGTGGAGCGTGACAAGAGTCTTCAATCCAGCTTTCTTGTATGTAGTCCCGTGGTCTTCTCCGAGCAGATAGTCCAAGAGTTTCGCAGTGGGCCAAGCAACGGGCGCCATGACGTACATCAGAGCGAGAACAACGGGTGCCATCCAAGCCCCGATGGGCAGGCCGTAGCGAACGCATATCGATTGAGGAACGACCTCTCCGAAGATGACTGCATGTTGTCAGATGTAGAAGGATATCGAATGGACAAGGGATGTTTACCGATCAAGACGGTAGAGCTCAGGACAGCAGGCCAGCCTCCACCGAGGGACCTATCAAGTACGATGGGCAGCGTTTCGTTGGTAATGACGTTACTCAACAGCAATGTCACCAGAACCCAGTGTTTACCCCTCTTGAGCAGGCGTAACACCCTAGTTGCATTCTTTCGCTCCGAACCTTCCCCAGACGATGCGATGACTTGGAGGTAGATCTCATCCTGGCCCATCAAGCTGTATGGAACAACGTTAGCCACTGCGCAAGTGTACATGCTGCCGGTGAGATACTTACGCGATGGTCAAACCGGCAAATACACCCCCGGCCAGGACGAGGGCAATGGCGATGCCCAGGTACAGCCATAGGCTCGCATCGGCAGGCGAATTGGGCTCCTCATCGTCGAGCGCGTGAATAGCGCCCTTGTGGAAGAGGGGTATAGCCTTCACCACGGGCGCGAAGCCGTAAAGGAGGGCGAGCCGGGCGACGTTGATGGGGGCATGGCGGGCCCACGGTCGGACGTTGGCGGTGCCGCTTGAGCGAACGGAGCTCATGGCCGATGCCACAGCTTTTCAGGCGTGCTGCGACGCGGAAAATGGGGAGGGTAGAGGGCAATGGGCGGCGCGACAGAGAAAATGAGCGTCGAACGATGCAGAGTTGAGGAAGTCGCGAGAAAAGTGGGTCCGTGCGGGACGGCGGGCTAGAGGGAACAGGGAATAACAGCGAGCAGGCACAAACGAGCCAAGTCCTGGGCAACTTTGTTTGCTGATGATTTCCTTATTGATTGTTCATGATGTTCGGAAGGACTGACGCGTTCTCTGCCTCGAATTGAGTGCTGATGTGGGCTGCACTACATAGGATCACTCACGTCTAGACGCACGGCGCCGAAAGCAGCCTTCGTCATCGTACCTTAACGAGCACTCTCGAACCACGCCTAAAAGGCCAATGCTCAATCACGTGTCGTTCGCGGGGATACAATACGCTTGGCTCGACTAACTCCGTCTGGCATGTTGTCCTAGGGTAACCCGCAGGTAGCCGTCGGTATTCGATTGCTTGTTCGGCAATGCCACAACTCTCCACGTCCTGTCAGCCGCTCAAGTTCCCCAGACTTTTGCGTCTTCTCCAGAACATGTAACTCCAAGACCTAGACAATGGCCGCTAAGAGTCCCTCCATCCGCGCCCTCTCGCGATACCTCCTCCGCCCACAAGCGCCTCTGCACCCGAGGTGCCGGCAACAATGCTACACCAAACGGTACTCTTCTGCAGTAGCCGGAGCACGTCTCAATGGCACCGTCGAATACGACACCACACCGCTGCTGTATCATACATCCAAAGCTGCTCTCGCGAACCCAGAACTGCCTGAGGATGTCCGCAGAGGCCAGACAAAGCGCATCAACCTGTACCAAGCCGTGAACGAGGCCCTTCGTCACGCTTTGCAATCGGATGAAAGAGTGATTGTGTTTGGAGAGGATGTACAATTTGGCGGAGTCTTCAGAGCTACAATGAACCTCGCGAGCGACTTCGGGACGGAACGCGTCTTCAACACGCCGCTGAGCGAGCAAGGTCTCGTTGGGTTTGCCATCGGCGCTGCGAGCGAAGGCATGAAGCCTGTCGCTGAGATCCAGTTCGCCGACTACGTCTACCCAGCTTTTGACCAGATCGTGAACGAAGCGGCCAAATATAGGTACATGTCAGGAGCAAACCAAGTGCATTGTGGAGGACTGGTTGTTCGCATGCCGACCGGTGTAGTGGGGCATGGTGGCCTGTGAGTACTTCGCCATGCATCATGATACATCCAGATGCTAACGACACTGCAGCTACCACTCGCAGTCGCCCGAAGCCCTCTTCACTCACATACCCGGCCTCCACGTCGTCATTCCTCGCTCGCCCACCCAAGCCAAAGGCCTTCTCCTCTCCGCCATCAAGTCAAATGACCCAGTCGTCTTTATGGAGCCCAAGATTCTCTACCGTGCCTCCATCGAGCAAGTCCCTGTCGACCCCTTCTACCTTCCGCTCGACAAGGCCGAAGTCCTGAAGACTGGTAAAGACCTCACCATTGTCTCGTACGGACAGCCCCTATACACATGCTCAGCAGCGATAACAGCAGCGGAGAAAGACTTTGGGTGCAGCGTTGAATTGGTTGACTTGAGGACCATTTATCCGTGGGACAGGGAAACGGTCCTTGACAGCGTGAAGAAGACTGGAAGAGCGATTGTAGTGCACGAGAGCATGCAGAATGCGGGCGTAGGCGCTGAGGTGGCAGCAACGATTCAAGAGCAGGCCTTCTTGAGGTTAGAAGCGCCGGTAAAGAGGGTCACTGGATGGGCGACATTCACAGGCTTGATGTTTGAGCCGCTGATAATACCGGATGTCACAAGTAAGCGCACTTCCCTCGTAAGAATTGCAAGCAGATTACTAACAGGTTCCAGGAGTTTACGACGCTATTAAAAAGACGTTAGACTACTAGATATGATCTCACGAAAGCTACGATAGACTAAGCCCGCGATGGCGCGGTTACCACGCCAAAGAACGGGATCTACTTGGTAGTAACACTATTTATCAATGACCCTTACCAGAGCACTCCAGGACTCTAAAATTCAACAAAGAAGCATGTGTTCCTACCCCAGCCCCGTTCCCATTGCGCTAGACCCCACCGTTCGCCCGTTCGCTTCCTATCCGCAGACCCACTCCACAACCTAACCCCATCCCACCACCCTCCCAAAAAACAACCCTCAAGACCGCAAAAAAGAAAGCTGTCGCTTCTGTGGATCGAACACAGTCTATTTCCCCTCTGTCAGCGATCGCGTCCGATCCATCAAACTATTATGTGGGTAACTTACACCTCCAGATGTACATTCGAATTGAACCGAAGTTTGCCGTAAACGGATTGCTTCAGTCTGGCGCTCTCCCAAGTGAGCTAAAGCGACTGTGCTTTTGATGACTAACACCAGAGATGCAAAGTACATATACTGGGGAATAGATGTGCTGCGGGAAGAGTAGTCGAAGTTGCGGGAGAAAATACTAGCGGCGAAGTGGGTCCGCGTAAAGGACGGAGTCAAGCGAAGGTAGGAATGCAACATTGCGCAGGAGAAACCAAATAAGCTGATTCAATTATTCTAGACAGTGTTCCAATTCAATCGTTGGACCCTATCCTCATATAGTCGGTGCAGGTATCCGCTGTACCCTCCATAGACACCAAGCACCTCACACCCCTCTCTACACCCCTCTCTACACCCCTCTCTACACCCCTTCTACACCCCCTATACATACCCTCCTACACCACCCCGCCCCTCCTCCGCCCCACTCGCGGCCCTCTACTCTGACCGTCGCGCCCGTCCTGCCCATCTAGATAACCCCCTTCCGCACCTAACCCTCTTCACAGCGGTGCACACGGCTCAATGGTCTAGTGGTATGATTGTCGCTTCGGGATGTAACGCCTGGATTCTACACGGATTTGTAATGTGACAGGCCCCGGGTTCGAATCCCGGTTGAGCCCTGCTTTTTGGCGGTGGACTGCGGACGAGAGGTGGAGGGGAGGAGGAGGGAGTGCTTTTGGAGGTGGAAGGGTTTCTGAGAGACTTCGACGGTACGTCGTAGGCGAGAACGCTTGAAAGCTTGAAAGGGTAGATTTGAGCGTGCAGGAGTACGTTTCTTGGTTTGCTAGATATTAAAGCAGCTGCGCCGTACTTGAGTGCGGTACCTTCACCGAGAAGTGTTCCAGTGGGCAACAAAGGTGGTCCTCGATCAGTCCGTGCATACGCGCCTTTCTCTTGCCTACACATGGTACCAAGCCGTATATCTGCAGACCATACAAGTCTAACGTCTTCTCACACTGCAACGTCTACATCCCGTCCAACCACCCCACCTCATCCCAGCGCCGGATCCCCCACAATAACTGCGGTACCATCCCCCACCCTTCCTTACATCCAGCACGTCCAAATAACCTACACAAGCTCAACGCCGTTGCGCCCAGTTCCACTCGCCCCAGCCGCGTAGGTAGCACAGGTACCGACCGGCAGTTGGCACTGCACCGGCCCAAGTACCGATGCCGCGCAATCTACGGATCTACCGGGGTCCGTCATCTGCATGACACCAAAGATGCGGGGAACCCCCGGGACGCAATGCGATCGCGCTGCACGGTTGTTTGGGGATAGATTGCGTGGAGACATGGGTTCTCTTTGTCTTGCTGCGAAGAGAGGGTGAGGTACACTGCGTGTGTACAAAAGCGAGTTTCATTTTTTCATCTTCAACAGACTGGAGGGATGAAGGTGTGTTGGAAATAGTCGGCATAACGACCGGGGTATCATGGTACTATCTAAGAGACTTGCTTGCTACTGCAGATTCTGTTGGCGACCTTCACGGCCACCGACTGTGTCTGCCGTAGGAATCGTCGCCTGCCCATCCGCCTGTTTCCCACCGCTCGTCAATCACCCTGTCTCGACCTCCCGCCGTCACCGTCGTGCGTACCTGCACCCTTGGCACAAGCGGTGTGTCGCTCCTCCGGTACACACTCCCTTTGTCGAGGTCAAAATCAAATGCGCCTAACTCGCTTTGCAGCTGCTTCTCTACACGCTGCCGGACTTCTTCGGCGCGCGTGTCGGTTTCGAAGAGGAAGGCGAGTTCTTCGAGGGTGCGGCCGTAGGTTTCGGGGAACAGGAGGTACTGGATCACGAATTAGTATGGTAGAGTTAGGTTTGTAAGAGAGATGTGAAGACTTACGATGAAGACGATTTCGAAGGAGAGCCAGCAGCAGTAGGTGATTAGCCAGCGCCAGCTTATTTCCCTCAGGCCGATGGGATTGACAAAGGTAGTGAAGAACCCTGCGCCGCGGCCAAAAAATTGGAAGATTGTTATGCCGCGGGCTCGTTGGGCGAAGGGGAAGAGTTCAACGAGGAAAGCTGTGTGGGGTTAGCTTTGCTTCCACGCCTATCTGCCAGTTGTCTACTGTCGGGCAACTTACTGTATGTCAAAGCATTATAGCCAATGTTGTAACATGGCTGATACAAGAAGATGAAAAATATGGTGATCTTCGCTGCCACCTGCGAGTGTTTCTCCAAAAATTGCTGCATTGCCACTGTCCATCCCACGTAGCAGCAAAGCAGCGCCGTTGCACATGTCAAGTACATGACTCTTCTCGGGAACCGTCTCACCAGCAGACTGATGCACACTGCATTGACCAGGTTCCAGCTGTTCAGGCCGACGTTCAGTTTCCCCTTGAAGTTCGGATCCGTGTAGCCAATGAGCTGGAGCAGGTCTGACAGGTAGTATGAGATGAGCGTGTTGCCGGACCATTGTGTGAAAAGGCCGAGGAAGGAGCCAATAACTACGCGCTTGCGCATTCCGGGTGTAGAAACCATGTCAAACCAGGAGCGCTGGGAGGATTGAAGTTCGAGGCGGATCGTGGATTCAATCTGTGCCATTTCGGCGAGGGCGAAGTCGGATTGGGAATTACCTTCTGCATGATAGTGGACAAGTATCCGATACGCTTCCTCACGCTTGTCTTTCGAAATGAGGAATCGCGGGGATTCGGGGATGAAGCTGCCATGTGTAAGCTTATGTATGAGTGCAAGATAACAAAGATGGGCAAACATACAATATGAAGATGATCTGAAGCATGGACGGACCAGCTTGCAAAAGTGATGGTATTCGCCATGCCCAGTCTGAGTGCAGATGCTGTGTGCCGAAAGACACTCCTGCGGCAACGAGTGCTCCCACGAAGTAAAGTGCGTTGAAGAGGGAGGTCATGATAGGGCGTTCTTTAGGATATGCGAGCTCTCCCATGAGCGAAGAACCGGCGATGATGCAGAAAGGAATCCCAAACCCTAGAATCCAACGGGCCACCACGTACATGGCAGCACTGATGGAGAAAGCCTGTACAAGCGAGCCAACCACCATGATCCAGCTTCCTAGGAAGATAGCCCATCTTCTTCCAAAAGTGTCATTGACATATGGCACAAATGGTAATGCACAGATTGCACCGAGGTTGTAGGCGGCCGATATGATGCCTAACAGCGCTCCCCTTGGATGATTGAAGTCTGCTCGGTGTCAGTGTTTCCGTCGTTTCAGTATTGAGGGAATCGCTTACAGTCCTGCCATGCCGGTGATATCTGGACTGTGTTGATCATTTGCGAGTCAAACCCACTTGTCATCTCGATGCCAATGCAACATGGCAACAGTAACGCGTACAGGACCCTCAAATTCTTCTTTTGGTACCATGGTGTACGATCTTGCTGTACGATTCGTGTCAAGATAGGGTCTGCCGCTTGTGCTCTCGCCGCATTGCCGATTGGCGCCATCTCTTCAAAATCCCAGTCGCTCTCGTCACTTCTTCAATTCAGGTTCGTTATCGTATGCACATTCGACACTTCGAGGCATTACAGGCCTCCAGTACCTTCTCTTGGGCCTGATGTAATGGAACAGGAATGGTGGAGGTCAGCACACGCGCGAGCGGGGGATCTGCTACATCTTAATAACTTTCCCATCACCGGGGGCCTGGTGCAATCAATGCGTCCATCTGGAGCGCGCAGGATCTACGCCGGGGAGTGCACGCTCGACGGTCATCTGCGGAGGTGCTCGCTGAACCTTGTCGCGTAAGCGTAATATGCATATACGGCGGGTATTGGCCAATAGCCGGCACGGAGAACCCGAACGGGGCGTATGCGGGTAAAAGAGCAGAACTTATTGAGAGAACTGGAACTTCGTATAGTTACGCCGCGCTGAGCTTTGTGTTTGATCTGAGTGGTGTGGCGGCGTAGTCGATGCAGTCACCTCGTGCCGCTACAGATGCGACGAGAAGCGCATCACCGCATGCAATCTCCTCTGGTGCGAACGATCCGTATCCGACCCGACTCTGCTGTTCTCTTGGTAGACACACGAGCTTCCCACCGGCAATGGGGGGCAGGATCCAAGTCGGCGATCCGGACGTCGACAACCAGGGCGATCCTTCGCTACCCAATCACGCCAGCCTCCCCACAATCCTCCAACCTCCTAGACCGACACCTGGCTATATTATGACATAGAAATAACCTCCAAGATACACTATGCCGCATCGAAGCAGGCATCCAAGGCCCCCAAGGATCTGGTTCGCTCGCGTGCGCACATGCGACTTAGCTGCTAGGCCCCCTTTTGGCCGGATAAATTAAACGTCGAAGGAACAGAGAACATCGCTTGCGCATTCGCCTCCGCATTCGCCGTGCCGTCGTTATTTCCCCGCATTCGAGGGTTGGAGCATGATCAATGCTGGAGCTGAGAGGCGTGGAGCGGACCTGTCAGGACTCCGGGGAGCACTTGACGAGGTGTGAGAGAACTGCAGGTGTGTGCGTTTGAGTAACAAGACATGGATCTTTCGCTTGTGTCGAGTGAAGTGAAAGGAAGGTGCTTGTGCTGCTTAGGGGCTATTTTAGTCGCTCTTCGCTTACGTGATCGTGATGCACGTGAACCCGTTAGGGTTGCGAAGCTCGACTACTGATACATCGCCTGAACTTACATCCTCGCATAAGAAACATTCGCTCACCGCATCCATTCATTGGAAGCTTCACGGTAGCCAAGTCGTTCATTTATCTCTTGGGGCGGATTGGGTTTGTAGGATTGGGTTCGAAACGCCACTCGGGGATGATGACGAGTAGGCGAGCACGAGCCTACATGAGCTCAAGGTCAGCTATAACACACAAGGATACACATTCTGGAAAATGGGCAAGCCATAGCGAAAATGGAGAACCTCTTGGAAGCTAATGTATGTAGGACAGTCGCTTGAACAGTGCTGGCCGCAAAGGGTCTACAGTCATTGTCTTATCGTATCGCGTATGCGCTGCGGTCGCGCATGGAATCGCCTACGCTGCTCGTGCCTGCATCTTTCCCTAGGCCGGATGTGGGCTGGATCAACGTTTCCAGCTCCGGCACCGCATTCAGCTATCTCTACAAACGTAGGGGGCGTCCCGTTCCGTGCCGTATAACGTACTTCCGCCTTAGCACGCCTCAGGCGTCTCATGTCGTGCGCCTTAATAACACGAGAACGTGCGGGTTGCTTGATAAACGTGCAGCCATGAGCATGACCACCACATCCACCAATATCCACTTTTACGAAGCGACGCAATGCACTAGGTCGCAAAACGGAAATCAAGACTAATTCGATCGAGAGCTGAGAACCCGAGATATCGAAAACCGGAGCACTCACCGCTTCTTTCCTACATCGTCAGTGGTCGCTATGTACACTTGCTGCTCTTCCGCAGTAATTGCGTCCCATTTCTTCGCCTGTTGGTTGTTTCTCCAATGCTAATCGAAGTATGTGCCTGGATATTGTCTCACGCACATCCAGACACAGATGACTAGGAGACCTTTGTCCGCTTTAAGTGTCGTGGCGCATCGTTTGATTATTAGACTGAAGGCTGTCAGCAATTGCTCTATAGCTAAGAGGCAGATTCTTGCTGTTCGCTCCGATTATCCCGCTAATCTGTACAAACTTACTGTACAGTGAGGCGTAAACGGTGCGGTTCTGAACAGAACCTGCGTTTCTCGAAGTCCAAGCAACTTGGATGGGATGAGTGCTTGTATTCGTCAGCTTCTGCCGCATTCTTTTAATTTTGAGTGACCTACTGGGGAAAAGAGTACCGCCATCTTGATTGGAAAGTGGGCCTAAGGGCCCATCGGCTCGTTCAATGCAAGTAAATCTGCTAAAAACAGCATCAAACAAATATTCTCTGCCATCGACACAAAACTCCGGTTGTTCACCAGCTCGCTGAAGACAGTGATATTGAACGTTTGACCCAGAGCCATGATAAGGTGGGGGAGGAACTTCCGGAGGGCACCGATAACGCTGTACGGAAATGGGTTGATGTAGGATATCTGAGACAGAGAAATACTGTCACAAGGCTGCTTCTTTCACAGTCTTCATAGAAGTGAGTGTTTCTCTCTTATCACTCAGAGACCTTGCGTTTGTCGAGCATACGGATCCTGCTTTCCTACTCGGCGTTGCAAAACGATCTCAGGTAGGAGTTTCTGTCGGATTCCAGACTTCACAATTAAAGGGCTTGAATGGGTCCGCAGCAGATCATTGTATTTGTAGGAACTTGCGATTCGCGTTGAGGCCTTTGCAAGGCTCGTTTTATGTGAGGCATCGTGATATAATTGTGCTGCTGTACTCTGAGGTTGCGCGTCGGTAGATCTCCTTCCCGCGCCACTGTCAGCTACTATTGGATAGTTCACTCTTAGCGTGCCTGTTGAATGGGGCATACCAGACGCACAACATGTTCGCTGACTCCTGCATCTATTGATATACGTGCACTTTTCTCCAAAGTTGCTGTACCAATTTCCACATTCCGAGTCGCACCACTCTGGCTTTGCTAGCCCTGTCAGAACTCAAGATACTCCGATAAAGACGTCATCTGCTTACCCGGTCGCAATGACAACTGACATCATCGCACTAGCCAACGCGCACATCGACTCCTATGCCGCAGCTGCAGCGCGAGGTCGCGACCAAACCATACCACTCCAAGATCTTGCCACACAATATTCCGTTCACTACCTGCCATCCTGGACCGCCTTTGCTCTCGGTACCGCTTTCCCATCCAATGCCCGAGAAGATACCCGAAAAGGCTTGGAGACTACTCTGGGACTCTACAAACGAAACGGCTTGGGCACAGATGTTCGCAAAGTGACTAGTCGGGTAGTGAGAGTCAGCGCGACAAGTGCGATCTGTTTCATCACGTGGAGCTTGCATCCGCCTAGTGAAAGCCCAGAGAGTAGGCAAGGAGAGAAAAATGCTTTGGAATTTGAGGATGTGTATGGATTTCGGGTTAAAGAGAATGGGGACCTGAAAGGTGGATGGGAGTATGTTGTCGCGGATCAAGAGGTGGAGGCTGTGCTGAGTAGAGTCCCGGATCTCTATAAATGAACCCGGTTTCATGAGATTATTCATTTGCCTGATAACAGTTTCGAAACTCTCCGTTGTCCCTCCATCTCACTCATGCCACTTTGTGTGGCGAATAGTAATGCAATCTGGGCTCAATATGACACTAGCCCCCCAGGAAAGGAACGATCTTATCGATGGTAGCAAAGCCGCAGCATGTAGCCCATCCAGGTTTCCCCAACACCACGTGATTGGTAGAAAGATAGGACAACCCATAGATCCCAAACACACATCAATAGTGCAGCCGTCAAAATGATTAAGCCGACCATGGCCTTGTCGCGGCGCTTGAGAAGTGGCTCCTGAACGACGCCAAGGACAGTATTCGTGCCTCCCTTGACCGTGGTTCGCCAAATTAAGAAAGTGAAGCATATCTAGAAGAAATTAGCAAGATGTCATCAAAAGGAAGCGCAACAGAACGTCTTCCCAGTTCGAATAGGATATAATGCATCACGTTAGACATTTGGCTGCATATGGGTAATATAGCGCCAAACAACCGACTATGATGGAGCGTATTGCCGAAGGAGATGAAGAGGTACCTACCGTCCAGCCTAACATGAACATCGAGACGTAGATATGGTATCGGGTAGATTTCAAGCCAAAGTCTACACCTGGTTCAATTGGAAGCTGAGGGATATGTCGACCAAGATCAAGCTTCGGCTGGCGAGTTTCTTGTAAGACCGAGCCAAGCAAGGCAAGCGCAAATCGAATGCAGCGGCATACTTGCAAACCAAACCAGTGTCTCACTGAGAGTATCCGTAGCTGGTAACACAGGTTTGGCTTAGAAACATGTGCAGGCAGGGCCGTTGATGAATTGACGAGCTGAGGAAGAAAAAGTCAGCGTGTGTACGAACAGCTCGCAAACCGCACAATCTTACTTACCTTGCTTATCCAGTACGGGATAGATTGTTGTGTGAATCGTGCGTAAATGAGCTCTGAAGCCAGCTTGCCCCATAGAGGCAACTTGGCATAGAAGACGAGAACTTGATAATGCGCCATTAGCGCGTACTCCACGATAATAGTGTTCACCGTCATCATGTATCGCTTTGTGGCCACAATCATTGACGGTCGAAAGAGTTGTGTCCTGCATATCGGGCATAAGTCGCCATGAGGCGCGTCTGCGAACTGCTGGATGCAATCGCGGCCGAAAACATGGTTGCATGGAAGTACCCGGGCGGCGGGATGGTCGTCATCATATTCTCCCCAGCCTAAAACAAGATGTTAGTGAACCATTGGCGAAAATTAAGGGGGTGATAAAATTATCGATGCGTATGGAACGAATGTTCCTTTGCGTCCGCTTGGGATGTTTTCGACATTACATTTCTCAAGCAGACAGGGCGAATGTTCGAAACAACTTACAAAAGGCACACTTATTGTCATGGAACGCATCGTTGTCGTTGGCCGGGACAACACGCGAGCTAAGAAATTTAGCTTTGGAGTCGAGTGTGAAGTAATCCATGGTAAAGCCTGGCGGTTGATGGTATCGAGTATGATTGTCGCTACAGAGTTTAGGGTGAAGGAACGTGGGTTTTGATCGCGTGTCTCTGTGTCTTATCTCAATTGGTAAAGCGGGTCTGCCCCATTGAATGAACCCTGGGGCATGTCCCACGTGCTTGCGGAGAGCAATGATATTGAGGTCTGGGGTGAAAGCGGGTAGTCGATTTATACGTATGGTGCAGCCTTGGGCTTGCCAGAAGAGAAGATATGTAGCCTATGAAAGTTGGAAAGTTGAATCTAGGTACGAAGTCTCCAGCGACTAGGGTAATTAGTGAAAGCTCGCTAAGACTAGCAGAAGTAAACATAGCTGCCACGTGAAATTGCATTGACCACGTGCACTGTACTAAGCCTTCAGATACAGACTAGCGCATTTTGAACGCGCTGTGTCTCAGCGAGATAAGTTGCACGGTTCGCGTCGAGCTTGACGAGGCGCCAAGAATTGGGAGTCGGTTTTGGAACCAGCTAATCAGCTGGCTTGATTTAGGCGCAGGTTGTGTACTGAGGCATAGGGGTGGAAAGGACAGGAGGTGGAAGTGGGATGGCGATGCAGAGGTTGACTGCGTAGCCCCTTCTTGATCGATCCACGGTTCAGTCTTAGGTACTACCATTCAACAAACCAACAAGTCACACGGCGGTTTTTACCACGGACTTTGCCTAACAGCACGCCATAAATTAACGAAAAAGAACATAGTCTGACATTTTGGTTTTGCAGCGTGATATTGTTTCTTGTGTGCTCAGTCACTAGATAAAATCGTGTACAAAAGCTGGATGAGAAGCTACCCTAGGAGCATTGTTAGCGTATAGGACTTAGTTATGAGACATCTACGGCCTCGCCTCATATTTAGGAAGGGACATTCAGGCGAAACCTAGAGGACCTACAATCAAGCCGTAATCGTTGCTGCCCAGTGGTTGATTGATGATTGCTTGATTATAATTAGGTGAATGATTGGTGTCTGCTCTTCCTCGCTCGTAGAGCAAACCATTTATGATGATCTAAAAGGGTCAAAAAGATACGCAAACTTGAATATAGTGAAATATCACCACAAGTGTGGCCAAAGCCAGAATTGAGGCAGTCAGCTAAGGCCACCTTGTGCTAGGCACTATTAGAATACTCCTGAATGTATACAAATTCTTCCCGGACAGGCCTCCTGTCACTCAACAACCCCCTTCAACTTGCTGCTCTATCGCTGTCTTTCCAGCTTGGGCACACCAAGTGGCCTGTGCAACCTCGACATAACAAATATAATATCGATTCCTTTGAGCGGACATATCGCTCACCTCAACGCTCGACGTAGACCCTACCCTGCCAGCAGATCCACCTTCGGCAATCTCGAGATCGTTTTTATCGACGTCTTCTCACGGGCCGCCTTCGCCCCGCGTCGGCAGCACCACACTCTGAACCCTCGCCTGCAATCTTCCGGACCTCAGGATGGGGATCACTGCCCGAAAGAAGGGAATGATCGTCAGGCGCTTCGGTGCTCTCACAACACGACCTAAAGCCATGGACCACGGCCAGCGAAATCGTGCCTCTCGCCTTACCTTCCTAGATCTGCCTTCGGAGGTACGCAATCAGATTTACGGATACTGCATTCTTGCTCCTGAGCTAGAGATTGGTTCGAAAGCCCAAACCGCAGCCCGATCTTACGGCGATCCCACTCTCTTGGAGCGCCCCGAGGCAAATCCAGAGGGAACCTCATTCGCCGAGTATTGGCAAGAAATGCCGATCGAGCGGTCACCTGCTACGCGCCAAACCTCCTGGACTGTTGAGCCCATTGAGATCTATCGAAAGTTCGTCATCAACCAGACGTCCAACGTGGCTTTAGGTGAAACCATAGCCAGGAGGGTCCATATACCTGGAGGGTTTCGCGCTTTCAAAGCCAGCTACGTCAAGAGTGACCGAACTCCGTCTCTCAGCGTCAACTTGTTCCTCGCCAACAAACAGATTTGCCGTGAAGCGTCGACTCTTTTCTATGAAAAGAACCATTTCGTGTTCAATAATCGTTGGGAGGATGTGCACTTTGCACCTATGGCATTCTTATGGGACCACCCAGGCGCGTACATCTCGATGCGCTCTCTTCACATTGTGATGCCAGATCCACCCAATTTCACCAATAATGGCCGTATGCCACGAGGAGAGGACGCAGTGCCTTCCAACGGGATGTGGAAAGACCTCATCACTCAGATTTGCAAGATGAAGCTCCAGCACTTCGGCGTTACGGTCTCGGTCGACATTACTGACCGCTTCAATTTCGTCCCACCTAACTTTCCCTTCTCTGCGGCGTACACTTACCGATGGTACGAAGCATTGTTCGCCATCAATGGCCTCCAGTCTATGAGGCTGCTCTTTGACGTCAATCCTGAATACACCAACCCGGACATGAGCAGTGTGACCCAGAACAAGGGATCGGATATACCGGCGGTCATGACCTTGGCTCAGAAAACGAAATACCATTGGCTCTCAGGGAAAGGTTCTTACGAGCATTCTCTGCTGTTTATGAGCCTATCAAAGGGCGGTGAGGGCGCTACGGGACAGCGACTGGAATTCGTCTCGTGGATGAAGGCCGATAACCCGGGCTTGTGGGTCTTTCCGCTACACCAATTGCCGCCGTTCCTATGGCAGCAGGATCCCGCTTGGTACCAGCATCGCGATCTTACAAAGCAGTATAGGATGCAGCACTATACTCGCTCGGGTATCCAGCGGTTGCTAGGACTGAGCGACAATGAAGCTGAACGGCTTATCCTTCGTCGCTGACTGCCAAAGTCCAAGGGCGATGGAGGCCTCTACCTATCATCAGACTGTCTGGTTTTAGCACTTGTCGATCCTGCATGCATGTGCCATGAACATCCTTGAGGTGGTATCTGGCAACCATGGCGCACGCTCGACTGCCTACACACGATCATTTCTCTTCTATCAAACCCCTACTTTCAACACTTCGTTCCGTGACTCTGTCGGTCTCGGTCTTGCTCGACGGTATGGCATGCGTTGGACAAATTTCAGTATGTTTTCGTGGTTGCCAATTTGGCCAAATGTTCGGAGTTCCTATGGATATCTTGTTGCGAGTAATGCGAAACGTCTCAACCCTTGGAGGATGCTATGACACGTGATGCTGCCTAGTGACTTTACCCAAACCTAACAAGCGCGTTTCCAATGTTGGAACGCCGGGCCGCTACTTATTATCGGCGCATCCGCAGATCATGTTCCTGCCCTCCCCATCGCGCAAATCATCGCGATTGTCGCGTCTGATGGAAGCATTTCTGTCAAACGATAATGCAAAGCTTGACCTCCTTCCTGCTGAAGTGCTTCATCGTATCGCTTCTTTCCTGCCCTGTTACTCGATCCTAACCCTGTGCTTCTTGAATCGTCGCCTATACGAAACGTGTTACGACAGGATTGTATTCAAGCATAACGCTGTCAAAGCTATTCACGAGGACCGATACACCAATCTTCTGGAGCTTCTGAACTGCGACTGTGAAGGATGTTCTTGGCGACAGATTGAAACTTTGGATCAGGAATCCTTCAATTCTGCGACAACAACCGAGGTAGACAGCGAAGACGAATGGTACCCAGAGCCACAGGAAGACACGGAGGAAGAAGACGAGTGGGATATCGACGATTGGGGTCCGGATCTTGTTCAACGAAGAGCTGTGTCGCATCAAGAATGGCTGTTGGATTGGCCGCGTGCCAGTGTTTTCCATAAACTCTCAGCGTCGGACAGTGCTCGCATTGCATTTGCGGTAGAGAGAGCGCAAAAATGTTTCAATGTGAGTGTCCAACACCAGTCTAGGGATCTGTCGCAACGTTGGACTAAGGAACATTGGATTGAATGTGAGTCCTTTCGGGAACTGCAAAAAGTTGCACCTGTTTTTCCGACCCATGGATCTCCACGTATTGTATTCATCGAACCTAAGCATCTGACAAAATCCTAGGGCTTCCACAGCTAATTGCACTCGGTCATATGTCAAGCCTGGAACTGAAGCCATGGACACTTCAAACCTTGCTATTTGGGCTGAACGCTGATTGGGAAGATCGTAGCAATCAAGGACCGAAGAGAAACCCGTGTTCTCGTGAATACCTGACTGCCGGATTCTGCATGCTCACGCTGATATTGGTATGGATGGAGACGAAGCCTTCTCCTAGTATAGTATCAGATTCTACGCAAGGTCATGAGGACATTGGTGAGCAATTTTGCTTGCCGGATCCAAATAGTTACTACATCTGGCAGCAAGTGGACGGGATGCTCATGGAGACGGTGAACATACGAGACTTTGACCTTGACGATCGCTATTCAGTCATCATGCGGTTGATGTTTCAGATCTGGGAATATCCACGGCCGCATCGCACGCCTTTTCCCTCGGTACACCGCCTCCCATTTGCGGCCACACTAGGCACCCCAATCCCGTTCCGGACGCCTGCCGACGCTTTCGTCAGATGCTGCCTGCCTGGTTCACAGCTTGTCGATTATTTCACTGGCGAGTGGTTTGGCTGGAGTAAAGACCTTCATCGCTTCGAAGGCCGTGAGATACCGCCACCTTTCGAAGAGATAAACTTCAAAGTCAGGACGCCACACCCTCCATATGCCACGGATATCGTTGCCTTGATCTCCAGTTCTACTGGGAAGGATGGATGGGGTGCATTTACCTTGGAGGGAACCGTTTCGGCGCACGGCGAAGTATGGCTGAAGAAACATTACGTTGACCGCCTGCATGCACGGGGGTACGAGCGTATAGGAGCGACGTGGAGATATAGGGGAGCCATAACGCCATTTGGCATTACAGGGGCTTTTGAAGTGGATAATGGCAACAACCTTCACACCGGCCATCTAATGCGAAGACGTGAGGGATTCTTCTGGCTTTGGAAGAAAGATTGGTCCCACGATTGGCCATCATCTGCACCACAGAGGTAGTCATAGACCCAATCTTGGGTTCGCTTCATCTCAATGAGCTCGACATCAATGCATGGAAGTCTTATCAGTTGTTGTGCACTGGAAGACTGTAGCTCAGCCCTACTGACGTTGGGTATGGCGCAATTGCAGGCCAGCTTGTTCCAATCGTCTTTCACATGCTCTCGAACCGTCTTTCGATAGACATGTTCGGGCTCTCATCATCCATCCTGCCTCTCACATTGTATGCGAGTCATCTTAAACTTCTTCGTTTTGGTTGGTGTTGCAAGCCGCCGAAACCATATCTGAGTGTCGAGGTTTTGAAACGTGACCCCCACCCCTGCGTGGCGCAGCGCCTACCAGGAAACATGATTTCCGGTTTCAGATGCGGAGCCTCACATGCAACAGCCATGATCTTCGGTTTCCTAAAATGTGGATCACCCTGGTCAAGACCCAGCGCGTATTCGGAAGGCCCCACAAATACCTTTCGTTTCCAGACAGATCCGGCGGGTTCTAAGCGGTCCGATAAAGCTTAAACACGATAAACATGTCAATAGAGGGTCCGACAGTCTTGGTACCATGTCTTCCAAATACACTAAATTTGAAATGCTGTGTTGTCTTTGTGCGCTGTGGTACATAACGCCTTGCGGTACCATGTGTACTTCTTCATCTCTTGAAGAGGTCGTCTTTTCTTCCGTCAGGGTCCGATAATAGGTGCTGAGCACTGTAACCGCATTTCTCAATTTTTTTTTTTTTTGCATCCTTGGGTGCCCTCTTATTTTTAATATCTAATTGTCATCATGAACGCCTCCGCAACAATACGCAGCGCGTACGTTCGCGCATCAGTGATGCACATGCGGCCACCCGGGATGCAACCTTCTAGCACCCTTGAGCGTCGCCCCATGAACACCGAAAAGCTACGCGAGTTCAAGAAAGTAGACCATCTACAACATCGAGAAGACTGCGATAAAGAGCGCGCCGTCGTGACAACGGAACAAATCGGACAGAGCCCAAGCGCCGATGCAAACGACAAGCAATCATTCATGGAATTTGACGAAGAAGAAACTGCAAGCTCTCGCATACGCAAGATGCTCACCAGATTCCCTTACCGCGATCCCATCTATCTCGTTGCGATTGTCTTCGCACTTGGAAGTCTCGACCTTGTCATCAACGCCTTCTTCGACCTCCTCCCTCGCACTGCCCCCGAAACAGAGTTTGAAGCAGAAGAGACCGTCGCTGTACCTGCGACAGTGTTGGTTGGCTCGATATTGTTCTTCGCAGCCGGCATCTTCGACGTGTTCGGTGCCCTAAACGCGGACCGTGGAACACTCGAGACATCGAAGGAGGACCTTGGAGCAGTGACTTATAAACCTGCATTGCTCGGCTCTCCAGAGTTCAAATGGTTGCCGTCGAGGACCAAATTCACCGAGCTGTCGACGACAAGCCTAGCGTTTCAAGCCGGGCTCATAGTCCTTTTCGGCGGCGTGATCTTCATGTTCGCAGGCATTGTTGACTTTCCCGGCATTGTTCCTGAAGAATCGCCACTGTTCGCTTCCATCGTGTTCGGACCCCAGGTCATTCATGGGTTACTGTTTCTCGTCGCGAATGCGATGCTTGCTATAAGTGAACAGGAAAAGTGGTACATTCCGAAGATAACGGACCCTGACTGGCAGGGAGCGTTTCTGAACGCCATTGGTGGCTTTTGGTTTATGATGGCTGGATTCTTCTTGTTTCAAAAAGATGAGCTCGCAGCAGCAGCAGCTTCTATGGCGGGGAGCTGGACGTTCCTGGTAGGGAGCGTAGTGAGGTGGTACGTGGTAATGGAATTCTGTTGAGGACCCTAAACAGGATGGTGGAAGAATAGATCTACACTAGAGTGTCATGAATCATAAATGCATACCCAAACTCCGAAGTTGTATACATTGGCTGAAGATGCACCATCCTACGGTGAACACAGCTTTAGTCGAGGCAAGACGCAGACGCAGCGTCGGAGCAATATTGCTTTGCGTTCAAGCCCCATTGCTGGAAGATTAGAGGACTGCACATAAGGAAACTCTTAAAATCACTAGCTAAGCGCCTCATGTACCTTTCGCCCGAAGGCTGTCGTCTAGACAACGATTTAGGTATCCCTCCCGACGCAGGAACAGGACCAGCGATACATCCCTTCCATTTTGCAGTAGAACCTATCTCTTTAGGTTGAGATCTCTATCTCGGTATGATGTTCGTCCGACCTCCGAGAACGATCGCGCATGTTATTTACAGCCCCTGCTAGTGAACGCGGATAGACTACAGTCTTCGCACGCAAATTCGGGTAATCGATCCCCGCACCCCAGATTCCCCACAACCGTTGCTTGTGCTCTGAGATGCAGATATATTGAAGGAGGGAGTGTTCTAGCGCTTTCTCATTGAGTTGACAAAGATTGCTTGTAGTTCTTCATAGCTACGATGCGGTACTACTTTACCATCCTTCCCTTTGCGATCTTTTCAGCAACAAATGGTGCGTCATTAGCAGGCAAACCAGGGAACAAGGCGAAAGTATGCACTGTTGAGGCGAGCGGCACCAACCTAACGGATGATGCGCCTGCAATCCGATCTGCGTTCTCGAGATGTAACCACGGCGGAAATGTAGTGTTCAACGCATCTACCTACTACGTCAATTCTGTGTTGAACATCACAGGTCTCGAGAACATCAAAATAGATATTCAAGGGAAATTATTAGTAGGTACTAGCGTCATTCCAGGCAGGCCGATATTAATCATAGCTGCAGTGGAGTACAGATATCCAGTACTGGCTCAACCACTCGTTACCTGTTGGATACCAAAATCAATCGACCGCCTTTGTGCTCTCTGGTAACAATGTGCGCATCAATGGCCACGGCACTGGGAACCTCGACGGCAATGGCGACTATTGGTACCAATGGATCAAGAAGCAGCCAAACACATCCAACTACCCAGGCCGTCCGCACCAAATCACTTTCAATGGACTCACCAATTCCGTCATTAAAGGACTGAGTTTCTTCCGAAGCCAGATGTGGACAATGTCTATCATCAACTCGCACAACAGTATCTTGGAAGACATTCTGGTGAACAATACCGGAAACGTAGTATCGAGCTGTAAGTCTTCCTGTTGTTTCGCCTTCTATGCCCACTGACCCATACACAAGCCAACACCGACGGCGCAAACACCATGTTTTCCTCCAACATAACAATGAAGAATTGGACCGTATACAACGGCGACGATAGCATCGCCATCAAAGCGAACAGCACAAACATCTCCATCCTCGACAGCAAGTTCTACAACGGCCTGGGCATCGCGATTGGCTCCATCGGCCAGTACTTCGGCCGGTTCGAGACTATCCAGCATCTTCGCGTGGAGAACATTCAGTATGTTAACACGTTGCACGCATTCTACATGAAGACCTGGACGGCCGATCAGAACGGGTATCCGCCGAATGGGGGTGGTGGTGGCATCGGATTTGCGGAGGATTTGTATCTGAAGAATCTTACGGTGTTGGGTCTGAGGGGTGCTGCATTCGCTATCAGTCAGTGCACGCGGTTTAGCGGTGCGCCTGGGGTCGGGAACTGTACTAACTCTCAATTCCAGATTAGAGATGTTGGGATCGATGGGATGGAGGGTACGAGCACATCTAGCAGGGTGGCGAGCTTGCAATGCAGTGCGGAGAAGCCGTGTACCGATATTACCTTGGAGAATGTCGATTTGAAGCTGTCGAACGGGTCGGCTGCTGACAGCTACCTATGTGGTAATGTGGTCGATGCGAAGGGCTGGGATTGCACTGGCAAGGTGTGCGAAGGCGGAAGCGCAACGGGAGAGTGTTAAAAGTGAAGAGCCGGTTGTCTTGTTAGGAACAAATAAGACTTCCTTACAAAGACCCGTGTATGAGAAGAAGCCGGGGAAGCTCGCGGGGTGCCTCAAGCGGTTCACACTTTCGTAACCGTAGTGATGTAGACGCAGGTACGAGTACGCGTTTTTCTGGTCCTACAAGACATAAATAGTCTAAAGGTCGCTACGTGACTGCTCCACTGACGCGTAGTGGAGAGCGCAGCTTGGGTGCGAGGCCTGACTCGTGAATGCTGGACCGCAATGGTCCAAATGATTGAAAGAAAGCAGGAAAAAAAGCCGGGCACTTGAACATTTAACGCAGCCTTATGGTCTTGCGAAAATCTACAAATATTCTAATAACCCTCGCTTACAACGATCTGCCAATGTCCTCCTCCCAGCGAGAAAGCCACATGGCTATCATTCTCCAGACGAGCAGAAACCGGTTTCGTACCATTGACCTTCACATCCGGTATCTTCCCCTTTGTAAAAACAGGCAAACTCACCTCCCCCATAGTCCCAACAGGAGTATTAACCATAACCCGATACCCGCCCTTATACCTCGAGCGCTTCGCAACGAACTTGCCCAGACCGGTCACAAACCCGGCTTCAGCATTCTTCACGTCGCCGAACTGAGGCCTCAACGTCCACGTACTCCCCGCAGGGCTGGTAACCGCAATACCCACGAGATACTCCGTCAAAGCGCTCGTCGGCCCGGCACTCCAACCATGCGCGTGCGACACATACGAGGCGTCGTAGCCGTAGCCGCGGCTGGAGCGGTATCCAAACGTGCCGTTGACGAGGTAGCCTTCTATGACGGTGGAGCCCGTGCCGTTCGAGTGGTTGGCGTACCAGCCCCAGCTGCGGCGGATGAGGTCGAGCGCGCGGTCTGTCTCGCCGATGGTGAGATGGGCTTGAATCTCAAAGCTGGAGATGAAGGGGGAGATGTTTTCTGGGAGTTCGGGGGCGACTGCACCGATGGGGGACCAGTTTTCTGTGAGCCGAGAGGAGATGCTGGATGCGGTGGAAGACGAGGCGTTGACGACACCGAAGAGGATGGCCATGCTGTTTGCGTCTTGGGGGTGCAGCTTCGTGGCTGTGGCGTTGTCCTTGAAGGCGCCGTATGCATCGTCGAAGCAATGGGTCTGGATGGTGGTCCGCAGCGTGTCGGCCTGCTGCAGCCACTGCGCACTTAATCCGGTGGTATCTTTCAGCCAGGTAGCTAACGAAGCTCCGGTCCGAAGCGTGTGATGCAAGATGACATTGGCTTCGGTGAGATTGCCGCCGGTTTGCCAGCGAGCCCAATCGCGCGTTCCGGTAGAGTTCAAAAGACCGCTGGGCTGCACCTTCCCGTAGATGTAGGTCATCGCCTTAAGGTAATTGGCCCAATTCTGCTGTACAAAGGCTGTGTCGTTTTTGTAAAGCATGTAATTGTATGTGCCAATCATGGTCCACATATGATAGGTATCGCTGTTTTGTTGGAGCAGAGGCGGACCAGCTTCTGGAAACGATCCGTCGGTGTTCTGCACAACTGTCAGGTGCGGGGCGATGGAGAGAGTAACAATCTTACCTGGTAGTTGTACATGACCTGCAGCGCGTTCTTCACGCTGTCCAAGTCTCCGATACTCACAAATCCTGAAGGGACGGCAATTCCCATGTCACCCGGCCAGACGGCGCGATCTCTTTTCGCACCATCCACGATGATTGTGTCACCAGGCCCGAGGGTACCGTTGTTGGCCCAACCATTCGCAAGCATGGGCACCCAGCGCCCAGTATTGACAGGGACTGAGTTGGTTTGCAATGTATATGCCCCTGCGTACCAGATCCGGTTGAGGAGCTCGTCATCGCTATGGAAGTACCCTTGATACGCCCGAAGATTGGCCCAGGTAGGCTGAAAGCTGATCTCCAGTTGAATATCAGATATGCTAACGGTGGTGGTCGCATTTGTGATGAGGAAAATGGTCAGGTAGCGGAAACCACCACGCATGACTTTGTCTGGCATGACATAGGTTCCATTTCCGGCTGTCGAGAAGTTCGCATAAAGTGCGCCGTCTCTGCCAGCAAATTTTCCATTGGAAGCATCCGACCACTCGCCGATCCAAGTGCTCGCTTCAGTAAATGCCAAACCGAGACTGCCGGGAGCAGACGAAGAGTAGGACAGGGAGACAAGTCCACCTACTTCTCGACCAAAGTCAAGTACGACGTTCGAGCCATTCCCAGAGAGGCTTGCAGAACCTGTCCAAGGGCGAGATGTCCTATTCCGCGTTGTAAAGACGTGCTCTGGAGAGACAATTCTGGTCGACGGCGCGTATATGCTTTTCTCCCACTCCCCTAAATGTATTAGTGTTTATAAGGTAGTTCAATTGCTACTCGAGTACCTGGGAAAGCCGTCTCATCAGGACCGCTGCAAGATGTTTCTCGCCAGCATTGCGCTGCTTGCGTCGCCAGACAAAGCGCGGACAGCAGTCCGAGAAAAGCCGTCTTGATCTTCATTGCGACAATTGAGTGAGTTCTTGACGACGAATTGGCAACGACACCGATCGTGAACCAGGTCACTGGAGACGCCGAGAATGTTGGCGGCCATATCCGAATTACGGGGGCATAGGAGGCTCGGTCTTGGATTCAACCGAGATGGAGTTTCTCCGGATGTACGTCGAGGCTAAAGTTTAGTGCACTCCATATTGATCGACAATGCGGGGAAAGCGCCAGTACGTCACTAATTTGCAGCTTCGCAAATGTACATTTGCACAGGTATAGTAGTTTCGTAGCAAAACATTCGGGAGACGCAGGAGCGAACTGTGCAAGGGTGGACGAGCAGCATCCGAAATGGGTACCACAGGAGCCTGTAACTGCTTGCGCTTCCTTCCCAGCCGACCAATAGTCTGCACTGGGAAAAGATGTCAGCCAGTAACCAGGGCTTGCTCGATGAGCTCGAAATCCGGGAGGGAGGAAAGCCAGATGAGCGGCAGGCGGCCGAGCACCCGAGGTACCGACATGCGCGCTACGGCTCCGGGAGAACCTTTCACCGCGCGACTTCCTCCCAACAAGCTGTCCTCTCCCAGATTGCAACACCATGGTTCATTTGTCGGGTCCATTTCGTGCTCCCTCGATTTGCAGTCAACATGTCAAATGCTTTTGTGGATGCATCACACCTTTCGGCACTGCCCTACTCATGCGCGCCACAGCTGCCTCCAGCGTCGTCTCATGACTCAAAACGACCCGTGGCTCCCCGAACAGGCACGGCTGCATGACCTACCTCTGCTCAAACAGTCATCGTAGTTGTAATCCTAGGGCTAGAACGCGACGAATGTCGCATTCACATTACCATCGCAACTAATAAGAAGAACCATGCGCATCATGCATGCGCCCTGTTCGAGCGTAGTGAGTCTAGCCGTCACTGTTCACTCGACCGCCTCCCTGTCACCGCACGCTTCCCTATCAAACTGAACACACGACAATAGGAACGTTGGAACAGTAGCATTTTGCGGCGAGGCGAACCATGGGCGAACGCGCAACGCGTCCCGCCGCCCGTCACGTGTATATACTTCGCCCTGTCTACATGACCGCGCCCTAGTTGCGGCTCTCGCACCCAGGTGCCTTACACTTCACGCAGCACCCACACAGCGCTCTCACCCGTCGCACAGCACACTGAGCTTCACACCATCCGCCACCACTTACACTTCAAATCGCACCTCGGTCTCATCGACCAAAGCAGCTGCCTGCTCGCAGCCTAATTCAATTTAATTTTCTCATCCCACCCTTCTGAGCGTTCTTGAAGGGTGCAGCGTCTTTTGAGGGACTTAGCACTGCACGACATGTTTTCACCTGTTTCGGCCACAATGGACTCGCCTGACGATATTCCGCTATTCTCCCTTCCACCGGAGCTCCGAAATAGCATCTACGACCGAGTCTTTCACGGCGACATATCCAACGCAGACTCACTCGCGCTCATGAGGGCATCTCAAGAGCTGCATGTCCAGGCAGGCTCCCACTTCTACGCCAATAACAACTTCGTGCTCAAGCTCCCGGGCCCTGTCGTGCCTGGTGCTACAGTCTTGCCGCCTATCAACGACCGCTACCTGCCATTCCTCAAGGATATCGGAATTGAGATCGATGTAGGCTGCCCGGTCCGCCAGCGGGTGCAAGAGATAGCTGCAGCCATCCAAAGCCTCACCACCATCGGCGCGGAGTTTGATAAGATATCCTTCCTAATCCAATTTTCGCCTGAATTGTCGTTCTTCCTGCAGGATAGGTACGATGATGCCATCCTCGGCGAATCCCACCCGATCACCACTGCCCTAGACCAGCTTCTTAGCTCTGGCTCCAAGTCTGTCCAGATCTGGATGAATAGAGCATGGTTTGCCCCAGGTGTTGCCACGAAGATGAGAGCCTGTTACGGCTCGCGTCTCAAATTTATGCGTCTTAATGATGAGCACAAGCTGATCGACCTCGACGACCCCATGGTGTACGAGAAGGCCTCGGTTGGTCGCTGCTCTTGTACCCCTCTCAAGGTATTCGGCACAATTGCGGATGGAAGCGAAGACTTGAATACCGCGATCGGCCTGGATCTCGACTTGATCGAGCCCATCCTAGACCTGGATACCAACGATAACGAGCCATTCCACAACGTGGACGAAGACACAGTTACAAAGATTGAGGAAGATCTGAACGACGAAGACGATGTCGACATGGAAGATGCTCTGATGCCCCTTGATCCCGGAGAAGCGGATGCAATCGTGGAGAACTGGGAGCACACTTCTAGTCTACTTGCCCATGAGGACAGAATGACGCAGGAAATAGAGTTTCTTGTGGCCATGGCCCCTCACATGCTATCTCCATCTTCGGGAACAGCTGGGATGGTGGCAGCCGCTCACCTAGGGGGCGTTCTGACTGCACGTTGAAGGAGTCATAGCGCACGCAACACCGTGTGAATCCCTGCAGCACCTTCATGGACTCGAAGTTGAAGACACTACATATTATACTTCGTACCGAACTTTGCGAGCATCAGCCTTCTTGTTTATTAACCTGGAGCAACCCGGGCTTTCCTTGCCCACATGGCGCCGCATGACGCTCCATTCCCGGGCCTTGAAGCGCGACAGCTACGCGATGCGTTAAGCTATTTTGCAACTAAAGACCCAAACTGGACGATCAGAGATCTGGAAATAAGACTTTCTGCGCTTTTAGACTCGAGCCCGCCTGGTTATGACAGACGTCTGCAAGCCCGAAATGCAAGAGAAAGCAGAGAAGACGATAACGACGGCGATGACGAGTACGAAGTCGATAGGGAGGACCCGTTCGCAACACTCTCGTCGACGCCGCGTTGCAGCAGTCCAGAGCTGCTCCCCGCAAGCAGTCAAACATTCTCCGACGAACTTGATCACGCTCTCAGCCCCGACCCAATACAACTCGTCAAAGGCAGCGACGGCATCCGCAACAAACCTCCATGGCCACACGGCAACTCCATAATCGGCGGCATACCCCTAGCCGACGTGCAAAGAAGCATCCACGCGGCGATGCCCTCGCAGACGCTGATTCAGGAAGCGCGCATCAAACAGCAAAAGCGTGACAAAACTACCTCTGCAAAGCAACCAAGTTCGCCATCAAACAAAGGCAGCCCTAGACCATGGCCGATGAGCCCCTCAATTCCGACCGACAAACCCGACTTCCCCTCGTCAGACCCGCGCCGCCCGCACCTGAAGCACGCGATGACAGTCCCGCTCTCCTCCAGCTACTTCAGGTCCCTGAGCGCCCATAGAGACCACACTGATAGTCCGCAGCGCACGCACACACGCCTCCACAAGCAGCGTGCCCGTCGCTCCGCACCTTCTGAGTCCGCCCCCTTCGAAACCTACCCGGACAGCAACACGGAAAGAGGCCGCCCACGGCTACGAAAAGGCAGCTCTGCGGTACGTTCACGAGAACCACCACCGCTTCGAGGACGCAGTCGGAGTTTTACAATTTCGAGACCGATGCAGCAGCATCCGATCGAGGTACCGGGCAGGTATATAGATCCGGGCAGCCCGAGGCTGCATGGCAGTACGTCAACCACGTCGAGACCTCTTCCGTTGGAGCAGAAGCCGCTGCCGTTGCCGCCAGCGCCGCTAAAAAAATGAGGGCTGTGGAGGGTATTTCGAAAGCGAAGTGGACAAAGGCGGAAGCGCGACGCCGAAGACGGGCGGTCATTATCGACGGCATACGAAGTCTGATACACGAGCACGAGATGGACGACGAGATGCTATCGAGGCTAGGCTGACTGCTAGATAGTATGTACCCAGGTAGCAAATAATAAGCACTTCTTTGCAACACGCTTCCGTGATGTTGATGTAGTGGAATTCGACTGCGATATGTTTCTCTAGTTGCCGTGCACGCTCAGCTCTACTATAACCTTGCACACTCCAGCTCTACTGTAGAAGAGGCATACTAGGAAAGTGGCCTGCCGCCCAGGTGAACGCGCGTCCACGTCGGGTATGCAGTCTATGGAGCGCGGCTGTCGTTCAGGCAGGTGCGACCAACGTGTGCCCCAAAAGAGCAATAGACCACGCCATCACACACAGCCTTGAAGATGTGAGCCATCTTTGTGAGGCTGACCAAGTCTTTGCGAGGCTGATCAAGCTTTTGCTCAGCTCCCGAAGTTTGGCCAGTATCTCAACGGCTGGTGTTCGCAATGCGCCAGAGTGCTCAAAGTGAAGAGAAGTCCTTGAGGTGAAGGCCCCGGTAGAGCTTATACAGTACCTACCAGCTAGGGCTTTGGAGCAATGCACTTCAGCCCTGTACACGATTGCTCCACGATTGCTGACTGTCCGAAGCAATGTTCACAATTCGTAAACAGCACATACAATTGCATCATGCGGCACTTCACAACAATGCAGTCGAACAGATGTTCATGTACCAGGACAGAGAAGAAGATGGACGTCGTGTTAAGAATGGCCCCCGTTTGACGGTCTCTGCCCCAGAGAGGCGCGTGCGACGGTGCCAACGATACACGTTGTCTACCCGCTACCCACTGGTACAGGGTCTCACGGTCGTCCTGTGAGAGGGTTCGATTTCGCGGTATCGCGGGTAAGGTATGAACGTAAAGCGGAGGAAGAACGCCTTGGGGCCGAGTACAGCGGGTTGTTGCTGTGAGAAGTAGGAGTTGGGTGTAAGAGTGATGGATTGTTCAGGCCCAGTGGGACCGCTATAGGGCTAGGGCCGGCGGTTGCTCCTACCGAGTACGGTGAGGAGCACCTTCCGTCACCAGTTGTTACCAAAGGACTGGTAGCGTGCGAGAGCGGAATCAAACAATGGCGAATCATGGAGTATGATGTTTGCGGTGTATGGCCATGATGTTTGGGGTAGTCGTCAGCGAACGCGGGGTAGGGCAGACCGCACGGTGGACCTCTCTGCTGTATGTGCGCTGGGAGGATCGCGCTGGTGGGGAGAACGGTCCTGGTGCTGGCTGGCCGCGGCGGGCGGAGGCACGTTGTTCCGGGGCGGCAGCTCTTCCAAGGTTTCTGGTTCTGGCGGGTTCTGGTCCCCAGTGGTCCCCAGTTTTTCCACGGACCGTCGAGCAGCCCAGCAGATCGAAGCCACCGCCTGCAAGCCCTGCTTCGTTGCCACCGGAAACAGGGTCGGTGGACAAGTGACGGAGGTGGGAGCATGGCCGCGCCCGTGTGCTCAGCGTGCCGGATTCCGTGCAGCAGGCTGCAAGCGCCACAGCTGGCAGCGCCCAGGCCGGCAGCGCTTTGGGCGGTGCATCTTGGCATGCTGCGGGCGGGTGATTCGCCTCTTCGTCGCCTTGATGCCGCTAAGCAACGTCCCTCCCAGGCCCAGGGGCTGAGCGTCAGATGCCAAGCCTAATCTCTTGCTGGCCGCTCGCTTTAAAGCATGCGGAGGCCCCGTGCCTCCTGCTCGAAGCCCGCCGCCTCCCGTCCCAAGTTCTTACTCCGCTGCCACTCCCTCCTACGCGCGCCGGCCGACACGATGCTGCCCACGACCGGCCCGCGGGGGCCCATGTTTGGCCTTGCCGTCTCCGCCGGCTTCGCGCTGATCTTCGTCCTGGGCTTTCTGGCCTGGCAGAGCCCGCCGCAGATGCCGAAGCTGCCCAAGAGCACGACTCACGTCGAGATGTGTGTTTCCCCCGCGCATTGCCCCGAAGCTGAAACGCTGTTTGGAGGCTAACCCGCACCCTGCAGGACCGTCACCAGCGAAGGCACCCCCAAGCTAGGCATCCACGAGATCATCCGCCAGCTGTACCAGCCGCTCAAGATCGCCCCCGACGAGTCCAGCTTCTCCTTCATTGGTGAAGACCTCAATCTGACTCAGCTTGCCTTACCGCGAAGTCCGCGCTACAAGAAGAAGATGGGCAAGGACATACTGATTCTGGACCTGGAGACGCGCCCGTTGGAATCCACCGAAGACTTCAACAACGGGCTCTTTGACTGGCGCAAGCTCAACCACGTCTCGGGCGGCGTCTTCAGCCACTACATCTACTCGCTGATCCACGGCTACGACTACAAATTCGTCCGCGCGCACGAGTTCGAAGACCGCCATGCAACCTGGATCAAGCCCTCCGCCCTCGCCCAGCACATCCGAGACTACAAATTCATCGTATTCCTCGATGCTGACGCCACATTTCGCTTCCAACACCTTCCGCTGGAGTGGATGTTCAACTACTGGCAAATCAAGCCGGAACATAGTTTCACCATGGCCCTCGACCCCTGGGACCCAGAGACTCCCGAGTACAATTCCGACCGCTTCAACCGCACCTACACCAACACCGGCTTCATGGTCGTCCAGAACAACGGCCACACGATGCAGATGCTGAAGGACTGGCACGAGTGCCCCGACGACACGCGCTACAAGGGCTGCTCCGAATGGAAGATGCCCAAGTTCCACGAGCAATCGGCCTTCGGCGAGTACATCCGCTACGACTACAAAGACTACGTCAAGGAGCTGCAGTGCGCCGAGGCCAACGGCTTCCCCGGCGTCGAGGTCTCCAACTGCCAGGGCAAATACGTCCGCCACTACTGGTTCGAGAAGCAGAAGATCAAAGAGGACCTGCAGCAGAACATCATGAACGCCATCACGCTTCCCATACAGCGCATCTTCGCCGAGAACGTCGGCGGCATCATCACCGAGCAGAAGGAGAACGCTCTGCCGAACTAACTAATCGCCGCCGCCATTTCCGCTTCGTTTCGTTGCACTTACTTCGGCATGAGAAAGATAAGATGAGGAGTAATTGTAGTATACTACCGCTAGAGTACGATTATTTAATAGCCTGGGGCCGAGACGACTTGTCTAGAAGAGGAGGTTTCCAGCATGACTTTTTACGCATAGCGTTGCATTGTACGGCGTTTTATCAAGAGGGATGGGATTTCCGCATCGCGTCCCGCTTCTCGAGGGGGTTTTAGCATGTTCGACGGGAGAGACGTTTTGTTTATAAGGTGCTGGGATCTGCTGGGATGTTACGGAGCTCGCTCCTCTTGACTTACTTGCCTTTTCGAGCTCCTCTTGCCTTAGAGCACACCTATCGCGCGAGATGATACCCCCAATTATCTACGAGGGCTGATACCTAGTATACTGGGAAAGAGAAAGAGACATAGACGACTGTATAAAAATGGTAAAGAATAATCATCGAGTGTCCTTGGAGACGAGGCTGTTTGCTGCACTGGTCTCTTAACTTGACTTGACCTGACCTGACGTGATTGCACCGCTTGCTGCCGGCCCTCGAGTAGACTGCCCTTCGCATGCGCGTACCATCGCTCGCGAGCTGTCGCATTATTGCTTTGCTCCGCGCGATCGCACGAGAGACTGCAGTACACTGCGGCGGTTCCGTTCCGCACCGCTGTTCGACGAGGCGGAGGCTCAGGCTCCCATCAATCAATCTGTCACGAGCATCGCATCGCATCGCATCCTCGCACCACGGCAAACACTCCTCACATAGTCACAACATACACCAAGCATCCCTATCCCCCGCACGCACATAAACTAGAATAACAACACTAGCTTACTAGTAACGCCTTGAAACCTAGCGCTGCTGTGCGCCGTAAACACGTAGTCAGATGCCGTGCCGTGCTATGCCAAGCGGCTGGATGACAGGCTGCGGTGCGGTGCGGTGCGGTGCGTGGTACGTGGTACGTGGTACAAAGATGACGGCAGAGGGGCGGTGTTTCAGCCACGCTTGGATGTTTGGTTGGGCGCGTGGAGGAGAGGGGGGGGGAGGGGGGCCGAAACGGCGGGCGGGGGCTGGGGGCTGCTTGGGTAGAAGGTAGGCTGGGAAGAGTAGAAGGTAAGGTAGAAGGTAGGCTGGGAAGGGTAGAAGGTAGGAAGGAGGGTGTGGTGTGATGTCATTGCTGGCGGTGCGCGGTGGTGTTTGGATGATAGCATCGGCTGGAGAGCGGTATGAGGATAGAAGTGCGATGTCCAGACAAAGAAGAAAAATTGCGAAGGACGGCATTGTTTGAGCGATTCCTTTATAAAATTTTAGCTATTAATCTTGTATGTGATCTGTGATCTGTCATGATGGCACATGTGATTGGGCGATGGACGTGTATAATTGCGTAGACGCGTTGAAGCATTGCGGGTACGTTTGGCGATTTAGATGGTTGTTCGACGGGGGGTTAAGAGGGAGGTACTTGACGTGATGTGATGTTTGAGGTGTCGTAGCGTCTATTGCAATCGCCTTTTGCGTGCCCAACAACCGCAGGGAAGCAGGGTGTTCCATCTAGCTTCGTGCTCAGCCGTCCCTTTCGTGAATCTGTTGCTGTCGATTTTCTTTCTACGCTCCCTTTATGACTCAAGATCCCTCCTTCCGCTCCTGTCCTTTTGTCTTTCCGTACGCCCCACCAGCTAACTTCCTCATCTCTAACGCCCGCTTATACGGCGGCGCGGTCGGCGGCTGCACCGGATCTAAACTGACTCTGTCCTTCGGCAGCGCGTACGTCGCATCCGAATCATACGCTGATAGATCGCCACAAGCCAGGAACGGCGCTATCCACCGCGCTCCGCCCTCCTCGATGCCCTCTTCGTCGCTCTCGTCTCCGAGATCAATCTCCACGGCGCCGTCTGCCCGGACGGTTCTCGAAGGCTTCGTAGCTTCTGGGTTCTCGTCTGGGATGGGGAGAGTGGTACCCGCGCCAAGCGGCTTCTCGAGGGACGGCTTGAACCCGGCTGGTGGGCGGAAACCCTCGCAGACGACGAACGCTTCGATGCTGGATGCGCGGGAGCTTCGCGGCTTGGCGACTCGAACGCGCGCGAAGACGAGCTTTAGTTGTGCGAAGAGAAGGTCTACGTCTTTTCCGCGGAAGATCTTGGCTACGAACTTGCCGCCGGGTTTGAGGACGCAGAGCGCGAGGTTGAGCGCTGCCCAGAGGAGCTGCGACTGGACGTAGATGTCTAGATCGTGGAGACCGGTTACATCGGGAGCGCCGTCTGAGATGACGAGGTCTACCGGTGCGGAGGGGGAGGGGCTTGTGGAGGTGGAGTCGTAGATATCTGGGTCGAGTGCTTTGAGCATCAGAGGGATAGTCGAAGGGTGCGTGATATCCGCCCTCAGTGTCGTGACGCCTTCCAGCGGACTCATGGGCTGTAGATCAATGGCCACGATACGGACGCCATCCCTCTGTCGCTTCTTCTCTCCCTCCTTCACATCTTGCACGGCACCTCCGTCCTCGCTGGCCGGAACGTCAACCTCTTTGCTCTTGCTCTTGCTGAGACCCAGCACGTACTCTCGCGTCTCCCTTTGCTTCTGCTCCCAGCCCGCGCGCCCGAATTTCTCACCTTTGATCAGCACGCGTGACAGCACTTGACTCCAGCTTCCGGGCGCGGCGCACAGATCGACGACTCGTGTGACGCTCTCGAAGAGGTTGAATTCTTCGTCGAGCTGGAGGAGTTTGTAGGCTGAGCGGGCGCGCCAGCCTTCTTCTTTGGCGAGGCGGTAGTAAGCGTCGCGCTTGTCTTTTGAGGATTTGCCCATGGCGATGAACCCTGTTGCTGTTGTCTTCTGATATTTGTAGGTCCAGTGTCGCACGTGGAGAAAGTTGCAATGTGCGGCTCCTGCCCGTCCTAGATTCCTATCTTTTTCTTCCCAGATTCACAAAAGGCATTCACTCCTCTACCAGAAACGCCAGTGTAAATGTCAAAATCCCGCGCCAGTCAGTCCGAGTTAGGTCGTGAGGGTGAATTCTCTCGCTTCTTTAACCACGGCAATTTTACGCGACGGCGGGGCATCTCTTCCCGACCGCCGACATGTCTCCCAAAAATTTCCAGCACTTTTGGATCCGTAAATACGACACGCGCGCAACGCAATCGTACGCACAACGCTCGCTATGAAGCGCCCACGTTCGTCTCAGAAGCCCGCGCATTTCACGCACAAGCGCCAAAAAGTCGAGAAACCCGTCGCGGTCAAAACATCCGCTCCACGTCGCAAAATTGGCATCAACGACCTGTCATGGAAAGCCGTGTCTATGCCCGACCGGTTGGAGGACTTTGAAGGATTCTACGGGCTGGAAGAAATTGACGATGTGGATGTTGTGAAGGAGGGTGCGACGCTGAGGTTTGAGACGAGGAAGACGGAGGAACAATTAGAGAAGGAGAAGGAAGAGGGGAAGAAGAGGGAAGAGGAAATCGCGAGGGAGTTTGAGGAGATGAAGGATAGGCAGGGGGATGTGGATCTGGAGGTGCAAGAGGAGGAGGAGGCGGAGGAGAGTGAGTGGGAGGGGTTCGGAGACAGTGATGTGGAGGAGGAAGAGGGTGGTGCGAAAGCGCAGCAGAATGGCGATGCGAATGATGTGGTTGAGGCAAAAGAAGAGAAGGAAGCTAGACCGACAAAGAAGACCAAGGCGGAGAAGAAAGCGGAGAGGCAAGAAGCCAAGGGCAAGAAGGACAAGGCACAACATGAGATTCGCGATGAGCAACCGATAGGCAACGGCGCATTCGACCTCCTCGCCAATGCACCGTCAGACGATGATGACGGTGATGTCGATGTTTCGGCATGGGAAGACGTCGGTCTGTCCAAGGAAACGCTCGCCTCGTTGTCCAAGCTGAAGTTCTCCCAACCAACGACGATCCAATCATTGGCCATTCCCGAAGTCCTCGCTGGGCGCGACGTGATCGGAAAAGCTTCCACAGGCTCTGGAAAGACTCTTGCCTTCGGAATACCCATCCTAGAATCATACCTTGCATCTCCACCAGATTCGAAACAGCATACTCCGACCGCACTGATAATATCGCCTACACGTGAGCTTGCGCACCAGCTCTCCGCACATCTGACTGCCCTATGCTCCGACGGTGACTTCAAGGCACCATCGATAGCGACTGTCACGGGTGGATTGGCTGTGCAGAAACAAAGACGACAACTGGAAAAGGCGGATATTGTCGTCGGAACCCCAGGTCGCTTGTGGGAGGTCATCAGCAGCGGGCAAGGTCTTCTGGCTTCTTTCAAGAAGATTCGCTTCCTAGTAGTGGACGAGGCTGATCGCTTGTTAAGCCAAGGGTCCTATAAGGAGCTCGGCGAAATCCTCAAGATCCTCGATCGCGACGATGAAACGGATGAGACTGCCAAACACGCACCCGCTACTGAGATCCAGCGGCAAACTCTGGTTTTCTCCGCTACATTCCACAAAGGTCTTCAGCAGAAGCTTGCAGGCAAAGGCCCCAAAGGCGGTGGCGACCTGATGAACAAGCAAGAATCCATGGAGTACCTCCTCAAGAAACTCAACTTCAGAGAAGAAAAGCCGAAGTTCATCGACGCAAACCCAACCTCGCAAATGGCCACCGGCCTCAAAGAAGGCCTCATCGAGTGCGCCGGCACAGAAAAAGACCTCTTCCTCTACGCCCTGCTCCTCTACCACCCCAAAAAGCGCGCCCTCATCTTCACAAACTCCGTCTCCGCCGTCCGCCGCGTCACGCCCTTCCTGCAGAACCTCGATCTCCCCGCGTTCCCTCTCCACTCCGGCATGATGCAAAAAGCGCGCCTCCGCTCCGTGGAGCGCTTCACCCAGCGCCCCGGCTCCATCCTCGTCGCAACCGACGTCGCAGCCCGCGGTCTCGACATCCCCGGCGTCGAGCTCATCGTCCACTACCACCTCCCCCGCGCCGCAGACACCTACGTGCACCGCTCGGGCCGCACCGCGCGCGCCGCCGCCTCCGGCTCCAGCATCCTCATCTGCGCGCCCGAAGAAGTCGCCGGCGTGCGCCGCCTCGTCGCCAAAGTGCATTCCCGCAACGAAGCCGCGCCCGGCAAGAAGAAATCGGCATTCTTCATCCGCACGCTCGACATCGACCGGCGCATCGTCTCGCGCCTCAAGCCGCGCGCTGTGCTGTCCAAACAGCTTTCTGACGCGACCATCGCAAAGGAGAAAAAACACTCTGAAGACGACTGGATGCGCGAAGCGGCCGAAGAGCTGGGCGTCGACTACGACAGCGAGAGCTTCGAGCAGGAGGCGAAGGGGCGGAAGGGCCGGGGCAGCGGGCGCAAGAAGAAGGAGAAGGAGGCGAGGCAGTTGACGAAGGGGAGATGGGGCGTTGCGGGCGGAGCTGAAGGGCTTGCTGGGGCAGAGGGTGAATGTGGGGTTAGTGAGAGGTATTTGACTAGTGGGGATTGATGTTGAGGCGTTGATGAGGGAGAGGGAATTTGGACTTTTTGGGCGATGCGGGGGCGTTGGGGTTTGATGATGAATAGAGAGGGAGGTTGGAGTAGATGGAGAGGTTTTGAATGCTGGTTGTGCGCAAACAATGGGTTTTGATGGATGGCTGGCTGCTGGGTGGCATGTGAGCTTGATTCTAGGTCTCGTACGAATAGGATGGCACGAGCATATAGGAAAGCTGATATACTATATGGGGTGACGGAACGTCGTTTGCGGCCACCATCCCTGAGCCCGGTTCGGACGTCTCTCACGCTCTGAGGTAGATACATGGGTACATTATACATGTACAATGTTCACTCGTAGAACTTATTGTGTGTTGTTATCATGCATTGTGGACCACCGATATTGCGCTTTGGTTGATTTTATGCTTATATGCGTTCACGGCACGCCCATGCTAGGGGAAGGTGAATGTGAGCTGCACGTGCAACCAACCAACCTCTCAACACATTATCACCGCCGTAACCTTTCACCTTCCGCAATATCCCGAGAGCGTACACCCGACCATTGGTGCGCCTCTCGCAGCTACAAAAACACCCACCGATTCGCCTCTGCCCACCTCACCACCTGCTCACGCACTGCGGCTCAACCCTCTGATTCGCATGCGACCATGAGTAACACCACCTCAGCGGCCATGTCTTTCGGCCTAGCTGGTTATACGGCCTGTCAGACTTCTTCTCAGCCTTGCATTTATCTCGCCGACTATGCCGTCACGGTCACTTGTCCGTCATGGCTATGTTCACCACATTCCATTTCGGACAGCGAAGGCACCGTCTACACAACCCCTGAAAATACCTCGTCTACCCCCGTAGACTCCTCTGCTGGCCTCGTCAACGACGCTCTCCAGTACGTCAACGAGCTCGTCTTCGGCAAGGAGACCGCCCCGAAAGACAACATCACAGTGACCGCTTCGGTCACACCTCCGGCGTCCAATACGCTTTCCGCCATCGATCCCTACAAGCTCTTCTCGTTCGCCCCTGGAAGCAGCCACTTGGAGTCTCCCTGGAACCAGGACCCGATTTGGAAGTATTCCCGATTCGCCGTCGCACTCGTCCGCCTCAGCACCTGGCATGTCCTGGAGTATCTTCGGATTTTCGACTTCGTTGAGGCCCACTGCCCTATCGTGGGCCAGATTCTCCCCTTTATCTTCTTCAAGACTTTCCCTTGGATCTTCCAGTATGCAAAGCTTGCCATTACGATCTCCTTGTTCTACTCCAAGTATATGGTCGAGAACTCCGGGGACATTGCCGCTGGCACCGTTGCTTCGTTGGATGAGAACGCTAAGAACATTGGACTTTGGGTCCTTGAGCGCTTTGCTCGGTATCTTATGTAGTAAGTCACACTGGGCACGAATTGATATTTTGATCATAGGCTAACGTTCTTTAGTGCTCTCTCTGGCGTCATCGCCATGACAGTCCGCGACTGGATTATCGCCATCCTGGCTGCGATTGTTTTTCTATTGATCTTCTGGTGCGATGACAACTTGACCGCATCACAGGACAACTTCGAAGCCTTATTCCGGGAGAATGACGAAATTCGCGCCGCAATGGAAGAGTTATTTGCCTCTGTAAATGTGCACTTTACCAACTTCCAGAATAATCAGAACAGGCTGTCATCTGACTTGCAGGGGATGGGCAACGGCCTCAACCTCTTGTCATATTTCGCTCGTCGCCAAGTCCAAAGCCAAGAGGCGCGATTCGGATTCATCGAGAACAGTGGCCGCGCTCTTCGTACAGGAATGCGCCAGTTGCAGCAACGAATTACTCGCACAGAGAACCGTGTTTCCGTCGTCGAGGGGCGGACGGACCTCCACCGCCGCGAACTTATCCAGCTGCAGCAAGACGCTGAGATGGAACGTATCCGCTCAGATCTCGTCGATGAAGAGACTGGTGGCCGCCTGGACTCGCTCGGCGCCGGGGTGCTTGAGGTTGCGACCGCTGTTGAAGCCAACGATCTAGATGTCCGTGTTATTCGTCAGGAAGGCAAGAAGCTTAAGGAGCTGGTCGGCACCATAACGGCACTGTCGGTGTTTGCCCTCGTTCTGCTGACTTACGTACTTGAACTGGTCGACAACGTCAAGGACCAGGCCACTGATGCTGGGGAGACTGCCACGAAGGCCCAACAGCATGCCACCAACGCTCAAATGAGCGCCGCAAATGCCCAAGAGATTGCTGCAAGCGCTCGAAAGTTTGCCACGGAAATCAAGCAGCAGGTCGACACCATCCTGGAACAACACAACGACATCAAGAGGTGGGCTACCGAGGCCAATACCAAGTTCATTTACCTCTGCAGCGAGACCGTCAAGGTCTTGACCGCGATTTCCTCCCTGAGGGGTACAGCCGTCCTTACCAAGAACCAAATCATTGTGCTCTTCGACAAGATTGATCCTGAAATGGCCAAGACTATCTCTAATCAGTGGGTCACCCTCGCCGCGCAGCCAGATGACGAGCTCAAAATCGAGCAATGGCAGTCCGAGGCAGTCCGTCTAATCAACGCGCGGTTCAATGCGATTCGAGGCAATGTGACCGGTCTCCGAGAGCAGCTGAATCTGGCGTCCACACCGCTTAGCAGCCCGATCCGGAACCAAGTGCGAGAAGTTCTTATGACGCCGGCGCCGCTGTTCTCCGCCCCGACAACCGACAGCTTCCGTGGAGAGACTGCGCTTGCTCAGCCCTGTTTTCGGGACTCTGGGATGTTCGAGGAGGGCCCGACAATCGACGGTCTGCTCGAAGAGCTGAAGGGCGCGCAGTCTGGGTCATCTTCTGAGTCCGACCCTTTCGTTGATAATGCCTTATAGATTGCCATCGAGCGTGGAAGCCTACCGACAGGTGCCTGCCCGATATGATCGCGACAAGATGCCCATAAGTACGACAAGATACCCCACGACTATGAGAGGATACCCACAAGAACGACAAGATACCCACGAAAGTTAAACCCACAATACCCTCAGGAGGAAGCCCACACGGAACCACCACCCTCACCACCGCCTTAACCTCACGACTTTACCCTCCCATAAGCCCTCCCACCTTAACCCTGGCTACAATCTTACAAACCCTCGCGAACCTACCCACCGTCTTCCCACCCCCAAGAGACTGTCACCGCGACAGGCATGGACACTCCGCTATAATCTTACGGAAGGAGTCGGACACAGCTACTCACACCGAACTTGAGGCCCTTTTCAGGGTCAAGACAGGCGAGTTGTGAGTTGCTGCATGTCCAGGGGGTTGGGAACCCACTCACACGGCTTGATACTGCGGAATGAAGTACCTACCTAGGAGTAGGCGCGATCGAGCCGTGTGGGTGGAGGTGTGGTTCAAGGGATGTGAATGGACAGAGTGTGAGGTGGGAGGAGTGACAGTTGGTGTGAGGACGTACGGTGATGGGCCATCAACAGGGGAGGAACGCGATGAGTGGAAGAAGAAGTGGTTCGAGGGGAAAGACGTCCGCCAGCGAAATGGCGGTGTCTCGACTTCTGCAAAGGTGTCGTGGGAAATGGCAAGAAGCGCGTGGCAAGAAGAGCCAAGGGTGTGTGGGGTCTCGAAGTCGGTGGTAATACATGGTTGTATAGAAATGATGTGATCGTCTTGGGAAAATTGAGATGTTGATATGATAAATAGCGCTCCAGCTAGAGCCCTAGTGATGGTGATGTCGTCTTTCACAAAGTATGTCTATGTGGTAATAAGCTCACGTGGCCACGAGCCGCTCTATACTCGTTGCACAGAAGCGCGATTCTAGGGATATAGATGTTACCTGGAAGTCTTTCATAAGAAGTGCCGAAAGAGAACATTGAATGTAAGGACCATCTGTGATGCGATGTATTCTTACGGCTACAAAGTGTCAACGCTAAGGTATCCTAACCATCTTAAGACTAGAGCGCCGCCAACGCGTTTCGTGCAACCACCAACACCAAAGTCACTTTCGCTCCATCACGTCCCCTCGTCTTTCTGTAGAGTACATCTGTTATCGAGATGTGGCCTTCTCTAAGCCCTCTGCTGCATCTTGGGTGACGCTGAACCCTTCGCGTATGGATGCTTGTTTAGGAGGCTGGGTGGGATCATCTTTCAGCGGCAGCCACGCGACGTGCCGCCTCATCTCTCGCTATCATGACCCCTTGTAGAGCGCCATCTCGACTCGCGGTTTGTAATGCAGTCATACACAGAAGCAAACTCCGCTCGTCCTCTCAGACCCGCAATTGCGCTTCTGCATCGTCCCAGGCTGTTATGGAAGACATTGCAAACGATCGTGATTTATTCGAGTACACTTCTGGGAGGTGGATGTATGTTCTAATCACGTGCTTTCTTCAAAGTTCCTTTTGATTTACTGATGTCTATTCTCGTAGATTCAACGAATCTCGACGTCTGGCCGAACGACGTTTGGCATTTAACGTCGATGAACTCAAGAAAGCTGCCGCGAAGTCAGTCAACAGGCCCACGTCGGATGTCAAAAGTTTCCGCAAAATTGCCGAGGGCGGCTTTAACCGTGTCTTCGACATATCAATGAAAGATGGCTCATCCATACTTGCCCGCCTTCCCTACCCGTCAACGTTGCCGCGACGCTTGGCAATAGCGAGCGAGGTCGCGACTTTGGCTTTTGTTCGCGCACACGGGATCCCTACACCTCGAGTTCTGGGGTATTCCGTCGATGATAATGCAGTCGGCGCCGAGTACATACTAATGGAGAAATTGCCAGGAAAGCCTATTGGGGATGCTTGGTTTGACCTTTCCGAACAAGAAAGGCTCAAAGTTCTCCTTCAAATAGTGGAGCTGGAAACGAAGCTCTTCAATATCAACCTACCGGCCAGTGGGAGCATATACTATGCCCGTGATTTGTCTCCTGGTACTCCCAAAATAGATGTTCCTGGGTCTGATGAAGGATTGTGTATAGGGCCCTACGCGGCCTTACGATGGTGGTTCGGCGAACGTGGAGAGCTGAACATCGACCGAGGTCCTCGTAAGTATATTCGCGACTAATATATTCGAACATTTTTAACATTCACAGACAACGATCCTTGCCTCGTCCTCCAGGCTCCTGCTGATAAAGAACTGGCCTGGATCCGTGCCTACGGACGACCCCGTTTCCCTGTCGAGCGCGCGTATAGAGAAACTTTCAATTATACCAAGCAGGATCCCGAGGAACATGCTAATTCACTGTTGGATTACATCCGGCTCGCTCCCCATCTTGTACCTACATGCTCGAAGCTCAATCTGCCTGTTCTTCGCCATCCCGATCTCCAGCCCAACAACATCTTCGTTTCTGAAAATTTCACTATCACCGGCCTAATTGATTGGCAACACTCTGTTGTCCTTCCGACATTCCTCGCCGCTGGTATGCCAAATTTGTTCCAGAACTATGATGATGGGGAGTCCATATCCTTCGTCCCGCCACGGCTCCCGGATGATTTTGAATCAATGGATGAGGGTGAACGTGCGACAGAACAGGAGCGGTTCCGCCGTCGGCACATTCACTTCTTTTATCTAGGGTTCACACAGCGAATGAACGAACCTCATTGGCACGCCCTTGAAGAAGATACGGGTCTCCTGAGACGCCGAATATTCAACGACGCTGGTAGCCCTTGGGAAGGTCTTAGCACCCCTCTTCAGATGGACATGGTCCGGGTATCGCAAAATTGGTCAAAGATCGCCCCTGCCAACCGAGATAGCACTATCCCAGCATGTCCTATTGTACTCACGGAGCAAGAGGCGCAAAAAAGAGCTGCACTGGAGGAATCCCTTCGCGAGGTCGACTATGATATGGAACGGATCAACGGGGTACTTGGCATCGCGTCCGACGGGTGGACTCCACATGAAAGGTTTGAAAGCGCGAAAGAGAGGGCAAGGTTGATCAGGGAGGAAGGGCTTCTCGCAGTCAGCGACGAGCCGTGGTTGAGGGAAATGACCGAGCAACACTGGCCCTTTGATGACAGTAAGGAGGACGAGTAAGGAGTTGAACTATCCAACGAGCTGCGAGTAACTTACCGTCGCTTTGTGAGCAGTAGTTAACATGCCAGCCCTGCACCTGATCACGAAGCCAGACACAAGATGGTGCGTCAAATAAAATAGGGCTATTTGTGATTCTATAGTAATCCGTCTCGTTTTGGGGATGTTTAAAGAGTTTACGATATGCTGAGCGGGACAGACTTATGGCTAACATTAGTCTTCGCTAGCGCCTTGTGCAAGGATCTGGTGCTTGCCAGTAGTTAGGTACCGATGCGGCGATTCCTAGCGCTTTTAGGAGGAGCGCCGCCGCCACCGGTCAAATGTCACCGAAGCGCGACTAGCTACGTGTGTGGTACCCTTTTGCGCCGTTCCAAGACTTGCGACCAACATTCCCCACCTCCGTTATCAGTCTTCGGTCTGTTTCTTCAAAGTTCGCATGGCTGCAAGATATACAGACGATGATCGCACCAGCCTCGAAACCTTTCGTCTCTCCGTATATGCTTATACCATCACGATCTTTCTCGTCCGTACTGCCTCTTTGGGATAAGGGCGCAGGCTCTCCTAAGCCATGAAGAATGTGCTGATTGATTCTCTCCCTGCCAATCGTCCACAGGCATCGCATGGTAAGTGTCCACAGGTTGTCAGAGTCTCTATGCTGACGTGGTGGCCTCCGACGCACTAGATTGCCCCCGTTGTGTCAAGCGACGCATTCGATGTGATCGAAGCTTTCCAGCGTGTGTGAAATGTATCAGTCGAAAAATCCAATGTCCTGGCTTTAAGCCTGTTTATCTCAGATGGAATCAGGGTGTTGCGAGCAGAGGCAAGCTCACTGGGAAGTCGCGCCCAGTAATTACGACAAGTACTGTGAGGGAACCGGATGAGTCTTCAGGAAAGCCCCGCAACAGTAAACAGCAACGTCCGGCTCGACCTTTCTCGCATCCGGCTCCAGCTTGCGATCAGGGCCTCATCAAAAGCTACTCCTCTATGCTTTTTGTCAACAATCTTACTGAACACTTCCACGCAAGGGTCGCTCCTCGTTTGACATGGATCGATCTGGGTAGCAATCCATGGCGGAATACGCTTCAGCAAATTACCAAGCAATCAGCTTGTTTTCAACTATGCTTAGCAGGTCTCGCAGCCGCTCATCTGTCAGTCACTTCCATCTCCGCGAGTGATGAGTCACACTGGTTCCTCCAAGCCTATCACTGGCTTCGCGATGCAGGCCTCGGCATACTGACTAAAGACATACGGTCGGCACTACGTGCAGACAGCAGCATGTCTGGGTATGAAGCAACTCTTGCATCCACTAAGATCCTTGCCTCCACCCTCGCACTCTGTTACTCTGAGAGCTTTGTACCTGGGTCAAAAGACTGGAGCGTCCATCTCCGCGCTTGCCGCACCGTCATCAATACGCTTCAACTACGCAACCAGGAAAGCGGCCGCATTGAGCATCCAGCTACGACCTTCTTAGTCAAAGAAGTTGCTGATCTTGAGACCTTCAGCAATATCTCTGTTTTCAGTCAAGACAGTATCGAGTTACCTCTGTCTGCCTTTCACAATAATCCAATTTGGACCTTCACTCAACTCATCAACGACATTACGACTGCCGAGAGGGGACGTCACGCTGCACTAAAAAATCACCAAATCGTATCGGAGATGGACATGTCACTCTGGCACGCACGTGCCGATCAAGCTTACAACGAGATATTGACGGGACCTTGCCTCGACCAACTGGATGGCTTACAACACTACTTTGAGGCCGTCTTGCGTACACATTACTATGCCAACCTCATCTATAGCTACCAAGCCTTCGCCTCCCCAGAAGCGTTGGCAACTCTCGTGGAGTCCTGTTTTGACCTACTCATCGAAGATATCCAGACTGTAGTCACGGAGGCAACGCAGTCATTTTCTCACGATCTTTTCTTTCCCTTGTTCATTGCAGGAACCGAATGCTATAGAGACCCGCAGAGGCGATCCATCATTGAGCAGCTGTTCCTCGATACCATTTTCGCAACCGGCGTTTGGTCCAATCATACAGCGTTGCAGTTTCTTCGTAGCTTCTGGGCGAGATCGGAAACAGATGGGCGAACGACTTGGATACAGTACGCGCGGGAAAACGAAGAAGAAAGTGGGATGTTCATAGCCTTCTGAAAAACGGAATCTCTTGCGAATCTTTTCTTGTCGCCGTTTTCGTTGTCTGAGCTTCAAATCCAAGATGTTGGCTTGGTGGAGCGATTGGGTACATTCACTGCACCACTGAGTCAGGATATATATCTTAACTCTATCCAAAGTGATGTACATCTGAGATGGCTGTAACCTCCTCCTAAAGATCAACACCTAGTACTACTTTCACTGTTTCTTCCAACCAGGATAGAACGGCGTTTCCTGCAAAGTCTGCGGCTGCCATTCCCTTTCTATAATCCCCTTCTCGATCTGATAGCGTTCATATTCTGCCAGCGCGGGCTTGAGAACATGATCCATGTGCCATATGCTTTTATACTGTATGAGGTTTACCTTTCCCTCGTTGAGGACCTTGAGGCTTAAGGAAGGGATATAGGGCTCATGCTTGAGCTTTGAAAGCGGCGTGAAGAAGGCTTTAAAGTTGAAGACGATGGCACCTGAAAGTGGGAGTCGCCGCAGTGTCTGCCAATCAACCCGGGGATAGAGGTCGTCGATACTAAGTGATGGGTCTTGATTTGCGTGAAGGTCGAAAGAAGGATGGTTGGGTGCGACGTAGAGATGTTGTCCGACTTCAAACAGCCATGAGCCCCTCTGGATCGGTTTCGAGGTCGGCATCTTGGTGAAGAAGCTAGTATAGGCATTAATATTGTTCATGTGAGCCACTATCCCAAACCAAAGGAGGGAATGTACCAGAGATACAGGATAAACGTACCGATCCATACTAAGCTGCATCTTCTCTTTATAGTCCGGGACAGGGTTATGAATATCAGCCAAGCCCAATCCAATCTTCGTCGCGAGGTTCCACCCCGTAGAAGCGCAAATAATCCCAGCCCGAAAATAATACCGACCAGTCTCAGGATCGCGCAGCATGATAGCGAAGTCTTCAGGGACGTTTTCGAGGAGGAACATTAGAGGATCGATATCCGGAATCTCATGTGTTGTTCCGAGGATGTGGTTGCTGAAAGTCATGCCTTGTAGAGTGAACAGGCGAGGATACCGCGCACACAGGAACTGTATGACCATCTCCATGAGCTCTTTACAAGCTAGCTCGGTCCCTGGTAGGGCCTGCAAGACGTCGCTTCGATGGGTTGTATGAATCGCCTGGCGCTGCGATATCCGCTCGGTATAAGTGTTTTCGAGCTCAATCCAGTAATCCGGTTCCATCTTTTGGAATGCTTTACGAGGCTTATATCAGCGTGTGCACTCTTCATGAAATTTTCGCAAACAGATCGGTTTCTTACACATGTTTTGATGGTATGGCCATCTAAAGGGTCTATAGGGTCTCGGTAAGACCGAATTTAGGTCAGACACCATCAACGGATTGGGGAGCGGGACTTCAGATAGAGTAGCATAGTTAGGAAAATCGCCTAGAGCCTTGACGTCGCCGACGGTGAAACCGCTGTAGATATATCGTTCTGAACTGGCGAGCCGATAGTCCGTATCAAGCTCGAGCAGAAGCATCGAACATGCTGCCACGTCGGTATCGCTGGGAGTGTCGTAGTGTTGCGGTTTCAACACAGAAAGATTTCGGCGTTGCGAAGGTGGAAAGGTGTGAGCATAGCATTCTAAAGTGCCAGCACGCGATATGTTCTGGCGCTTTATCCGTGCTTGCTTACCGCCATCACCATGCGCCCAAGAGTGCACTGCCAAAAGTCCGATAATAAAAGCAAAGAAAGCGATGTTTGTATAAAAAGTGATGGTGGTCAGCGACTTCGGATCACTAAATGAGAAGAAAGGCGACTGCCATATGAGAAACAACATGACGCCGAATTGATACTCGAAAAGAAACATGCCCACGCACTCATAGATAAAAAGATACAGAGCGAGTCACCTGATATTGAAGTTCTGATATAGGGCAAGCTCACGCGCTACGTTTCTCAAGCGAACTGCTATTTTGGGTTTAGCGGGCTATGCAGATGTAAGGATACCACCGATGCTAAATGTTTCTCGCCCCACTTACCGCAACGGTGGTAGCTTGATTATCGTAGGATGTGGCGTTGAAAAGACTGAGAACATTCAAAACATTCCAGAAGAGGCAGTCGGGATGAGAAGATCTACCTAGCGGCATCTCTCAAGACAGCGACCGGGTTGCCCAATTAGTCCGTGCATGCCATCCGGACAATCGAGAGACTAGACTGACTCTACGTCACGCTTAATGACTGTGCACGAGGGCTCTATCGCATCACCAGGCATAAACTGACCACAACATTGGCTGAACCCTCCGCCTTTGGACAAGAGTTGAAACTGCACAATAGCACTCTCACCTGGAAACTATACACCATGCAGATCATCATATCTGCGGCTGTCATTGTACTTTCTGTTATCCTTTTTCGCGTAAAGGTAAGAATATTGTTGCATCTTTTTAGCAGCTCTAAAGACTTACAAGTGTGTCTCCACTCAGATCAAGGGTCCAATCAACAATTCAAAAAGAAAAGCCTCTGAGCTTCCTCCAAATCCAAGCAAGAAGACCGCCCCCATCGAGGCACTGAATGACTTGAATTGGAAGTTAATCGAACGGCGTAGGCAGCGTGTGTTCAAGCCTATATACAACATCTCTATGGGTAAGTGCGCACCGGTTCCGCTCTGACGCAACACATAACGCTGATGACTGCGTTGCTACAGGCATCAAGAGAGACACTCCATCGGAGCATATCACTATAGACGAAGGCTATCTCGAGCGCATCTACCACCGAAAGGAGCTGATAGCGGCCTATCCAGACACAGTTCTTGGCTTTATTTCTGGCGGCGAGGAACCAGTGCGAGAACTATACAGTTACATGCTAACCGACTACCTCCCCGTTCGCTTCCCCGCCATGTTCCAGCTTTCGAACAACGGACATGATTTCACAAATCTGGTCACAGGCCAAATCTACCCAATCCAAGCACCAATCGATATCAAAGGCGCACTCCGCAGCCTGGGCGAGATCGTAGAAGAAGAGCTCTTTCTGCTCACGCCGTCTCCAAGTGGCCACCGCGTGGTGGCCTATATTTGCTGCTTTCCATCGGGATTCAACCCCGCTAGATTACTCGGTCAGAATCTCGATAGCATACACAAACCTGTGCCCGGATACGAAAAAATCGGACCAAGCATGGAACGCTACCTCCAGAGGTTGGAAATCGACAAGCCAGTGAAGCGGTCAAATGTGCGTAAACTAAGCTTGCTACCTCCTTTCATATGCGCTCAAGAGCAGAGATGATCTTCTGACATATATTCCAATGCCGCAGTGGACAGTGCAGCAGCACCCCGAATTGCTCGACTGCGAAGTCAACGACCGTCTCAAAAAACTACGAACCTACAGGAAATCAAGAATCAGATATGAAACACGTGAATCCCCCTACCTCTCGAAAACACTCGCCCGCTTACCGCCACAGACGTTCCTCCGTTCAGAACTCCAAACACTCAGTCGCTTGCCTAAGACCGGAGCCGTTCTCTTCACTATCAAGACATACATGTATAACATCTGCGAGATCAAGGAAGAGGGGAGAGGATGTGAGTTTGCAGAGGCTATTGAGGGCCTAAGGAAGGGGAATGTGCCGGGTATGTGGGAGTATAAGGGGGCGGAGCGGTGGGGGGGAGATGGTGTGCAAGTATCTTCTCAGTGACCCCTAGGCTAATAGTCATTTACTCTTATGTATAAGGATATATCTAGCAGATGACATATGTGAGTTGGCTATCGAGCGTGTGTGAATGTATCATAACGTCGTTCGTTCTTGGCTTTTGGTAGTCCTATGATTGAATCTGTAATAATGTCTGTCTGGACCTCTGTGAGTAACTAGACAGCTTACATTCCTCCGTCTTCAAGGTGTGCAGCACACTCCATATGAATCAAAGGCGCCCATCCTCGAGGGGCGGTATACATGGCTTCTCGTCTCTCAAGAATGTCGCGGCAAACAGTGGGGTTACAACGGACATCCGTCAGCGACATGGGGGTGTCTCTAAGCCAAACTGGCCCTATCTCATACATTCGTTCCGCGATCCAAGCAGTCTTGCCTCCTTAGTCTGTCCATCTTTCCACCTTCCAATCCTTCCAGACATATCCTGGCGCCCTGCGTCCCGTTCTCTGACAGCACACCGCCCACATATAAGCCGCTGTGCCCACTATAAGAGCAGAAATAAGTAACGCGACCCACCAAAAGTTCTTAATGCGTGCGGCCCAGCAAACTGCAAGAGTGAATAAGGCCCAAAATAGGATGATCAGAAGGACAGAGCCCATTAACAAGAACTCCCCCGCCTCGTAAGCCTGGAGTCGCGGGGGACTGGCGGAGAACATGCCAAAGTGATCTGGTATGCCCAGGGTTTGCGATTGGATGCGGTATGCGTTGGCGCCGAGGGAGAGGTAGAGAGGATTGAGACGCGGTGGGTCGGAAAGGACCTGGCCCGCGTGAAGGAGTCTGAGAGCTGCGAGGGTGTTGTTGAACATGGCGGGCGGGTGGGTGTGCGTGTGTGCGTCTATATGCGCGTGCGTTTGTCGGGGACGGACCTCAGATGATGGAAGGCCGCGAAAAGAGGACTGGACCTGGGGCGCCTGGGGCGTACCTGTTTGGTAACTGAGAGTTTAGTTTGTGAGGTTGCGTCGACTTGCGCTATGAAGGATGAGGGGGGCGGGGACCATTTAAGTAAGAACAGACGGCGATGACGCGATGTAGCGTTGTGCGAGGACACGTCGGATTTTTGCGTGATGTGACTTATTAATTTGCTGAACCACGGTTCGCCATTATAGGTCAGCACTTCTGAACACACGCTAATAGGCAACGCCCCTTGGAAATTCTGTGCAGTGGTTGTTGAGCGGTCCACCCGGACGCACCAACACAATCCCCAAGCCCGCCGGCATCCTTTCTAGGTTGTTGAAAACGCGCGATTAGGCAGCGTTCGTGAAAATTGAAGCAATTTGACTTGACGAGGGTTACTGTTGCCTGGGAGGAACCATGGTATGCGCGCGCAGAGCTTGACTGCATAGTTAAGCGCTCCGCCCGCCGGCAAGCCCAGCACCTGGACCTCCCTCATAGGTGTTGGACTTCGTATGATCCGCCAATACGTGAATACCACTATCACTTGTCCGTGCGCTCAGGCTCCTTATTCTATGTGACTCATTCTTGAATAGCTGCAGTCACCAAAACATTCACTACTGGGTCCGTTACGCCGCGCATCTGTGCCGAATGTGATGGGCTCTTCGTGCCTTCCTCTTCGCCTACATGATGCAATTTCAGCTGTAGTCGGTGACATCTAGGTGGTGTATGTAGCGTCTGCGGACCGGGATGTAGGTGATGCAGATAGACAGAAATAGGATACGCGTACTAAAGATCTCAACGATACAGATGAATTCGTGGCAGCCTCAGAAGTGGAAAGACATTCTAGGCCAGTTCTATAACATCCATGTTGCAAACACAAACTAAAGTTGGAATCAGTATTTAGAGTGTTGCTGCAGTCGGATTCTTCTTCTTCAAGAAGGCGGGTGTCAACTATTTAGTAGGCGCACTTCACCAAGCTCTGCAGGGCGCAACATAGCGCCTTCGTACCATCGCTGCTTTAATAGGACTCAATGTTAGCGATGTACCAATCCTGCCCCTGGCAACTGGTTCTAGTGAGCTAATTTCCCATTGTCAGTGACGCCAAAATGCTAAATAACCGTTTACGGTCACATGAGATCTGGCGGAGCGGCAAGGAAAACTAGTTTTCAGTTTCCTATGGTCGTATGTATCGATCCACGCAGACATATACGTATATATCCCCTAGAATACCAGTACTGGTAGATAAAATTCCTGTGCAGACGTTGTATCTAGTTAGCTAGGAGCATCCAGAGGTTTGTGCTGTCAAGTAGTACATAGATAGGTCACGAGTAGTATGTAGGCGAAGTGGCGACAGACGTCTGTATTGTCTTCAGAAGACAGCTGTTCAAAACTCCAGTACAAAAGCGAAAGAATGCCTCCGGAAAGTCTACAAAGCTCCCCTCATTGCCAACATATAACTATCGCGCATCACAGGCTGAATCCACACGACCGTCTTTTCTCTCCGCGGCTTTATCCGGAAATGTGGACGCCAGTCTCGTCCGCCACAATTCCCATCGACTACATGTAATAGCAATGCGATCATTGAAAATACATTGATCTGCTTCGCGAATGTCTTCTGGTAGAGTATACTAAAGAGATTAGGTTTCGTATGGTATAGACAGGATCATATGATAGTACTACGAGATCATGAATTCTTTTTCCTCAAATGCTCCCTCTAGTGCTTCGCCATCCATCAATCCATGGATGTAGCAATCGCCGAGGATCTTATACGATCCGTCGCTGCTCTCCCGTAACAGAAATGGGTAGGGGCAGCCGTACAAAACTGCGACAATGTCACCCGCCTTCGTTCCGTCCACCGCCCATCCGTATCTCTCTGCAGAAGAGATGAAAAAGCGGCGGTTGTAGCACCATCTTGTGTGCGCGCCACCATATCTTAATAGTCCGGCCTCGCCTTTTGTCTGTTTTTGTTGTTCACGAAGGCCGGTCGTATCAACAGGGACCACCTCTTCATAATAGCATCCGCTCTTGGCCTCGTCCTTGTTTGCTGTTTGCCAGCGCAACATTCCCATGAACAGCTCCCACGCATACCCATAATCCTCAGTAGGAATGCTATCATCTATAAGGCGATTGCAGATGAAGGTGCGCCACATGTTTTCGTACTTTTCCCACGTGAATCTATCCGAATTCGGCCATGCGAGTCGAACCGATTGCTCCAATGCATCACGCATCCTGCGCTGCTCCACTTTAACCGTGTACCTTCTGTGCGCCTGGGCATCACCGTGGACGGTCCGATTGTATGGCTCGAACTGGTCTACAGGAATCTCAGCCTGGTCATTGACTAGCAATATCTTGTCCAGTAGGCGCCCGCGCAAGCGGATGGTCTGGCCGTCGGGATCGACCGACGGCTGGAACCTGGTATCGCCGGTTGCATGGGATGGCAAGCCACGCATTAGGAAAGGTCTTGTCCACCGTTGTCGAGTCCAGTCGGGAACCCATGACGGGAGACTCAATGAAGTTGGCTGATGTAGCTCGCTGCAATAATACAGCATATCCATACAGCCATGCTGTAGATATCGCACGGCGAGATCTGTGAAGAGGCTTTCTGCGCTCTTTGCGTAGTTCACTTCTATTGATATGGCGGGGTCCATTAACCCTAGCAAGCCATATATCTTGTCCATTGGCATAGTGCTCTTGAATTCGCGAAGGGCGTTCAATTTCGAAGGGAGTTCAGCTTCGGAGACGAGTCTGCCGGACTGTCTCGTCTCACGGAGGCGTCTCACTTCGTTGGCCCTTTCAAAACCGGAAGTATGGGGGATATGGTCGTTACCCCCGTAATGCCTCAGCAAGGCGATGACTTTCTCCATTGCGTCCCAGTGAATGAGGTAGCGCCCAATCTGGATGATGGCGTTTTTTGCATTAGCAAGTTCTTGTACAACCCAGATGCGCTCAAACTGAGATCTTATTAGATATACAGTGTCCCTTGCATCTGGTGCGGGGAGATATTTACCCAAGCGCGGTCGAAAAAGTCCGCAAGAGCGTACCAATTGATAGACTTCCACTCCGGGTGAGACTGAAATAGCTTCTTACGTTGTGCTAGTGTCTCTTTGTCGTCCGAGGATTCCCCACAGTCCGTGAATATCTCCTGGAGACCTCTCAGAGTCTGTCCCAATTTGTGTTCTTCTCCAGTTGTATCTCCTAGCCAGACTCGCACCATGGACGCATTCTGGTAGATTTGTCCCATGATCTTGACGAGCTCTGCTCGCTCTTGGAGATCATCTTGGTTTATACAAACTGCGTCGATCCAAATCCGCCGAGGTGTTTCATCGTCCCGTATATATCTTAGCGCTCGGAATAGCTCGCCACCAACAGTGAGTTCTGAATCGTTGCAGACGATCTTACCGCTTGGGAGGGGACCGCCGAACCTGATGTATATATACTCGGATTCAGTTCCTAGCAAGTCTTTAACGGCTACTGGCCGCATATGGAGTTCGAGAAACTCTTGAAGGATTGCTGGCTCGGAATGCAAATCAGGAATTGGTTGCGACACATCTCTGATGAGCACCTCCGTGTCGAGGTCGAGTTCACGCGCAACACTGCGACCCCAGCAATAGCTAAGAGCTTCGTATGCCTCGCAAGATGCAAACTTCATATTGGATAGTTTGCACACTATTTCTTCGTCATCGTTACCAGGCAAAATAGTCAAGATCCTCGTCTCATGCGGCAGGTCGAGTGGCTCGTAAATATTGGGTGCCATGGTGAAGTAGCAAAGAAACTAGTAATGCAGGTAAACGCCACGGCGCAGCTTCGAGTAGGTCGGGTGTGAGGTAGTCGTTAGAAAAGTCTGCTGAAAATTCGCTTGGGGTATAATAAGCATATTCGTTGACCTCGGGACGATGGAATCGCTATAAGGGTTCTAGGCAGCAGCGAGCCGATGCTCACTAGCCTATCCTAGATGAAAATGCGACGAAAATCATACCATAGGTATACTGTGGTTGCAGCCCTATCCTTTCCCAGTGTATCAAGTTGTGGAAAGCGCACATGATATACACATATTCATTATCTACTACGCCTTCCCAAATCTCGCCTTAATCCTCTGTACTTTCCCTAGTATAATACCCTTCAGCCCACCCAAAGCAGGCACCTCGTCTGCACCCACAAAGCGCCTGACCACCAGATTGAAGATATTCCCAAAGCCCAGTGCCATTACTGTACTTGTCAGAATGATCACGTTGTACGGCATGCTGAAATCCGGCGTTGGAAGCGAGAGCAGCAGCGGCGTCGTCCGAAGATACAACCCCTTTCTGTCAGTCGATTGAAACGGGCCCAGGATGCGGATGACAGCAGGCGGTGCGTCAAATCCACGATTGGCATCTGGTGGGTACTCCGTGTAGCGCAGAATAGCCTTTTCGAAGTCGTAGGTTAGGGTGAGGGTGGAGGCTGGCGGAATGACAAGGCGAAGTTCGAGGTGGGTGCCCCGGACGCGGTCGACGGCTGGGCGGTAGTACGTCTCTTTGAGCGGGTCTTCGGATGAAGTGGAGACGTGCGCACGTAGGGTGTGCAGGTAGGGCTTCATGAACCAGGGAAGCGACTCTAGATATGCGAATTCAACGGCGTCGGTCGGGGAAGGGTTTTTGATTACGGCTTGGACACTGCCGCGCTCTTGGCCGTGGCCGTTGATAGAGCGGGAGGCGTAAAGGTGGGGTTGTCCGCGTACAAGGCCGGTGGTAAGCCGTTGCTCTGGGAGGATGAGATCAAATTCCGCGGCTGTAGGGAGCTTGTAGCAGCGCAGGGTATCTGATGCTGACAGAGACTCTGTGTACTGACCCGTTGTGTTGGCGTGTATTGTGCGCTCTGGTACCGTATTGATGCAGAGCGCCTCTGATTCTGGGCCTTCCGCCTCCGTCAAGGGACATGCGCCCTTCAATGGCTTCCCAAATACTTCGGTCAGGTTCCAGGCCGGTTCCATTTTTCTGTCAAGCGGGTAGCAGGTGTCGGGTGCGTTGTAACTCTTGGAAGTATCGCACTCGATCTCCTCAATTGGAAGGGGGCGCGGGATAGGGTTATCGCGAGGGCGCTTGGAGCGGGGAATGTCCAGCACCATGTCCACCGTCTGCTCCATTTCTATCACGCAATTCTCGCCCAAAGTCTCGCAGACTGGGCGCACGTCAATAGCCATGCTTTGGAAAGCGGCGTCGAAGAGCTTGTGTCCGTCCAATAAACTGGAAACGCCAGCCTTGCCCTTGCAAGGAAGCAGCTTGAGGAAAGGTGTCAAGTTCTCTGTGCACACAACCTCGTGCGGCAGTGTGCCGTGGAGCAAGTGGAGGTTTGATGTGCTCGTGTGGTCGCCTTCGGGGTCGAAGGAGATGACGGGTCGTATCGTCTTGGTAGCATCAATGAAGTTCAGGGAGGCGCAGAAGAGTCCAGAGAGGTTGTTGACCAGCGTCAGCCATCGTGAGAAGGCTCTGTATGTGCGTTAGAGAAGGATCTCTATGATTGCGTTTGGTCATACTCGTCTTCGCTGCTCGCCTCAATCCACGCCCACAGCTCGACTCCATTGCTCCCCTCTCTTGCGCCGTACCACGGCCGCTGGCCCCAGTTCTCTGCATCCCACCTTCCCACGCTGAACCTCAAATGTAGCTCTTTTGTATGCGCATATCGCAGAATCTGCCCCAGCGACCGTGGGAAGAGACGGAAGTTCTGCTGTTCATATGCGGCCGACGTCTCGTTGCTGCGGAAGTTGAACGAGGCCAGGAGCGTGTCCTGCGGGAGCGGGCGGAGGAGCAGGCGCTCGTGGTAATCGGAGCTGGCGTATGCGCACGCAGTCAGGGCACTGAAAAGCAAAAAGGAGAGAGACGACAGCATTGCAGCATCGCAACCACAAAGAAGCACTGCAAGCTGGCCGTTACGGTGCGGCGGTGGTGAGGGAGGCGCGCGTGTGATTGGCTGACTGACCGTGGCTTGGCGTGGTCGCGATTTCTCTGCCGCTATTGCCAGCTTCAAGCTCTCCACTTCTAACAGGCACAACGCTTCTACTCTTGTGCGCGCATATACACCGTCAATATGGCCGCAGAGCAGCGAAGGCTGCTAGGTATGTCTATCCCCCCAATGCGCGAATGTGGCCGCCACTAACATCGCGCAGAGCAGCTCATGGGCGCCGGAGCCATGACTGGCTTCGACCAGCAAGCGCCCAAGCTCGACATCACCGATCCGAAGGTCTGCAAATCCTACCTCGTTGGCAACTGCCCCCACGATCTGTTCACGAACACGAAACAAGACTTCGGACCCTGCCCCAAAGTCCACAATGAGGCCCTCAAAACCGAATACCAGGAAGCCTCGGAACAGCAGAAGCGCGCCTGGAACTTCGACTGGGAATACTTTCTAGACATGCAGAAATACGTGAGGCAGTGCGATGCGCGCATTAAGGAGGCGCAAACTCGGCTTGAGAAGACAGTAGACGAGATCCGTCTCTCCAACCAATATGTGGGTGGACAGCGACATCATGAGAAACTAAAGCTAACAATGCTAGCTCAACACCATCAAAGAGCTCAACAAGTCGATTGAAGCGGGCATGCTAGAGGTGCAGATCATGGGCGAGGAGGGCATGGTCAAGATGGCTGTCGACGAGTTCTACAAGCTTCGCGTCAAGAAGGCTGAGAAGGAAGAGACGGAGAAGATGCTGCGGAATTTGACCGAGACGGGCGGCCCTTCAGGACACCAGAAGCTTCAAGTGTGCGACGTGTGCGGTGCGTACCTCAGTCGACTCGACAACGATCGACGGTTAGCAGATCACTTCTACGGCAAGATGCATCTCGGTTACGCCCAGATGCGCAAGTCGTACGATGCACTCCAAAAGATAGTCAAGGGCCGTGCCCCTCCTGCGCGGGACTCGTATGCCCCGCCTGGCGAAGACAGGAACGGCTATGGTGGAGGAGCTTGGGGAGGAGGAGGCTACGGCGGCGGTGGCGGATTCGGCGGCGGCCGAGGCGGGCGACGCGGAGGTCGTGGTAGAAGAGGAGGCGGTTGGTAATGCATTGGGCCCGGCGTTCAAGGTGTGTGATGATAAATTTTCGGGGATTGACTTACTTCAGTACTGTGAGAGCAGCTTAGGCGCGATATCCCTTTCTCGTTTAATGGGCAGCACCACCGAGCGTATAGAATATCGCCAGTCGCTGGATTCGGGCACCAGGCTTGCTCTAGTTCAATCAAGACATGTACGCCTTCACCTACAATGCGATTGATTTTTTCTAACGTAGCTCAAGGGATATACGCCAAGAGCGCGTTACGCGGCAGTTGGATCATGACATGTCTCTTGTAACCTCAGGTATGTACTTACGACTGAGCTAACCCCGTGATGCCGCCCGTGCCAGTTGCACCGAGGTGACCGGCTCCTTGGCCGTCTACCAAGGGAGAGTAAGCATGAGCTGTTGACCTCGATCCGGAAAACGTATTGTCTAATCCTTTGAATTATCCCCACCGGTTATCTGCGCACATTGTAGATCTAGTAACATGAAGATAGCCATCTCGAGCTCGTCCGTAAAAGCGGTACAATCTAGCCATTGGAATGTAGCGTGGCGACACACGTCACCGTAGTCTCCCAGGGAACACGGAGCAAAAACAACATGCCGCGCAGACCAGAAGTTCTCTGTATGTCTCATCCGGATTACACCACGTGAAGTCACAATGATAAATCGGTTCATGCTTGACCTGCAGCACTGACACTGTCTCGAACCAAGCAAGGGGTATAAATAATTTCAATTCATCACATTTGCGCATTCCACCTGCAGTATTTCTTTCTTGTGAATTCTGTCCTTCGACGACCATACTTCGATCATGTATGTTCCGCTGTACCTGGCGTACGTCTTGAGTATCTGTCCTTTTGCAGCCTCACTGGATCACAGGGCGCCGGCTGGGATCGAAGGTAAGCATAGTTCCCTCCATCACCTACATAAGAAGCTGACGTAGGTAGTAACGAATCATGTCCTGCAACTCGTCGCGGCACCGTACCCACACCCAGTTACTCCTTCATCGAGACACCTCCACAGACGCCGCCGCAATGGCCGTCGACAGAACTTTCCAGTCCCAGGCCTCGTAGTTCCGGCCTTCGCAGCCCCGGCTTATGTGCCTCCTTTCCTTCCACCCTCTGTCAACCAGGTTCCTCCGCCCGTATACATACCGCCTCCTATTGTGGACGTGGCATCTCCCGGCGTCGTTCCGCCTTCTGTCATCAATGTATCGCCCCCTCCTATAATCCCATCACACCCCTTGCCGGCCCCAGCAGCTCCCAAACAGTCCTCTGGCGTCCCCCTAAATGGACTCGCTCCCCACGTAGCCTCGTCACCCCCCAACACACTCACAGAAGCGGCCATCGAACAACCCGTCGACACCCTCGGCGGCCGCGTCTACATGACCAACATCAGTCTCGCTGGCCACCCCTACACCCTCATCATCGACACCGGCTCCTCAGATACCTGGATCGCTGCCTCAGACTTCGAATGCACGTCCCGCGTGTCCCACGCGAGGCTTCCGCAGAAAAATTGCGGGTTCGGAAACCTCTACGATGCGGTGGATAGTAGGACGTACAGCACGATTCCGGGACGGGCCTTCAGCGTGAAGTACAGCGATGGGGAGTATCTGATGGGCGATATGGGTGTGGAACAGCTGAGTGTCGGTGCGGTTGATGGTGGAAAGGGGGGCTTGACGGTGAACCAGACGATAGGCGTTGTGGAGCGGGGATGGTGGATGGGTGACGGGCGGAGCAGCGGGCTGATGGGGTTGGCGTACCCGACCCTGGCGAGTAATTATCGGGACTTGAATTACACGACTGTGGTGGGGTCGCTGTAAGTGTCTACCTACTCCTTCCCCCAGGTCCATATATAGTTTCTGTACACAGAAACAGTTGAAAAGGGAGATTCGACTAATGCCGTGGATAGCTTCGAAACGCACCAAATCCCCGCCATCTTCTCCCTCGCGCTCTCCCGGCCTACACAACAGGCCCCCACCGCAGGCGGCCTCCTCGCCATAGGCGGCATCCCCGACGTGTCCTACTCCACGCCCTTCGTAAGCGTCCCCGTCACACCCATCGTCTCCAACACGTACGCGTTCTACACCATCCCCATTGACGGCTTTTCCATAACGCCTCCGTCTTCCTCATCGGACACGCTCCCCCCCTTTAAAAACATCAGCTCCGACAAAAGCACCAGAAGCCAAAATATCACCGCTGGGAAAAGTACTAGAAGACAGAATACGGGTGCAGGCCAGGGGGCGCCCCTCAAAATGATAATCGACTCCGGCTCCACCCTCCTCTACCTCCCCGACTCCACGGCTGACTACATCGCGTCGCTCTTCGACCCGCCCGCGCGCTACGTCGCCGCGTCAAACACGTACATGACCGCGTGCCACGCCTCGCAGCCGCGCTTCGGGGTCATCATCGCGGGGCAGACGTTCTACGTTAATCCGGCGGATATGCTGAACCGCGAGGGGAGGGGGCGGTGTTCGCTTGCGGTGCAGAGGCAGGAGGAGGGGATGGGGTGCTGGGAGATGCGTGGTTGAAGAGTGTGCTTGTTGTTTTTGATCTTGGGGGAATAGGGTTAGTGTGGCGGGGAGGGAGGATTATTAGACTTGGGGAGGGGAGGGAAAAGGGGAAGGAGGGCAGGCATCGTAGTTGCATCTGAGCATTTGCATGTGATAAAGGCTGGTTGGTGAATGGAGCGCTTGAGGAAACTAGGAAGGGGATGCGTTGTATCACTGTGAACTGCGTTGCGTTGCGTTGCGTTGCGCTCAAGACCTGTGTTTCTAGCATTGTAGCCGAGTCGAAGATGCGTTTCCTGCAACCTCAGCCGGGGATCCGTACGCAATGTCAGGGCACGAAGTAGTATTCATGCCAGGCGATTGTCTAAGACCCAGCGTTACACCGCTCCGTCCAAAAGTGTCAGACATGAGCAGCTGGCCTGGACACCTCCTTCACCCACTTCCCTGGTTGCTGAATACTACACTGCCTTTGTACCCCCGCTATATACGTTCGTTCCACATCCCCGCTCGCATATTCGAGTATTTGCATGATCGGCGCAGAGTCTCTGGACATGCGGTCCATTCCGCCCGTCGCGATGCTGCATCTCAGACTATGAGAGCAGTGGCAAAAAGTAGGTCATATCCGTCTGCGCCTTCAGCACCGGTGCATGCAGTCACTCAATCGGCCTGTCTGCCTAGGAGGGGAGAAAGTAGGAAGTGATCAAGTTTATAGTTTAAAATGCGCAGAAGCTCGAGGCGGGTATATATATATATTCTTCTAACTTAATCGACGTTTACATACGTAGGCCACGGCGTGCCGTAAAGGACACAGAGCTAGCTGTTTGTGCTAGAGTGTATGCCTTGTCGTGCTCCGGCGTGCGATGGGCCGCTGTAACTGTAGAGCGGAGATACCTGACGCAGACGTGCTGACGAGCGTCCAAGTCCAATCGGACTGGCTTGCTGTGCCGACTGGCTGTGCCAGACCCATCAAGCTCTGGTCTCAAAGCTGTGAAAGCGTCGAGGCTGACGCTTCGGGCACGCGGCCAGTGCGTGCTGCTGTTGCGGTCGCGAGTCAAGTGGTGCCGAATACTTCACGTGTCGAGCGCGAGCACGTGACACACTGCCTCTGTGTGCCATGCACAACTGACCCAGCACCCAGCTTCCTTCAAGATAAACTGCTGGAACCAGTGTCCAAGCTCACTCAAGCCCATCGTACCCGCGGAAATCCTCGCAGTCCAGGTAATTATTCTCGATAAACGCCGTATCCATGCGCAACCCATACACACCCCTCCACTCCTGCTCTTCTTCAAAAGGATGGATGTTAGCGCGCACAGTGCCCTTGACGCGCTCAATCCCATTCGGCGCAGTCGTCAGAGAAGTGTTAAACAATCGAATCATATTGTCGCATGTCTTTCCGTCGGCAAAAGTCGGCTGGTTAGTGAAGTTCTTGAAGAACGACAGGGGGAAAAGGTCTTCCTCGGTTGGGGAGAACAACGTGGTGAGAGAGGCTCTGTCGTCAAGGCTGTGCGCGCTGAAGGACGTGGTGCCCTTCTTCGCCATTGGAACCGCGCGGTAGGCATCGCAGCTGGGCTCGAAGGAGGCGGGGAAGACGTTGGTGCCATAATCTGCGGCGCCTTTGAGGGCGATCTCGTGGCCTGCGCTCATGATCAGGGAGGGTGCCCATTTGAAGGAGGTGTGGTTGTCGTTTAGTAGGTCGACGAAGGGGAATTCGATGCCGGTGCGCTGGGACTGTCAGCTTTCCATTGCGATTGTACTAGAACTTTGCTTACGGTGAAGTCGTCGATCTTGTAGCCAAAAGCTTGGACTTCGTGATCATGAAGTGCCTGGACAATGGCCGGGTACATTCCACGAGGAAAGTTGGGAAGCAACGCTCTGTAGGCGTGTTCCAAGATGCCATACTGAGGAGGAATGAGCTGTCTCGCAAGCTTCAAAGAAATCGGTATGACCGCTACAGTTCCGTTAAGAGTACCGGTAGCGTTGTTCGGGTATAACGATGCTATTGGATTGGGCTGGTCCACAGTGGTGCACACGCCCATCGCTATCTGTTCCGGCGCTCCAAAGTACGTCGACGCCCCATACCGCAGGAAGAGCAACGAGACAAAGGTGAAAAGAAAGTACTGCAAGTTCGACGGCTTCGAATGCATCTTGGGATGCTGGACGGTAAGGAAAGCCACAACGGGACTCGAAAGAAGCGCAACGTCGATGTAGGTACTCCACATGGTGAGGATTCAGTGGCTCTTCCGAATCATCAAATGGGAAAGAGGTAGACAGGTACGCCGCAAGACGTGCCAATCGCCCATATAAGAGGGGTCAACTGGTACACCAAGATTCATCGGAAACGCTCCCAGCCGGCGCACGGGCCCGCAGGTTTGGACGCCTCCTCTCCGAAGACGAGATGTTCCTTGAGCGGAAGGCGCTAGGCCGACACGATTCGCGTATGTTCGCGCCTCCGAGGACTTCACTGACCGCTCCGTGAGCGTGCGCGCGTTTGGCGTGGAAGGTAGTGTTCCGAAGTGCGATCTGTCGCCGTGACATGTGTGGTTGGAAGCGTCTGCGTTGGCGGCGGGAACGCGATGCGCCGAGACGCAGATGGATGCAAGATGCATCGTTCTCGAGTGCGACTGCCTGCTGGGAGGGGCACTGACGACGCCAGCGTCTATTGTTGCCGTCGGATCTGAGAGAGGCAGACGGCGTGTCAAGCATAGTCTCAGGTGCTGCATGACATGGCTCGTGCGCACAAGGCTCCATTGGCCCACATGAATCAAGCCTCACGGTCGCGCGCATCTTTGACCATCACAAGGCCATCGGTGCACACTGCAAGGCCAACCATGTGCCATTGTTGGAGTTATGAACGTTATCATTGAGATCTACAGGCGACACGCAGTCTATCACCATGTACGTAAATCGTCCAATGGGCAGTCGCATCAAGCGAAACTAACCCCACGCCTCCCGGTAACCTCTGTTCCCGAACTCGGTTCACCATTAACCTTCCAAAGGCTCCGTAGCGCAATAAACGACCAGCAAGAAATGGGTATCATCAACTTCAAACGCTAGAATGCCTCTCCTTTAGTAGTTCCTCGACTTTGCTGTCGTCCATCTTGTCAACCTCCTCTTCCAGCGTCTGCGGCTTCTCGAAAGAGTTACTGTTTCGTTGTGGCGAGCTTGACTTCCGTGAGGCAGCGGTAGAAGTGCTTGCGGCTCTGCCGAAACCTAACGCAGCGAAGCCGGAATAAATTGAATTCGCAAGTGTGACGGCTGCAGTAGGTCTGTCTTGTCTTGTCTCGCGCTCGTACTCAGTGTCAGAGGTCGCCGCCGACGAGGATCGCGATCTTGAAGATGGTGTCGTCTCGTAAGATGATGTTGTGTCGGATCTTCCCCTTCCCAGTCGATCCAATTCTTCGCGTTCGGCTTCGGTAGGGACTGCTTGTGTTCCTTCCTGCTTCTGCTCGGCCCCTTCCAAAGTATCTTCGAGCTTCTGACCAAACAGCAGTGTGAAGATGACAACAAAGAGCACCTCATCCGTGCTACGATTCTTCAAAACATATCTGAGCTGATGCGTCTTGTCGTCAATGTACCTGACAACCGATATGGAGAATCCAGGTATCCTCAACGCAAAGTTGGCGAAATCGAGATACGGATTGAAAAAATCGGCTTGGTACATGCGCCCAGCTTCAAAGGTGAATTGCTCCAAGTTCTTCTGGTCTAGGAAGTGCTTCCGTCGCTTGGAAGTCTTCGCTGGGATGTGACCATCTGCGCGAATTCGCTGCCCGCTGCCATCGGCACCCTCTTCAATAACTCCTTTCGCATCGGCTTCATGGATCCTCAGCTGCTCTTCTGCAGATACATCTGACGTATGTTCGCCGATTCTGAACGCGAAGAAAGAACTCAATGCAGGGCCGTACAAATACGGCTTGTGGGAGTACGGATCCGAATAGATACCAGGATCCAGTATTGTTGTAACGATCTTCATCGCATACCGAAAGCCGGGTGGCAGCCTGTCTTTGATGCTGTGGTCGAAGTCGAAACCCGTGACCAAGTCACTCCCTTTGATGTCGCGTTTTGGAACGAATGAAAAGCCTATTGAATAGCGATCTGAGGTGTGCAGGGGATGTTGGAAGTAGTCGGATGTCTGGGGCGAGTTGTGAGGTAAGCCATTGTAGTCCTTTACTCGTATTCTAAGCCAGCAGGTCATGAGGTCGTTTTCGATTACGTGTGGCTCCTCGCTGTTCACTGCGACTTCCTTGTGTGTTGAGGTATCATACGAGGGTCCTGCTGTTACTTGCAAGCGGTACTTGTCGCGAGCGGCTGGGTCTACCACGCCGGCCTCTGAGCGTCCCATCGTGACGTTGCTGTACTGTTGTCGATCAAGTTGCAGAGACAAGCGAACAATGCTGAATGAAAGATGGGAATGATGCGGCAATATCAATGTTGCTGGCACGTGAAAGTCGATGTATGAGGATGGAGCTGCTGGGGCGTCAAGTACTGAGGGTGAAACTGCTGTCAGTCGGTGATCAGATGCAGGCGATACAAGCTCATATGCCAAGCGCAGGTGCGTTGGGCGCCACAAAGCCCTCAACAGAAACACGGCTTGACGCGTCTCCAGTTTCGGTCATCGAGGATGCATGACGACACCCTCGGTGTTTCGGCCAATCACCGTGCGCCTCTGCTATCGATAGCACGCCGCAAGCGTCGCTAGAAGCTGCGCCCAAAGGGGCAGTGCAGTTGACGACGACAACTACACGTACAAAAATGGACTCATCTAGGGCCCAGGCGCTCTTTCAGGAAGTGGATAAGTTACGCGGTGCCTCCCCACGGCTGTCCTTCTATCTGGTGAGATTACGACGCGACAATATGAGGCCGATCCCAATCCGGCACTCAGTCGAATAAACATCTTTCACATGACAAAACAAACCAAGATGCGTCACCGAAAAGACTCTGCGCCTGCGTCTAGTCTTGCCTGTTGCATAATGCGCACATCGAAGCTCGGAAAGAGAAGATTTTGGAGTAGAAACCGGACCACTACCCACGCTCCCATACGCGCATCGCACAGAACCCGTAGTCACTTTCGGACTCCTAACTTAGTTGCGACTCCTACTCGTGGCGGCACGGGAAGTCGTGCTGGGTTCCATCGAGAACATCAACAGAAGGTGCCAGATACAGTATGACCAACTTCAGCGACTAGCCGATGCGCTCCAATATGAGGTCCTCTGATCCCAGGCAACGAAGCTCGATACCGTGTTCTTTCATTACCGGGAAAACTTTCTTTACCGGGGAAAGATACCGCTCCGCCCGGATTCTGTGGGTTAGGAACAACCTTCGTATATCGGGCCTACCATCACCTATCATCATCCTATCGCGGAACACGTACGGCCGAACTGGAAGGGAAAGGTCCACACGGCAACAGCTGGGAACATAGTTGAAGGCCCTCCGCTACCGCCGTGTCCCCCATACCGCGAGCCCCACGAAAAGTAATGCGGAGAACATGTTGTCTTCGTGCGTACTACTCTACAGACAACAACAGCAGAAACCAGCGCGGCGACCACATTAGTAATTCACACGGTAGTATATACACAACCCCTCTTAGCCGCCTCAACCTTCCTACACCTTCTCCTTATGCTCAGCCACCATCTCCCTCTTAATCTCTCCATCCATCTCCCTCCTCTCCTCCTCACTCGCATCCGTCAACCGCACCACTACCCTCTCGCCAAACAGCTCCGCCAGCTCCTCCAAACTCTTGCCCTTCGTCTCAGGATACATAAAGTAGATAACCACCACAGACACCAGCGTCAAGCACGCGAAGATGATGAAATACCGATAGCCGATGGACGCGATGGCAGTCGCGCCGGGGGTGACGAAGGTGATGCACGCGATGAAGTAGGTTGTGGTAGCGAGGGCGACGCCCGAGGAGCGGATGTTGGTGGGGAGGATCTCGGCGCTGTAGATGAAGGACGCGGCGTCGATGAAGAGGCCGTAGAAGAAGACGAACATCATGATGGCTACGATGGCGACTTTTTGGCCAGCGAGGGATGGGCTGGGCGTGTCGACGTAGGCGCCGACCATGGCGGCTTCGATGGCGACGCAGAGGAGGCAGCCGGTGAAGCCTGTTAGGAGAGCCTAGGTCGGTCAGTCAATCAGTCAGTCAGTCAGTCAGTCAATTGAAGACCGTGCAGTGGGCTTGAAAGGCATGAACGTACAAAGCGTCGACCCGTCTTGTCGATGGTCAATAAGGAAAACAAATTCCCCAGCGCGCCGATCAGCGTGTAGATGCAGTACATCAGCAACGGCAGATACCCCGTCAACCCCAGATTCCCGTAGATGATGACAGAGTAGTAGTTTATGACCAGCCCCCCCGTCGCATTCGCAGCATACTGCACGAAGCAGCTCAAAAACGCTCTCTTCCGATACGACGGCGTGCGAAAGATAGCCATGTACCCGCTGGCGTTCTGGGCCTCGAACTCAATCTGCTTCTTCATCTGGTAGAACTCCTCGTGTGCGGCGACGTCGTCGATGTCAGCGGGGTCGTTGTGCAGCCGCGATAGGATGGCCCAGGCTTCTTCGTGCCGACCCTGCGTGATGAGCCAGCGGGGGGACTCGGGGATCCAGAAACAGCCGATGAGCAGGATCAACGGGGGGATGCATGTGAAAGCCAACGGGCCCCGCCAGCCAAAGGTCAAGTTGGACGAGAAGAAGCAGCCGAAGCCGACCCAGGCTGATATATTGTACCCAGACACCAAGAAGAATCCATGGAGGCCGGTTAACATCCCTCGTTTCGATGGCGTGGATGCTTCACTCAGGTAGATAGGAACGAGCGTTGCTAGAGCGCCTAGCCCGCTCCCTTGCAGTATTCTCACTACGATTAACATGGCGACGTGCACGCTACCTGCTGTCAAGGCGCCGCCGACGATGGAAATGAGTGCTGCGCCGAAGAGCGACCATTTCCGACCGATTCTTTGTGCGGTAGGGCCGCTGAAGAGACCGCCCAGGCAGGCGCCAAAGAAGAAGAGAGCGTTTACGGCGCCGATGATGGAGTTGGTGTAGGAGGCGCCGGGGCCCGTTGTACTGAGATTGAAGTATGCGAAGAAACCGGGTTGGCCTATGCTGGTGGCGAAGGAGGCGAAGCCTGCATTACATGGTCAGGAATTGGGCCATGTTAGGGAGAGTATGGCTACCGAATCCATAAGTGAAGCTTCCAACAGCAACGATCAGTCCCACCGCCACGTTATAGCCACTGGTACGCGTCATAATGCTCGTAGAGGCACTTGATACTATAAGGTGAGATCTAGCAGCATGCTGTCACTGCACTGATAAGCCTTGATATACAGCTGTTGCGGCAGCTTGCAAGCTACGTCGAGACCATTGCGACCAACCAGGTGTATTGGAACCGCGGGATGATCACCCTTCGAAGCGGGGGTCGGCGCATTAGTTCGACATCCCCATGGGGTATTGCAGCTAGTGCAGCATGTAGTTTCTATCAAACGCAGGATATCATACCTGGACGTGGGCGCCATGCGGGAGACGATATCCGAGGATGCGGAGAAGTCGCTTTGGAGACGTCGCTCGCGGGTCGGCAGTGACCCTGACCATTCTCCAATTGTCTTAAAAAAAACTCGAAGACAGCGAAAGAGACTGGTGGTATAGGGCATGCCAAGATGAAGATACGACGTTGATCTGTGTAGATGCGGGTATCCATCCGAGGGAGTGGTAGTACCGTGGGGGGAAAGCGCACTACACTAGTGTAGCTCAACGCGGTCTGGCGTTCCTGCGTGATGGCACAACCACACTGCACCATTGCATCCCACAAATCAAGGTCAATCTCAGAGCACTTCCTTCAAAGTTATGGGCAGCAGATCCACATCATTCGTTCCACGTTCTCACCTCCACTATCATGTCAGCGCGCGGAAACAGCTCCGCATACAAGAACAAGCTCAGTGAGAGGACGCTTGAGGAGATGCTTGGTCCTATACAAAAGCAAAGCATCGAAGAGATGATAGGAGCCAATAATAGTCATCGATTTCTGATGTCGGCCCACCTTGCAACCTGTACTCCAACGAATCTTAGAAAGCGTGATCCAGCCGTCGTCAACTTTAAGTGGCCGAACGATCCTAACTGGACACCTCTATCATAGCTACATGACGCTCTCTCACAAGACCACTCTTACAAATGAAATTTCATCAGTAAGCATCAACTATCGTCTGTGTCCTAAGTCAACGTCCTTGACGGAGCCATTGCAGAGGTGCGTGGTTCAGTGCTCGGGGTGCACCATTCACTACCGAAATTGCTAGACCAAGCAGACATCAAACTGGACCCATGTCGTGTTGGGATAATCGGCCGGTCCACAGGTGGACATGTCGCCTTGACGCGTGCCTGGACAACAAGAGCCTGGGATACAGCCCCCAAGGATTATCCAGTCTTTCTACGCGCCCAGACTTCGAATGCGAAGACATGGACGCTGACGGGAAATTTCTGGACTGAACAATCTTGATGCGTGACATCGAGGGCACTCCTGGCCAAACCGTTGACCAGTTATGACTCAACGGGAGACGTGGAAGCGAAATCCCTCGATGACGTGAGATTCGTGCGCCAGGTGACACGCGATCCGCTCTCGTGCTGTCCATGACCAAAGATGGCATTGGCCTCGCTCATCTTCGATGGCGTTCCTCCACCAACAGCGAGGGCGACACCGTCTTCAAACGGCCTGACTCTGCGAGCGTTGAATCAATCAGCCCTCGCGCAAGTGCGCAAGGAACTTTTGCACGCCAACATGCGTGGTTCATAGCAAAGCAGATAAAGTAGTGTCCCTAGACTCTGCAGACAGGTTCGTGTCTGCGCTCCGTGACGGCGTGTGGAACATAGATTCGTCAGACTAGAGGCTAGCTCGCACCCGCACGACCTTGTGTTACAGCCTGGATCGCGGCAATGCGACGAGGGGGAAAAGCCTGCGTCGACTACTTTCTGAAAGATTGCCGGCGTCACGGATTCGACTCACCGAGTGTCCTTTTCCGCGACTCTTGATCCGAAGCACGCGTGGATATCAAGGTGGTGATGAGCACATCCATCTTTGGAGCTGAGCCTTGCAGTGCGGGCGGTCGGTTCTAGATGTTCCCATCTCGCGGGCAATGTGATGGGATGGTGAAAGGTGAGGCCAGACCGGACGCAGCAGTCCCTAGTATGTAGATATAAACAATGCTGGTTTGGCGTGCATATCGTTCGAACCATTTATTCCTGCTAGCACATGCGTCCGCGCCTCCTATGCGTTCCTTCGCCGAAAGCCAAGCGCATATCTGGCTGCAAGACTGCTCACGGGGCGCACCCTCAACCAATATGAAGCAAAAGCGGAGTATGAAGACAGGGCAACCGCCTATCGATGGTATCCACTCTTACATGCTGCTAAATTGTTGGTATCTCTCGCTTCAAATAACTAGATGCGTCGATACATAAGCAGCGCTTCTCTCCCTTCTTTCTTCTATATCAAGAGGTCGACATCACTGTGCCGCCCGCTCGTCCAATATACCCTGATTACGTCGAAATGCCCAACCCAGTCCAGTCCAGCCCAGTTCTACAAACGCCATGCCATGCCATGCCATGCCCAAAAACGCCACGCCAATAAAAACGATACAGTGTGGTGTCTCACCCAGTCGCGAAGGACGCCCTACGTGCCCTCGCAGACCTTGGGGTCAACGGGCGACCCCTCGATCATCTTGCCGTCCTTGCACAGCCACGACCCGATGAAGAAGTGCTTGGTGAGCACGTCGGGATGGTCGTCTGAGATGTCGCCCAGGCTGCCGAACGCTATCTTGGGCATGACCAGCACGTCGCCGATGAGCATGGGGGTCTCCATGTGCGTCATCTCGTCGCCCGTGTGCGGCACCCCCGTCACGGTGGTGAAGTAGTCCATGAAGATCTTAGTGAAGGTCCAGGGCCCGGTCGTGCCCATGATGTCGGGGAAGGAGGCGCTCTCGCCGGCGTGGTGCGAGGCGACCAGCTTGCGGAGGTTCTTTTCCGTGAGATGCACGAGTTCTTCGATGATGGGGTGGCCTGGTTTGGCCATGAGGACGAACTGCGCGAGTTGGATGGAGTAGGGCTGGCCGTCCCAGATTTTGTTGTGGTTTTCGTCGCGCTCGACGCCGATTATGACGTTGACTTCGTCTTTGTATTGGTCTGGGATCCAGTTCTTTACGGGCTTGCGCGCTTTGACGTCGATGTCGGCCCAGACGCCGCCTTCCTTGAGGAGGATGAGGTAGCGCAGGTAGTCGGCCTTCATGACGGCGTTGTCCAGGCTGGTGAACAGGTCGGAGACGACCTTGGGGAAGTTATCGACGACGTAGGCGTCTTCGTTTGCGTCGGTGATGCGCTCGTAGCGGAACTCGGGGTTTATCTCGCGCCATTCGTGGCTGAGGCCTTCTGTGCGTGGGGTGGGATCCTCCGAGTCGTCTTTCCAGCTCTGCCACAGCTTGCGGGGCCACGTCGCGTTGGCGATTCCGTCCATCGAGGTACACGAGGCTGCGAACGGGTCAGCACTCTGTAGCGCTCCGCGCCGAAGCAAGGGCGAGCTGAGGGCCGCGAACTCACCATGGTACGGGGTGAACAACAAGGTCTCGTTGTGAATCTGATATACATGCGTAGACAGCAGGAAAAACGAGAATACGATCAGACAGCCGACGAGGAGGTACCGCCGCGACGAGGCAACATTAGATATGAAGGCAAGCGCAGACATTGTCGAGACGCGCAGGGTAAAGAATGTGAGAAGGGCAGGCAGGCTGCAGTCGCGCGAGGGGCCCAGCAGGTCTAGTAGTCTAGTTTGCACCGTCTCCCGCTTACGCTAGGAATCGCATCCTTGCCGCAATGGGGGCGCTGCGGTTGCGCCCCGTAATTTGCTTCTGGGCGCAACACACCGGCAGAATTTTCCCGCTGCGGCGAACATCCACTGCCCGGCGCAGAACAGGCATGTCGCGCTGCGATTCTGCACTTTGCGCTTAGAACTAGGTCCCAGACAGCGGAATGTCGGTCGGTCCGGGACCAGAGTCAGTCCGTTGCTTTCACCGCCCGCGCGACCGCCCTCGAAAAGGGGCTCCGCTGACCGCAGCCCGCGGGGACCTTTCGCTCGGTCTCCCGTTTTCAGCGCAGAGCCAAGAAAGGCTGAGTACGATGACATTCGTCCGGCATGCGGTCATGTCGCTAATCATGCCGCGCACCCGCGAATAGCGTCCAATGGTAAGACATGCCAAGCCCCAGCGGAAGACATGATGTATAAAGTAGTTTTGATACAAGCGCTGGATGGGAGAAGTCCTGGTGCAGAAACCTATCCTGCATGGATGTGATTGTGTTCCAGCTGCGACGTTGCACTGGGCACATCTGGCTGATACTCGTAGTAGGAAGCGTAGAACTATGGCCAAGGCCTGATACTCATCCCAGACTTGGTGTAATAGAGTGGGAAGACGTCCCTCCATTTCGACCACGCTCAGCATGGTTTCCAGTTTCAGTCAGTTCAGACTCCTTTGGCACCATGTAGAATTCGGAGGTGGAAGATGGAGAGGATGCGTACTTGATTGTCCGCTTTGAAAGACTAGATAAAAATGGCCGGCAGCAGCGTAGCTCGGCGGTTATAATTATCATTATCATGAAGGCCGAACGAGATATCTAAAGCTTTGATGATGCTGTGGGTGCGTGCAAAGCGGGTTAATGTATAAGTCGCCCTGCAATCTAGCTAGCCTCTGCGCACCTTCCTTTCCACTCGATAGGGGTCTGAACCGTCGAACTAGAAGACACATGCCTGCCTAAGTTCGAAATTCCGAAAAGCAAACTGTATGTATTGCTTTCATCAGATAGGTAAGTATCTTCCTGTTGTGAATGTCATCAACTTCAGTGGTAGCGTTGCTGTCAAGGTAAGTAGCTCTCCGGGACACTGTGGCCTTATGCACCGGCTCGGATGTCCCATGGTACACTTAGTCATATGACTATCCGGTCGAGCTGCGTACAGGCGAAACACAGAGCAGTAGGTGATACGCAACGCTCTCAGATGACGGGTCGCTACGGTTCGCGCGTATCTGCATCCTTGACCGTGTTTGCGTGGATGCTCAGCTATTAGGTTCCTCGACGATCGTAAAGTCGCTCCTGTGGGTAAGTGGCCAGCACCTGCGATTGTTCAATATCTCTTTGGCAGCATATCGAGTTTTGTCCCATGCCTGCACGCGAGTCAGTCATGCCCAATCTCGGGGAAGGCGACTCACCTCCTCAGCGTCGTAGAATTGCTTTCGCCATCCCTCTATCGTGAGATCCGATTTTTCAACTTCGATCGTGATATCTCCGTCCACAAGGACGAAAAGGCGGTATCCATCTTTCTGCAGCCTCTCAAGCCTCGGAAACAACTGACTGGCAGTGTGCAGGAAAGCGTGCTGTATTTGTTCCACACTAGCCTTGGGGTTCCTGAAATCTCTCTTCTTGATCGCGAGCCCAACCTTTGAAGTATTGCTCAACCTGGATATGTACCCCAGCTCAGCATCAAGATCGGTTCCATTCACCGTCGTCTTGAGATCGGCTTGCAAGGCAAAAGGGAAACGCCTATTATAACACCGATACGACAAGTCTATGATAACACATCGTATCCGATCTTCAACTGTGGTACCCCAGAAATCCCCGCAAAGGAACTTAGGTATGAGCTGAGATGTCTTAAACTCGAAAGTAGACATGCGCCACCACGCCTCTACAATCTCTTGCTGGAGATCCAGCCCGACAAAGCGCGCTTCAAAGCAATGGCCCGTATCTCGCCCGCTCCACGACTCCACAAGCGCTACTGGGTCAGCGGGCGTAGTGCTCAGCGCCTGCACATTCCAGTCTGTAATCGTGTGATGCACATCCTCACACAAGGCTTTGAATACCATGATGCGCAGCTCCCGGGGTAGTTTCCGTCGAACACAATCACACAACGCGCGACATTGAAAAGCCGCATATTTCGCCCAGTGTTCGCGCAGCTCAGCCTCGAGCTCCTCCACAGCTTCTGTGTTACGATTCTCGTCTGCTTCTAAGCTGTTGATCTGGGCGGCGACTTCTGTCCTTTTCTGCTGGGTGAGGGGTGCCGCTGCAGTGAAGCCGTCGAGATGATCATCTTTCCCGATATTGTTTGCGACATCGAAGAGCTCTAAGACTTTGGTTCTTAGAGAGCCAGATCGAAGATGGAGCGCAGCAATTTGTTGTCCGGTGCTGCGGAACATTAATTTGGTGATTGTATGACTCAGGGAGGAGCTCGCCCGACCTTCGAATGTAGGCCCAGTCGATGGTTGGTTCCTTTTCATCCGCCATGTTCTTGCGGGTGTAGCTTTGTGTGTAGAATTGGGCGTATGTATTGATATGGATTGGTGCCTGCAGCGTTCCTTCCCCAACGCAGCCTCCTGCGTCACTTCATCTTATCTCTTATCTCATCTCCGAGATGCTGCTAAAGTCCGACCAAGCAAAGACGGTACGAAGGACGCTGAACAACAATTGAATAGTTACGAGAAGATGTACAAGGTACGTACCACAAATAGTGTTGTCGTTTCAATCATTAATTTTACTTCTTCTCATGTATCATCTAGTTTCACGTGGTCCGCTACAGATGGAAGCCCGCCGCGATGTTAACTTTCTAGTTACGAGAGCGAAGAGTCACCTGCTATGCTTTCCAACATCTATGCAGGGCGCGTAAACATAAAGCCACCTCTTAAATCCTCCCAAACCGCTTCGCAAACCAGCTAATCCCGCCCAAGAACATAGTCACTCCACTCCACACAACCAAGCTCCCGTACCCCGTCCCAAACGCGCCTCCAGCCTTGCCCCGCCAACTATCAGCCTCAAGCAACACCTCACTCAACGGCCCACTAACTACTGATCCAATGCCCTTTCCCGCCGCAAACAGCGCGACTACCATGCCCGTGTCAACTCGGCTAACACCGTTCTCGTCCCTGCATCGCTCGCGGATGGCGAGGGTAATACCTGGCCATGTCGCTGTATAGCCTCCTGCGAAAGCGCCGTACATGATGGCAAAAACGTACAGCGGCGCGAGTGAAGTCGATAGGCCCCATACTAGGAGACACGCCACCGTTGCGCCAACAGAAGTGATCATGATAGCGGTGTTGATCTCCACGCGGTCGACAAGTGCACCAACCGCGATGGTACCAACGACGGCTGCGGCGTTGATCAGCGAGATGGTAAGCGAAGACGCTTCGTTGGATAGTCCGATGGCCTTCGCATAGGAGGGGAGGTAAATGGAGGGAATGAAGTAGCCAAGGCCTTGGATGACGTTTCCAGTCATGAGAACGCAGAACATGCCTGTCTTGCAGAAGTTAAGATCGAGGCGACGACGTAGTCTGACGCCCACAGCGGGTCGTTGCACGGGCAGACGCCCCTTGAGGAAGATGAGACAGGGAAAAAGCAAGATGGCGGAGATGATGGCCCAGACGCGGAGGGCGGTGCGGAAGCCGTAATCTTCCAAGAGCCAGGTCATAAGGAGCGGGACGAGCATGCCGCTGGTGCCAGTGCCCGCCCACATGATACCGAAAGCAAGGCCTTTGCGCCGAATGAACCATTCGTCCAGGTAGACGATAGATGGAAGGTAAAGAAGACTTCCTCCGATCCCATAGAGCACACCTTGCGTGAGGATAAGCTGCCAGACGCTGTTCGCGCAGGACGCGCAGACCAGCCCCAGCAACAGGAGAGAGAGCCCGACCGCACTGAAGCCTCGTACACGGTGGGGAAAGGTACTTGTGAAGCCTATGACCAGTGGTGAAGCGAAGTACATGATACCCGTTGCTGTGGTACCGATTGCAGCAATGCCTTTTGAGTCATCCTTGAACAACTCCGCGCTAGCGTAGTACTTTTGGAAGACACCAAAGGCAAAAGGGAAGCCCCAGACGGTGGCCTCGAGCAGGAAGCATACGGCAAGAAAGGTCCACGCCTGGCGACCGCTATCAGCGGGAGGAAGAGCAGCAGCCTCCTGGCCATGAGGTTCGAAGTCGAGGTTTCCCTGGAATCGCTCGTGTGTGATAGGCTCGAGCTCGTGTTCTTCCATGTTATTAGACATTGAGAACTTGAAACAATCGTGCGGGATGTCGGTCCTGAGATAGAAAGGTGTGGAGGATTTGGCGGTTGGCATTGCGATTTTTTGAGTCGGAATCGGACCATTGCGGGGTTCGGACTGGGGTTATGCTTCGTACATGATTACCTATGGTAGTTAGAGTGAAATTCTGCCGATGACTGGCATTGCAGTACTCCGGCCGAGGACCATGGTGTTGGAATGTTCACAGTGTGTGGTCGACCATGCTGCCCGTCTCAGAGTGCCTCAGGCTTGAATGGTACCACTATCGACAAGCGTGGGCGCGGTTCTAGGTTCAAGGTATCTACAAGCAATGCCAATGGCGTCGTCAGCCCAGACAGACGCCAGCCGCGTCTCGAGACCGCGAAACGACACAAAACAGTTGTCGATGCGGTGCCAAGCTGATAATGGTCGGAAAGATGCGATTTGGCCCATGGCACGGCGTGCAACAAGTTGTCAGTGCGAAGATCTGCTAGCTGCAGCGAAGCCGACAATGACAGGAAGGCTGCAAGCACGAAATCAGATCGACACTGCAGGTCCAGCGGTTTTCGCGCCGTCTGTCGGAGCATTCAACCCCAGCTTATAGATAGTGGGGTACAGTCCCTGCATAGGCGTGGAGTTGCAGCACTCGTCACCGACGAAATGGACGACCGAGAGTGGTAGGTCCACGGCTGGACAGACATGCCTCGTCTCCACATCCCGCAATCTCCCTCATGACACCGCGCAGAAAGCGGTCGACAATCGGCCGTATCCTAAGCCAAACCGATCTCTCCCGACACACAAAGACGAGATTCGACAATCCTTGCACCCTGGGATTCACGAGGCGCACGGTGAAGAGACAAGGCCTGTCGGTAAGGCGCGCATGATAAGACAACGTTACGTTCGCGTATCTGACCGACGTCTACCTGCTGGAAGGGTCTGGTGTTTCGGACCGTGGCTGGTCGAGTGCTGCCGCGAGGCGGTCATGGCGATTGCAGCCCTGCGGCGTGTCGTCCTGCTCACGGACTCGGATCAGGCCGAAGCTCTACAACCGCGAGCTCGGCATGAGCCTGATAGGCATCAAGGAAACGACGGTCGCCATGGCGGCGCGGCAGGCGAAACTTCAGGCGACGTTTGGGTCTTCTAAAACAGGCGCACGTTAGCAGGGCTCCGACGGCCTCACCCGCGCTCCCGATGGCCGCGATGGCCGCGTCATATGGCTGAATGCTCGATGCTGCGCCGGGATCGCAGAAACACCAGGCGCCGGCATGCTTAGCTGCGCGAAACGTGCGCCAACGTCTGGATGTGTGGAGTGGTGAATTCAGTGAAGGCTACTTCGGGTTAGCCCGGCAGATGTCGCCATTTCTTTATCACGCTTCGCGTTGCGCCGCCGGCGGGGCTTCACGCCGTCTCGAAGAAGACTAGAACCCGACCTTCACCACCATGAGCCTGGCCAAATTATTAATATGGACTCCGAACCGACCTCCTGCTCCTATCAGTGTCAGTTCAGCTCCTGTTCCTCCTGCGCCCGTGGTACTGGTACTGCGCTGACAGATTCCCCCGCCACAGTGCCCTTCCCGACCCTTTCCGATCAGTGACAGCTACCCCGGTTCCGCTGTCGCATAGTGACCACGAGTGCTTTGATTTCAAGCGTTTTTGGGCGGCCCTTTTCTGCATTTCTGTTTATTCGAGATACCCCATGGAACTTTCTATTCAAATGTCCAAAACGCAGTCACCAGCCATGACGAGAAGGCGCGTTGGTTCCGAAGCCCTTACGCCGCCTATAAGCGTCGACGACCCCGAAGGCGCCTGTCTTCTGTCGCGCGCTGTTCACGTCCTCTCTACCGCCGCGACCGCTCTCTCACAGGTCACTATCCTATATCAGTCTGACCCTATCGCGCGGGAGGGCCTCCTGCAGGCAGTCGAATGCATCAAGAGCGTCAAGGAAGCCGGTGGCAAGTTGCTCATCTGCGGCGTGGGCAAGAGCGGGCTTGTGGGGAAGAAGACGGTGGCGAGCATGAAGAGTCTGGGTATCCCATGCACCTTCCTGCACCCCGCTGAAGCATTGCACGGCGATCTGGGTGACATTCGACCCGTAAGGAAAACCTCCCCCCCATGTCTGCCACCGAGACTAACATTCTCATGTCCAGATTGACGCGATCATGTTCATCTCCTACTCTGGCAAGACCGCCGAGCTCATGACTGTCCTCGATCATGTCCCCTCTTCCATACCCGTGCTGGCCATCACATCTCAGACGAAGCCAGCCGACTGCCCACTCCTCCGCGATAGAGTCGATGGGATATTGCTCCCCGCACCGATCCATGAGCTAGAGGAAGTCTCATTCGGCGTGTGTGCGCCAACTACCTCCACGACAGTGGCTATCGCAGTAGGCGACATGCTCATGCTCACGCTCGCCCAAGCCTTGCACGCAGACGACACCAAGCAAGTCTTCAAACGGAACCACCCAGGCGGTGCCATCGGCGAGAACGCGAAGCGGAAGGCAGAAGACCACGACATCGAAGAAGTTACGAAATGTACAAAGAAGCATGCCGGGCTCATGTCGCCCGCGTGATTGGTAGACAGCATATGCGGTGTATATATGGGACGGCCATCTGTAGAGGCCACGGCAGGCGCTGGCACACACATAGAGGCGGCGTTATATGGGACAGGGAACCTGCGCGAGACATGCTATTGGACGGACCAAGCATGCGCGGGCGCCTCTTGTGCACACGACTGAGACGAAAGCTCTCAGCTTTTCTGGTTCAGAAATACCCTCGCTTGTTATTACGAGCGCTGTTTTTTGCCTTTGGCAATACTTCTCCTAAAGATGCATCGTTCTTGCCGTGGCTGTGTCCGTCCTGCTTTGCGGAGAACCCGTGACCAGTGCTCACCGGTTTATGATCCACGTCATTGTACGACGCAAAGTGTGGCCACTCAACTGCGCGAACACGAGTTGTTAAGCGCCACCTCCACTCAACAGCTAGAGGAGACCCTGCAACATCCACAGGGGTGAGCGACGAGGGGCTACACCATGACACCTTCACGACCACCTCGCGAAGCGTTCCACTGCTCTGCTCTTGTCGATGATTCCGATCGAATAACGCTCCTTCAGTCACGCCCTTGGCCTCGGCAATATGGACCCGGTCACGGCGGTTGGTCTTGTTGCCAACATTTTACAGTTCGTGGAACTAGGCTGCAAGATCTTTACCAATGCGAAAGAGATCCGGCATTCGGCGTCTGGGCTGACGCAAAATGACCAGAGAACGATGGACGTGATAAGCGAGATGCACAGGCTCTCCTTGAATCTCGAAACACCTGGTAGAGAACCTAGCGACGCAAATGAGAAGGCACTCTTTAAGCTTGCATGCGAATGTCGGAAGCTATCACACGAGATTCTGAAGCTACTGGATAAGACCTCCACGAAAAATCCTGGTTCTAAGAGCGAAGCCATACGTTCGACGGTTCGCAGGATGAGGTACGCAAGAGAAAAAGAGGAGCTTGAGGAAAGGTTGAACGAATGTCGCTCCCAATTACACCTACACCTCAATTGCGTCTCAGGGTACGCTTGAAATCATTCGATGATTGATCCACGGACTGAAGTTACGACAGGTCGAACATCAAAGATCGATTGATATCGCTCGCCATTGACAATGAAACTCAACTAAGCACGATCAACGACCTGAACGCAAACCTGAAACATCTTCATGACCGACTCTCTTCATCATCTTCAAGCAACGACGACCTTATGCAGAAGGTCCGGGAACTCGTGCAGCTTCCACAGGCTGCTAGAGAAGCCGTTGCTCAACAGCAGATTTTGCGAATGCTAGACAATGATGATTTCAACCTGCGATATGATATTGTCGATAAAGCTCATCGAGAAACGTTCAGATGGATCGTTGAAGAAGGCAATAATGCCGAGTCTGAGCGTTTGTCCGATAGCCGCAAGCTCCTCCGTACATGGTTAGCTGAGGAGCAGGGAGGATTTCACATTGCGGGAAAGTTAGGCTCTGGAAAATCTACGCTCATGAAGTTCCTTTTCAGCCACCCCAAAACGGTTTCCGATTTGCAAGAATGGTCAGGTACGCGAGAATTCAAATCCTCTTTCAGGTCCATGGTCAGCTTACACTATCTAGGTACCCGGCGACTTGCTTTCGTCAACTTTTTCTTTTGGAGACCGGGATCAACATGGCAAAACTCTGTTAGAGGCCTTCTGCAACATTTGGTCTACGGCACACTCCGGTCATGCCCCGAACTCATTCAGGTTGCATTTCCGGTTCTTTGGGAAGAAACAGTCCAATCTTTCAGACACCCTTTCGAGCCATATCACTACGATAGACGCTCGATCGGGGATGAGACTATCCAGACCGCTCTTGGCAATATCCTCACTCACGCAAAAGTCCATAAGACGCACCGATTGTGCTTCTTTATAGATGCTCTTGATGAGCAGAATGATCCATCACCCCAAAACGACCATAAAGCTCTAGTAGAAATGATACAGAGTTGGAGCGAGTCTTCCGATGGTGCACTTAAGGTGTGCGTATCCAGTCGCGAGGATAACGTTTTCATGAACGCTTTCAATCCAAACAGGAGGTTACGACTGCAAGATTTAACAAGGCAGGATCTTGAAGAGTACGTCGATCAGAAGCTTCCAGACATCCCTTCCACGGATACGCGTCAGCGGATTTCAGCTACGATAGTGGAGCGCTCATGCGGTATCTTTCTTTGGGTAGTCTTGGTAGTGAAAGCACTGCGTGAAGCCTTTGAAGACGGACGCGAGTTGAGCGATTTTGAGGCGGAACTGAATTGCCTACCGTCCGAACTGGAAGCTCTATTTGCGTACTTACTCAGGACTATCCCGGTATCAAGACGTAGAAACGCGTATTGTTTCTTAAGACTGATGCCGTATCCCACAACTATCCGCATCCCTCTACACGGAGTACTGTATCTGGAAAAGTATTTGAAGAATCCCCGTTTCGCTCTTGAAGAAGGCCCATCTAAGCCCAGATTTGGCCAGGATCCACATTCCAGGGTCTCTCCGCGAGAAGAAGCGGAGCTTGTAAAGGCTCGAAAAACGCTGCAAGGAGATTGTCGAGGGTTAGTAGAGAGTCAGGAGTATGAAGGGAAACATCACGTGGTTTTTACACACAGATCTGTGCCAGAATTCCTCGAGAAGCCCGCCACGAAAGAGCTCATGGGTAGTGAAACCAGTGATTTCATCGTCGGGGAAGCTCTTGCTCAGATGCTGTTGGGACAGCTCCGTGCAGCTGATGAAAGTAGAGCTGATATTGATCCTCAATACAAAACGTTAACTTTAGGGTACATCTTCGACGTTCTCTATATATATCACGACAAAAAGAGAAGGCAACATGACCCGACGAACGAATATTTGACGGTTCTTGAAAATGAACTACAACGCAAACGGGTGGCAATACTCGGGCCATATACCTATTCGCTTCCAGGATTCGGAGATATCCTGAAGTCGTTGTTTCGCAACGATGACCGCGATGAACAAGAGGCCACCAGGATTTTCCATCCGTGTTACGCGCTAGCTATTTTTGGGGATCTCGACTACGTTGAATGGAAGCTCGAGCAGGATCCACTGTTAATGGTACACGCCGGTAACAGATCGCTGTTGCTTGTTTTCATGATCTCAGGACTCACGAGCCGGGACTGCAACTGGTGGGGTCCACAGGTTGTTAGGATAGCTCAACAACTGCTTGCCATGGGTTCTCTGGAGAGCCCTCACTGCATCCTTGCGATGCTAATCATGTGGCTGACACTTTGGCAGTCGGATGATCACCAGAAGTTCATGGGATCAAAGCCTTTTTTTGGCCCACTGTTTGCTGCGCTGCTCGGAAAGGTTGAAGAAGAGAACCATTTCGCGAACAATTTTAGTGTAGAACGCATGGTCATGGATAAATCAACGGTTCTGGAGGTATATTGGAATGAAGAAAGTCTGACGTATGAGCAATATGGTAACGATTGCAGGAGAGGACGAGGAATTGAGCTTGCCCAAGCACTTGGGAATGATCGTTTCAAATTGAGGGATGTGATAGAACTTCTGAACTTTGAAAACGGCGATGAAATCCTGGCACTCATCGATAGGATCGAGGCGCCAGCGGGCTCTAGCGGTGGGCTAGATCAGACCGCCGATACGAGTCGCACTTCTACTTCCCATACTCAGATGCGAAACCTGAGCGTGGGGCTCAGCGCTGAGCCGCTTGAGAAGGATGCTTCTGTTGAGCGCGAGAAACCGAAAGAAGAAGCTGCAGATGATTGTGAGGCAACTCCAGTCCAAGCGCTCCGCTGGCATCTCCGTAGTTCGCTGTCTGGTTTGAGGACAGTATATTTCCTGTTTGCTCTCGTAGGTAGGTTGTCTACGCTCCTTAGTCCATCGCGACCGCTGATATACCGACCAGGAATCCTATGTGCCTTCCTTGTCTATCGCGTTCTGTCTGGGTAAATTCCCACGTAGCTATTCACCAAATCGATATGCTCCTTCCTTATTGTCAAATGCTACTCCCTGATATCGTGAACTCTACCGTCCCTGCCGCCCTCGCTCACCCAACCTGCCACTTCACGCCTCCAACATGTTCTCGACCTTCGGCAACACTCGATCATCGCCTTTCTCTCGCTATTGCTACTACCCCCCGCACAACCATGCTCAACCTCCTCGGCTCGCTCACCAAGAACGGCTGGCGCGAGACCTTCCGCATACTCCGCCACTCTGAGAACACAATCTGCAAGCGGGCGTTCCCGCCTCGCAAGGAATACGCGCACATCCGGCGGCGCGATCGCAAAGGCCGCAAGATGCGGGCGACGGCGTTTCAGCTGGTTGAAGAGCAGCAGGGAAGCGAAGCGACGAAGACGTATAGACGGGTGGACGACGGTGGGGAGGTCGAAGATGACAAGGTCAAAGAGCTTGTTTTGGAGAGGAAGACTGTGTATGGGAGAGGGCAGAGGCAGCGGGAGGGCACGAGGGAGAATGTGAATGGGAAGAAAAGGGGAGTGCGAGTTGAGGAGAGGGAGTTGCAGGTATGGGTTTACTGCTCGAACCTTCTCCTTCCTCAACTCTCCAAGTTGCTTCATGGATTGAGTGACTGAACTGAACAACTTTCCTAGGCGAGACCCACACCGAAAGGCAACGCAACACCAACACACCGCCGACTGCCAGCTAAACCCAATGGCGAGAGACGCAATCCACTGAGCCGTTCGTCACAGTACCGATCTACCCACGAGAACTCCAGCGTCGAGTTGCCGCGCTCCCATAGACGACGGGAAGCCAAAACGAAGCCTCCCTGCCAGAACCGGACTACTCCCAGCAACCTATCTAGTTCGACAAGCAAGGCTGGCGCGAAAAGTCCCTTCTCGCAACCGGCGATGAGCAAACGAGACTCCCACGCCTTCGTCTTCGGCAACGATGCTTCCACAACACTGAACCAGAGCGCGGTAGATGATGCAGAAACCGCGTTCACAGATCCTTTCGCTCGGACAGATGGCGCAGCAACATCCGCGCAAAGCATCGTAGCTAGCCGTTCTCACGTCTCGCGCGTGAGGAAGGACCCCGGACCGTCGAAAGAAACGGTTACTACGGTCCGCAGGGTGAGCGCGTCGCAACGAATTGCGGGACGTGGATCGAGGACGGGGACGGGGCCGGACGAGGAGTAAGTCGAGGAGGAGGTCTACTTCTGAGAGGGGGAAGGGGGCTATGGAAGGGGTGTGCAGTGTTGTCTAGGGTCATGCGATAGTGCGGAGGAAAAAGAGTTGGAGGTGTGAGCTGAGTAGACATCGGGCGGGGACGGTACTGGGTTTTTATTGATATGGCGTGTTTTTGGAGAATCGGCGCTACGAGGCTTGAAAGCATCATTTCACTACTATGTTCATCTTACGGCCTTGCCCATGTCCCCTCTCATCGCTGGGAATCGTGGGAGAATGTGGCGGTGTTTTCATCTCGTCGGTAACCTTGGAATCTTCTGACTGCATGTGGCACGTACCGTGAGCTTTGGCTATTGCTTTACGCATGGTAGGAAGCACAGAGGGAGTCTTGGGGAATGGCGATACATGTATGCCTCTACATGCTCTACATTTTCTCCTTCGGTACTTTCATCACGTGCTATCATGTAACGTATGTGGGAATCCTCTGCAGGTAAGCTAGCAAAACCCTGGTAGCCTTCCTACACAGATTGGGGCAGTACACTGCACGAATTGAGGCCTCAGATCCTAGGCAGACATCGGAAGGCTGATCTATATCTATATGTAGTCCACGTGCGATCATGCAGATCATTCGAGCTAAACGACCCGGATCCCGGCTTGTATGCATGTGATAGTGTAATGGTCAATAATTGCGTACAAGTTCGTCGCATAATACACTTCTCCGCATAAACCATCATCGTCGTTCCCTTCGCTGCATCAAGAGGAGTTGGTTAAAGATGACATTCCCCAGAATAAGAGGGTCCACCTCCCTGACATTCACGGAAGGTGCCCCGCACCCTGTTAGCCAAGCCAAGACGGGAAGCGACGCACGTCAACACCTCCCTCCCGCGTCCCGAGCGATAGCGAGTCTCCGCGCCGCGTTCACCATGATGCCGGCTACTACCCATTGATCGCGTACCAATGTAGTCGCATGCGCGACCTACTTCGAACCAAATGCCGCTCCTCACGCCGACGCGCGCCCTCGTCGTCTTGACCTCGTTCCTGCTCGTCAGTTTCCTCTGGACATGGGGGTTACCGCACCAATACGCTGCGCCTACGCTGCCGATAGTCAACCATGATAAGGGAGAAGAGAAACCAATTGCCGGGCAACTTCTTCCGGAACCGTTGATTGCAAATGTGGGCGCAGAGGGCGCGAAGAATGAGAAGGCCACACCTACGACGCTTGTGACGGAGATGAAGCCTGGTCCTACCAGGTCGGCAGACATAGGCTCTGATAAGAATTGCAAAGATGTGCGCGGCGCGTCGGACGTTATGATCGTTATCCGGACCAGCAGAGCAGAGGTGGAGAAGCCTCCAGCCCACCTTGTGAAGCTGCTGGCCTGCGCACACCACTTCCTCATCTTCAGCGATCACGAAGGCGAGATCGACGGTCATCCTATACACGATGCGCTCGATATCATTCCAAATACAACAAGATCAAATCACGAAGAATTTCTAGAGTACGAGAAAATGAAGGCGGACAAGAAATACAAGCCGAGCACGGAGAAGGCAAAGGCATTAGACAAGTGGAAATGGCTTCCCATGGTGTACAAGGTGGCAACAATGGCGCCGAATCATAGATTCTACATGTTTATCGAGCCCGAAACGAGCTTGAGCTGGACGAATCTTTTGCAGTGGCTGGACCGCCTGGACTACCGCATCCCCTACTACAGCGGCGTACCCGATACTGTGGATGACAAGAGATACGCGCAGCGCAGTCCCGGCATCATGCTCTCGTACGGTGCTCTGCAGCAGTACTGGCCAAGACACGAGGAGCTGTATGCGACAGAGTGGGAACCTCTAGCTGCGACGGAGTCCCGCGGCTCCCTCATTCTCGCGACCGCCATGAAGCAAGCGCACGTCGAATTCTACTCTTCCTTCGGCCTTCTGGACCCCGAGACCCCGAGCAGTCTGATCTGGGGCCAAAAGTTTTGGTGCACACCTGTTGTCTCCTGGCATGGCTTGACTTCTACTCAAGCCGACTCACTCTGGGATACGCAAGAAGCCTGGACGAAGAAACACGGCTGGGCTACGCCGTACACGCACTACAATGCTTTCGAGCAGTTCGTCAAGCCGCATCTGGCAGAGCAGAAAGAAGACTGGGATAACGTGTCGTCGGACACGCAGCTTACTGCGGAGTCAGGCCGGCGCGAGAAGCTGGCTAAGCAGAAGGCGGAGGGCAAGGCCGAAGGGACGATCGAACACCAAGTACCCAAGGACCCACCCAAAGACGCAAGTAAAAACACAAAACCATTCCCCAAACGTGACGACTCCCTCGACACCCTCTTCCAAGTCGCCGCCGACAGCCCCGAAAACTGCAAGGCCACATGCCAGAAGACAGACGACTGTCTCCAGTGGAAGTACACCCCCGCCGGCGACGGGGCGTGCCACCTCGGCAAATCTCTACGTCTTGGTGCGAAGGTCAACCCCGATGCTAAGGGAAAGTGGACGAGTGGCTGGATGTTAGATCGCGTCAATAGGATCACGGAGGAGTGGGGCAGGTGCGAGAGGGCGGAGTGGAGGTTCAATCAGTAGGATGGTTGGGCTTACGACGGGATCTGGCATGCCCATGGGTGGGATGTGGAGCAGGTGCTTTTTTTGATTGAGTCTTGGATGCACGGGGAAAACTCACGTATGCGCGTTTGTATGTGACGTGGAACTGGTGTTAGGTGTATGGTTAGGTTACTGGTGGTGGGTGAGGGGCGGAATACCCCAGCTTGTTGTAGGATATGGTACTTGTTCTGTTCACTGTGAGCTGGAGCGGAGCAGGTAAGGAGTGATGGTAGTTGGATTTTCTATGTAAGAGACTAGCTAGCTAAATGAGGAATGAAAGTAAGGAATGACTGATGTGATAAGGGAAGGTGTACGGAGGGGTGATGTGAATGAGGATGCTGGAGTGGTGTTGGGAAGGGGTGTGGGGTGGGGAGGAAAGGTTAGCGTACCCGCTGAGGAAGAGATGGAGGGAATGATGGGAAAGCTCCAGAGTAAGATAAGACGCGAGTAGAGAAGAAAGCAGATGACTTGCAGTAAAAGAGAAAAGTAGGGAACGGGAGTAGGAGCCGGACAGTGTGGCTCGAGAAGCTCTAGTTGAAAAGAGTGAAACGAAGGGAGGCGACTCGATGGCGGGCGTACTTCCGATCTGCGAGGTAATGACGACCGTTAGGAGTGGCGCATGTCGCCGTACCTACTCCCCTCTTCAACCCTGCCACTGCGATTCCAACCCAAGCTCCTCCATCCGACTCAGCACATCCTGAACCCCATTCCAGGTCTGTATCTGCTTCTCTATCTCATTGCTGAGGTTCTGCTCTGCCAGCTTGAGGAGCGGGAGTTCCTCGTATAATTCGTCCAGTACCTCCTCGGGAATAGTTTCTCGAACGTTGTTCCAGTGAAGGTAGCTTTTGTGCACCGAGGTAAGGCTGTAGGAAAGGCGGTTTTGTAGCTGGGTTTCTCGTAGGTTTAATTCGTCGGCGGTGTGAAGCGTATGGATTGATTCTTGTGTCTCGTCGGCGGAGGCTGCGGCTGATGGTGCTTCATTGTTCGCTGAAGAGAGGTTTGGTGGACTGATAGCATGTTTTCCTTTTGACGACTTTTCTTTGTTCCTCTCACGAAGGATCCTTGCGGTGGCTGAAGGCGTGTAGGAATAATTCTCCTCCTCGTCCGCCCCTACGTCTGGTGCCTCTTCGTAGTTGACCCTCTGCTGTCGAGTTGCCCTAGTAGCTTTCTGTCCACCTAGCCTGATTTTGGGTACGGCTTTGGGCTTGGCTTGGCTCTTGGTGGGCTTGGACTTAACGCTCTGTTGATAGAATTTCACCCCGTTTTCAAGATACCGCTTGAAAGTCTGGTTGATCACGATAAGACTCTTATTGATTGGTACTCCTTCCTCTTCGTACTTCAACAGGAAGCAGTATTGTGTCACGTACGTTAGAGGGAGGTAGTTGCTGCCTTTCTCGGATCCTTTGGTAGCTTTGAAGGGTTCGGCCAAGTTGAGTTCACCCAAGTCGGGAGACCATCCCGTAGCTAGAGTGCGGCTACCGACCACCTCGCCGTTGGCATTTGTTAAATTCATTTCGCATGGTTGAACGACTCCTTGCTTCTTTCCTTGGGGGTAAGTCATGTACATCCATGCCTCGCAACGGTTAGTTGCTCCCTTCGATTTCCCAATGTAGAGGCGAAAAGGTAGGTAAAAGCGTTCGTCCTTGTCGTGCGGTTCGAACTTGAGATTCAAGTCTTGTAATGTAGGCAATGTATCGACAGCAGGGACTGATGTTCTAATCTCGTTCAGGATAGCCCGGACAGATCTCCTGTTAGCGTCGCGATTGTTATCCTGGTCGGATGCCATGAGGCCATTTGTTGGTGAGGTTCTCGTGAGTTCTTGTTCCATGAATTGTTGTCCCATTAGTTGTTGTTCTGTGAATGGTTGTTCCGTGGGTTGTTGTTGCCCAATCTCCGGAGCCCTAGCCTTGAACTCCTCGGTCTCTCCTAGCATTTCCAAAGCTTCGCATAGAGCATCCACATCAATGTCTCCAGAGAACCTAAATGATACTAGAGTATTGGCCGCCCACTGTAAGATGTAGTATTGCAAAAGCGCAGCAGTTCGTCGGTTCATTGGCCTCTCGAACAGCCCATTGTAAAGCTCCGGATGCCAGGCGAAGACCCCCTTCTTCCTTATATTCTCATGATCCATTCCTGCTACCCAGTCGTGACGGGGACGCGAATGGTTGCGAGAATAGTCTGGGTACGTCCGAGGGACTGAATTGAGGTGTAATGTGCAATCCCCAGCGTAAGTAGCCTGCGGCCATACACAGCCGATGTTCAGCGCCGGAGCAACACCTTCAAGGGTAATGTCGTAGTCATCAACTGGAGGTAGATTCTGGAGAACATGGTTGAGACCCGTGGCAATAATCTTTGCCCAGATCTCTGTTATCTTCGTTTGGTTGCGCTCTTGAATATCCGGAAGCTGCTGGAAAGCGGACATAGTCGACTTATTGCTTCAAAGGGAACAGCGAAGCTTACAATGAGCTTTGGTGGCTTTGGGGACGGGGAGCTGGGTAACCTGATATACAATATCTATTTGTTTGGCAACATTCACGCGGTCTGACACAAGTCGATTCAAAGCTGCTTGTTATAGCCGCGTGACAGAAGAAGCAAGCTTCGCAAGGACAACAAACGCACGACCAACCGTGAGATCTGCTCAGTAGCCTGTAATGCCTTGAATACACAGACTATACTGTTACTACGGCACCTTCACGAGACGGTAGGCGATGCACTGCGTCTTTGCAGGGAAAATTCCGAAAGGGCAGAAGTGGGTTGCACGTTTCGAAAGCGGGCTGGTCATTTGTGCCTACAGGAGCAGATGGAGTAGCAATGAAATGTATTTACTACTGGTTCATTGTACCAGAGGTCTTGAATGGAAGTATAAGTTAATCGAATGAGTGGCTTTCAAAATCTAAACAACACCTTCGCACTAGAGTAATGAGCGTACAAATACAAGAAACAAGCAAAACTATAGAGACCACAGGGAATCTTGAATGAGCGACGTCCCATATCAGTTGGCATTTGCACCGAAATTTAACAAACTTGCTCCCCTTAATACGCATTGCAACCCCTCATAGGAATTCTTTACTGCGATTCTCGACGCGCCATCTCCTCAAAGTTTCGCGAGAGATTGTATTATAACCGAAATCAGGGATGTCTTCCACGCCTATGACTTCTTGAATCTTCCTATCAATGTCTCGAAGTGCAACTGTCGTGTCATCCAACTCCTCCTCTAGTTCGTAAGTTGCATTACGGTGTTTCTGAACCTGTTGCTGTAAGCCCCTATGCCTTTCTCCAAGTATATTCTTTTGCGCTCGTAGCTGGTTCAAGTTGGGGGTGTTTGGGCTTCCCGGTGGAGCCACATCATCCACAATTTCGTAGGAAGAAGCACCTTTTTCGTGCTCAGGTGGGGATGTTGGACTTAATAATGTCTGCTTCAAGGGTGTTTTTGGAAAAGGTTGCCCGATACCGGCTTGCAAATTTGATGTGACTTGAGCAGCGTCGATGGCTTTACTGTTCTCGCTCTTATCGGATTGAGTAGGGAATAAATGCGATGCTGGAGATGGCTGTGTGATGGTATATCGAGGATCTGCTGCGGCCTGAACAGATTGGTAGGGCATCTCTTTGTCTTCGCCTTGCGCGATGTGAGACTGTGAAGGAGGGTACGCTTTCGTGTATGCGTTTACACCATTTCCGAGATATCTGGCATAGCCGTTGTTCATATGAATGTCGTTTTCTTTCAACTCCAGGCCTTTTTGCTGATAAGCGAGAAAGAAGTAGTACCTCCCTATGTTAAACATCGGGTAGGTGTACTCGCCACCCGCCTTGCCAGTTAAAAAGGGTTCCAGTAAAGTGATACCGTAGTCTGTGATAATTGTTTTCGTCTTCAGTTCCTTCAACGGAATAGTCTCCAATCGTTCTGGATGGACGATCTCAATCTCACAGGGCGGGTACCGCGTTGTTGAACCCTTCTCGATATACATCCAGACCTTGCCTCTGTTTATGTTCCCAATACAAAGTCGCAGTGGCAGGAAGTTGTCGCTTTTGTGGTTGCATTCCTGTATCTCCACATCTTTCAAGTGAGGTAAATTGACCAGGTTTGGTACTTCAGAAGGGCTCTTGAGATTTTGTATGACCCCCGAAACGAAGGGAGTTCTGTCATTTGAATTACTTGTGTCGCTATCGAATCCGGGATGCTGTGTGCTTGGCAGGGCACCTTTTGGTGGTCGTGCCTGCGTGGTTGACTGACGTAAAGAACTTGTAGGCAGAACAACAGGGCCCGAACTCCTCGACGAGACCGAGGCACTGATAGCACGATCAGCTGCTTGGATGGGCTGCGTCCTGTTCTAAAAATTCTTGAAGCCATCAGTCTCGCTAAGCATGTGCAAAGCCTCGCGTAAGTCATTGCGCTCAATATCCCCGAATGTGAAAGACTGAGGTAGAGTATAATGAAGAGCGTCAGAAGAATCTGCTGCCCATTGCAGAAGGTAATAATTAAGAAGCGCACGAATGAGTCGATACATAGCAGGTTCCTCTAATAGGCCTTCGTACAATGTTGTGTTCCAGTCAAATGGTTCTTTCTTGCCCATAGCGTACCCTTTCACGAATGTCATTTCCTTCTCGGGGTGGTTTTTCTTTTTCTTGAGTTGAAGCCGATTGCTGTGGCCTCTGATCGACAAGCTAAGTCGCTCTTCGTGATCATCCACTACGTAGCCCAGATCGAGGCAGGGGTCATCGGTGTTATCTAGAGAGATCCGATGTTCTTTATACGAAGGGAGAAGATCCACTACGTGCCCAAGTTTCTGATCACGTAGGTATTGGTTGATTTGCTGTAGCATTTTCAAACTGCGTGGTTGTGCGTCTTCATTGGGCTGCTGAGGAGCTGATGACATATTGAAAAAGTGATACCACCGAAAGTTTGGGGAAAAAGAGTCGTGTAGGTGTTCTATGTCCCACTGGTGGAAAGTCCTCTAAAGACAAAGCATAGTAGAATAAATACGGACTTCAAGTTTGCGTGTTTTCAATCACACGAGACGGGTGCCTTGCCACAAATAATACCTGACTCTGATTTCGGAGGAACGGCAGCTTGTGGTAAGTACGCAAGCTATGGAATCCTGATTGTTAGAACATTTGACTATTGCTGTATCTGTTTGGTACTTGCAGTGAGGGGATGGAGAAGCATCCTGATGCGCGGATAGGCGAAGAAAGATCAATGAAATCAACTTTTGGCCAAATAGCTGCACCAGTCCCCATACATCATATAGGTCAATATCGAAATCTGAGTCCGAAAATATCGTATTGATCCATACTGCCATAAATAGACACCATAGGATCAATGCTAAAAGCGATCTAGAACAGTGCGTGCCATCCGCAAATACTAATTCAATCTGCCAATGAGATCGCGTTTTGGTGCTGCACAATCGTGCATTGCACGGCTACCTGGTTCACAATACCAGCTCCGAAGTCTGCAATGCGTCTAGCTGTCTTATCAACATTGTGAGCAAGTATCGTAAAGGTACAATACGTCTGATTTCGAGGATCATGATCTAGTGAGATACAATGTTCAAGGTTTTCCATAGATACATAAAACCACACTCAAGTGTGGTCCGAACTCAGGTGATCCAAGAACAGAAAGAAACAACCAATAACAGGGCACTCCAATACAGAACAGCATACATGTTCGAACACATCATCCGTCTCAGCGCTCTGCAGATAATCTTTGAAAAGCCGCAGATTAGTTTGAACCCTCCAGAAGCGGGGAAATTTCTAGCCTGTTTCGTGAGGCTGGCCGGCCGTGTCACGATGACCTTCGACTCTTACCCTAACAACTCTGGCTGGCGCAGAGTATACGAGACTCTGTCGCAGGAGTGGTTTCATATTGTTGCTGAAACCAATGTGAATGAGGACAATAGGGCTACCTGCACAACATTGATCTACAGCGCACCATTCGTAGGCTGTGGAAGCTAACCCGATATCACTGCCGGCACGATCGACAGTGTGGAGAAGAGCTATGGGCCCATGTTGCTACTCTCATCATCGTCTTCGGTCTGCGTCTATTGGGGATTTTAAGCTCAGATGATCCACGCTTAATTGATCTGCTTTTGGAGCGTGAGCAGCAACTCCCTCCTGGACGTGCAATCGCAGTGTGGCGGGAAGAGCGGGAATATTGGGCGAATCGATTGAAAGCTATTGAGATTGCTCAAATGGTTCCTGTGTCTGAGGTTTCTGAGCCCTGTACTAGCACGGAAGCTGAATGCAATATCTGTACGGAGCGCATGGTGGACGCTGTGAAGGTAAAGGCCTGCGGCCACTTGTTCTGTGCGGAGTGCCTCGAAGCTTGGATGCATAAGAGCGAAGGTGCGACGGATCGCTGTCCAATGTGTAGGACTGTTCTCGCCCCAAACCCCGCTTGATTGACGATAAGTCTCACACTCTGTCTTTATTTGGCATGGAGGTACTAGAACTAGAACCTTTATAAAGTTGAATATTATAGCGCCTAGAAATCAGTACACATACGGTGTGTCGAGTGTCAAACACTACTGTCAGATTACTTCTCTGGTAATCTCTAAATCAAGAATATATTGAAACAACGTGTTGTGCTATGGGAGATATAAGCTTTGCATCTAACACAGTTATTTCATTTTGTAACTGTTCATGGGAGGTATTTAATGAGTTTGAAAGCCTCATAACATTTGCTATCGCCAATCAATATGAGCTATCAAATAAACTCTATGTGGGTGATTTCCCTCAACTGGACCATGGCACCGTAGTGATCCCCAAAGACACCTCTTTTAAAAGAAAATAGAGAAACCCTTTCACAAGAAATAGACGCACTGTTGGAGAAGAGTTGAAGCTAAAATGGGGCTGCAGCACTTCCATGTGAGTTCATATCTTAGTGAAAGCCTTCCAATCTCCAAGTCCATGGCAGTAGAAAAGACCGCTCCAAAGTGCAACCTTGTGCTATGAACTTTGCTAATTAGCGTTCATTCATGTTGCGCCCGATGTTTGATTCTCTCGCATGAGTCCCAGCAGTGTTGACCTTGGGAACAGATCTGGAATTGGACGTACCTTGGTGACTGGTATATCCCATCACTCACTACTCTCGCGCGAATTAGCGTCGGCCTTTTGAGCAGCCTGAGCAGCCTGAGCGCGGTGCGTCTTGATCCGATCGTGAGCTGCACGATTGGCCTCCACACGACCGAGCGGTAGTATAGGCCTCTCGGCAGCCGCCAGGCCCCTATACCAGTCTCGATGTTCCAGGTTACCCATTACTGTGCCTTTCCAGCTTCGGCTTGAGTCACCACACTCCAACACTGCCACATGGTCGAACATGGGCACCCCGTTATCCACGGTCGCGTTGGAGAGGACATCATCGATCAGCGCGTCGAAAAGCACCCACTCGATGCGGTCCTCGTCCAGAAGGCGAAAGCCCAGAGCACTGCCTTGATCTCGGAAGACGTTCCACAGATAGGTTTCCTCAGTGAAGCCGATGGGAACATCGTCACCATCCGGTACAAGGTTCTTCTCTGAACCATTGTAGTTGCACAGAGTGTCCGTCGATTCTAGACGGCGGACGAAACCGGGGACTGTGGTGTTGCAGAGTGCCTCGAATTGAGATACCGAGAAGAGGTGGTGAGGGAAGTGGTAAATCTCGATGGTCTTTACAAACGAGCGATATTCGATCTGCCTGAGGAGATTGTGGTGGCGGTTTTGGGGAGCCATCTTAACAATGATGGTAAGCTGGTATTGGTGGGTGAGGTCGTGACGGATTGGACTTGAGAGTTGATCGGTCTTGAGCTGGAAATGTTGATAAGCAGAGTTATGATGGGTGGCTCTGTCTTTAAGGTGATCTTATTGAGAGGTGGTGTAGCTTTATGAGTGCCAAGGCGCGCGGTGGAGGTGAAGGGTCCTGTGCACAGCTTGGTCATGTGCACATATGTGACCAGATCGAGACAACGTGTTAGGTATCGGGTGGCCCGTGAACTTTCTTTGCAGTTCTCGGGATAGACTGGTGCGGCTTTCACGAACGTCCTAAAGCTAGGCCAAGCTACATGGTGATCTGGGGGTCCATGGACCTTAGCTTTGCGATGGAACCTTTTCATTGGTTGCTCCGTTTGCGACCAAGGCAGCCCAAGATATATCTTTCACTCAGATATAGATTCTTCTGGTCCCATTATGCTATACGATTCCTTTTGGGCACGTATAATTATCTATACATTGAGGTTCTTAAGAGCAAAAATTATATAGAGCATCGAACATGATTTGAACAACAAGTCGCGGTTTGAATTCATTCTGATGGAAACTTGGGGCACTTAATAGCGAGCATATAAATTAATTTATTGCCGCGCGACAACCATGAGATGTATACAAACTAAGGAACAACTAGCACAGTCATAACAAGCGGATTTCAGGAAACAGTGCCAGAAAGCTTTTTGCCCACGAAGCACACACCATGTCGATTCAGGGCATGGTACATGACTTAGAAGCTACTCAGAGCTGATCAACCAGCTATTGCAGTCCTTGAATGCTCTCGCCAAGCGAGACAGAAGACATTATTCGAATACAATCCTCAATAGAGGAGAACGCAAGAGCAAGTTCCTGGAGTCGAGTTGTATCCGGACACAAGTCAATATTCGAAAATTATGCGACTGCTAGTCCTACCTACCTCTGGATCCGACTCGTCGATTAAAAGGACTAGACCCTCAAGCAAGTAAGGGATAGGAGATCGTGGAAGGCTTCAACATAGAGGTGTAGAGAACAGTGAAAAACAAGTCCTCATTAGATGCCTGCAAATCGATGCATTATGATTATGTGAACCCCGTTGATTGATACGTGGCGCTCAGATGCGCTCAAAATGCTCACTGGCTGACTTCGCATCCTCAACACCTTTGACATCAGCGTCGCTCTCCCACACCATTGCGCGTGGAGTGGGCACAAACTTATTCCTCACATTGTTCTGAGAGAAAAGCTCGTCCATGTGTTCCAAAGAAACTCCTTTAGTCTCTGGAATTAAGAACCACGCGTAGATGACCATAACAAAGCAAAAGCTTCCATACACGAAGTACGTGCCAAAGCCGTTCTTACCGAGTGTCGCGAACATGGACGGTGTTGCTTTTGCGACTGTAGAATACGATCAGCTCGAGACCTCAACTACATGTTTAAGCATAGGCCTACCAACGAAGTTGAACAGCCACTGGCTTGCAACTGCCATACCCATCATGAGTGCGCGCAGTCGAGCAGGGGGAATCTCGGAGCTGTACGTCCAGACCACAGGACCCCAGCCGAATTGATACACGGAGGCGAAAATATAGATCATGACCAACGCGACGTAGCCAGCCGCTGAGATGGGTTCGCCTTTGACAGGTGGGTCGAAACGGATGTAGAAGCCGACATAGAACAGTGCAAGTCCCTACATGAATCAGTAAGTTATATAGCAGGACAAGATTTTAAGTCTTACCTGTACGCAGCCAGTCCACAGTAGCGACTTCCTTCTACCGAGAGAATCTGTGACAAAGAAGATGAAAATTGCGCACGCTACCATCTTGACGATGCCATATATTCCCGTGGCAAACAGACCAACGGAGCTACCGGAAAGGCCCACCGATGCGAAGATTGTAGGGCTGTAGTATGTCATGGCGTTCGTTCCGGTCAGGTTACTCCACATCATAAGCGTGATGCAAAGGATCGATCGTCTGCGATATGATTTGATGGTGAAGGCTTCCTTCAACATGCTCCACGCCGATTTACCACCGGTGAGCGCGCGTTCCTCTTCCAATTGAAGTTCAATACCACCCATCTCGTCAACTACGTATTGATGAGTTGGAGGAAGACCACGTAGGGTCGCCAGTACCTGGAGAGCCTTTGTGGGATTCTTCTGAGCAAGCCACCTCGGTGATTCATTGGCAAAGAACATGCCAACGCAGAGTGTGATACCCGGGACCGCTTGGATAGCCAGAGGCAAGACGTATTGAATTTGGCCATGCAAGTGAAGGTTGCTCCCGTAGTTGATCCAGAACGCAAGTGTCAAGCCAGACACCAAGGTCAGCTGGTAGAGACCTGTGAGAAGGCCTCGGATGCCTCTAGGTGCGTTTTCAGAGACGTAGAGTGGGTTGACCGTGCTCGCAATACCAACCGCGAGGCCAGCGAGTAGCCTGTAGCGCATTAGAATCATATCTGACTGTGGGTACTTTGCGCACTGACCGTCCCACGTATAGCACTTCAACATGGCCTGATGCACCAGCTTGACAAGCCACACCAGCGAAGAGGAGGAAGGATGCGTAAATGAGTGACCATCTTCTTCCAAACTTATTCGCCAGCCAGGACGCGAAGAGGGCGCCCGCGAAGGCACCGGCTTGGATTACAGAAACGATGTTGGAAGAAAGGTTTGCGAGCTCGGTGGGAGACTTGTCCTTGAGGCCGTACTGCCTGTGCACCACATTAGCAAGTGTCCAGTCATGAACAGAGCGATGATCATACCGCTGAAATGTATCCATTGTCAGCACACCGCCCATGATGCCCATGTCCATACCGAACAGAAGGGCTCCGGAGCAGGCCTTTCCGCCACAATTAGTATGTTGCACTGAGTATTCGCTGACGGCACGGGAGACTCACAACCAGACTGACGAGGAAGACGCGTCCATTGTAGATCTCCGGCGGATCCGACTTTGTTGAATCGTTCTTGACGATGCATTGCAAGAAGCCCATAATGCTCTATTACTGATGTGGGATTTGAGCTGGTTGCGATGCCTTACTGTCGGTGCTGTGGGTTTTATCTTGTAGACTGACAGGCAGCTAATCAAAGGCTACGCTAGACTAGAAACTTTGACATTGTTGTTCTTAGATGAATACCAAGGTCAAAATCGAGCAACCGGCTATAGATGGGCCAGCGTGTGCGGTCGGCTATGTCAGTCACTAATTGACGATGACATAAGCCCAGTTTTGCGCATGCCGCACCCCATAGTCACGTTTCTGGGGAAAGGCGGAGTGAATGCATAATGCTGGGAACTCCTGTAGCGCCCAAGGAAATATGGAGCACGCGCCTCTGGACGTGGCGTAGCGTTAGGCGGATTTAGCTTCGGTTGTAGATGGTAAGCCGACAAGCACAGTTTTCCCGCTTTGCGCATGCACAACAGGTAAATGTTTTCCGGGTGTTCCGCAGCTATCAATTACTAATGCTGAGATCATCGCGTGCAAGCGTAAAGCGAGTATTGCCGCAGTGAATCTATGCGCGAAGTGCTCATCGTAGCTCTGGAGAGGCCGGATTGCATCCACGCCACGAGTAGGTCATCTGGCGTTCCTACCGAAGTGTTGCATGTATTTTAGGAGTATTCAGGATGAAGCCCCTGCTTGGGGACTGGTGACGTCGCATGAAAAATAACATTGCTGTCAATTCTGGGTCCTAAGTCTTGACCAAAGAGCGTGTCCGCTAGGTGTAGAAGAATCAAATTGCCTGGATGTGCATCGCTTGCCGTTCGTGCTAGAGCACTAAAATGCCTAATAGTTGACAGTAGACGAATGTCCGAAAGCCAATAAGTCAACTGTCGTTAGGCCGGCAACAAGCAATTCCCACTCGTGACGTCATTGGTGTAGCTCTTAAATCACGTGATGCGAGGAACTCATCAAGTGTGCATATCGACCTTGTGAAAGCATCGTTCGTAGTACTGAGTCCCTCAATGGAATTCATATTAATCAATCGTCTGCAGAAATATGTCGAGGTCTTCGTACCTTACTGCAGCATGCTCGACCATCCCGCTATGCGTTTGCACATATCTTTGATTGCATTTTAGTATATCAAGCAGGCAAGAGAAGTCCTAAATCTGTCAAACGAGGCCTCAAGCGTACGGTCGACGTGCACACCGTAGTCATAGAGAATTATGGCAACCCCACGTAAGCGCGTTCAGCTCAGGATTCTTCACATGACACGCAGCGACCTAGATCATTCCAATGCTAACTATAATGGTACAAGGGAACCAAAATATGCGACATAGGAGCTGCAGTTTTACTGAAAGTATAAATCGACACGAACCTCATACACCCAAGAACTGACCATTGTACCTTCCACTCATCAAAAGATCGAATGCCAGCGTGCCCTGAGTCTGGACCATGCGTAGGTATCCCACCACATATCTCTCAAACAATATTTGAACTTAAAACATGGAAGCTACGAAATCGCCCAAGTCTATTATCGGATATCCTGCCGGCCTGCTACCAATCGGTGGCGACGTTACTGTCGAGATCGTCGATCCTCCGTGTCCTCTGCAGCCAATCACAGACGCACAGTACGTTGATAGCAAGACCATGTCCCGAGGACCAGGCATGCATACAAAATACCTACCCTATATTTACTCTGCCGTCAATGGCAAACTGGTTACGGGTGGTTCTTACGCTTTCGACACTTTCGGAAACGCAAGAGACTATGCGCGCTGGGCGACAGAAGACTTCGAGGTCGGCGAGGAGGGGAAGAAGATCAAGATCTGGGACCAACCGATGTTCGAAAGCCATAGGAGCTGGGTGTGGCAGGTTTTGGGGCGCATACTTTCACAGAGCAGGAAACCCATGCGTGCATGACATTGGTCCAGTGGAAGTACACAGGAGAAGACACGGAGTAGGCACTGGTTCAGAGGTTCCCGGGAATGAAGGATGAGGTCAAAAAGATGGGCAGAGTCGCAGTCTGGTTGCTGCACAACTCGAAAGAGACTATGGCTGGGTTGCAGTTGGCTTTCGCGAAAGAGGCTGGAGATGTTGACGAATCAGTCAGTCGCTCAGAAGGCTCTTATACGTGCCAGCGCTCAACGCTCACTAGAGTACCTATTGCCGGATGGACTGATTTAGGAGTGTTTTTATGACCGTGTTACTCTTCTAACAACCTTATGGCTGCCAAACTCCCGCACGGCAGGTGAGGCTGAGCTTCATATCCCGTTGCTCCCGGTGGTGGTACCGAACATCACCCACGTGTTTCTTAGGAGCTGAGTGTCGGGAAACAGTCCATTACTGGCGTCTAGAGTAGAAGCAAGGTAATCGTCTGAAGGGGGCGCAACTCCTGCGGACCGCGCAGGCAGCACACCTTAATCTGGGTGAATCTCTTTGAGCAATTCAACTATACTGGTCAATCCTTCATCTTCTGCCCGTTTTATGGCTTCATGCCAATCACCAGGGGCTAAACGTCCGTGGCATTTGAAAAGCTCAAGGCAAAAAGCGGTGTGTTCCTGTATGACTGCCCACAAGAACATCCTCGGTAGAATAGTATTGAAAGCTCCGTACTCATCCGCCAACATTTTCTCTAGGTTCCAGTGTGTTGCGTCCGCAGTCATATTCATGGTGTCGCGATCAATGACAGCCCCTTCCGCCAGCAGGATCCGCACTATCTCAGTGTACCCGCGGGAACAAGCCCTTTTAAGCGGACTCTGCATGTGTGGCGTTGAGATATGAGCTCCAAGATTCAGCAAGTATTGAACCATCGCACGCCAATCCTTTTGACATGCATTCTCTAAAAACTCGACCCAAAGAGTCTGCTTTATATCCGAGGCAGTTAGCTGTGCTCTAAGCGTCCGCAGTCTATCAAAAATGTATGGCCTAGGTGTATGCATCAATGTGTTGATGTCCATTTCTTGCTCGTGATCTGATGGCTCGAAAGGCCGGAAAGCCCTCCGCGCAACGAGTTCATGCAAAAGCCCCAGAATGCATGGTAGTCGTCGTTGATGTGGTTGCTGATATTGATGAGGCATGAAGCGATCTCCCCACCATCGTATAAGCTCTACGTTGAGTGTTTCGAGACTTGTGTCGAGCGCAAGGTATCTCTCCGGCGGTGACGCTGGTCGAACCGGAAGTATAATCTTCTCGAATTCGGTAACGTCGCCTTTCAGCGAAACATAGGTGATGTAACAAGCTCGCGATATACTTGCATGCTGGACATCAAGCTACGCCAGGATTATTTCCAGCGCGAAAAAGTCGTTGGCTTGTACTCCAGCAACACAAAGCTCGCATAAAGCATCCCCATCTTCTCGCCATAGATCCTGCAGCGCCGCGGAGGTGCTGAGTATCTCCACGATGGAAAGGTCGCCTGAGTGGATTGCTGTCCTGACCAAATCGTGTTCGAAACGAAGTGCATCAATGTCGAGCAGGCCTGGCGGTCCTAATGAACCTAATTCTGTGTGAGGATCACAAAGACGTTTGATCATCAAGTGCATTCCTCTATTGGCTTTCCGCGACAGTAAGGAGATGTTGGCTTCGAAAGACCATTCACTGTTGCCGCCATAATCGGCTAGGGTACGAGCTAAACGTCGGAACTCATCCCACAATGGGTTGACAGGGAGCACGTGCAGTAGTCGCCAGATCATGAACTCCGTACCGAGTTCCCCAAGCTTATACAGCTGCACAGCAAGACCTTCGAGGAAGGGCGACTGACGAAGAATCTTCATGATTTGGACGTCCAAGTGGCCTTCCACTTCTTTAGGTTGACAATTGTGTGGCTTGTGGAGCACTTACGGTTGCCTAGGCGATGTCTTATCGCTCCACGAACGCGCATTGCGTGAGCGAGAAATTCTAGGATTAGGTCCAATGGAAGTGCCATGATGTTGAACATAGGAGCCATAGTTTCGACACGCATCTGGAGCTATGATGTTGGTGAAGAAGAGATGGAACATTTCGCTTCGCGAGGCTGCCTATTGTTTGTGGTGGGGCACCTACACCGTGTAACAATCTTGTAGCTTTCGATTGGCCCCATGAGATTCAAGCTTGATACAGTGGCCTGTATTATTAGCGGAGCCAGACCTGGACACAAAATCTTGAGGTGACACTTGCGTACACTGGGTTATCACAGTACGTACGAGACGTGTCCGCAAGAAAGAGTATGATATTGCGACATTTGTGCATCGAAGACACGAGCGCTATGCTAATCAATCCAGCACCCACACCTACAATCCGTCCAATGGGCGATATATCTTCATCCACCGGGTGTCGTAAGGCTCATCTGGGTTAACAAACCGCAGATCTGTAGCGAGCCTGATTCTCGCCTCTGGATCCTTGTTCTTGCAACTCGCATGCACCATCCACGGACTGTGGAAGATTACATCGCCCGTCTCGTATTCAGTAACAAGCCACTTTCGTTTCGCTTGTTGGCCATACTCAATAGTATCGCGTGACAAAAAGCCGCCATCGTTCATGTTCTTGTTGAATGCCGAAACGCGTTCCTCGTTCGTCAAATTGTGATTGTTGCGCTTGAACTCTTCCTCTGTCGCCTGCCCGATGTCGTACGACTTGTCAAGGTACATCAGCCCGCCTCCTTCAAGCGATACAGGTCCAATTGGCACCCACGCCGTCAATGATGTAGGTGGTCCGGCGCGAAGATACATTTGGTCGTAATGCACGGGCGTTAGTTCTGAATTGGGAGCGAAAGCTCTCAGCATACTCCTCTGGAGCATGATCTCTTTCTCCCATCCGGTGAACTTGCGGACGAAAGCGCGCAACTCGGGAATCTCTGTCAATTTGAGGTAGAAGTCTGCCTCGTGAGCGCTGATCATGAGTTCAACGTATTTGTCCGACTCTGGATCGTCCTTGAGCCCGAAAAGACGGCGAAGATTGCCTGGTGGGAGGTATTTCTTGGGATCAGCGCCGCAGTATGTGCCTTCGACGGCATCGGTACCAGGCTTGAGAAGTGCCGAGGGCGCCATGTGCTCGAAGTAGGCTCGTCGACATTCCAACACCTTCTCCTTAGGCAGCAGATTCTTGATCTACAGCAATTAGTACTAATGTTTCACTTTTCTCGTCGAACAACATACAAATAAGTAACCATCCCTCTGATATCGTTCGTGCATGATCCCTAGAGGGGTATTGGGCGATGTTGGTTGCAGATAGCCGACTGTACCTGGCTGCATGGTCCCGAAGTTAGATTGCAAGTCGAGTGTGTTAGGATCTACTGGATGGTATGTGCCATAGCTATCCTCTTTCGTAGCAGAGTCGACCTTGGCGAGCGACTTGGAGAAGGCAAGCATGTCAGTCGCAGTGTCAGCTACAAGTACCTCAGGTGCCATACTGTGGAATTTTCGAAGGGTGTAGTGCGTAAAGATGGTGTCGGGTCGGATGTAGAGTTGGTGTGCTTAGCTCACAGTTGACAGTTGTGCACCTAGATGAAACGTGCTGCTCAGCGAGAGACACTCTAAAGGGTGTTTATACCCGAAACATTAAGTCGTAAGATCATAGTGAAGACCTATGGTAAATTCTGTATGGACTATCTCTCCACTCTAGTGTGGAGATGTTGCCCGGTGAGAGTCGGAAGGTCACTGCGCCGTCTACAGCCGGCCACCGCATCTGCAGCCGAAAGCCGACCCGCGTGAGAAACGGTCCGATTCCGACCCCACAGTGAACGCAACACCCTCCTCTCCAGCTACCATCGCCGACTGGATTCTGGAGAGCTCCGCGGCAAAAGGTTTCGCGGATCCCCAATTTCCCAATGTCTGATTTGATTCTTCCTTGTGGAATATAACATGACGAAAAGTACTGGGGAGCGGATTTATCGAGCATGTACGCGGTGTCGTCACCGGAAGGTGAAGTGTGATCTCAGGACGATTGGAGAGACTGGAAAGCCACCGTGTGTCAATTGCCACAATGATGGCCTGAATTGCGTTCTCGCAGACTCCAGCCGGGGTGGCGACTATTCCCGTTATCGTATACGAACAGCGAAAACCTTGGGGCGCAACAGCGGAAAACGTCGCGCGACGCTACAGCAAGACGAATCGCATGCCTCCGAACGTAGCGGTCACGATAGTGGCTCAGATATCCAGAACCCGCTACAAGCGCTGGAGCTACTTGCGAAAGTCGCCGCGAAAGATAATGGATCTGGCACTATACAACAAGGCCAGCCTCCAGACACCACGAATGACGGGGATGGCCACAGTCAACACAGCCATCACAGAGCAAGAGAGGGCTCGATAGAACATTCAGCAGAAACATTGCCTTGGACAGGGCTCGGTAGTGGGGATCTTCCCACGCTCACTACACTAATAGAAAGGTATGAGCATGCGTTCTTGATTTATACGGTAGGCTCACTGACTCGATAGCTATCACGACACATACCATGGATTCCTTCCGTTGACACCAAGAGATGTGCTCTCACCCAAGAACATATATCGTATAAGCCGCGAGGAGCCATTTCTACTTACCGCCGTCCTTCTCATCGCTACCAAGGATCGGCCTGAACACGCTGCAATGCACGCGGTACTGTGGGAAGCGATGGAAAAGATGTTATTGGGAATCATTTTGGGGGCTAGAGAGGTCCGCACTGTAGGATGTGTCGAGGGTTTATTGATATTAGCAGAATGGGTTCCTCATGCGGATGCTAGTCTGTCAAACATCTCTCATAAAGGAAACGGAGGCCTGGCGGGCACTGAAGACACTGCTGCATGGACTTTGGTAGGCCTCGCTGTACGGCAGGCGTACCTACTCCATCTCGACAAGTATGCTTTTAGAGGAGATGCATCTGAAGTTGAGAACGCCAACTTGCACAGAAAGAGACTAGCCTGGACATGTAAGTCAAGCCAAGTCAGAATGGAGTCGTTTCTAACTTGTCATCAGTCACGTACATTGCTGACCGCCAGATCAGTATTCGTATGGGGCAGGCTTTCTGGTGCCGAGGCCCGTCATTGGCCACTAAGTTCACGGCAAGCGACTTTCCCACTCTTCAACCGCAAAATGCATATGAAGACGACTATGCATCCGTTTTGCAATCTCAGCTTGAACTCACTGTTCTTTTTGGCAATATTCATGACCTCCTTTACGCAAGCAAGCCTCGTACGATTAGCCTCATGCTTCAAGGAGACTATACAAAATACTTGGACGACAGCGTGCAAGGTCTTGCCGCTTGGAAGCAGAATTGGAACCAGCTGGACGTTGGGGCCCACCTGAAGCTTCTGCTGGAACTGAAATATGAGTATCTCAGGCTATATGTGCACGGCTTCGCCTTCCAAGCCGCTATGAGCCGAACACCGAGTACACCACCTAATCACAGTGGCGTCAAGCTTACCTCTCGATTTCCTCACGGTGTTCTTGCGACGCCAGACGGACGGCACATTATGCTCGGCATCAGCGCCGCAAAGTCTGTCCTCACTATGCTTGGACACCGGATAAGCCCTACACGACATCTGAGATACCTGGGACCTAGGTTCTATCTCTATGCGATTCACTGCGCTGTCTTTCTATATAAAGCAGCGTCCTATGGAGCTATTGGAACGGAAGGACGTAACGATTGCGTCAATATCATTCAACGATACATCGATAACCTTGGTGTTGCAGCATCATGTGAACGACACATCGCCGCGCGCCACTCTGCTCTATTGACCAGTCTCTGGATCAGGAAAGAAGCCCGTGACCCGCCACCCAACGGCGAAGCGGTAACGACGACTACAGAGAATACTCAACCATTTACTCCAGATCCTCCAATGCCATCCATGTCTGATCAAGCAACTAATTCATTGACCACTCCGGAACCCAACAACACGCAGAGTTACTTGCCAAATTTCACGGGAATAATGGCCCCACCCCCACGCTACTCTATCGTGCCTCCAGAGTCTTTCGTGACAGGTCTATACGGAACAAACCAGCAGTTCAACGAATTCGACATCTACAATTTCATGGATCTTGGCGCTTACGGAGAGCCAGATCTGAGGAATCTCATCCAGAGTGTGCCTTTTGATGAGTAATCAGTGTAGCGTATTTGCGAGAGGAATACATTCACGAACAACAAAGTATTACAGCGCAAAAGAAAATCTGCAGTCGTATTCTAATATTCGCATTAGATTCAGCGCAATCACGTCTATCTGCACAATGGCTTGTTGATTTGTCCATCCAAATCTACAGCAAGTACTTCATGGCCGGTCCGACCTCGGCCCGAGTCATTTCCCAAATTCGATAGAGCTTGGATGCATACTCAAATCATTGAGGCGTTAAGTTTAAGACAGAACCAGACGACCGAGCAGTGGGATACGACCCAGACGACCACGTGCAACGCGAGTCGGACGCGCGGAACAGATAGTCGCCCGACAGCAAGGACACTGGACCACACCAGTCTTCGGATACGCATGGTCCAAAAGCTCGTTTAGGCATGCTAGGTGAAAGATGTGACTGCACGAGTCTAGTTGCATAGGACGCATGTTCTCATGGTCCTTCTCAGCTTTTGGACGCCAACGTACACCAGCTACTCGACGTCGCCACTGCACGAGGTCCGCCTTGCCGCCTTGCTTAATGCTGCTCGAATCCTTCTGAACAGCTACGTGTGGGATGTAGTCTCCGAGACAGATGACGCAAATGTCATCTTTCGGGGCCTCGCATGTATGCGAGACAGTATGCGGGATAATTGGTGGACCACAAGCCTCCAATTCTACATCTACCAGCTCCCATGTTGAGACGTGAGGAGTACTAAATGGGTTGAGATGGTGTACAAGCCGATGGATCCAGCTGGGCCGAGTCGAATTTACAGTTAACTCTTCCCAGTCGAGCTCATCGTCTTCGAAGGCTTGTATCCCCACACCTTCATCCTCGGGTACATCCGGGAGTTCTTCGGGCAGGTCGTATGGAAGGATTGTAGGTGGCATGTGCAGTGGCCTGTCGCTCAACGGGCTACGAGGCACATGTTCAAATGTCCAAGGACCTTCACCACTGTCGTTGTGCTCAGTCGTATGGTCTAGGATCTCCTCATTGTCGCTGATGGCTTCAAGCATGCAATCCACCATATCTTCATTATCAGTCACAGTAGCCCAATCCTTGACTGAAGCCAGAATCATCTTAAAGAGCTCGCGATGCATGTTGTCCCGCTCAACAGTCTCAGCAAGGTAGGCCACCGTATTGAAAAGCGTGTCCTGGGAGCGGAAATTCTGGGCTCGTGCAAGAATCGTGCGAATGTTCAAGGGAATCGGTGCGGCTCCTGAAAATGAGAAAGGGTTGTCCACTTCGACTTGCCACTGTCGAAGAATAGCTGAACGCCCGGCCCGCTCGCACGCGCAGCCAAAGTCATCGCCTGAACGGTCGTCACTGCCCTGATACCAGTATTTCAAGAAAACGTCAACCACATTAACACCCTGCCGCACATAGGCATTCAGAATGTAGCGTGCATCCGCCCGATACCGATTCGGATAACGCGCTTTTAGAAGTTGAAAAGCCTGGTCCCAGTGGCAGAAGAATGAACGGCTGAACCAATGCATGTCCTCGCCGGAGATGTCACGAGCCATGAGCGTGAAGCTGAAGTCGGAATGGAACGCCTGCATCGTCGCAATAGGCTCCAGATACTGCAAAACATCCAACCCAAAGGCATAGTCGTTGCAGTCAGTATAGGCAGCACTGTTGATAATCCAACGCTGAGATCCAGAGCGTCGATTCCTACCATAGATATCTCGATCTGTCTGGTAGTGTCGAATGCGAATCCGCTCTTCCATCGTCGCGTTCCACATTGCCCGCCAATCGAACTTGCGCACAGCCTCGCGAAAGTCTGGATTCACGCGTTCGTCAAGAGGCCACAGATTCGTTGTCCTATCATAGGTGAGTTGGAACATCTGGTCTGCAGAGAAGCCGATGTTGTGGTCTCGATTGAAGCGGACTTCGAGCAGGGCGTTGTCGCAGAATGTGCCCAGGTGGTCGAGCACGAGGTTCATGGACGCGTAATCGCGAACATGGGGGCGAAGAAGGTCGACTAGGAAGCCTCGCCGTCGGGTACTTAGTCCGCTAGATGTTCCTGTTAGGAGAGGTTCATGATTGCGCGGTGTACTATCGATGGTCTCAGGCGGGATCTGGTCCGGTCGATGGCTATACATGGACCCTGTAGAAGAACTCGCCATAGTCAGAGCTATAGAACACTAGAGAAGCTCTCGTCGATGCGCAATGTTCGCGACGAGCGCTGGTGTAGCCGTTTAGCAGGCGGGAACGCGGAGTGGTAGTATACTCGGGAGGTTTCGACCGACCGGGTTGATTCGTGTGCTGGCGAGCGATGGTATGGGAGTAGAGTGCATGGTAGTTATGACTGTGTATGAAGTACTCATAGAAAATGAGCGCTTGAGCCGACTTAGTGATCTCTAGATTGGGGTGTGTAGGTGGTGAAACTACTGCCATGTCAAGTGATCTGGTCGTAAAGACAACTTTCACCAACGTCGAATCAGCGAGACAAAGTCTTCTCGGAGTTTCCCTGAACTTGTAATCAATGCCTTGTATCATGCTTACCCATGGTACCTATCCGGTAAATCTACAAACGCATGCTAGGAAGTTGAAAAAATTAGATCAAGCCCATGAAGAAGTGCGCAGAAGACAAGGGCAAGCGTCAGGCACACAGTGTAATGTAAGCATCGCATTGCTATTTCCCACCTTTGACCACGGGTGAACTACCTGTTCGTTCAAGTTTCGTTGAAACTACATACCGAGTAGCGTTGGACTGTACTTGTACTCGTCAGCAGTCGTCACTGAGGTATTCTTGTGGAATTTTCCTCAAGCAGCAGAATGTTCGTCAGAAACAGTTGTCTATGGAGTCTATGTAGCATTTGCTCCTTGTTTTTCTACAGATGGCCTCTTACATTATTGACCATGCCGAACGAGTTCGCTCGGCGTTTGCTGCGGCTTCGCTTTCGTTGCGCGCATACAGCACGCACAACTTCTCGCCCTGCTCTACGCGTTCGCCCGGCTTCTTTATCTCAGCAATCCCCACATTCAGGTCAAGAACCGAGTCTTTCAACGCCCGCCCGCCGCCCAAGTCGCGCACAACTTCCCCGATGATGCGGGCATTGCATGAGGAAATAGTTCCCGATTTGGTGGCGGTAAGTGGCAAGGCAAACGCTTGGATGGGCGATTTCAACTTCTCCTCGTAAGCTTTGAGATCGGCGCCTTGTGCTTCGAGAAGCTCAATCCATTTAGTACGCGGCGCTCCTGATTCAAGGCACGCTTTCGCCTTTGCCAGCCCAGCGTCCAGGTCTGGCTCGCGTCCAGTGAGGACCAACAGCCGTCCCGCGCATTGCAGCACCAGATCGCGCAAATCGTCGGGACCACGATTCTCCAGACACTCAACGGATTCCACGACTTCGAGCCAGTTCCCTGCTGTGCGGCCCAGTGGCGTGTCCATATCATTCAGAAACGCCTCGACTTTGACACCACACGCGTTGCCGAGCTTTGCCATCCCATCAGCCAGCTTCTGTGCGTCCTCGCGCGTTTTCATGAACGCCGCCTCGCCGTACTTCACATCGAGCACGAGCGCGTCCAGTCCTTCGGATAGCTTCTTCGATAGGATAGAAGCCGTGATGAGGTTGATGGAGGGCACCGTAGCCGTCACATCACGCATAGCATAGAGTCGCTTGTCGGCCGGAACCATCTCCTCAGTCTGTCTGATCATCGCACACCCTATACGTTCGACGAAGTCCACAATCTCATTAACAGGTAGCGACGTGCTGAAGCCAGGAATCGAGTCGAGTTTGTCCAACGTACCACCGGTAATGCCCAATCCGCGCCCCGATATCATCGGCACGCGAAAGCCCAAGGCCGCCAGAAGAGGAGCGAGCGGAAGCGAGACCTTATCGCCAACTCCACCTGTAGAGTGTTTATCGACGACGGGCCGCGCCGGGTCTGGCTGAAACTGAAGCACGATTCCGGAATCTCGCATAGAGAGCGTAAGAGCACGTGTTTCGGCCTCGTTCAGACCCTTGAAGTACACCGCCATCAAGAAGGCTGCGATTTGGTATTCAGGCAGCGTGTCAGTCGAGACACCCTTGACGAAAGAGCGAATTTGATCCTCAGAAAGCGCCGCACCATCGCGCTTGGCTTCGAGCAGTTGAAGAAAGCTCATCCTGACAATGCTAATCTTGGTCCGATTGGATTCGTCGACGGTAGCAGGGGTGAGGGATCTGAGCTCAAAGGACGACGGTGGAGATAAGTTGGTCGCCAAGTCACGAATGCAGGTGGAATTAAGAATAGAGGGAGAGACGGATGCAGGCAACGAGGTTTTTGAAGCTGCCGGGCAGGACAGGAGACTTTCACTCAATCACACCACCAGTGACAGTTGTAGATTGTTTGCCGTCGATGTTTGCTATGGCCACCGTTAGCTTTGATATTCGATGAGGTATTGCTAATACAAACAATGCACTGCAAATTGAACGCTCTGTCGAATTAGGTTTGCCGTTTACCGCGTCTTAAAGCTGGTAGATGGTGAAGACACGTCGTCGCGGGAGCGGTCGGCAGTGGAGGCAGGCGCGGCGCCGTGATGAGAGCTGCGCACCCAGTCTCTGAAGTCCTGTATTCGCGCGGCGAACACCGACGACACCTACAATCCACACAGCCATTCACTGAAGGCGAACATTCCGAACATGTAATTCGAATCGATTGCTACATGCAATTGTACATTACGATCACAAAGCCGCCTGATCGTGACCCTTCGCGCACGCGCCTATATCGCCCCACCCGACTGCTGCTGCACCTCCAACAGATTGCCATCCGGATCCGCGATAACGATGAACGACCGGAACCCGATAGCCTCGAGCCCCGGTGTCCCCTCCTCGACATCCTTCTGAGTCTCCTCGTTCGTCAGATCTCCGAATCCCCAAGCAAGCCCGAGGATCCGACTCTCCTCTGTCTGGCCCGAAAAATCCACTTCGCCAGTGCGCTTAATGACGCGCACACCGAGCGAGTCGAAGCGCACTTGTGCAGCTACTATGTCGGGAACAATCAGGCCGTGATGCGAGAAGATGCGAGGAGCAGCCTGCGTCTCGTAGCCGGTGCTGTTGCCGTTACCTGACCCCTGAACGAAGTTAGCCAAGAAGTATTTGAAGCAAGAGGAAGAGAGTTCTTACAGTGTACGACTGGAACTCAATCATGCCAGCCATGTTGTTCTTGTCACGCTGCATCTCAGCGCCCGTTTGGAACCCAGTTCCGTTCCTGCCGCCCTGGCTATGTGCCATGTACATGATCGAAAAACCTCCTGGCAGGTCGACGGTGAAGATGTGGCGCATGCCGATGACTTTGGAGTACCACGCGCTGGTCCTAGTCATGTTCGCAACATTGATGCCAACGTGATTTACGAAGTACGAGAGGGTTTCGGGGTCTGCGGGTGGGTCGTTGCCAGGAGTGTAGGTGAATGGAAGGGAAGCGTTGCCTTCTTGCCTGGCAATGATCTCTTCGCTGCAAGCAAGCGCTGAAGTGAAGAAAAGGGTCGATAACAATGCGGAGACCTTCATCGTCGCTGATAGCATGTTGTATTCGGGTGATGTTGATATAATACAAGAGGGCTCTGTCGATGCTGCAACTGCTGACTTGTTGAAAGGTGAATATATGCGAGACATTCCAGGTAGCCATCATGCCTTATAGAAACATTTGAAATTTGATAATTCAGTGTCATCAGCATTTCGGCCGTAACTCCATCATGGCTCCGTGAGTATGCTTACAGTGCCTCTGAACCACGACGCTAGTAGACCCTGCAATTGCTCGACACTGCCTACAGGAGGTAACGATCTCTGCAGACCCGAAACGACGGTCCGATAAATACGACTTTTAGGATAGTGACCCAATAGCAGGTCTGGAATGCTTACGGCCGTAAGGCTCAGCCTCACCTTAGCTGTCATTGGCGTGTTGCCCAGGGATTAAGGAAACGATGTAAACATAGAACTGCGGGACGCCTATGGGGCCGATATCTTCTCACCGAAAGAGATCCTTTGACATAACTGAGTTCCAAGCTTTAATGCCTGCACTCTTAAGCGCGACTGCATGCCACTTCGCCGATTATATAGGCCCGATTACCCACAATGCTACAATTTTCTGGCCAAACTTCGATTGTCGTTGTTAAGCTCTCGAGCGCTAGAGCGTATTATGCTGCTGAAGCGCTGTTCCACGTTCTCTCGTGATGAGTAGGATCAAATGTATGATCGAAGGTATCGTAACGACCTTGTCAGGACTATGGCGGCACCAGAACAGCAGTAAGCCGAACATGGTCGACTAATACCAATTGGAAAACTTTCGAAGTTGATATTCCAAATAGGTAGCAATAGCGAGCGCACAGCCACACGCATGCATGATGTACAGGTTCACTGCGGAGAGCAATTTCCTCCACGCCCGAGATGCTATTGCCATATCCAACTTAAGCATGGTCCAGATATATCACCATCCATCAAGACCTGCAATCATACCCCATGTTTCCACACCGTCGCCCCCTTCCTTAACCCATCCATCGCTCCCAGCAATGCCTTTGCCGATCCTGATCTGTCCCACGACCTTGAATCCAAAATACTCGTACACGCCTTTAGCATGCGCATTCGTCGACTCCAACCAAACCGGGATGTTCTTCGCCTTTGCCTCGGCCAAGAACGGCTCGAAGATGGCTGTTACAGCGCCTGATGATGTTTTAGCTCCGCAATGGTGAACTACCTGACGGACTCTCACCTTTGTCACTTCGTTCCGGGTCTCGTCCGATGATGTTCAGGTGCCAGTGTGGACGACTGCCTAGCTTCTCCTCCTTGAGTGCTTTGTAGAACGTCAAGTACTCAGCAACGCCCTCTGAAACGGTGGCTGCTGGGTGAGGCTTCTTCTCAACGCCTGGAGGAAACCTACGCGATATGAATCAGAAGGGAGCAAGGATTAAGTATAGCAACATTGCCTACCATAACCCAACTGCAGCCCAGTCATGTGACTCTACCAGGATAGCTCCGCCCTCGAAACGAGGCTGGATGATCGCCTCCCAGTATTTTTTTCGATCATCGAGCGTTTGGATTTTGGGATGTTCAGGGTTTGACTCGCGGCCCATGAAGAGGTAGCGGTTGAGTGCATCCTGAGAAAACGCTGCTGCGACAATGGCGGCGAACCTGGGTATCTCGCTGGGATCGGTAATCTTTCGGAGAGGCTTTGCGATCTCTAGATTTGAAGACATGGTTGTGGCGTTGGATTGCTCGAGATGAAGTCGCCAAAGTGGTGTTTGACTCACTACTCGTTGGCTATTCCGAATTCCGATCTTACGGCTACACACGTGCTAGGAAGAACAATGTCATGCAGGCCCCACCTCAAAATTTCGAACTCGCGATGTGCAAACTGTGTCGCAATCGGGTCGCGCCAGTTGCAAGTCTATTACCTGCGTGAGTCGTGAAAGAGGAAGTGAGCACAGCACTTGCGTTGTAGGCTAAAGTGTGACTAGGATCGACGTGGGGCTTACTTATCTAGCCTCGTCGAAAAGGGCGCAATGGATGGCGCAAGCTTCCGATGCAAATGTCCAACGGTCACTGAATTGAAAAGGGCGTCTGATGTTCTGAATGATTCGGTACTGAGGCGGAACGCATATGGCAAGCTGCACTACCCTACCATAACGCCGTTCCAGACTTCCTTCATTCCATTGTATTCCCTTCAATCGCGCTCCAAGCACGTTATATACTCTGGAGCAATTCTGATCTCTCGCCAGAGCCCAATAGAATGGATGCCATGTGACTACATGATGAGCGAGACGCTCATGTGGAGTCTCCCAAACTCTAGTCGCCTTTGCGATATGATTCCTCAACTGTCGGCACCCTCCCCATTCACACCGGCATACCTTGTTTCTAGTAGAAACCCGAACGCTTCTCGAAATGTTCATCCATAAGCTTGCGCCTATGCTCGTCGCGTCCGCACCAGCTGATATACCAGGTCTTCTGCCCATGGCGGACCCTACATTGGCGGTCGAATCGTCCATTGTCGCTACCTAGCTTCTTCCAATAGTCAGCATCCCCGTCACGCTTCGGTCGGCTCGTCTCCATGCAATCAATGCACAGTCCATCGAAACTGTTCGTCGTGCTGGAAATCGCCCGCTCGATGCACGCGTCCCAATCCGGAGAGCAGATGCTACAGTTCCCGATGCTTCCAAGTTCAAATCTCCCCAGACGAGAAAGGATGGTGTTGATGCTGTTCTTCGGGAAGACCATCTCGAGGGGATATGCGTCGATCTTTACGAGCTCGGCGAAGTAACGACCACAGACTGACGCCCACTTGCCGCAGCGACACTTGTCTTCGCCCTTCTTGAGTACTTCACCAGCCTTGTCCCATATCCCGCGATGGAGAACGGTCTTAAGGCTGCCGCGAGCGTGATTCATGGGACCTATCCGCAAGTCAGTGACATCGCAGCCAATAATATCATGTATGCCTATTGAGTGAAGTACTCACCTACGAAATCTGGCGGAGCGAGGTGCATGTGCTTGAATTTGATGCCGATTGGTCGCTTCTCGGTGATATGGCCATCGAAGTTGTAAGCGAGCCAGTTCGTGACGGCAGAGAAGCCTTGCGCATGATCGAACATGTAGCACGGGAAAGCCAGCTGCCTGAAGAGGTCCGCGTCACCTCTCGCGAGGTTGACGTGTTTCGCATACCACTTCTCAAAGAACCCACACAGAAGTGAGACATCGAAGAGATACTTATCCCCGGCGTTAATGATGTGCCAGATGCGAGTGATGTTCGTGTCCGCCACGCCAGGGCTGTTGAAGAGCCTCTGCCCATCCACCTCGGCAATCTTTTTCGGCTTCCCGTTCGAACACACACTGTCCATCTTCGATTGCGGCTGCTTGGTAGCATACGTCGCGGCAGCATGCATGTAGATCAACCACACACGCACGGCGCCTGCATCATCGTCCTTGAGAATCACCTCGTGGCCGAACTTGGTATTGAAGCGGAGGCTATTTTCAAAGTACTGCGAGAAGCACGTTACGGCGCTCTTCTCCACTTTGAAGCGGACGATCGGGCGCTGGCCTTCGTTGTCCTTTGGGCCCTGTACCGAGATGGTCAGGTCGCTGGAAGCGCTGAGGGTGTATGCATCTTTGAGGATTGTCGGGGTAGGCGGGCGCTGCGTGTTTTCCTGCGCGGCCATTGTTTTGATGGAGCGAAATATGGCGGAAGGTGTGGCGGAACTGAATTGGAGAAGGCAACAGCCGACGAGGTGTTTGCTACTTGTGTTGCGTTTGCGATAAGCTGCGGACGATAAACGAGTGAAGGTGAAAGTGAGAGTGAGAGAAGTCCACGAACCTGTGAAATCATGTTAGAACGGTCCAAACGTGGCAGATGGAGATACTATTAGAGATTTCTTCGATAAACAGGTTTCAGCTATCTACCACAGTATCAGGTACAGTAGACTGACTTAGAATAGGAAGCGAGCGAGAGCGCTACAATGATGCCGTGCTAATTATTTTCAATGTCTGGCTCGGCTTCCGGAAGAGGGTTAAAGTTCGAGTGTGTGATGTGGCGGTCCTGTGCCGCCTGCATCTGTCCAATTTGGAAACGAGCAACACTGTTCTGGTACTGTCCCCCGAACAGGTTTCCTGTAACCTCCGGAGCCCATGTGCCAGGACCAGGCTTATAGGCTTGACGGCTAGCAGTAAGGATGCGTTGGTTTGTTTCGTCTGTCGATTCCTGGAAAAGACCGTCGTGTTCAAAGACTGATGAAGCTAACGATGTCCTAGGTCCTGACCTTACGGCGTCCTGCAAGAACCCTGAGCTCCAAGAGGTGTCTACCGCATTCGAGTCATCGTTGAGGTGGTCGAAGCTTGGAGGATCCAGGCTAGAGTCTTCGAATGCTGTATTAGCGTCAGGATCAGGCCAGTCTGTTTGAATAGTTAAGTTGTCCAAAGAAGGTTCACCATCCATGCCTGCAGGGCGAGTCGAGGGCTCCGCCCCGAGTCTTGATAACGTGTGACTCTGAGAGTGGTCAAATCCCGTGTAGGTGGCTTCTAAATTAGTCCAAGAGTTCTCGTCGTTGAAGTTCCCGTGTATCACGGCGTCAGCATCGAAATCTATATCAACAATCCAGTCACTCAGTCGAAATTCTCCGTCTATTGCGTTGGGGTTGGATGGCTGATTGGTTCCGAGGGTATCTTCTGCTGAAGATTCGACCTGGTCTGCTACGTCTTTTTTATCTCTGCTGGGTTCCAAAGCGCTCAGGCTTTGAGCAGCAACCTGGTCACTCGCAACGCTATCTTGATGTTGCAGTGGAGTAACTTCTTGATGCAAGCTCCCGATTGCTTCTAAGACGCTTTCCTGAAGGAGATCTTGGAATTCGCCGCGTCGGGTCGCCTCCTGTAACTGTCGATGACCAAAACCATCATCACTCTGTAGAAGAAGCTCTATTCGACGTTGGAAACTCTCTAGCGTGCGAGCTGGAAGTGCTGTTTGCAATAGGTCCCAGCGACGTTCCGAACTGGAATTCGCAGCTGCGTCTTCAACATAAGCGTCGTTCTTATTCCCATCTTCATCGCCAAAATCTGTTGCACATTAGTAAACGAAATTGTCAAGAGTGGAAGACGTACAGGGAGAAGGGATGTGCGTCTTTGGAAAAAGCTCGGCGAACATCCACCGCCAATTTGCCTCCTCACATTTGTACGGCAATCGAGTTTTAAGTTTCCTCGCCATAGCGTCATTGATAGCAAAGATATCTCCTTTTTTACGCACTGGACATGGAATCAACCGTCCTTGGCAATGGTTCTTGAGGTCTTTGGACGTTTCGAACACATCCTGGCATTTTGGGCATTGAAAAACACGGTGTTTTCGAAACAAGTGTTCTCTGTGTCATGGGATAAGTAGGTGGGTTGCAAATATGGCCAATGACTTACTTTACTCGGGAAGCCTGAGCCCAACTTGACTTCGAACAGGCATCTGGGAGAGTGCTTGCTGTTGGATTTCTCTTGTAGAACGGACAAGCTAGCTTCCTCTCATCCTGTGTGTTGAACGGTCTGTTGCCCCCAGGACATTCATCATGACCTCCCTCGCGCCTTCTCTTCGAGCCGGGATTGAAGCCAGAGCCGGCACCCGGACCAGAGCCTGGACCTGGTCCCGAGGTGGGTCCTGAATTTGAACCAGCACCAGAATTGGAGTTGTCATTCTCTCTGCTCGCAGAGGAACATTGTTTTGACTGACGGGGCGCGCAAGTGACTACCTTTGCTTCAAAATCGATTTGATAGTCTACTCCGTTTAAGACCAGTTGAGATAGAAACTTCGCCCTTCTGCTTAGGGACTTAGTGCGTAGAGAGCCGCCGGCGTTCGAGACATCGTCGTCCATAAGGTCATTATTGATGGTGGTCTTCGAAGACGAGGGACTGATACTTGTCTCTTGTTCTAAATGAGATGAATGGCGTGCGGTGGGTAACGACAACGGCTCTTTAGCGCTGTTCTCGAGCGACGAGCCCCACGTTCCAGACAGGATATCTTTCGGTGATACTGTCCTCTCAAGTCCGGCCTCTAGATCGACAAGAGAGGCGAATTCCGACTCTTCAGAGCTCGATGCTATAGTAGTCGATACTGGTACAGGGGGAACCGGATAAGCTGTGATTGTGGCTGAAGACAGTGGCCGTGGGATCAGCGGCGGCGGCGGTACGGGTCGTGGATTTCGTAGAGGCGACTTCGAAGTGAAGCCTTCCACAGTTTCGAAAGTTGCATGGGCATCTTGTATTCGGCCACACTGAGGGCAACCAACTATGATTTTATGGTTGAGCGGTCCGTCTCCACAATGTCCACAATACCAGACATTAGTATGTTCTCGTCCCATAGTAGACAACTCGAAATTGTTGCGTCCAGGCGATCGATCAGTGATGGTCTGCCGTTGTAAGTGTCTTTATGTTTCTTCCCACCCCTGCAACTCGCAGAGCTGCGAGGTTTCCCGACCTCGCGAACTGGCGAGGACAGAGCAGCCAATCACATCTGGACATTCCGCAGCCTTCACCGGTGAGCCCAACATCAGAAAGCCAACGTGACAATTCGGGACCAATAGTCTCCGATACAAACCTGAAGATGGATGCGGATGTCCACGCTTCAATTAACAACCCAAAAACTGTGCTCACTTAGGCAGATCGTGCCGAGTGCTGAATGAGAAGCAGCCTGTTGCGAAATGTGTGCGGAAATGGGCCACGATCCCGGAAGTATGTATTATGGATGAAGACCACGACTAGAGAGTGAGAGAGACCTCCTTAACAATCGAGAAAGTGGCTGGAGAAAGCGGAAGACGAAAGGAAAAGATCGCAGAGCATTTGAATGATGGTAATGTAGCACCGGTGAGTAGAAACACTGACCTTGCCGTGAGGCAAGAAATAACATGCATGAAAGGGAGAAGAACAAGAGAATGAATGGTAATGAGGTCGAGCTATCCATCACGCGCAAAGGTACTAGGAAGAACCCCACTCCGCTGAGATTCTCAGAGAATCATCAATTGTGAAGATATTGCAGACTAAAGCGCGGGAGGATTGGCCTGTGAGAGAGCATAATGTCGATTATGCTTTGTATCATTGTAGACGCCCGTCAAGTCGGTCGGAATGGTTGTATAATTAATTCCGCGAACGTGATTAGCGAAGATGTAGGTTTAGGTGTCCATAGTATGCGATCTTCTTGGGCTTAGCAGCACCGGAGCCTTAGCCGTGACTCTGGTGAGATTCTGGTCAGTAGGATGGCCCTGCGGAAGTTTGCTGAGAGGTTGCTTTGTAAACGTAGTGTCGTGTAGGGACAAAGGATGGAGGAGGACTGCTAGTGTTGCTCACTAATCCGGAGGCAACCGCTGCCGGCGGACCGAATGACGTAGGCTCATAAAGCCCCGCTTGATTCCTCGGGACTCACTGTTCGTCAAGTCACGACGCCAAAAACGTGCAATATGTCTTCTAGCGATGTAAGTGCACAGTGAATGAGTTGAGACTCAGGTGCATGTTTTGGCTGGTTACACAGCGTCACCCCTGCGTTCGGCTTTTGCCTCGGCTTCTGCCGATCACGGCTTCCATTCCGCGCCGATCCACCCGCCTTCACACAACATCTAACAACGTCCAGAAACCCAGCCAAGGATTTGCAGATAAAGACGGCCATTTCAGGCGCAAGGACTCTGCTTTCCGAAACAACATCTCAGCCGATCCGACTTCTGCCTTTCCAGCCGAATCTGGTCGCTATGTATTGTGGATCCATAAGGGCTGCCCTTGGGCTCATCGAACGTACATTGTCAGGGCTTTGAAGGGGCTGGAGGACGTCATCGAGCTGGTCGTGCTCGATGATGCTGAGAAGAAGGGTGGCAAGATGCTGTGGTGCTTTAGTGGTGAGAAGAGAGACCCGCTATATGGGTTCAAATACTTGAAAGAGCTATATGAGAAAAGCGAGCCCGGCTACGACGGGAGATACTTGGTCCCAACTTTGTGGGACAAAAAGACAGGTTCGTGATATTCCTTGACACGCGACTTGATCTTTTCTATTTTCACGTGATTTGCTAAACGTAGCAGAGAAAATTGTCAACAACGAGTCTAGCGAGATAATCCGCATGCTCTACACCGAATTCGATGCTTTCATCCCAGAGCATCTCCGCGAGGCGACGAAAGGCTCGATGGGATTGTACCCGCCTCAATTACGCTCTGAAATCGATGCGTTGAATGAGTGGGTTTATGACACTATCAACAACGGTGTTTACAAGACTGGCTTCGCCACGAGTCAGGATGCCTATGAAGCTAACGTGTACCCATTATTCAAATCCCTTGACCGCGTCGAAGAGCATCTCTCGCAGCCCGGCCATCAACCCTACCTCTTCGGCGAGAACATCACCGAGGCTGATATCCGGCTCTACACCACACTGATACGGTTCGATGTCGCATATTACACAGTTATGGGGTGCAACTTGAAGATGATCAGATATGAGTACCCGCGGATACACGACTGGCTAAGGAGGCTCTATTGGGACGAGGGTGAGAAGACCAATGGCGGGGCGTTCAAGAAGACCTCCCATTTTGAAGTCGTGAGTCATGCTGCATTGGTTCACTCTGTGCTTGATCTGACCACTGTGCAGTACAAAGCGGGATATGCTGCCGCGCGAGGAGTGACGATAATACCAGTCGGGCCGGTTCCAGATATCATGCCTTTGTCAGCCTAAGGCATGGAAGTGTTGTTTTATAAGCCATGTTTGTATTGTGCAGGCATGGACTATGACATAATCTTCAAAGCATTTAGACAGAGTCGCTCTATAACGCACTTCAGCGGATGACGCTTGACCTTTGCTTTGCTTATTTCGGGGACTACGCTTTGTCTGGACCTGTTCATCAACCCATGCACGGCGTTACATAATATTACAATTTACGATGTATAACGGCCGTCAAGTGGTTGATGTTCTCGGCTTCCTCTGATCTGGCGTTCACTGAGGGTTAAGGTGCGGACCGTGCGCTTCGTCGAGAGGGCGACGCTGAAAGAGGAAAGAGCGGCTCAGGTTCTATTGTGTTTCACCACCTTCACGTCACGCAAACACACACACTCTCTCCACGTTGAATTCTCCATCGCACTGCGAGCCTCTCGCGACCTTTAATCGCCGCAATGACGACGTTTCCCTTCCTCGAGCTTCCGGCAGGTAAGTTAGATATGCGTGCGGTACAAAACCTGCGTTATCCGTTCCCAGAACTCATCTCAATAGAGCTCCGTAACATGATCTACGAATTTGCTGCTTTTTCCGAGGAGCCGACCCGCATCGTCATCAATAAAAGACGCGCCGACGGCAATTACATTGGTCTTGCGCGTGTTTGCCGACAGATCCGCAAGGAGTATCTATGGCGTAAGTCTGCGCTCCGATATCATGGCACATATACTGACTGGAAGATCAAGTGTACCGACAGAAGGCTCGCATTCGTGTACATTGGCGCGATCTCGATACATGGCTTTCAACCTTTGCCGAAAGCAATGCCCAACCCAAGCAACTACAGATTGCGTTTTCATTCGATGTACATGGCGCGACGTCGGGTCCGAAAGAGATTGACATCTTACCACTGCTTCATTGGAACCTCACCAGCAGTATGTCCACTTGCAAAATCGTGTTCGTCAACGGTCACACCACGGAATCAGTTCCGATTCGATACAGAAAGCACGTCCAGTCGAGGAACGAGGACATGGTGCTACAGCTCCAGAGCTTTCTCGATTGCAACCATGCAGCTTGGCACGCTGATGTGAAGGACGACGGTTCACGGCTGAAGAAAGTCTTGATCAACTTGGCAGAACGCTCGATTACCTTCACGCTCCGTAACAACAAGCAGTACAAAGCATTATCCGCCATCAAGTACACGGGTGAGGTCGGCTTGGGGCTTACACGAGCTTTGTGGTGGACCTTGAGGGTAAAAATGCAAGAGGATGATAAGAAATGGGGGAACAAGGGCGAGTGAGCCGCCGGTCAGGAAACAGCTACATCATGGTGAGACAGCTCTACCTTCGGCCTACAAAGGATAGACCTCGATTCATCGATCACACACTCGCGAGGCCCCCTCTGGTAGGCACAGCGATATGCCGTTACTATAACTCAAGCTGCCAGCCGGTAAGTAGCCATTCATTGAATACTCTTCAAGTTTCCTTCACTATGCTAACTGGGAGAGGTAGAACTACGAATTTGCGTCTACGAGCTCGTCTCCACATCTATATATCTCGGTCACCTTGTTGAGCTTGCGTGATCAGACCGGCGGCAACCTCCGTAGCGTGGGTCGTGCCTGTCGACCCTTTCGAGGGGAGATCTTGTTAGAGCGAGGCCCACTCACACCGACCGATACGGTACTTGTGCATGCTGCCCTGGCTGTGATGTATCTTCATGTTGCCCTTCCGGTTGGAATCTCTCAAGCAGATGCAGAGCGGTTCAGAAAGACACGTAGCAAGGGACCGGGTCTCCTCTTGGCTTGAACATCGCCGATGTCTAGTATGAGGGAATTCATCCTGTATGAATTGTATCTATCTCGATATAATCACGTGAGCCTCTGTTCAGGCTAAGACTTGCTCTTCCTGTGACGACCTGCTCGTCTCTATCTTCTCAGTATCGCCACTTCTCCCCAGCCTGCCCCGATGTATACCAAAGGATACGCACAGCCCAAGAGCGCTGACTACCGTGTAGAAGACCCAAACACCTCTCAATGCATCTGTCATCCCACCTCTCACCACAATTCTCTGCCCTTCAGCCAAAAGTGCTACTCTTGCAGACTGCGAGATTGCTTCACCCCCAGCTAGTTCCTCTGCAAACTCTCTCGTCAAACCTGCATCGACAAAGGAAGAGAGATGCGGACGAAGGAGGATCTGGAAGACAACTTGTCCAACGACAACACCGATAGCGCCGCTGACCATCCTCACGAAACCAAAGGCCGATGTACCTGCTGCCATGTCCGCCTCACGGATGCGCGTTTGCAACGCAATAAGTGGAGCGTTGAAGTTGGGCCCAAACCCGATGCCGATGATGACAAGGAAAACAATAATCTTCACCAGTTCAAGTGCGACTCCGAAAGATATGAAAAGTCCTACACCAACAGTCATGAGCGCGAGGCCCACTTGCAGCACTTCGAGGTATCGGCCCGTCTTTTCGATGACCCAGCCGCCAACGAAAGAACATATTGCGAGCGGTATGGCGATAGCGAGCATGTAGACTCCGGATGTCTGGGGAGACGCGGAAAGCACAAGCTGGAAGTACAGCGGTAGGAAGTATGCGACCGAGTTGAACACGAGCGCGTCGCAGGCGCATACGCCAAGAGCAGAGAGGTTGGAAACATCGCGAAAGATACGGAGAGGAGTTATTGGTGATCCGCCGCGCTTCTCGTACCACCACTGGGTCCACGGGAAAATGACGTACGCTAAGGACCCGAACACCAAGAAGCAAACGACAAGAGGCTGAGAGTACGAGTATGTACCGCCAAGCTGTAAGCCAACGAGTAGCAGGATCGTTGCGAAGAGGATCGTAAAGGTGCCAAGCCAGTCGAGGGACGCAATACCTTGTAGAAAAGGCGTGCGTTGGTCGTGGAGACGAACTGTGAAGTAAAGAGTGACGATGGCCATGGAAACAAGCGGAACTATGGAAGTCAGTAAAAATTAGTCCGAAGATGGACGCATTCCCTACGATTAATGTAAAAGCACCATCGCCAGGTCAGCTTCTCCGCGAAGATACCTCCTAGAACAGGCCCAAGCGCCGAGGCGACAGCATACATAGCTCCAACTATGCCCATGTAGAATGATCGATCGCTAATGTGGTCAATTTGGTTCGGAACACACAAATGGGGTCGAACTTACCGAATATTGAATAAGTCAGCGACACAGACGTATACCAAAACGTTGATCCCACCACCTCCTAGCCCTTGGACCGATCGACCAGCCACAAGCATGGGCGCACTGATGCTCACGGCACATAGGATGCTCCCCAACAGAAATACGGAGTTCGCAAGAAGGATGATCGGCTTGCGGCCAAAGACATCGCCGAGCTTACCCCATAACGGAATACTAGCAGCATTCGCAAGCAGATATGCAGAACCGGTCCATGCATATAGTGAGTCCGGAACATGGAAATCTCTGGATATTGAAGGCAGTGCTGTAGGAATCAAAACGGTGTCAAGCGCAGCGAGGAAGATGCTGAGCGTGAGAGCTGAGAAGCAAAGTAGCGTTGGCAGAGGAGGCCGTCCTCCACTTGGCGACGCATCATTCGTAGTAATTGATGTCGGCATGCTTGCTGGGCGCAATGGGATGCGCTGTCGCTCTTCGGTATTTGCATGATTAAGAGGCAGAGTGGCGGAGGAACTGAGTGTCTGAGTGTCAGTAAGACTGTCGGACGCAGTCTCCGCAATTGACGTGTTTGCTGAGCGTTTTGGCAAGTGTAAAGACGAATCTTGTACTTTGGAAGTAGCGACTGTATTCTGGTCGCCTACCGTGGCAGGTGTTTGGGATGTCGTTGTTGTGGCGGAAGCCATGATGCTCATTCTTCCAAAAGGAGCAACGACCGCTGGATGCTCGTGCCTTCTCTTCACGTCAAATGTCAAAAAACAAAGGAGAAAAACGTGGCCTGTGTATCCTTTATGAACACTCCCGCTGTCAATGCAGGGTCAATAGTGGCGAGCCGCCGCACGGCCAAAACCCTGAGCAGGGACTCCATGTTCCGCCCCACAGATCGTTTCCGTTCCTACGAAGGTATTCCGATATCATGGAGAACGAGGGATCCAGATGGCTGCAGAAACGCGCATGGTTGCGCAATGTATGAGGTAATCGGGCGGGCCAGTCGGAGCTTTAGCCTGTAACCAGCTACTTTATGCGCACCCGGTGCTTGGGTTTAGGGCAGGGATCGCCGAATGTGTCAACTTTCCTTCTTGTCTACGCTGATGCAGTTGTATATTCAGCGCTTACTAGATGATTTCGCCCTGCAGATCGGTTTTATCACAATCAGCCTTCAGTGCTTTGGAACGCAAGTTGCTATTTGACCTGACCTTTTGATCTTGGGCCTCTGCTCGGCGAAGTCTGGTGCCGGTCTCGGAACACTGCAGTGTGGTGCTGCAGCATAAGAGAGACCATGCCAGACCATATCCCGAGTGTGCACTACTCCTACCATGTCATCGGGTACTGCTGCATGCGCACATAGGCAAACCCACTTAGATATCGCGTGCTGTGTGATCCCTGGCAACACTCATGTTTCTCTGTGGGGACGATGTAGTAGCGGGCTGAGGTTGTCGGGTGATTGGGCGGATATACGAGCACACCCCTGCTGGGCATGCTGTGTACAGTACGACATCGTAGTACAGCAGGCTTGGCTAACGTGAACTTTGCAATGAAGAACGCGCTTCGCCGACTTCGCGTACGGGAACGGTGGCTGCTGCCCCACTGGCGAATATTGTCGGGTTTTGTCATGCCTTCACTGAGCAAAGCGTTCGGAAGCCACGCTTAGGGGGCGTCCAGCCCTCACACCGCCTCGTTGAACGATGTTGCCGACCATGCGCTTCCGCTTCTCATTGCCATATTCAATTTTGCTTGCATCTGAGCCCACTTTCGAACGTCCCGACGCCGGCAGTCATTGAACTGCATTTCGCAAATCGTAAAGATAGCAAATTATCATACCGAATGGGTATTACTGCTTCAGCAGAGTGAAGGAGGACGATGAGTCCAGTGCCAGGATAAGCAAGAGAATCAACGCCTATACAAAGGATATCGAAGGCTTGCTCAGAATCGATCGACAGCAGCTAAAGGGAGAGTAGAGCATGTCCTCGATTCTTCCATGCGAATGGTCAGACGAAAGCAAGGCAAACTGTCTGACAGATGTCCCTCACGCTTTGATTTTGACATCGTGAAACATTACTGTGATCTTTCTCGACCTCTGCGCAAGCTAGCTCTATCTGTGGCTCGGTCAATCTTAACACGGTGTTTTCGTCAGTATGGGCAAGCCTCGATCATCAGTCTATTTTCGTCTCATACGACCTTTGCTCTGCCACGTTGCGGGCCATCGTACCCGAGCGTCCCGTTCGAAACATACGCCGGGTAAGGGTCCGCGAAATGTGGCAATGTCTCAAAGCGTGGCAGTATTTTCGACGAGTAGATGTTCTGCCCAAACGATTATCCGACGCAGGGCAAGCCGTTTTGGGTCGAGGCACCAAGCTGCTGCAAAGGCCCACAGTGCGTCTTTTGATTGCCTTCCAAGGTTGCAAGTAGCGCTTGGCTGGCTTGCGAATTACACATCCCAAAGCTTTCGAACGTCGGCTTTATACAATAAGTCTAATGGCAAGTAATTGCCGCTATCACTGGCATCATACTCTCTACAACTGCTCAAGAATGACTAGAAGATGAATTCGCGTTCGAGACAGGCGCGGTGGACCGTTTTGATGCGAGCTTCGGATACCTGAGATGATTGTGCGGAGTCATCGTGTTACTTTACCCAATTGTTAAAGGGAAAAGAAATGAAACTCCTGCATATCGTATGCCTTGCTCGCGTGCAACCCATCCGGGAATAGTCGTGTTGAGGCTGCGTAGGCGAATTGTGGAGGTGTTATCCCAAGGCACCCCGGCAAGGTGAAGGGAAACAAGGCGTATGGAACGGAAGCGCCTCGCACGCGAGGTGTGACCAGAAGTGACGATAGCGACGGGGGAGAGTTGTTTGATGTTGAGACACCCAGGCGAAGAAGTGGGACCTGAAACTAGCGCCACGCGGATCGTGGCATACCGATGGCCAGCTTCTGATAATGTTTGTAGTTTCCACAATTCCATTACGACAGGCCTCTTCTCGTCCGTCTCCGGCGAGAGCAACGCACAAAATGTCACAACGGTAGTGCCATTGGCCAGGAAGATTGGCATAAACCCTACTCGAAACGTGTCGAGACACTCGCCAGGACTGCCCTTCTGAATCTCTGCAACATCTTTCCACCATGGTCCCAACCCAAAACCAAACGCAAAAATATACATGTGTCGCAACTCTATGCGCATCTATGGGCTCAGACTTGGTGTAGCTTCCGCTTCACGGCCAGAGTAGGTTAGGACTGCGATTGGCGATGGAAGATTGTGCGCTAGTCCTTTACTACCATCGACCGACCCACACACTAGCAAAATCCAGAGTGAAAAAAAAAAAAACATACAACAGCGGGTATTCGCTGCTGGTCACCCACGCAACTACTAATCCGCCGGTACACTGCTTATATTTGGCTGAGCGTAGCTCCGGCGGTAATGCGTGTGATTGTGATGCCGATGAGTGGGCGACGCGCCGCAACATCCTCACGTGCGGCGCAGCTAGCGCGTCGACACAATGTCCCTAGTCTGCTGGCATACCACGTCCCCAACTTTCAAAACGCAAGATCAGTCGTGTCCTTGGCCACTATCACACTCAACTGGGCGATCTAGGGCACTCGTCGCTTCAAGGGCGAACGCAATTGCTCTCGCTCCCCATCCGCTAGCTTCAGATATATTAGCCCGTACGATTTACACACTTCCGACATGACTTTATTTGACGAGCTGGCCGAGAAACTTGGGGATGACCAGTGGGATGAGTGGAAAACAAAGGTGCTCGATGCAAAAGAAGAAATCGCCGCTTTCGTTGCGAGTCGTCGGCCGGGTCGTGGAGCTGAAGTCCTTGATTGGTTCCAGGGCTCTTTCAATTTCTGCCTGCAGATAATGTACAACGATGGGACTCCGGATGTTATAATACGATTTCCAGGCCCTGGACACACAACATTTCGAGACGAGAAGATTCGGAATGAGGTTCAGGTCATCCAGTTCCTCCACGAATCTACATCCATACCAGTACCGCGTCTGTTCAGCTGGGGTCTCACTGAAGATAGTCCGCAGCACCTGGGACCATTCATGATTTCAGAGTTCGTGGAAGGTGTTCATCTTTCTGATGTCCTCAAGGACACTGCTGATCCAAAGCGTCTCCACTTGAACCCCGACATTGACAGGAATATATTGGACAACGTGTACAATCAAATGGCCGACATTATGCTGGAACTTTACAATGTCGACTTCGATCGGATCGGGGCCATCTCAAAGGACACTTCTTCGGGGTCTTGGTCCGTGACAGAGCGGCCCCTAACATATACTATGAACGAGCTGGCGACTACGGCTTTTTTTCCTGTGGAGGACTTTCCTTCAACGACCTTTACATCTACGAGCGATTACTTCCAGTACCTTATGACCGAGCACAAAACACACCTTTGGACCCAGCGCAATATATGTGGTAGTCCAACAGAAGCTCGGGATCGATATATATCTCGTCTTCTTTACGCAAAGTCATCCGATAAGCATTGTGTCAACGATAGTGGCCCTTTCAAACTCTTTTGCGACGACTTCAGGCCTCAAAATATACTGGTGGATCCGGAGACCCTCCGCATCAAGGCTGTGCTTGATCTTGAATTCACAAACGCCATGCCTCGTCAATTCGCTTCCGATGCGCCTTGGTGGTTACTGCTGGTCGGACCTGACTCATATCTTCTCCGAGATCGTACCCTTCAAGAGTTTGTAGAGGCTTACGAGCCTCGCTTAGAGCACTTCTTGCAGGTTATGGAACGTGTGGAGGGGGCAAGGGATGGTGCAGGTGGCACACAGCCTCTTTCAAAGCTGATGAGAGAGTCGTGGGATACAAAGCGCTTCTGGTTCAATTACGCAGCCCGGAAGCCTTTCGATGTCGAAGTCTTCTTTGACAAGTATTTGAATGAGAGCAATGCAGGCATTGGGTCGTTGGATGAAGACGCGCGTGAAGGACTAGAGCCCTTCGTGGAGATGAAGATGAAGCAGCTGCGGGCATACGACGAAGAATGCTCCAAAGCTCTTTGAGAAGACCAAAACCGTGTGACGTGTCAAATCTCCTGTTGTATTGAGTCAGAAGGATAGAGTGTTGCAGCAGATGAAGTACCACAGTCGTGACCTTATTGCCAGTTCTCGAGTATTTCTCGGCATTTGGGTATATAACCTAACTTTGTCTCCTACACTAAATTCACAGGAGGTTCCATAGCAAAAGGTAGGCGTATATGGCCATGCCGCTTAAAGATCGGAGCTTGGCCCGAGCTCAGCTCTCTGGTCCTTCGCCTTCATGGTCTACGAATGCCGTTGTGCGCCACATCGTCTAATATGTGCTTCACTGTGTAAAATACACTCAATTTCCATCGAGAATTGTGCCCAAGCTCAACAACCTGATGTGGATGAGTACCTAGGCAGCAGTACCCAGGCTGACAGTGTGTTCAAAAGCAACGTCTTAACGTCCCTTGCGTCTTGAAACCGCCTGCCATTGCTTGAGAATTTGGGTAAGTGACTCCATTGGTTCTAATGCGCGGAATAAAGATGATGCCAGAACAAATCGAGACATATAGTGTAACAGTGTCTTCTTATCTAGTATCCGCGCGTCGAAGGTCTACTCTGGTCGGCGCGTACTAGTGCGGTATACTGTGCCGCAATCCTCGCCAGACCCACAGTACAGCAATCACATCGAATGAAGAAGCCCAAGCATTGTCTAAATGCTAGGCGCTGTATAGAGATGGCACTGTCGGCACAGATTAGGCGGCAAGAAGCAGTCTCGCACCACGTATAAATGACTCTCCGCTCTACTGCTTTTTCAGACCATCCCAAAGGCTTCTTCCTCTACATCACCCTATATTTCAGACCACCCACTTCAAATACAAAGTAATGTTCTCTCATAATTCCAACCATGGTTGCTAATTCGTACCCTAGCTCCTCAAGCCAGCAACCTAACTTCCAGTGGCGGTGCTATTCGAATTCCCACCAATAAGGAAGAGAAGCGCATGGATGAAGCAGCAAGAGAGTCCCGAGACAGACGTAAAAAAGCAAAGAAGGCACGTAAAGCTCATGCTACCATAGAAGCAGCTAGTAAGGCTTCTTAGGAACGTCGTGGTGCTAGTAGCTCTAAATAAGTTACTATAGTTTAATATACTAGGTATGCCTTTATTAACCTAAGAATCTCTAATTACTATAGGCAATTACTAAAAGTGTTATAGTGGGCCGGCTCGCTATAAGTTATTTAAATTTATCTTATTTATGCATAATTTAATTGGATTTACTACTATAGAAGCTATTTTAGAGGCTTACTTTATTAGGGAGGCCCTTATCTATGGGTTAAGACTTAGCTTCTATTATTTATTACTAGTTATTCTTTTATTATCTCCACTCTAGCTTATTCTATATTAGTAATTTAAAAGAATGTTTATTAAACTATTACTTTCTTATACTAGTTAGAGTATAACTATATAAATACCTAGTTTTATATATACTATATTCCTAAACTATACTACTAAGGTAGGGTTAGGTTACCCCTAGGAGCAAAAATAGTGGCTACCCCTAGGGGTAAAGGAGGTAGAAAACTACCCCTATAGGTAAAAAATAGAAGGCCTACTAGAAATACCTAGTAGGGGTTAATAAGCTTAGGTATTACTTATCCTTAGAGGTAAGAGGTCTATACTAGAAATACTAATATATAAAGTTTTAATCTATATATAAATAACCTTTTATCTTTAAAGATACTACTTAACCTAAATACTCTAACCCTAATAAAAGTAAAACTATAATAAAGTATAAAGGTATAAATATCTCTACTTAAATAGAGAAAAGGTAATATATAGCCCTTAAAGAAATTAGGGATATAGACTCTATTTATAACTAAGTTATACTATACCTACTAGTAATAGCTAGATTCCTAATTAATATACTTACTATAGAATAGAGTATTAGTATAAATAAACCTATTAACTAAGTCTATAAGTATTACCTCTACTAGATTTTTAATAAGGTAGGTATTCTTTAGTAAGATATAAGCTACTAGCTATAAATTACTTACTCTAAGGCGTAAGTATAGTAGATACTAAACTACCTAAAAGAGAGTAACTAGGTTACTATAGCTAAGAGCGCTAAAAGGGGTAATTTAAAATAGCTATTATTTAAAGGTTAGAAGGGTATTATTAGAGAGAAGGTAGAGCTAATTATAGACTACTATTAGGTAGAAGCCTTTAAAGAGTATTTATAGCTTTATTAGTTACTAGAGAAAAAATAGTAGTAGGTATATAGTATTTATAATAAAGGTTTTAGCCCCTATATATACTAGCTAAGATAATAAGCTAATCTAGAAGATAAATATACTTCTACTATACTTATAGATTTAGCTTTATACTAATTAAGAAGATATTATTTTTCTAGATAACTATAACTAGATATAGATTAAGCTAGTAACCTTAGTATTTAATAATAGCTAGCTATTTTAAGGTTTAAATTAGTTAGTTAAGTAGGAGATACTAGAGAAGCTTAAACTTAGTAATTAAGTAAAGTTTCTAGTATAATAGTTAGCTATACTATAAAGAAATCTTAGCTAGAAACTAATAATTACCTAGTAGTACTATACTTTAATTAGATAGGTAACTTTTAATATCTCTATATTTAAGTAGATAGTAAGCTATAGAATAAATAATATAAATATAACTAGTATTTAAAACTACTTTATATACCTATACTAAATAATACCCTAGTACTAGTTCTCTATATTTAATAAGGTTATATAAATTACCTTAGAGATCTAAGACTAGTATAAACTAGATATCTAACTAGCTAACTAGAATAAGCTAGCTAGTTTACTATAAGTATAAAGTATAAATAAGGTATAGAGCTTATTCTATTCTAATTTTAAGTCTAGTGTAGAAGCTTATCTCTTAGGTATATACTAATAAGATTTCTTTCTAAATATTAGTAATATATTAAATCTAGGAAGGGTAGCTAATCCTAAATAGGTTAAGGTTAGTTCTTAGGTAAGACTTACTAAGGGAAGGAGAGAAGGGGTTCTTATTAATATAAAAGTATCTTATAAAGTATAATAAGTTAATAAGGGAGGCCTAAGTAAATCTAAATAATAGATTAAAACTTAGGTTAAATATAAATATAAAGGTTTATTCTTATATTCCTATATAGGGATCTTACTTAGTTACTTAGGGGCCCTAAATAACTAAATAGGTTATATAACTACTCTTAGCTACTTAGTTATTTAGAAACCCTAAGTAGCTAAGTAAGTTATATAACTACTATCTAAGTAACTTAGCGTATCTTTATCTCATTATAACCCTAGTTATTTATTAAATCTAGAAAGGGTAGCTAGTCCTAAATAGGTTAAGGTTAGTTCTTAGGCAAGACTTACTAAGGGAAGGAAGAAGGGGTTCTTATTAATATAGAAGTATCTTATAAAGTGTAATAAGTTAATAAGGGAGGCCTAAGTAAATCTAAATAATAGATTAAAACTTAGGTTAAATATAAAAATTAATAGTAATTCTTCTATTCCTATATACTTAATTCTATATAGCTACTTACTAGTAAGTACTTACTAAAGAGTACTCTCTAGAGAGTACTCTCTAGAGAGTAGTTACGTAACTTCCTAAAGCGCCCTAATTCTTAAATAGGTATTACCTATAGTTATACGTACTTATCTAGAGGCTCTACTATATAATAGACTATTCTACTACTTATTAGGTCCTAGATCCTAATATTACCTCTCCCCTTTCTAAGATTTATTCTAAATCTTATAATCTTTTTATATAAGCCCCTACTTACCCTACTTACCTTTCTACTATTATTAGTATTATACCTACTAACTCTACTATCCGTAAACATCGTCTTTATAAAGAAATTCTTAGTGCTAATACTATTATAGAGGAACCCTATGTTAATTATAACCTAGAGAACACTATATATTTTATTATACTAAACTTAAGTTTAAAGTATACTAAATATACTTATATAAGTTATCTATGCATAAATATAAGCTAGGCTTCCCTAAATAAGACTTATAAGGAGTATAAGAAGAAAGTAGAGGAAGATAAGAAAGAGTTAGCTATAGTAATTATGTATATATTATATAATAAGAAAATATTAGCTTAGGCTAAAGAGCGTGCTTATAAGAAGATAATATATCTTACTACTAAGATATTATCTAAGGGTAAGAATATTAGTTTAACTATAGTTAACTATCCTATAGTAGATATATTAACTAGGTATTCTAGCGCCTTATAGTCTACTTTAGACTAGGTAGAATAAATATCTCTCTTTAGAATATAATACTATATCCTTTATCTTATAATAGGGTTACGTACGTTTTATTTATATTCCTTAACCATGTTCTAATAATTATCTAGGTTACTTCTTAGTTTCTAAGTATTTTTACTATCTAGGTATCCCTTCTACTTAATAAAATACTATTAAATCCCTTTATAGGTTCTTACGTGTATAATATTTTTAACTTTAAATTTAGTTTCTTCTTTAGCTCTATAATAGAAGGTGGTTTTAACTAGTGTCTTAGGGTCTACTAGTTCTAATAGTAATATATAGAATACTAGGTATACCTTTATATCTAGTAGTAATTCTAATCTATAGTTTACTAGTAATACTTATTTAGAAATGTAAAATAGTCTAACCTTAATATAATCTAATTTCTTATACTTTTTCTTTTATATATAAAGATTTTTTATAAGTAGATATGCTTTATCCCCCTTCTTTAGCTAAGGTACTATTTTTTATTTCTAATTTATATATAAAATACTTTACTATTAAGCTTTCTTAAGGTTTTCTTAAAGTTTATTATATATTTTTTTATGTTATCTACTATATCTATGGCTTCTTTCGCGTTAATATTTATTAGTAGTTATTAGTTAAAGAGATTTAGATATTTTCTATATATAGCGTAGTAAGGTATTTACCTTATTACTATTAATACCTTATTATTATGCGCTAATTATACTATAGGTAATAGTAAAACCTAATTATTTTTCTATTTATTATAGTATATTTATAGA